CAACGAGGAAGCCTGCAAGTTCATCCGCGGCAAAATCGATTCCATCGTGAAAGACCCGCGAAAGGCAGACATCCTCAAGCCGCGCGATCTCTATGCCCGTCGCCCCCTATGTGACACCGGATACTATCAAATCTTCAACCGCGACAACGTCGACGTCTTCGACCTGAAGGCAAATCCCATCGCGAGAATAGTCGACCGAGGCATCGAACTCTCAGACGGAAGCACACACGAGCTCGATGTTCTCGTCTTCGCCACGGGATTTGACGCCATCGAGGGCAACTATCTCCGCGTAAAGATTATCGGACGTGGAGGCAGGACGATTCATGAGCATTGGCGAGACGGACCGAAGGCGTACGGGGGCATCGCCTGCGCGGGATTTCCCAACATGTTTCTCGTCTCCGGCCCCCAAGGACCATTCGCCAACTTCCCTCCTGTCATTGAAAGCGAGATTGAATTTATCGTGTCTTGCATTGCCTATGCGGAGGGTGGTCCGACTACCGAGGGAAGAAAACCTACTATAGAGGCGTCGCGAGAGGCAGAGACGGATTGGGTGGCTTCCTGTGACCGGCTAGTGGATGGACTGCTATTCAAGCGGACAGCCAGCTGGATATTTGGCGCGAACGTCCCTGGGAGAAAGGCGACGACCAACTTCTACTTTGGAGGACTGGTTAACTACCGGAAATGGGTGGCAGACGTGATCACAAATGGTTTTCGTGGCTTTGAGTTATCAAATTGAGGTTGTTTGTCGGACTTCTGGGCGAAAAATGTGTTGGACCAGGAACCACCCGAGAGAGAGCTTTCAGACACGCACTGAATACCAATACAATTACTCAAAAATCAGCAAGATGTATGCTCTGGTCGGCGCCAGCATGGCCGTCAACTGGCTTGTAACAATGAACTCGCGTCATCTTCGAGAACCGGGAGCAACGGGCATTGTGGAAAGCCCCGTTCGACCGGGCAACCAAGGTCAACCACAGAATCTCATGCCATCCGAGATTTCGGCCAAAAGGGCATGGAATCCCTCAAAGTGAGCGCAAAAGCCTGGCGTGATGATACATGCAAGTGGGTTGCTAAGAGCTCTGCTGCTCCGTGTCCATCCCGTACGGAGAGCATGAAGACCCACAAGGCTGGCAAAATTCAACTAAACTCGGATCCGTCGGTTCCTGTGTTAGTCGATGGGGAAACCTTGAGTCTGTCCAATGAGGAGTAGGAATAGACTTGGGATCCGCTAATTCCTGCTTGTAGCACGAGTTTTGCCTATGCGAGGGATGCTCATTTCGAATGCTCTGTCGTTCTTTACAGTACCGAGGACGGATCAACACAGGCAGGACTGCGCTGAGATCGCATCACAAAAGTAGACATATAAAGATGAATCTAGTTCTGCTACCGAGTCCAGTTCGTCTGCTGGTTGTAAACGAACCAACGATTTTAACCAAAGGTTGCCTCTTCTTTTCCAACGAGTAATCGAATCCTTTCAGGAGCATTCTGCCTTGGACTTCAATATGGGCAGGCAGAACATCGAGTTCAAGAACTCGGACGGTGTCACCCTGCGCGGCTGGTTCTACACGCCCGACAATGCCCCTGCTGGCAAGCTCCCGACGCTGGTGATGGCGCACGGCTTCACGGCCCTGAAGGAGATGACGCTGGACTTTTATGCCGAATCCTTCACCGGGGCGCTGGCCATGAACTGCCTTGTCTACGACCACCGCGGATTCGGCGAGAGTGACCACGTCGCGGGCCAGCCGAGGGGCGAGCTCGTGCCGAATCTGCAGATCGCCGACTACTCAGACGCCATCACCTACGCGGCCACGCGACCAGAGGTGAATCCCGACAAGATTGGCGTCTGGGGCACGTCCTACAGCGGCGGCCACGTGCTGACGGTCGCCGCGATCGATCGACGAGTCAAGGTCGTGCTCAGCCAAGGGCCGTGTGTCAGTGGCTGGGACAACTTTCACCGCTTGGTCCGTCCAGACTTGATCCCGGCATTGGAGGAGGCCTTTGCAGCAGGTATGTAGCACACTTCCTTCTACCCAGATGTTCTGCAGACGTGAACTGACGTGGGTCTCTAGATCGCATAGCGAGGTTGCAAGGCAAAGAGCCTACATACATTCCCATTGTCCATCAAGATCTGTTTGGAAGTTGCGCGTTGAACGGCACGGACGTGCACGACTTTTTCATGGAGTGGCAGAACAAGTCGACGTGGAAAAACACCATTACCCTCAAAAGGTACATTCCTCATTCGAGACTTGTGTGCCTCTGTTCGTTCCTACGTCGCTGCTGACCACTTTGACAGCGTTGAGCTCTTCCGCGCATACGAGCCTCAGCACCTGATCGAGAAAATCGCCCCGACGCCGTTGTTGATGACCGTTCCCACTTTGGACACTCTCACACCCCCAGATCTCTCGCTTGCCGCGTACGCGAGAGCCCGAGAGCCAAAGGAGCTGCAACTGCTTCCTGGCGGACACTTTGATTCATATGCAGGCGAGACGATGAAGAAAAACATTGCGACCCAGATTGAGTTCCTCAGGAAATGGCTTGTCGGTCAATAGGAAACACTGGTCGGTCATTTGCCCGGCTTGGCTCCAGTAGTCAAACGTAGAGCAAATTCATGATACTAAAGAGCCTCTCAAGTATAGCTCTTTTCTTGAGCTTGCTGTGTGTAGTCCAATCCTGATCTCGAGGTCCGAAGAAGCTTTTGCAATGCTAGCAAGCAGCCATGGCCTCTATTGGTCTGGTGTCGATCGTGCTCGCGAATCTTCCTGGCTGTGCAACGATGTTACTTTCCACCACGGGACTGGACGCTATACCGACGAAGCAGCCTCTCCAGTTGCCTTAGCTGGAACAGGAAGTCGCACCACCAGACGGAAAGATCTGAAAGCAGATACTGCAAGGCTCGAGATCGGATCCGGACTATTGAACTCCACCGCCCCTCCAAGAACACTGATCCTCCCCCTCAGCGATAGCCATTCCGGTTTGCTAACCCACCAGAATATTTGCCGTCAATGCCTTCCCGTTCGTAATCACAGCAGACACAAATTGCTTTATGCATTCAATGACGCACAGCATAGCCTGATACATGGTATCTGCACGAGAAAAGTCCTACTTGGGGCCGCTCATTGTGGGTGATGCTCTCCTTGTGCTCCAGTACAGTAATCTTGATTGATAAGACTCTGGGGGCTCTGCGTGCTATATAGTGCTTTGTGCAAGCCTCAGCCATCTCTAGAAGATCGTACATCCTCTCTTCATGTCCTAAAACGAGGGCTTTGTCCACTCTCTCACTTTCTCCAGTCGATTGACAACCATGGATCCTACTAAAGTAGCACTGGCGGGAGCGACTGGAAATCTCGGAGTGCCGATCCTCGAGACGCTTCTCAACGCGAAGATATCGGTGACGGTGCTCACGCGCATCGGAGGGAGGAACTCATCCAAACTGCGACGGTACGCAGACCTGACTATCAAGGAGGTCGACTATGCCAACCCCGATTCGATAAGGCCCGCGCTCCAAGGCATCACGGTGGTTGTCTCTTGCGTCGCGACTTTGGCCATCGGGTCTCAGAACGCTCTCATCGACGCGGCCTGCGCGGCCGGCGTGAGGCGTTTCATCCCCGCCGAGTTCGGCATGGATTCGCTCAACCCGCTGTGCGTCAAGCTTCCGGTGTGCGAGCCCAAGGCTGCGACGCAGGCCTATCTCGCACGCAAGTCTCGCGAAAACCCGGGATTCACCTGGACTGGCATCGCGAACGGGCTATTCCTCGACTGGGGGCTGAGAGAAGGCTTCATCGTGGACCTCCACCGGCGCACGGCGACACTGTACAACGGCGGGGACGTCCCCTTCAGCGCCACGAACTTGGACGACGTCGCCAAAGCCGTCTTGGGCGTTACCCAGAACCTCGAGGAAACCGCCAACCGCCTGCTCTACGTCCATTCCGCCGCCACGACACAGAATGAATTGATCCGCTTTGCAAAAGAGCGCGTCGACAAAGAATGGTGTCTCCAGGCAAAAGATACCCGGGAGACCATGGAGGAGAGTTTGGAGGAATTGCACAAGGGCAATGATCAGGCGGCAATGGACGGCTTCTGCGTGGTGGGAATGTTTGACCCCAAGTATGGCGGGGACTTTTCGAGTCACCTCGACAACGAGCTCTTGGGTCTCAGGACGCTCGATGAAGCTGGGGTGAGGGCGGTAGTTAGAAGCCTCCTCTGACACTGATGGAGGATAGAAGAGCCATATGTAGGCCCTGACCTGACCAAGGCTCCGAGCCAAATTCTAGACTCCGGAGAGCAAGAATACTGCAGACACCCAAACCCGCCCATCCACAGGGAGCCTGTACTTTGTAGTTGATAACCAACGCCGCTTGTCCGAGTGCCCAGAGCACAGAAATGAAAGTCGCACGCCCAACCTCGCCCCAAATGCTCACTTGTAGCGCCCGGATCACCCCGGTGCACGGGGGAGAGAATCGAACATGATAAGCGGAGGTCGCGGGGATGCTTGGCACCCGCAGACGTTGAAGTCGCTCGTTAAATCTACACAAAGTCCCTTTCGTCGTCGACAATCTCGACCAAGATCTGCTTCGACAGCCGCGTCATAGTCGTCTCCTGTGAAATTTGAGGCAGCGAGTGCCAACCCATGGCTACGGGAATCTGGGTACCGGGCTATCACGTCGCTCGCAGGACGCAGTTCTCCAGCTGCGATGCGTGCCGCCAGTCTCGAGTGGCGTGCGACGCCTCGAAATTCGGCTACCAACCAGGCGAAGCAGGCTGGGGCGGCTCATGTTCGCGATGTGCCATGAGGGCCCGACGATGCACCTTTGAGGTATAGCATACACTTTGCCCAGCGCTTCTCCTCCGGTCGAGACGACAAGAAACTGCTCGGGGTCACATTTGACTGACCATTCTGCTCGTTAGTGGATAAGGAAAACACCACGGAAGCAGCGTCATCATTCAGGCTATCAACCCGCACCTGCGTCAAGTACTGTGGACGTGGGAAGAGGGCCGGATCTACCAGACCAACGTGGTCCTGTCCCACCTGGAGCGTCCTTGGGAGGAGAGTACCCCAGCGATATCTACGACTCTCCGGATCTCAGGCGAGTGCTTGCATCGCTCCGCCCCGTCTTCCGCGCTGAGACTGACAGAAATTGCAGCGTCCCTCCGTTTGAGGCACCCCGTTTTGACGCTGAGGCCGAGATGGTTGATAGATTACTTGCACGGTGTGTCGACGTCGTCTTCCTAAACTGCTTCGGGGCCATTTTCGGGAGATGGGTGGGCAGAGATGGCTGCCCCTTGGTGTGCGTATCCGAGAATCCATCTCTGACCAAAAGATTACCGAGACTGATTATTTCTGGCAAAGGGACGAGCCGACCAGCGATATAAGTGTGTCTCCGTTGAAGCTCTTTGTGGATCTCGACACCTTCATGGACGAGCAAGTTGCCCAGAGCCCGTCTCACCTGCCCACGACCGTGTTTCAGAGCCTCGGGCGAGACGAGCAGCAGATTGACCGATGTCTGCGGAGCGCACTGCATGCCTATATCGCCCGGTGGCTCCCGCTCTTCCTGCGCACGGAATCCGGGGCCCGGCATTCGGTGCCGCCGTTGGACGAAATCAGCCGGTCATGCTGGCGCACGGCGAGGAAGGACATGCTCAAGGCCATCAACCTGCCCTCCTACCGCTCGGTGCTGGCGTTGTACCTGTTCGGCCAGACTCCCGTGCCGCTGGGCATCTCGCCGGAGGAGGAACTGGACGGCATCAGCGGCGTGGTGTGCAGCAAGACCGCGCTGCTCCACGTCCAACAACTGCGCGAGCGGCAGCGGTGTTGCCAGTTCAACGGCTCGGGATTCTCGGCCTGGTCGGACGCGTCGCCGGACGCCCACGACAAGAACCCAACCGCCGCCGCGGCCGCCAGCCCGACGACCCATCTCACGGAGGCGTACCTGAACCTCGAAAGCCGGGCGTACTGGGCGACCGTCACCTGGGACACGTCGGACTCGATGACGCTCAATTTCCGATCGACGCTGTCCTCGGGCCTGAAGGGCGCGTGCACGGAGCCCGTGTGGCAACTGGCCCGCGGGTTCCTGGTCGGGTGGTTCCACGACCGGACGCACGCCTGGCGCCGGCCGGGGTTCCGCGTGTCGTCGGACGTGGCGCCGCAGATCACGTCGGCGGCGTCGGTGTGCACCATCTACACGTGGCGGACGATCGCTAGCCTGAAGGAGGCGCTGAGGGAAGGCGTCGACGAGGCCGGCGTCCAGGTCGGGTGGGCGGCCCTGCTCGACGCCGTCGACGTCTTCACCACCACCGTCCGCCCGATCCTGCGCAACTGCGAGCGCCAGCTGCACTTCCTGGGCCAGGTCGACCGGCTCCACTGGTACGAGATCGTGCTGCTGTACCACCTGGGCATCCTGATCCTCGCCGACGCCCTCGAGGCCGCCCACCGCTCGGACCTGCTGCGGCAGCTGGAGGCCCTGAGTCTCGCGGCCGAACACGAATGCTTCAACGTGCTGAAATTCGGCCTCGAGAGCACGTACACCCTCACGGCGAGCCGCCCACATCAACGACAACAGCAGCAGCCCTCCTCAGACAGCGCGACTGAAACGGAACTCCCTGCACAGTCGTCGCTGCGGGTGTCGTTCGTCGCAATCGACCCTTATCCGCAACACGTGGTCGCGGCGGTCATGCTGATGGGCAAGGCCTTCCTGCGGCAGTACTCGCAGGGTTCCATCACGCACGAGGCATACTGCCACCTGGCCGCGACCTTGCGCGACGCCCTGTGCCAGCTCCCGCAAAATTCAAAGGCCGTCCAATCGGCGAGGGAGAATTTGCAGAAGCTTTCCGCGGGCTACGATTCCGCGTCAGAACCTCCCCACGCACTGAGTCCGTGACCGCAGGAGCTTGGAAAGGCCGGGCTGCCAGAGAAGAAAAAGGAGGCGAGGGCCGGACCAGATCAAAATCAGCCCAGGTCCAAGAAGGCTTGGGTCTAGAAGTAAGTGTTTCTCTTGGCCAGTCCAAGGAGAAGACCTCGCCTCGTTCGTGAAAGCTCCTTCGGCGACAACTCACGCTTGTCGGAGAACCCTCTTCCGCGAGATTTCTCGCACATCGACGGGTCGAGTGCGACAGTCGACTGCGTCAGTCGTTCGGCCATGTCCACCAGCGCGCTGATGATAGGGCCAGCGCTGCCCCGACGGTGGTAATGACCAAATGGTAATGGCCGAGCGACGGTTTCGGGTGTATGTAATATGTACATGTATAGATATAAGTAACGTATATGTATATTGCATGTCCTACAATTCAGCAGCTCGTGAAGCTCCCTATCTAGCTACCAGATCCATTCATTCAGTCGTGACACGTTGCTCATCCGGGGAAATTGACACCCCCTCTAACATCCATCACCTGCTTAGCTTGGAATCAACCGTAAATTCATTCACGCCTGGCAAACGAATTGACCACAGAGCGAGAGACTCGTCACCCAGCCCCCAGTGGCTACTAGCGCAACGAGTAGACGCTGACGTTGGGGGTGAACTCCTTGATCGGGCCCCTCGCGGGCGCCGCCGCATTGGCGACCAGCTCGCTGTGCGAGATCGACGCCTCCAGATCCTTGAGCGGATACTGCAGCGGGTACTGGAAGCCGCCCTTGCGCGACGGCCCCAGCGCCCGCGCCGTGCGGCGTCTCTCGCGCGTGCAGAAGAACGCAGCGATGAGGATGACGGCCGCGGCGACGACGGCGACGCTGATGCCGGCCTTGGCCCCGTGCGACAGACCGCCCGCACCGGGCCCCGTCGAACTGGCCGGCGCCGTCGGGGAGCCTGGCGTGGGGAAGGCAAAGTCGAGGGTGAAGGACGCGTCTGCGAACGCGATTTCGGCGTCGTTGATGTTCGGATCAACCGTCGTGTTGTCCGGGTTGAGCACTCTGGAATGGCATTATGAACGTGGTCAGCAGGGCTCGGCAGAAACGGTGATGCGGATGGGGGTTTTAATGTTACATACCCGTAAATCGTGTAAATCATGCCTCCGCTGAAAAGCCAGTCCGCCGACCCGACGATCCTGGCGTTGTTGATGAAGACGAAGCCGTTTTGGCTAAAGATGGTCACCTCGGAGCCTTCGTACGTCGAATACTGGCCGCTGGGGGGTGAGTCGGGGTTGATGTCGAGGACCTGGTCGATAATGTGGTAGGAAACCAGCCGTTCCAGCTCGGTCCAGGTCATGTTCTCAATCACATTGCCGATTTCCTGGAGAGAGTAGTTCATGGGCAAAAAGACCGTGACGTCGGACAGTTGGTCGATGGTCAGTTCTTGTCCGGTCGCGGGCACCGTGACCACGGCCTCGGCGAATGCTGGTCCTCCAAGCATGTCCTCTTCCTCGGTGGTCGCTTTGAAGGACTGAGGAAGCGTCAGGAAAGAGTCGATGATGTAGATGACGCCGCCGGTAAAGTTCAGTGCGTCTCCCTCGGTCTCGGACGTTTGGAGTTTTCCAGACGTGAATGTTATTGCTTCAGACCACGGCGACCCCTTGGCGGCGACTATCTGGCCTCCGGAGACATTCGCGTACTGCGACGCTGACAACGCCGTCGTGACCAGGCTGTATTCGTCCGAGCCGAAGCCATAGTACGTCCCGTTTAGCACATGGTAGCTCATCAGAGCCTCTGCATCCGTCGCATCGAGCGGGATACTCGGGATGGTCGAAGAGTCGGCCAGGGCTGCAAATGCATCGTTGTTCGGTGCCAGGAACGTGACATCGGAGAGTCCTTGAAGCCACACAGTAAGATCGGGGAAGCCGTCCAGGTAAGTCACCAGCTCTGAAAGCTCCGCCACGCCATTGAGCGTCTCGATTATGCCTCCATCTTGCGCGGTGGCGAGGCCAAGACATACAACCGCTGGAAGCAATTGACGGAGCATCGTGGGATGTATCGGATACCACCAAGATCCAAAGTTGGCAGGATTCCTAGGAACTGGAGGTAGGAAACCAAGGTTGCAGAGCGAGGGAGTGGATTAAGAAACATGGCCGCGTGCCCATCTTGGGACCATGGTTATCGTGAACACCTGGGATCGAGTTCGAGTCTTGCCGTGAATGTCCGTCCCAAAGGTTCTGGTCACGCCTTCAAACCTAGCGCCGAGGGGTTCGAATAGTTACTGGAAATCCTTCTGAGATGGCAGCTCTGATCCCATTCGCCGGGCCGGAAACGGCGCAGCGTGCCAAACTGCTTGCCCAATTAGAGGCAATTGAAAGCAGGAGCATGATAGGTCGACGAAGCCTGCGACAGATAGCATGACGGCATGAGATAGGATGCCCATGCGCGCCGTGTTCTCTCCCAACCCCTCCATGCCCTCCATCCCCAATGCAGCTGCTCGAGCAGTGACAAGCTCCCACCGATCCTGGGCATTAGCGAATCGTTTCTCGAGAAATCTCTTGGGCTCATGCAACTGTGACAGGATCGCTCGCAATGCAGACATCCTGGCAGTCGGCAACTTGCCTCCAATCCCGCGGCACAGTTTTCGTCTGCGGGGTTCCTGGTTGAGAGATTCGGGCTGCCGCCCCAAGGCTGAAACAGCTGATCATCTGCATCATCCCCTGGCCATCTCGAATGCTGCCATGCCTGTGGCTGGCCTGAACATCCTGAAAGAAGCCTGCGAGAAGTGGTGCCACCCCCCAAGAAAGGCATCGTCATCCAAGAGCCGAAACGAGGGTCCCCTCTTCTAGCTATGAGTATAGGCCTTTCCAGAAGAAGATGAGCATGATTGGTAATAGGCCATGAATACCCCTCCAAAGGCGCCGAGCTTCCTGATTTGACATCTCGGTAGAAGCTGGACAATGAGAGACCCGAGCAAGTTTTTCAAGTTTTCTTGGAGGGTTGCGTGGCCCTTTTTGTGGCATTGCTCTTATCTCCATTCGCGCATTTGCGGCCGCACTTGATTCCGAGGCAACATTCTGCGCCCGTGCAACCAGGAGAGAGGTGTCAGCAGTGTTAACAGCTCCAAAAGGCTGGGTGGGGTTCGAGGGGTATTATGGGTATATTTCTCTTCTCCTTATGAGATCTGCACAAAGCTAAGCGATAAAGCGATGATCCCTAAGCACCCCCCTCGTGAGACGAGATGTGGTTTTTACAACGCACGACATCTTCACAGGCATTGACAAGGGCAGATTGCCGGGGGACTGAGTCGCGAAAATTACTCAAGGAACTCTCGCTGAGCTCTCAAATCATATTTCGTTCTTGCTAGTCTTGATACCTACGAAGGAACTCCTGCCCTTCACAGTACTCCCTTTCGAGAACCTCCCGGTGCCGCTGAGATCTGACGGTAAAGAGGGCGGGAAACGGATTTGGTCCTCCCACAAAGGTATCAGAGTATGTCTCGCGTTCGTCGAGGTTCGGCGGCGACGCAGGATCGGCCTTGATGTCGAAAGCCCACGCCATCTTGGCCATGTTTATCATCTTATATGCGCCAGCCATGTCAGCGCCATCTTGAGAGGCGTCACGCACAAACGTCTGTGAGCAGGGAGGTCGCGACGAACTTACCAGGGAGTTCTCGCCCATGTCTTGACCTGGGCAGACTCTTCTGCTCGCGCCAAAGGCATAGGTGGTCCTTCTGTTATCACCGTCGACGATGTCATTACTGGCCCTGGTCCCAAATTTGTTGTTCAGCCATCTCTCGGGGATGAATTCCGCGGGCTTCTCGTATTCGGTTTCGTCGTGATGGATGGACCAGGTATTTGCGAAGACTATGGTGCCTTTGGGGAGGAAGTAGTTGTCGTACCAGTCATCCTGCGTCAACATGTGAGGCTGCCCTTCTGGAGCGAGTGGTCTCCATCTGAAAATCTGTCCGGACCCGGTCAAACTCCAATTCCCAAGTCAGATTCGTCGACTACTCACCTCAGTCATTATAGCTCGCATATAAGGAAGATCTTCGATATGCTTTGCTGAAGGTGAAGTGGATACGCCGCAGACGTTGTCCACCTCTGCCTGGGCCTTCTTCAACACTTCAGGGTGGGATATCATGGCCAAAACAAAGAGATGCAGGTTCGACGCCGACGTTTCAGAGCCGGCTTCTAGCTGAGACATAATAGTTAGCGCTTTTTGATTCATTCCACTGCGAGTGAGGACGCCGCACCAATATTCCACCGACGTAGACGAGCTGATCGTAGCTCAACCCGCTCTTGTCGCTTCCTTGCAGGAGCTTTTGCATGAAACACGGAGCTGCAGCTTGTTGGTCCATCCTGGCCTTTGCTTTCTCAAGCAGCGTATTGTAGAAGGCTTTTTGCCTTTCGCCAAGTGCCACTGCTCGAGCCTTGTACGGCGTAAGGAAGTTCGGAATGTACTTGAGGAAAGGAAAAGCGTCGACGGGCGGAGTTGCTCCAGCAGCCATGATTTCCGCGAACGCCGTTTCAATCTCGTAGAATCCCCTAATTCTCGGGTCGTCGTAGGTAGCGCCTCTTTGACCGTACACGGATGCCAGGATCACGGCGGCCGCGTAGCGACGAAGATGGTTGAACCACTTCTCGGGTGACTGCATCATTTCGTACATCGTTTGCGAAGATTCCGCTTGCTGAAGTGGGAGGATAGCTTCGACACCGGAAGCATTCAACAGTCCTGCGACGGCTTTTCGCAGCGCCCTCCATGTCGGACCGTATGGCTGAAAGAGAATATGAACCTCGTTGGGGCAGATGAGTTCGTTGCCGACATAGTGGTCAGGCCTGCTAGAGTAGATATTGCCTCGCTTGTCGTAAAGCCTGTCCAGCGTCAACAATGACCATGTTTGCCTTTTACTCCACAACCCACTCTCTGACGGGCTTGTAATTGTTTAGAACGACAGCGTTCAGAGGGCCCAATTTCAACCCTATAACTGGCCCGTATTGTTTTTGCCAGTCGTGAAATCTGCTTCATTCAGCTCCTGTGATTTGTTTGACCGGCTGATTATGAATGTCTTACTGGAGGAATAGCTTCTTCAAAGGGAGTTGATGGAGATTTCCAAATACCGGCAGCCCAGGCGGGCCTGGAGGGAAATTTCGAGGACGACGGCTCGCGAGCACATAGTACCCAAGGAATGATGCCAATGTGCAAGACAGTACTGCCACCGCCAACCTCCAAACGTAGGCAAACATGATTGGCAACGTGTCGGTTGAACAGGAGATGTATCGAGTCCATGACTGCGCAGTTGCAATGCTTTTGTACGCTTGGCCGAGCTCATATTCGTATAAGCCACGTCAACCTGATGAAGCCGTTGCCACTCAGGCCCTTTGGTATTTACAGACATCCAATCCGGACAAGGCTGCCTTTGCCGAAATAGTGCAACACCCGCTGGGATGTAAGGCTGCCATTCAGTAAGCGGAGACATGCGAACAAGAACATCTGGGTTCCATAAGGTTTCTGATTCAAAGGAGTCAATCCGGGTTGGATGGTATTCGTGGACACAGGGGATTCTGGAGAAGCTGGATGACGTGATATCCATAGCTGAAAAAGGGATGGGAGTTCATCTCGAATAGTAATACAGACCTTCCCTATTAGTCAGGGATTAAAACAATAAGTTCACTTCGTATAGATAGATCCACGAATTGAGCTGTTTAGTGATTAAAACTTGCCAAAGCCGTCTCGGTCATTTTGAGGGAAATGGCGATACAAGCTTCGATATAATATATGTCAGCTCTAGGGTTAACTTCCAACAATGATCAGGTTAAGAGGGAGATCCCCCGTGAGGCTTCGTGTGCTTTATTCGAGCCTTTCACGCCCAAACTGAGTCTCATTGATCAGCTTCCGAAGACCATCTTGTTCGATATTTTGCCGATGCGCTCAATCTCTATCGCTACGGTATCGCCATTACCCAGCCAGGCTGCCGGCTTCATGAAAGCGGCCACACCACTTACAATTGTTAGTCGGGCGATACACTAAGCGTCCCTGTTTCAAGCACTTACCTAGGGGTGCCTGTCATGATAACCGTCCCTTTTCTGATCGTGGTGCCTCTGGCCAGATGTCGAATGATAGCACTTATGCCGAAAATCAAATCATCTGTCTTCCCATCCTGTCTCAATTCGCCATTGACCCAGGTGCGTAGTTTGAGGCCCTCGGGATTGACAACGGCCTCAGGTGAGGCGATGACGGGGCCGATTGGGGCAAACTTGTCGAAGGATTTGGCCGGGCCGTGCTGACCTCCTGACCTTGGTGCGACCTGCCAATAACGGGACGAAACATCATTGCCAACAGTAAAGCCTAGGACATAATTCATGGGATCTTCTCCCTCGGAGATGTTCTTGGCATCCTTGCCAATGACAACTGAGAGCTCGCCTTCGTAGTCCAGCTCTTTTGCTTCCGGGTCGATAGGGATGTCCTCGAATGGGCCCGCTAGGGTATCTGCGGGCCATTTAGCGGGGACCAGTGGTACGGCGGGCAAACGTGCTTACCTGGATACTTGGTGAAAACAACCGGGAAGGTTGGGATAGGAAACTGAGTTCATGAGACAGGATAGCCATCAGAAGTGCTTTATCCCACTTACGCCTGCTTCCTCGGCATGCTTCCTGTAATTCAAACCAATACCTAGAACGATCGGCACCTTGTCAAGAGGGCATAAGACCTGGAATACGTGAGCCCCCGATCGAGAAATGTGTGGCGCCTCTGCCGGGACATCTTCGAACCTCAGAAATGACAGCCTTTTTCTCCGACAACCGAAAACTACTGTCAAACGGGTCAGCGCCGGAAAAGATTTGGACTTCTCTGCCCTTGAGGTCAGACTCCCAGTCCGAACCGGCTTCGCCATAGTATATTTGACCGTCCGAGGCTCTAAACCTCACAAGCCTTTGGAATTTCGTCGTCATAGTGAGCGGATCTTTCCTGGAACTTGGGATGATGTTTTTCGTTGCTCAAGAGGCTAGCCCGGTTTCACAGGAATGAGTCCTCACCGCCTTTGGCCGAAGAACGAGTATCCTACCACGTTTATATAGAGGGCAGGGACGAGAGCCGAATGCTGACAAAAACACCGTCTCGGGCCGAAAAGCTCCTGGTATAAGTAGTAAGGCTTGAAATCACAGACATTCCCACCACGGGGACTTGAATGTACCCCAGAAACCCCGTCCCCGCTTCTCGGACTTCGGAGTGATCACTTCGCCGAAATCGTGGGACGTTGAACTCACCTGGTGCAAGGGGCCAGTCCGAAGGTCTTCGGGCGACGATTGGATGCCTGATATCCATGTCTCTTCCCATTGCGTTGGCTGCCAGTTGTAAACAATGGAGGAATGAAGGAGAAGAATAGGTTATATACAGCCAGAGAAGCTCGTAGGGAAATTGACGTCATACGTGGATGGGCCATGGACATGTCCGGCACAAGTCTGCCCGCATCGTCGCGTTTTGCGTGCTTTCATATCTCTGCCAAACAATTCAATTGATGCCGCTGAGTCGAGGAAGCTGTTTAATCAATTACGACCTTTGCTCTTCTCGGTTCCTCTGGTATTGCCAGCACAGTGTCGGAGGCTGGAAAATCCAAAGGAAGGTCCACAGATCAACATCGACTTGCAAAATGTCCACCGAAAAGAATTATTTTGGAAGTTCGCCAGAGTACATCTTGAAGCACCGAGTATGTGCTCAACCAATCCCTCCTAAAGCATATACTGCAAGAGAACATGACATACAGTTTCTTGGGGGACGCTTGTTCTTCTAACTATCCTCGACCCTGCAGACTCAGTACCCTTCTTCTCGCACGATCGTCGTGTCTGGGGCGACGGCCGGGATCGGGCTCGCCATCGCCAACCACCTTCTATCATCAAGCGATCAGCATCTCCTCATCCTGGCGGGTCGCAAGGTTGACGTGCTCAACGACTTCCAATCTACCAACCCAGACCGGGTGATCACGAGGGCTGGAGACATGGCAGACCTTGGATTTGTACAAAGCATGTTGCGAGGCGTGCAGTGTGACGGACGGCTCGACGCTCTCGCACTGAACCACGGCACCTTGGGAAAGTGCTTGAGGATAGGGCAGATGGAAGGCGATGAGTGGGATCGGACGTTTAGGATCAACGTGACAAGTTGTGTTGTCTTGGTAAGCCCAATCTCTCTTGATATTTGCCTTGAAGCAGCCTCCTACATACACCCCGCCATTGGTCTGCTATCGGTACAATCTAACTCTCGATTACAAAAACGATCAGATCAAAGAAACACTCCCGCTCCTCCGCAGCGCCAAGGGGCGTATCATCTTCACATCCTCGGGTGCCGCTACGAACGCGTATCCTTCATGGGGAGTCTACGGCGCGACGAAAGCAGCCATCAACCACTTGGCCATGACGTTGAAGAATGAAGAGCCTGATGTGACCACGGTATCAATCCGCCCTGGTGTCGTTGACACGGCCATGCAGATGGATATTAGGGAGAAGTTCCTTCACAACATGGACGAGAAGGACCAACAAAAATTCCTGAGCGCCAAAAGCGACGGGAAACTCTTGCCGCCGGAGAAGCCAGGAAACGTGATTGCAGAATTGGCCGTGAAGGCCAAAAAGGAGTTATCAGGGTTGTTTTTGAGGTAAGAGCCCATGAGTCGGAGCATTTACACAGAATCTTCGTTGACACACCTCAAGTTGGGACGACCCCCAATTGGCCGAGTACCAGGTTGAATAAGGCACCAGGGGACTAAGATTGATGAGTGCGTTTGGCTTCGTCGGTCGATCGCGATCTACTGCGCTGAGCTAATGTGCATGACTCCTGCAAAGGCTCATGGTCCACGGAAATTCGCAAGGATGGGCGGACTTGTTTCGCAAGCACCTGTTCTCGCACGATCAGCATGCCATGCGCAAGAGAGCAACAACCAAACTTGTGGAAAGAAACTTGGGATCAGGCGAAAGATGAAAAATGAATACACAAGCTTAAGCATTAGAATCCAGCGGACCTTCATACTTAGCATGGAAGAGTGGTGTGTTCATCATGAAGGAGTTTTATTAACAGAAATAGTCAGACTTACTACCACGAAGCTGCGAGACGGTATAGCTACCATGAATTCTCTAAACTTCTAGATCCACAGTTAGACAATGTCCCAGAACAAAATGCGAATCAAATGATGTTATGCTGTCGAGTCTCGTTCAGGTAATCGAACCAGTGTATTCGTCAATTGCAATTCCGAATTTGATAGTACATAGTGTTGATCATCATTTGGAAACGGATCGGGGCCCGATAAGAGGAGGGTGACATACACCACAACGACATTCAAGTTGCTAAACGGAGCATATCATTAATCTGTAACATGTCAGTGACCGCGTGCACCATCCAGTGGCCAAAAGGTATGAGAGATGAGAGATGTTCAGAAGGTCCTGTTTGGTTTGGACAGGTGATCACCATAATTTGGTATGATAGGGGCGACACGAATGTTCATCATGTAGGAACTTTAAGGATAGAGGGGGAGAAGGCGTCACTTACCAGGCATGAGCCGGCACGTTCAGACAGTGTCAGGGGGCCCATTTGGAGGAGCTCAACTGGCATCAGCTCTGTGAGTCCATGGGCTAAGACTCGTCAACTCGTCGATGACAGACGTCGATGATTGATGGCAACACGTAGATAGGGCATCACTGCAGGCTATCGCAAACGAGCGAGATCGAGTGTTCGTTGTGATGGAGAGAATCGAAGGGTGAAAACAGAAAGAGAAAGTTCGGAAAAGAAAATTAGTTTGTGCCAAGACATGATTTGCGCGTTGCCCGTTTTGGAAGCCAGGCCTGGTCGCGCATCATGTCGCAACAAACTATTTAACACCCTCGTCCCTCCCCGCGCTCACCTGGGCTGGACCCGTGAGACTTCAAGACCCTGGACGCATACAACTACTGCCCCAAGTAAAAACACGCTGTCATCATGGACGAGTTTTCCAGTATGTTGCAACCCCAAAAACCCAAGATCCCATCACCGCAGCTGCTAATAACCTGTGTACAGACAGTGAAGATTTGTCTCTTCCCAAAGCCACCGTCCAAAAGATTATCTCGGAGATCCTGGCTCAACTGCCTAATGAAACCTCCAGCGCCGGCAAGGAAGGCGAGATGACCTTCACCCGTCCGGCTCGCGACCTTCTCATTTCGTGTTCGCTCGAGTTCCTGCGCATGCTCTCCTCCGAATCAAACGAAATCTCGGAGCGCGAGTCCAAGAAGACCATTAGTGTCGAACATGTTGAACAAGCCCTCACCGAGTTGGGGTTTGGAAGCTACATCGAAGGCTGCCGCGGTGTCGTCGGCGAGTGGCAAGAGGTGCAGAAGAAGAGAATCGGACGAGGCGAGAAAATGCGCAACTTCGGCGGATTTGATAAGATGGGAGAAGAGGAACTGAGGAAGATGCAGGAAGCACTACTGGGCGAGGCGAGGGGAAGAATGGAGGGCGGTGGTGCAGGACAAAACGACACGCATGGGCAGTAGGCTAACACCCTAAGGTCGCTAAACGAATCGCAAGCCCCGGGATGCTGCCGCTGGGCTGACTATCTCACCTCCTGGAAGGAGCACAGAGATAATCACTTCGAGAGGACCCGCTGAGTGTGCCGCGGGGTCTACTCTATTCATGCCCTCAGAGAACCAGCAATATTGTCCAGCATACCTGGCTGAAGGGAGCAACACCATGCGACACACGCAAATCGCCCAGCTCATTGGGTTCTGACGTTGTGTCACCCAAGCAAGAAAACATTACAACATTTGTATAAATACTTGTACCAACAGGCTGCGTTGGGCTCTCGGGGACCGCGACATGAAGCCTTACGGACCGAGACAACCTATGCAGAAGGCTTAAGGCGTCAAACCCCGGAGAGCCGCCTTGTTTGTGAGGCGAGAGGTTACGACGCCCGATCACAATACAGCACCTCAAAAATCTCAAACACAACAACTAGAACAGATGAGAAAACGCCTTTTGAGCTTTGAGAACACGCCCTGATATCGAAAGCTTAGCAAAGCTCCAACCCCGAGCTAGGATTGCCGAATCTATCATCTGATCCTTCGATTATCAATGAGGTCTCTCTGATATATTTTCCTGGAAGGGCGATGCTCGACCCTCTTCCTCATTCCTCCCGGGATGTTTCTTGCGACTGCTGGACAATGCGATTACTTGAAGCCACCGTGGTCAATGTACATGAGCGGGGTACACGCACAACCCTCATGACGGCAATTGCGGAAAGTGAAGCCTCCATTCCCCGCACATGGTCACCTGAATGCTAGCCGGCAACATAGGATGAGAAATATGGAAGCCGTTCGGAACGACAGGAAATGGAAGATGAATGAAGTGGACGAGATGTACGGGGCCGCAACGCAAGCCGTTAAAGCATTGTTTGAGTGCAACATGATGACAACGCATAGTTTTGCATTAATAGAGCAATTAATTCTGGCATACTGGGACTTTTCTTGACTATCGGTTATCAATGTCGTTAAGCCGGCCCTCTTGATCGTGATCCTTCCGCTCTCCTGGTCTCAGGGCGCGAGTTTTTCCTCACAAATTCCTCATCTCCGTGGCATCTTTCGTCCATCCATGTTCATATATCTCGCGACGTGGCCAAGCTTCATCAGCAAGTCGGCGTCGAGACGACCAAAGTCCTCTCTCGCCTTGAGGTTGCCGCCCAGATCTCTCCTGACGGGTCCGCCGGTGGCAGTGGCGTTGGGGCTCTGCAGCCCCTCGACGAGGATGCTCCACTCGGCCACCGTGGCGCCGTCGCCGGACATGTTGCCCGCGGTGACGCTGGCGTTGTACAGCGAGCCCCAGATGCGCAGCGTGGCGAAGCGTGCGGTGTACACCGGCGGGGCGGTCGCGGGGATGTCGAACGTGGTGATGTTGTCCTGCACGGCCTCGATCGAGTTCAGCGCCGTCAGGTTGTACGTGTCGGAGATGTGGACTCTCTGGTTTGACGCGACTTCGAGGACGTTGTTGGAACTGAGCGTCGTGGCGGACGGGTTCGCGAGGGATTGGTTGTGGAATAGCACCGAGTAGTTGTACGGGGGAATTTGACCCCAGTTCAACACCATCCCGGTCACCTTGTATCCCTCCGGTATTGCCACTGTGATGGAACTTGTCTTGTTCGCGGACACGGGCTGCCATTTTGTACTCGTCGCACCGTCGACCGCCGCGAGCGGGAACTGGCCTGGCAAGTAATCGTCCGGGGAAGAGACGGGGAGACACTGCGCGACATTGTTCTCGGTTGTAGGAATGAGGCCGATTTGTCTGTTGGGGACAGTTATGCTGGAGTTTGGCAACAGGGAATAGGTGGCAAGGGGTGCTGAGCCGATAGGGCCAACCACGACCGGAATGGCGGAGGTGGCATAGGTGGCGTTCGGAACAGCTCCCTCACCGGGAGCAAGGCTGCCATCTCTCGTCAAGACGGTATGGGTCTGATTCGAGAAGGCTGAGATCGGCCAGCCATACCAATGGAACGTGCGGTATCGGACCTGCGGGACCTGAGGCGGCAGACTGGGGTCAATGTGCAGATTGAAATCCGGAATGAAGCGCAGCCCTAGGTATCCGAAAAGGACGACTTGCAGGGCTCCCCCATGTCCTGTGAGGAAGGGATATGCGGGGTGCGTTCCGCCATTCTCGTTCCAGTCGTCGACCAACTGTTCAGAGAATTGAAACCATGGGCCTCTGATGTAGGGGTGCGTGCTGTATTGTTGATAGGTATAGGAAGAGCATCCAGAAGGTGAGATCTGGTTTGCGATAATGGAAAAAATCGCGTATGTCATGGCGGGACCGTCCACGGATTGCTGGGCAGCATAATAGTCGAGATCGCTGAGCGAGTCGTTGGACGTATAATTCTGTCCAGTAAAGGAGAGCGGATAGGTATTGAGAATGACATCAGCCTGTTTTACCACAGTGGTGCCGTTCATGCCAGTGTATTCTAGTGTGACATCCGCGTCTTGATCTCGGCCTATCAGCACATTTTGAGCCATGGTCGTCCACGTTGCGTTGGGCGTGGAGTCGAACATGGAGCGGAATTGATTGGCATAGTTGAGATGTGTGGAGATCAAAGCCATGGTGAAGCCCCCGTTATCGACGTGGTTGGCATACTCATCCGGGTCGGTCATGTTCAGGAGGACCCAATGAGAACCGTTTCGCTCGAGGAGTTCGGAGTACAATGTGGCAACAGAGTCGTAGATCGGCCAGAGAGACTCCTGAAACAACGCCGTGTCGCCCGACGAGATCCATAGATTGATAAACTCTAAGCCAATATCGCCGTTTAGATGATATTCGTAATCCCAGCATGGACCAGTGGCTGTACAGTTGCCAAAACGTCCACTGGTCCAGGGAAAGATTGCTGCAGCAGAACTAAACTTGGTGTTTTTCTTGGAGGAGGCAAATGCAGTGCCAATGTTTTGCTTCGCTTGCTGGAACCTCTCCACTCTATAGTTCGCGATACCCTTGGCTGCTGATGGAAATGCTGCTACCAGCCCAGGTTGCATCCATACCTCAGCATCCCAAAAGATCTGGCCGGCATATGAGTCTGAACCCAGTCCTCCCACTGAGATGCTGTGGCTGTTGATTGAACTGCCGGCATCGGCAGTGGCATTGATTGCATTCTGCGAAATGGTGTTTTGAAGCAGATGGTAGGGGTTGGTCACGGCCGTGATCGCCGCCTCGAGGATAAACTGATCATTCGGCAGTGTGCCATTTTCTGGAAACGAGAAATCATCGACAGAGGTGGTAGGAAATTGTTGTGCCCACTCCGCGGCGTGAGTCTGCAATGAAGCAGCGTAACCAGCCTGCCTTGCGGCAAGTGCGGCATTTCTTGCAACAGGACGAGGACTCAGAAATCCATCAGTTGAGGCAATTCCGACGAATTTAGTGAACGTGGCGACCTGTCCAGCCTGGAGGGTGACATTCAACGCAGAGGCCACAGAGGATGCATTGTTGCCCACATACGGCCGGTGCCATGTAGCTTGCTGAACAGAACGAACACTGGCTCCAGTGTTGGTCATACCAGCATAAACGAACGCCGTTATATTATGAATGCCGTTTGGCTGGACAGAGGTGAAAATGAGGCCGGAATCAACGCCATTCTGTCCGGGAGTCGTACGGACAGCGCAGTCACCATTGAGCACATTTGCTATCGTGATGTTGGTGGCTTTGGCCGCAGTGATGTTCATGGTAACAAAGCCCTGATTGATATTGAGCTTATGCGCAAACATCTGATAGGAGACATTGAATGGCCCATAACCGCTCGGAGACCAAGTAAAAGCCCAATTCATCAGACTGTGTTTCATATCGAGGCTAGATCTGAAATTGCTGATCGTCGAATCGTCGGTTGAAGCAGCTAGGTAGTTGTTTCCTCCCAGATCTGCAATAATGCCGCTCCAGTGTGGGATGCCACTGATGGCAGTATCCCAGCCATACTGATAGAGCCAGGGGAAATTAGAGCCGTTGGTCTTAGGTTGAGAGTCCCAAAAGCCCCCGACCGTGGCAAAGGTTTGTCGTCGATCGAATAGAGGCCATCCATTGATGTTGTCGCCATCAACGGGAGTATCGACTTCGAAAAATGGTCCTAGAGAAGCCACGTTGATGCCATGGTAGCCATTCGCAACGACCATTCGAGATTGATAATGTCCTTGGTCTAGGTTTGTGGTGGTAAGTACCCAGTTGGCGGCATCCCAAGTGACACCCTCAAATCGGGTCTTGTATGTCGTTGATGCATTACCAGATTGAGCCGATGCGAAGGAGGCTGAGAGACTGAGAAGCAGGCCAAAGAGCGGGAAGAGACTTGATGCTGCCATCTGATGAAGTTAGTTTGACGCAGGTTCTCACTTTTCCTTTGCTATCTTCCTCACGTACCTTGGGTTCTCTGGAAGCAGTTCTTCGCTTTGGACGGACAGAGAAGATTAAAGACGCGCTTGCTTTTATTTTAACTGAAGCTACGTCAAAGGCAAGCTGTGAGGCAGAGATCCTCCAGCTTTTGGTGGTTTTAGGCCACTAGTTATCTCATGAATGAAGAAAAGGGCCTGCCGGACCATGTGACAGCAAGAGGAGCTTCTCTGGCAGGTACGGGAAGTTCCTGCTGTATAAGTGAGTTGTCCATGCCTACATCTAATGCAGGCAAGGCGCGGAAAACCGGTAGAACGCCCTGCTCGCAGACAGTTACATTTGACCAAGCAGTACCTTGCTTGATTTGCCGGTCCTTGTGGTCACATCGACCAGGATCATCGGTGGCTGTCGCCATCATAGGACGATCGTGGAGCGGTTCAATGGACCGAATACGACGTCATTTGTGGATAGACGTAAAAGGATGCGGAGGTAAGACGAGGGTAACCTCCTCGCCGCAAAGGATGGAGTGGCTTGACTAACTCTGAGAGCTCATAGACCTGCTAGATTGAGTTTCGTCGCAGCTCGCTTTCTTGTGGGGAAGTGGGAAATGGCGGAAACTTGTGCCTGGGGAAGCCTTATTGGAGAGCTCGGGGCATTTCCTAGGCTGCGATGGAGCGCCACCGTTGTCATGACCTCTTGGTGCCACCAGTGCCACCCACTTCCAAGCTTGGAGCATTGTCGTCGCCGCGTGTCTGGTGGAGCGCTGCTTGCAATGTGCCTGTGCCTAGTCGATCAGAGGTTGGACTTGCTTGGAACGTCAAGGAATTGCTGCTCATCACCAGAAGTGATCGCCCGGATTCGGCGCCCGAAAAATTCTGCAGAGGGACGAGTACCCGCTCGTTGTTCATTCGAGGTCTTGAGGTAACAACACGGTGATGGGGCTTGGAACAATATCTCGAGGATGCATAATTGTCGACAACCAACTTGTCACTCTTCTACTTCCTCAGCCTCGTTATTGGTGTTGGTGCTCTGTCGTGGCCTGTTGTTTGCACCGCTCCTTCTCTTTCCAGTCTGATAGCTTTCCGAGGTTGTAATGGATTTTTCTCCCACAAAATGCTCGCCATCCCACTCAGTTCTGCACAAGGGACACCTTGAGGATCGGTGTATCCGGAAGAAATTTTGGGTACAGATATCGTGTAATCGGCAAGGGCATTCACGTCGAGGACACCGTTGGCCCTGGCAATTGAGCAGTCCGTCAGCTTTGGTGAACAGGTGCGAAATGAAAGCAATGTGCAGGATACTGGTCTTACCACTGTGATAATCTCCTTGCAAGCATGACAAAACTTGATCTTCTCTTTCTTGTTGCCGTCTTCGTCTTCGTCATTGTAGGTGTCGACCAACCAGCCCTTGAGTTCCATCAATGCACGAGGACTCAAGCTGTAAAACCCAGCCCGACTCTTTTCTAGCCACCCTTCATCCAGCAATCTATGCAGCATATTCTCAGCGTCCTTAGCACCGAGCATGCCAGCAGAAGCCTGTGTTCCGTTCTCATTGCCGTCGGGTATCTGCCGTCGCAGAGGCGCTCTCCCAACCTGAATAGCATCGATACCGCTTATACACATAGCCTCTCTCTTGCCCTTATTGTTCTGTCCATCAAAAATTGCGTCGAGAAGCTTCTTGACATAGACAATTTCGTCGGCTGTGTATGTTGTGGCGAGTTGCGTAAGAGAGTCACTCGTGGTGTTCACCAGGGCATACACCCTCTCCCGGGTTTGCTGGTGGAAGGTACTTCTGATCTCGAGGTCGAGAGGAGATAGCCTACGGTTTGCGTCGGCGACGTAGTCATTCAGATCTTCGACAGTGACATCTTGAGGCAGAACTTCGCGGTGCTCTTTAAATGTTGAACATGCCGCGATGATGGGTTTGGCCGTTTCGAGAGTGAGGACGCTGCGCGCGAGAAATGCCTGTATGAATGCTTTGTTGGCATCGTTGTAGCCAGCGCTGGCTCCAGAGCTCTCCATTTTTGGAAAATCAGTCGCCAATGATCGAGGCAAGAAATTCGGATTGTGGTGAGTAGGAATCTCTCTGGTCTTGGTGGGGGAATTTACCACTTTACGCGTGTTGCGGCAGGACGCGTCCTGCGCCGAGCCACAGCCAGCCCCGGCTTGTACAGCCCAAACCCATATTGAACAAACTTCCTCTCTACACTCATGCCAGCAATGGTTGTATAGATTTCAATACATGCGCGGGACATTGCAAACTTGAAGTTACAAGAAGCCGCTGACAGCGTCATCAACCATCTCCCTCCTTGTCGCGTTATCAGGCACCTCCGCCTCCACAAAGTAAGCACATTGTTCTTCGATGACCATCAAGATGTCATACTCATGATCTATTATCTATCAAAACTGTCTTCTTGGTCGTGCTTTCGAGAACACCCAAAATTGTCGAGAGGACAGGGTCACTCAAGAACGGGTCGTCTATATGCGGTGCGCTCCTCATACGTCAATCAATTCATCTCATTCACCGGCTTCCTCGAAGCGATGACCTCCTCTGTCGTTTTCGTAATGATCTCAAACGCTCCCCTTATATACTTCTCCTCCCCGTGTGGGTTGCCACTAACAACCCGCATGAAAGATTTACCTGCCGTGCTGCTGCAGGTAATGAAAATCTGACCTCGCTCGTTGATCAACTCCCCAATGTGCTTCGTCACCTCATTCGCATCTTGTTCTCTTTGCTGCATTGCTGCAGACTGGGGCACAAAGTCCGCATTCGTCTCTGCCGTGTTTGCCTGCTCTGCCAGGGCTGAAGGCTTGACTCGGAAACACGTCAATCCAAATCGCGGCTCTGCGACCAGCTCGAATAGATCACTTCGCCCGCGGACAAGGTCAGCAAAGACCTCGCCTCTCTCCACCGACTTTCTGATATGTTCCCTCATGCCTTCTAGACCATAACTCCGCATAACAAACCAGATTTTCAATGCCCGAAATCTTCTTCCCAAGGGAATCTGCCAGTCTCGATAATCCGTGACCAAGCCACTATCGGAGTGTTTGTTCGTATAATAGGCTGCCGAAATGGACAATGCACGCGTCAAATGGTTCCGGTTCTGGACGAACAGGCAGGATGCGTCAAAGTTTACGAGGAGCCATTTGTGCATGTTCATGTTGAACGAGTCGGCGATGATCATTTGTGGAGAGTACTTCGAGGCGTATTCAGGACAGACCAAAGCTGCCCCGGCGTAAGCCGCATCGATGTGAACCCAAAGATCTGGGTGTGCTTTGAGAACTGGGGCGAGGCCAGCAAAGTCGTCAACTGCACATGTCGAGGTCGTGCCCAGCGTCAGGGTGATGTAGTAGGGTTCGAGACCTTCAGCCTTGCATTGCTCCAGGGCAGCTTCCAGCTCCTCCCTCTTCAAAGACAATTCATTTTCGAGCTTTGTCGGGATAGACCTGTACCTGGTACCGGCGATCAAAGCTCCCTTTTGCGTCGAGGAATGGGCTTGATCACTCGACAAGGCAACCAGTCGTCCTCTCAGGAAAGCAATACGATCCTCTCTCTCGGGCGACCCAGGCTTCAACCCCTCCGCATCACACTTACTGTGCAGATATCTCTCCCTTGCAGCAACCATGCAGGTCACAATCGCCTCACTCGCACTGCCCTGGATGGTCCCTCCGCCGCCATTGGCACTCGTGCTAAGAAACTCCTTGGGCAGCTGAAAAGCCTTGGCCAGCCAGTCCATTACCACGGTTTCCAGTTCGGTGCACGCAGGACTGCACAGCCAATTGAATGCCGGAGCCGTGAATGCGGCAGAATACATCTCCCCGAGCATAGACGGGTAAGTGACGCCTGCCGGGAAAAAAGCCATGAAATTAGGTGATTGCCAGTGAGTGATCCCAGGCACGATTTTCGATGCGATGTCCGACTGTATTTCAGGCCATGCTTCTGGTTTCTCTGGTGCTGATGTTGGCAGTTGTGGTGCGAGGAATCCTGGCTTGATGGTCGGCAGCACAGGGTATTTGGGGAGTTCTTGGTTGTAGGCAATGACTGAGGCAGACAATATGTTAGCTGACGCTTCTTTCCTTATACCACGGTCACGATAACGTCTCGAGCATACTTTCTTCAATGGCCGCGTGGGCAGCTTTCCTGAATTGATCGGCGTCCATGTCTAATCCTTTCGAGAAGGAGAAACCTCTAGATCGTAGCTCCAAAGATTTAAATGTAGATGAAGAAGCGTTCTGCAACCTTGGGCCTTTCCTCACGAAGGTCTTGTACATATATATTAATCACAGATAGAGCCAGCAAGCGAATGTCCAAGGTTGGCTCAGGTCCCGAAATGGATGACACTGGAAAACAACAGAATACCACCAAAGCCCGATGGCAAGTCTTATGCGCGCCCTTTGGGTCGATGGGCGTGTAATGTCAGAGTGGTGGCAGGTGGCTTTCCTACATTGAGGATTTTTCCCTTTTTCAATGAGCGGAATTCATTGCGCACATGGCAACTGGCAGAAGTGATTGGCGGAAGTGCGGAGCCTTGCTGCTCTCGCTTCCGCTTCAGGTGTTCTGTATATCTAGGCAAAGCTGTGCTGATGGTCGTATCTCCGTCAAGACGTAGCTGCACGAAGCTGCTGGCGCCGTCTTGAACGCAGTGAGTAAGATTCATTAGTGCTACCTCGTGCGACACTCGCCACCGCCGTCAATTGAATATGTAAAAGTTTACGCCTCAGTCTGGACCATCCTATATAGACATACAATATATCTATCTCCTGGTACATGGTTCGCTGAATGGCGAAGCTTACCTGCAGGGAGATAGCACAATCGAGAACGCATTCCGTTGAGCCATCAGCTGTGCGGTGCCAATGATCAGCCAAGCGGGAGAAGCCGAATGCGTCTCCTAGATGAACAGGCGCTCGCATATTGAAGCCGGTCACGTCTCCTCAAACACAAAAACGCCTTTTCCAGGTCGGAAGCCACCAAGGGTTCCTTGAACGGCTTGTTTCAGGAGATCGATTTCCGTGTTCCAGCCCCATTTGCATTCTTGCACCGGTATATCCTTGAATCTCCCTTCTCTCGTGAGCCGAAGAACATCTTCCACAGTCTGTTTCTTCTGGTCCGGGTGTCGGTCACTCCATTTGCTCACCCAAAACCCGTTGAAAGTGATCTCCTTGAAGATCAGTAGCGAGGCAGGTAACATGAGAGGCTGTTTGCTCATCGCTCCGTACGTCACCATGGTCGCCCCAGGGCTTAGGAATTTGGCCAGAGCGGTCGCCGGCTTCCCTCCCACGCAGTTGAGGCCAACTCTGATTTGTTCTCGTCCACCATTTGTCCATTCTTTGATCTGGTCTCTGATCTCGCGACTCTGGAGCTCTTCTTCCGTAATGACTTTGGTGGCTCCAATATCGAGCAGTTCCTGGCGAAGTTTCTGTTCCTCCTCCTTGTTCTCCCGACCCCGGATGACATTGATACTCTTGAATCCCCACTCGCGTCCAAGCTGTATGGCGGCTCTTCCCACCCCGCTGTTGGCGCCGTTCTGGATGAACCATTCGTCTCCCCGGAAGCTCCATTTTGCCGAGTCAAGAAGCATGCGGTATGCCGTACAGGGATTGACTGACACCGTCCCGACTTGAAGCGGGGACAGTCCTTCTTTGTTATCAATTTTGATCAACTTGCTCTCATCTATTGCCATGTGTGTCCGCCAGGTACCCATCGAGGTACTCTTCATGATGACCCAGTCTCCTTTGCTGAGGGTTTTCACCCCAGAACCGACACTGATGACCTCTGCCGTTCCTTCATTTCCAGCCACGGCTGAGGGCTCGGAGGTGCCGAGTGCTGTTGTCATCTCTGGCTTCGCAGGATACACACCCTGGATCTGGTTGACGTCGGCAGGGTTGATAGGAGCCACGAGCATACGGAGGACGACGTTGGACCCAGACGCGGGTGAAATAGAGTGACCATGTAGCGAAAGAACATCTTTTGGCTCTCCATACTTGGAGTATACAAGGGCTTTCGCTTGGGTGTAGCCGTAGCTGCTAATCTTTCTTCTCTGGTCAATGCGTGATTTGATGGGTTGTTGACAGTCCCAACATAACGATCGGCTTGCTGAGAACAGGCTGCGTGACGTCTCTCCGAGACACTTTCTCACGCAGTAAGGAGATGCCATGGCAACTATTACTGAAGACTGAAGGCGAAAGGGTGGACAAGAAAATGAAGCGCAAGCATTGAAACAAGACTTATATCATGGTCCTGACGCTCCCCGCATTCTCGGAAAATGCTCTCCAAGCCCAAGCGCAGCCTGCAGCTGGCAGCTGGCCACTGGCCCGCTGGGTCTGACCTTCGTCTTTGCACCGACCCGCCGATGGAGGTGACAACACGTTGCGCCAACTTCCCCCGTGACGCAGGCATTCATGAATTGTTGATGGTTTTGCACTGAACTCGGCGCATGATGCTGCTGTCAAGGGTCATGACCATTCGATGGCACGCAGCTGCTCATAGATAAAGTCCGCTCATAACCGATTCTCAGCTTCGACAATGAGGCGAGCCAGCATGTCGTGGCTTTGGAAGGTGAGCACACGGTCACCAACACAATCTGACAACTACTGACCTGCCTTGTTAGGGAGATGCCAACTCCCCTGCGTCTTTCGAGAAAGCCCTATCCAAGCTATCCTCGCAAATCACTGCCGCCAACCTCACGCTTGACACGAGTCGCAGTCGAGATCGCCGAATCAAGGCTCTGTGGACTCTTTACACAACCCTCACCTATCTCCTTTACACTTTGATCATCGTACTCGTCCTTGGACCACGGAACTGGTCTATATATCACTACGCCGGCCTCATCGGAGCACCAATTCTCATATACGTGGTCCGAAAGTCCATTGCTGCCTTTTTTGACTGGAGAATAGGCCGTCAGCAAGCATACTTGGAGCATTTGCAGAAGCAACGGGAACAAAAGATTGCAGATCTTAAGAAAGCTACAAAGTACGACAGTACTCAGGAACTGCTACAGAAATATGGAGGTGCTCCACCAACAAAGTCTCCCTCGAAGCAACCGCAACAGGGCGCGAAACGAAAGGCGAATCCTCCCACAGACCAACGCCCTGTACAGAGGACTGGCATCGCGCCTCCGCCGACGGCGAATATTCCAGGAAGACATACTCCCGGTCCCCTCCCCCCAAACTCAAATGTACAGACGGGGTCTGCACCTATGTCGCCAACTCACGGCCCGTCACCACTTGCGGGCGCTATGATGGCACACAGTCCGGTCGAGATAACGCCAGACTCTCCAGGCTTTGCTCCAAATGCCTTCTCAAACATGCCACCTCCTTCCAGCACCACGTACGAGCAACCACCTCACTGGTACGACCGCATACTGGATGTTCTTCTTGGTGAGGATGAAACCGCCGCCAAGAATAGATTGGTCTTGTTATGTTCCCGGTGTCGCTTGGTCAATGGTCAAGCCCCTCCTGGTGTGAGGACACTAGAAGAACTAGGGCGCTGGAGATGCAGTGGGTGCGGTGCTTGGAACGGAGTCGAGAGTGAAGGGGCAAAAGTTGTAAAAGAAGTAACTGATGCTTCGAAGACGGAAGATGGGGAGGGGTGGGAGAGCGTGCCACGAGCTGCGGATATTCGAGAGGAAACACCGGAAGACTCAAAGCCCGAAGAAATGGCTGATATCGGCTATCAGGGAACAACAGGGCGAGAAGGTGATGATGATGCCGGCCTCACCAAGAGAGTCACCCGTAGTGCCGGCAAGAAAGATTCCCTTGAGTCTTTGCAATGAATGATGCCTGCTTCTATCTCCCACGTGTGCCAGACTTCCCGGTCATTTTCTTCCAGCAGTCGATTCTACCCCGGAATCATTGGCACCCAGCATACGAGGTTCTCTGTACACGTAGGCGCCTCCTTCTGGATATGCTTGTCACGTGAGCAGCTTCGCCAAGGCGTGAAGAGATTGAAATGCTCCATCATTGACTTCAGAAATATTTTCTTCCTTGCGCATCTATAGTCATAAACATGTCGATCGGGACGATCTCGGGAAGATGTCCACCTTCATTGTGCGTCCGGCCGGTGCGGACAAAGATCCCTTTAGAATCGGGTTGACCGCCGTCTCGATGCTCTCGCTGAAGCTGAAGTCCGGGGACATCTGTGAACTCAGAGGCGCGGACGACACCACCGGCAAGAGAAAACTCGCCGTAGCCTGGCAGGGGCTGGGGCCTGGGATGAAAGACTCGATCGTGCAGACGTCCAGACTGCTCCAAGAGGCCTACGGGTTGAAACTGGGCGACAAGGTCACGATTTTGCGCTGGTCGCATCCTCTGCAGAACCCCGTCTCCGTCACGCTCCAGAAGGTCGGAGCGCCGCCGGATGTCAACGCCGACTTGAAGTCCTGGTCGAAGCAGATTGCCTCGACCATGTCCCCTGCGGGGGAATACATGGTCGTGTCCCAGAAGCTACACTGTCCGCTCAAGTCCGAAGGGGCCGAACCAGTCGAGTTTGTGGTGAAGGACGTGGGTGTGCCCGACTCGTTGTTTGCGCGTGTGACGAAGGACACGACGTTTCGCATTGTCAGCGGTTCCGAGAGACCGGACCAGCCCGTGTCCATCGTCTTTCGACCGAAGCACCTCGGTGGGATACAGGAGCAAATTTCTCAGGTGCAGGACATCGTCAGCGATCTCTGCTACCCGATCGCCAAACGGCATTTTCAAGCATACGAACCGGTGCAGGGGCTTCTTCTCTATGGCGCCAAAGGCACAGGCAAATCTGCACTGATTGCTGCTTTGGCCGATTGCGAATGGCCAACGGTGGTATATTGGAAACCAGGGACAGAAATTTACGCTTCCTCAGAGCCGTGTTTGGTCATTGTAAGGCCCGAATATCTGACTAAAAGCCCCGGCACCTCCTCAACTGTGTCCAGCGAATTGGAGTCGATGTTTCAGCGGATTCAGGGCAGCCCAACCCTCGTAGTCGCCGAAGCAAGGCATCCAAATGACATTGATGAAAGGCTACGGACAGAAGGCAGATTTGCCGCGGAGATCGAGCTGCCGATCCCCTCGGCGCTTCAGAGGAAAGAGATCCTGCTTGCTCTAAGAGGCAAGGACGGTGTCCCAGCGGACGACCTTCTGCAGCAAATTTCGGAGCGGACTCATGGATACGTGGGCGTCGACCTCAGGGCTCTTCTTCGGGTGACGATGCGCCTTGCGTCCAAGCATCCGCCGCCTTACGGGTCAGAGGATGGCGAAAGCAGTCAGTTGGTTGTACAATCCGCAGATTTTGAGAGTGCCTTGCAACAAGTCCGACCGTCTGCCCTGCAGGAGATCTTCCTCGAGACGCCGAATGTCCGATGGTCTGACATCGGCGGCCAGCACGAAGTCAAGCGCCAACTGCACAACGCCGTGGAGCGGCCGCTGAAATTTGCGGACCGCATGAAGAAGTTGCGCCTGCAGCCCAAGAAAGGGGTCCTTTTATACGGCCCCCCGGGTTGCTCAAAGACGTTGCTCGTTCGGGCTCTCGCGACGGAAGCGGGTCTGAACTTCCTGGCCGTCAAAGGCGCCGAGCTGATCTCCATGTACGTGGGCGAGAGCGAGAGAGCCACGCGCGAGGTCTTCCGGAAAGCCCGGGCGGCCAGCCCGAGCATCGTCTTCTTCGACGAGATCGACGCGATCGCCTCCCGGGGGCGGAGCGGCAGCGACCTCAACGTCCTGACCACGCTGCTCAACGAGATGGATGGCTTCGAGGAGCTGCGGAACGTGTTCGTGGTAGCCGCGACCAATAAGCCGCAAAACATCGATCCCGCCCTGATGCGCCCGGGAAGATTTGACAACGTGGTGTACATTGGCCCGCCGGATGTAGAGGCCAGGAAGGAGATCTTCCACAAGCGCCTCGAAGGGGTCTATGAGAGTACAAGCGGTCTCGACGACGACGTGCGCGAATTCGCCAGTTCGACCGAAGGGTTCTCCGGGGCCGAGATCGTAGCCATTTGCCAGACCGCCGGGGAGAATGCCTTTGACGCCGACCGCGAGGTTATCGTGTCCGATGACATTCGGAGAGCCATCGAGAAGACCCCCAAGAGTATCACAAGGGAGATGTTGCTAGAATTCGAGACGTGGAACGCCGCTCGGATGCGGTAAGAGCGAAGGTGCCCGTTGAGTCTTAGAGCGTCAAACATCGACTGTCGCTAGCGTTGATGTGCCTGTTAGGGAAGAAAATCAGGCATGGCCATTTGGTCTGCCCTTTGTCTCGATAGCCAAATCATTCACCGTCTTCCAGACAAAATGTTTGTGGTCCGGGTTGACGACGTGGTTGTCGTTGCCCAGTCCACCCTCTCCTCTAGGTCTGTAGTCCGCCCGTCCGTCCCCCATGATGAACCTGAGGCACACGATCGGCCCGCGGTCCTCGTACTGGCGGTCCAGAGCCCGTTTCCTGAACCCCTCCAACCCGACGCTCTTCAGCTCGATGTCCCCCGCGCCGGCCGCGCTCATGGTCCGGGCGATCTGCCTGAAACTCGCGTGCGTGCCGGCGATCCTGAGCTGCTCGGGCACTGTTTCCGGACCCCCGCGCACCGCCCGCTCGGCGAGCAGACAGAGAACCCGCGCGATGTCGCTGATGTCGGTGTAGCTGATGACCTGGTCGGGGCTGCCCACGGCCTGGTACACGTCCTTGGCGGTGTGGAAGCCGTACCAGGGCCCGATGCCGCTGTGGAGGAAGAGGCCGTTGAAGATCCTGCAGACGCGGATGTCGGCGTCGTGTTCCCCCAGAACCTTCTTGACCAGTTCGTAGTGCTGCTTCTTGCCGTCCCACTCGGGCACGGCGAAGTCGTGCAGCGTGTGGTCGACCCCGAATTCCGAGGGGAAGTACAGCTTCACGCCCGTCTTGGGCAGCGCGCGCGCGATCTTGTCCCGGAGTTTCGCTCCTGAGCTTGAGATGCTAGATTGGGGGGAGGACATGATCCTGGATTTCAGCGCCGTGCGACGGTACGTTCATGCGGGGTATGGGTTGGTTGTACATTCAATGCCACTGGTTGCAAAGAGACGGGGGGAGAGTTGTGTGTATCTGTGTGCAAGGTAGGTATCGAGGGATGTATATAGTACTCACGCGTTGATGAGGACGTCGACCCCGTCCAGCGCCATGATCAGGTCATTCTCGTCGCACTCCTCCCCCTCCTCCTCGATGATGCGCACCTCGGCACCCAGTCTGTCCCGCCATCTCTCCGTCCGGGCCGTTTGTCGACGGGCCAGCAGCACGAACCCGGATAGCCTGGTGCGCAGCTCGTCAGAGAGAAACGTCTCGGTCAGGCGTGTTCCCAGGTCGCCCGTCCCGCCTGCCACAGCGATGACCGGTTTGGCGGGGGACGGCGAGAACGAGGATGGCAGGTCCATCGAGCTTTTTTGAAATGGTTGAGAATTCTCCTTTCGACTCGGCGTCTTGGATTCGTTTGGGGGATACAGTGAGCATATTCTTTCCCTGGAGTCGGGTTCGGGGATTTTCAAACCGCGCGCGAGTTACGCAAGGCTGCGGGGCACGAGGCTCGGAATTGCGTGCTGTGAGGGGTTGGAGGCTGGAGCCCAAGGGCGAATTTCCCAACGAGTCCTGGACTACAGGAAAAAGGAAGAAGTGAACTGCCTGCTATAGTGATATGGGAGCTTTACACTTGTACGAGCGCTTCAGGCAAAGAAGCAACTTACTACAACGGAGACAGCTGGTGAGCCACACCGCATTATGCACATCGCCTACTGCACTGAGACCGAAGCACACAACAGCACCATCATTGAGATTAATCAAAACCTATTTTTGTGTCGTGTCCAAATCCCCCAATCTTCAAGACATGCGCGATCAGAGTTTGGCGCTCGGCCTCAAATACCCTCCAGCACTGCTCAGCACCTTGACCGCGCCATCCATCATCTCCGCCACGATCTCGGCGGCAGTCTGGTTCGGCGTGTTGACGAGACCGGCGACCTGGCCCATGGGTCTTTTTGCAAAAAACAGGCATCAGCAAGGTCGGACGCGCAAAAGGGGGTGGAAGAGACACGTACCTGAGCGTCGACTGATCCTCAATCTCCTCCGTGATGCCTCCGACCTTCTCCAGCTTCTCCATCTCGTGGTGCAGCGCGATGATGCCCTGGCTTTGCAGTTGCTGGATCTCGTCCCTGCGGTTCGTCTCCCAGTTTCTGACGTACGGCGTGGCCAGCGCGCGCAATGGGCGTCCCGTCCAGATCGTGGACTTGATGGTGCTGTCAAAGTCGGCGGCGACGATGGCTCTCTTTGCGGCCTCGGGGGCGCCGGATTCTTTGGCGGTGACAAAGCGGGTGCCCACCCAGACAGCGGAGGCACCGAGCATCAGTGCTGCTGCGATGCCGCGGCCGTCGTATATTCCGCCCGCTGCGACGAGTTGGACCGGCTTGCCCGTTAGTGGGGAGGTGTAGTTTTTGACGATGTCTGCGCAGGCTGGAATCAAGACACTTTATTAGGGGGGATTCCAAGGTTAGCAAGTTCCTTTTCCGACAATGCCGGGCAGAAGATGCTCATCACCCCACAAGCATCGCCAATCTCGCTGATAGATCGAGTTAGACTCACCTCGTCGCTGTGTCGCCCGTGTGTCCACCGGCCTCTCCTCCCTGGGCGCAGATGATGTCGGCACCAGCCTGGCAGGCCTTGTGGACATGCTTGGGGTGGCCGATCATGTTCATATACAGCACGCCGTTCTTGTGGAGTTTGTCCACGACGTGTTTGGGGGCGACTCCCACGGCGGAGACAAAGAGTTTGGCGCCGCCGGCAATGATGATGTCGACGAGTTCGTTGAGGGAGCCTTTCGTGTAGTCCAGCTGTTCACAGAAGAGGTCGATAAGCAGTTGTACCAGGACAACAAGCCTGACAGAGCTTCACTGGGTGCCTCTTGGGGGACGGTAAGTGGGCAGCAAGGAAAGAAACTCACATTGGTCTTTCGCGCATTGCCGCCGACTTGAGGGATCAATAGATCGACACCGAAGGGGAGTGAAGGGTCCTTGAGACCAGCCTGTCCCAGGCAGAGTTCACGACATCAGCCACTGCATTGCTTTGGACATTTGGCCTCCCGCCTCATCCAGCCTCATCCCATCCATCCGTCTCACGGGATCTGGAGGCGAAAGGCGGCCGCAAGCACTCGGAACGTTGTCCACTCACCTTCAACTCGTCAATCATCTCCTGTAGCATCTTGGGCGTGTATCCGACTCCGCCGATCACGCCGAGGCCGCCTCTCATAGGATTTAGCATGCGCACTGAAGGAAAGAAGAAGCCGAGGGGATTTCCATCTCTAACATACCGGCATTCGACACCGCCGCGGCGAGAGGAGCGCCCGACGTCTGGCCCATGCCGGCCAGGAGGATCGGGTGCTGGATGCCCAGCAGCTGGGTGACGGGGGTGGTTATCGACATGACTGTATGGGTGAATGCGCTGGAATTGATGTTACAACTGTAGGCAGATAAGACAGCGAAGAGATGAGGAATGTTCTTTCAATCAGTCAGTTCTTTAAAAGCAGCTTTCCGAGGCCCGGTTGTCAGTGTCAGCAATTAGCCAGTGGAACCTTGCGTCGCAATTTGAGACGAATGGACATAAGCGAGAGGTCGAGTGATCAGGGAACTAAGGTATTATGTGTTATATCTCTGTCTCTCCCATCTCCACAGCTCTGAACAATGGGAACTCGGTATCGGTTACTAAATGGCGGCGCATTGTTTGTTGCTGGGCCCTCGCAGTGCATAGGCTTCGAGCCTTGAGCCGAGTCCCAGATGCGGGATGCCGAGGTCTCTCGACTCTCGCCAACGACAACAACGACACCCATGCACACCTCTCTCCAGATTTTCCCCACGCCTTCACTCGAAAGTCAGAGAGTTCGGTGCTAACTAGCTATGTGACTAGGTCTTGCTTCCATCGGCTCATTGCTACAGGTAATCATTAGCTGATTGTTTCTCATTCTCCGGGGCTGGACTGGAGCCTTGCCATGCCCATGCGGTGCCTCGATCCGCATCAGGCTGAGCGCCATCGGACCCAAGCTCCCATCTCCCGAGCATTCTTATGAAACCCCCTCACAATGCGCCTGACCGATCCCATCCGCCTCTCACTCGAAGACGCAGATGCTGTCGCTCCAGATATCGCAAGCATCAGACACTCGTCGCTGACAAGCACCCCGCTGGGCCAGCTGAGATACGGCGCCGTGCCGCACGCCGAGGCCCGCGAATGGCTGGAGTCGTGCAGCAGGCTCGAGCTCCAGAGCGAGCTGAGATATCCCCGGATCGCCAGCTTCGAGCGTGACGGGTCGGGACAGCATGTGACGCGCATGGAACACCTCGTCGTCCGCGACCTGGATCTCGCGCCATTCAAAGCGTGCAATGCCCTGACTATACAAGGGGACGCCGTGCGCCCTGGACGGGTCGTCGCCTATGCAGAGTTCCAATACCACCCACCCCAGCAAGAGCCGGCCGCGGGCTCAGTGATCTCGGGATCACAACGCATCCACGCCTCAGAAGAAGGATTCTCGAGTGAGGAGCCCGCGACGGTGCTCGATCTTCCCGTATCTGTCCACCGCGACCTGCACGAACACTGGGACCGGACCGTCGAAGCCGCCCTCTCCGCGCGGTTCGGGCACATGCACTGCTTCGAGGTGCGCGGCATCGGCACGCTCGCGCCCTCGCACCTGCGCAAGGGCATCGCCAGCAGCCTGCTGGCGTGGATTTTCCCGTGGGCGGACGCGCTGGGCGTCCCCGTCGTCCTGGCGGCCACGCCGGCGGGCCACCCGTTCTACCTCCGGCACGGCTTCGTGGAAGTCGATGACGACGACGACGACGACGAAGACGGAAAAGCTCAGCGGCGCTTCATCGAGTGCGACATGGCTGACTGGGGAGGGACCGGCGTCCATCGACACGTCCTGATGATACGATGGCCGAAGCACGCGGAAAGGAATACCGCGTGAACCATGTCCCTCCAATAAAGGGTGAAGGAATCCGAGTTCGTCAACGCGTTACGCATACCGAATGCACTCATGCTGGCCGCCGTCACATTTGACGTTTGGTAGTGGCCGCGGGGAGCATCTGGTTATAAAGATCGCATCGCAGTATATTGATGGCCAGTATGAGAACCATGTGTCCTCAATGCCTATTTTCCACCAATCCTCAAAGGTGACAAGACGTGAGTCAATTGACGTGTCATTCGATCCAAAATCGCGCTGAAAGTCTTTTACAGAACACTTTTTTGTTCAACGCTATGAGAGAGTCGTCATTATCCATCACATTTACATTCCACCACATCAATAGAGACAAGGGAAACCCATAAGAGTCGCCATACCCAAGAACCCAGAAATAGGTAGTGTTACAGATTCCGCCACATAGTTCATACCTCCTGGCCATCACAGATGGCTACTTAGTCTGCCCACCGACTATTTCTTCTTCTTTCCACCACCAAGCCCCATAGCTTCCGCTAGGCTTCCCAGACCCAGACCTCCCAGCAATTTGTCAACACCCAAGCCGCCCAAAAGACCACTCACCAAGCCGCCCAGACCCAAGCCGTTCAGCAATTTGCCCACCAGCCCGAGCACGCCGCTCAGCAGCAAACCGACGGCGGCGATGATCTGGAACAAAGGCTCGGTCAACAGTGCCCAAAGTGGGTTCAGCTTCTTCTTTGCATGCGGCATGTCCGCAATTTTCTTCTTGGCGTTGTCGATGGTCTTGACAACCTGGGTCGTAAGTTCCTTCAATCCTTCAGCGACGCGGTACTCTTCAGGAGAAGCTTCGCCGCTGGCAGCCTTTGCTTTGGCGTTGGCTGCAATGTGGCCGTCAGGATCCAGACCACGGATTGCACCGTTACATTCGCCGAGGATGCGGGAACCTTCTTCGATAAGAGGCTTGACATCTTGCACGAGTTTTTCTTCGTCGAGCTCCTCCTTGGGTGTACGGTCTGCTCTCTCGACAAGCTGTGACGATGGTTAGCATGAGCCTTGGATCAAAGTTAGACAGCGCTTACCTCTGTGATCTGCTTGCAGATAGGCTCCATCTTCTCCAGCGTCTGGTTGATGATGTTGGAGATCTTCTTTGCAACCTCACGCTCCTCTTCCTCTTTCATTTGCTCGGGCGTTGGTCCCTCCTCAACTTCTTCCTCGTCCGGGATGTTCTCGAGCAAGGTGCACTCTCCGATCTTGTTGCCGTCTTGATCGACGACATAGCCGTTGTCGTTGACCTCCTTGCCAATGCAAGCCAGCAAATTGCCATCTGTCAATCTTCCGATGACATCTCCGTTGCGGTCACGAACTTCACCCTCCTTGTTCACGCGTAGGCCAGACATGGGCGAGACTTCTCGCTCCTTCTGCTCTGGTTCCCATCGTTCAGCGTGGCCAATGACGTTGCCGTTCTTGTCGGTGATGTCTCCGTCGTCATCCACCTTGCGACCAACCAATTTCTTGATGTCACCTTCGGTGACACGACCGATGATTTCTCCGCTGGCGTCCTTGACCAAACCATCCTTGTCGACAGTCGTGGACTCGAAGTTGGAGAAGGGTCCTTCAGCACGACCGTCATCACCGCCCGCAATGAGTCTTGCGCGACCGATGACTCTGCCATCGTTGGACCAGATTTGACCTTTTCCGTCCACCTTGCATCCGACAAGACGCTTGACATCACCCTCGGTAACTTCACCGAAGATCGTTCCATGTTCGTCCACAACCTTGCCTTGTTTGTTGACAGTCTTCCCGGCGAGACTGGAGAGGTCTTCCTCGACGACTTCCTCTTCGGGGACCTCATATGGCTCGACGTGGCCCTTGACATTTCCATACTTGTCAATGATGTCACCGTCTTCGTCGACCCCGCGACCAAGGAGCTTCTTCCAATCTCCTTCGACCACCTGGCCGACAATGTTGCCTTCGTGATCCTCGACGAAGCCGTCCTTGACAACAACGAGTCCCTCGAGGCCAGCAAAAGGTCCTTCAGGCTTGGCTTCACGCTCGTTGGGTGGAATGAGCTCGCAGCGGCCGACAACGTGACCTTGATCATTCCAGATCTGGCCATTCTCGTCGATCCTGCGGCCTGCAAGTTCCTTGGGGTTGCCTTCAACCAGGCGACCAATAGGGACACCATCAGGTCCGATGACATTACCTTGCTTGTTGCATGTCAGGCCCTTCAGTTCGGAGAGATCGATCTTCTCTTCTTCTGGTTCTGGTTCTGGCTCAGGCTCCTCGTATCTCTCAGCGTGTCCGACAACGTTTCCTCGTTTGTCGATAATGTCACCGTCTTCATCAACAGCACGACCGACAAGCTTCTTCGGGTCTCCTTCGACGATGCGGCCTACTCTGTTGCCGTTCTCATCTTCGACCCAACCGTCAGCCACAACAGTGAGGCCTTCAAGACCTGCAAACTCGGCTTCCTCTTCCTTGTCCTCCTGAGGTAAGGTCTTTGCACGGCCAATGACGTGGCCTTTGTTGTCCCAGAATTGTCCTTGGTCGTCGCAGGCTGTACCAGCCTTCCAGAGTTTCTTGGCATCACCTTCAACCAATTCGCCGACAATATTGCCGTTGTTGTCGACAATCTTGCCAGACTTGTTGACCTTAAGACCTTCAAGGATGGATAGAGGAGGCAGACCATCGTCAATCTCCTCGGCAGCCTCTTCAACTTCCTCCTCAACTTCTTGAGGAATCATCTCAACTTTGCCAATGACATTGCCGTCCTTGTCGAGAACCTCACCCTTGTCGTTTAGCTTCTTGCCAGCAACGGCGGCAAGATCACCTTCAACGAGTTTCGCGATCTCGTCACCGTCCTCGTTGAGTACTAGACCCTTCTTGTTGACCTTGAGGCCTTCGAGAATCGAAGTTTCGGGTACTTCAGGAGCAGCTTCTTCGATAGTCTCGACGATGCCCTCTTCGACAGCCTCAGGGATGAACTCAACTCTGCCGATGACTTTTCCATCCTTATCCAGAATTTCGCCGTTCTCGTTGATCTTCTTGCCACGGACAGCATCAAGGTCAAATCCTTCGGCCAATTTGGCAATGGGATCACCGTCTTCGTTGACAACTTGACCTTTCTTGTTGACCTTGAGGCCCTCGAGTTGAGCGAAGTCTGGCTTGGTGATTGTCTCAGCCGCCTCTTTGGCTTCATCAGCCGCTCCTTCAGCGACATCTGCGGCTTTGCCAGCAACATCGGCCTGGTCGCCAGCTTCCTCGGCCTGCTTCTCGGCCTCTTCTGCGGCTTGCTGCGCTTCCTCGAGCTGTTCAACTAATTCGGGGTGGAGTTCTTTCATGGCTTCTTCAGCAGCCTCGCCCAAGACAACCTCAACACGACCAATGACATTACCGTCTTTATCGAGGATCTCGCCATTCTCGTTGGGAACTTTACCGGCGCAAGCCTTTGTATCGCCTTCCACGAGTTTGGCCAGGACCTCTCCTTCGTCATCGAGGATAGTGCCCTTCTTGTTGAGTTTGCGGCCTTCGACGATCGTGAGATTGGGTTTCAGTTGATCCTGAAGGCCTTCCACCTTTTCGAATGCCTCTTGGACAAATTCTGGTTTGGCTTCCTCCTGAACGCCGTCCACCTTGTCTTGCAGGGCTTCGGCGGCTTCGGGCACGATTTCTGCACGGCCAATTACGTCGCCGTCTTCATCCAAGACTTCACCTTCAGCATTGAGAGTTCTCCCAATCAAGTCTGCTGGGTCACCTTCGGTGATCTTGCCCAAGGTTTTGCCAGCTTGATCCTTGATCGCGCCATCTTCTTGTACCTCTAGACCTTCAAGTGCTTCGAGACCAGGGAGTTCGCCCGCAACTTCTTCAACGGCTTGCTTGACTGGCTGGGGAAGAGTCTCTGCACGACCCACCGCGTCACCGTCCTCGTCCAGAATTTCGCCGTCAGCATTTACTGTCATGCCGACCAGGTCTGCGGGATCGCCCTCAGTGATTCTGCCAAGGACATTGCCGTCTTTGTCCAGAATGTCTCCATTCTCTTGGACCTCCAGGCCATCGAGGACGTTCAGGTCAGGAAGATACGTCTCCACAGCTTCTTCTGCAGTATCCTTGACACCGTTGACCGCCTCTTCTGCCTGATCCTGGGCGCCCTCTGCAGTTTCGTGGACGCCATTGACTGCGCCCTCAACGTCGGCTCCTTCCGTGGCCTCGCCAGCGAGCTCTTGAGCTTTCTCTGGGATGACGCTAGCACGACCGACGACGTCACCATCTTCATCGAGAATTTCACCGTCATCGCCAATTTCATATCCCTCGAGATCGGCGGGATCACCCTCGTCGAGCTTGCCGACCACGTTGCCAGCCTTGTCTTTGATGTCTCCGTTTTCGCTGACCTTGAGACCCTTCAGGATGGACAAGTCGACAGGCAGCCCCTCGGTTGCACCTTCGACTCCTTCTTCTGCGGTCTCCTCGACATCGTCAGCCACCTTCTCGGCGTGGCCTTTGACGCCATTTGTGGTCTCTTTGACATCGGGCACGTCTCCAGTATCCTTCGGGACATCCTCGGCTGTCTCCTTTACGTCCTCCGCCGTGTCTTCAGCTGTATCTTTGACGTCCCCAGCAGTATCTTCGGCCGTATCCTTGACGTCGGCAGCCGTACCTTCTGCGGCACCTTGTACGTCGCCTTGGGAGGCCTTGCCGACGGCGCCAGTAGCAGTGTCTTTGGCACCACCAACGCGGCCAGCGACTTTCTTGCCGGCGCCGACCACACCGCTGGTGGCCTTTCCGAGTCCACCAAGAGCACCCTTTCCTTTGCCTTCGGCCTCGTCCTCGGCCTCCTCGGCGGCATCACCTTCTTCCGCGATTTCCTCCTCCTCCTCTCCCTCGGTGCCCTCGTCTTTAGCAGCATCTCTGCCGCCGCGGACTGTTTCTCCTTCTTCCTCGCCCTCCTCGTCGTCATCGTCTTCAGGGATGGGCTCGGGGTTGGCTTCGGAGAGCTCGCTGGTTTCGGCGCCAGTGTCGTCGCCGGGTTGGCTGATCTTACCGCCAGGCTCTTCCGTGTCTTTCATGCTGATTCCTTCTTGGGCTTCCTCCTTGACATCCTCGCCCTTTTCTTCCAGGGGTTTGGTGACGTCCTCGGTGGGCTTGGGTTTAGGAGATTCTGACTCCGACAATTTCTTTGGTGTTGCCTTCGAGGTGCCTAGTTTGGGCGGTTTCCGACCAGGAGTGCCTTCACCAGTAAGCTTGGAAGTAGATGATGAAGCGGGGTTCTTGCCGGTCTTTGTGGGTGTCTCTGGGACATTTGAGGTTCTGCCTGCCGCAGGAGAAGGCATTGTGCTTTTGTAGCTTCTGACTGTCTCTGGGGTCGACCGTTTGGACTGAGGAGACTCTCTGTTGGGGGTGGGTGGGAAGCTGTAGTAGGCGTATGAGGAGGAAGATAGTCGATTACTTGTCATCAGCTATTTCAAACTATTTGCTGCATTGATCCTGCGCCGCTGTCAGGTTCAGCCAGCGCACCTTTTCGGTTGTTTCGGGGGGTATTAGGGTATGTGATGGATGGTAATAGTACAAGAGCTAAGAGCTAGGTGAACATGAAGTTTCTGAGAATCAGAGACTACACCATTGACGAGGGAGAACAGCTCATCAAGTACACAAGCAAACCCCCTACGTCACCGGCCATTATTTTTTTGGTTGCAAGCTGGTGAGCAGAGCTGGCCTGGCTTCCCTGGTTGCTCTGCGGTGCCTGAACAATGGCCTGTCGACTTCCCCACCTGCAAGTCTCAAAAACCGGGTTTCTTGTTCAACTGCGGCGGTGCGATGCGAGTGACCATTGACTGTGCGTTACCACCTCCTCCACCATCTCGAGGTCTTCCCGCATCTCAAGCCACACCCTCCCCGAAAATCTCACAAGTAGGCGACGTCTCGCCACTCCACTTCGCCTCCACCACAGACCCTAAACCCTAAATCCCTGCAGTTGGCCGAGTGGATTTCGACAAATCCCATGTTCACGATGACAGCACTGCCGGGTGGTCGTGGCTACAAGAAAGAGTCGGGTGGCGTTGTGTCTCTACAAGAATAACAGGAAGCAACAGTTCTTTTCATACAAGTTATGGGATATTAATGTCAGTATGGTCCCTCTCACAATTCCCACTGCCCGCAGGCTGAAAGTCTTCAATACAAATTGCATATTCAAGCCGACTGACATCAGTGTCTCCATCAGCCTACAGCTATCACCCCGGCATGTGCTGGGATAGACCCTTGTCAGGCTGCATTTGAACCACACTTCTGCCTCCCTTCTCATTCGCGATTGTCTCTCACCAGCCTCGATCGCCATTTCAATGCTGGCTTGGGTGTCCCTGCAGCCCTTGGTCATCTCCTCGTCTCCCTCCTTTCTATTCGATGGAAATTGCAAGCTTCTGTGCCACACTGGTACCCCATGCAGAAGTCATCAACCGCTCTGACGCAATGAGATGGACGGAACAAGTCAGGGTCAGCCACAGTTCAGTCCAAATCGTCGAGTGTGTCGTCATCGAGAGGTGCAAGGGATACGATGCTGGTGAGAGAGACCCTGCGGACTCGGTGGTGAGTCGAGTATTTGCAAAGGGGGTTTCGGATATCAGCATTCATTGTTGAAGAGTGGTTAAGTTGGTTTAGTTGGTTTCGTAGAGCACACCCATGGACTGAGGCTGCCCCAGGTCAGATGGCTAGACTGCAGCTGCACGTGCAGTGAGTGGCCTGTACCCGCCCAAGTCTCAATGTTTTCCGAGTCTCATCATGACAAAATGCAGAGTTCGGAACAGCGTACCCGTGGTCGACCCAGCCAACCTTCGTTCGATCATCGACCGATGTGCCCGAGCATGGCGGTCACCAGCCACAGCAGCCCTCGTCCTGCAGCAAAGGGCGATGTCAGAGGTAGCTGCCGATTTGCGAGGACAAAGTTCTGGTGTTGTCTGGGGTCCTGCGATCGGCGGCACGCTTTGGCCCCAAATCCAAGGACGGTGGCCAAGTTTTGCGTGGCTGTCCCCGCAGCGGGCGTTGAGATTGGTGCCACTTCGAACATCCTTGACATCCTTGACATCCTCCCGGCATCGAGTGACATCACATCACACGAGGGTCCTTGTCCTCCCTGCGCTGCCTGTCCCTCGACGAGCCAACCTTTGTCGCTGCTTGCCTTCTCTTTCGACCCAATGTGCCAGTGTCGACCCTTGTCACATTACATATTTCCTTGGGTGCCGATCCAAGAAACCCCCTTCCGCCAGTGGGAAGACGATGTCACAGTATGATCGATCCTGGAGCCTCGTCGACAGCCACCTACGTGGAAGGGGGGAAGAGCTATGGAGTTCGGGTCCAGAAAAAGGAGGTCCCGAACATCTTCTGTCAGCCTGATGGATAGGGTATACCTAGGAATCGTGAGCACGCACAGAGTACGGAGTATATTTTTGACTCCCGCCGCCGGTCTCCGCGAGAGCCACATGTGTCTTTAGAGCAGCCGTGGTCGAAAACGTGGCTTGCCCACCTAGGCACGCTTGGTCTGGAGGCTCCAAACCGTTGTTGCGCGCGCCACACCCGGCGAGCCGAGAAGAATACCTAGGTAGCTGAGCAAGGTACCCCAAACTAACTGGAGCTCACTGCGGAATTGGCCGCAATCTTCACAGCGCTCACTATAGAAACACCATGCATGTACTTGTTGTCGTGTATAAAGAGGCGTAGTTAGTTTTCAAGAGTACACTGCTCGCTCGGCGCTGATGTCTTTACAATCCTCCCCGCCACCATCCATCGATATCTGCCCTCCTCCAGTCAAATTCGGGAATCTTCACGCATCCAAAGATGGGACTCTGGTGCATGGCCGGAGTCGCATTCACAAGAGAGAATTAATCCTCCGCCCCGTGGGACATATTGATATGACCAGTACATACCTATGCACCTACCCAAGCCTTATGATAAGCGCCTAAGTACCTAGAAGGTACATAAGCACCACTTACGGTACGCAACCCTTGAGCACCGACAACCTCCCGAATAGCCAGCCTCGGCGATACGAAGAGCCTACGAGTAGGACAGCAGCCCCGCGCCTAATTCGACTCCCCCGGGTTCGGGTGCTGCAAGCCTAATATCACCCTGTTGCCATTGGAGGCTGGTGAGGCTATCTAGCTTGCCTAGGTAGGTAGGCACGTACTTGGTACCTGGGCACCTAGGTAACTTACTGGCTGGCGGCCCATTATCCTCTGTATCTCCTCCAGACCTCCAATTACACCAGCATTCCAACTCTGGACTCTTTCAACCATCATCTGAGTATTATTTACGGTTTTTTTCGCGACTTATTCGGGGCTGCCGAGGCCGTTGCCAGACGCCACTCTTTTGCAAACATTTCTACGAGGCATGTTCATTCTCGAAAGGGGGCTCGCTCTGGAACTGAAACCTCGTATGCCTAGCTAGCTATCTACGTTACTAGATACGCAACCACGGCCCGAGGCCCCGAGATTCCAGTTCCCGCAAGATGAGCCCCTCCATGACACCGCTCCTGGCAGATGCCCACCAACACCTCCGCGAATCCAACAGGACACGCGCGGCGCGGTAAAAGTGGACGAGCAAGAGCAGGGCCCGCGAGTCGCCCTGTGTCATCAACTCGGTAAAGGGGCCGCAGCAGAGGATCGGAAAGCCGTAGATCAGCTGCTCGATATCCTCCCTGCGCGGACAAAGCAGGGTACTATCACTGCGGCGGTCGGGGTCTGCTGCGACCGCTGCTGCTGCTACTGCCGGTGCGGTGTTGCTGTTCGACGACGCTGACGCGGCGAGAGATGCGCAGCACAGGAGAGGCGAGATGCGGCGTGCGATGCTCTCGAACGATGAGCGCGCCAGCTGTGTCGATGGTGGTGGTGAGGTAGTCATTGATGTGTCCGCCGGGAGCGTGGCCGAGGGAATACAACACCCGGTCGTGATTCTTGTGACTGCGTCCCGGAACTGTACCAGTTTCTGCTTTGCGTCGTCTCCTCCTTCTGAGACCAACGCCGCTGTGACTCCGGGTGGTAATCAGGAACGACACCTCGACAGCTCCGTGTCCAGCCCGCGCAGGAGACGCCAAGCGTACGATGTAGGCCCACGATCAGCCGACCCGGTATATGGAGCCGTGCAAGCCCATGTCTGGTGGTATCGCGGGTCGTCCCAGATCCTCATCAACGGCTCCACGAAGCGTGCCGGGTCTTCGCCCCTCTTGGCCAGCGCCTCCTCGATGGCGAGCCGGGGGTTTTGATGGACGACAAGGCCAAAGACGCTTCCGTGGTCGATGAAGACGGGGATGGCCTGGAACCAGACCTGCAGGATCCCCGGGCTCAGAAAACACAGCGGGTCCTGGGAGAGGTCGAACTTTGCTGCTCCTACTCCTGCGGCGGAGTCGGGAGGAGCGCTTGTCACACCGTCCAGGAAGCCAAGGTCAAGCCACGATATATAGTTGACCAGAAGCGCGGTGCCCATGAGAGCCTCGCAGTTATCCTTCGTCAGAGGTCGTGAGAGGTTGCGGCGAAAGGGCCGCACCGTCTTGGCCATCAGCTGCATCGACTCGTGGGAGTACTTGGTGCTCTGCGGACAGAGGGTGTTGAGATGCCTAGCGGCGACGCATAAGATGGCACTCATCACAAATTCTTCCTGGGAGAGATTAGCACGAGGGCTTTAATCCCCCGAAGAGGGCTAAGGGGGGCAAGGTTGATAAACACATCAAACGCCCGCTGCGTGACGACGGGCCAGATCTGGGGAAACGCGAGGTGTCCTAGTGATGGAACAGCTCGAGATGCAAGAGGCCGATCCGGGGGGTTGAGTCCATCTCGAACCGTCCTCCACCGTTCCTCGTCGAGAGATTTGGGCGAATGTTAATGACATGGTGACGGAACGGCGGAGGCGGGACACAGGGGATGTTGCGCCGGACGCAGCTGGAGCAGGGGAGACGCTCGTCGCACCAGGCATCATGAGAGGAATTGTCAGGCCCAGATTCATGCATATATTGTTGCCCAAGTTGTTGTCAGAGCACCACAACACAGGGCTCTTGTTTCACTGTACCTTGACCCTCCGGCCCTTGCATGCCACGCACCCTCGTCGGCTCTTGAGATGCGGGCGCTTCTGGCGCGGCTGCTCCGGAACGCCAATGTTCTGGAGCGTGGGAAGTCTGCCTGCGTCACGGGATACCAGGATGGTGCTGGCGAAGAGGGGGTTTGCCGGAGTATTGGACATCGTGTGCAGATTGGTATGGATGTGTCGTGCACCAGAGGAACAAGGTGCGATATTCGAGTAAAGTTGGACGATCGGAAGAGGGAGGGAGAGAGGATGAGAGAAAAGAGATTGATGCTGTCAAGTCATGCAGTGGATCCGGCGGCTGGTGGTTGGCCCGCCTCAGCCTCGTCCAGGCACCTCGCATTCCGAATCGAGAATGCGAGGCGGCCGCAATGCACGCCGCACGCGCAAACCGCTTCCCTTGGAGGATTACTCTGGACTGATACGACGCTCGACCCTCACAGGATGGAGACCGAGTGATCGCGGAACGAGGTAAGCGAGAAAAAAAAATGACCACATAAAGCTACCTACCTACCTTGCCTGTCGGGGCCGGCCTGCCTTCGAGGTTTGAATCTCTCTATCAGTAACTCCTTAAACCCCCTTGTGCAATCACACCAATTCTACGCTCAACAACAATGTCCTCAGTCCCGCCAGGAGGGCTGATTCTCGTCTCCGGCGCCAACGGCTACATCGCCAGCGTCGCCATCCAAGTGTTCCTACAGCGAGGCTACCGCGTCCGAGGGACCGTGCGCGACATCGTCCCCAACGCCTGGATGAAGGGGTACTTCGGCTCTCGATTCGAACTGGTCGAAGTGCCCGACATCAGTTCGCCGGGTGCCTTCGCCGAGGCCATCAAGGGCGTGGACGGCATCGCCCACGTGGCCATGAACATGGACATGGACCCGCACCACCACGCCGTCATTGAGGACACCATCAACGCGAACCTGCACCTCCTCGCGGCCGCGGCCCGGGAGCCCAGCGTCAAGAGCGTCGTCGTCACCTCCTCGTCGGCGGCCTGCGCGATCCCGACCACGGGGGCGGCGTACAAGATCGACCCGACGACATGGAACACGGCGGCGATCGAGCAGACCTCGCGCCCGTGGGGGCGAGGGCAACCCGCGCTGGCACGGCCTGCTCCTGTACGGGGCGTCCAAGGCGCGCGGCGAGCAAGAGGCCTTTGCGTGGGTGCGCGCGCACAACCCGCCCTTCTCCTTCAACACGGTCGTGCCGAACGTCAACTTCGGCACCGCCGTCGCGCCCGCGGCCAAGGGGTACGCCGCGGCGCCGTCGATCCTGCCGCCGCAGTGGTACGTCGACGTCGAGGACACGGCGCTGCTGCACCTGGGCGCGCTGACGCTGGCCGACGTGCGCGACGAGCGCCTGCTCGCGTTCGCGGGCCGGTTCTCGTGGTCCCAGATCCTCAGTATCTTGCACAGACGGTACCCGCGGGACAAGATCTTGCTGGAATCGGTGGGGGATGAGCCAGTCGTCGATGCCGGCGAGGTGGACAACGCGCGCAGCGTCGAGGTGCTGAGGAAGATGGGGAAACCCCAAGGGTTCACCTCGCTGGAGGATACGCTCGTCAAGGCCGTGGATGTGATCCTGGAGAACCAGTCCAAGAACGTCCCCAAGACGACGATTGACCTTTATTACGAGGCTCTGGCTAGCCCATCTTCTGGGCAATAGTTGAAAGGCTGTAGAAGGCCGTATTGAAGAGTAATAGAGGGCACCGTTGATGGTGGCCTTGTCGAGTTCATGCTTCGTGTCCCGATCCGACTCCGCGATTTGACGCATCTCATTGGCGGAACAAAGCTGTGCTGATTCGTGCGGCCGCTGAAAGCACATCCTCTGTACTTATAGTAAGCACTGATTGAAGATGCTAAGCGACATATTTGGTTAGATAAGATTCGATACGCTGTATTATTTTTTGCGCATGACTTGCAGGGTTCGATGACAAGTTCACATCACTCATTAATGGAGGAGTTTTCAGTACGAGGCACTCGACAGCCCGGACTCTCCTATCGGCTTGGAGCTTCACAACGCCTCATTTCACCAACTCCTTCTTCGGCGACATGTATTGATCCGCGACAAGGAATGTCCTATATTAATATCCACGTCTTGCAAATCGACCTGGGATCACCGGACCTTTCGGCACCGACGCCGCCGCCGCCGACCCTCCAGAACTCGACGAGCTGGTTGGGAGCGGCACAAAACTCTCCGTGTGAGTGGCACTGGGCTTGCCCTTGGTTCCTCCCTGTGTCCCGTTCACGTGCATTGTGCCTGTGGCAATGTCCAAGCCATTGATTGCGCGGCTGAAGAAGCCCAGCGCGGCAATTGGCTGGTAGTACGGAACCTCATGGCCTGACTCATAAATGCGCGTGAAGGAGAAGTTGCCGTATTCACGAGTCTCGCCGTACTCGACGCCATCGACCACGAACGGTGTATACCCCGACGCCTTGAACTGGGCAGCGTGGGGCCACTTGGCAGCCAGGGAAACGGCTTGTCCGCCATACCAATTGCAGATATAATCCGCGTCCCCGTAGACAAGGGTTACGCGGACAGAGGATGAATTGAGGATCTCCTCCAGATCGTCGATGAAGTTAAAGTAGATGAAATCGCCAGTCTGCTGGAATGCGTAGTAGACCTCATCATTGGAGTCCGAGGTGTAGTTTGTGTCAACACCCAGGGCTTGTTGTGTCGAGGGCAGGTTGAGGAAGTCGATGAAGTAAGTGGGCGGGGTAGGGTCGTCATACGGGTGCCGAATGTCATAGACGCCACGGCCGCCGTAGTAGTAGTACGGTGACTCGACGTTATCACGACACATGTCCTCGGCCTCGGTGCATACGGCTTGGCCTGTGAGGGTGCTAGTGTCGGCAATGGCGCACAGGGAGATCTGGTCCAGGCAGCCGTCCGCCATGTAGCAGGCGAAGGTCATATAATCATAGACGGTGTCGTTCACGGCTTTGATTCCGTAAGTATTGTTGTTGGCGAAGATCGGGTAGTATGGCGCCTGAACGTATTCGTCCACAATCCCATTCATGATTCCCAGGTTCACGAACTCGAACGATTTTCCGGTTTGGGTCCCGTTAGCAATGGCTTCGTTTTGCTGATAGAAGTAGTTGAAGAAGGCAGGGCCGTAATGTCCTATGTCAGTTGTCAATTATGTGACATGCGAGGAGAGGGGTCCCATCTCACCTCCATAAGATTCGGTCCACAGGTTAAACTTGGTTGATTGGACCTTTGAATCAAGCTGGGGCAATGCTGCGTAGAATCCCTGAAGTACCTCCCAGGCAGCGATCGCGGCAAGATCAGTAGTATCTACAGCACAACCATGAGTACATGCGCGATGTGCACTCCTAGTTTCAGCGGACTCACCAATCTCGGTCGCATTGATTATTGGGTATCTGCCGGTTACATTGGCCTCTGATGGAGGCACGAATTGTCCGAAGTTGGGATCAAGCGAGCCGGGGCCCTGCACCCGAAAATCAGTTCCATCTCTTGTGGTCAAGTGGCTTCAGTGCCCTCACCTTTGAGCCGTATGAGAAACCCACGCCCAATGGCTGGCTGAGGAAGATCATGTTCGAAGCCTCATTCCATGCGTGCGGATTGAGGTGCGTGGTCAAATTTTCGGTGACATTGCACGGGCCAAGCTCTGGAAGACGTAGTCAGCCACAGACTCGGGATCGATTCAAGTTGCTTCAAAGTCCTCACCTTGGAACATTCCGATCAAGGAATCACTTCCAGGTCCGCCATTGAGCCATAGCGTGATAGGGTCATTGGCTGGGTCGTTTCTAGACTCAAAGAACCAGAAGAAGCTATGAACATCCGGAGCAAGGTTGACAAAGCCTGCGTATGAATTGACGCCTGGTGTCGTCTCACAGACGCCCTCTTTGCCCGGTTCCTTGTAGGTGATGTTCACGCCATTTGGAGTGACGATTGTCTGAACGCCGGTAGGCTCTGCTGGTAGTTGTCGAGGCAAGACCTGAAGCTTTGGCCCAGGGGCCCTTCTGTTGTGCACCGTAGGTCCTTTCACCGCCGAGACACCAGCGGCGAGCGCGGTGATGAGGGTGAGCTTTGCAACGTGCATTGCGAGACGTGCTCAAGTCACTGGAGGTGGAGGAGAGAGAGTGGGAATTTGGGGAGCAGGACCAAGTGAAAATTCTCCTTCACTTTGTCTCAAACCAAACAGCTCCTGTGTAACTTTGCAACCACCTCAGAGACACGGACAGCTGCGTGCGGGAAAGAGAGAGGGGAATCCTCCGACGGGAGTCGCACGACATCATTAAGTAGCAGATGACTTTCCTGCCTCTGATCACGATTTGGCCGCTATCTGCGCGAACTCCACGCTCTCGATGAGCAGCTTTCATTCTAGTGGCTTCACTAGCTCGAAGCTGACTGCAATTGATGGCTGGTTCATCGACCGAGGTGTGATCTCCTCGAATGGGGTTTGCAGTAACACATTGTCCAGGAGCGCATTTACCATAGTCGATGACGTTGGGCAGGACGAGAAGTAGTATTGAGACCGGGATCCAAGCTATAGAATCCTTGACCTGTGGAGCTCGAGTCCGGTTGGACAAGCTTGAGCTTTCAGCAGTCCAGTCATGGGATTTGGCCAAACGGGAGAGCGTCCATTTCCATATGCTTCCAGTCCACATGAGGTAGGTGCGTAAGTGGATGTTACGGTAAATGCATGAATAGAAGCTTCTTTTGGCCCGGCCACGGGCGAATGTGCGCAAGGTTGCGATAAGATTGCGCCTCTCGGAGGATTCAGCTAGATCAGGATAGTCGTAGATCCTCAGCCTGTGACTTGGTCAATATGGCCAGGTACGACAAGGAACAGCCAGGGTCACCGGGGTGGTTTCATGCAGGCAATCTTCATCGCCAAAGCTTCAAGACAGCCGGCCTCCAATCACCGGTTCATACCCCGCCTCTGCTGTTTGTCCTCCAATTTTCCAGAAACAATTGGAAGACCCTTCGGCGCTGCCGACCGGCGTGTTACCCAATGAAACAATGTCCAGCAAACGCGACTGACCGAGAATGCGGTCTCGGTAGACTTCTTGTGCGACGGTGCAAACAGCAATGGACAAGCATTGTGTGGCAAAGCTTCCGAAGCTTCTGTGACTTGGCGGTGATTGCAGCGGATAGTGACGGACAACCGAGGAGGGCCAGGGAGCTATGAAGCGAGCCGATGTCAAAACTAAATGGCGGAGTCTGACGAGAAGAGTGTTCCATGATGGTTACTCCGACTTATCTCTAGTCATTGTGAAGATATGTACTCTGTTGTTAAGCACAGTGATACCCATCTCCTTGTTGACTGTGTCAGCCATATCTGATCTGGCGGCTACCTCGTCGTTGTCTCGAGAGTGTGTCAGACTGCGCCATATTTTCTTCTTCTTCTTCTTCTGGAGGCTTGGTAGGTAGATTGGTCGTGTGCATGCCTTGCCCGTCAAGGCAGAGGCCTGTTTCCGTGTGATTCGAGCGTATCTTCGGTTGGTGGGCCGGCTTGCAGCGGAAGAGGCCGAGTTGGAAGGATTCTGAAAGGCGAGCTCCCTTATCTGTCTTGCCACTGGTCATGTTTTCGATGTGACATTGCAGGGGAGAGGTTGACCGGGCCACCGCCGATCAACTGGCGGGGTTGAATCCTCTGAGCTCCAGGTGGGGGAAGGAGGGGCCAGAAGAAGCTCCTGTGTGCCTTTCTGCATCGAGAGTACGAGAGGCCATGGGCCTGGGCATATGTGGGTAAGGCTAACAGAACGAGGCGGTCTTCCTCGTGGGCAGTGAGATTGTGGCAGGAAAAGAAATAATGAAGGGAAACTGTGGATAGAAATGATCGTAGGGAGACTCGTCACTTGGTGCGTGTCCAACCAGCTGCGGCGTTGCAAGCCACCTCCGCATCGTCTCAAGCTCCGGCAATATCAAAGCGATCTCCAGCCTCGTCATGTCATTCTTATCTCGCAAAACTCATTTCAAGCATAACTGAGTTTGAAGCTCGTCAATAAGAGACAAGGTACAAAGACATGTATTCATTATATATCATTTCTTGCTCGTCTCAAAACCTCAGGCATCGCCTTGGATGCCCAATCCCAGCACAAGCTCGTCAGCGGCGTCTAGTTCTTGTTCTGCGTAACCACATTGCTCTCGCTGCTCATCAACCTCTTCAATCGTCTCTAAGGGAAACTCTCCAGAGTTGGGAGTGTGGTTGTCCGCGTCAAATCCCTGCAGCCACTGCATGTTCAAATCCAGGCCGTCCTCAACCGTCGAAAACAAATCAGTGCCCCCCTCCAAGTCAACAAGAGTCTCAAAATCAGCGTGCGTCTGCCCCTCTGGTGCACAATTGACCACTGCGGTGTGATGGGCAATCATTTCTGCCGATGTAATAACCGGCTCTTCCTTGGTGTGGATGTTCAAGCTAGTGTCCGACTCCGGCGGGGTGTATGCGGCAATGAGGCTTCGCTCTTCCGGCGCAAGTGTCGAGTTCATGAGCAGTAGGCTAGCTGTTTGCATGGCCTCAGGAGGTGGCGTAAGCAACAACGGCGCTGGGGGAAACTTCTTCTGGTCCATCCCAATCGAGCCGGGCGAGAATGGCCCTTTCGTTCCAGCGGCCGCGGCAGCCGCATAGACTTGAGCATTGGTCTTGCGGACAGCCGCATCGAGGAACGAGAAGGCAAAATCCGCAGAAGCATACATCTCCCGCAGCCTTTGCAGGGCCTGCATGCAGAATTGGAATTTCCGAATGCTCGCTTGTCGCGTGTTGGAGTCGCTTGATTTGATATCCAGGAGATGGATGATGATTGCTGGAAGCAGGCAGGTAACGCCAGTGTTGGGGAGATATCGTATCAAATCATGCGCAAAGAGTTCTTTATACATCTCGGTAATATCATTGGCGGCCTCGCGGACCTTCCTCCTCGACAATTCTCGGAGTTCCGGGGCGACAACAACGTTGGGCGCGGACGGCAGGATTTGTGGTCGATGCAATGCACTGATCGCCGTAAGGTAGATTCCGGTCAGTAGAGCTCGGTGCAGATTGATGACCTCTCCGTCGTTGGTGCTTGTCCGCTCGCGAGAATCTGGAGCAAAGTAATGGAGCTCATGTGGGAGGTCTTTGTGCCACTGGTCGAGCGCGCGGTCACACCGAATCACGTCGCAAGGGTCTGCTGCCGACTTCTTCGGAACCAGTCTCATGGTCGTCTCTTGAGTGGCGCCGATCTTGTGGCCGAGCGTCGAGTACTGGACCGCGAGAACTTGGGTGATGCGGACACAGAGATCGGCCAGGCCGATACACATTTTGGCCAGGGTGACGCGCTTCGACGTGTCTCTCACGGCAGGACAGCCCCCGAGCATCCTACTGAGCTCGGCTGGCAGGGCATCGGTTTCAAAGTCGGAGACCTCGAGCATTGGCACGTCAAAATCTCCACTATTGATCCGCATCGGGCGTCGCATCCCAATGGCGATCAATCGGTCTCGCATGTAGCAAGACCACCAGATGCGCTTCCAGAGACGACGCTGTTGCAAGCTCATGAGCGAAGCGTTCGAAGTATCACAGTTGAGGCCAATGGTTCGAGCAACCGAGATGGCCACACCCAGCCAGTGCCACACATCCTTTGGGTCGTCGGGATTCTCGTACCAGTAGGTCATCAGCAAGACAGCCTGCACAACCGTGACTCGATCGACTTCGTAGTCAAAGTCATACAGGAGCTTGACTCGCTGAAAGAAGGATTTCCGGGCTGCCTTCCTGGTCATGTATCCCTGGGCAATGAGATACCGCATGTCAATGTATGCAGTCGCCGCAAACATGATGGCCTGGAAGAGCAAGAGGCTGACGGTGTTGGTCGGCTGGTTCTTTTCGACGGTGGTCAAAAAGTCCCGCAGGTCGATGATGGGAAGGAAAGGATGTACGTATTGGACGTAGCATCGAAGCAGCTCGTTCCGAAAGCCTGTCTCCGGGATCAAAAACGCCCCCTTTTTCTGCAGATACTCCAGATCTTCGGTCATGATCCTGGGAGATATGGGCTGCAAATAGGGCGGAAGGACGATGTTCAGTCGGCTCGAGTGCTGAAGGAAATAGGACATTGCCGGGGAGAGCATCGGTGGAGTGAAGTTGTTGCCGCCGACCGTAGACATTCGTCGAAAACGTTCCTCCTGGCTCAAGCGTTGGCCTTGTGTCTGGTCTAGACGGATGTTCCATTAGCGTGGGACACCAAAGCCCGAGCAAAGAGCAGACTTACAAAGCATATGGGGTTTGTGATGGACCATCTCGTCGTCCAAGGCGAGCTGGGGGTGGGTTGGCTCAGCCGTGGGCAAGGTAGGGACAAAGTTGTTGAGCTCATCAATGTCGTCGAAGATGGGAAATTGAGGAATTTCCTTCTCTTCTTCTACAGAATTGCAGGGCGAGTGGTGAAACAGCTCCCCTTCAGCATAGGATTTTCTCCGACGCTTTCCTTCAGTGACTACGCACTCGACCTCGTCGAGGCGGCAATTCGTGCATGGAATTCCGCTCTCGACCACGTCACAACGCACTTTCCTACCACGGCAGCAGTGGCAGGCTTTGGAAGCCCTCCGCTTGACTGTCCTACCACCAGAGGACAGCCCGGCGGCGGAGGACTTCCTCTTGGGTTGGGCATGGGTAGTTGTCGCCATGGCGAGTGCAGACGGTCGAGGTGAGGTTGTACAAGAACACACAGAGGTCTTGGGACGGGCTGGGTTGAGAGTGCTGGAAGGAGCACTTCAGCGTTTTCAAGAAGCACAGAGAAGAGGAGAAGAACAGGTGGTAGAGGGAGAGGGAGAGGAAGAGATAGCGAGGGGCAACGCAAGGTACATGTGAGGGTGCTAGGAACTGATATGGGGAAAATCTCAACGGATCCGACATGACCCTAGTTCCACCAGACTGGGCCCCAAGAACGGGGCACAATAGACTGAGTCAATTGAACTCTCAAAGCCATGTTCCTCACCCCTACCCCGGACTACCCCGGTTCGATGGAAGTAGCAGGTTAACGATCAGCGATTGGACCAGCAAGCGATCTCGACCGCCCCCCCGGTCGAGGCCTTGGGGTAACTGGTAGATGTAGCTAGCCACCGTGCTAGCCGTTGTCTTTTTTTTCGCGCACTTGCTGGGCCATGGGCTAGAGGTGGCTTTGACGAGAGGCGGCTGCAGGCTGCGAGTGGTGACAAGATTTTCTGTAGTCAACAAACCATAGGCCAGGCGATCCAGACTGTCGAGCACAATCCTTCACTAAGCCACACGTGGAGAGCAGAGGAGGAACTTCCCCACTGGCGAGGGAGTCCAGCTCGGACGAAAAGGGTTGGAAGATTCATGGTAGCGTGGGCAAGAGGGAAGCTAGGCAATGTTCCGCTTAATGACAGAGGTCCGATTCTCATCCGTGCCGATTTATCCTGGCCGGGACCGTTTCAAGAGACTTACATAGTAGGGCGGATTTGTGCCGGTGGAATATGCATGCTCGGCTATTCAAGCTGTCGTGTTCTGGAGCTTGTCATTGCACAAAACTTACCGAGTCGTTGGCATCGACACCAATTCGAGACAGTTAAGACGCCAGGGGGGGAGGCCTTAGACGAGTGTCAAGAGCCAGTCAGGTCGTCGGACAGAAAAAATTTTCGGTGGTGGTTGGAGTGCTGTGGAGAAGTACGGAGTAGGCTTTGTGCCCCGGGGGGGTGGCTCTTGTTGTGGGAGAGCACGAGGTCGAGGGAGAGAAGAGAGAAGGGAAGGGCGTGCGGCATGAGGGCGGTTCTCGAGATGCACTAGCGCGCAGTGGCAGTCTCGAGAACAGCTCGCAACTTCTCGAGACGGCGACTACTAGCTCTCTCGAAGGTTTGGCCGATGGGGCTGGCTGACACGGTGGCCACTGAGACGGCGACATGGGAAACGAATTCCATGGAGCATTGGGGGGGGCAGGGGCATGCGAAGGGCTCGAAGTCAGGTGAGTGGGATTGGGTTGGAGGGATTGACTCGGTGGCGGGAGGAGGAGATTGTGTGTGAGTGTGAGTGTGTGTACGGAGTATGGAGTGTGTTTGTGGGAAGTGAGGAGAGAAGGAGAGAAGCGGGGAAGCAGCGGACAAGGAGATGCTAGTTGGTAAGTTTTCCTCCGTAGAGAGGACAAAGACAGTCAACAGGGAGTCAACAAGGAGTCAGCTATGTCTGACTCGCCCGCTGGAGCCGAATCTGACTCTGCTGGGATTGCGTCGGTCATCATTCTCCGGGTGTTGCGGCCTGTGCTTTGACTCGCTCCTTGCGAGTCACCTCCACTCTCTCCTCCCTCCTCCACTTCGCCCTCGCCTTTGCCCTTTCACTTTCACCTCACTGGCACCTCGCCTCCAACTCTCCCTTCTCCCTTGGCGACTCACTTGCCTGATTCAGGCACGCAGGGCTCCATGCACGGGCTACTCGTGCGAGGAAATATGGGCACATGAGACGATCTTTTCAGGATGCAATTGCTGGGCTCCAACTCTAAACAAGAATGTGCTCGCAGTCCTAGTCGCGCCCACTCTTCGACAGGTTTCGAGCTGGAGCTGGAGCTGGAGCTGGAGCTGGAGCTGGAGCTGGACCCGAGAGCCCATCCACCCCTTCGAGACAACTTCCCACCTCTTCCAGCGTGTGGGACACAATCGTCACAAGAAGTGTCGAAAGGGTCTATCCCTACCTATATGTGATGCCCAATTCCCTCACTGCTGTCGCGCCATCCAAACCATCCTGCTCGTCGATCTCTTGCGCGGCGTCATGTAGACGAGCATCTCCAACTTGCCCCAATCAATTTCTTTGGCGATGATCGTAGCGGCCTGCTGATAGGAGAATCCTTCTGGCGGAGCCATCGTGAGGCGTTTGATAGCCCATTCCCTGCCTCAACTGAGCATAGACATGTGCTGGTGCCCCAGTCCTGGACTTCAGCGCAGAAAGTGACTCGGTTTGCGAGCACGAGATGTATATGCCAATCCTCATAGTTGAGTTGCACGGTCATTCTGTCAGGCTGTTTGATCAGTAGGCTTTACCACCGCTAACAGCGGGATGACGGTGGACATGGCATCACAATTTTGAATCCATGAACTTCTCGCCACGAACTCTGCAACCTTCGGAAGAGACTCCAGATGGTAAAGGTTGTCTTCCACCTCTTCATATGTCAAATGGTTCCCTCTGCTGCAACAGTGCAGGTGAAGTATGGTGATTCATTCGCATTGATTTCGGTGCGAACGCCAAGCAAGAAGCAACGAAAACTGGTCGAAGTTGCGGCGGCGTTTGAACTGCGCTCGACCACGATTCTGTCCCTTTGGTAGCAGGTAAGAAGAATATTTATTTCTCGTCGTCAAGGACTCCGGGGGGTCAATCGATGGACTGGCCACATGGACAATGTTGTCGCCGTCCTCCGCAATACCTTCGACAGACGCGGCACCTGCAAAGTCGGCATTCTGGACACAATCAAGCTTGGAGGCATCTTTAGGGTCTCGTGTCACGCAATACACCATCTGGCGAGATTCCAGGAAGGAGGATGTCGTGGATTGGTGTGGCAGTCGTGCAAACACCAACATTGCTCCACAAAAAGACTTGGGTTGGAAAACTCCAACGATGCACGAGGATATGCACAGGGGTTCTTATCAAGTATGGGATTCTAACGAAAGACATTGCTCTCATCTGTCCTGTGGATGCCGATGTGCTGCGCCTTCGCATGAACACCTCTTCCTTACCCCAACGTGTTCCGCTGTCTTGCTCCATCCCCTCACCGGCGTTCAATTGCCGCCCATGCCTCTGGACAATTCCGGTGGAATACGAGGCGAGGAGGACACATCCTAGTGAATGTGGCACTCTCCGTTGATCCTAGTCGAAGAACTACAGATGGCACGAGGCTTGGGGAAACTGCACAAACGAAAGTTTATCGAACGTGCTACCGAGTGGGTGATAACCCCACTGCACTGTCCTTGAACCACCCTCGAACCTGGTCGCTAGGCATATGGGAAGATATCTGTGAATCTGGGCGTGATAGATTGCTACGGTGGCTCAAGAAAAATATGATAAATGGATAGAAACCATTGAATTGACCTGGAGGCGTAGAAAACAGAGCGATAAAGATTTGCGAGATGGCTGCTCTCGACCCCAGTGCGGGGTGTTTAGCATGTGCAGAGTCAGCCTCGCCGACTCCAGTTTCAGCCTTGCGCTGACGTATTACTGTTGTCGCCGAGTGGCCTAAAATGCCAGTACGGAGTAAACGGTGAATCTCCGAACACGTCCAATGGTGACCATCCACCACACACCAAGTCTTTGACATGCAAAGTCCTTCTCATGGCTCCTGAGCCGTCGGATGGCTCTGTCAAACCCGCAGGGCCGCCCAAGACAGACCTCAGTGCAGAGGAGAGCAAGAAGGCGGCTGTCCTAATTCAGGTCGGTATCCCGCGGTCTCTTGTCCCGACCGCCGATGATTGATCGTTCCCCCAGAAAACTTACAGAGGACACCGCACGCGCCGCGAGTTGAACGGGTTTGGTCTGGACGCCTCGACGCGGTGGTATGAGGTCAGGCGTGACACATTAGTCGTGTTGCGGCCCTCACTGAGACAAGTGTGACAGGCGGTGCGAGATGCCCAGTTCAAAGCACACACTTCACCCCAGCCTCCCATCTCTTCCCATGACAACACAGACACGAACGAGAGCGCAACATCTCCCGCACGGTTGAAATGGAGTCGAGCGACCGAGGTTGCTCGCAGGGCTGGCGCCGACGACCGGTCCCCTTCCATCTCCGAGTACTCGTCAGATGAAGATATCGAAAATGCCGAGGGCTCGCCCACCGGAATGACCCAAGAAGAGAGGGAAGCGGCACGAAGAAGAAGAGCCGAGGCCAACGCCATGAGGAAGAAGACTGCCAAGATGATGGATCTGCAATATTTTCTTGAGATGGTTGACCAGAAACACCGTTATGGGAGTAACCTGCGCAAGTGAGTGCCCCTTCGACTTGAACAGACGGAGCATCTCCCCAGGACCCATGCGTTGAGCCGGTCGAGCGCTTTCGACATGGGCTTACAATGCTATCTTAGATACCATGCCCACTGGAAAACACAAGACACGGATCAGAACTTCTTTTACTGGCTGGACCAAGGCGACGGCAGGAATTTAGACCTTCCAGAGTGCAGCCGAGCACGACTAGATAAGGAGCAAGTGCGATATCTGTCCCGCGAAGAACGGCTGAACTATCTGGTCAGGGTCAACGACAAGGGCCTGCTTATCTGGGCCAAGAATGGTGAACTGGTCTGGACCAAGGATGAGCTATTCAAAGACAGCGTCAATGGGATTGTTCCCATCGATGACTCCGCACCGAAATGGAAGTACAACGTGCCACCGCCAGGGGCGAGTGAATCTGACAGCAGCTCCTCGGATGAATCAGAGGATGACGAAAACACGAAGGGTGACGAAGGAGAGAGATATGTCAACGAAGAAGTACGTGGTACCCCTGCCTTCGATAACTCTGCCCAGTATGGGCCACTGATCAGACACAGTTCCATCGCGCCAGAGGGATTGCCAAGGTCAAATATGTCAGCGCGGCAGTGCTGTTCAACCACATGATCAGAACGAGCTTGAAGAAAGGACACAAGTGGATATTCGTCTGCGATACCTCGTTTCGATTGTACATTGGGTACAAGCAGTCAGGGGCATTCCAGCACTCGTCGTTCTTGTACGGCGCACGGATCCTGTCAGCAGGGTTGATCAAGGTTAAGCATGGTCAATTACGGCGGCTATCACCCTTGAGCGGACACTATCGGCCACCAGCGGCGAATTTTCGAGCCTTTGTGCACAGCCTGCGGGACGAGGGCGTCGACATGTCGCACGTGTCAATCTCCCGAAGCTATGCAGTGTTGGTTGGTCTGGAGAGTTACACCAAAACCCGCAAGCGCATAAAGGCAGTCAGTGAGACTGTCGTGCACGAGAAGGACAAGTTGCTCAACCCAGAGAAGGTCAAGATGGAGGAAGAGGCGATGAGGGACAAATCCGAGAGCGCGGAGAAGGAGAGGCTGTACCTTGAACAGCAACGCGAGGCTCAGGAGCGGGAAGCACGCGAGCGCCGCAAGGCTAAGCGCAGCCTGACGGGCAGATTTTCCAGTGCATTTGGGAAACTCAAGCTTCGGAAAGACAGTAGCGATGACGTACCGGCGGGAGAGGAACAAGCGAGACGAATCCTGGGGACAGGGCCGGAGGATGGCGTGCCTCCGCCAGAAGGCCACCGCTGATGCAGGCATTGGCGCATGGTCTACTATCACAGGCAATTGCTTTAGAGGTGAATGATGGGTGCCAGGGAGGGTGGCCATTCTTCCACTCTGGCTCTCACTGATCGAAGATCTTTCGCCAAACCCGTCTCGCTCTGTCCCCCACGCTGTCGCCTCCATCTCTGCTGCACCAGGCGCCATGATGGGCATTACCATGTGGCTTTCGAGTGCTCGATATTTCATCATTTAGTCGTTGTTTGACTCCAGGCCAGTGTTTTTCCGCCCTCTCCCACGAGAACCAATCAGAGTGGCCCATTCCCTTTTTAGCTATATAAATTCTCCGAATCCGACGTATCGCTTTCCCCCCTTCGCCACATGCCTCCATCCCTCTCCAATCACAGAATGTGTCTGTTCATCAACGGCAGGCATCAACATTTCCTTTGGTCTTTCTCCTTTGCTATACCTCCCCATGGCTTGATGCTCGAGAATCTAGATGCCAAATTAGGCACTGTGTACGCCGTAGCGATGGCGCATTGATTTCCCTGGTGGCACAGGCCCCGACGGTTCCAAATATCTCCCCCCACAATGCGAGATGCAGCTGGGGGCAAGACGTCTATATAATGAGTGTATAGTTCTCCGTGACCGCCTCACCATCGAGGGACAGGTAGGTCTGTTCTTCATTCTCGTTGTCTTGATGAGCTCGGCAAGTGTCCCTTCCCGCGCATGGCCAAGATCATCATCATCGGCGCCGGCATCTCAGGCCTGAGCACCTACCTTTTCCTGCGCAAACACCTGGTGCTCTCCGACCCGAGTCCCTCTCCCCAACAATTTGAAATCAAAATCTACGAAGCCTACGACATCCGACAATCCCGCTTCAATGCCTCCTTGACCCGTCCCACCACGAGCAACAACTTGGACGACGGAGCAACGGCCAGCGCGATCCCCGCCAACGAGACAGACCCAATCTTCACACCCCAGGCGATTGGGGCCGCGATCGGCATCGCCCGCAACGGACTGAACGTCCTAGCTCGCCTGGACGAACCACAACATCACCGAGGTGAAGCCCGTGATGTGCGACCCAGAAGCTTGATCGAGGAAATGGCTGTGCACGGCCACCCGATCGAGCGGTGGGAACTCGGCACGGCAAGAGGCTTTACGCTCGGCGAGGTCGATCTCGCACGAACTAGAACTGCCGCCGCGAAGCCTTCTGTCAAGCAGCACGAACACTCCAAAGCTCCTTCGTCCGCGGGGCGAAATCCGTGTCCGTACCACGGGATCATGATCGCGCGACAGTCGTGCTGGGAGATCCTCCGCGACCGCGTCCTGAGGGAGTCTCCCGATGCGGTCATCCACAAGAAAGTTGTCGACGTGGTCATCGGCGACGAAAGGACACGTAACGTCGTCAAGTTCGAAGACGGTTCCCACGAAGAAGCCGACCTGGTCATTGGAGCGGATGGCCTGAGAAGTGTGTTGCGGCGGGCGATGTTCCGCAAGGCTGAGGCCGAGAATGAGAGTAGTAACGCGACGACGACTAGTGGAGCGCGGACTCACGAGGAGCTATCTCCCGACCAGACCAGAAAGTCAGCCTCGAGCTGGTTGCGGACTGTCCTGTCCTACCTCCCTATCCCGGCCTTCCTATTCGGTCGTGCCACAGGCCCAAAGGTTATCCACATGGACTACATCTCACCACACTACGAGGGCCTCGTCGGCGTGGGCGGCTTCGTGCCTTCGTCCGTACTGCAAGCCACGGGCCACAAACCAGGCACCATGACGGTTGTGTTTGGACCGAACGGGTTTTTCGGGTACGGGTACTTGACATCATCTACATCATCGCCAGAGTCGCCGAACTCATTGTCCAACGACGCCACAGCGACAAGGGACACAGGTGCCACGCCATCGACCACTGCGGCCTCTTCAATCCCCGCCCCAGGGCCGTTGGCAGGATGGTGGTCCACGTGCTCCAGCCCGACCCCCTTCCCATACTCGAGTTCCTCCTCGGATCCTCCATCTCCCTCTTCAGGAGGTGTCCTCAACACAAATACGAGCACAAACACAGGCACGAGCACGAGCAAGAACGCAGTCACATCAGACCATAGTGCAAGCACAAGCCGCAAACCAACAGAGTTCAACAAGCGGCTCGCCCTGGCCGCGCTCCTCCACCGACACCGCAAATGGCACAACCCGGCAATCCAAGCGATATTGTCGTTTGTGCAAGAGGACACTGAACAAGAGCAGCAGCGCCAACGCCAAGACCAGCAGGGTCAAGGTCATCACAACAACGACAACAGCAATAACAGCCTACTAACCGGCAAAGCACTGGACGCAGCGTACCCGACCTGGACGACCCCTGAGCTCCCGTACTGGTCCCTGCGCGGCCGCTCCGTGCTAGTAGGCGACGCCGCGCACGCGCTGCAGCCGTCGAGCGGCCAAGGGGCGAGCCAGGCGCTCGAGGACGCCGAGGCGCTGGCCCTGTTCCTGCGGCGGTTCTTGGTGGCGGCAACGCCGTCATCGTCGCGACCAGAAGACGTATGCTCGACGAAAGCGGCAGCGGCAGCGGCAGCGGCAGCAGCAGCAAGCGGAGGAGGGGAATCTCCATCCAGCATCAGCACCAGCACCGACCCTGCCGCTGGCTCCACCTCCACCTCCACCTCTACTTCTACTTGTGTCCCCGTCCCGCTCAACGACCCCAATGCATCCTTCTCGCTCCCACATCCGCTCCCGCACGCATGCCTAACCACGGCCCTCCGCGCCTTCGAAACGACCCGCATGCCGCGCGTGCACGCGATCCACGCGCGCTCGCAGCGCATGTCGCGCATGAAAGCCGACATGGGCGTGCTGGCCGAGTGGGCCATGTACCTCGCCATCTACCTGGGGACGTGGTTCCGCGGGGCCAACGGAGAGGGCGAGGGCGGCGAGAGGGATGAGCGCTACTACGACGCGTTGGTCGCGGAGCGGGGACCTCTCGACAAATAACAAGGAGGAGGAGGAGGAGGAGGAGGAGGGAGGCCGGTGAGACGGGAGGAAGGAGATGGGAACGCCAGAGAGGTCCGGCGGCGTGGGGCGATGGAAACAGACAACTAGGTAACGTCTACATGGCTGGCTATCTAGCTATCTCGGTACGGGAAGGAGGGGAAATGGGTGTTTCAGACGTGCAGGCAGAGTCAAAGGAACAGACGTGGACTATTGGCAGATGCAGAATGCGTGCGTTCGGTGTCTCTCCTTTCTCAGTCACGAGGTATGTCTATGCCATGAGGAACTGATCTCCCTCTAGAGCTTACCGCGTGAAAACTTTCCTTTCGATGCTGCGTAGATGTCGCATTCGTCCAAGAATTCTTGATTGTATGCTACCTGTACGACGAGCCAATATCAGCCACAGCTCCAGAACATGCAGTCTAACCGTCATCTTGTCCTTGAACCGTCCCCATCCGTGAGGCGCTCAATCTCGAGTGTCCACAACAGGCCAGTCGCATTCCACGCATTCATAGCATGTCTTCCTTACTTGCTGCCTCCCACTCGGTGCCAAACAATCCAATTCTGTCGTCCACATGATCCAGCTCAAAATCCCAATCCCAATCAGCCCACTCCTCATCGCTCGAGGGCTCATTCAGCAAGTCGACCTCTGAGTAACGTTCGCAGCAGGTGAAATATCCTTCGTCGTGCCGTCCTGGGGCTGCTTCATGAACCGAGAGCGCTCGGTGGCACTGAAGCTGAGCAGAAAATACTGGACTCAGAGCAGGTTCAGAGGTCAAAATATCCTTGCTCAAATCGAAATCGGCGTCGCGAAGTTGCGGCGTGAGAACGGGTGCGCCTAATGGGCCATCCTCATATGGTCTCGGCGTATTCAATTCTTCCAGCCAGTCCACCATTCTGAGGACACCGGTCATGTCGCTACTGCGTCTCCTCCCGACATCGACAAGCGAGTTTGCTGGAGGCCACGGTAGGAATTGATGCCGATACAGTCGCGCTGGAACTATATCCATGCACGGTGAAAGCCCGGCCTTGCTTAGTGCGCCAGGCAGGGTCCCGTCAGAGAAAAATTCATCATCTTTGCGACCTGGGGACAATTGAGTTGCCTGTGCTTCACGACCTCTGCGGACTGCACTGACAGCTGCCTCTACCGCGTCTGAAATAGACGGCAGCGGAGTGTTATCAACCAGCCCCGGACAAGAATATAAGCCTGTCCCTGCTTTCTCCCAATTGCCGGTGGCTCGATTTACCTCGGGCTGAAAAGGACTGTTGATGCTGCAGTGAGCTGCCAAGGTATGTTCAAGATGCACTGGAGTCGGCATCGTAGGAAAGATCAAGTTATCTCCGGGAATTCCAACGTCGCGAGGCAAATTTACCTCGTTACAGTCCGAGTTCTTTCGCATGAAAGAATGAGTATACCATGGAACTTGAACGCCATTGGGATCCACGGCCTGGTTACTGTTAGTATCCGCAGTGGATGGATAATCTTGGATCCTCCCCGTGGGTCCTCGAGAAGCAAAGCAGTCCCGCAGTGGAGAGGCATCGCCATGTGTTGAAGAATCATGACTGTCGTCCGAGATGTGACTTGCTTCCGCTTTGTGTCTCGATGATGCAGCCGTACAAATAGCAAAGCCCAAGCTTCCATGACGTTGGAGGTTTGTACGTTCATCCTGAGTATCACTGTTCTCAATGGGCCGGTAGCTGGTAAAATCAGGTTCCGGTTTTTGCTGTCCATGGGCGAATTCGAAGCATGGGGCACTCCAGGTGGGTTGAGGATCATTGGAGGGACGAACATATTCGAGTTGTGAGTTGTGATACAGCAGAGGACTTGGGATCCTGACATCGTAGAGGTAGTCTGAGTGGTAGTCTGGCGGACGTCCGTTCATCGAGGACTCCAAATACCAGTTTGGGATTTGAACTCTGGGTGTCGCGTTCGGAGTATTAGGAATGGAAGGCAGGGGAGGCGAGGTAGAACCAGTGAGGAAGTCCGTTTGAGGAGCGCTTTGCAAGTCCTTTCTCTTGAAGACGACCTTTTTACTCTTTGTTTCAGAAGATGTTGGGAGGTGAGGTCTTTCAGACGTTCCAACGGCGGAGAATTCGAGCGACGCGCATGGCTCTTCAACGGCTAGTGTCGGGTCGGTGATGTCGCCTTCAGAAACCCAATAACGGTATGCTGATATGTAGAATTAGCTGGGGTCAGCACCAGAGAGGGCTCACTCATACCATTGCGGCTGGTTTCAAGACCGACACGAACATCGGGATCGAGATGGTATCCGCGGTCTTCACAAGAATAGTAGCAGCTGTCGAGATCCAATGAGTCCTGGTCACGGAGCTTTCTTCTTTTTGGGCCTCGTCGACGGGGTGTCTTTGACTGTGACGTGTTTTGCTTGATGAGGCGAGCCCGACTTCTGATTCGACGGTCTCGACGTGCAGCTCTACGGGCCGCCAACCTTGTAGAAGAGGCAGTGGTGGTAGCCATAGGTAATGATAAGTATATGCTGCGGAATAGATCTTAGGAACGTGTATGAGGTGAGAAAAAGGTAAGTTAGGGATGACGATTAATGGTGTATTGGAGGCAGAGTCAGGATTGAGACAAAATGCGAGATGGATGTCCGCTCTACCAGTCATAACCAGGGCAAGAACATGGAAGACCGGGGATCTCGAGGCAGGCGCGAGTGGCCCTAGTGGCAGGGTACAAGTGGCAGAAGAATCGGCTTCGGGAGGATACAAAAGATGCGCATTAGAGTCCAACGACATGGTTCGACATCAAACCACGCTGCCTGACTGCAACGGGGGCTCATGAGCCTTTCTTTTCACCTTCTCAACCAATGTCTCGTCCTGGTGCTGAGCGGTGATGCCCATTTCTCGCTCATGCACCTTCTGTACCCGGCGTAATATCCAGAAATTGTAACACCCGAAAAGGAGACCTGCGACCCCGACGCAAGAGCCTGTCACGATAGCAGTGATTTTTGCCGTCACACTCCATACACCGTGCTGGGCCGTGTAGACGTTGACGAGAGTTGTTATCAAGCCGGCGACAGAGTTCATCGTGACTGGTCTATCATCAGCCCGTCAGCGTGTGCCCGTATGAGCGAGGGAGGATCTCACAGAAAGATTCGATTTATCAGCCAGACGTAATTCTTGCGCCAGCGAAACCACAACCAGAGGCATCCTAGAGCTCCCACAGCGCAAAATGCACCAGCAAGCCACAACAGGCCGATGTTGGCGATCGAATGGACAATTGCGTGGGCGACCTCGTTGTCGTCGTTGTCGTTGTCAGCGTTTTGGAACGCCTTTGAGTTTTTGAAAGTTGTAAAGGTCCCGGGAACGACGAGGAAACCGGCCAGCAGAATCCAGGTGAAGAGGCTAGCCAAGATGTTGTATAGACGGGGGATTTGATCCAAGTGTAACAGCATCTCCATGTATCGTGTTTGGATAGAAGGTACACGGGTTAGGGCAGGTTTGGAAGACAGCGTTTCGGAGCGGGACAAAACTGTGGGCTTGTCTGAGTTCTTCCGCCCAAGGGAGGTTGAACCTCTCGTCTTGACAGCCACTGTATCTGTTCGCGTGATAGGCACTGTATCATTATTTCCTTGGCTCTCTTCGGAACGGATAGTTGAGAGCGACGGACGAGCAGGGTGCTCCGCCTCTTTCCTTCTGGTATCAAACATGATTGAGTAGGTGCAAAGTATAGATTATCGTAGAGAAAAAGAAGATTTGGAGGCCAAGAGCTGTGATGTTAGATCAAGTCAAGAACGCGATGGCTCAGTTCAAAACAACGAGAAAAGGCACAGCGCAGTAAAGAGCAACAGCATTTGCGGATAGGATCGAGAAAGTCATCGCAGTCGATACTTGGAACTGATAAGACGTCGCTTTTATCAAGTTGCCAGGCGATGCGATATCAAGGAAGTAGCTCGCATGGGTAACCAGTAACAGTGGAGGTAGGCGAGGTACCATTGTAAAACTGCAGGGTGACGCATTGTTGCAGAATGAATACCGGCGACGGTCTCGATTGATGGTGGGCGGCGCGTTGCTTGTCCAGCGGATCGACGGCCGTTGAAGCGAGCGATTCGCTCACGCGACATGTCGCGATGGTTGGTTGGTGTTCCTGGAGCAGAAGGGGGAAGCAAAAACCTGAAACTTGGATGCATCGAATCCTGGAAGATGGCGAGACGGGCGCCTCCAAGACGCTAAATTTGGAAACCGTAGGCGAGGGGACGAATAGAAAAAGTGGCGGGTCTGACAGAAGCTCCTCACTCAAGTCTGTGGAAAGGGTTATGTCAGACAATAGCTATTCAAGACCGCCTCACCCGCCGCACCATGGAGAGCTCAAGTACGATAACGAGGACCTGGAGATCTTCACAATTTCCTTTCCTCCTGTACTTTAGACACCAGCACCGCGTCAGGCCACTCTCCTCTCCACGGCCTGCACAAAGCAACTTGAATGGTTCCGGTCCGTGAGAGGGTCATCTCCTGACTTCTGCATGCAGCACCCTTCAGCGGACGGCTATCCCCAGATCGAGTGTGTCCATCATCTGTCGCCCATGATCTTACACCCAAGGTCCTCCATTCTCTGTTCTGCATTGAGCACGGCGCAGGGCATCTACGGCTCAATGATGATGCCATGACCTTGCAGCTCTGGCTCACACGTAACCTTCGCAATCCTTCCTCCCACCTGCTATACCGAGTACGTCCATGGTCGATGGCAGCTCTGCAGGAGCTCCCCACCCACGTGCCAACTCGCGTACTGGGATCGATCCAGCCACCGGCATCACCGCCTTGGGCCTCTTGATTCGGGGAACCTTTGGGCAGCTCGCCTGCTGGGGGACACAGGCACATGTTCATATCCTGGAATATAGTTGGATGGCGCTGTATTTGTCCGCGGTGCTTGGTGGAAGCTTGCCGTGCTTGTGGTACCTACCTGTCGAGCTTGACAGAGCTTGCCATGGCTTGTCTTGAAGTACATAAAGCCGCTGCTCGAACATGCAGAAAGATCAACCTCCAGCCATCTTGTCTTATCTGATCTCTACGAGTCGAAAGAAACTCTGACCTGGGTTGCCTGTTTCGTGCGTGAGAGGCTTACTCGACCAGTCACAAGATGAAGGTCTCCCCACTTGTCTGGGTGCTACTGGCAAAGGCCATTGAGGCTGCCCCTCAACCTATCACCGCCTCATCCGGTGTCGGCGCCACTACATCGGACGTCTACCCGCCAGCATCCAGTAGGGCGTCTCCCTATAATCAAGTGGTTGGAAACTAACACCTCTCTCTAGCATCGGTCGACTCGTCCCAGTTCCCTCCAGAGTCAGTGGTGCAGTTCCCCGGCCCAACGTTGACCGGCTTGGAGCCAGCCGCAGCCCAGACAGCTCCCCTGTACCCATACAACACTCTGGGCGCTGCCGCTTTTCCTCTGGTTGCTGCTCAGCCTCAGGGCTCCAACTCAAGTTCCAAGGTCGACATCACTCGCTACTGGGGGAACTTGTCGCCGTGGTATTCATTGTCGTCTGCCGACTATGGATTGCCAAATGCAAGCCCACTCATCCCTAAGGGCTGCTCCATTAACCAGGTTCACCTCCTGTACCGCCACGGTGCACGGTACCCGACCAGCGGCGCTGCACCCGCAACATTTGCTGCTAAGCTTGCCAATGCCACCAAGGGCGCTGGTTTCCAGGTGACCGGCGAGCTGGCTTTCCTGTCCGACTGGAGTTACAAGCTGGGTGCTGAGCTTCTGACTCCCTTCGGACGCAGCCAGAACTTCCAGCTCGGCGTGGCATATCGCCAATTGTACGGTGAATTACTGAACAACTTCACCGCCCAGGGTGCCCTCCCTGTCTTTCGCACTGAATCTCAGGACCGGATGGTCAAGACGGCCGAGAACTTTGCAGCTGGTTTCTTCGGGGTGCCTGAGTATATGGACCAGGTCAACATTGAGATCCTTGTCGAGACTCCCGGTGTGAACAACTCGGGGGCCCCTTACGAGGTCTGCAACAACTCCAACATCGCCAGTAAAGGAAGCATTGGCAGCACTGTTGCGACCCAGTTCGCCAACAATGCTTTCAATGTTACCCTCGCCCGCTTGAACTCCCAGGTAAGTCTCGATACACGCTTAAAGGCTGCACGACGAGGCTAATCGTCGGCATGTAGATCTCTGGCAATCTCACTTTGACGCCCACCGACGCCATCGCTATGCTTCAGCTCTGCTCGTACGAGACCGATGCTCTCGGATATTCCGCCTTCTGCGACCTATTCACGCAGCAAGACTTTGAAAACTACGAATACTACTATGACTTGGTGAGCTCATCTCCAAACCTCCAAGATCGGTTCCGCGGGTTCTAACTTTGTTCAAGTCCTTCTACTACAACAACGGCCCCGGCTCCCCCGTCGCTGCAGCCCAAGGCAAAGGCTACCTCGAGGAGTTCGTCGCTCGATTCACGCACACCTACCCGGCCGCGCTGTCTGCTCTCAATGAGACATTCGACGACACCCCGACGTACTTCCCGCTCAACCAGTCCATCTACGCCGACGCGACCCACGAGGTTGTCGTTCTCGACACACTGACGGCCTTCAACTTCACGGCGCTGTTCAACGGACCCGCGCTGAACACGAAATCCAACACAGGAAGCAACAACTTCGTGGCCAGCATGCTCGTGCCCTTCGCCACGCACTTCACCGCTCAGGTGCTCGAGTGCCCCGCCATGAGCCCGTCCAAGCAGATCCGATTCATCGTGTAAGTTTCCCTCCACTTACCGCCATGGAGGACATTGTTCTAATTGTGAGATTCCAACAGCAACGACGCCGTCATCCCCGTCTCGGACTCGCACCCGGGCTGCCCCGTCGACCCCAACGGTCTATGCCCCTTTGACAACATGGTCAAGGTGCTCCAGCAGCGCATCAACGAGATCGACTTCAACTACGACTGCTACGCCAACTACACCGCCACGGCGGGTGTCAACTACAACGGCCGTGCGCCCCGTAACGCCCCCTCCTAGCAATGTCATGGTTTGAATAATATGTGAAGCCGCCGCTGTGTATTCTAAGGCTTTTACACAAAGCGGGAAAAAGCAATCGGTGGTGGCTGCCCGGGGGACATGCTGATGGAGGCGTTATTGAATGCCCGGTCTTCACCAGAACTCAAGTGCCCCGAGATAATACCACTGCCAAGTACATTAGATGCGATATAATGAAGATTCCGCAAGTTCCCTAGAACTGCTACATGTACATGAACAGGTCCATGTTGAGGAGGGTACGGTATGAAGAAGTTGCCCCGCCATTCCGGCGCCTATGACACCAGCGACGCAGCGAGACAGCTGGCTGGGGTATATTGCACGAGCGCCGACGAAGGGAATGGAGTTGGCCTCAACGCCTTTTCTGCATTTACACTTGCATTTCGATTGATTGTTGTCCCTTTCCTTACATACCTACCTCCCTCCCTACCCACCTACCTACCAACCTACCTACGCAGGCATACGCCTGACCCTGTGCTGTGTATCTAATTCTCCGGTCCCAGGCATGAGAAAACCAAAACTCCTCCTAGCCAAAAGATCCGTCCGTCCTGTAATCCCACGCCGCGTTGCCTCGTGTTCTCATGGCCCTTTTACCCCGTACAGGTTCGCGGTTCTGAGGCCCGAGTTTGTTGCCCCCGCCCCGCCTCGCCTCCCATCCACAAACGCCATGCTCAGCCCTGCCCACAAAATCCACCTGTTGTGCTCCATTGGACCCAGTCCTGGGGTTCCTGCATCCATCCTGACCAGAAACGCCGTGCATTCCAAAACCGAATAAATAAATGCCCCGCCTGATAACACCATCATCTAACAGTCTCAAATCCAGTTGGTATCTGTTTTTTTCCTTTCCCTAACAGCCCTCCCCGGTTTTAAGCATACTCCTCGTCGCCCACCACGGTCACGTCAACCACGTCCGACACCCTTTCGGCGGAGGAATGGTCCAGACACGGAACAATCGACTTGACCACGGCGGCTTCGTTCTTCTCCCGGGGAACGAACCACAGCTGGAACACGCCGAGGATGGCAACAACCCCGGCAAACCACCACGCCAGCCCGGTGAACCCGATGGAAGAGCCCCATTCATACAAAATGCCCGCCACGGGTGGGGCCACGGTCCGGCAGGCCGCGCCCGCCGAAGCGGCCAGCCCGTTGATGCGGCCCAGGTAGGCGGGAGACGGACTCGCCTGCTTCAGTAAGATCAAGATGACCGGATAGTCGAGAATCGAGAGGAAGTTTCGGATCGTCAGGCAGGCATAGATGCCCGGGTAGAGCAGGGTGGGGGGAAGCAGGGCTAGGTAGGGGACGATGAAAAACGCCACGGGATGCAGGACGGTGACGAGAACAAACACGCGCCAAACACCAAGGCGCTCGGCGGCACAGGGGAAAATGACGGCCTGAATGAACAACGCGATGACGCCGTTGACAGACATGATCACCCCGACATCTCGGGTGGACAGCCCGAGGCCGCCGGGGATGTCCACCGGGCCGCTCGCCGCGATGGAGATCTGGTTGACGGCCTTGTCCTGGTAGAAAATGGGGAGGAGGTGATCGTAGCACATCGAATGGTACGTGTAGATCGAGAGCGCCAGCGTCAGCATCACGATTTTCTTGGTAAGCCACTTCGGGGAGGCCTTCTCGCTGATGGACGGTTCGCGCGAAGTCCCATCGGCGTTGAGCTGCCATTGATCATTCTTTGGGACGTCAATCTCGTTGAACGTCCCGTACGATTCTTGCCTCAGATCAACGGCATTGTCAGCAGTGGCACCTGCGGCGCTGATCATGCGGGTTTGTTCGGGAACATTCTGGTAGACGCTGGAGTCGCGGGCACCGGCGAGATCGGGGTGGGTCTCCCTCAGATACAAGTAGCCATTGAGGATGCTAACGAGCATGAGCGAAGCGCAGATGAGGTTTGGGAGAAGCCAAGGAAATTGACCAAAGAGCCCTTGTTTGGAAAAGGCATCTGGGTAAGACGCTGCAGGATCGGCGAAAATGCCGCCGATTGCAGGTCCAAGGATTGTACCAATGGCCCATACGAACGGCATGATGGCATATGCCTTGGGCTCCCACTCTGGCTTGGTTGTGAGCTCACCGACCATGGTTTGTATGACGCCTAGCAACCCGTCAGCTCCCGACCTGCATGGAGAAGATATCGAACGTGCCTACCAACATTGCCATTCAGCGCACCTCCGAGAACTCTACCTGCAAGAGCCATGGTAAAGTTTGTGGAAAAGCCGACGATCAACAGTGAAAGCATTGTTCCAAAGCAACCAAAGAGTAGAACTGGCCTTCTTCCTATGCGATCCGAGAGTCCTCCCCATAGCAAAGAGCAGAGAGCTTCGGTGAGGGAGAAAGAGGCAATGAGGACGCCTGCCCAGAAGGAGGGGTCAGCCATGCCGAACTGCTTGACCATGAGCCAGGCATATGGGAAGATGGATGTAATGGCGACAGGCTCGGCGAGGCGGCATATTGCTGTCATGAGTGGTTAGCCGAGTAGCCGCGGACGAGATGGCAGGTGTCAGAAGCAAGAAACGAGGCTGCGGACTCACCTAGCACGAGGAATTGACCCGTGGGGAAGGAGTCGTCCGAGGGCGATTGATTCTTTGATCGTGTAAGTCCCAACATCCTTGAAAATGCCCTATGTCTTACGACCTGTCCACCCCTCTGCGACTTTGGAGCCACAGCACCAGTCAGTCAGTGGGAAGGATGTCTGATGGCGAGTCCGCACAGATACCACCGTCGAAACAAGACAGCAGTGGTCGGCACAACAGTTCAAGCGGCAGACAACAGACCAGAATAAGTTGGGCGAAGAGCAGCAAGAGTGACCAGGTAAAGCAAGAATGAAAACAGAAGGGAAGAGGAGAGAACAGCAAAGACGGTGAGGTGGAGGCGTGACAGATGGGCAGCCAGCGCAGGTTGTTTTGCACTTTCTTGGGCGGGGATGCAAAGGTTGGGAGCGAGCGGGAGGAACCATCCTCATGTGGAACAAACAATTTGCTGCCAAACTAGTCATGAGACAAGCATCACCTCCCACAAGAGAACCAGGTGAATCCCTGGCTAACGTTCAGGCAGTGGCGAGACCTGGCGGTTGTGCTGCAAGCAACCATCTGATGGGAAAGAAAAGAATCATGGCGGGAGTCGAGGCACTGCGAGTCAGAGGCGGATCGGTGTGGATGCCAGGCGGCGAATGGGTTGCAACAAGGTGCTCACCGCCCGGGACCCTGCAGGCGGTGAGCGGCATCGTGCTGTGTTATTGGTGTGACGGGAAAAGATCGGTCGAGATAGCGGCATCCCGGAGCGGAATCCCGTATCGTGATTTGCCCGGTGATCGAAAGGTTTTTGCGCCTGTCGAGCCGCTAGCCGGAGAGCAAAATGCAAGGCCCAAGGCCATGCTAAGTTAATGTAGGGAAACCAATCCAGCGATCGCCCATCCAGCTGCAAGCGTTCACCACACACCATCAACACCAATGACACCAGCATCCAAAGCAGGTACAGAAAGCCAATTGGGGTTCCATTGAACACCAGAGGAGGCGGTGTTGCTGAGTACATATATCAGGTGAGGTAGGTATGTGCATCGGGGTCAGCTGGGGCGGAGGCGCAACAGATGCAGTCCTGACAAGAGTGTCGGCGTGAATACGGAGTACAATTTACCAAGAAAGTGCCTATCAAGGAGGCTCGTATCCATGACTAACAGAAAGTGTGGTGCACCAAGTCGGCAGGGTCGGTGACTGCTACGTGCACGGCACAAGTCATGGAATGTCCCAGAGCCGCCGGCCGACCATCCTCTCTCATTCTGTCTTCTCCTGTGCTCCATACGCCTCGACTGCACGGCGGGGTGACCCAAAAGATCCCCATGACACGTCTGCCGGCAGTATTTTGCAGCATCGCAGATTGTGATGGAGGGGTTGACGCAACGACCCACGCCGACTTCCGAGACTAACTCGTGTTAAAGGCGGTAAAAAACACCGAAGCACGGCCGGGCAATGGTTTATCTCGCACAGACTTTCCCCAATGCAGTGTAGAGCCAGAGGTACCTGAGAGCCTTGTCAAGCTCTTCCCAGCCTTGTCATGCGCCTGCACTACTGGGACGTTACCTCATCATTTCCTTCCTCCGTCATTGTGGCCTCCTCCTTTTTCTTTCGGAGTCCGAGCTCGGCCTCTCCCCTCAGCACCTTGATCAACATCATCGCTCGGTCTTGCCCCGCCGCCGTGTCCTTCCCCAAGTCATATACCACGTTGACGAGTGCCAGGGCAGCCACAAACACACACACGTCGCCTCCCCGAATGCCTCTCCACCATCGACGTTTGACGCCCACTTTCCACAAGGAATCAACACTCGTTCGTGCCGCATACAAGGAATTGGCATGGCCAGCTGGCGTTCGGTCGAACACTTGGAACATCCCGCCCAGAAACCCGCTGAGGAAGAATCGGAATTTGGGTAGAAATGCGCGAGGCAAGATCGCCTGGAATAGACAAATGCTCCCCCAAGCGGCGCCAATCGCCCCAGATACGGCTACTGTGGACCTCAAAACAGCCTCAGACAGCCCGTTGAGCGACGCCAGTGGTGCTTTGATCATCATCCTTAGCCGCAGCAATGCCAGCGCTCCGTAGTACTTGGTAAAGAACTTTGCCAACTGCGGGAACGAAATCAACATGTGCCGTATGTATGCCATGAAGCATGATGGGTCCGATGGGTGGAGGAGTGCACACGACAGATGTTGGATGCCTGGATGTGCCCGTGACGTGATGGGCGAAATGACGGGATCAATCCCTGCCGGTAGCGTCTGCACCTCATTGGGATGCAGGATTGGCGAAACAAAGTTGGGCCATCTCAATTGTGCCATTTGTGCAAGGGCGTCCAGAATGTTGCTGGGTGTCGGCCATACAACCTTTGATGAGAGGTTTGCCGGTCGAGGTTGGATATATTCTGGTGTGTATCCCAGGATGAAGGACCCATATGCCTCGGGGAAGCAGTCGCGGTCGAACACGAACGCGTGGAACAACTGCCCCTGTGCCAGAGCAAACAGCACCCAACTTCCCAGCCACGACGGCTTGTTCTTGACCAACGCCGTGTGCTCGATGGCGGCATATCCCAATTCGAGGGCTCGACAGCCCACGAAGATTGCAAGCGTGATCCGGAGCTGGTCTGCGGGACAGATGCCCAGAGCAAAACCTGACAGACTGGCTCCAAGAGCCGGCGCGATGCGCGAGGTGAGTGTTGCGTAGATCCGGGGATACCGCTCTCGAATATCTCGCACCTTCTCGTGGAGAAGCTGCAGTCTCAGTTTGGCCAAGATGCGATAGAGCGTTGCGTGAAAAAACAGGAGCGACGATAGTGACAGGGCCATCCTCGAGTGCGATGCCACGAGGGGTTTTCTCGAAGCGGTCGCGGTGGGAGATTTGCGCGCTGCAAGACGGTCTAAGATGGCGCCGAGCAGTTTGAGGGAGCCGAAGGTGACCATAAACACCCGCGACGCAGAGCGAAAAACAGCTGCTTTATGGTCGTCGTGGAAGGCGACTGATCCTGGGCTGTCCTCTTGCTTTTCATGCTTTCCGACATTCTGTGCTCTCGGCGACTGTCTCGACAGGAGTCTGCGTAGCAACTCGTACTCTCGCTCGTTCACCACAAGTCGCACGGGAAGTTGGTCGATCGCCATTTTGTGCTCTCTGTCACTCAGGGCCTTGAGGTCTTCTTAAAGCTGACGCGATCCACAGAGTTCCAATCGTGGCAGACAGAGCTTTGAGACGCTTCAGCCTCAGCCTTTCACTCCCCCGGCCCTTTATGTGATCCGTGATGCGATGGAAGACGGGCCAGTTCGAGAGTTGACCGCTGATGAGAACAGAAGGGCGAAGGCTTATCAGGCAGAAGATGATACCAATGACGACGCGGGTAGAGGTTGTTCAATAATCGAGATGCCTCGGTTTGAGGTTGACACACGTGGAATAGTACGTATCCACGCCTCTTGCTCCGCACTAGCTCTACGCTCGACCACGTTGAGAGTGAGATGCAACCCTCGAACGACGCACCTCAATCATTCCTCGACGTCCGTCCCCTTCGAGGCATGCCCACGAACGAACGAACAATGCTTCCGACTTTCCGGGCTTCCTAAAACCATGAACCTCCTCAACTTCCTACTGTCCCTCGTCGGCCTCTCGCTCATCCTGGTCGACCCGGCCCTCGGCGCGAAATCCACGGCCACGTCCTTCTGCAAATGCATCTGCTTCAACAACAGCACGATCATCGCCCTGAACCCGCCGCCTTCCTCCACGAGCGCCGCAGCGGTGCACAACCTGGCCGCTCGATCCCCCCACGCACTGGCTGCCGATTCCCCCGACGACGAGCCCGCAGCGCCCTCGCGTCCGCACCACAAACTCACCTGCGCAGACTGCACGCGGGCGTTCTGTCTCGACTATAACCTGCCGATCTGCAAGAACGCGCGGGACGAAGATGTCTTCACCACCTGTTTCCGTGCGTTTTCTCTTTCCCCTTTCCGCCTCCAATTGTGGTTTTGGCAGTGGAAATAATATCTCCTCCAAAAACTAACGAGAATTCCTTTCCTCACAGAGCGGGACTCCCTGAAAGACGAAACCGTCGTCGTGATCTTCATCTTCGCCACCGCGGGCCTGCTGGCCTGGGCCGTGGTCAAGCCCTGGGTCGATCGGCTGAGGGAGAAGAACACGTTTGCGCCGTTGCTGCAGCATGACCGAGGCGGCCGGGAACGGTACGCCTCCGGCGCGAGGGGACAGAATGCGCAGAGAACCTCGGGAGGAGGTGTCCTTGGCGCGGCCGGCTTCGGGGCCGACAGAACAGGAGGAGGAGGAGGAGGAGGAGGAGAAGAGGACGAATTTGGAGGCGGGAGTGCGAGCAGCAGGAGCCGGAGCCGGAATGGGAACGGAAATGGAAAGGCATCGCGGAGAGGGGGCCGAGTCGGCGGCGGACAGGCCTCTGTCCACCTCCCCTACGACGAGGACATGCACGCAGACCAGGATGCCATGGACATAGTCTCGGGCATGCCGTCGGGGTCCGGCTCTCGTTCCTGACGTTCCATGAGCAGCGTTTTGCATTGTAAACAAACCCAAGCGGCGGCCTTGTTCTTCTTCCGTCGGTTCGTCCTGTCCAGCTTTCCCAACGTGCAGCCGCTCTCGCCGGTGCTATGTATCGCTGGAGACATGAACGACCTTCCCTGGTCGTTCATCACCAATTCCCTCCGTCTGGTGTTTCCATGCTCACCCGGCTCGGAGGAGAGCTACGTACCATCCGGAAGCGCGCTCAAGCATCGCTTGACACCCGCATCTCAACCGTCCTACTCATCCGCGCCTGTACACTGACAAATCATTATGTATTGGAGGTTCTGTCTGTTTGGTCGCATGGTTGCATACCGACGCCTGCCATCCACGGTTCCGTCCCAACAGTTGCGAGATCTCACTGGAACTCCCTGAGCCATTCCCGCAGGCCGACACGCAGCGTAGAAGAGTACTAGCCATCGACTCAAATTCACTCCATATTAACATTGACCAACAGCTGACATATCTTTTCCTTTTTCTTTTTCCCGTGATCTGATCCAAATACTCCTGGCCCAAGCTCGATCTCGAAAGACACTGCTGTGCCGTACATATTTTCTAACCAGCCCATTATGCCCCATCCAAGCCCGCCATTTTGAAGTTCCCCCGTGCTATGCTGTAGAAGAACAAGGCACATACACACACATGAAAGAATCGCGCCTGCTGTAACGCTGTCATAGCCATTTCCATGCAAGTTTCATTATTTTGCGTCGGCCTCTCACTCTTTCTCCTCATTTGGACGAAACCAAGAACCCGACACGTTCCCGAGTCAGCACATTCCCTTCCGTGATCGACTCCTTCAGCCCAACAGCTTCCCAAGCGGCAGAGTTCGCCATGCGGTCTTTGTTTGAAATGCGAGACGCGTACATCTTTTGACGACGAGCTTCCCGTTCGGTGACAACATCGGCCATGAGTTTCGTGGTGGCAGCATCTCGAATAGTGGGTGCTTGGATGAAATTGTTGAAGACATTGAGATTCTCAAAGTCCACATTCAAAAGTATGTTAGAAGCCACCGTGTCCTTGAAGGTCGATGCGGGTGGCAGAATCTCGGACTGCGGAGACGACGGCGACATATCTGCCGACGAAGGCATGGAGCCAAACACCATGGAAGCCAGTGCTGGGTTGTGTTTTGGGCGACCATCATCGAGTTGAGGCAGGCGAGATGGGATGATGGTGCTGGTAGTAGAGGTGCTGTCGAGTTTGTAGTTCTTAATGTCAATGTGAGTTGCCAGGAATTGAAGGATGAGCTTGATGATGGAGCTGCTTGCGACGAGATAGTCTGATCCAATCATGTTCTTTCCGTGTGACGACATGGGTGAGTTAGCAAGCTCCATGGCAGCTCTGTAGGTGATTTCCAGAACGTCCCAGTCGAGGTAATTGGCCAGAAGCCTCTCTGCACATATGGAGACTGGTTCGAGACCAAGTTCTATCCCAGATACCCAGTAAGACAGGAGGTACTCGAGGTTGTGCACTCTCACCGCCTGAAAGTCAGCTCCGGGGTGTGGTTGGACGAAGAAGTCCTTTCCCAAGACTGTGTCTGAGTAGAGGAAGCGCAATGCAGCTTCAAAGGCGTGAGCCATGATCGGGCGAGCAGGATACAGGCTAATGACATTGCTAGGGTAATTGTTGTTAGCTTGCTGTTGGCGGGTCACCAGTCTCCGCAAGCGCAGGCTGCGGAAGAGAACGACTGAATGAGAGTAGCTAACAAATGGCTGTGCGTCGGTTGGGTTCACTTGGAGGAGGATGTCGACTCCTTCTTTCGTTGCGTTGAGAAGAAGTAGATGCTCCTGAAGTGAAGGGAGAGCGTTGAATGATCTTGGCACAGTCACAGGCGGTGCGTAGGATGCGATGGATGGCTGATGGTAACCATTGACTGCCGGATCACGAACTGCGTCCTGGAAAGAAGCCGGTGGCTGCGCATTTTGGTATCCTGAGTTTGTCTCTTCTGGCTGCGACGTAAAGGCACCACTTTCGTCCAGCGGCGATTGTGATGAACCACTCCCGTTCACATAAATCGATGTGGGGGTGGGTTCGGATCTTTCTGCGAACACTGCGCCTGAAACATCAGGTTCTGCTTGACGATTGTCACTCTCTTCAACTGGGCTCCTGAGAGATTCAGACAGATTGCCGTTTGCATCAGGGATGGCTTCATGTTCATAAAAACTTTCCGTTGCTGGTGGTTCGTCCGTGGGTTCTTTGTTTACACCTGCAACATTTGCAGCCTCACTCGTCGCGCTGACATCTTCTCTAGCTTTTTCACCATTGTCGTTAGCTTCCACCTCTTTTTCATTGTCCTCGTTATCTCCATGTGCTTCTGTAGCGAGTTCTTCTGGCGCAGCAGAGGGTGTGGGCTGAGGAGTTACAAGATCTGAGCCTGGGATAATGAGTCAGTGGAAATCGCATACAGCCTGTGGAAGTGCGCTGACCTGTGGACGGAGATATCACTTTCTCTTCAGAGACTCCATTTTGAGATACATCGGAACGGATTACGTCTGCTCCAGGCTCTGTGTCCCTCGGAAGGTTTTCATCATTGGTAACAGACCTGGGTGCTAAACCTGAGTCTTGCTTCTCGGGGTCAGGCTCCACTGCAATCGGCTTTGACTTCTGGGATTTAGAGCCCGGGATCAAAGGCAATGCTGGCTGCACTATGCGAGCGCGTGCCTTCCTGAGCGGCTTGTTAGTTGCGGAATTAGAGGCCATCTTGACTGAGAAACAACGGTGCAAGAGACGACCCCCAAGATGCGACCATGGAGGTTGGCTGAGTGAACAAGGAGGAGGAGCACTGAAAGAACGAGCAAGTTGGGCGCAGCAATGACTGCTGGAGACAACGAGAACTTTGCACAGCTGCGAGAGCGACAGTGAACAAGAGTGATGATGTCGGCTGTCTTTCCAAAACGAAAGCCTCGGAGGGGCAATAACCGTCGAACTTCGGGTTTTTAGCGACTACTTTCCCTTGTTGGGGTGCATCACCTCCGCACTTTCTGGCCAAGACCATCGGGAGCGGATTATCTATATCGCCGGAGGGCCGAGAGCAACGGAAACGCTCCGTCCTCGACGGTATTGGGAGATTCAAGAAGCAGGTCCATGGACAACACCAGACTATGGAGCTTGGACGACGGAGACATGTCCTCACAGACGGGTAACAGTGAGCAGGTACACCTCACCAGTTTGACCACAAAAGCTTTGTCGTTCCTGCTGTTGATGGCGCCGTCAGCTTCTCTTCTTGTGCTCCTACACACGAAAGCAGGGGGACCGGGAAAGTCCTAACTGACAAGGCCTATGCGATCTCGACGGACATGAAGAGGCAGGTGGCCTTCAAAATATTTCTTCAGAGATCAAGCATCCAGCATGACAGTCGCAGTCTTCACAACTACATGGATGCTACGTGAAATGCTCTTGGTAGGTCCAGTTCACCAGGCATAGGCCTGAACCGCATCCGCAACGACATTCTCATGGAACTCATCTACGATTATCTTTCAGTTCAGACGCGAGGCGGATGGGAGACACATTCTCGACCTAGTTCAGGACATCAGTCACAGAATGACATTTCTCAACAATCATGCAGATACGGGGTTTCCGGTACCTGGCCGAGCCACCACTGTGTCTGGGAATTGAAGGTCTTGAGTAATCATGAGCACGCGACCGCCTCGAAAAATAGAAGGTGCACAGCAGTCCTTATGGTATGCTCGGCACTTGTGCCCGTATTGAGTACGGAGTACATCACAAGTATCCACAGAAGACTGCCTGGACCTAGTCCAATATTTTGTCAGAGGGAAGACATTACAGCAAAGAGGGGGCCACCAGGCGGTGGAGAAGACTGCCTGCTAGGAAATTGCGTAGGTCCTATAGTCCTTTCTTCTGTACGAGTATAAGCCTTTGCTTCACAATTAGCAGGCTTACATGGAGACTCCGGAGCATCTACCCGAAGTCGAATGTCGCAACCAGCAAAGGCAAGTCTTCCCCGCAGCGACGATGGTGGTGCCAGCTGAGGAAGAACGAATCGGTGGAAGAGGTCCAAGGTAGATGTAATCACGCGGTTATCGCGGTCGTCGAATCGCTTGGACCATGTGGCAGAGGCACGAAATTACCTGTGAACAAAGTGGGACAATAGGCGAATGTGACGATGGTGGATGCTGCGTGTCATCGCGGTCAAGTGCCCCTTGGGATTTAACAAATCACTGCGATACGGATTCCCGGTGTGCACCCCGAGGTAGAAGACATGGCTTGTACGGAGTACATGGGTAGGTAACTGCGAGCCACGGTGCCAGAGACCTTCGATTGTTGAAGATGAGATGGTGATATGATGACGTCTTGCAGTAATTTGCCGGCAGATTAGGCGGCGTCAGGCCAGAAGCTGGAGGCGGGACTTTGGAAGAAAACCCAGGCGCACTAGACTCACCCAACCAACCTGACGGTGGAGAGACGGTCCAGTGCTAGAGACGGACCATTATTTTCAGACGCGAGAACGCGTCCATGGGAAATGATTGTTGACATCTGACCGTGTTCACGGTGAACCAGGCCTCAAAGTCAAAAGCAGATTTGGAGATAGCAACTGGGGCTCTCCAAGGACATTGGGAACGATATTTTGGAGACAAAGTCGATTGTATACTAGATGCGGAGTGCAGGGCAGAAAAGGACCGTCCTCACCTCCCTGGATGCAGAGAGGAGGATTTTCAGGTTTCAGACGCTGCCATTGGTGGTGCTGAGGCGTCGCGAGGACCAAAAATACCACACCAATATCAAGAGACGGGCCACTGGTGTTGTTCGGCGTCAAAAAGCAACTCGCAGAGCCACGGCATCATTGGTTTGAACGGGAAAAGCATGGCACAGAACGGCGAGGGTCGGCCGAGTCAGACAATCTCGCTCTCAGGGGCAAGGCCCATGGATTGGCTTTTCATTGGGCCTCAGATCCGGCCTCGCTGAGCCTTGAAGCAGCCATAAGGTTGTTCCCGAGCGTTCCCCCCATGTGGCTTACAGTTGGGGGCAGCAACGGCGTCCTCTAGCAAGGGGCGTTTAGCCAGGGACCACGGGCTAACGCTGTTCTCCCGGGGACGGTTGACCCAATGGCCGTCGTCCCAATCCTCGTCAATTCTCCCACCAGCACCAAAGCAGCGCAGCCAGGGAGCTTGAAGCCTCCGACGAGCCAGCCACGTTACGGGATGCAGTGTGATCCGAAGAAAGAACCCGAAGCTATCGAGCCATCAGAGCCATCAGAGCCATCATATATGCTCCGAGTGTGTACCTGACTGCTGGATTTCAGGAGACGGCACGCGACCGAGGCCCTAGAGATGTTTGCTACCTGCTCCTCCCACCGTCCCCTTTTTCCCTTTTGTCCCATTCGCGTTGTCAAGTCGGAGCCCCGTCCTCGATTCTGAGGGTAGAAGTCTCAACCTGTCGTTGTTTGCTTGCTGTTCTCTGCCCCATGCATGTGGCTAACCGCCCGGAGCTTCCCAGGCTCCCGTTTGGCGATGCATGTTCCCGAGATGGTGGCCAAAGTCAAAGAGACTCAGGAGGGCACACGAGGGACAACGGCCGATGGGCCGATGGCACTGGTACCTGGGCAGTTACTAGCTACTACTCGCACCCGTACTCCGTAGTCCCCTGTGCCTGGTGTCTAGGGCCTAATCGGGCGGCCATCACATCAATCTGCGACACGCTAGACACTCTTGCTGCTCTGGGCTCTCAGCTTCTTGACCTTCTTGACTCTCTTTGACGACCGGGTTGTCCCCTTTCGAATCGGCATCGTCGTCATGCCTCTTTTTGCCCATGCCAATGGCCACTAATGGTTTCTCTGCCTCTGCCGCTTCCGCATCCGCTGGTTTGGTGTCCAGCCACAATTTCACCTGCGACATCCTTCTGTCCACGCTCACCGCGCAGTCCTGAGATCGTCGCTTCCTGCTCCTTGATTGCTCTGCCAACCGTGTAACCAGCCCAGGTGATCGTCACTCGTTCTTCTCCTGTATTCCGTGACTTGAGCGCTGGGACCCTCGTGCCACCCACCGCCCTCGAAAATCCTTTTCGGGGGGGGAGGGTTCGATATTAATGTCGCCCATTTTCTCCCTGCTCGCCGTCCCATCTGGCATCTGTCAAGATCTCGAGGGAGAAAAAACTCTGTTTCGACACGCACTGTTTGATTAGCTCTAGCCTTGTCGCCTCGCCCGGTTAGCCTGCTTCACTTTTGCCCACTTTTTCAATCTTCCGCTTGCTTCAAAACGGCCGACGCGGTGGGGAATCAACGCCGCAGCGCTGGGTACGAGGGACTAGGTTCAACGAGTATACCCATAGCCCGGTCTCATATGCAGATCCTTGAGGGGTCTCTTGTGCTTTGCCCGACTTCGACGTCCTGTTCAGCCCTCTGAAATCTCCGTCAAATCTTGTCCAGCGTGTCAACCCTGCTTCTGGTCCGCCGCACGCGTTTACCCTGCTTCGACCCTGGACCTGGACCTGGACCTGCTCCACCGCCGACAGAGCATCACACGCACGCACGCACCGCACACTTGGAAACCTTCTTTCTCTCCCACATTGGCTCTCGTTCAGCCTTCTCAGCGTTGACTGCGACTGCTGGCTAGGGGCTTCGTTTTCCTCAGCCTTCGCTCTTTTTCAGAAGCCACGCGCGCTGTTCTTCTCGGCTGGTCCAGCAATCCCTTCCTTGTACAGAGTATCAATCCTCGGAGCTCGACGCAGCCTGCTACCCGATCAGCCTCCAGGGTCAACATCGTTCCTCCAACTGGTCGTTTCTCTCTGCCCTGCAGCAGCGTTTACCGGAAACGGCTCCTCCTACTCCCTCTGACTGCAGCCCAGCCTGCGCCTTTCCTTCCCCCTCCACCCTGGTTCCTCAACCTGGTCGACCTGGGTGTCAAAAGTCTTATTCATGCTGACTTCGACTCTTGAGCTGCGACGCGCTCTCCGTCTCGACTTCTTCCAGCACTGATGGACTGTTGAACACGTTCATTTGTCTCGACATACCTCTGCCGCTCTTTTTCACCTTCAAGGAATCCAGAACCACATTCGTTTCCAGTCTCGGCACTGCACATATTGTCCTGGACAGCTTCTGTGCCATCACCGTCTCAGATACATCTACCCCGGGAGACAGCCACTTCCTGTGACAAAGTGACAATTGCAGGGAGCATAAACTCCAAGAGAAGGGCACCAAACGACATTCAAGACACCTCCAAGATCGCCCACACCGACTGTCCTCGACTTCTCACGCCCTCGACGGGACTAACTGACTTGCGGTTGACGGGCTCAATCGCCAATCCCGAGATACTTCCTCTTGTTCCATACCTTCGTCTCAACCCGGTGTCCTTACCCAGCATCTTTCTAGATGGAACGATCATAATCCGTTCTTTGCAGAGTCACTCCTTTACATTCTGTACGGGCTCAGCGTTGGACTTCCCGCGGTGGATGTCTTTGGCTGACCGGATTTATCTAGTTAACTCACCTGATACACTCTTTTGTACCTGACTATTTCCTAGTCGTCCGATATGGCGGTCTTCAAGAAGAAGCCGAAGGCAAAGGATGATACCTATATCATTCCCCCGGCTGCGTCGTCAGACCCAGCCCTGCCGTCAAAACTATCCCGCAGTTTGAAGCGCAAACAGAAGAATGTGGTGGAGCCAATGCCCCAGATTGACCTTACTACGGCGCTTCCAGATCAAAACGACTTTCGGACCAGTCTACTCATGCCTGGTCTGTCCGCTCGCTTCAGCATGCTCCGAGAGCAAGACGACCCGAATACCAAAGTCGGCAAGGCTAGCGACGATAGTGTTTTGTTTCCCAAGAGAGCCTCGAGGCTAAACTTGTTCTCCCACAATCCCTTGACGGATATTGCCGAGACCGAATCAATCCAGACGGCGTTCAGGGCACCATTCTCCGACGAGGAACGTTCCTACTCTCCCTTTGAAGGAGCTGGATATGCCAGTGACGATGCCGGGTCCGTCCTGGCTAGGTCAAGGCCTGTGGACGGCAACAACCTTTTTGGTGGTCGGCAGAAGATGTACCGGATCCCGACCGCGAGTGGATCGGGCTCGTCCAGGGATTTGACAGAAGGCCCCGTACCATTGACGTCTGGAAGGCATGTTTACCAGAATGATGTCGTCCTGTCCCCGTACCAACAGATGCGCCTCAAGGCTCGGGAGGAACAGGAGCGCGAGGAATCTCGCGAGAGGCCCGCAAGTGCAGGAGCTGAAGAGCCTGATCGCAGCAGTGTCATTAACACCCCTTCCACGGGATTTAGCAAGAGCAGAGGAACGACATCGTCCACAGCCTCGGGACCTTCGAATCGGCGCACCTCGACGGCTGCCACGTCGGTGGTGTCGGATACGCCGCACCCTAGGCAGAGCAACACAAGTGCCGGCTCAAACAATCGGATGCAGGGTTTGGAATTTGGCAGCGAAGAAAACCTGCTGAAGCGAAACTTTTCGTCAGACTCTCGAAAAGGATTTCCGGCGGCGGACAATCAAGCCCAACCTCCGCTCCCTATGTCTCCATCGAACAGTCGTCAAGTCTTTCAGTCAAGCAGCGTCACCAACCTCGCGGACAAATATACTCATGGTGCTTCTCCGTTCTCCACGAACGCCTTCCGAACAGCAAGCCCGCCTCCAGCTCTCCAAACACAGGCACTGGCTTCGCTCGACTTTGGCCTCAAAAGCCCCAACAACCATCCACGTAGATATCAGGCAGCCTCTCCAACGAACGACGAAGATGATGGACCGATCTACAAACAAAGTCTTCAGCCCAACGACCGCGGCAAGGCTACTGCGATGGGATTATTCAACCGACCGCAGCAACAGTTTGACGAGGCAAAATTCCAGGAGCGGCAGCTGCAAATGCACGGAGGCAGGATATCGCCGCCCACTGACGGTCCAGACTATGGTGGGATTGCAGAGCGTCAGAACGTGCCCGGTCGAGTCGTGCTCCCGACCATTCCAACTTCTCCTCTCAAATCCTTCCGCGGGCGGGAATCCGGCAGTACTTCTGCCACTACTCGTTCAAGAGCACAGTCAACTGCTTCTTCTGTCAATCCAGCACAGGTCCACGCGCAGGTGGAAGCACTTATCAGGCGCCAAAACGAGGAATATTCGACACTTCAAACTCAGAAATCCACAACCGCCGAGCCAAATCATCCTCCGGCGCCGTTGCAGCCTCCTAGGTCACTGAGGGAGCAGCCTGCGGCGTCCAGGGGAACGTTTTTCGACACTTTTGATGGCAGCGATGAGGATGATGCTGACAGCCCCATGCTGGGCAGGTACGAGCCGGCACCGAGGCTTGCACCACTGGATGTCCATCCAGCTCTCCGGAACGGGTCACAAGCTTTTGACTTTGGCGAACATGTCGCGGCCACTATCAAGCCAGGCCGACCTCAGTCTAATGTTTCAGAGGATACTTCTTCTCCTTCCGTGACACACGATACTCCCGATACCTCAGATTCACTCCACCGTTCGTCTCACACGAAGGCCCAGGATTCCCCGACTTTTGGGCCCACAACCGGACTGGGGTTGAGCGGTTTGATTAGAACTCACTTAAGGCACGACAGCGACAGATCGTCTGTGATGCCGCCACCTTCTCCGGGACAGCCTCCGTATCAATCAAACTTCTCTTTCAGCAACCCTCGTGACCGCGAACCCTCTCTTGTTTCCATACCCACCGGCAAATATCGAAGCCCTGAACGTGAAAGGGAGCCCTCTGTAGCGTCTACTCAACCGGGCAATTACCGCTCGTCTCTTCGCGACAGGGAACCGTCAATTGCTTCCACGGCTCGTACAACCAACCCACCAGAAAGCACGCACAGTGATCCTTGGGAGTTTGATAACGCCCATCGCACTGGACGGAGTCCGCTCGAGCCGGTGCAGAACGATGCCATACCTTCCATGTCTCAGAAAGCACAACAGATTCTAGGCCAGGCGATATCCCATCGGAACCAAGCCTCGAGCAAGACACAACAGGTCTTGGGTGACGATGCACCAGGATCAGGCGAACAACATCACCCTGCGAATAGACCATGGCCACCATACGATGCGCTCTCTCATCATCAGCGAGGAGAAAGCACAGAGACTCAGAAAGAATTTGGCAATGAGCTGGCTGAGCGCGCAAGAAGAATTCAAGAGGGTCTCAAAGGAGTCGCAGAAGCCGAGAAACGATCTCGAAGCCAAGATCGCCAAAATCCCGCTGCACAAGCCTTACATGCTCTCCGGCACAAGACAAGCAAAACGTCCCTCGTGCCTCGGGCCAATGAGCCTCAACCCAAAGCTATGAAGATGCTTGGGATAGGAGTCGGCCCCAAACCAGAGCCTATGGGACGATCACCAAACATGGGAGCGAGAGGCGACTACGACTTTGATCAAGGATACGACGAGCATGACAACCGACCCACCCCCAGGCAAAGGCCTGCAGAGTTTGAGCCCCCAAGTGGCAGACGGACTCCCGGGTTCTCGCGGCCTGGACCAGGACCAGGACCAGGACCAGGACCCTATCCCATGAACTCAAATGAAGATCTGGAGAGACGCTACCAGCGCTCTGCGACACCGACCTCTATGAGGCCAAGGCGTGATCGAGCAGAGTCCGAGGCGGCGGAGAGATCGAGAAGTCGGAATGGTCGGTACAGAGACGAACCGCCATATCCGCCAGGGGAACATGTTAGACCAGGCCCGCCTCACCTCCCATTACACCGAGAGCAGCAGCAACGTCCCTATGGTCCTTTTGATGGGCCACACGGCTATCCTGGCCCTCATCCTATCCGAGTGCCGCTTCGTGGTCCGCCTCCTGTCGATCCACGAACATATGAGAGGTCTGCGTCGGCCATGTCAAATAGACAGCCGAGTGCAACTCGGGGCGGACCAGTTGGCTTTTACGATGGACGTGCGGCTACGCCGACAATGGGCGGAACTCCTCAACTTGGACCAGGCCCGATGCAGGGTGCAGCACCGAGGCCATCTCCTCGACCGCCTTTCCCACATTCTCCTATGAGTCCTTTTACATCTCCACCTGGGATTTCACCTGGTCTCTCTGGTCCGGCTTCCGGCACGCTCTCTGCTCTGCCGTCTCCGTCAGGTCCTCTACCTCAGCAACCACCTACAGGGCGCTTCACTCCTGTCGAAGGGCGATCCACGCCAATAGGAAGCCGCAAGAAGTCCGTCACCAAGGGTATGATCTCGGAGCCGACATTCATCTCCAGCACTTCATCGGTCCCCCTGGTCGGCTTGCCAAGCGGGCCAAGGCCAAGTCAAATTGCAAGCCCTCCTATTCCATCAATGAACCCACGCCGTCGCGGGAATACCATGACTGAGCGACCTGACGGATACCCTAGCCCCCGGATGCCCGCATCGCAGATGCCAGCGATGCCTGACTCTCCAGGTCGTGGAGGGTTGCCCATGTCGGCTACGCAGCGGGGCTACTTCGATCAACAGCAACAAATGCAACAGAAGCCTCCCCCGCGCCCACGTAATCGCCTCCGAAAGATCAGCAGCGAAGGTGGAAGCATGGCAGCTCGCGCGCGGAACCAAGCCATGATGTCTGAATTTGGCCACGAGAGGCTTCGGAGCCCAGCGATGCCTGTGTTTCCCAACCGAAGCGCTACGTCTCTCAGCATTCACCAAGATGGAGGCATGTTCTGATGTCGAATGTTAAACACCGCAACATCCATGTACCTCAATTTACAAACACTCTACAACTTACTCTTCACTATTTACCGTCCTTCCAAGTCATCTACCTCTTTTACTGTCGAACATAAGCAGCTTTGTGCGAACGTGCTTTTCATATGCGCAACGCCGGATCTCGAAAAGCCAAAAAAATACCTGAATCCTTCACGATTGAACTATTTGACGGGATTTCGAAATGTAACTTGCGATGGTTGAAATGGGAACTTAGATATCTTTTTTTTAACTGTGTTATTCGACGACTTGGAACGCTTTCTTTGTTCAACCACTTTCCGAATTTCACGGAATACGACTATGGGCGGCTATACTCTGTTTTGATTTTGGTTTGCGAGGAAAAGAATATTTCTGCTTTGTCGGAAGCGTATGTGCTTGGACCATGTTGATATTGGGCCAGCCGCCGTTGAGGTTTAAGGTGTATGGGGTGCGATCCCCAGCAGAGGCTGGATATCTACTTTTCTATCTGTGTCTGAAGAGGGACGGCAAGCAATATCAACATGCCACGCACATACATATATACTGGGTACATATATATAGCTGATATGAGTCTCGCGACTCGGGGTGCGACGCTGGAGCGGACGGGGCAGTGTGTATGTATGGGAATCAGTTGGAGAATGAGATATTTGTTGAAAGTAAAGTCTGTTTCTGACGAGAAAGATTGGTCTTTGCCGTAGATGGGAGTGTGCGATATACCCGAGGACATGCGCTCGTGTTTATACAGTGCTTGTCGACAGGACTAAGCACACCTCGTATACGGAGTACATTGTGTGCTCGGTACATTTGTTAGCTTGTGTACCGATTATTACGTATGGGACTATAGAGCTATTAATTACACAGGTACGTAGCATGTATGCAGCAGCCACGAAAGACGAGGCGAGGCGAGGCTGAGATATATTTTGAGTCCTCGTCCTCGTCCTCGTCCTGATGGTGTCAGCCGTGCATATACTAGTATGACCATGACCATTGACCAGGTATGATATGAGAACAGACACATTATTGATCGATCTGATATTGAGAGTGATAGTGATATTGATTCGATTCGATTCGATTCGATTCGATTTGAATGAACCATTCCAATTCATCAACACCGGCAGTTCTTACAGGATTTTTGTGTGACAATGGCGGGGGCCGGATCACAAACTTTGTTCTGAAATGTTCTCGGACAATCAATCTGCCATGCAAGACCACGCCATGCCATGCGCGATGCTTTCTCTTTTTTCTCCCCTTTGCTCATCCTCATCCCGCCTCGGCATCCATGCACGGTCATTCCACTGGTTCTGTTTTCTGTGTCGATCAATCAACCAACGGCAAACGCAATCCAGTATAGCGACGGGAGTAGAGAGGGAGTAAAAGAGCAGAGCGAAAGAGAAAAAGAAAAAAGGCCTTCGAATCTCTCAGATCATGTAGCGGTACCCCTTCTGCAACCGTCTCGCGGCCGCAAGATCGATGCCCTCGATCTCCGCGGTCCGTCTCAACTTCTGCAGGTCGCGCTCCGTCAGCGGCGTGTCCTCGTCCTCCATCCTCTCCAACCGCTTGTTCTGGCGAGTCAGCTTGATGCGCATGCTGATGCCCATAATCGCCGCCAGGACTTGCAGGCCGATGTTGATGCCGAGGGCGAGGCGGTAGTACGGCACGTCCTGGTCGCGGTACGTGTACGGGGTCCAGATCGACGCCGAGTTGCCGATCGAGTTGATGAAGGCGAATGCGGCGGCGCGCTTGGCCGGCGGGCGGGGGATGGCCGAGGCGATCCACGCGTAACAGGTGCCGTTCATGGCAAAGATGAAGATCATGAGGAACAGGCTGAAGTAGCGCGGTCCAAACGAGTCGGTGGTCATGAAGATGATCCAGCCGACAATGGTGATCGGGATCGGGTACATGAAGAACCAGAAGCGGTTTCCGACCCGATCCGACACCACCGAGTGCGCGAACGAGTAGAAGACCATGAAAATGTACGGAGGCGCGCAGAGGAGAAGCGAGATGATGTGGTTGTAGCCGAGAGTGGAGGTGAGCGTAGGGAAGAAGTTCTGGAATCCAGCGGCTCCGGTAATGCTCATGTAGGCAATGGCAAGCATGTAGGTCTTGGAGTCCGTCATGGCGAGTTTGAAGCCCTTCCACTGCGACATTCCGCCGGCTTCGTCAACGTCGGCTTCGGCGGCTTCAATCGCAAGCCGGCGGTTGGCCACGTGCATCATCTCCGGGGCGAGACGCTTCCAGGTGCTGGGGAAGTCGGGGAGGACAAAGATGATGACCAAGCCGATGAAACATGTGATGGAGCCTTCGATAATGTAAAGCCATTGCCTGAGGAAACGTTAATATAACCAAGGGACGATCGACCGGCACACCCGTGCGAAGCTCAACTCACCATGCTGACAAGCCCATTTCACCAGCCAACCCACTGAGAATACCAGCCGCGATAAGGTTTCCGAATGCACCGCTGATGAGGGAACCAGAGTAGAAAATGGACATTCGCAGGTTCAATTCCTTCTTGGTATACCACTTAGAAAGGTAGAAGAGGACGCCTGGCGCAGTTAGCATTTGTGTGGCGTCATTATCGTAGAGGGAAAGCGTCCATACCTGGGAAGAAAGGTGCCTCGACCATACCAAGCATAAAACGGCAGGCGACAATTCCTCCATAGCTCTTGACCTGAGAAGTCAACGCCGACACGAGACCCCAGGCGCATACGAAGAAGCCCAGGTATAGAGAAGGGCGACCGAGGTGGTTGAGCAAGAGGTTAGACGGCACTTGAGCCAGGATGTAGCTGACGAAGAGAATGGAAAGACCTGGGGACGAGATGTCAACGTTTATGCATAATGCCGATGGAGAAGTCAACCTACCAGTCTGATACTGATCACCATGCAAGCCCAAATCATCCTCGAGACCCTGCAACCGAGCGGCAGCGTAGTTGTTCCTGGACTTCCTGTCAGCTCCAACCAGTTCGACAGCTTTGTGGATGTCATGATTTACCGATCAATGTAGTTCATCAAGTAGACCAGCACGATCAAGGGCATGATCCGGAGATCGATCTTGCGGACGAGTTTCTTCTCAATAGCAAGCTCCTCTTCGGTAAGGGCGCCAAAGTGCATGGCCTCATCGTGAGAGAGGCCAGCCTTCTCCCCGAGGACGTCGTGGTCGAGGACCACACCGGCACCTCCTGATTTGATATCACCCATTTTGTACGACGGTATCAATGCCACGGCTTAGGATACACAGGGTGCTGGGAGAAGGAGGAGGAGAACCGAGCTGCGAGGATGCAGGATCGTCATGCCTTTTAAGGGAGCGGAACTGACTTCATCACTTGCACGCGGCCATCCTCCCCCAGGCTCGTGGAAGCGAAGTCCCGTCGTGTTGCCACGCAGAGATGGAGAAATCGTGGGGACGATCATGCCATGGGGCGGCGAGTCGGCCACTCGTGACCCTTGTGCATGCTGGTAGCTCCAGGTTCTGAAATCCGGGCGGGTGCAGCGCAACGTCTGGGCTGACGTTGTGGAGGCTGTCAAGACTGACAAGATTGTCAAGACAAGAGCTTCGACGGTAAAACACCGGTGGCCTTCCGACGGAACATCAGAGAGCGCTCGTGTTCATCTGATGCAACAGAAGCAGGGTGGCTGCATGGAACGATCTTCTTGGAAGGTCACAGTTGTGGTATGGTTGGGTGGCCATAGTCAAGATCTCCGCCCAAGCCCAAGCCACCCGCTCCCCCAAGCACCAGGAAGCAAGAGGGGGGGGCCAATACCCGTCTGGCCATTCCCTCCGCAGTTAAATGGAGGCGTATAAACCTAACTTATTTCGACCCCCCTGGAGCAGCCTTCTTCTGGTTATTGCTGGGCTTGGGTGGCACACGGTCTGGCGGCCGTCACCGATCCGTGTCCGGCCCCCGGTTGACTGTGGCCCTTCTTCCCCCACAGAGGCGTCAACTCCACGGGGGAGAGTGTTTGCCCCCCAAACTATACCGCGGGAGCAGGCCAGACCGGCCTTATTGTAATGCCCGTCCCTGAGTAGAATCACCAGCTTCCGACGGCGTCGAACCTTCTTAGGGCAACTCCTAACGTGATTGTAGATATAGATATAGATACAGAATCCACAAGGACAATTACCGAAACACCTTGCCGGACTGTGACCCTCACGCGTTGCATCGGGCCTGGAAGGCTAATGTAGGCTTGAGGTGAGTAATCTCAAGAAGACAGCTGTTGGAACAAAGACCCTCTCGGCGTCGTGTCGCATGTGAAGATATAGCGAGGCCTGAGCGAGGAATCCTGGAGAGGACGAACCAGTGTTCCCCTTGGCTCTGGACAAGCTCCCAGGCGACAAAGACCGCAACCTCGTCGACCGAGAGTTTCCCTTTTGCCACATGCAAAGCCTATGGATTCTGCTTATAAGGCCTCCGTGGCTCCCGGACAGGATGCGTTCGATACTGCTTAGAGAATACATTAGGCTAATTGTTAGTGCGAATCCTAGACAGCCAGTGCCATGTACCGAGTCGTCGAACACGTCTCATCCCACCGCCTCGAAATGTTGATGGCTGGGCGAGCTGTTGTCGGCAGTGTCTAGACCGGATATCAGCCCACTTCGGTGCAGGTCAGAGCGGCGGAGCTGAGTTGGGTAATTTGCAAATCGGTATATACTGAGTAGAGACTTCGTGACTATGTGTGGAAAATCCTCCAGGTCGAATAATGTGACAGCTGTCAGGAGGCAGTCGTCCTGGCTGTTGCTCGCGCTATGGTCTCCCACAGCCATCGTCACCCAGACGATCCCGAGACTGGACTTTGGGTGTTCATTCGATGATCGAATCAGAGTAAATGGGCGAGATTAGTCGACTAGAAATTGCAGCGGAAGACTGCTTTGTCTCGTGGCCTGCATCTCCGACACCCGATTGCCGAACGCGATTTGCCCCCTTTCCGGCACTGAGTCGCGCTGCACTGCTCAGGGTATGCTCAGAGAACAGACCATCTGTGTGCCAGGTCGGCATCAGATGCCAGTTGGTATCGCCAAGCGTTTGTTTGATAACTGCCGTGCGGTGTGGCTTGGGTTAGAGTTTTGGTATTTGCACGCGAGCAGACGTAGGACCGGGCGAGACATCCCGGCTCGAAGTCTGCGTGCTGCTCTCTGCTCACACGTTGGGACTAAGCAAATCGTACTTGACGCACATCTCAACACTTTCCGCGCTGGCCTGGAAGAACCTGCGCGCTTCGAGTCCGACCCAGATCTTCAGTAATGAGAAATCGCCTTCCTTGAAGCTCTTGAGCACGGCTCCGGGGTCGGAAGATCCAAGTTGCCGCAGAATTGGTAGGGCACTCTGGAAGAGATCAAGATCGGGATCTAGTGCCCTTCCAATACCCTCCAGAAGCAGAATTGAGATGACCACATTCACAAAATCACCTTCCATCCTGACATGATGGGCCCGTACCATTCCGAGAACTGAAGAAAGAACATCGCCGATTTTGACATTGCCCAGAGCAAACGTTTGGCCCTTGACGGCCAGGACGAGATGCTGCATCTTGAGGGCAAAGACTTCACCGTCGATAACGGCATCAGGCTGACGGCATCGTTCAATCATCAGATGCCCAGCCTTGTAGCCATCGAATTCGGCAACGGCACGGAAAAGATCCAAGAAATTGGCTCTGTTCTTGGCGTTGAGTTCGGTGACGAGGCCGGTGTCGATAAAGATCAGTTGTGGTATGTAACCCTCCTTGTCAAGTTGATCCAGGGCAGCTAGCCATTCCCGCTTTTTGCCGACATACGGACGCAGCCGCGATAGAACTGCCTCGGACTCATCGATTTCGGAAGCTGTCGCTGGCTGAGATGCGTCTTGTCGAGACATGTAAGCAGGTAACTTGACGTCCAACCCCATGTCCGGGTGGACTGGCTTGTAGAAGTTGACCATGATGTTGCCGGGATGAAGGTCGGCATGAACAAAATTGTCTATCAGGAGCATGTGTAAGAAGGCGTCTAATCCCTCGTTTGCAATGTCTTTCTGAAAAGCGCCACCTCCGGATTCTAGAAACGCGGCGAGCGGAAGACCTTGAGCGAACTCCTCCACCAGAACAGTGCGAGTAGTAAAGTCTGTATATGGATAAGGGAACCATGCTGTGGTTCGATGCTGGAAGTGTTTCCGAAGAATTGTCAGATTGGCGGCCTCGATCCGGAGATCCAACTGCAGCCTCATCATCTCGCCAAAGTTGTGGACTTCGTTCGGGAGATCAAGCCACTCTAAGGTCGGGATAGCATTGATGATTGCGGCAAAGACGGCCATAATCTTGAGATCCCGACGCACGTTTCGTTCCACCTTTGGATGGAGGACCTTGATAGCGACATAGGCTGAAGGGACTCGTTGTGGGCTTGACTTGACGAGGGCATCCACATTCCTCCTGATCCGATCCCTCAGTCTGTGTTTGTCTTGCGCTTCGAGGTCGCTATCATCTGGCTTTGCGAGATCCGGCTTTAGCCTTGCCTTGTACACCTGAGCGATGGCTCCGACGCCGAGAGGCTTCTCATCGAACTCCTCAAAGATTTCGTTAAATGCCCTTCCCCCAAATGCTTCCGAGATGGTCTTTATGGTATGCCGGAGAGAATGGGCAGGAGCATTAGAATGCAGCTCGGACATCTGCCTGCACATCTCGGCGGGGAAAATGTCGCTCCTGGACGCAGCCCATTGACCCAGTTTGATGAAAGCAGGGCCTGCTCTCTCCATGGAGCTCACAAGAAACCCATACCACCATATTGTCCCCGCTCTTTCGTTATCGTGATCTTTTCTCCTCGGACCTAGGAATGCAGCGGGGATGGTGACGATGACGGGGACGAATATGACGAGCAAATGACAGAAGCGCAGGCTCGTGGCAAGGGGTTCGTATATCCACTGGTCGAGGATGTAGATGATGCTCTTGTACAGTCGACGCGAGCCGTAGGCGTCGTCGGGGACCTTCTTGCTGATCTCCTCCCTCGACACCTCCAACATTTTGATTTCTCGAGTCTTGCCACCGTCATTTTCCTCCCCAAGTTGAATAAAGGCTGCTGGAGAAAGAGCGGCCGCGGCAGCCAGAAGAGATGGAGTGCGCCGCTGACGGGGGTCTTTGAGGCTGTATTTTCTGGTCCACTGGGAGAAGGACTGTTGGCGTCGCGGGTTGCGGACGCGGCTTGTGAATCGAAAGGCGTGCACATCCCTCCGGCCACAGAAGCGGCCGAAAAGGAAAAAGGAACGCATCAAAGACGACAACGAGGGCTCCTCTATCACTGATCCATGCAAAAGTTGGAGAGAGAAACATGAAGCAGCCTGGTGCTCAACAATTTTGATGCCGCAGCTGCAACAATGACGTCGCGTTTTCTACCCGCGTTTCCGCTGCGCCGCCAACCACGAAGGACAACTTGCCAACCGCCAATTCTCCTCTCTTCGTCGTATTCAGCATCTGTCTCCTGGCAGGCTCAGGCAAACAACCCATTCCCCTTATCTAGATCAGACTGGTCGAATACCGATACAAACATCGTCCGCAGTCAACTGGCGCACTCTGTTCCCTTGCGTGATCTTCTTGACTAGACCGTGGGGAAAAAGCAAGCATTCAGACCCAGCACATTCGCTTTTTGCTACTCGCCTTCGATGTCTGCATGAGAGATTGCAATGCTAGGCTCCGTCCGATCCTCTTGATCCATGATCTTTCCGTTGCTAGGCCACCTCGTCGCACTCCGAGGCCCGATTGTCGTTGGTCTTTGTTAGCGAGCTGAGCACCGCCCGCCTCAGCCTTGCGGGCACCTAATTTGGGATCTCAGGCCCCGACCTGAGTCAGATGAGCGGCCCAGACGTTGATACCATCCTCATATTTCCACAGTCGCGGCTCTGTGTCTGTTGTTCAGATGCTGTTTGGGATTTTCATCTTCACCTGTTACACGCTCGTTGCTCAAAGCACGCCAGCACTCACGGAGTCTCCCCACCAAGAATGCCCTCAAGCTTGAGTTATCTCGTTTCCTTGCTTCTCTCCACCTCCGTCCTCCCCTCTTTCATCAGCGCCCAGTCAAGCACCCAATTCGGCCAATGCGCCGACAACTGCGTCAGCACGTACCCGATTGTCAACCACTGCAACGGCACCGAGACCGGCACCGCGCTCGACGAATGCAAATGCGAGAGCTACTCGCCCTCCAACGACCCGCTGATCAACTGTGTCCTGGGCTGCCCGTCGGACCAGCAACTCGCATTCGCCGACAGTCTCCCCAAACTCTGCGCCCAGACATTATTCCTGGGTCTCGATCTGTCGGACCAGCCGAAGCCCTCGGCGGAGAATTCGGCAGCTAGCGCCACGGTCGACGCGGCCAAAGCCACAGGCACGACCAGCGGCAACAGTGCAGCTAGCTTCGCAGCCGGTGCCAACATGCTGGGATATCTCGCCTTGACCTTGGGCATCGCCGTGTTGTTATGACGAGCTATTCGGGGAGGGCCTGGGTTTGGTTGCGCCACTCTCCCTCGCAAGCCCTTGGTCACAGCACAGACGGTGGTTCATAAGATGAGAGGCCGCGTATATCCCACTTTATGCAAAGCGTTGGCGCCACGGGATGGAAGGCGACGTCTGGGATTACGGGATTGATCGAGGAGTTCTAAGGGAGTGAGGGAAAGCGTCTTTCTCGACAGTCCGGCGTTGGATATACATCAAAGAGAGTGTATTTTGGGGCCACTACGTCGTGGAGAACAGGACACACGTACTGTACCTATCTCTCAGCATTTAGAATGTGGCGCTAGGGAGACATGTATAAAGATGCCCAGTGCAGAGTTCACAGAGAGGTCTCTTTCACCCATGTTGATATACACATCCATCGCTTCGAAAGACAGTCTAATTCAGTGCACTCGATCTGGCTATCGGTATATACCTTACAGAAACCCATCGTGAACCAATGTACCCTCCTAGAGGTGCAATGTGGTCGCCCAACGCCGCCATGCCAATTCCTTCCACCGCCCATCGTCGCTATACCATCACATACTTCCACGCAAGCCTGTGTCGTCCGTGTCCGCCTACTAACCCGGTCTACCTCGTATGCACCCTGGCTCGCCAGGCAGGCAGGCAGGTAGGTAGGTAGGTGGTGACCTCCATGTAGCTGCACAGGTATCTACAGTATCTATCTATAGTTATCTACTTCTCCGCCGACCCAGAACTGGCACCAGCACTGGTATGACCCTGGCCCCCCAACGCCTCAGCCCCGCCGACCGCCACGCCGCTGATCCAGACGACATTGTCCTCGAGCACGGAGTTGCCCTCGCGGATGTAGCGGAAGCGGGCGCGCCAGACCCAATAGGCGCCCGGGAAGAGGATGGTGGCGCCGACGATCAGGCACGACCAGTTCATGTAGTCGATGGTGGGGATCGTGACGGGCACGTACAGCGGGCACAGGTACATGACGATGACGATCAGCGACCAGCACACGGAGACAATGTTGATCGGGTAGCCCCAGCGGCCGAGGTCGAAGTGCGGGCGCGGAGGGAGGATTTTGCGGCCGCGCAGGAGGACCTACAACGCACACCAAGAACAATTGCCCCGTGTCAATGAATGGCTCCCTCGTGTGGATGGATGGATAAACGCGGGCGTCGATGGGGGAGGATGGGACGGTAGAAAGGGGGACGTGGGGAAAATGAGGCTCAGGGGCAGTGAAGGAGGACGATGGAGAGAGGAACTCGATAAGATGATGATGATGATGATAAGGAGAAGAAAGGAAGGGGAGCAACGCACCACTATCACCGGCGTCACATAGCCAATCTGTAACGTCACGCCGCCGCCCGAAATGATCGACTCAAACGCCAGATCGCTCCCGAGCACGATGAGCCCTAGCACAAATCCCTCGTCAGCATCATCCTCAGCCCCAGGGGTAAAACTTCGAGCTGTGTCGATTCCATTTCTCAAAAGGAAAAGCACGCACCAATCACCAGGTCCACGACCAGAATGGCAATCATCGCCCGCAGCGGGATGTGGAACCTCTCACTGACATGCGCAAAGTAGTCGGAGTAGGGAAAGGCCTTGTCGCGGGCCATGCTCCAGGCGAGGCGGGAGCCGGCGTTGTTGGTGCCGACGATGATGAAGAAGTTGAGCCCGATCATGATCAGCGCGCAGAAGATGCCACCGCCGTAGACGCTGTTGCAGATGTCCATCCACCAGTTCATATAGGGCTGGGACGCTGGGTGGGTAGCGGAATGTCAGTCCAGGACGGTGGCGACAACAGAAGCCAGGGCTCAAGCGTACCGAGCATGTACTCTTCCCAGTTGCCGGCCGTCCAGAGCATCAGCAGCGCTGCCAGCCAGCTGGTGATGCTGCAGAAGATCATCGACCAGACCATCACGCGCTAGACTGTGTCAGCAAGACGTCGATACAGGCACAAACACAAACTCACCGGGGCGTCTCGGGAGGCGTTTCTCATCTCTTCGACCTGTGCATCCCCCATCAGCATCTCTCTCGTCTCCATCACGGGGCACATACAAGATGCATCATGCCGTCGGTGCCGTAGAGCCCGTACATGGGCGAGTAGAAGGACATGATAAAGACCCAGCCGGCACTGGTGTAGCCCGAGTTGTTGATGAACTTTGTGAAGATGAACTTGGCGTCGTGCTTGGGCGCCATGACGGCAAAGACCACGGCCCACGCGACACCGCCCGCGATAGTCCAGATGGCGCCAAACATGTTCATGCCCGGAAGCCAGCTACATGGCGAATGTCAGCCAAGGATGACTCTGTCTCAGGAGACAAGGGCGGAAAGAGAAGAGAGTGCAGTGCCTTGTCGGTGACAACATGTACGTACGACTGCTTCAGGTTCATGACGATAGGGCCGATGAGAAAGGCTGTGTAGATGATCCATGTCATCCAGGGCTGGCCGGTGCTTGTCAGTGTCCACTCCCTCTCTGCACTGCTTGAACGACGACACCAACCTTCCACGAAAAATCCGGATGCGTGACCTCGACAAAAGATGCAATGATTTGAGCACTGTTGATCGCGCAGCTTGACCCCGTGCTGATCTCGCCGACAATGACGGCCCATCCGACAAGATACGACAAGATCGGCCGTAGCTTACCGGTTGCCACGGCTTGGACGTAGTACTGTTGACCGCCCGCCGTCGGCCAGATGGTGCAGTATTCGGCCAGGGACATCATCAGGAGCGTCTGGCCGACGGCGACGAAAAGCCTGGATATCTCGCCTTGTCAAAAACAATCCACGGCCCGGTCGAGGAAGAAGGAGTCAATGCCACTCACGTGCCCCAGATGAGAGCAAACGGGCCGCCCACGTCGAAGATGGTCGAGTAGAGGACCACCAGGCAGGACCAACTGCACGAGATCATGATCTGGTACGCGCACACTGCGACTCTATGGTCAGCACATCTGGCCGGCAGGGCACACACGCAATAGAACGACACTCACGCGTCCAGAAGTTGTAGACACGTCGCAGCTCGGGCTTCTTGCCCATGGACATGAGCAGGGCATCATCGCTGCCCACCGACTTGGCGTCCTCCAGCGTGGTCGTCGCGTCCAGATCCTCGGCCACATACTCGATCTTCTGGTCCTTCATCTTGGGACGAGCGGGGTGAGACAGTCCAGAAAGACACAAACCACGGTCCAGACACAGGCGGGAGACAGAGTACTACTGCTGCGACGCAGGACTGACTGTCACGAAGCAAAGGACCAGAAGCAAACCATTGAAATCGGGGGAGGAAGAGTTGATGTTAAGTTAAACAAGCTTCGCTCCCTGCGGAGGAAGTGCAAGTCCACCAAGTACTATCAGGTACTTCTTTCTCCCCCCCTTCCTCGCCAGGCTAGTCGACGAGCAGTGGCAGTTTTACCCTGGCCAGAAAAGCCATGTGGCTGAGAGGATTCGTTGTCCAGATCCCGACAACCATTATTGGGGGGCATGTCGCACGCTTATCATGCACACTATCGCAGACCGCGGCCGACATATCAGTCTCTCTGCATGCTGTATGGCTTGGATCCAACGTTCGAGAGACGAGGCGGTATTGTGGGAGTGATAGACAACTCGGTAAGAGAGAGAGTGTGTGTGTCTCGCATATGCCTGCCTCCGTTTTCCTTATCGCAGGACCAGATTTGGGCCACTTGATTGATGAATTCTCCAGATGGAAAAGGGACGAGCCGCATTGGCTGGCCTAGGGCCTCGATGGCTTGCGAGCTGGCTTTGGGGCGAACCGGGGCTGATGTTGGGCTGTCTCTCGTCTTGCATGGATCAGCAGCCGTTAATGTTCGGTACGAGAGTCAATAGCAGCCATTTCCCCCACTGGTTTTGACTGGCTATGCAGACTCTTTCCCTCCTGCTGGTGCTGCTCTGTCTCCGAGATCGAACAATACCTTGTCCAGTCACCTATCCATGCTCTGCACATATGGAAACAGCGGCCACTTTGCGGTTGTCGGGCACCCTTCGCTGCTTCAGGTGCACGGGCGTGTTATCCGAGTCAGTGCCGGGCTTGGGCTGTGGGCAAGGGGCCCCTCCCTGTGGTGATATGTCCTTTGCCCGATGAGGCTGGTCGATGGAGAAAGTCCCCTTCCCTTGCCGAGGATTCCCTGAAGCCGTTATGATTTGATCGAATGAAGATGGTTTCTGAACGACGACAACAAATAGGTTCCCAAGCTTGTTAGCAGTGAGATCTTCTCCCTCTCAGAACACGCTCATCCAATGTCCCTCTCCCTCGAGATACTGCTAGGCGTCGGGGTTTCTCCATTCTTGTCTCTCCATCTACCAGCCCGTTAAGGTATCATAATCCCAGGGGTCATTATGGTTCTCTCCCTCTCTGGCCTACTTACCTACCTACCTATCTATCCGGTGGAGGTTCCCCAGCTCGGGCCCAGACCGTCTAAGGGAGAGGGCACGGATCCGTTCTCAAGTCACCTGCTATCTTGGGACAGCCGCGCATGAATCCTGGAAGGGACAGACGTGGAGTCGCACGGAAGATACCCTGGACTGGAGTCTAGCCTCGTCGCTGTTCCAACCTGGGCAGGAGACAGGAGAAGTTGAACCTTTTCTCAACGTCATGAGATCAGACTATATATGAATCCCAAAGGGCGCCTACTCCTGCGAAAGAAACCCTATCTTTCCGTCGATGCTATCAGTCTTCCGCCCTGCAGCTGGCAAGACGTTGAGAACTCTGTCAACATTCTCGGCCAGATCAAAGGCCTGCTACTACTCTCCCTTCCTCAGGTCCGTGTCTCTATCAAGGCGTGTCCACATAGATACCATGGCGCCCATTGCTGTTGAGGACATGATTGAGACGCTTGCGGTGTCAAAGAAGTCCACTGGGGTTTCGAATGGCGACACAAGCAAACCAACACTTGCTCGCTGTGATGCAAATGATCCAGCCACGACGACCGAGCTCCTAGTGTCGATCATTGAACGAGATGGCGGCGTCGTCGTGGAGAACCTCATCTCTAAGGAACTGGCTACTCAGATCAAGACGGAGTTGAAGCCTTACTTTGATACAGACAAGGTCGACCCCTCAGGTTTCTTCCCCCACACGACGCAGAGAGCTACCGGCCTCCTGGCGCGGTCGGACGGCTGTGTCCAACTGGCAATGAATCCCACGTATATCGACATAGCCAACAAGATGATCTCTTCCACGTACACATACTGGAACGGACAGCAGCAAGAGACGGTGTTTTCCAAGCCCATTATATCCTCGACTGTCGGTTTCCGAGTAAACCCAGGTGGAAGGCAGCAGGCCCTACACCGCGACGACGGGTGAGCCATGCTCTGCTCCAGCGTCTCCCGGACCATTTGCTGACTTCTGTCACAGCGACTATCACACTCGTAACTGCGACATGCCCATGATGCTCGGTTGTGTGACGGCGTTGACCAAGACCACGGCGGAGAATGGTGCCACAATCGCCATCCCTGGTTCGCACCTCTGGGGCCCAGATCGCTGCCCCTATGATCATGAAGCAATTCCAGCCGAACTAGAACCGGGGGACGCTTTCATATTCGTCGGTAATCTTTATCATGCCGGAGGAGCAAATATCACCAAGTAAGTCATGGCTCTTGCATGTTGGCACCTGCGCTGTGCTAATCAGAGAATAGAGATCAAGCTCGCGAGACCGTGGGCATCTTCTTGTGCAAGCCATACTACCGTCCGGCGGAGAATCAGATGCTGATGGTGCCTCCTGAGAAGGCGAAGCGACTACCTCCCCAAGCACAGAGACTGTTGGGATACGGAATCAGCCGTCCCGCTGTGGGATTCATGGAGTATCAAGACCCAATGCGAGTTCTCTTTGGCGTCGAGGATGAGGAGACGGTCGATATGTGATTGAGCACACCTGCAGCTTCCCGAGTGGCCGGACTCTCCCCCCTCAAAGTGTGATAGTGATCGGTCCAAGTCCAGCCTCGAGGCTCATATCACCAGGAAAGTCAGACCACGCCTCGATTCCTGTCGGGCGAACTGCATCCAGTCGACTGCCACGTTGGGGTCACTCTTCCAAAAGCGCCGCAGAAACTCTAGCGCTGGGACACAGTTGGAGAAGCCGGTCGACTTCATCACCTCGAGGAGCTTGGCGTCGGCAAACGCTTGGGTGTTCTTGTTCAGCCTGCTTTGCGTTCCGACGACGAACAGAGGCCACACCAGGTCGTGCTGGTACGCCTCCTTGTTCTGAATCTCGGCGATTTTGGTGATGACGCCGCTGACGCAGGTCTCGATGGCGGGAGCGAAGTCCCGAGGGTCCAGGAGTGCCTGGAAGCTATATGCAAGTCCAGCGTAGTGAAAAATGTCCACCAGCACTGCAAAGTCGCTGTGCAATCCCGGTGTGCCAAAGTCCAGACTCTTGCTAAACTCCAGAGACCGATTTCGTGCGTAATCGAATTTCTCTTGCAACACCCGCATATTTGCCAGGTCTAGCGGAGCTTGACCGGGCGATGCATTGCGGTGGCGCTGTCTTTCGGCGCAGGTCACCTCTTGGACCAGTTGCAGCCAATCCGTAAAGACGTGCGCGTCTTGTTCGGTCAAGACGGACCCGGGGATTTGTTCGTCGTCTTCAAACGTGGTGGATGAGCCGAAGACGTCGTAGACGAACGCTTCTTGGATCAAAAAGCGGCATGTATCATCGAGAACGGTGGTTGCCAGCTGGGGGGCTGTCCAGCGCAGAGTAATCGTCCTCGCAGCCTTCCAATGGACTCGCCATATGGCCGAGTCGCACCGGATCATCTCTAGATTGCAGAGAACCAGGATGGTCGCCAATATGCCGCTGGCTCGAGCGTGACGCGCTACGCTCGCATGCTCTGTCCACTCTGCCCGCAGATCCTCGGAAAGGAGCAGCAGGCTTTTGTCGCGGTAGTTGCGGGACGCAAACCCATCGTTCACGGCCCAAGGTGATTCTGATCGAGCACTATAATGCTCGGCCGAGAGGGCCAGGAGAGCGAGAAGCAGCGAGGGCGAATGCATCGCCAGAGGAAGCATCAGCGTCCGCCACGGATTCTCTGGTCCGTCGACCCAGGGCATGACCGTGGCCACCACGTGGTCGTAATAGTGAATGAGTTGTCTGACTGGCCTGCCTTGTAGATACTGGGGCAGCGCATACGATGACAGATCGAGGTTTAGTGCAAAGGGATTGTGGAGAGTGGTCTCGTCGAAGCTGGGTTGGAATGCGTTGCGGAGTTTGTGTGGCACAGCGATTGGCTCGCTCCCTGCCAGCAGCTGCGAAGCATCAAGGCCGTCGTCTCGTGAATCTGAAGACTCCCCGGGGGTTGCGCTTTTGGGGCTGTCCTTGGGGTAGACAGCAGGCGGAGGAGGAGGAGCTGGTTCGAGGACAGGCAGCGTTTTGCCCGTCAGTTTGCCTCGACTTGCCACTCCCTGCCCGAACTGAATCCTCAAGCCATATCCGGGGCAGGACAGCTCCTTGAGGGCGCATTTCTTACATGTTGGCAGACTCCGATCACAGCGTATCCTGCGCCGGTTGCAGGTCCGACAGTCTGTAGAGGTCATTCTTTAGTATCTCCTCTTGTTTCTCCACCTCCACCACCACTCACACACGGGACCTCGGCATCGCGTAGAGACTGACCTTTGAGTGCTCGGGGCTCGTTTGGGTCGAGCGAAGACAGACGTAGACTCATCTTGCCGGTACCATCAAAGGAGTGCGAGGAGAACCAAGCACCGAGAACCGGGACGGGCAATCAAAGCAACCAAAGACATCCAACACAGACGTACACACATCCACGCGAGAAAACACTGACCTTTTGGGACGCAACGAGGCAGTCAACCCCGCGAAGGGATGCGAAAAGAGCGGCCTCCCTTGGCGTGCAGCACGGAAACCACCGCACTTTGGGCTGGTCCATGGCTGGCCCATGCGCATGCGTGCGGCGTGGGTTGCATTGACGCTTGCTTGCTTTTTGGTTTGGGAGAGTTGCTGCATGTGCTCCATTGGGGCTTTGCTTCTTTTCCACACGCATGTCCGGAGGGGTCTAAGCCTGAGGCCGCCGCCCTCTGCTGTCAAGGAAAGGGAAAAAGAAGCCAGGCGTCAAAAAGTGGGAAAAATCTAGTTAAGCCAGAGGAGGATGGCTGATGCGAAGGCACCGCCCGCTCGTTGATGGCCCCCTTGTTCCGTGGGTTGGTTGATAAGGGGATCTCTACTCCCGTTAAGGCAGCTGGATGGAGAAGCAGCTCAATTGCCTGGACGGGCGACATGGCAATCCTTCTAAGCCTGAATGGCGACAAGCAACCACGTCTTCCACCATTCCCGGGCGTATCTATGTCTCCAAAGTCTTTATAATGCCATGTAGGGACGTGCCAGGTAGGTAGATGGCCAAAGATAAGGGGGCCTCGCCAGTAACTCCTCGGCTGCAACATGCCGGCTTCTATCGTCGATGGTATCGCGGATACCGTCCATCAACTCCATATCCAAGGATTGTCAGAGAAGACCATCTCGACCGATGTTGGCAATTCGTTGCCTGATGGCTTCTACCACTTGCCAGCCATCTACCAGCTCGAAAGACGCGCCATCTTCTCGAAGCGGTGGTTCCTGGTCTCGCACAAGGCTCGCTACCGTCATGTCGGCGACTACGTGCAGTATGAAATGGCGGGCTTCAACTTCGTCGTCGTCAAGGACAAGGGCGGCGACATTGTGGGATTCCACAACATCTGCAGGTGGGTTCTTGACCCCCTTTTTCGTGCCTGAGGAGGAGGAGGAGGAGTCCACGTTGGGTTGGTTGCCCGGGACAGTGTCTCGAATGTGTCCTGACACACACCGGTGACGGGCCAAAACAATCCGCAGACATCGTGCTTTCCCCGTCGTGCACGAAACCAGTGGCAGCGCGAAGATCTTTGCGTGCAAATACCATGGATGGACGTATGGGCTGAACGGCAAATTGACCAAGGCGCCCCGGTTCACGCCCGAGTCGGTGCCTGACTTCGACCCAACGCACATTCGCCTCTTCCCCGTCCACACCCACGTCGACAGGAACGGGTTCGTCTACGTCAACCTGGATGCCCGCCCGGTGCCCGAGATCCAGTGGGAAGAGCAGTTTGGTGACCTTGACCGCCAGGGCGTCCTCCAGGGTTGCGGCGTGGACTGGGACGCGGTCGAGTATGATTTCACGTGGGTCAAAGAAGGAAAGTTCAACTGGAAGATCATGCAAGACAATTACAACGAGGTGAATGTCGCCCCCTCTAGTGCCCCTATGGAAGCCTCGTCAATTGGCCTGGCCCGTTGTCTCGCAGACACACCGCTGATCCATGCAAACCCAGTGCTACCATTGTCTCACGGCACACCCAGACGTAGCCCGCACGACCGCCCTGGACACCTACTACGTCTCCCCAGCCACGCCACATCACTACATCTCGCATTTCAGCGAACCCAAGGCGTCCATCCTCGCCACCTCGGCCTTCGACGCGACTCGGTTTGCGGGCAGGTCGGCCACTCATGTCTGGCCGGGCGGTCACTTCAGCCCGAACCCAGGCACCGGCTTCATGCACCTGATGCGCAGCCTCCCGACCTCGCCAACCACCACGCGGCAGGAGTACGACGTGTACAGGCTGAACACGCCGCACGCCACGCCCGAGGCCCACGAGCGCATGGTCAATTTCTACAAGAAGGTCGTGGACGAGGACTTTGGCCTCTGCGAGAAGGTGCAGAGGAACCTCGAACGTGGGGTCTTCACAAGGGGCCCCTTGCACCCTTTCCACGAAGAAGGCGTGCAGGCGTTCCAGGGCATGGTGCTCAAGGTTCTCAAGGAGCAGATTGGACTGGAGGAGGCTGCTGGGAGGGAGATCTGGGCTGCGAGGCCGCCAGCGCAGGGAGCTGGAAAGAGGGAGGCAAATTCTGGGCGTACAGCCAACGGGAACGGCGACGGCGACGGCGACGTCGAATCGGACAGTCAGAGCATCTGCGTGAAGATGCTAGGTTGCGACCAGGCGAGGCTGAAAGGCCTGGAATGGTAGCCCATCGACTGGTTATCGCATGCCGCCAAGTCTCAGGTCCTGGGGATGAGCAGCATCTTTCGCCACGAGGACCCCGTGAGCAGATCCGAATCAGGCAATTCGATCCTTGATTATCGCCTCCCGGCAGACTAGCTACTTGTTTCTTCTGGCCGCCTTACATGTCGACCCGTGTCTCGAACGTCTGGGGGAAGGGCATCCGCACGTGTCATCTCGTTTCATCGTGGAGGGACCAGGCACACCAGGCCCGAGGACAGGGGCATTGGGTACCGACGGTGATAGAGATAGTGATGGACGTTACTGAGGTGTCGATGAACAAAGAAACCACAATGGAAAAAATTCCGCAGAAAAACTTTCCTCCTCACGAATAGGGAACCCAACGCCTTGGTCCCAAGCAGGAGTCAGTTGTTGCACCCCAGATATTGTTATTTACTCGCATGTAGGAGCTCCCAGCGCCCCGAATCTCCTTCTTCCTCCTTCCCGCCCGGGCGTTCAAGTTTTTAGTAGTGCTTGTAGTTACTTCTGCGCACGAGTCTGACAAGTACAGGGGGTTTAGGCAGGGAGCCTGGCTACGAGGAAATGGGAATCGGACCAGTCACAACTAATTGCGCGCCCATATGGCTGGCTCGCTCTTTTCTTTCTCGCTTCCTTCTCGTCGCGCGGAGAGGTCAAGACTGCCACTGTCACTACTCGCACCCACAGAACCAGCGTACAGTCAGTAGACAGTCACTGTCACGCTGCCAGACATAAAAGAGACAGCGTGATCGAAGACAGAGTGTTTGGAAACCGTGATGGGCTGTTGTATCTGGACTAGGATTTCTCTGTTGAACGAATCACAGGGAACTTTCTAGCATGAATCCTCCAAGAAAACATGAGTGGTGACACCTTCAATCCCAATTAGCACGTCAACCTATTCCCAGTTGTCTCAATTCTCGCAGCCTCCTAATCGAAAACACTTTCACCCCGACATAGCTCGGCTCGCTGCTCAAACAACCCTTCCACAAACCGATCCATCACATGTCCGTCCCCATAGACAAATCTCTTGAGTATCCGCTGCGCTTCCTTCCACGTCCTGAGGCCCAGGATCCGAGACATCTCGCAAAACCGAGTAGAATGCCATTTCCGGTCGAGCAGAAGCTCTGGCCTCTTGCCCGCTTCGTCCGAGACCTGTTCAGCGCAGGCGCCGACGAAGAAGAGAAACAGGAGAGGTTCGTGGTGAGAGATGGCAAATGGAGGCGTAGGCATCCTCGAGAAAGATGGAATTGAGGATGAGGCTGGCCTTGTTGAAGGCAGCGTCCCCCGCTTCGCCATGTATCTCAGTAAGATTTCGATCTGAGGTCGCAGATGTTGGACAGGGATATAAAGCAGCCATTTCTGCAGTGGGAGTGTGAAGCCATAGACAAAAGACATGGCATAGGACACAGCGAGGCACATGCATGCCTGTAACTGCCTACGAACCGCCCGGGAAACGCGCGTTCGCGGAGTGATGGTCTCGATGATATCGCAATACAGGCTCATCGTCCAGGAGCTCAACGCCGCGCGCCGACGGTGAAGCCAGCTGAAGATGACGTCCACTGCATGCTCACCTTTTCTCTCACAAAGAAGCTTGCTAATGAGACCATGCGCAGCCATGAACTCCCGGTGCATGTTAACATAACTTTCGAGATTGTTGGATATTTCGTCTTCGGGCAGTAGGAATGTCTCATCCCAGCGTTGAAATTCCGTGTCGGACAGCAAATCGCCGTACTGCTCGAATTCGGGTTGCTGTTGGAAGGACCCAGGATCGAAGAATGTGTAGTCAAGGCGTGGCCTCGTGAGCGTGAATCTCGAATGGCCATTGTCTGCAAGGATAACTTGCGCTCGAGTATCGGGACTGAGCTTATCGACCCCGCCGAGGCCATCTACGACCTCCCACAAGGCCGACGCGTGCGCCATGTTTGCCTCCAGGTCGCCGGAGTAGAACGCCATCGTCGCAATGCACCAGATACACATGATCAAGCTCTCCGAAGGTCGCGAGTCTTGGCGGATGTGCTCTCGAAGCAACAACAGGCTCCTGTTTTGATGCTTCAACGCCATTGGGTAGAGAAAATTGTAGCATTCGGGCTGCATGAAATGTGCCTTCAGCGTAAGGACACTTGCATACCAGCCGTGCAGACATTTCTTGTCAGTCACGAGATCGTTTGCTCTTTGGCGCCAACCGAGCTCCATGGACCTGCGAGAAACATTGCTGGGTGTATTGATGCTGCTGAAGGAAAGAAGGAAGCCACGAAAGATTTCCAGGGCCTCTTTTTGAAAACGAGGACATGCTGCCCAGTCAGGAGCATCCCAGTCGGGTTGCTTTGGAATCATTGGCGACTCTTCTCGGATTACCCTGCCGGGCCAAAGTTCTGGCCTGAAGTATTGGTCGTCGGTCTCACTGTCTGAGCATATCTGATCGGCAGATTCAGGTGAGCCGGGAGGACTCGCAGAGCCACGCGTGGAAGGATTTGTGCCCGATCCGAGCTGCCAGCATATCATCCGTATAGAGGCTTCATCGTTGAGAGAGCCGACGTAGCTATCATTGTCCGCATCTCTTGAATCCAGGTGTGCATCTGGAAATCCCACAATGTTGGGATTGCGGCTCAATGAAGTCCCACGACTCGCACCGACGTGTCGATTACTCTTCGCCCAGCGATAGTATTTGTTAGTGACGTGGGAACTGATTGAAAATGCCTCTTCGGCATCCCTTTTATTCAGGTTGGAGGCGTCTTTGTTGACGAAGTGAAAGGTACCTCGATACGCCGCGACGGGCATTTTTGAGGCAAGGCTGGACGAGTACCTTGGAGTTCTGTTCGTAGTAGTGGTCTGTGTCCTGGGCAATTGCAGCCTTTGTGCTTTCCCATCACCATTATATGTTTTTCAGGCCACTTCAGCCTCCGCCCCTTCCCCCTATCTGCCGACACGAAAGGGGACTGTGAGCATTCAGGAATATTACCAAGCTTAACCCTAAGACTATACCCTTCACCGCTCGCGAACGAGGTATAGGCATTGGGCTAGATGTCTCGACCCACAAGCTTGGCATAGACAAGACAGCCATGAGCACCATGTCCAGCCCTAAATCACTAGTCCGGCTGACGTAAAAACCGTTGTCCATATCAGCATCTGCCCATATTTAGGCGTATGAATAAATCGAGAAATCATAACGCTTCCTGAATAGTGAGCAGATGCAACAGCCAAGACACGGGAACCTATCTGTTTGGCGCAGGCGCTCCAGGACATGGCGTTGTGCAAGGCGAGTAGCGCCTACCAGCTTCGGGATAGCCTTGATGGTAACCGGCACGCTTAGCCGTGGTTTAGGCGGCGTTTCAACCCCCAAGGCCCTTTCGCTGGCCTCTAGGGTTGCAATGCCGCTCCGCTTGGCTGCTGAATTGCGTTTAGCCACGAAGGCTGTGTCCAGAAGCCTTGGGCGGTATCAATGCATCGTTCTGACAAACGCAGAAGTACAATCAACGAGCTTCAGCGTCCGAAGACGCGGGACCAATGACTGCCCTTGCGGAAGATTCCGCTCAATGGAGAGACGGTTTTCATGTAGACCAGTGGAGAAGAGGCATTGACTTTCTTTCATAGACAACGACACAGAGTTCTTGTCGTACGTTCAATAGAGAATTTTTAGACGGCTGAGTAACGTCTCGGCGTGGTCCAAGCCAGATGTCATGTCAGCGTCTTGGCCTCAAGAAAACACCTCGCCGATGTGTGGAGCTCGGTGTTTAAGCCACTCTCTTGCTCGGTCAAGGTCTCCCTTCTCCTCTTCCAGTGCTTTGACACACCATGCCAACTCGAAGTTGTCCTCACTGGCTAACATGGCTGCGAGGTTCCTCCGTGACTGGCTGGCTTCATCAACGCAGAAGACCATGGACGACGTAACGCCACGGGAGATATCGTCGATGATAGGTTTCACCATGACTAGGCCGTCCTTGGCAGACACAAGTCTGTCTTCGCCTGTCAAATGTTTATATCCAGTCTTGCACTCTGCATTGCCACACCAAGGCTTGCCGCAGCCTCCCATTAGCTGCTGTAACAGTCGTCGCTCGATTCTTCGCCTCAGCATCTTCCCTTCAGGATCGTAGCTGGTAACGTATAACGGGCCAAAACACTCGTTGCACAGGCCAAGCTGTTCCTTCTGTACCCTAGACTCATCCTCGGGTTTAATAGTCCGACCACATATCCGGTTCGAGCAAAGCTTCGGCTTTGGTCTGGAGAACCTTTCCCGATCGTGGAGCAGTAAATGCGTCTTCATGTCGCGGAGCCGAACAATCTTGTTACAGAGGTGACACTCGGTTGTACGCGCGCCGTCAGCCAGTTCGTGGGGGGAAAGACCCGACATCAGCACCTCGGGATCGGTGAACGAAGCATCTTCAGGGCCTTGTTGGGGGACGACCAGGTGGCAAAATTGGCAGAGGATCTCTTTCCCCGGACAAGTCGTTGTACGATGATGAGCCAAGATCGGAAGATCAAAGGCCTGGAATTCGCAATTTGGACATTGTAACGGAGTTTGTGGGTGGAAAATGGAGTCGTGTTTCCGACGCGAGACCGAATCATTGCCATGTTCCTCGTCATGAGCGCAGTGCCAGTGATTCTTCCAGGCGTCGGAGTTCTTGAGAAATACACCAGAACATCTCGGACAAAGAACATTGTTTCTGTAGCAGAATGCTTCGTGTAGCGGAAGTGTCCGTTTGGGAACCACTTGGTGACAGTTTTTGCATATCACCTCGTCGGGAGAGTGTTCTGGAGTTGAAGTTTCCATAGGTTCGACTTGCCCGGTGCCTGCTTCGATTTTGAGGCTGTATGAAATTGGAGTTTCTGTATTCTGAGAGTCGCTGGGCTGGCTCCTCCAGGCGTGAATAGCAATACTCACGTATTCCGCGTCTTCAAGGTCGACGCTGGTGTGGGAGAGTTTTAGTCGCTTTGTCGGTCGTGTGCTCAAGTCGCCGAAAACGTATTCGTCTTCTCGAGGCTTAGAACGTTGACGTGAGGAGAACGGACTGACAACAAGATCGAGAGTGGCGTTATCATTCGCAGCCTGCAACGTCACCTCCAGATCTTGTTTTCGATCCCAATCTTTCAGTTCATAATCCACATATTGTCCTGGAAGCACTTTCCCCTCTACTCCGGTTCCTAGACTTAGCAGTCCTCCGATGGAGCTGCCTTCTTGTGATTCCTGCACTGGTCTCTTCTTTGCGAGCCGTTTATTCAACGTCTCGCGGGCCTGCTCTTCGTTCAGTGGCTCAATATCCACCTCAAGGTCTGTGTCGACAATGCACACCCCATCCTCGTCGGGTGCGAATTTGTCCACCAAGAAACGAAATTTTTCGTGACGTGCCCCAGGGACAACAAGCAATTCCCCGCGGGTCAAGGTAGTGAAATTGTCTCGTAGATAACGCTCGAGCAGCGATTTCCAATCTTCAGGGTCATATCCTGCTTCTAGCGGTCTCAATTTCACATAGGTGCCTTTTTCTAATTGCTTCGCTTGTATTGTGACCGTTGCTCCCCTAGGAGTGCTTGTGCCATTGGTCATGATCACATCCTCGCTCGGCGTGCTCTCGCGGGAGGTGGAAGCAGATGACGCTGCGCTTTCCAAACCAAGGGCTTCTTGCAGACCGCTGCTCAGCCCAATGGTGCCCTCAGAGGCGGAAAATTCCCTGATACCAGCAAACACAGCTCTTCCATTGCGCGGATTGACGATGCGGAAAGTGAGGGGATGTGGGAGTTGCTGTTGTTGGTCGCCGAAGGCTGCCCGAGCACGGCGCTCAGCAGCAAAGGAATAGGGATTGAAAGGATCGAAGGACGAGGTGAGGTTCCTGCTCGCAGGATCCGAGATCGACACGACAGGTGCGGCGGCGAGCAAGGCTTCGAGGGCAGATTGTGGCAAGGTGATCTTGTCACCCGCAAGACGGCGTTTGGGAGGGGCAACAACGAGTTGAGCCGACCATTTTAAGGGCTCTGTATGTGAAGACATGGTTTCAGATTGTTGACATGTAAGGGTAGCCTTGTGGAAGAGAGTCCGGCGTGAGAAGAAGCCATAATGAAGTTGGGCCTCAGAGGACGCAAGGCGCAAGGCACAAAGTGACGCGCGGTGACTTCGAGAAGCGTCGACGGATGTTTACAAATTGACCGGATGGCGACCAGATCGTCTCGCTCTCAGCGTCCTGATATTTTGCTACCTACTTGTACACAGTACTTGTAGGTATTGCTGCTTTCTATTTTCTCATCATCTCATCATCTCATTCCTCTACAAGTGTGGATTTCAGCTCATTGTCCTGCGTCTCTTTTGTTTTGGTCCATCTAAGGGAAAATGCCTGCGGCCGTGCCTGCGCCACATCTGATTTCTGAGTTTGCGTTTGCCTGTCCTAGCGATCCGCCTGGATGGCTTGATCGCTTGCCCGGGCGATCACGGCCTCTTGCACGGTGCTCCGGCATCAGCCCTGTCCATTGAAATGTTTGATGCTCGTCGATTTATTTGGTGGTTCCTCATTCACCAGCCGGTCAACCTGGTCACCCCTCGTGATGGTGGAGTGAGACCGCAGATTATGTAACATGATACCCGTTGCTGATTGGCCAGCTTCCAACTGCGGCGGCTTTCAGCGGGACATCGAACGACAGGCTGCGTCTTCCACTCTTCCCTCCACATCTTCATTGGATCAATTCAGCTACCATCAAGTAGTCAGCTTCCGCTGGCCTCCTCTTTTTCTCGACCATTTCCACAATTGGGAATACAGCTAGTTTTTCTCTTTGTACAAAAAGCCCATAAACTGCCCTTGATGAACCACACGCGCCTGGTACTGTTCTCTACTGACCTCTAGGTGATCCAGCTTGGTCGCTGCCACTGCTTCTGGAATTGTCCGTCGTGAGCAGAAGGTAACGGTGCTCAATCCAGCCTTTGCCCTTAGGTTTGCTCTCTAATAGGCGTACTCAGGCCGCCAGGGCCGAGGAGTTGGTTTCCCGCCAAAATGACCGAAGCGGTCCCTAGAAAGGGCTCTTTAAGCTTCTTCAACCCTTTCAAGTCAAGATCTGGAAGTCGGTCGAGTTCACGAGATGCTTCTCTTTCCGATATGAGCTTTGACGAGGTCAAGCTTGACCACAAGTCCGCAGTCTTCACGACTCGTCTCAGGAAGACAGCAAGTCCTGCCGCTTCGGCCAGGAGTTCCAGAGCAGGTTCCAAGAAGAACAGTCTCGACCAATCCCGATCGTTTCGGCAAGCCTCGTTCCCTGCCATCAACGTTGCGGACGAGTGGGAAAGAGATGCTCAGACTGGCGAACGGAAAGACCATACAGAAATGCTGCACAGTCTTGCGCATCGTGAATCAGAGGATTCTCTTGCCGAAAAGGCCCAACTCTTGTTTGCTGGAATCCCGCCCCAGCTCGCAACGGATTTCCTCCGCAGACTCCCGGATACCACCTGGAAGAGAATAGTAGAATTCCTGGATCCAGCGGACAGAGCAAGCCTTGCCCTTTCTTGTAAGCCATTCCGAGACTTACTTGGGATTGAAGTATGGACAACCCTGAATGCGCCAGAGAATCGCGACGCAAAAGCCAACTTCCTTGGGTATCTAGACCAGCAGTTACCGGATCACTTACTGTGTTTCCCATGTGGGATATATCATGTCCGGACCCAAAAGGGACAAGAGATTTTGCGTCCCACCAACATTTCAAACCCCATCTTCAATTGTCCCAACGCCTTCAATGCTGAGAACAAAGTTTCGCGGCAGAGGATCACGGTCGGTCGCTCATTGCCCTTCCCATTTGTCCAACTTCTTCTGCGAGCGCATAAATACTCGAAGGAACACGGTATTCACATCGACTCAATGTCGCGTCGGTACAAGGATCGAGACGGAGAGTGGTCACACCAGACTCGTTATGCCATTGTCAACGGCCACCTACTTGTTAGGGTGATCAGCTCAGCATTTGCGACCCCGGCTCTCCCCCCTGCAGGCCTACGGAGGCTTCTCTACTCCCATGGCGACAATTACCATCCGTATTTTTCGGTCTGTGCTCATTGGAGGGACGGGAACCTCATGCCTTCGGTTAAATGTGCTTTGAGCCACATCCCCAAACCACCGGAAGGGGGTGGTATAGCAGGCGCTGCAGCAAAGGTACAATATCATATGCACCGACCTAGTCCCCTCATCACCTTGTGTTCTGAGTGTCGTCCCATGCGGCGATGTCCAGAATGCCCGACAGAATACCTCATTGAAATGAGGATGCAGGAGGACAAAAGCGACCCGATGAAACTATTCAAGCATGCCATCGTGATAACTCGATGGAGCGACCTCGGAGATGGATCTTCACCCAAGAGCCTGGAATGGGCAGCTTGCAATGGGGAGGTAGAATTCGACTCATTTGCGGCCCTTGGAAAGCGTGCAATCTCTGGCGTATTTGAGTCACAATTCACAGTCGACCAAATACCCGGTCAAAAAATCGTTTCAATGAACCCCAACAAGGAGAAGCGCGGAGAGGCTGGGCATAATTGGTATTGAGCAATTGCCGTGCAATCGTGGCCCTGAGCAGAAATTTCCTAGTCTGTTACTGTTGACAAGTTGGGGAGATCCGAACAGGGTCGGATACTGGTCGTCGCAAGCACCATGTCCCGCAATGGGGTTCATGCTTTGTGGATCCCAGACTCTGGTCCACGAAGAACTTATTGCACTACTGGGTCCACGAGCTCAATCAAGATCTCTTCTCTTTATCATCATCACCCAGCGATTTCGACCCAGACAGGATACTGCCAGAGCTGGTTATCTGATCTCCGAATTCAGAAGCGGATGCTCCGGGACGTTGATCGGCAAGCGCACGCTGAGGTGGTCGGATATCAGCGAATAATGGATTCCCTTTGGCTTTCAGCCAAGACCTCCGTTCAAGGAAATGCTTTGAACTTGTCTCCTTGGGGATCCACAGCGTCTCGATAGCCGGAATCAGCACCCAGGCACGCGACATCTTTTGCGTCGGTCGTTGGGAATGCTTGCGAGCCAATCCTGGTCTCCTCACCACGATCCCGCTCGGTTATGCTAGGGTATACGCTAAATGCCTGGATAGACTTGGAAGACCACCATCCATATCTTCATTGCGCCACACCATGCGTCCTCTCCATCTTTTGGGCGGCGGTAGGGTCCACTATGCCTATGAAGCAGTTGAGGTCAAGCGTGGACCATGACGTATACGGTCAGGTCTCAGGAAAGGCTTGATGCTCGACTGTTGTTCGGGATGGGACTAATAGTGAAAACCCCCAGAATGTCGAGAGATGGATATGTGGGAGTTCGCGCAGCTTTCCACCCCGTTGAAGACGCGCGGCACCACCAGATACCGACCCGCAACATTTGCGGCGTGCAAGGTACAGTGCGTGGTAGATTCACTTCTAGAGCTGGACGCCCTCTCCAATTCGAAACATGATTTGATGGACGCCTCAAAAAGTTCCTTGTTTGAATCCCTCCCTCTATCTTCGCAGAGCGCTCTCGCCGTCGCTAATTGACAATCTTGCTTTTGACAAGTCGACAAGATGTGGAAGCTGCCATTCCTCTCTCGGAACGTCCTATTTGCCCTCTGTGGGCTGGCGGCCAACGCACAATCTCTGCCATCCGACCGCACGGTATATTCGTCTCAATTGTACGACTGGGGATTTCTAGGCCCATACCCGCAACAATCATATAAATCTTGGTCGGGAACGGCGCCTCGTTTGAATTTCGTGCGCTGGGACGAACAATGCGGCGACTCTGGGTTAAACTTCATCTCGCCCCGCGGGCACATGGTATCTGCACCAGGGCCCTTGATCATGGATTCGCGCGGCGAATTGGTGTGGTCGGAGGATAGGTACGGACAAGCCATGGATTTCAAGGTCCAACAGTATCGGGAACAGAACTATTTGACATTCTGGACGGGGTCAGATTCGGGCACATTTGGTACGGGCTCTTATGTGATGCTAGATTCGTCGTACCAGATATACAAGATGGTGAACCCCGCCAGTGGCCTGCGCGGCGACTTGCACGAATTCGAAATCACGCGTAATGGCACGGCGTTAATGACGGTTTATGAGCCGACCCCAGCAAATCTTTCGGCCTTTGGTATTGTTGGGGATGGCTGGATCTACGACAGCATCTTCCAGGAAATCGATATTGAGACAGGTGAGCTGGTTTTCGAATGGCGAGCTTCAAGGCACTACGACATCCAAGACACTTTCCACACCATCGAGGCCGAAGCGCGGCGTCCAGATTCCTCGGGTCGCAAAATCTCGCATGTTGGCGAAAGCCCGCAGACGGCGTGGGATTTCTTCCACATCAACAGCATCGACAAGGACGAGGAAACGGGGAATTACTACGTCTCCTCGCGCTATTTGCACACGGTTACATGCATCAACCCGCATGGCGACATACTCTGGATCTTAGGCGGGAAGAAGAATCAATTCACAGACCTGTCCATGGGCGGGGCAACGAATTTCTCATTTCAGCATCATGTGAGGGCGCATGCGAATAACACTCTTACCATCTTCGACAATGGGAAATATGACAGTCTGTCTGACAACGCAGAGTACAGTCGGGGTTTGGAGATCTCGCTGGATCTGGAGAAGATGACAGCCAGCCTTGTCCGAGAATACGTGCATCCCGACCACCGACTCGTGGGAAGCCAGGGTTCAGTCCAACTCCTCCCTAACTCGGATCATGCTCTTGTCGGCTGGGGCTACGTGCCTGCATACACCGAATTCGACGGGCAGGGTGAAATCTTGTGTGACGTGCACGTTGCTCCGTCCATCTTCTGGGGGCTTGGATGGGTGAAATCGTACCGCACATTTCGCACTTCTTCGTGGGTTGGCAAGCCCTTGGTACCGCCGAGCGTGTACCTTCGACCCCGAGACGAGAGGATATATGTGAGTTGGAATGGTGCGACGGAGGTGCACACGTGGATCCTCCAGGGCCGTGCAGAGATTCAGACGGGGGCTCGGACGGATTTAAATGCGACCCAGGTGGACTCGTACTACGACTTGACCTCTATCAAGAAAGAAAAATTCGAGACTTCGTTTCAACTCGAGGCGGACATGCCACGGTACCTCCGCGTGGCGGCATTGGATCGGCATGGCCGCGTCTTGGGCTACACCGAAATCGTTGACCGAAAGATGGGAAATGCACCATCAGACGATGGGTTCCACCTTGTTATCTCGACCTGTGCTATGGTTGCCGGACTGTGCTTGGGTTGGTATCTGTGGAGGAGGCGGAAGTCGGTGCCTGGCATGCTAGAAAAGTGGAGGTATCGGGTTCTGTGTTTTTGGCATAGGAAGTCCAGCATCATCATGAGGAGAAACCCCGACCTTGAAAAGGAGGCAGAACCCCTGCGGACGAGCTGGGATGAGCAAGTGGACGAAGCCAAGCAAGACGACGACGTCGAAGCTGGCTTGGGGGATATGGAGAGAGACACCCGCTTCACGGCCTGAGACTTGGGAGGCTTTGCGGAACTTGAACCGCTTTTCTCGTCTGCGCGGCCGAGGCTGTGACCACCTCCCTACTAGTTAGTGTACACTCAGTGTAAAGGTAGTGAGTAATCTTAGGAAACATTGCCATCTAGCTTCTCCTATGACTGGCTGCTGTCGACCCCGCCAGGCCATGTAAGGTCATGTATTCACGAGGCTGGCATACTGTAAAAGCGAGCACACCCGAACCCTACATCAAGGTTTCTCAACCCACCCATATCTTAGTAGATCACAGAATAGAGTCCTTCTGCTTAGTTCCAAAGGGTACATTCTGGATTCTAGAGCCAGAGAGAGAGCTATAGGAAGGTATGGGAAGTGGGAAATCGGACGCGCGTGCGGTCGATTTTACGAGGTTGGAGTAGGTAGGTAGGTACCTTGGTAAGGCGTTGACTATCTCTCCCCCTCTGGACGCTATTTTATCCCTATCTCTACCAATCCCACCGGAAAGGCACTCTGGCATCTGTCTCTTATGTAAAGAATGGAGGCGTACTTGCCAGGCCATCGGGATTGCCAGCCTGGTTCTAGAAATCCTGACTGAGATATCATTTGAACATTGTCTATCCCAAGATGGTAAAACAGCAAAGTGGTATTTATATTGTAGGATGTCAGCTTTGATGAGCATTCCAGTAAATCTAGAGGGAACCGGGTAGACAGAGACCGTCTGGCCTCGAGCAGGGGATGCCCTGGTCGATACTTAGGAGAAACTCGACATCCAAGATCGTTGTACGCATGTGCTACGTAAAGCAGGGTATGAATGACATCATCGTCATCTTCGCCCAACTGTGCCCATCAGGCCTGGGGTACATAGCATGTATGCACGCGCCACTTGCAACGACGATGCAAAACACCCCTCAACTCCATTTTTCCAGATCCAATCCTATCTATCGTCCCCGCTCAAGCGTCCAGCGTTCCGCATTTCGCATTCCGCATTGGGAAATCGTTTGTGATCAGGAAAGCAGACACAGACACAGACGCAGACACAATAGCGCACTCCCTCGAGCCTCGAAGAAGATATACAGGAAAAGCAAGGCGAAGGAGAAGCAGAAGCAGAGCATCGCACATAACACGAGAATGCCCATCAACACCTCCTCGTCCGACGAAGGCGTCACCGGCGCCGCAAAGTTCGTCACCTCTGCCGTCGGTGTGAGTCTTTTGTCGCTGTCCCTTCTTGCAGCCTCCTTTACCACCCATCCATACATTCATCCGTACACTCATCCATATCCTCATCCATACACTCATCCGCATCCCGTGTCCGTGTCCGTGCACTGGCTGACTGACTGACTAACCATATCTTTGCTCGACATATAGAACACGGTAGGCGGCCTGACCCGCACGGTGGGCGGGATCACCGGCGCCGCGGGCCGCGGGATCGGCGACACCATCACCGGCGCGACGGGCAGCGTGGGCAAGCCCGTGGGCGACGGCCTCGCGAACGCGCTGACGGGCGTCGAGAACGGGGCGCACAAGGTTGCCCGCGGCGTCGAGGATGCGGGGCAGTGGAAGTCCGGGGCGAAGCGGTTCTGAACACTCAACAGTCAAAGGAAGGAAGGAAGAGGGCACACAAGTGAGAAAGACTGAATGAAGTAATGGCAAAGGGGGTTCAAAGGAGGAAGATCGAAAAGGAATCCGATCACAAACCCACAGAAGGAAGAATGGAGAGAGACCAAGCAAGGGAGACAGAAGAACTCTTGAAGAGACATTCCATACGCCATGACCTCGATGACTCCAATTATCCTTGATATGTTTCAGAAAAAACCCTCAGGATCGCAGTGCGTTGAAGACCTCGCCGACAAGCCACGGCGCCGACAATCGCTTGTATATTTGAGGGGATGGCCTCCAGCACGGACCATGTGCAAGTTGTTCCGAACTGAAGATGATATTGATTTTGTACTTCTTTCCATCTTAATCGCTTCATCACAATAGAGCATGTCAAAAAATGTCAGTCGGTTGAAGCATCCTGACCAAGGGTTGTGCTGGAAAATTATGAGTTCCATTGCATAAACGTGCCATTCGCGTTCGAGATTCCAGGCTGCTCCAGAAGTACACCCAAAAAAAGGCGAAGAGATTGCGGGAAGGTCATCTTGTGCAGGTTGAATGATTGATTGCGCTGAATTCTTGTAGCATACCTGTGACCATCTCAAGAAAAAGCCCTCATGTTTGCGCCACGCTGGACCAGAATGTTGAACTCCGATCAAGCTTTTCCATAATGTCATATGTACTTTCCAACCGCGGAATTCCATATATGGGATGAAGAAAGTTGCAGCATAACAGTTATGTGGGCATCGGCGCCTCGTGCCCCGTAATGCCTTCCTGCTCAAACCCCTCGACAGGTGTGCATGTACAGAAAAGGTTCGTATCTCCATAGGCGTCATCAACACGGGCTACTGTCGGCCAGAATTTCTTCTCTCGCAGCCAAGGCAGTGGATATGCCGCTCGTTCTCGAGTGTAAGGTCGGTCCCAGTCATTTCGCATCAGATCCTGTTGCGGATGCGGCGCCATCTTGAGGACGTTCCCCTCTCGCGGCATTTCCCCGTCTTCGACAGCCTTGATCTCTTTTCTGATTTCAATCAATGCGTCGCAGAATCGGTCCAGCTCCTCCTTCGACTCTGACTCGGTAGGTTCAATCATGAGAGTATTGGCTACCGGCCAGCTCATGGTAGGGGCGTGGAAACCGTAGTCTTGCAATCGCTTGGCAATGTCAATCGCCTCAACGCCCGACGTCTCTTTGAAACCTCTCGCGTCCAGGATGAATTCATGTGCACACCGCCCGTTTGCATTGGTATATACAATGGGATAATGTGGTCTGAGACGTGACATGATGTAGTTGGCATTCAGCAGTGCAACTTCTGTACCATGTTTCAGTCCTTCGCTGCCCATAAGCTGGATGTAGGCATAACTGATAGGTAGAATGAGAGCACTGCCCCAAGGCGCAGAGCTTACTGGAGAGATCGCTGTCCTAGCCCGATCTGGGCCTGGGTGGGGATCCACAAGAGGGTGAGTAGGTAAGAATGGTTGAAGGTGATCCTTGACAGCGATAGGTCCCACGCCAGGTCCGCCTCCACCATGAGGGATGCAGAAAGTCTTGTGCAGGTTCAGATGGCACACATCAGCTCCAATCTCGCCGGGGTTGCAAAGGCCGATCTGAGCATTGAGGTTGGCACCGTCCATGTACACCTGGCCGCCGTGTTCATGTACAATCTGACAGACTTCCTTGATTGCGGGTTCAAAAACACCAAAAGTGCTCGGGTAAGTAATCATGATGGCCGCCAAGTCATCCTTGTGCTTTTCACATTTTTCCTTGAGATCCTTGATATCGAGGTTACCTGTCTTCGTGTCGCATTTGAGGGGAACAACTTTCATTCCAGCCATGGCCGCAGATGCAGGATTTGTTCCGTGAGCAGAGACAGGTATCAAGCAAACCTTCCGTTTGCTCTGGCCTCTAGTGGCGTGATACTTTTCAATCACCCGAAGCCCAGCAAACTCTCCCTGCGCCCCCGAATTAGGCTGCAAGCTGACAGCGTCCATACCAGTGATAGTCGCCAGATTCTTGGACAGTCGCTCAATGAGAGCCTTGTAGCCATCTGCACCGGAAGCGAAAGGATGGAGTGCGGACCACCCGACATTGGACACGGGTAGCATCTCCGTAGTGCCGTTGAGTTTCATGGTACAGGAACCAAGCGGGATCATCGAGTGTACGAGCGAAAGGTCTTTTGATTGGAGATGGTGCATATATCGAAGCAACTCGGTCTCTGAGTGATGTTGATTGAAGACTGGATGGGTCAAGAATGGCGTTGACCTTTGCAGTGTGTTGGCGGCGTTTTGTTTGCTGACCTTCGATAGGATCGCCGAGTCTCTCAAAGCGGCTTCGACATCGCCATCCTTGATTCCAAGGGCACTCGCCAGCTTGACCAAATTCTTGCTGCCGGTAGCCTCGTCAATCGAGAAGCCGAGTCTTGGCTTACCTGGGGTGCTCCCGGGAACATTCGTTCGCAGGCTGACTCCAAGTTTGGAAGCTCGTGCCAACACCTTTTCATATACATCTGTGTCCTGTGCTTCTAGAGTTACCGTGTCGAAGAGCACAGCGCCATCATCGCCAAGGCCTTTGGTGACCACTTTGAGCGTGGGGCTGTGCTTTTCTACCAGCATTTGGACAAATTTAGCCATGGCCCATATCCGATGCGCGATATCTTTCAAGCCATCTGGTCCATGATAAATGGCATAAAAAGCGCTCATGTTAGCAAGGAGTGCTTGGGCAGTGCAGATATTGCTGGTGGCCTTTTCTCTCCGGATATGTTGCTCCCGAGTTTGGAGAGCCAGGCGAAGAGCACGGTTGCCGAGTCGATCTTTGGACACACCGACAAGCCGACCAGGGATTTTGCGTTTGTGTTTCTCGTTGCAAGCAAAGAAGGCAGCATGCGGCCCGCCAAAACCCATGGGGACCCCAAATCGTTGAGCACTTCCAAAGGCGACATCGGCACCAAATTCACCAGGCGCTTTCAATAGAGTGAGGGCGAGCAGGTCTGTCGCAACACAGAATGTGGCATCAGCAGCATGTATAACATCTGAGAGGTTCTGGAAGTCAAACACGCCCCCAGTGGTGTCGGGATATTGTGCGAGGACGCCGACCAAGTTGCTTCCTTGATCCTTGACAAGCTGACAGTCTTTATCCAGGATGTCACCCACTACGATGTTTATGCCGAAGCCTGCTGCCCTCGCCTCCAGAACTGCAATTGTCTGGGGATGGCAGAGGCTCGAGACAACAAATGTCTTACCCGGTGCCCTGAGTCGAGAGGTGGAAAGAGCATTCATAGACAGAGTCATTGCTTCAGCAGCAGCAGTGCCTTCATCAAGGACAGATGCATTAGCTATGGCGAGACCTGTGAGATCGGTCACAAGGGTTTGGAAATTCAACAGCGACTCCAAGCGACCCTGACTGATCTCAGCCTGATACGGGGTGTAACTGGTGTACCAGGCAGGATTTTCCAGAATGTTTCTCGTGATCACCGGTGGCGTAGTTGTCCCATAGTATCCGGCGCCTATGAAATTGCGCGAGAGGGTGTTCAACTTTGAAAGTTTGTTCAGCTCACTCTGCACTTGCTTCTCACTGCGCCCTTTGATGTTGTGTCTTCCTTGTGCATCCATGAGGGAAGTGGCAGCTTTCTGCCGGATCCCCTGTGGCAGAGACTGTTGTATGAAGTCCCCGAGATCCTTAACAGGCGGGTCCAGTGTCTTGAGCATCTCTGTCTCGTCCTGGGGGGAAGGCCCAATATGTCGTCGACTGAACAGTTCATTCTGGGCCATGAACGGTGCCCGTTCCGAGAATGTCAGGGAGTCAGGCCCATCCTGTTCTTTGCCCTGCTGTGCCGTACCAATACATCTCTTGCATATCCGGGCAGCATCACCTCGCGGGAGCTGTGAACGAAGGAGTCGGGTGACAGAATGCGCGGCGCGGGGCAGGGTGAGGGTTTGGTTGGCCATCTTGTAGGGCCTCAGGCAAGGTAGTGGGCTACAGCAACCACATCTAAGCTGTCGACAAACCGAAAGACCGACAACTGAGAGGAAAAGGAGGATGAAGGAGACGGGGAGTCGCAGTTATTGAGCGTGGCCAGCGGTGACCCCAACATACCTGAGGAAAATAATCCATCGGAGGAAAGGCACGCGGACTGGTGACCGCACCACACAGTTAGTTGATGCAGGGGTCCATAGCTGCGGACGCTCCAGCTCTAGACTGCCGAGACTGCTTCTCATTTGCCAAGCCGCGTCCCGATAACCTGATATCGTTTAGCCAGTGGCCAATCACACTGGTCATGCAGTGGAAAGCCTCGGCCTTCACCAATTGTGCAGTGCATCTGGGCGAAAAGTCACGAAAACAATACGAGTAGTGTTACGATCAAATTCTTCATCGTCCACTGGAATTCTTTTCACATCGCTGAAATGATTCATCATGATGATACACAGGGATATCTAGGAGAGTATTGTTACATTCGCTCAATTGCAACCGCCGGCAACATGCTCGCCACAAATCGTATCCTCTAACCAGTCAACGCTTTGGTAGACTTGCTCCATGGCTATCATTCGCCATTCAATAGTGGTCGTGACCTGGAGAATGGAAAATGTCAGCGTTTGCACTCCCAACAACTCGGTTGGGAGTAATGGCACTCACGTCCAAGAGGCTTAGCTCTCTTCGAAATGTCCTTGGCTTGGTTCTGCTTGATCTTGGCCAAGCGAGCCCTGCAACATTTGAGTCAGTGTTTGGGTTGACAGGTATCAGGCAACAAGTGGGAAAGCTCACTCTTCCTCAGCCTCACGTTCGAGCATCTTGACACGGTCCCTGGCCTCCCTCACTGCTGCTCTGGCCTGGACAAGGGCACGATCGGCCTCTCGCTCGGCAGTCTCGGCCGAAAGGACTCGCTCCCGTGCCGCAATGATAGAAGGGTCTTCGTGGTTACGGTGGAACAAACCTCCAGAGCCTCGTGTCGACCCGCGAGAGACCTTGGATCCATGACGGCGGTTATGCGAGTCGTAGTCTCCGGATGAGGCAGAGGAAGAACGACGGCGGTTGAAGAACCCTCTTCGAGGGCTACCATCGGCAGACGAGTTCGAGTACCTGGGCGCAGTCGTCTGCGCAGGGGTTGGGTCTGTGTTCTTGTGTCCGAAGAGAGGCATCTTGATTGGTGGATGGAAGGTTGTGGGATAGATTGTCTATATGTTCTGCAAAAGATTTGGAGATTTTGAAAATGATCTGAATGAAAAGCCCGTTGGACTTCTGTTTCGAGGATGTGCTGTGCATCGCATTATAAATGCCTGTCTCCGATGCCCATCTGTCGACGGTGGTGGTGTCTTAGAATCAGGTTTTGGGTGCTGGTGTGACGTAGGAATGCGGACGAGGCTCAGAAACAGGGAGCGATCGTCAGCCTTGTTGGCCCAACCCAATCCAAATGACACCACCCGTCGGCAACTAGAGCCACCAAGGTCATAGATCGAGCTGTTGGTCTCACTTTCTGGGGAACAGACCTGGACCCTGAAACCTCCAGATAACTTGCTTCGTCGTATCAGACCACGGCCAGCCTGTGCAGTGACGACGATATTTGCATTTCGGGAGATTTAGTACGAGGCTAGCACGCTCAAGTAGCCCAAAGGCACGGCGATCTGGCGATCCTGTGGCTGGAGGGGTGTCTGCTTCGCCCAACTGATGACTTGTACCGACCAACTTTGCAGTCAAGAAAGTTTCGAGGGAGTTATATGGATCGAGAGGAATATCTCGATGGAGATAACGGGTTGCCCTTGTCTACACAGCATGATAGGCAGGATCAGCCATATCAGACCTCCGCAATATCTAACCCAAGGATCGATCGCTGCAGCCTTGCAGGTTGACATTTCCACATTTGACGCTTCAGAATCTCCTTCAAGCCTTGAAGTAGCCCTGCTTTACTTTGACTTGGAAAACAGCAGACTTGCCCATGTGGTGACGTCAGCCCAGCAATAAGTATTTGTGGCGTTTGTGCTGTTTGTGCTGTTTGTGCTGTTTGAGCCTGGGGTGTACGCCAGAAAATGTCACGTGCACCATATCAGGCGCTGGTAGGCTTGGCCTCGATCCTGGCCCTTGAATCAGTACGGAGTATTCCGTACATATCAGGCTCCCGGGATGCCCTGGTCCCTACCTAGGTACCCAGGTAGGTATCTAGCACAGGAGAGAGCGCGTTGAAGAACCCTCCCCAAGAGAGCTTGCCTTTCCCTTCACGTTCCAGCTCGGCAAAATCATGTCTATGCTGGTGGAATAGTTTTCAACTCGTGGAGCTGCAGAGTGGTTGGTAACGCAACGAATGACACATGTCCCTCCGTCACGCCTTTGCAATCCACCCGGAGTGTATCATAAAGTCGAATATGCGATTGGCTTTATTGACATCGATCTATCCTGGTGGTTAGAGACAATGTCCACTGCAACAGGTTGGACCACTTACACGGCAGACTCCTCGAGCTTCCTTTTTCTTCATGTGCCCGCCTTGTTTCATGGCTTCTTTCAACAAGCCCTCTTTGAGGGCAAGATATGGCTTCGGTCGGATGTGGAGTGTATTGCAAAGTTGGATTTCTTCCTCGCTCAGAAGTTGCAGATCGGGCGCATAGGCTTTATCTTCTTCTAATTTCCAGGGAGTCGTCCCATTTAAGGGCTGCACCACGTAGCGAACTTTGGGTTTGGGTCCTGCAGCGCTATCTGGACCCCCAGCCTCAGCAAAGAGTTTGTCAAAGTCGTTCTGCACGGCTGGCTGACTATCAGTGAATTGGGGCACGGTTTTTTGCTTGCGCTGAAATCGAAGAGGCAATTCGGGCGTGGTCAATTTGGATGCCTCGGTTGGCAGGTCGGGTTGCTGGATTTGGCCGCCCTTCTTAGGTATCTGAGGCATCCTATCGAACTGTCCCTGAGGTTGATTCCGTAGAGCCCGCGCTTGTTTATCAGCTTCGTACTTCTCGCCGCCCCTCAGGTCGCTGATGCCCATCTGCTTCCACTCTTGTAACTGCGCGATGGCAATGCGCAAGTTGTGCTCAAGCAGGAGGTCACGGTTTAGCGCCTCGAAATCTTCATGATTCATCATTCGAGCAAAAGGCTTGGCTCGGTGAAGCAGATCTTTCTCCTCCTTCGTTCTCTTCTTATCGATAAGCTGATTCTTTTTGTATTCCAGTAAGTTATGCTCGAAAATGATTCGTTTCCGGTCCGTTCTCGCCTTTAGTCTGGAGTTGTAGATATCGAAGACTGTCATTTTCAATGTGGTCTCTTCGTCCATCTGTCCTGTTACAGGGTCAAGGCCGTCGCCAGGCTCGAAGGACATGTGCTGAACAGCTTCCTCGGCATCATTGGCAAATTCGGTTTCAAATTCTAGACGACCAGGCATGAAGCCCTGCACCTCGTGACAAGCTGGCACTGAGGCAGTAGGCTTCTGCTTGGGCGTTGCAGGCGGCGCTGACTTGGCGGCTTCCTTGCGTTCCTCAATGCGCCGCTTTTTGCGAGCCTGAAATTCATCTTTGGGTATGCGTTCAAACAATCGGGTGTCTGCAGGGTCGGCCAATTCAGGGAGTGGGAATAATGGGCTGTTGATGTAGGTATTGATGTAGTGGTCGCGGACTTCGTCCTTTTCTCGGTAGCCTCCAATATGTTCCGCTACGTCGGCCCACGAACCGAGTCCATACCTCTCGGAGCCTTCGAGCAGAAGCAGTTCCTCATCGGCGCCCCAATCCTCGGCATAGATGGGGATCGAGTTCTGTTCCACTACATGGTATTCATGTGTGCGGGGATCGTGGTTTTTAGAGTGTTCTCCGCGAGCGAAACATGGGACACAGAGATCGTATTCGCGGCATGCAGGATTCGCGCAAGATATGCGGACAGTCGAGGTGATGTCGATGGAGCAAACGTCGCAATGGTATTTGGTACCACCGTCGCCGCCGCGGGAGGCTGCATTTTTCCTTATGACGCCCATGCTTCTCTCGATGCGAGCATCTTCCTCGCAGTCAGAATCAGAAGAGAGATATTGCGCGTACTTGGCAGGGATTGTCGCGTCTTCGCAGGCAGAGTCAGCCGGTGGGTCTCGAGGCCGTCGGGGCGCAGTAGGTGACGCAGAGCCCTCGGAATCGGAATCAACAGAGTCGACGGTATAGTGCACGGGTTTACGACTGCTTCGGACTGGCCTTGAGCGGGTTCCAGGCGTTGATGGTGGTGATAATGGTGTTGCAGGCAGGGATTGCAGCGTGGTTGTTGTACGACTGACGTTCAAAGTTGGGGGCTCATATCCGCCACCAACACCGCCAGCCGCAGCTTGCCAAGCAGCCATTCCCGCTTCTGACGAACCCACGTGACCTCGAATTCACCCTCTGCACGATAAGTGACGGCCCAGCTTTCGGCCGATGTCTGGCCAGGGTCTAGTTCCGCCCTGACGCCCTGAGACTTTGGCTGAATAAGTGACCGAGAGCCCACTCAGCAACCTGCCGCCACCTCGACTCCCATCCAGTGCCAACCAGTGCGACCCTTTTAGTTGGTGTGGAGGCTTCTGGCGGTCGCATCACCACCCACACTCCGCCCCGAAAGTTGAAACTCAGGCCCCGGCCGTCTCGACCTGGTGTGCTGCTGTGCAACTCGGCTTCACCAGACTCAACAATCCACTTCTTGCGGTCTTCTGTTATTCATCAGCATCCATCTTTGCCTCTCTCCTCCCTCACTGCAAAACACTCACCCAATCCTTAACGCTCCTTATCGACTTCACCTCGTCTTCCCCTCCGTCACGTTTAGTTGATCGTTCTGCCGCACTCGCAGCCCCTCCTTTCACCGTTTGTGTCACCCGCACTTAAGATTAAAACCCGCGCTCCTTGAACATTGTCGGTCAACAACACCCCCTAAGGCTGTGCCTGCAACACCCCATCGACACTTTACCTTTCTATCGTCAGACTATTTTGTCTGCCTGCTTCAGCGGCGGTCCTGGGCCTGTTGTCGTTAGCTATTGAGGTTCAAGCGGAGGAGCAACATTTGAAGATGTCGTGGAGATTGACAAAGAGTATGCCAATTCAAGAACAGCTGTCTTGGGATGGACTCAAATTGACAGAAAGACAGAGTTAAAGGACACTCACCTGGCCCCTCTGACAAGTGGCTTTGGTCGATCCACCTCCACTTCTACTGTCAAGGCTGAAGATGCTTCACCGGCTCAAGACTCACCAGAGTTGTCAACAACCCAGAGCAATACTAGCACCTCTTCAGCAAATGGGATCGGTAAGTGAATCACACTCCGTTCAATCTGATCTTTCTCAGCGTCACTTACTGACCTCTCCCAGCTGCTTCCGAACAGCTCACTTCTCCTCCTGTCCAGACCACCAAACCTGGGATCCTGATCGTCACATTGCACGAGGGAAAAGGATTCTCCTTGCCACAACAATATCAATCAGTATTTAACAATTATTATGGCTCGGGAACCTCGGGAACAGTCAGACCAAGCTCGTCATATGCCTCCAATTCGGTTGCAGGATCATACGCTCCCCCAAACCGACCAGTGTCAACTCACGCCGGAATCAATGCTGCGCCGACCATTCACGGAAGATACAGCAGCAAGTACTTGCCTTACGCTCTCCTCGACTTTGATAAGCTGCAGGTGTTCGTCGATGCCGTCTCTGGCACGCCGGAAAATCCTCTGTGGGCAGGCGACAACACCTCGTTCAAGTTCGATGTGTCGAGAGTGTGCGAGCTCAGCGTCCAGCTATACCTACGCAATCCAGCTGCTAGACCAGGCGTTGGTCGGAGTGAAGATATATTCCTTGGTGGCGCTAGAGTCACTCCGAGGTTCGAAGAAGCCCGGCAATTTGTCGCGGACCCGAAGAAGAGCAAGAAGGAGAATGAAAAGGCGGAAGCTGCCTTTTTGTCCCAAGAAAAGCAGGCCGGCCAACTTGGGACCGAGTGGCTGGACATTCAATTTGGAACCGGCTCAATCAAGGTCGGTGTGAATTATGTCGAGAACCGACAAGGCAGCCTCAAGATCGATGACTTCGAACTCTTGAAAGTCGTAGGAAGAGGAAGTTTCGGCAAAGTCATGCAAGTCATGAAAAAGGATACTGGCCGGATCTACGCTCTCAAGACCATCCGAAAGGCTCATATCATCTCTCGGTCCGAAGTCGCTCATACTCTTGCGGAAAGATCAGTGCTGGCGCAGATCAACAACCCCTTCATCACTCCGCTCAAATTCTCTTTCCAGTCACCTGATAAGCTCTATTTTGTCCTGGCCTTTGTCAACGGAGGAGAGCTGTTCCACCACCTTCAAAAGGAACAGCGCTTCGACATCAACCGCTCTCGGTTCTATACTGCGGAGTTGTTGTGTGCCTTGGAGTGTCTTCACGGCTTCAAGGTCATTTACAGAGATCTGAAGCCAGAAAACATTCTGTTGGATTATACCGGCCACATTGCCCTGTGTGACTTTGGATTGTGCAAACTGGACATGAAAGACGAAGACCGAACCAACACATTCTGTGGTACCCCCGAATATCTGGCGCCAGAACTACTTCTTGGACACGGCTACACGAAGACGGTCGATTGGTGGACTCTGGGCGTTCTCTTGTACGAGATGCTTACGGGACTCCCGCCTTTCTACGACGAGAACACCAACGAAATGTACCGCAAGATTCTTCAAGAACCATTGCACTTCCCTGGTCCTGAAATTGTACCCGCGGCGGCAAAGGATTTGCTTCAAAAGCTACTTGACCGCAATCCTGAGCGTCGATTGGGAGCTGGTGGAGCGGCGGAGATCAAAGCCCACCACTTCTTTGCCGGCATTGACTGGAGAAAACTGCTGCAGAGAAAATATGAACCCAGCTTCAAGCCGAATGTGGTGAGTGTGAGAACTGAATGCCTGGAAAGCTGTCGCTAACATGAATTGCAGGTCGATGCTCGAGACACAGCCAACTTTGACAAGGAATTCACGTCCGAAGTCCCCAAAGATTCATACGTCGAAGGACCAGTACTGTCTCAGACCATGCAACAGCAATTCGCAGGGTGGTCATACAATCGACCAGTCGCTGGGCTCGGTGATGCAGGTGGGAGCGTCCGGGATCCCGCATTCGACCGCATTCAATAGAGACCAAAGCGTGTTTTTGTCATGTAATGAGCAATGAAATGGTCGACGAACGACATTTGCACGTCACGCATCGACGACAGCCTTGGGAAGGCGATGAGGAATCCGTCCAGGGACGGGAATGACAAAATCTTGGTCAAAGGTGATTTCTGCTTTTGCTTGACGGGCGATTCGTTATCTCCTCAGTGATCAAGCTAGAAGATGGACGTTGGCTGGGGATTTCAAAGTGTCGTGAAAGTGATCATGGAGAATCATATCCTGAACTGCCAGCCATGCTTTGTTTCCTCTTGTGAAGTGTTCCGACCTGTTGTGGTCATGAAGACCCCGAACCGATACTCCCGATGTTGTTGCCACCCATCACTCTCACTCGACCTTCAGCACATGACGGGTTAGTTACTAAATGGTGTGCCCCTCCTATTTCTCTGGACTGCAACTGCCCCCTTAACAGACTCCCCATAAATGTCTTCAACCGAGTCGAGTGTATTCACTGCTTTGAGCAGATCAACTGTTGAAAGCGCAGTGTTTTCCGCTGGGCGCGGGTCCCGGAACGGGCCGGCGGCATTTCAACTTCGGCCATGCTTCGATCGAGTGAATATCAACTCCTGTAGTAGAATCTGGCTCACGGCAAAAGATACATCTAATAGGATTTCGACACACGGTTACTATAACTCGAATGTGTTTTTTGTCCCCACAGCGAGGTTTCTCGCGAAAAGAGCCGAGTACTGCATGCACCAACATTGACTGGGGGTTGGGATTGGCATTATCATTGGCAACGCAGTGGCTGTGCAACCTCAGGCGCTTTGTGGTCTTCTGGCAAGCCCGCCATTGGAGTTGACAGTATGAGGGTGCCTTGACGACACTGCCACACAGATCTCCATCTCTTGCAATCCGACATTTGTTGCCGATTTGCTAGACGGCGTCGCGAACTGACGGAAATCGTGTCCTGGGCAATGTGGTAGGGGCCTTGAACCTGGAGTCTTCGGGAGAATTACGCCTGGCGCCAAAAGAGGCTGTGCTTTGCATCCTCCTGTCTCACGATTGAATATCGTTTGCATTATCTGCTTAAAATACTGATTAGCATCAACGGCCCACCGGACTCATGGTTTTTTTTGCCTTTTACCGCCATCTGGACGAAATTCATCAGCTCAAAGCACCATGACGACAAGTTTAACCCCGCAAGATGTCCAACTCGATGGTAAAGGCTCTAGCAACCAAGCGACAGGCAACATTGTTGAACAAGCCTTCCAAGAAGCTGTCCAATACTTCTGCAATGAGTTGACACAGGATGAAGTGGAGCAACGTTGGATCGCACAGCGTACCTCCATCGGTGATGTACTCGCCGTGGTTAAAGAGGCGGAAACGAAATATCTGACTTCAAAATCGAATCATGGGAACTTTCGTCGGTTCTTAGCGCACCTACCCGAGCGCCTTCTTCACTATTCCGGTGTCATCGACGTCTTCGTTCAGGCGCATCCGGAGTACTCGGCCCTTGCTTGGGGAGCTGTCAAGTTCGTTCTCCTGGTTCGTCCCCCCCCCCTCCTCCCCCTCAAGAAAGGGAACTCGGCTAACCTTTCTAGGGTGTTATCGAACATGCAAAGCTATTCTCAGAGATATCAGAAGCCCTCATTCTGATAGGTGACGCCCTCGCGCAAGCGGATTTCAACAGCAAACTTTACCCGATCAGCTCCATATCAGCAGCAGTATCAAGGCTGTATGTCTATATTATCCTGTTCTTACAGAAGGCTGTCAAGTGGTATACTATGGGCCGAGCCCGCCGGTGGGTTAACGCTGTCTTCGAGCCTTACGACATCGGGTACAAAAGTACTGTTGAAAAGATCCAAAAATGTATCGCGTCTCTCAAAGACACGGCAAATAGTGCTGCACATGCAGAGCTGAGGGGAATAACCAAATCCCAGGAGCACCATCAAGAGAAACTCGAATTAGTGGATGAGGAAGTTCGAGGGGTCAGACAGGAGCTGAGGATGATCGGGATTAAGATGGCTTCCCAGGAAGAGGCGCTAAACAAAGTGCTGCACTATGTCTCAGGCAGCCAGGCGATTAGCAACCGACTTTTACTGTATGCTGAAGATGGCAAAGTGGCAGCCATTCTCGACGAACTCGAGTCAGGTTTCGACGCCATGGGACGATACCACGCCTGTCTTGCAGTGAGCCAGAAACGCAAGGCCTGGACACATGCGGGCAAGGAATCAGCACTAGCGTTGGCCGCGATCAGAAGATGGGCATCTTCCGCTCGCTCTGCTTTCTTGGTAGTACAAGGGAGTCCAAGAGAAGAGGCAAAGATCAAAGACCTAGTTGTTGATGTGGTGCATTGGGCACGAGAAATCGGTGCCCCGACTATCTGGACCTTGTCGGACAGGGTTAACGGGCCAGATAGGCTGCTATCATCTCTCGCCGGGGTTTGGAAAACACTCGCCTCCCAGATCATCCGGCAAGACTCGTCCATTCTGAGCAAAACAAGTGCTAACCTCACTATATCAGAGCTCAAGACACAGCACGCTGCAACTGACTGGAAGGCTCTGTTCTCCGCAGCAGTCACGCAAATACAAAAATGCGTTATTGTCGTGGAAGCCCGCGCCCTATTCGACGTGATGGCCAATAACCCTTCCGAGGTGGCTGCTTTCCTTCTGGAATTCCAAACGGTTGTGGAGGCAGCAAACAGCCGCGGAAGCACTGTCAAGATACTGGTCGCAAGCTATTGTGCGTCAAGGACGGCTATCACCAGTCTTCCAGCCCATGATGATCGGTCGACTATCTTCGTGAGGCGATCCATGTCGTCTCGCCACCAGTCAAGGCCAACCACATCTGTTCGAAAGAGAGGATTAAGGCATATTCGCGGTTTCTGAGAGTGTCAGCGTCCAAGGGTTACAGCTTACAAGCTGCTCAAAAGTAGGCAGGGAAGAGCCATCAGTCTTGATCATCAACGCGGCTCAGGATATGGCGCGTATATTCCCCTTGCTGGCGGAGATAATGACCAGCCGATGTGAACTCTGACCTTGGGGTTGTACTGCGTCTACTGCCCAGACTTATCCCAACCGTTTTTACCCCCAGATCTCGAGGTCTAGCGTGCAATCATGACGATGTCCGCACCTCTACATAGTCATGACATTCTCTTACAAGATTCGAGGTCTCTATGGAGAAATAACAAGCAACTGCTCTTTGAAACCAGCGATCGGCGTCTGAACCTCTAGGCCTGGAAGCAATACATCAGGCAAGAAACTGGGACAAGAAGAGAGCCACGAGGCTGTGCGCCGCCCGTGAGTGGCTTAGACTGTCCACAACCCAAAACGCCCACCGCCATGCCGGTGCCCGACAACACTTCAATCTACACCGACGTCCTATCTGCATTGTGCTTCAGGCTGTATACTAGATGAGGCCGGCGACGGCTTCCTCTCGTGCATCAGTAGTTGAGCAGACTTCTTGACAGACTAGAATATCAACACATACGAATTCCCATACGGATCCCAGGCTGCATCTACCGTTTGCGAGGCTACGGCCCTGTTTCTGCTCGTTCAAGCGGTTGCGCTTTCCGAAAAGCGCAACGAAGGATGGCACCCGGTCGACTCGATGACCAGGGTCGAACATTGAAGCCTAGTCATGTACTGAACCCAGATCAGCGCAGGAAGAGCCAGCTCGCGAGTCTAGCGAGGATGCCATCTAACCCGCTTGCTCCGAAGCACTCGGGCCGCATAGCTGGACGGAAAACCCCTCATTACACGGTGTCGAAAGATTGTAGTCGGCGAGAGCATGTCAACCGCGACACTCGATTAAAGCGGATCATGGGCGGCCTTGAGGAGTCGAATGGACCTACCGCATACTCTTCTGGCATATTAGGGAGTTCTGCTGTGACGACAGCAAATTCTTTTCAGAAAATAGCCTCGAGTTCCGCTAAACTTTTGCGTCCAAAACCTGGAGACAAGACATTGCCTCAAAGCTCAATGGGCCCGGATGCGCCCAGTTTGCCTGGTCTCATAAGTCCCATACGATCAGAAGATACAGACTTCCTGTTCGGAGAGTGGGATGATTTGTTTTCTGGAGATAGATTCATTCTCTCCGCGGGGCGTCGCGAGATTGTGATGGCACAGGAAGCGGCTGCGCAAAGCCAACAAGGGTGGAAAGATAAGCATGGGCAAGGCCTGCGGACGAAAAAGAAATGTATGAGTGGCGTTTCCACATTGGACACGCCAAACGTGATGATCTCAGAACAACGTGGCCATCATTCCAGTTCGCGCCAGCATACGCTGAGGGGTCAAAATTACAGGTCTCATAATCCGTTCAGGGAGTTCATTGCTGCCAGGGGCACCCCGGATACTACTGCAGCCAAGACAGGCAGAGGTCGAGGGACCTTCACTCCCGCCGAAATTCAAAGGGCCTATAAGCAAGCCCAAATGTTACAGCAAAAGGCTTTTCCTCTCAGCATAGCAACACAATCATTCAGCAAACTTGCCAGAGCCGATAGGGCTGAGCCAACACGAACAATTCCCCATGCCAGTCAAACGGTACAGATGAGGCATGACGCCCCTCCTCCATCACAATAGGACGACCGATTCGTTTTACACCGCCGTCCCCGGAGTCCGATATATCCCGGGAAGTCGCCATAGAACAGTGTCGGGCAATACCTTATTGGACTGTTCAAGAGCGGCCCGGGTTTTCTGAGCTCCTGGCGTATTATGTTCAGAACTTTGCGGCTATTGCAGACTCATGAAGACCAAGACCGTGAAGATGGTGGGTGCTGTGTTTTCTCAGTGATAGATCCATTAGACTAACCAAGGCAGCTCACAAATTACTATCACCGGCAAATCCTCGACGGAGCAGACGAGCTGCGGCGAATTGCACAGCAAGGTGAATGTCGGCATTTGGCTCGAAATGTCATGTCCCAACCGAGTCCATTTACGCCGGTAAAGCGCCGCTAAGACGTGACACCGCCGATTCGTGCATTACGAATCGATACTCCGCTGGGGCTAGCACAATCAGGCATGAGTCCACGGAGGATATTACGAGTCCAGATAAAGAGACAATCTGTGCCCTCTCCACCTCTCCGGAAGCGGGTGTCGCCATTATCAGCAAGTCAGAGGATATTCGCCAAGATCTATCATCGAGTCCAGCCGCTGAATACCTAGGTATTTCCAATGACAACCGCAGAGCATACGATAGAACGAGCTCCTAGGCAAACAGGGGCCATCATTGAGTTGAAACGAGCTCTGCAGCCCGTGCGATCCAATGATATCGGGAGTTGGAAGCGTCGCGGCAGCGGCAGCTGGAACGCTACATGCGAGATAGATACGTGATTGAACATCATTAGACACCGATGGTATCGCGACAAAATCGGCTTTCTGCAACATAGAAGAAATAGGGCGGGAGAAATTTGCGGAAAACATTTGTTCCATCCGTTTCTAAGGCCATAACTATAGATTGCATCGAAAAGATCTCGCAGGTATTACTATGAGCAATCAGTATGTCCCTTTCATGGCTGTCCTTCATCTTCCGCCTCGCGCTTTACTTGGGTCGTTTCACGACTGCACAGAACGGGCTTGGTGATACTCCAGGCAGTCACCCAGAGACGATTGAAAGCATCGTGGTACGGCGCAGAGCCCAGAGATCGTCGTCCGTGCTAACCTGCGGCTCTCTTTTCTATGGGGAGTGTAGCCGTGTGTATGGGCGCAAAACTACAATTTCATGAGGCGCCCGCTAGACATCTGCACAGCCGCCCTGCAACAACGCCACCAACCCCTCCGCGCCACGTTCAATCAGCCTATCTGCCCAAACCACCTTAAATTGAGGCAGAGCCATTGACATGGCGTCGTCCTCCTACTTGAGACGTTCAGGCCCGTCTTTCTGGCTGGAATGTTATACTACTTCTAAGGTGGTCATCCGACGACCAACGGACGAGCGCCATAGCTGGAAGCAGCATAGAAATGGTATTGTCACAGCAGATGGAAGAGCTGGCAAATGAGATATCCCAGCCTCCGAAGCGAGCTCGCAGTGCCACTCCGGAACCTCTTGATGCACCGCCTGCCGCAAGACGAAGGCGAGGCGCCAAAGGCCAACAACAGCGTCACCATGGTACCGGAACTGCGGTTCAACATCCTCTGAAGTTTGCAGATCTGCATCGAGTGGTGTGCAACAGCGAGCATGGCGACCATTCACATCACGAAGCTTCGGCACTCTACGCTGATGCCCCTCAACTATTCGCAGGCGACAATAGAGCCAGTGCACTTCGGGCGGCGGACCGCTTCAAGATCCACGACGAGGAGCACTTCCTCGAGGATGCCGATGTCGCTATTTACCACACGTACGCTTGCCACAAGTATCAATCGGCCGTACGAGACCAATTCGAAGGCTTCATCCCACCGGAGCTGGATCGACGGGTCTTCAGGGAGAATCGGGCCTACTTCTTTAGCTTGCGCCATGACATCGAGAAAGCTAGGCCTGACGATATGTACATCCGCGTCCTTTCTAACGAGGTCCACCTGGCTGTATCTTCGGCAGCTTCGTTCGATCCGAATCTGGCGAAGGAATGGGATCAAGAAAGGAATTTGCGGTATCCGTTTCCGTTCTTCTTCCACCACCGTCAGCGCCTGAGAGCTGCTATCGAGGACATGCAAGATCTCCGGTCTGGAAACTTAGTATATGGCCTTCTCTCAAAGGTTGAGCATTTTTGTGAAGCCGAATACCAGGAGGCCGACAGCTTGTTCGCAGCCGGTCTAGTCAATCGAGAACATTTCAACAAACTATTTACCGACGGCGAAATGATCGTCACCCATCAGCACGGGCAACCATTGGCATACCGACTTGATGATGCAGTGGTCAGCAGGGAAGCGACAGTCTTACGATGTTCATCATGGACGTTCGATGGTGTCTTCAAGAGGAAGCCAAAAACTCTCGTCGTTAGGACGCCTGGCTCAGAGGGCAGCATCCCCATTACGAGCTTAGAGGTATTTCCATTGCGCTTCAACGAAAAACTGAAAGCAGAACTCGTTGTGCGAGGTAGAACGTTTTGGAATTGTCGACACAGAGCGCACATCCTGTACCTGGCCCCGAGGCCACCGTTCGAAGCCCAGACGGTACGAGTGTCTCCTTCTCCTCCATTTCCGGGCTCCAAAGCTGATCCTGCGCAGTCTCGACCTCGTTATATGATCGACTACGAAACGTACCAAGCCCTTCATGATACCCCTGAACACGATGACGCAGACACTGCGCCAGCGGATATTATCCCAGTGGATTCGACCGAGGAGCCGGACGAAGGAGTTCTGCTTTCACTGCCCGCCCAGATTCGGGGCTTTGGATTTCATGACAAGAAGTGGAGTGCGTCTTCAGTTTACGTTGCGTCGACTTGACTGCTGACAAGCAACCAGGGATGCTGGACGTCAAGTACGTCGAGGCGATCAAATTCAACAAACAAGCATTCAAAAGACTGCACCTCGACTCTGACAAAAAAGACCTCATTCAGGCATTGGTCACCGTACACACGAGCGTCAGCAAGACCGCCGATGTAATTGAAGGCAAGGGCAACGGCTTGATAATCCTTCTCCACGGCGGGCCAGGTAAGTTCTCTTCCAGCAGAACGTCAAAAGAACCATCCGCTAATCCCCACCGTCACAGGCACCGGCAAAACTCTCACAGCCGAAGCGGTGGCCGAACTTGCCGAAAAGCCGCTCTACCGTGTGACCTGCGGCGACATGGGCGTCGACGCGGAGCGCGTGGAGAACTACCTCGAGGACGTCCTCCGCATCGGCACCGTGTGGCAATGCGTCGTGCTCCTCGACGAGGCCGACGTCTTCCTCGAGGAGCGCACGCACCAGGACATCAAGCGCAACGCCTTGGTGTCCGTCTTCCTCCGCGTGCTCGAATACTACGAGGGCATCCTGATCCTGACCACCAACCGCATCGGCACTTTCGACGAGGCCTTCAAGTCGCGCATCCAGCTGCCGGTCCACTACCCCGACCTCGACGAGACAGGTCGGAGGATTATATGGCGGTCTGCCCTGAATGACATCCCGCCAGCGCCGCGAGACTTTGACCTTCAGAATCTGCTAGATCACATCGACAAGCTCGCGACGTACCGGTTAAACGGGCGGCAAATCCGCAGCATCGTGAACAGCGCCATGAAGTATGCGCATTTCAAGGAGGAGCCGTTGAGTTACCGTCACTTTGAGGTGGTGATCCGAACCGTGATGGAGTTTGATCGGTACACGGTCGAGACACGCGGTCAGACAGATTCGGAGTGGGCTGAGGCAGAAGGGTTGAGAAAGAGGCCGGGACTGTAGCGAGTACTAGCTATCGCTGCATTCCCCGGGGAGTTTGGCTGCTGTTAAAAGGATTTTCGGACGGCCAATCCTGGGAGAACAATAGTACGTTGAATTAGGCCCTTTTTATGTGCATGAATACCTGGGATCTCCCAGATAACGAACCTAGACATTTTGACCCCGGCCCGTTTAAGCCACCCTTCTTCGACCCTGCTCAAATGCTCGTAAATCACATCATTCGTGTTAGCCCGAAGAGATGGACAGGAATCGAGGAATTGAGGAACTTGGGTAGCCTTTGTGGCCGTACCCCCCAAGTTTTCGAAATGAAGCCCCGTTTTGTCGGACGTTGAAAATGGCTTCGCCTTGCTCATTTCGAAATGGAGGCTTCCAGTTCTCAGCTGCGAGCGAGACCACCACAAGGAGAGACAAGGCCAGAAAAGGCGGCAATGGATGGACCGACCATGTTCGACCATCTCAGGCAGCCTCGGAGAGAACATGCGAGTAGCGGGTCGACAAGGCACGTGCGTCCAGTTGCCTTTCGAGGTCACGGATGGTGTCCTTGAGCACATTGTTCATCCGTCGGAGTTCGCCAGTCTCTAGTGCCCTGGCCCTGATAGCTTCGTCGCGATCGAATTGTAGCTGCTGGAAGAGTGGCTCATACTTCTTGCGTTCGTCTATCAACCGCTGAAGCTCCATGCGAAGAGCATTCTCGATTTGGTGCGTGTGCTCGAGGAAGACGTCGGCCTTGTCGGGGACCAGTGTTCGGTCGACGCGGCGCGTCCTGCCTGTCTCGAACGTTTTGGCGTCCTCCTTCCTGCGAATCCCAGTTTCAAGTCTGCATAAACGCCGTTAGTGCTGCGACAACCTAATTTGTGCATCATACTTACGCTATTCGATGACGCTGGAGTACCGGCTTCTGCTCCTTGAGCCTCTTCTTTACGTTCTTCGTCTTTGCTTGAATGTTCATAGTGTGAGAGGTAAGGATCTTTCCACCTAGAGGAACGTCGAATTTGTCAAGTGACAGCGAAACAACAGCGTCATCACTATGTTCTACCGCAGGGGACGTCCTGCAAGCTTGGGCGCTTGTACGTGGCGTTCCTTTTGAGCAGCCCAATAACGCCGAAAGTTGTCGTTCGCGACGTACATGTTCCGGTTTGCTGCAGTCTCTAGATACTGTATAGTGCAGATTACCCCTTTCCGCGTCCTTGTTGGGAGCCTCTTCCACCGAGCTTGTGCGACTGCCCGAGGCATTTCCCTCAGGCAATCTCGTTGAAGATGTTCCTTTGTTGCCCGGCTTCTCTGTAAGACGATTCCGGTCGAGCAGAGCAGAAGTATAAGATTTGGGTTTTCGCGCGGAGCCAGGTCTATCTGCCCGCTTCCCAACTGCTGTTCTCCCGATCTTCTGCTGATTGTGTTGATGTTGTAGGCTTTGCATCTGGGGATGGTTAGGGTTCATCTGCATTTGTGGGCGCATGCCCATTCCCATCTTCTTTTGCGCCAACTGTGCCTGATTAAAGCCGGGCGCATTTGGTATTCCCATAGGTATGCCCTGTGTCTGAGCCCGGGACCTTTGCTGCATCCTCTGCTGGCGAATCATGAACTCCCATTGTTGTGGTGTCACCACCATCGCTTGGTCACAATTCATCTGCTGGCTATGCTGTTGAAATGTGGCCTCCAGAGGAAATCTGTTCATGAAGGCCATACCGTTGTGTGTGGAGCCTGGAGCTGGAGTCCCAGCACCGGGCGGCATGCCAGTGGCCATGGGTCCTTGAGTGACTCGACCGTTTCGCAGCGTCGAAGATGTTTCCACAACCCAATCTGTGACAAAACGCTTGCTATTGTAAGTCCTCGTAAAAGCATACAACGTGAGTTTGCGATATTGCGGTCGCACTCTTCGCGGCAGATAGTCGGTGTGCTTTTGTCGCCGTCAGAGCAAGGCGGCGTCCAACATCACAGCCTCATTTGAAAACAGTGGTGTTTCAGATGGGGCCAGGCGTTCTTGGCTTCGCTGTCACATTTCCACTAGCCTTGCGGTTGGGCATGGATCAGCCTTGCCGCAAGCATTGATCCAATCGCCTCAAGCTTGGAGCTCCTGCGCTCGTTGGACAAATCCGAGGGAAATTCCGGACGAGGCTGGCGACTCCAATACAGCCGATAACGGAGCATAGCCGGAAGTTTCCCCGCATCCGGCCCCTTTGCGGTTGCCGTGGGCGCGTTGGAGTACGAGGTACGGAATAGTCAACTTCAATTGAAATATCAATCCGTCTGTCCCTAGTCTGGGAGTGCGCTATGTCAGACTTTGCACTGCTCTCGTTCGAGAGATCTCAGTAGCCTATTGCTTAGAAATACCACTTATGCGTTGATCTCTTTCAGCTGACCGAGCATCGCAGGAGAGGGAGCTTCTGAGAGACTTGGAGAGAGAGGGAAACGCGAGTGAGCCGGCTGGCAAAGCAAGTAAGCTGCATAGCTCGCAAGCATGGCTGCGAAGAACATCCTTCGCAGAGCAGTGCTCTATGGTACCACGCCCTACACATATCAGAATTCCTGGTCTTCTTCATCCTTCTTGCTAACAACATCTGGACAGTCCCTGGCTCCTCACAGCGCTTCATTGACAAATCCCGGACCCTCACCGCCGACTGCATCGCCTATGACCTCGAAGACAGCGTCACCCCAGCGAAGAAGGCCGAAGCCCGCACCCTGGTCCGCAAGGCCCTGGACCAAGACTCACCTCCAAACATAAAAGAGCGGGCGGTGCGGATAAACAGCGTCGGCAGCGGGCTGGCACTCGGGGATCTGGAGGAAGTGGTCAAGTCGCCGAACCTGACGACCCTGGTCGTGCCCAAGGTGGAGAGCGCGAGCGACTTGACCTTTATCAGCGACGTGCTCGCGCACTCGCGCTCGAGGGACCATCTCCAGGAGAAGGGCCAGATAGGGGTGCTGGCTCTGATCGAGTCGGCCAAGTCGCTGCTCAACTTGCCCGAGATCTGCCGCGCGGCGCCGCACCTGCTGCAGGGCCTGGTGTTCGCGGCCGAGGACTTTGCGCTGGACATGAGCATCACGCGCACGCCCTCGCTCAACGAGTTTATCTACGCCCGCCAACTGATCGCCACCGCGGCGCGAGCGCATAACCTCCCGTCTACACTCGACCTGGTCGCGACGGCCTTCCGGGGTGAGGGCGACGAGGAGGCTCTCGTCCGCGAATGCGAGGAGGGCAAGCGCATGGGCTATAACGGGAAACAATGCATCCACCCGTCCCAGGTGGCCACCGTGCAGAGGATCTTCTCCCCAAGCGACAAGGAGGTCGAGTGGGCGGTCAGGATTGTCATTGCGCAGAAGAGGGCCGAAGAGATGGGCAAGGGCGCCTGGAGTCTGGACGGCAAAATGATCGACAAGCCCGTCGAGGGCAAGGCCGAGCGAATCGTCGAGAAGGCCGCGTTGTGTGGCATGGATGTGAAGGGGCTGAAGGAGAAGTGGAAGGATCAGATGCCCGAATAAGATGTGTCTATAGCGGAGGTTAATCGAGACAGCGGAAGGAAAGGGAGATCTATGGCTTTTTATATTTTGGACAAAAACACTTTTGGGGGGCTGTGCCTGAACAGGTCCTCTTCCGCTGTGCTCCGTCTCTTTTTCTTGTCCCTGTCCAAACATTCTATATCGCTGTAGAGCACAATTCCCCGGCCGAGCTTGATACAATCCCCATTGCCGACGATCCGCCCTTCATTTGAAAACAGCTTCAGGGCGTTTCTGTCTCAGCACCAGCCTGCCAAGTCGTGATGGCTGAACGCTGTGGAAACCATGGCTCACTATGTCTCCTTCTTCGTCTGTCCCAGGCCCCCATTCTCATACACCGCAGGCTTCAGTGCCTTGGTCGTAAACATCGTACGTTCCATCTGATCGGCCTTGTTCTTCTTGATCGTCAGACAGTTGATGTCCAAGACTTCGCAGATGCGATTGATCACCCGCACCGCCCACACGAAATACTGCACCATGGCGAACACGAAGCACCCGTAGAGATACCACCTTTCATACTGAGCCGGGATTGGGTCGAGTCCGAAAAGTGGTAGCCAGGCCATTATCGCCCCGATTGCCAAGGGAACCAGTGCGACTGTGAAATATGGGAATGATCGCCGTGTCAGGTGGTGAAGGATGATCTTTGTGGTGAGTCGGCCGAACACAAAGGAGAGCGTCATGCAGAATATGACAAGGTGGTTTTCTCGTAGGAGGATCGAGTACGGGGATCCACACCATGCACAAACCGAGGCGGTATAGATGACCATGGGGATCCACTCGAGGAAGACGGGCCATAGCGGAAGGTTTTGTCGTTTTCGGGCCAGGTAGACGTTGTGGACACACGAAGGTAGGTGGGCCGCAAAGAAGGCGAAAAGCACGACAGGGACCCAAAGGTCGAGCAAGACCCAGTCGCCGAATATCTGCGGGTAGCCGACACAATCGGCGATGCGGTATTGCCAGAACTGAGGACCGAAGAAGCCTGAGAGCACCATGAAGGAACATGCGAGGATGAGACCCTCGGTAGGACCGTTGAAGGCTCCTAGGAAGAGGGTGTGCGTGTGGTATGTCTCCCAGGTGGAAAAGAACATCGGCAAACAAGGGACGAGCGCTGTAAAGGCACCGATCTTGGTGGGTCCCAAGCTCATCGCGGCCGTCTCGAGGAGGCTGCCCAGAGTGCAGTTGAGCGAGTCAATGCCGTGGTCAAACAGTTCTCCAAGGCCGCTGGATGTGCCGGTTCGGCGGGCTTGTTTGCCGTCGATGTTGTCCATCGTCGAGTACATCCATAGCCCCAGGGCAAAACTGTAACAGAGCCACGGCGGAGCAGGGCCCACAAGATCCGGAACAAAGATGGACAGCAACAGGACATTGATCAAGATGCAACAGAAACCCAGGAGAGTCACCATGTTGGGTGCAAGCCACATAGGGAGAAACTTGACGGCCGCATTCCACTGTAAACCTATGAGCTGATGTGGACGCGTGACCAAACTAGTTCAACAACGTACGTAGTGGCGCAGGATATGGTTTGATATCCACGACTCGTCTACACTCTGGTACTTATAGGTCTTCAGGTGGGCCATTGCCTCATCTGAGAGAGGGTCCGCTGTTGAAGGATCATGAGTTTGTGGACTGAGGACGAGATGATGGACCAGAGAATAGCCGAATGCTGAAGACCTACCTGATTCCACCATGATTCAATTCGTTGCTGTCGGCTCTAACCTTGAGTTCGAAGATGATCTAGGCAAGGCGCTCAAGGTCTAAAAGACAAGAAGGCAATGAAAGATAAACGAAGAAAATATCACAAGGGACGCGGGCTAGCGGTCTATTCTCATGCTGGACATGACTGTCAAATGCTCACACGACTGGAAAGGCCTCCGGACGAGAAATCCCCTGAACCAAATTGACCAACAAAAGGAAAAATGTTGAAGTTCGGCAAACGAGGCGCGATGGACCTTGATGCCAAGCCTTTGGACTTGGCGCCGCTTTAATGCCCGCCCGTCGATGTGACACGTGCTGCTGCCTTCGCGTTTCACCTTCTTGCATCCCTCGCACTCCTGACTTTGATCAGCCTTCTCTCAGACTCCCACCCCTGGTCCATCTATACCTATTCCCTGAGAGATCGGCCTAGTGACCAGTTGTTCATTGTAACTAATCGATAAACAGGTGCGAAGTGTGGGAGATGACGCGTCACGACATCCTTACCCTGACATCTTCTCCTCTCTCATCAATATGGAGCCTCAAGAAGTTCAGCAGCCTATAATCGAAGAGGCGTCATTCACGGTCGCGCATCAAAAGGTCGAGCTCGATGTGAACTTCAGCCAATATATCAGCGGAAGGACCGAGATCACCATCTATCCTGACTCCGCAGACCTCAAAGAGATCAGCTTGCACGGCCGGCAATGCGCCATCAAAAAGGTCTTGGTCAACGGCATACCGCCATCGTCGGTACGGCATGAAGATCCCTGCGACCAACTCACTCTTCATTTCCAAGGCTCAGTCTATCAGCACCACTTGCTGGCGGAGAAGGTGGCGAGATCGGTCGGGCCGGAGCCATTGCCAGATATTGTCATAAGCCTACCGAAACGATTGAAGATTGTGCCGGTTGTGGTTGCAGAAGTGCACACTCAAGCCGCTGGTTCCATCAAGATCACGGATCCGCAGACTCAAGGTCCTTCTGCTACCGAGCTCACACAGGCGCTGTCAGATACCACTACTGCGAAATTTACTCCTCTGACTCTGGTGATCGAATTCGAGACATGTCATGCACGGGAGACTCTGCACTTTGTCTCTGGCAGAGGCGGGATCGGTCGATGGCCCCACGCGTATACTCGAACCAAGCTGGGGTCTGGCGGTGCCTCGCCCTTGTTTCCGTGCGTGGACGAGATTAACAGTCGATGCACGTGGGACATTTCTATCAGATGCCCGAGGACCGTGGGCGATGCTGTGAACCAAGCTATGTCGGCCGATGGTGTGCGGCCTAATCGAGACGCAACCGCAAAGGATTCGTCTCGCCAAAGCTACGGATCCAAGGAAATGATCGTGGTCTGCTCGGGCGAGCTCACCGACGAGATACTAGACAAGGGCGATCCAACAACGAAGACGATGTCTTTCTCCTGCTCGCAACAACTAGCGCCGCAGCAGATCGGCTTTGCCATCGGTCCTTTTGAACAGGTCAATTTGAGCGAACTCCGTGATGCACAAGAGGTCGCTGACATCGGCCGCAACGCCGTCGAGATGCTAGCATATTGCTTACCTGGACGATCAGAGGAGACCAAAAATACCTGCTTACCAACGACGAAGGCCATGGACTATGTTGTGCAAAAATACATATCCTGTCCTGTCAGATCTTATGCCATGTGTTTCGTCGAAGAAGCTCCATCAGACGTCTCCGTTTTTGCAGGTGTAACAATCTGCAGCACTCGAATTCTGTATCCGGAGGAGGTTATCGACCCTGCACAGGAAGTTACGAGAAAGCTAGTGCACGCCATTGTCTCCCAGTGGATCGGTGTCAACATTGTCCCCGAAAGTCCTCGAGACAATTGGGTCATTGTAGGAGGTGCCTACTTTATCACCAATCTCTTCATGAGAGAGCTCTGTGGGAACAACGAGTACCGGGCTTATATCAAGCAACAAGCGGACCGTGTTGTAGAGCTAGACTACGAACGGCCTTCGATCTACGAACTAGGCGCCGTCACCTACGTGGACCCGGCAGAGATGGAGTTTTTGGCCACCAAAGCACCAGTCGTACTTTTCATTTTGGATCGCCGTATCGCAAAAAAGGAGGGCACTTCCAAGATGCCCGGCATCCTGGCAAAGCTGCTTACCAAGGCTCGAACGGGGGACCTAGAAAACAACGCGCTCTCGACAGAGCTGTTCCAAAAGACTACTGAAAGGATGGGTCACGATAAGATCGATGACTTTCTGGCTCAGTGGGTTAAAGGATCGGGGTGCCCTCGATTTTTCGCCCAACAAAGATTCAACAAGAAGAAGCTGGTCGTGGAGATGAGCATTAGACAAGAACAAGCTTCACGTGAAACTGTGCGGGATCTGGATCCCGACAACTTCATGCGCGACGCTCGCGATGACTTCTATGGAGTATGGCCTGCAACCGGCCAACAAGTATTTACTGGCCCGATGACAATTCGAATTCATGAAGCGGACGGCACTCCTTACGAACACATTGTGCAAATCAAGGACGCGAACACTGTCATGGAAGTCCCCTACAACACCAAATATAAGCGCCTGAAAAGAAGCAAGAAGCAGAGGGCTCGAGCTAACGCCAAAGTTATCACTGAACAGGGGGAGGAGGAGAACGACTCTCTCGTCTATTGTCTGGGTGACGTACTGCAGACTGAAGAGGAAATGGCCAGTTGGCGGATAAAGGAGTGGACATCTGAGCAGGAAGACAAGATGAACGCTGAATCGTATGAATGGATTCGACTAGACGCCGACTTCGAGTGGATTTGCACCATGAACCTTGCCATGCCAGGATACATGTATGCGTCTCAGTTACAACAGGACCGCGATGTTGTGGCACAGATCGAGTCCATCCGCACGATTTCAAGGTATCCACCTGATGCAACTACGTCCTCCATTTTCATCCGCACCCTGATGGATCGTCGGTATTTCCATGGTGTTCGGGCTCTAGCGGCAAAGGCGCTAGTTAGGCATGCCGCAGAAGAAGTTGACAACATAGGTTTGTTCCATTTGAAGAAAGCCTATGAAGAACTGTACTGTGTTACAGACCAGGGCTCAGCTTTGACACGACCGAACGATTTCTCAGACCAACTTTCATACATGTTGCAGTGTGAGATAGTGGAAGCCGTGGCCCAGGTCCGGGATGGTCAAGGTCATTCCCCGAAAGAAGTCAGAGACTTCTTGCTAGAGAAGTTGAAGTACAACGATAACTCGGTGAACGACTATTCGGACGCGTTCTATGTCGCCCGGTTGATGAAAGCGCTGACTGGCGCAGCAATCGCACGACCCCAGTACAGCGAGTGGGATATTGCCGAAAATTTTGAAATCGAAGACGAGATCCATGATCTGAAAGAGTTTGAGCGTCAGTTCCTGGACGAGATTGACCGGTACCGCCGAATGGACGAGTGGACGAGTTCATACCAGAACCTTTACTGTCGAACCGCGCTGGAATGTCAGGCCATGCTGGCAGGGGTAGGGATCGGCCAATTCTCACCACTGCATTTCTTGCAATACACCAGGCCCGGCAACTATGACATGCTCCGGCAAACGGCTTATGATGTCCTGGTCACGCCGAAGGTGTTCGACCAGCCGTCTATTCTGCGGTACGTGTTGTATTGCATGGTGGCTGACCCTTCACCCTACATCCGGCAAGGTCTCCAGCGCGCGTTTGGCAAGGTTCTCGGAAGACGAGCTATTGGCGAGAAGACCAGCACCACCCAACCCGCTGCCGATTCTCTGATTATCGAAGGTGCCGCCGCAGACGCCGACGAGCCCTCGAAGCGGCAAGAAGAGCTTGCCAGGCGGCAGACGCTGGGGGGAGCTGTGAAAGCACTAAGGGAAGATCTGGGTCAACATGGCCCTTTGCGATCGGCTCTGTGGAATGCCATTTGTTACGACCAAATCACGCTGGAAGATCTGAAGACTCTACTTGACTTCTGCCGCTTGCTGTACCAGCCAGTCAACGAGATGAAAGTCACACTACGACTACCTCGATACTGGAAGGTTCAGAATCTAGGAAAGGTAAGTTTGTTCCTCGATCGGCATTTTGCATTGACAATTCGGATTGCCGGGTTAACATGGCTTTTCTGCCAATGCAGGGCAAGCTCAAGTTCTCCGAGACACGCAAAGTCCGCAACAAGCCCATGCCAAAATGGCAGCCTCCACCACCTCCCACTGCTGTCATTGTCCCTCGTCCTGAGTTACCGCACTCGCGGCCAAGTATTGGAGGAGGAAGCGGTCTGAAGTTGAAGTTAAAGGTGGGCGGGAGTGGGAACGACAGTCGCTCGGCGGGTCCGAATCGTCAACCTTCGATTTCCTTGTCAAATCCCACACCGGCACCACCCCCAATCGCCCATCACACCAAGCCAGCGCAGCAAAAGCCCGCTCCAAAGCCGCAGACACCTATTGGAGGCCCAGGTCGTATTACTCTGAAGATTCCCAAACGACCGGCTGGAAATGGAGGTTCCTCGCAATCTTGAGCAGCACACATGGCAGAGGCTGTGCATTTGTTGCTGATCAAAGTAGTCGGGTGGAAGGAGACTGGATGTCTTGAGGGCGAGAGCGCCGACTGGCAAAGATTGTCGGTGGAGGGAACTCGTCACCCTCGCGTATGTTGCAAATCCTCCATAGATCGACGTGTAACAATAATAACGAAGCGCTCCTTTGCTTCGACGCAATTGTCGCCAGAAGCATTGCAAATCGGAGGGGTCTCAACTTTTGTAAAATCCCTGCGAACCTCAATTCCTATATTTTCTCGTACGGGCTTTCTCTCATTTTGCGCGGACTTCTTCATCGTCGATCATCGCCCATGCGTTCCAGCGCTTCGAGCATGACCACGGAGTTGCCACGGATGACCACCATGCCCAACCTCTCGCGCTCGCCGCCTGCCTTTTCTTCAATGGCTTCGTCGAGGACAATGTTCAGAAAGACCTGTATTCAGAACGCCGTGGCGGCAGTGTTAGCCGATCCATTCGCATATACGCGTGGCCCCACGCCCATTGTGGCCGTTACTTGAGAATTTGTCCTTGCCCGGCGACGGCCGAGATCAGTGAGTGTGGATAGAATGGGGGAAGGAAACAGCCGCTGCGCCGGACGAGGTTTGAAGAGGGGGTGGGCGCAGGAGAAGGGGACCGCAGAGAGGGAAAGATCAACATACATCGTAGCCGCGCAGGACGCCGATGACTTTGCGGTTGCCGTTCAATTGGACGAACAGGCGCTTCTCCATGTACTGTTGTTGTGCGAAACGGACACCAGAAACGTTAGCACGAGCGGATTTCGTGAGGTAAGCTGTCTCAATATCAAGTGCGTGTGGGAGGGGGGTTTTTTGGGTGGGAGAGATGTTTCTTCTTTTACCTTTTTGAGCTCGGGCTGCGCTTGAGGCATGGTTGTGGTGGTGGAGAGGTGGTGAGCTGTTGAGCTGTTGGGCTGGCTGATCGAGAGCAGGGAGGCTATGAGGGTCAGGAGGAAGGAGTATGGTCGTCGGCCTTTTTCAATTCGCACAGAGAAGAGGGGATATCCTGCCACTGCATACAAGGCGTAGGAGGAAGCGCAGTTGGAGAAATCTCAAGGCCAAGAATTCATTCGAGCCTAGCTATATCTAGACGAGGCTGCCGCCGCCCTGGAGGGAACTATGGCTAGTGTCCATTAATTACCGGTAGCTGGTGCTATATTATCGCTAGTGGCGCCCACTGCCCCGTATTTAACGCAATGCTCGCATGTCTGCCCTGTTCCCACCACCCTCTGCCTTTCAGCCCAAGACAGTCTTCAAAGCTTTCTGAATACGCGCGCCAACTCACTTCATGTCCCTTCTACGAAACTGCAGAACAGGACCATGTTTGGCCACGGTGACGAAGTGCGAATATAGTTGGAACTCCTCTGGTCGTTCCCTCCCGACGCCCATGCCCGGCATCCCTTGGCCGATTTTCCCGTCAGGGCCCTCAGCCGGCTTGAAATCCATCGTGTACAGCACCTGCGCGGTCGCTATCCAAAGCTCGGTCATGGCCAAATTCTTGGCCGCGCACATCCTTGCGCCGCTGAGGAAGGGCACGAAGGCTCTCCGCTGAATTTCAATCTTGGCCGCGGGATTGCTTTCCGACTCGATCCAGCGGTCAGGGTTGAACTCGAAAGGCTCGGCGAAATATGCGGGGTTGTGCATGAGCGAGTAGAGCCCCGTCCCAACCTCGGTCCCCTCTGGTATGTCGTGGCCAGCGATGCGTTGGCCCCCCTCGAGAACAACCCGCCACGGAGCCGCAGAGACAGGGGGGCACATGCGAAGGCACTCGTCGACAACGGCGTGGAGGTAGACGCAGGAGCGGAGCTCGGGCCCCTGGGAAATGGCTGCCACAGAGGGAAACGTGGTGCGGATTTCTTGGGCGAGTCTGGCGTAAACGGAAGGATTGTGGGACAGGTAGAAGAATATGCCAGCGAGGGCAGACGAGGTGGTATCGGAGCCTGAGGAGATTAGAGTACGTCAGGGCTTGCTTCATTTGGTGATCCAGAATGGGGTCCAAGTGACTTACCTGCCACAATCAGTAGTGCCGCTTCGGCCAGCAACTCAGTGAGTGGCAGACCCTCTCCGGTTTCCGCGTCTTTCGCGTTCAAGATGTTTTGGAAGACGTCTTTCTTTCCTTCAGGAAGCTGCTGTTTCACTCTGGTGGTGGCGAAGTATTTGGCTTCACCATGGAACTGTAAAGATGCTCGTACGCCATCCGGCACAATAAGCCAGTGAAGTCCGAAACCCCACCACCTTGTCCAGGGAACCATGGACAGGACCCCAATGCGATGCATCATTCTCTCAATGCAAGAGGTGATCCAACGGTATTCTGGGTTCTCAATCGTATGGCGTTTGACACTGAATATAACATCGGTCATGATATCGAAAGAAAGATAATTGGCTGCGGGATGTAAGCATAATTGTCGGCGCATTGGACAAGCTTCTTCCTCACCGAATTTGGACATGTCCATAGGAAGACTCCAAGCATTTGGTGCCTCGGGGACAGCAATGTTCCCGTCGTTTGCTAGCAATCTCTCGCATAGAATCGTGACATTGTCTTTGACGACGGGTTCATACCCCCGAATCGCAGCGTCGGTGAAGCCCTGACCTACTACTCGTCGTTTCCGCCCATGGACTTTCTTGTCCCAGGCCGACAAAACCGAGAACTTTTCCTCTCGGCTCAACAGCGCCCAGTAAGCCTTGGACTTCGCAATGTTTTTGTTATGGCCATAGATGTCTGATGAAATGGTTAGAGGAGCTTCGTGGGAGTTGAGAAGCCAGAATTGACACACCGTGATATCCATTCGCACTATTGATCAGAAGCCTGTCTGGCCCATAACGAACAAAGTCTCCTAAGCGACTGTTTCAGTCGCGCTTTTGACTAACAGTACTCGCAGTCATGGAAAACACACCATATTCTGCATGGCACCTCAAAATATCAATGTGAACATCGTTGATATAGTTGTGGTAGGCAGAATACCATGTCGTAAGCTTCGCCAGGAATGGTCCCGGGTATTTTGCAAGGGGATGGAAGAAGAGTCGATATACTACCACGTAAAGAAGCTGGACAAACAAGTCTCATGGTCAATATTTCAACAGGAACAAAGAGAGTCGAACGAGGACTTACATAGGCCAACGGTATGGCAAGCAAAAGGCCAGCAACACGACCAGTTCTCAGTGAGTCTAGGAGCGCCATTGAAGTCTCACATACCTAGAGGTGGGTCACCATCTTATTTTCCGGCACTCATTGTTCTTATACTTGAGAACTGTGGACTTCTCCAGACGGGGCCCCAAAGTGCCCAGCGGGGGCGAGAGTCCGTCGGCTTAATGGGCGCCCACGCTGATCCTTTAGCTTACGCGGACAGCAGGGGAGGAGACTCGATTGAATAGTAATCCAGGTTCGTTCTCCCTCGGCTTGTCCCTGTATATAGAATGCTATAGCCTGAATAGGCATTGGCGCGTCATCATGAAGCATTCCATGTATACAGGATTCTGTGGGTCCTTATGATCAGCAAAACCCAGTTGTACCTATCGCAGCGGTTGAGATGAGACGAGATTTTGCTCCACAGGAAGCAAGGATCATATGTGGAAGCTCAGACTTACTGGATCCCGCCGATGGATTGGATCCTACCGCCCACCGCTTTATGCCCAGGGTAGTACTTCACGCAAAGACATATTGGGTAGACCAGGATTCCCAACGCAGACGTTGATTATTTATTTCACCAAGACCAGAGTTACCTCGGCCCATACCCCCGCCCTACTAGTCTTAACAAGTGCATAAGTCGATAAAGTTGGTCAATAGGAACTATTCTTGCATGAAGGCCACAAACTGTCACGTCGTTCAAGGGGGGCCGGATTCGAGACTGGCCGCTAAGACCCGTTCAAAAACAGGTGGCACGTTCTGACACAGGATAAACGTTTTTTCAGATGGCGACGGGACGCCTGCCAGGTCAGATATTAGTAGGCCATAGGATATCGTTATGTCTAAGGATGGAGCAAATACTCTTGTAGATGACATTTGCCTCTGAGCGACAAAGACAGTAACTAATACTCCAGACGGAGTACTTCTTTTTGACTTTGCTCGCCGCTTTAGACACGAATCCATCCTAGCGGCTGGGCGGCGAGCTAAATACCTCAAACACTAAGCCTAATTCATTGTCTCACAATGCCCACATCATATTCGTATTCATATTCACTGGCGCCTTGACATTGAGTCCACAGTTGCTGCGGATTCCTTGTGGCTTGCTAATTATCTGCTCGCTTGCTACCCAATATGTTTGGAGTAGGTTGTATCTAAGTCCACATTTTTCACGAGTAGAACCCTGCCACTCTGCTCTAGAGACAAGACATCATCCAGCACAAATACAACTCAATTTAGGGAGCTGTACTCGGTACCGTCTCGTGTCGAGCGACATCACCGCTGACTCGTCCAAATCCTCAACTCTCCAGCAGTCACTCTATGAGATGCATCCCAAAAATATGGAGACTATGCCGATCTCGCCATTCGCCAGCAAGGAAAACAGTTCTCCCGGTCAGAGTGTGAACGCCACGTTTCGTCATCCGAGTCTTGTCCATCACTCGCATGCTGGCTGGATTGTCCTCATTCACGATTGCCCTAACATAAAGTTTCGAGAAAGGTGTCCAGAATGATCGCGCCCTCTTGCAGGACTCAAACACTGCCCCCAGTGACTCGGTTGCGTATCCTTGGCCCCATGCTGTCGGTAAAAACATGTACGCCAGTTCGACGGTCAGTGTCGTGGACGCAGCCGCGGCCGGTAGGGTGAGCTCCTCTGGCAACACAAGACCATCGGGATCCAACGACTTCAGAGTTATGAGGCCAATGAATTCTGATGAAATCCCATCGCCCCTTGCGGCTTGCGGTTCGGTCTCACCAGAGGAGGCCAACGGGTCAAGCATCCTGTGCACAGTATAGACAGCCCGGTACGTCTTTGGTTGCCCTGCTTCTGCTTCTTTCGTAGGTAGATAGCGCATAGAGACTTTCTCCGTGTCCTCAATCGACTTCGCCCTGCCATAGATGCTTTTTCGTCCACACAAAGTCAAACCAAGAAACAAACAAATTCCGAAGTGAACGAAACGGAAAGAGGTCCACATCAACAGAACTGAGGGCATAATAGAAGAGCATGACCTTACCTCCACCACGTCGCCTTTTCGTTGCTGTGCAGCTGATGCAACCACTCGAACTCCAAACTTCCTCGTTCGGCCGTTGTCACCAGAATCAATTTCAGCCGTGGTGTCAAGACAAACGTGTCCATCGTCGCGCTTTAGTTAGACTGCTCTGTTACTTTCACTTGATCAAGGAGATATCGACTCGCGCATCTCTCTCTAGCAGCCCTTCAGCGTTGGAGAAGGACGAACTTCGCATTGTACCAGAGGAAACCAAGGTTACTTCCGAAGCGCCTTAGGTGGTATTGAAAGAGCGCAAGGCATGTAATGACGTCCCAGCCTTGATTGGACGCCCTTCGTATGGAGGGATTCGGATACTGGATACACAATCATAGGTATTCACCCAGGTCCTCGTACACACGGAGGACACGGGTAGATAGGCCATTGAGAACGGTCCAACAAAGTGTGGAAAATGATGAATCAATTAGGCCTTTCGCCTTCAAACACTAAAGACCATGTCTGGCAGAAATACAATCGTGGTTGTTTAGCGATCGTCCGCCAAATCTTTTTCGTCAGACACGGAGAGGACGCCAGAATCTTTTTCCCTTTTCCCCCGCAAATTCAATCTACAACTGTAGCCTGCTATTAATCGCATTCAGATCAACTCTTGCTCTCGGGGACTCTTTTCGCACAAAAGCCTAGTCAAACTTGCTGGCAAGACCTCTCCCACAATGGCGTCGCTCTTTACAGCACGGCGGAAACCGAAGCGCATTGCGCGGGATGAGGCAGATAACCAGCCAGACGATGGCGACGAAGGTACGTTGACGTCGACGACGATCCGCCCTCACATGTCTCCTGCATGTTTTACCAGATCTGACGCTTCTTCTCCAACGATTTAGTGTGTGTGTGATCGTTCCCCGCTGACGGCGAGTTATGTAGACACCGGCCCCGTGGTAAGACGACCGACGCACAGCGCGCCGCGCACGAAGTCCAAACTACGAGTATCGTTCAACCCGGGTGAGGAGGACGGGCCAGGAAGAGGAGAAGCCGCGACTTCTGGCGCGGTACAACAAAGCAAATCGGCGACGAGACTGGGTCTGTCCAGCGCAGCGCAGGACATCATCAGCCGACGAGAGCACGAGGACAGAGATGGCGAGGGCCAGAACCACGACAGACCGAAATACAACAAGGCCTACCTCGACGAACTGCGCAACTCGACGCCCTCGACGCCGGACCTGTCGTCCCGGGACAGCCCCTCGCGGGAGCTGGTCGAGCCGTCGACGAATCTCGAACTCGACCTCGAAAGCAAATTTGGCAAGACGGCGGCTCTGTCCTCCACGACATCCCCCCACATCCCCAGCGCCGCCGAAATCAAGGAGAAGAAGGAACGGCGGGCGCGCCTGGCGAAGGAGCAGGCGGCAGAAAGGTCGGAGGACTTCATCCCGCTGGAGGCCTACGACTCGGACGGCGAATTCAAACCCCGCCGCATGCAGGTCTCATCTTACCTCGCACCGCCGCGGGAGAAGGAAACGCGCCTGGTCCGCGAGGATGAGGACATCGCCGAGGGATTCGACGACTTCGTCGAGGACAGCGGGCGGGTCACACTGTCCAAGAAGGGGCTCCGAGAACAGAGCCGCCGGGAGAAGGAGGCGATCCGGAACCTCATCAACGAAGCCGAGGGCGCGAGTCCCGACAACTCGGTCGACGGGGACGGCGGGTCTGCCTCCGACTCGGACTACGAGCGGCGACAAGAGTACGAGCTGGCCCAGACGCACCACGGCATGGACGGGCTCTCCTCGCACGCCACCCACAAGCGGCAACTGAACCGTCCGCGCCAGCCGCGCGAGACCACGCCCATCCCCAAACTCAGTGTCGGGCTGACGCGCCTGCGCGACATGGTCTCGGCCCTGGAGTACGAGAGGGCGAAGATCGCGAAACGCAAGGCCGACATCGAGCGGGAGAAGACAGAGATTAAGCAGAGCCAGGAGCACATCCAGCGCAGCCTCGAGGAGGCAGGCCAGGAGCTGGAGAGAGTCCAGAGGGAACACGCAGAGAGAGTCAACGGGGCAAAGCCCGGAACGCCCACGGGGACAGACGGCAATCCAGAATCCTTGCACGCCGCGCCTACTGGCGTCGAAAGAGGGTTGGAGTCTTTTGGAGACCACCGCCCTTGATCTGTAGTGTACAACATAATGTCACCGCCTCCGAGATATAAGACACATCATATGTGGCGGTAGGACCACCACTCGATAACGGCTGACCCAAAACTGCGTGGACAGGAATAGACACAACTTTGACGGTCATCATAACGAACGGTCAGCACGTGGAGAGAATTCATAGGGCAATACGAGTAGAAAAAAGCCACTCTGCCCCTATTAAGTCATGCTCATATGGCCAGGTCTCTCTATTTGTATTCGACTTTTCTCATTTTTCTTTTCTGCTACTTTGGTTTTCAGCTCTGTTTGTCTCGCTCATGTCGATTAATTGGCATTTTCTAGAGGAGCCATGCAGCTCTCATAGAATGTGCAACCGGCCAAGAGGGTGAATGGCATAGGATGTTGTCTCTTTGCTGGGCAATTGCTTATCCACCTCTCAGACGATCCTCGGAGCCAAAGCTCAAGGTCCATTCTTCCGAACCTGCATTGCCGGTCTTCGACGCTCCTCCGTCCCAGCTCATGGCATTGCAAAAAGTCGATTGTGGAATCCAACAAGCCCAGTCTCGGGCCGCAAATGTGTAACCCTTGGAGACAAGAAAGACACATGTGCAGAATCAGCCGTTCCCTCCGTCGCTCACTTCCGGTAACTCATTTTCACAGCTCGCAACGGTCTCTGCAGTAGTTGCTGGTCGTCTTCATCCTTGCCGACCCGCATGATGTCGTCGTATCAAAGTCACATCATCCTCTCGGCCAATCACGCGCCTTCCGACATGTGCAAACCAGGCGCCGACATATTGCGAGCGCGAGGGAGGCGCCTCGTTCAACCCCAGCACATTACGCGAGGCGGCTGCCAGGACGAAAGCTGGTAAACAGTCGCGCATAGGTCCATCAGGAACAAATCTAGAGAGCGGAGAAGACAAAGAGCTGAAAGAAATTGTCAGTATCGATAGGAACAGCCATGATAGAAACGGGAGACTTACGTTGTTCGTCGCGGCAATAGCAATGCTGTCTTCGAACGGATGCCAACTCATATGCAGAATCTTTTTGTTAAAATCGATCTGGTCGGCGTCTGTCTCCTTTCTCATTCTGCTTCCTTGACCTGCAGCGGCAGGGCTGCCTGCTCTTGAACCACCTTTCTTGGCGCCATTAGGGCTGGCCGAATTGATGGGAGTCGGCACTCCAACTTTCTTAGCCTTGAAGGCCGATTTGTCTGCCTGCAAGACCACTTCCGTCTCTTGTTCAGGGTCTGATGGATATATCATGAAGTTATTGTTGTAGCTCCCTGTCATGACATTGCTTCCATCGCCGCTGAAAACCACCTCGAATTTGTCGAAGATGCTGTCGTTCTCATAGGTGTCGCACAAACGGGGCCTCAAATGCTCGTGAATGGGTATGGTCTTGACGGGCTGTCTCTCCATGTTCACGTCCCAGATCTTGACCGTCAAATAGTCTCTTGATAGAATGTACCTGCCATCGTGTGAGAAGCGAACATCGGAAATGGAAGAGATGATCTCGGAAAAGAAGGATCGCGAGGAAGGGTCTTCTTCTTGCTCGAATTCTGCCACAGTATTAGCATGTGACTACAACGGAGAAATAGAAGATATTCACGTTTAGCATGGTGGTCACACAGAGCACTCTCACGCATATCGGCCAACTTGATGGTCCCCTTGGAGCTGGCATACATGAACCAATTGCAACTGTGGGGGTGGAATTCGGCAGCAGTGATGACTTCGGTGAGTTCCTCCATATTCGCAGGCTTGATATCGACAATATTGAAACTCTGGTCTTGGATGTTGAGATTCCACAAGTTGATGCGAAGATCATCGCTGCTGATGAAGGTCTCGCCATCGCTGTTGACGGAGATGCTGTTGATGTGATAAGCGTGTGCGTTAGCGTACGTGCGTCGAGGGACTGCGGCCACGACGGTATCATGGTGAGTCATTCGAGGCAGCTTCAACTGGGAGGCATCCTTGAAATGGATGTGATTCTGACGAGGTGCCCCTCCACCACCGGGGCCAGCAGGGGTGAGGTCTTGGGAGAGGTTGTTCTCGGCGACGACTTTGAGGGATTTCTCAAAGACCTTCCAGAGCTTGATAGTCTTATCGTTTGTGGAGAGAAGATAGTGTGAAGCATTCTGACGTCGGCACCATTTGATCTTGTTGATCTTTTCTTCTATCTCGAGAGATTTGAGGTAGTCAAATTCAGGTTCGTGGGACTGGAATTCTGTATGGAACTTGTACTCGCATGTCTTCTTCTATTCCAAAAAGGTCAGTAGTTGGCACAGTGCATCGGCGTGCGAAGCACTAACAGTCTCATTTCGTTCAAAAAGGACGACGCGACCACCTTTGTCTCCGGTTGCAAGATAATTCCCAGTGTGGTCAAATTCGACGGTTGAGATGATATCAGCCTCTGTTATGTCTTCGACATCTCCTTTATCGCCAAAACATTGGGTGAACTTCCATGTGGGAGTTCCGGGTTCGGTTTCGACCATCTTTCATCACAGGGTGCGCTGCAGGTCCAGAACGTCCGGCAGCACGCACACAGCAGTAGCACCCTAGATCGACCTGAAGAATTTACCGCTGACGGTGCATGGAGCAGTCGCGCTCGACTCGAGGGTGGTGGACTTGGAGAATGGGCGCGGGCGCGGTGACGGGCGCTGTTAGTCTAGGGAGTGAAGTGACGTGACAAGGTTGGGCTGCAGTTGAAATGGGATGGGTTTGACAGTTTTGTAAGCGATGCGGCTCAGGCAACAAAGCGGTGATGATTCAAGTGACAGGACGATGGGAATGAGACGGAGAATGTCTCGTGACGGACGGACGAGGGAGATGCAGGAAAGAATGAAGGATATCGGATGTCAGCAGGGGGATGGTTACGACTGCGGTTGTATGTCAGTAGTCCTGATCGTGGGGGAGTGAAGGGCAGTGATGCAGCTGCGAGGATCCAAAGCAAGGTCGCAGGTACCAAGAGAGCAGGTTAGCCGCATGAGGGCGGATGGCTGGGCGGCTAGGCGGCGAGGCGCGGGTCGGTGACGATGATGAATGATGTCGAGGGCCACCTGGGAGGCAACCAGAAGCTCCTGGAGGCGCCTGAGGGGCGTCTTCTTAACTAAAGGCAGCTGCTGGAGGCCCCTCACTACTCGACAGTAGTCGTCCAGTAGTTCCCCGTAGTAATTGCCACATGCACACACCCGTACTTCCTCCGTCCAGGCATTGGTCTTGGCGATAATTGCTCCTTCAGCCTCGCGAACCTCGGATCAATCATTATCCACTTCGCCCTTCTCGTGCATGGCTTCCTTGTACCCAGTACATATATACTCGCCGGTGTTCTCCATGGTCGGTCAATCGATTACCTCGTGCTGCAAATTTCGGTAGCGTTGCCGCTTTCTAAGCCTCACCCTCCCGTCTGGGTATTGATCACCATGCGAATCCGCCTGCAGGGCGCCGGGAAGGGACTGGCAAAGCTTGGCGGTCGAGCTCGTCAACCGACTGAAAGACTCAAGAGTATATTGCCAGGACGGGCTCCCATCGGGACAGGCGCCTTATCTGCGCCCGAGGTCAGAGCAAGGAATTCGCGGCTGAAAAGCCTTGTCAATGATCTGGAAGAATCCTCGGCGTCCAACACCAATCCAACGGGGGCAGGTTTAAATGAGGTGCTTGACAGTGTTGGAGCTTCAAGACAGGGGTCTCTACCGTCCAAAGGCTGGTCCAGAGGTGAAAAGCTCAAGGAGGGAATACTCGTGGACAATGGCATCCCCCTCGTCTCTCCAATTCTGGCCCGCGATGCTTGCAAGTGCCCTGAATGCATCGATCCTTCGGACCGACAACGGAATTTCTCATACGCAGACATTCCCACGGACATTGGCTTCAGCAGAATAACCCCCGTCGAGAATTCCGGCGAAACCATTGTGAGCTGGCGCAACGACGCCCCGCCTCACTCGGCAGGGAAATCAACAATCTTCGACAAGGAGGCCATCTCGTCCTTGAGGAAGCCGTTCCGCAACCCACACTGGTATCTGTACAGTTTGGCACAGAAGCTGTGGGACGCCGAGTCGTTCACTCGCGACTCCAACCGGTTCGACTTCAACGAGTACATGAGCAACGACGACGCACTGGGCGAAGCTCTTCACCTGCTGTGGCGGGACGGCCTCGTCTTCGTTGACGGCGTGCCCGAGTCAGAGGGCTCCGTTTCGCAAATCGTCACCCGCATCGGTCCGCTCATGAACACCTTCTACGGCCCAACCTGGGACGTGCGATCGGTCCCCGACGCCAAAAACGTCGCCTACACGGCCAAATATCTCGGCTTCCACATGGACCTGCTGTACATGCGGGAGCCGCCGGCCTTCCAGTTCCTGCACTGCATCCACAACGAAAGCGTCGGGGGCGAGTCTCGGTTCGCCGACACATTCAAGGCCGTCGACGTGCTCTACTCGCAAGATCCAGGCAAAGTCCGCGACCTGATGACCTACCCCGTGCGCTACGAGTACGACAACGACGGCTACTTCTACTCGGACCTGAAGCCCACGATCCTCAAGCGTCAAGAACTCAACGTCCCCAACCGCCCGACCCATAACGCCCACCACCCGTACGTCATGTCCGACATTGGGCGTGTGTACTGGTCACCCCCCTTCGTGGGCAACATCCACCCGAAGCTGGAACACCACGAGCTCGTGCGTTTCGTCTCCGCGAGCAACGCCTTCTCCTCGATCCTCGAGCGGCCGGAGATGGTGGTCGAGGAGAAGATGGACAGCGGCACGTGCGTCATCTTCGACAACCTCCGCGTCGTGCACGCCCGCAACGCCTTCGACCTCAACTCCGGCCGCAGGTGGCTGAGAGGCGCCTACCTCGGCCGGCAGGACTTTGTGAGCAAGGCCTCGTCCATGATCGACAGAATGCCGGCGAACATCAGGTTCTACACGCTGGACGGGCAGGAGCCGTGAGGATGGTGGTCCCGGGAGTTTTGACGACGCCTGATCTTGTGGGCTGTGACGCATCCCCTTACGAATACTCCCAAGTCTTCTAGCTGGAAGTTAACACGCTGCGCTCGCTCCGAGACGGACTCTATTGCCACACGGCCACTGCCCCCATGGCCAGGAACCCGAGATACCCAATGCAACTCCCCTGAGATAGAGAGACGCTGGTCAAGAAAAGGCCATGCGAAGAGAATCATATCATTGTACGCGGCCCCGTGAGATAACAAGTTCCGTCCACTTAATGTCGCCACGTTCCATCATGTTGCATAGACTTGACCTCGTCCCATCTCTCCAGGAAGTAAGTGGCTGGTCGAAAAGTCTCAGGGTAAGTGTCAAGAGAAATAGGCCGTCAAGCGCGACGAAACGAGGATACTCCATGGGGAGTCAACGGTCTCGAAACAGAAAGGACAAACGGCCCAGGCTTATTGACAAAATGGGAAGGACATTCATTGCATATCTAAACTTCTGGTTTTCCCAGCCCTCACATTATAAACAAGCAGCAGAATAACGACAGATTTGAGGAAAACAAAACTCGTTTTGTTTCCCACAACCCCCCTATACACCTCGGACTAAGGCAATTTGTTTTATTTTTTATGCTTCTTTCTCATTGTATTGTCGTGCGCGCCCGATACGGCATCAAAGGGTCGCTTTGGGAGCGTTGATACATCCCAGCTGCTTCAACTGGGGCCCGGCCATTGCGACTTCGACTGCGAATGGTCGCTTCATGCGGTGGCTGTCGCCCTGTAGGGCTTGAAGAAGTCCGGGTCGGCTTCTAGCTCTTCGCGAACCTAGACACATATCACAATCAGCACCGTTTGAAACCCGACAGCCGCGCATAAGACTCCAGGGATCGAAACAGAGCGAGGAGAAGGAGGACTAAAAGCGTACAATATCGAGACCACCGACAAGTTCCCCATCAGTATAAAGTTGCGGGAAAGTAGGCCAGTCGGAGAACACCTTGAGGCCCTCACGCACGTCGTTGTCGGCCAGGATGTTGAAAAATCTATTGCGCACGCGGCGATTAGTGTCCGTCTGGGTTCCAAATCGGACCAGTTGGGGTAGTGGTGAATGTAGCATACCCATATTTCACTTGGTTCTCGCGCAGAATGCTGACGAGCTGTCGGCTAAACCCGCACTGCGGCGCACTGGGGGTTCCTTTCATGAAGAGCATGACCGGCCTAGTTGCGCAACACTGTCAGTTGAACTTCCCTGAGACGGACGACATCTTCGACGTGCAAGTACTTATTGCACTCGGTAGCACGATCCTGAGAGTGAAAAACTTACGCAGCTTTCACCAGCTTGGCCAGCCGGTCGTTCAACTCCTCTCTCGCCTCCAACCCTGACGAATAAGCCGGGGCGGTCTGCGGATCCGAAGCCTTGGGCGCGTAGGAGCTCAGGTCCTTCGTCGAAGCTGGCTGCTGTGAACTTCCATTTGTATGTGCTTGACTCTGCGGCTCCGCCTTCAGCGGGGGCGGCACATGGGCGCTGCCATTGCCGTTGGCATTCGTCGCACTGGAGCCAGCGCCAGCATGTTTCTCCACCGCGGCTCTCAGTTTGCTGGCGTCGCTCCCACTCACCGTCTCCAGCGTCTTCCCGTCTCGCTGGATGACCAGGTAGGGCACCGCAGTCACATCGTATAGTTCCGAGACGTCGGGCAGTTCTTCGGCATTTATGGAGAGGAAGGAAAGATCGGAGCTGCGGGAGGAAGGGTAGGTCGAGGCGAGCGCGGAGAGGATGGTGTTCGTCTGTGCGCAGGGTGCCGCCCAGGGAGTGTGGAAGTAGATTACGTGCAAGTGCGAGGAGGGGGAAGAGGATATGAGTTGGTTGAAAGCGGCTTCGGAGGGGATTTCTTGCAGGGTCAAGGTCGCCATGGTTCAAATTTGCGGAGCCAGAACGCCCAGTGGGAAGATGCAGGAGTGTACAGTAGACGGATGGGAAAATTATCAGGGAGAGAAAAGCAATCCGTGGCCAAAAAATGGATTTGCGACAAATCTGAAGTTGAGTAATTGTCAAAAATGCGTGATGGTGATTTGTATTTTACTGTATCGATGACGCCACACCTGGCGTTATCGGCCAGGCCAGCCTTGTGCCACCCCAAGACGCCCCTCAGGCTGCCCATGCACCTACAATCCTGGTAAGGACACCCATCAGGACAGGTGCTTCATCGCATGTGAGTAAACGATAGATCATTATATGCTACCTCGGTAAGCAGGTAGTCTGGGTAGAATAAGATATGAAACTAGTGTACACAATGTCGTCGTCCAGCTCTGCTCTCCCTCCCCGCCAGCTACAAGGCATTTTGTGGCTGCTTGTCATGATCAAGGGTTTTGTGCTGTCCTCGCGGAGAGTCCTCTGGCAATCGCAAGCCTTTGGTCACGGCATACCAATCCCCATCTCCCTCAGCCATGACACAGCTGAAATGCTCGCCGCAGACTGCATGAAGAAATGATCCATAGCTTCGGCTTCGCCCTGGTCAACCGCGCAGTCGTAAATGTGCCAGAACAACGGCAAGTCCATCCTGTTGACTTGTTTGCACATCTTCAAAATATACTTGGTAGCAGCGTTGGCGTCGTTGCCCCCGTTATAGTCCTCAAAGTGGGGCTTCATGGGTGAGATTGCAACACGTTTCCTGAAGGCTGCCGCGTTGGTAAGGACAAGCAAGATGATGCTTTTGGAGAAGTACTCGGATCGACAAATAACCTTGAGGTCCAGTAGTCTCTCCTGGAGCTCGTTCGACCTCTGTGCGTCATCGAGATATCGATCATAGCAAGTCAGATCGATGGCGAAGAGACAGAACTGGACATCTGCGAATTGCGAGATGATTTTCATGGCATATTTTTCGTCGAGTTCGATAATGCGCAGTGTGGACGAGTTCATGACAAGTTCCGTCTCTTTCATGGTGTCGATCGCTTCCGGAGCTCGGATGATATCCATGTTGCTAGGCGTGTAGTTGGCCTGGCAGATCCTTTCGATCGCGTTGAGATAGCTATACAAACATCAGCGACCATCGGGCTATTCAGAGTCGGGACAACGTACTAAGCAGTCTGTCCATGCTGCTGCATTCCCGAGAAAGCTTGTTGAACGTGCCAGTTGTTCCATATGTGTTTGACGGATCCCGCGAGTCCGACGGGCACTTTCCAATCGGACCCCCCTGATTCCGCAAAACCTCTGATGATGTCCGCGTGATCTCTGCTGACTTGACTGACGAGGCCGTTACCAATGTCCTTGACGTAATCTAGAACAGCCACAAGGGCCTTGATAGCAAGAGATGTAATTGATTGGCGATACTGTTCGACTTCTGAGTCTGAGTAGGGTCGGCCGTATCTTTGTCTCATATGCTTGACGATGGCAGATCTTCCATGTTTGTCTCCGACAGCAAGGATCTTGACCTCTTTGCTCAACTTGCGGGCATCTTGCTTGAGCTTCACATCAATCTTCGCTGAGTCGCGTGCAGTGCTTTTGAGCTGGAGGAGAGGGGTGTCAGAGAGCGCCCGCCGTTGACCTTTCTCCGCGGTGCGCTCTTCGGTCGGACTGGTGGCACGCCTGAGCATAGACCGAAAGGTATTCTGATAGACCTTATGCCGCAGAAGCAGTCCGTCGAAGTCGAATGTCTTTGACAGTTTCGTGGCCGTAGACAGACCGGTCCTGAAGGTGGCGAATGAAGCAGAATCGCGGAAACCGACGAGAGACGTGGCGTCGTCTTTGGCCTGGTTGAAGACTTCTCTGCTTTCACCCCTTTCGAGCAAACGTTTCTGGTCGGTCGGTGTCCGACTGTATTGGTTAATAGTGGGCTTGCAGAGGGAATCGATCATCTTACCATTGGAACGCGGTCAGGCACAGGTTCAAAGCATTGATTTGATGGTCCAGTCGGGTGAGACAGTCTTTGGTGGCCTGGTCCTCAAGAAGATAGAGGACTTTGCTGCCAACCCTCAGGAGCGCCTCGTCATCACTCCATTGGAATTTCGAGATCTGGTTGTCGATGTATTCGACGAGCAACTTGCAGTGAGTGACGGCGTCTCCGAGGTCCATCATCAGCTGGTAATGCTGAGAGTCCCCTGATAGGCATTCTGCCCAGTTCTGGACTTGTAGCAGGGCAGTCCGTACAGTCTGAAGATGGCCTGTCAAAAGACTAATATTGAGTTCCGCCTCTCGATACCTCTGGCGGAGTTGTGTCAGGGTCGCCACCGACTTGCCAATGACGGAGACGATGCTGGCAACACCAGCAACGACACTCAAGGTGCCACAAAAAGGCTCCATGGCTGGATGGCCAGCAGTATTTTGCTCTCGTGTGGAGGAAGAGTTTTTGTGCGACGCTCTCAAAGTGACGGGAACCCTCTTAAGAGGAAGCCAGGACGGGCACCAGAGATGTTCCAATGTTCTCTGTGTTGGCCAGCTTCTCCCGCGTCACATGGCACCCTGGTAGAACCCATGCATGGCTTCAGCAAGGGGGAAGTGCCAGCGAGCAGGACGGTTGGCTGCAAGCCAAGCTAAGGTCGGCTTGAATACACAGCCACTGGCTGAAATTGGGCAATGTGCCCCCCTAAGCGCGCGTTATCTTGCGTCAAGCCCCGGACTTTTGTTGCTGCTCAACGTGCTCGGCCCCAGATAAGAGTGGGTTGTAGTTGAGGGAAGGGGGGCTGGTCGTCTGGCTCTTCTCGCGTGGATTCGGAGCATGGAACCGAAATGGGTGAGCAAACATTCCACGCGCCAAAGGAATGTTCTTTGACAAAGTTCGAAACCTTCTCCTGACAAACCTTGCAGGCGCCTGCAAGCCACAGTCATTTTGCTGATCCTGGCCGGCGTGCCCACCTGGCACCGCGACTCCGTGTGCCATCCAGGGATGCTCCGTATTCAGACGATCACTGGCCCTCTCGTCGAGCTGCATGCGCCGGGCGCCAGAGAATGGAGTGGGATTCAGGGGCTTCTTGAGGCCAGGACGAAGACTGCATAAGAGGGCAGATAACAGTGGTGAAGGTGGTGATAGTCGTCGAAGGTGTGATTGTGACACCTAGTGGACGCCAAAGCCGGTGTGCTACTCTTGAAGCAGAAAGGGCGTCAATCGATCCTTTCCATACCAGGCAAGGCCGTCAACCCCGGCCAGGTACGAGACCACGTTGCAATTTCTGAAACACTTACAGATATAAGTCTCTGCAAGGGTACCTCGGAGGATCTAGATTGATTCGTCGGGTTCTGGAAGCGAGAGGCTGTCTGGCATATTGTCCCCTCCCACACCTCGAGCCCTTCAGCTGAGGTGATGGCATCGGCAAGACAGCATCCGTCACCAGCAGGGAAATGAACCTCAGCCTTAGTCGCACGTTGTGCCATGTTGTTGCAAGGATTCTCAGCCTACTACCTGTGGGGGGCCCTCTCCGCTTTCGCCAACTCTTCCATGCTAATTATGCTCGCGGTATGCATCATGGCTTTATGGATAGGCCCAGTGAAAGTTTCGGTCGCTTGGTGCTCGGACTTCTCGGGAGGCGGACGCAGGTTGTGCTTTGGCCATTGGGGGTCTTTGGTTCCAACGCGAACGGCGTGGATGCCTTTAGTGTCTTTGGAGTCTCTGATAAGGACAGAACAAATCCTCCCTCTTGGTAAGAGATGGCAAAGTAGTGTAGGACACTTGAACGACATCCAAACACAGGTCGACGGCACCGGCGAACAGGCCGTGCCCTCATGCCTTATCTTCAGCTTTGGTCACGAGAAGCTTTGCATCGCCTAACTAAGCCCGATCGCGGAAGTGGTCCGGGGCGTAGACTGACGCCTAGTAGGCCCATAGTGGAGCGTCTAGCGGGCACCGGGAGGGTGTCCGCCTAGCCTAGGGAGTGCGAAATCAAACTCACAAGTCCTCGTGCTTGGATTGCCTAGCCCATCCATCATCCTTACCTGGCAAACCGACATCCCACCATTCCCCCAAGCAGTCTGTAGGCTTGGATCGACACAGGCTTCAATACAATCACAAGGACTTAGACTGACTGGTGCGATACTACCCAATGCCTAAAGTGCCTAGAAAAGGTTGCAAGGCAGAATTCGGGGGGTGCTAGTTAAGTGCTAGCAGAACAGACGTTGAGCTCTCGAAGACTAGGTCATCGAGCATGCGGTTCCGCCTTGTCCTACACTGACGGAGAAAATAGACGATCCTGGGAGATCAAGGGACCAAGCCGACTGCTTCAAGGACAAGAGAGATAGCCTCTTCTAATCCAACAACGCAGGTCACTGGGTGCCGACTCACCGGCTTGAGGCTCTCCACAAAGCAGAGACGCCTCGCAGACCATCAGACCCGAGCGGTTGGACTTGAGACCAAGATTGGAGTCCCGCTCGGTTGCCTCAGACTACTGCTACTGCTCTGCGCAATCTTCAGTGCCCTGCCACTTTGCCTGCAAAGAACTTGCGGTGAACAGCCCTGCTGATCTTGTAGAACCACATGTAATTCAACAGCTGGAGCGTCACCGCCGCCAGGGCGTGGCTTGCCAGCAACCAAGCCGGAATCCTCGCCGAACCCGCGGGGATATCGTCCTCGCTTGCCATCCACGCCGACCAGAGGTCCATGTAGAACCACGCCTGGAGGTACGTGGCGTAGACGACCCTCAAGAGGAAGAAGGAAGCAAAGAGCGCGATCCCGTTGGCAATCTGGATCGCCGTGCCCTCCATTTCCAGAGACCGCAAAGTCGACTGGATGTCTAGGAAGATAGTGGAGTATTCGTACAAGAAGGACGGCGGTGAATAAGCCATGAACGCCGGTCTCTATTCTCGCTCCTCTTTGTTAGCAATCCATCCCCCTTCGCAAGACTGAAGTTGGGCTGGGCTGGAAAATGCCCTGCAAGGCACTTACATAGCCATTGGTCATGAGGAATGTCACAGCCACGGCGTGAGCAACCATCGGCCAGCCAAAGACGTCTCGATGCCGAACCATCATGATCAAGTGCCAGTAGAAATAGCCGTTGGCCACCGTGAGGACAACCGCGGCGGGCTCGGTATAGCCCCAGACCCGCTCCTGCCAATTCATCCGCTGTCTGTCCACGTCGAACAGGACGACTTGACTCGCGAAACCACATATCACAATGGCTTGGGTGAGAGACACGACGTTCTCGTCCCAGTCCAGTTTCTTCCTACCGCGCAGGTTGGGGTATACCTTTGGAAAGAATAGCGTCGACAACCGCGGTCCGATCGATAGGTAGATCAGGTGGTACGCCGAAAAGGTTACCAAGATCCCAGGGAGGTAGGTCGGCAGCAACGAGAGGTTTGCTTTATGGCATGCTGTTTCGAAGATGGTGAGCGTTTGGTGCGGTAGCAGGCCAGACTCGTCCATGTTTCCAGCGAAGTGGATGGGCCCGGGAAGGTCGATTCTCAGAATAGCGGCGATGCCGGCTGTCGGGGTACCTTTTCTTTCCCCTTCAGAAGAGTGCAATTTGGACTTTGATATCTGCCAGATACCAGCTGCCGGGACAAGTCAAAGACGGCGAGGTCATTCGATTTCACAATAGCGACCCAAAGTGCACGGCGCTGAAATACATCCATCCCTAGATTTTGGAAAGTCCCTCGTAAGCGAAACATCCGGCGCCGGGCGCTTACTGTGCCATAGTTGTACGTATTCCAGGCAGGACATCAGGGAAGGCTGCCAGTCTAAGCGAGCATGGCACTGCGAACATCAATTGACAGAGTTTTCGACCGTGAACAATAATACTCAGGACCAAACACGAAGCTCATTTACTTGGCTGAAAGGCTTCGAGTACTGCCGTCGCGAAACCTCCAGCTATCCATCCGTGCTATATCCGACTTTGGGCGACGCAACACCCTTCCAGAACTTGCAATGCAATGCTTTGTGCGACTTTGGCCTCGCCGTTATCCGACATCCGATCCAATTCCTCTTTGTGCAACATTTGAACAAGATTCAAACTCCAAGATGCAACTCCAATATGAGGCCCGGTTACAATAACGCTCACTTATGGGTGGATAAACAAGAATCAACTTTTAGATTTGCGGTCATGCCTCTCAATTGCAATCAATGCTGGAATTAAACAAATAGCACCTGCTGCCATGACAGCACCGACAAATATTTGTGCGTGAAGAAAGTCTCCAGAAGCGACGTTCGCGAGGGCTCCGGCAATCGGCGATCCAATGATAGATCCGACAGCGGCGGCACTCTAGATATTGATGGCAGTCAGCATTGGTACCGCCCAAGGGCACTTAGAAGGCTCATCCAAGCCCGAGATGAATTTGCGGGAAAAGGGGTGGGAGGTGGCTTACCCAGCTCATCCCCATCCTTGTGCCAATCACGCCCATATTTGGTGATATGACAGGATGTGGCATTGTGGAGGTCGGAGCCGTGACGAGGACTCCTGCGACAAATCCCCAAAGGACGCACCAAACAATAAATGCTGCCGAGCTGTGAATGGCGATCCAAGAGAATATAAGGACGGTACCCAGGACGGCGGCGAAGATGAGCGTGTAGACTGGCTTCACGCGCCGACCTAGAAGGTAGGGAAATGTGCGACCGAGGAATGATCCACCGTTCAAGATGGCGAGCATGTAGAATGCCATGTCTTCCGACGTATCCAACACCCAGCGTGCCCAAGAAACGATGAAGAAAAGGGGGATGTAGTAGGCCAGAAAGAGGAAGAACAGCGAGGTGGTCCACAAAAGGAAGATCGGCTCTCTTAGAGCTGTCAGGTCCCAGAGAGATCGTGCTTGACCTCCCCCCTCTTTCCTATGCCTGCCGAGAATGAGGCAGATAAGCACCGCGAAAGCCAGGTTGATGAAGCCAATGCAACGGACGGTCCAGCCATAGCCAATCTGTGGCTGCAATTGGCGAAACATGATGGGGAAGATGACACCTCCCACGCTCGAGCCTACCGCGGCAATCCCGATCGCGATGGGGCGTTTGGTTGTGAAGTAAGTCGAGATGAGCGCCAACGTCGGGACATAGGATAGACCGGCTCCCAAGCCGACACAAACGCCCTGCGCCAGAAAGACTTGGTAGTAGGACTTGGCCAGGCTGGTCATCATCATGCCGAACACGGTGAGGAAGCAACCGGCGAAGACGAGCGATCTGAGATAGCCGCGATCGAAGAGCGGGCCGCCAAACACCCCCGTGAAGACGACCAGGAAAGCCTGGACGCTACCGATCCACGATATTGCTGATGCGGACTCGTTGGCAAGGAGGTCTCGGATGAAGAAAGCCTGAAATGCGCCAAAGGTGCTCACGATGCCCCAGACATTGGCAAAGACCAGGAAACCCGCAAAGACCAGCAACCATGCTTCGAACCCTCCGTTGGGGGGTATAAAGCCATGCTGCTGGGAAAGTGCCTGCTGGGGAACGGGTTCCTCGACATCAGCAATTGGAGTTTGTGGTGTCTTCTCGGAGGAATCCCACGTATTCTCGCGGGTTATGGTCGCCAGGTCTTCGTCATTTTTGTCGGCTGGGTGAAGGCGCATGCTGAAGCTGAAGATTGTGTACTAGGTTGCGCTTCATCCGGCTCGTACGCTTGGTGGACAAAGTTAAGGGCTGGACCTTCTCCCAACGAAGGCATAACGTGGGAATTGGAAAAAAGTGAAAGTTGAAGGCTCTAGCTTCTACCCCAGACAATAGTCTGCCGCTCAGCGTGCCGGGTTCCCGGTGGCGTCGTTTGGAGGAATCATCGTTTTGCGGGCTTGCGGGCAAGGATGATGCGACCGAGGCCGCCGTCAATTGCTCCGCACGGCAGATTGGCAGAGTGGCAGCTATTATATTGTGTGTATGATGAAAGAGGAATAGCGACAGGGCACATTGCGAGGAAGGGGATGTCGCAATGCCGTGCCCACGCCCGTTCTCTTACCTAATGTATTCGCTGATCGCCGGTCTCAGTGCCGGCTGTATGGAACAACGCTCATTGTGGCGGGCAAGCATCTTGATTGACTTGGTAGAGTAGATGTCGTCAATCTGAAGCGAAGTCCACCATGCCTTTATGGTGATGGATGTTTGGATAGGGAAACCAGCTGTCTAGGGCCTTTAGAAGCTTAGCATCAAACACCGTTAGCCCATAATCCCCGGAAACCTACGAGGCTGTGTCGGTATTGGCCCAACGGTTCACCGTATGGTTTGGTCTCTAGCCTGCTCGAGCTCCTAAATATTTTGAAAAAGAGACAGACAACGTACATGATTTTGCTGCTTTATTCTCACTGAGTAATTCTGGGGTAGAGTATGTTCCAACGGGGTCGGCCATTTGGCTAAGCTTCAGCAGTCGAACAAGCTCAGCCTTGCCTCCTCCATAACCCAAGCAAAGTCATAAATCTCTCGCCATTCGCCGGGGAAATGGCGCAATTGCAGATGACAAGACAAAACTTCGGGGTGAAAACACGGAAATGTTTCGGTCACAAGAATAGAGCGACCCATATAAGCCATGCATGGTAGGGGTGTCTGAGCAGAGTTTTACTCTAGTCTGGAGGTTCTCGTCAAGAACGGATCCTCCTGATTCCCCTGCAGCGCGAAAAACAAACAACCTGGGACGCAACCTGCGCCTTGAAGATCAGACAACGAGATTGAAACCCTTCAACATGTTCCGAACTCGGGTTGCTCCAGCGGCGAAACGCTGCCTCAGTGCCCGACAGACACAATCTGCTCTTCACCGCCCGCTGGTCAATTTCCGCCAGTTTTCCGGCTCGGCAAGTGTTCTTCAGAGCCTTCCGGTGCGAATCCACGGCCGAGGGACGGGCACCCTGCAAACGATCGATGTAGAGGGAAAGCCGTACAAGATTCAGACCGACACCTACCAGGTTCTGGGCGGAAACGATTCGGCGCCGTCACCTGTGTCCTACTCACTGGCCAGTCTAGGCTCGTGCACTCAAGTGACGGGGTCTGTGGTTGCCAAGGACCACAACATCAAGCTTGGTCAATGGGATGTTGCGGTAGAGGGCCTGTTGCCCACCGCAGTGCTGGTCAAAGGCGAGCAGGGAAACCCGAACTGGGAGAGGATCGTTTTGACGGTCAAAGTCCAAACCGACATCAAGGGAGGCAATGATGATCCGAAGTTCAGGCATTTCGTCGCTGAGGCAGAACGCCGGTGCCCAATCACCCAGCTCTTCATCCGCAGCGGAGTTGCATTCAGCAGCGAGTGGACAAACGTGCCCCTCTGACTTTCAGACTGGAAACTGGGGTAGAGAAGGCGTGAAGAAAAGAAATCACAATCGTGTACATGTAACCGGTTGGAGATTGTCATGGGAACCGATCTGGCATGACCGGTAAGAAAGAGGCATAGCATTACGAAGCGACTGCTGCTCGCCATTTGGGTTCCTGGATGGGTAGAGGCAAGAGAACTCCTCTTTCCAAGACAAATACATGCTGCCATGTCAGTGCAGACCTCTTCCAAGCCTCAAGCAAATGTCTATCCCTTGCAGCCTCGGAAGTCAGCTTCCCAGACTATCTATGCAGCTGCTACCAGAGTCATTTCCAACGTTTGACCTTGACAAAATCTCTGGACAGAACGTTTGGCTTCTGACCCAGGTCTTCTCCTCCATGTTTCCCGGCCATTGGGCTTCGTCCTTCGCATTCTTCCTCTCCGGCTGGATCTTGCGCCAGGAAGGCTCCTTCCAGCGGGGACTGCATACAAACTGCATCTCACATTACATCACCTCCCTTCTATTCACCATCAAGATGCGGCGGTGGCCGAGAGCTTTTGTCGCCGCAGGTGTTGAGCATGGTTGAGATGTAGCTTTGGGCTTGAGGACCTGCAAGAAGGCATTCCCTGGTTCCCGACAGGGTCCTCCTCAGGTACAAATACCCAGTCGCTTCTCTTAAGAACGATATCTGCGCCCTGCATATATGATCGAGTTTACGTTACGTTTAAGAGGACAAATATTCAACCCGCAGCGAGATCTCTCTCTATCTATCGAAAGTAGCCTACCTGTCCAGCCTCGCCACAACCCTGTGCCTCAAGGGGTTCTCAGCCTTGCACTCTCTAAGCCAACCACACGTCCTTGCGAAACCATCAGCACGATGCAACCACCCAAAAGGTCCGACCAGGAACTCGATTTCGAGCTCGATTTCCTGAGCTTGGAGGAGCATCGCACCATTCGCACACTTACCCAGATCCTCTATTGGACGCAGCCGCTGGCTGAAAGCGATGACGAGTTTATCGAGTTTCTTGGCCAGGTCTGTTCAGAGCCGGACCAGGCGCAACAGGACTCGCAACACAAGCTTCTGAACAACTTCTTGCGGTCTATCGACGGGGAGGGTTCCGAGGCTATTGCAGTATTGCCTGGCCGCTTCAAAGCGAGCGGACTTGCTCTCTTCGCTGCTGGGTCGCAGCGGCCGCTGAACGATCTTGTCTCTGTGGACAACCGGCAAGAAGGAGAAGGCGGTCTCAAGCCTGCCAACGCACCCCAGAATGGATCCAAGGGAACCATCGCTTCCAAAGAGGAGAGATGCAGAGTGGGATTTACGCGCTACGAAGTTCCTCCTGGCTTTGTGCACGACCCGCTTCCGTCCTTTTTCGACCTTCTACAGGAACGTGGCGGCGAAGTTCCCCCGGCCCTCACCCTCCAGCTAACCTTGGTGTTGTTGAAACATGGGCAGGCGCAGATCGGGAAAGAAGCGCGTCGTAAGTCCTATGAGGACTTCAGCCTTTTCATCACCTGTGTCGGGTTGAGCCGGCTCTGGGAGCGCTTCGACTTCGGGGCGACTTCTCGAAACTTTTACCAGATCATCCGTCTCCTCGACGAAGACGAACCAACGCCAGCCTCACTCACTGATGCCGTGAGAGATCTGAAATCTCCTCGAGCCCATGAGGAACGTTTTAGCGATGTTGCTCGTTTCACCGAGCCTATGAAGTCGGATTTCAAGGTCCTTTTGAAGAAGCTGAGACTCGTCAGCGGGTTCGACTACCGACAGTCTGGAAAGATCGAGTATGATACACCTCGCGTCTTTTACAGAGCTCTATCTAGCCTTTTGAAAAGACTCAGAGATACACTGAACTGTGCTAAGCTATATCAACCTAAAGGGGGGCAATCGACTTTTGATAGAGCGGCATTTGGTGATGCCATTTGTGCTCTAGAGGGCACCGTGCACCTCCTCTGGCGTTTTGTCGACCGCTTTCGAGAAGAGATCCACCTTACACTCAAGTGGGTAGCCGGTGAATGCAAGCTTAGGGATGGCGCTTGCCAGAGCTCAAAGGACAGGGTTGGAATGGCCGGCACCTATCTAGAGGGGGAGCATGTCATACCTCTGGAGGAAATCAAGATGAAATGGAACTGGCCCGGTGCATGTCTCCAGTGGCTCGAGCTCCTTGTTGCCCAGCAAGCTGCCACCCGAGATATCCATGTGTGGGCACCTTTTCGGACGCGCAAGTCGAAGTCGTTGAGGCAGTTGGTGCCTCAGGCCAAAATCCACACGATCCAGTTCAGGTCCGCGCCCTGGGATCGAGGTTCTCACGACATGAGTAACGTTCGACAAGAGCTGGAGCAAGAGAAGTGGCTTTTCAAGACCCATGGGATAGCTTTGATAGCGTGGCTGGAACACAACGGGCACACGGATCTGGATGCCGCGGAATTCAAAGGCTCCGTGCACTGTGAGACCACGCTGCTCACACTGCAAGCTCTCACGCTCCCAGGGGCCTTCAGAGGCTGGAACTGGGGTGTCCCTAGTCCCGAGAAGACATCACAATGCCTCAGGTCGCGCAACATCACCGTCCCGCCGCAAGTCATCACCAGCCTCCGAGCCAGCCGTGAGGTCCTGGGTCTCTCGAGGAGATGCTGCCAGGGATGTAGGGCCGTGTTCTATGCGATCCGAGACTTGCAGAACTTCAGGCGCAGGCTACCTCCACCGTCTTTCCACGGAGTTTGGCTCCCCATGGCCCTTCCGCCCTGGACGCCTCGGAATATTGGCCTGAAGCTTCTGGACCAGCTTGAACTCGAGATCCAGCATCGCGGCCGCCTGGCCTTTGACTTGTTACCGCTCGAGGAGCGGAAGGAGCTGAGCCGCTTGTTCGATCCAGACTACTGTCCAGAAGACCATGATCCGGACGATGAGCAGGACCATTATCACGAGTCGTTGAGCCCTTTGTACGATTCTTCAGACCCAGACTTGGAATCACCTCCGGAGGGACTTTGAAAGGCTCCATAAAGACCGTCGCAGCGCATTTCGTAGATGCGGAGAGGCGTCGACGTCGTAGAGAAGAGGTCATCCTTACACAGGACAGGACGGCGTCACTAGGATGGTAGATAGTGAGGACACACTGGTATCTGGTACAGAACCAAGCGTGCTCCAGAGCTCCAGGGTCACTTTGTATCACATGCGGTTCTCACAGTGCGTTCTCACAGTGTCCTCCGCTTGATAATCTGTAATTCGAGTCATCAGCTTTTGAGCGTGTATTTGTTTGTGTGTGTCTCTCTCTCTCACTCTGTTCCCTCTTGTCCATTTCCCAAGAAAAGACAGTCAAATAAGCAAGGAGGGTCAGGAAAGGAAATTGACTTGAGCAAAGTTATTTGGTGAGACCAAGCAGAGAAAAACAAAAATAAAAAACAGGTGCATTAGATCAGAGGCAACGGCGTCAGGATAGTACTGTACACACTGCCTGTGAGCACGAGGGGGAGCACACCACACCGATCTCGCCGTGTGTCTGTGTGATATCGGCGTCAATCTCAATCTCGCGTGTCTCTTCCCAAATACACACATGTGCTTGCGCTGTGCTGCAATGTCCCTGCGTGCCTCGTCGCCGCTCTCATAGTGGAACTTCATTCCCTCTCATGCACTCATCGTGTGTTTCATGAACCAACCACCTTGACCTCTTGGACGAATTGATCATTACCATACTGTAGGCGTAGGCCCACTGCATTCGATTCAAGGCCTCCTCATCCTGGAATAACCCATGATCAAAGAGCCCCCACGGCGCTGGAAAGAGCGCAAGATCTCAAGATCGTCGCAAGTATTTCTGGTTCAACGACAATGCCCCCATGGGGCGATGGGAAGTTAGGTCCTTGCTGGTCCGAACGATCCCTTGTTTCCGCTTGGCTGTAGCGTGTCGAGGGGTCTTTCTTTCAGATGCCCGCTTGTGCGCGCAACAGGACGACCACCATCATGGATGATCGCCAAGGAACAATGTCCCACCGACATTGTTGCAAAGGAGGCATTTCGCTTCAGCCAAGTCGAGGACTGTCCGAGGGATTATCAAACGATCGTCGAAGCCCCCAACAGCACCTCACTCAGCGAATCACCGCTTCCACTCTCCCCTGCCTCTCATGTACCCCTCGATTGACCTCCACACTTCCTCAACTGTCTCTCGATCCCTCCATCGTCTCGACATCCTCGTTTCTTGCTCAACATTTTGCCCGTGCGCTCTTTCGTCCCACCTCTCGACAGCAAACGTTTTGACGCTGGATCCCCACCCTTTGACCTCGGCTGGGATGGGTAAGCCCTTCTCCCCAACATAAATACCAAGGACGTGGCCAAATAACTCCTGCGGCTCCCGCCACTTGTAGCCTCGGAACTGCCAAATCTGACCGGTCGTAAAAACAGCAACGACCCGGGACCAGTAGTCGGGCTTGAAGTGCTCAGGGGAGTCGACTAGAATGAAACGGTATGGTTTTTCACCGAGAGAATGCATTGTGCGGGTGATGTGTAGGAGGTTGGCTGTGGTTTGGGTTGATAGTGTGGGATGATCTGGCGGTACATAAAGGCCAGTATCCAAAAAGGTTTTGATGTTGGACATGCGGAGCAAAGATGATGCTGACGGAGAAAGGAGGATGATCGGGTCGGATCGTTTCGAGGACACGGCTGAGGCAAGTGGTTTGGACGAGTTTGCAGCAGGCCGAGCGGCGAGTTGGGCTGGCTTCGCTGGAAGACCCCCAGGTCGTGCAGATGATGAAGGGACACCTTTTCGTCGTCCCAGGAAGGTTTCTGCGTGTTTGCGCACGTGTGAGAAGTCCTGTCAAACAGTTAGTAGGGCGAGCTGGCACGCTGAAAACAAGTCTCTTACAGTAGGCTTGATCCCTCGCAACACTGTATTGTGATCGCCCATCCGTCGTTCACCGTTGTAGATTGCCTGCAGCCTGGCATCGATCACCTTAACGGGTCTTCCACCAGCAGACTGCGTGACGCCGACTCCTGAGCCACTGACTGTAGGCACCGCCGCACCGCCAGCGACATCCGCAGCCCTGTTGACCGCATCTCCCAGGGCAGCTGCGCCCTCAATAGGCTTGATGTACTCCGACTCTTCCGACGCGCCTTCAAGCCAGGTGATCAAGTCCAAACGCTCGACGAAAATGAGGTTTCGCACTTTGTGGCCTTCAGGTAATTGGTTGTCGAGCTCTGCGGCGCGGGCAATGTACTCCGGCACAGGCACATCCTTCTGTTGCCAGGCAAAGAAGATGCTACGCAGATCAACCTGATCGGTGTCGGGATTCTGCGACGTGAATCGCGTCTTCGTATCTAAGGCGAGACATTGTGGGACAGGGTGTGTAAAGTAGAGGTGCGTCGCCTCGACCAACGATTCTGTTTGATTTGCTTCGGCGCTGGCAGGTTCTGAGGTCTTGGTGAGGACTGGGGCTTTAGAGGCCGCAATCGAGGATCTGAGCAGCTGCAGCGCATCTGTGGACGCCATCTCTTTCAGCTAGATCGACAGGGGTAGTTTGTTTTGTCTAGGTCGATACGGCATCGCCGTGCGCGACTGATGTTGTCGTGAAGGATTGCATGCAGGACCAGGCCTGTCACTCAATTCACACTTGATTATTTCCGAGAGTGGTTACCGTACCTCGTATGCCTCACCAGCCCGGTGGGGAACGGATTATTATTTCTCCGGAGTGCCCGACACCGCGCCTCGCCCCCCTTTTCCACGGCCTTCAGCCTGAGTGCTACGCATGCACATGCACGACGCAAGCCACCTCCATCGGAGCTGCCAAACTCCTGCTTTATTTGTGGTCAAATGGTTGCTAACAATACGTTCTCCGACTCATGTTACATGGGTCATGCACCTTGGCCGGTCAGCGTGTCATTGAATGGACGTTGAAATGCCGGAATATGGGGGCCTTCGAACTCGGTCATCTCGCTTCCCTCTTCGAATCTCCCTTCTGGAAAATTTCCATTTCAGGGGGAGTGTCGGGGCAGGGGGGCCACGAAATTAAGGCGTTGGCATCGCGTTTGCACTCTGTATGGGGTTCTCGTCTGGAAAGGGTGTACGGCGTAGAAGGGATGTACGGGTGTACGCGTGCACTGTTGGTGGGAAGCGCAGTCACTTTTACTCTCCAGCACTTCTCGAGCAAACAGTAACGTAGACCGAAAACCAGCCTCTGGTTGATCACGAGAATAACTGAAGGTGGTTGGACAGACGTTCATATTCTGCAATATCTTGAAAGATCAGTCCATCTCCTGGTGGTTTCCAACACAGCTATCCACAGCCACGCCTTTAAGCACCCAGCGACCAAGGTGTCGAGCCTCCTCCTCCGCATTGCTCAGCCATTCACTGTCTTCGATAACCTCGATCCCATCGATGTCTCGTCTCTCCTCCCTATCCACACTTTATTTGCGTCCTCCGCAGGGGTATCTTTCCAATGCAAATGCAGAATGGAGTGCTCACGCCCCTGAAGCTATGCCCGGTTGTAAGAAAAAGAACACACAGCCACCCCTTCGACCACGCTATGCAGGACCTGTACATGATTGTATGCAACAGATGTGGCAGTACACTGCCGAAATAAGAATCATTCTATTCTCGCAACAAGACAAATCGCGAGACTCATGGACATGCTCGTGCAAGGTCACCCCAGCTTCGCCCGCAATGAGGTAATGACGTTTTTGTACAACGAATCCGTACCACAGATTCTAAATTCGTATATTCATCACATTAGAATGTGGTTTTGAAAAATGATGTCGCTGAAATCAGCGTGGACCTCTCGGACGGGCCTGTTTCGAAGTCGGCGTCGATAAAGATTCATGGAAGGAGAAAGGTTATGATCGAGTATTCGACCGACTGACGGTCCGGTCGGGTGCGGGTGACATTGCACGGTTCGAGCCGATCAAGTCGATTTCGTGATCTCGAAGGACCGCGGCGTGCCTGGGATCTCGGAGGAATTTGGGTACAGAATCCTGCGACATCAAGTTAAGGTCTGTTCGTTCAATGAGTGCGATAAACTCACGCTAGCCATCAGTTTGAAGACGGCGCTCTGGGCAAGCTCAAATAGGTCGACCACTTCGTCGAGACTCTCACGCATAGACTCATCATCAGTATTGGTGCGGATCATTCGCGAGTCGAGACGGTTCCGTAGCGAATGGTCGATGTTGAGCTCGGATGGTGCCCCGGAAGCAAGAAATGAGTTGTAGAGACCTAGACCGATCAGCCAGGGAAGATTGGGGAGTAAGCAGCCTCGACCAACTTACCATATGCAGCAGCAAGGGTCTCCCTGACAGCCTCAGGACGGTCCAGCTTTCCAGACTTCTCGAGACTTCGATAATTGCTGGTGAAGTCCGACACGTCGAAATAGAATTGCAAATTCTCCTCGCAGAGTGACTGCCTAAGAAACTCTTTGAAGAGCAGCCGCAGGGCGGCATCTTGCAGGATCACGTTCAATCGGCTGACATTGGAGTCCCTAGCAAGTCGGCTTTTGTGATCTTTCGTATCCCGGCTATCTTCACTGTCAATGCTCGCGGGCCGTGCAAGCCAGCCGCAGACCCGTTGTCCCCTCTCTGTAATCGTGTAGATCGCATACTTGGTGGGTTGGAAGTACGTGGCCATCGGGTTCAAGCGGATATATGCTCGGTCTTCCACGACCGGAGCCATCAACTGCCACTTCACAAACAGTTCCGCCATCTCGTAGGTTTCCCTGCGATCAATAGTCGTGCAACAATCGAGTAACCAGTCGGATGCTGCTTTGCCAGTGAAGCTGTTATTCACCAGTTTGTCCAACACTCTTCGTTCCTTGGCCATCTTGACACCCACAAGTCCCGAAGCATACTCAGACACGGAATCAGAGTCTGACAAGGATGTTGAACTCTTCAGGTTAGGACCCTCTGAACCCATGAATCTGCGGAATATGATCTCAATCGTCGGCCTGTCCTGTACAAGCTTGTCGGTGGCCGGGTCCCTTTCCAGAGATACCATCTGCATCTGGTTTCGCCGTAGTATAGGCTCGATATGCCGGGCATTGATTCCATTCCGACTGCAGAACCTATGTAGAGTGGCAGAGCCTTTGGGTGTCAGTTGCCACACGCCACCCTTGGTCACAAAGACGTTGTTCCCTTTGGATTCGGCAGATTCGATCAGCCGCGCATCCACAAACCGCTGGCACACCGAGCGAGCCATTTCCTTGGCCATGGAAAAGGTTGTCGTCGTTGTTGTGACGACCCATCTTGATGGGTTCTTCGGGTCAGGTATGCGATTGGATTGAGAGAATTTCAGAGAGCCGAGATTGGTGATGGCCTCTTCTGACAAGAACGTCTCTTCGACCCTCGAGAACCTGACCCGGTGAGGGGTGAGTGGCAGGCTGGTAATGAGGGTGGCGAATAAGTCTTGAAAGTCCCGGGTAAAGGGTCGCTCATCGTCGGTCATGCGCAATATCTTGGAAGACGTCTGGTGCATTTTCCCATCTTTCCTGTCCTGGTTCGGCATTGATGGGACCGTCGTGCTGTTTCTCGATTCTTGGACTGGAAGGGGAACTCCGCTCGTTCTCCGCGACTGTGCCGCCACCAGCAATTCTGGCGACGTTGGTGAGCGCGGAAGACTTGGTCGTGGGACGCTGGAAGCGGCAGGCTGTTTGGAAAGACTTCCTGACGAGGTTGCCGAGCGCAGACTTGGTGTGGAACTTGTGCCCAGGGAGGCCAGGTTTGCGAAGGCGTTAGATGTCTTCTCGCGTGCCAAAGATGCCAGCGACCGTCGACTCTTGCTTTGGTTGAGGCTGGTTGAACTGGTGTGGTGGTGATGCGGTGGGCGAGTAGAGTCGGTACGAGGCGAAGTAGTCGAGGCGGAAGAGGAATCGTGGGCGATATCAGGCGAAACGACTTGGGCAGGTAAATTTGGAACAGGCGCCGAAGTCATAGAGTCGTTCACTGACACATCCGTTGGCTCGGGCATGGAGAAGACTGGAAATCATGCGGGTAAAGATGCTCAGGATTTGGACAGGTTCCGCACAGCATCGCCCTCGTACTGGGCGATTTCAGAGGGCCAGAGGAGCAGGACTGGCGGTCGACGTAGTAGTGTGGCAGAAACACCAACGGGGCGCAACCCACGACCCACGAAGAGCCGGGATTGCTCACCACGAGACCACGAGGATAGTGGAGCCACTTAAGCCGCAGGCTAAGCAAGGTCCTGGGCTCGGTGGCCCTGGCAGGGGGGGTAGTGGGAGGGCAGGGTCACCAGGGTTGAGAGTGGGTAAGGATGTAATTATTCGAGAAGAGTTCGCTCCGGGCCACTTACGACCCCGTCGCCCACTACCCAGAGTGTCTTGTGTCCTCCGTAAGTGTGTGCTGAGCGAGGCCCGCCAGGAGCGTGCTGACAGGGCGAAGGAGGGCAGATCGAGTTAGGCGCACGATTTGGCGAAAACGCCGGACACCTTTCGAAGACGTGCAACTGGAAGTGATCTTCGACAGCCTGTTGGTCTCAAGGATTGCCTCAATGGCCCTCCAAAGGGGGAAAGCTAGTGCTCAACTCCCCTCGTAACGAGCGACGATGGAGCCACGATCGAAACAAGTATCGCTGGTGGTAGGGCAGCTTGTCTGAGTATTGTCTGAACCAGGGCTGGGTCAAATCTGAGATGAGAGATGGAGAGCTGTACAACAGGAGTCCGAATTTGATGAGGTGGCGAGAATGATGGAGGCGCGGAGGGTTTCTCTTTTTTTTTCCCTCTCTGTCTTTCCCCTTCTCCTTCTCCTTGTTTGCGTTTGGTAAAAGTAACGTAAAAGGCGATCTGCCGGAGATCGTATTTGGCTGGGGGGGGCGATACGATGGACGTGGACTATGCTAAGACTGAATTCTTATTCAAGAAGGTAGATTGATTCACAGTGGAGGACAGAGAAGATGGTTGGATAGGATTGAAGATGAAGATGTACGAAGGACAGTAAGAGGAGGTGAAGACTTGGACCTTGACAACCGTGACTGACTGACGGTGTGTGATTATTTGGACATGGCTGAATGCTAAGCATATTCTGCATCCCAACAACGTGGCTCCGGGCAAGTACCAGTAAGAATCAGCATAATCCTCAGCGGGCATCACCCAGACGAAAGGGGGGCCAGGCATGCATATAGCCGGGAGCTCCACGGGCACGGCGGGCATTATTGACAGCGGGCGCCGGGCCATCCCTGACACCAGGCAGCAGATACTTGGTACAAATACTTGGGCACCTACAGTCGGTCCCCAAGTCGGTGTGCAGCGGGAAGAAGTGTGATGGTTGGTGACAGCTCACTGTTACCTAGGTACTGTAGGTACTGCTGCGCACTCTACTGGGACACCCCCTCCTCCAAAAGCATCTTCTTCTCTAATGCCTGGCCGCCTAACCGCCTGCTGGTTGTCAGTCTTTTTGGTATCTTCCCTAACCAGCAAATCTCTTCGCAGCGTGCCCCCTTCCTTGGAGGTAGTCAAAGCACTTTCATCGTCCACTTTATTTTCTGGGGCCTTAACGTCACCCACCCAGATTGCCCAGCAGCGAAAATTGGACCGCAACAATGATACTTTGTCAGAGCCTCACCACTCACTACTCCATACCGCCCACTTTCACCATCAGTCGAGACGGATGTTTTGGGAAATATTTCCAGAACCACTGACCACCCCCCCTCCCCCCCCCCCAAAAGGCGGTGCAGACAAGTAATCATGCGCACATGGTCCTCTTTCGTCTGCTGCCTGATCCATTCACAGGCTGCATTCATTCCGGCCGCTTTCCCGGTTGCGGGTAGACCAACTTCCACAATACAAGACGCCATGATGGCGCAAATTCGTCCATCCCTTCAAGCGGAGTAGACAAGAAGCTGTGCATCTTGTGAAGACATCCACTGTTACACACAATTACTGACTCAAGACCGGATGTGAGACGGATCAACCCAAACAAGGCTTTCTTGCGGATTCCTATGACCGATAGAATGGTAAGGTGTACGACTAGGACAGCTGAAGCACTCGGAAAGATACGGCTGTAGCTAACCAAAGGTCCACCGCAATTCCACGATCAGTGGTGACCTCTCGTTCAACAACCCCGTCCACAACCCACCTCGAGGTAACAGAACACAGAGTACTCCGTATATCAAGATGGCACTGACAAGAGCATCTTGGTGCCAGGTGACACTTCACACCATTCACTGTGGATTTGCAGCCCACTGATTGATACTTTGGCGAAATATTAGAAGCGGATCCTGCTCTTCAAAGAGTAAACGATCATCATCCGTACTGTAACTAACACCACAAACGACCCCCACAGACTGGAAGGGAAACAGCGTGTGCATGGTCGGGATGATCACGTTTTCCGGAGATTAAGAGCATGTCGACTCGTTATTGGTTTGACTTGTGGCAAAGGAACTAGGCATGACATCCTTCGCATTCCGAGAAGCAAGCTGACTTCCTCGGAGCTTTGCAGTGCTGCTCAGGATTTTCGATGCCTGTGCGGGTTGGATGCACGATGGTTTTCCCGGCCAAGCGAGAGCCGTACGAGCACACGTTATCTCGTTGTCAGGGGAGGAAACATTGGTGGTTTCGGATGCCCGGACAAGTTTGGAGATTCAAGGCCTCCAGAAGGTCGACCTCCCTTGCGAGTAGTCAGTCACAAGAAGCCATTGACCGTTACTATCTGGGGGCGCCACTCAGGGTGTTCCGGAGTACCACCACCATCAAGATATGGATAGCCTTTGATCCTGCGATATCACTCCATCTTGTGGCTCTGATTTGGTACGACAAAGCTTCTGTGCCGGGGCGCCGTGCAAAGGGCCCCTCTCCTCTCCAACATCAAGCTTCGTAGGCCACCCCCCGACTCGAGGGGTTGGAATGCAGGGGTAGCAGAAGGACAAGGGTCCCGTAAAGGGGATAGGCAAAGAAGGTTGAGATTCGAGAAGGCTACCGGCCACTTTCCGGTGCCCAGGCTGCGCATATCGAGAGACTGCCGCTTGATACGCTCGTGCCGGCCGGTGGAACGACCAGAAATGGTTCATTCATCTTGGACGAGCAGTTCCTCAAAGCCCTCGGCCTTGTACGTACAATCAAAGGCGCCAAGAGCAGAGGGTTCTGCAACCTCAATCACGGGCTGTCGTGCCGCAGACTTTGCGGCGAGGTTAAACCTTGACCAATGGTTATTGGCTACACCGGTCTTGGGGGGGGGCGACGAAGGAGCAAGGCAGAAGACGTGGCATGGCCAGTCCTTCGGTCACGTAAAGTGTAACTCCGCCTCAAGTGTTCAAACTTCATCCGTCATGTTCGAGGATGGTGATCGTCAGGCTTGAGATGAAACGAACTAAGAGAGGGGATTTGCACCTCAAACCAATGGCACCCTGGCACTCGATCATTTAGGGTCTAGGTTCGAAGGAGCTTAGGCCTAGGCGAGCAACAAGCTTCGAGTGCTGGCGTGAAGAAAAGAGCCCTGAGGCTACGTCGCGAGAGTACTAGGCTGTGCAGCTGAGGGAAGCACCGGCACCGGTGGGTGGTGCTTTGACTAGCCTAAGAGCCTGGCCCAGGGAGGCCACGTGGAAAAGTGTCAAGGGCTTCCTCTTCAGGTGTGGGTGCCAGGGGGTGGGGGTGCCTGGCTCTAGCCTGGTTGAACTGCTTTAACTGGATTCACTGGAGTCGCTGGCTGGGGGGGCCGCAAATCGCAGCCTTGGTCCTTGGAACAATCAAACCCATGCCCATGGTCCACCCCGGCGTTCGAGGTTCGTGGCTGACAACCACCGTCTTCCAGGCTTCGAGAAACATTCCAGGTTCCACAATCGAAGCAGTTTAATTTGAAAACGATCCACCCTTACGTGCCAGGCGACGCACTTGACGGAGCATCTTATCCAACATCCATGACCTGTGGACACACTGGGAACACCCTGTCAATCAGCAGGGCTGAAGATAGTTACCCTGTCAGTTCAAAAAGGGGGGGGTGAAGGGGGGCGGACATTTATCGTGGGTGTCGAGAGAAAGGTGCAGATTCTGTTGTCATCCCATGCCATCCATCCACCCATCTCCATCCATCTCCGTCCATCAATTCACTAGCACTTTAACTCATCATGGCTAGCGAGGGCGAATTTCTCCACGTCGCCTCTTGCACCTTGTTTCGATTTTGCTTCCCCAATTTTTTCCCTGTGTATCGACCAGTCTTGGAAGCAGAAATGAGCTGGACCTTCAAACCACGCCGGTGGACAGCCTAGCGGTCAAGTCCGCCTCGCACCTTGCTTGATCAAGACTCCTCTTTGCGCCTGTAGAGACCGCCTGTTGCGTCTCAACTCCCATTCGTCCCTCCGCCATGATTCCATTTTCCCCTTTCAGTCGCCTGCGAGGCAATCCAGAAGCAGCCATGGAAACATTTCATCACTCCTCTGTCAATCGAATATAACCCCCCCAACCAGATTCGCACGGCTAGAACCTTCGGCGGCTTCTCGGCACCTCGTGTCCATCCTCATCACTCGTGAGACTTTGATTGTCCAACCTCCATCTATCTTGGGCTCCACGCGCTCAAGTACCTCCTCTCAACTCTGGTTGCAACGATGTCGCAAGCTTCCATACGAGACGACCAAACTCCGCACCCGCTAAGCTTCCGACCCCATCCGGTGGACTTGCAATGGGGACACGCAGACTGGGCAAAGAAAATCAAGGAAACATGAGAAAAAATTATCACTATTAGCACAGAGGACCATTTGCCATCCTCTAACTGGCATGGGAACTTGCCTGCACGATCTCTGCACAAGTGGTACACTGGGCCCTGCAGCCAAGCTGCTCGTATTGACGGTCAATCCGCCCCATGGTGTGGCCACACAGTTCATCCTCCGGGCCGTGGTGGCATGCAACCACGGCACAACAGGCTACGCTTCCCGCAAAACTCTTGGGCCAGAGGCTCTATTGATGGTTTCTCAAACTTTGTCCTCGCCTCGTTGTTGATGTTACTGACTGCTTGTACGAGTCATGAAGGCCAGGTTTCACCGAGGAGAGGCATCTGTGGGCTCTGGGCAGTGGTCCTACCCACGCCGTCCTGCCGTTTCCCGTGTCTGGATCTCGACCTCTGCACTGACTCGTCATATCTGCATGCTCTGAGCTCATGCCCAGCCAGTCCAAGCCTCTCAATTCCAAAGGAGGTGAAAACTCCGATTCGATCGTCGTGTCACCAGTGTCAAGCGTCCAATATTGTCGCGGTATTCAACCCATGCCTAGACTCACACCCACCTGCATCGACGCAGTCTAGCATCTTACCTGTTCCACGTGGCCGACGCCCCCTAAACCCAGATTTTGTGGCGGCCACGAGGTTTTTCTGCGGGACACTGCGTTTCACAGCTTTAACTTTCAATCACTGCAGCCCAGCTGCCACACGGCCCCGGGGTTGGCATGAGCACGGTATGGTACGATTGGCCACGAGTCTCATTCGAACTGCCTTTTCTGTTGATTCTCAGACTGCCCGAGCAATACTCTCACGCTGCAAGGGACAAGCGAAAGTCACTGGGGGGACTTTGTCTTGTACCCTTCAACTCCTCGCGTAGTGCCAGAGGCTTCTCGCATTCACGAGCACAGCTCTCGACCCACGTTCGAGGAAGTGCACTTTTACTGTGTTGTGAGCCTCTCAGGACGGATCCAGCAGGTTGGCCTTCACGCCTTTGAACCCAATCTGTGCGGTGGCCCAGTTCCCGTCCACACAACAGGGGTAGAACACACTTTCCCTTGCTGTTCACCAACCGTGGAAGGTTCTCACAAGACTAAGAATAGGTTAGATTACATATGATTCTACAGTTGGCATGCCTGAAACTTTGAGCCTATGCTAGCGGGTGCGCCTTGCCATTCACTGTTCCAGCCGTGCCCTCGAATTACTGTACGCCTTGCTCAAGCGCAGAACTTGGCTGAATCCATTGGAGGTCGACACCACTTGGGCAAAGAGTTGAGCCGACCATGCTCACATTTCTTCCTCTCGTGCCTTGCTTCGAGGTCGAATTCTACTTCATCAAGGTCTGAGCGCCAAACTGTCACTACGCACTTTCGATCTGTGGGGCCAGAGGTCATATTGCGTTCACCGACTTTGAACAGTGCATGTCGAAGCTGTTGTAGAAAGAAACAGCAAACACCACAATGGTGCCTTATACCCCCACAAAGGAGCTCTTTTCATTAGCAAGCAGCTGGTGGTCGGCTGTGTGTACTCGACCATCAACCGGACGTTATAGATCGACCGATTTATTCTGCCCTCGTTTAAGCGAGCATCCAACATACACGCTATCACCCCAATTAGACGCCGAACCCTCACCGACAGTTTAGAACCGTGCAATCATGTTCCCTTGTGCCTTTGGGCTCGAATCTACTTGACGAGGTCACCATAATCAAACGCTCGCAAGTGGGTGGGTGGATCGCAGAACTGTGCGGTGAGGACGCCCACGTGGCCAAGCCAGAATCAGCAGGAATCTCAGCCCTTCACTGAATTGGCTGACCTCGAACACGAGCGACATCATACACTTGAGGCCGAAGGTGCAGCAAGCCCACGTACGTGGTCAAGCTGCATTCCGGTCACCGTCCCAGTTCTCCGTGTCTCAGGCTCGCAGCTCCATCCTTTGCGCCCACCCCGACTCTGCGCACAAGAATGGATGGATCGTTTTATTCATTGCACCCAAATTCCGAAGTGACCCGAAGATGAGGTGATGATGGTTTACCTCATTGGGGACATCACCCTGTATTTTGTCGACAAACCCTCGTGAAAGGCGTGCTAGGATGGTGTTGGAGAGGCAACCCAAGACTTCACATGCTACCTTGCCATTTCAGCCTGAGTGACAATGTAATGTCAGCAGAGTGACAACTTCAGCAGAAAGGTGTGCAGGGTCGAGCCCTCCAGTACGCCCACTTCCTGAAGCTGTAGGTGGACGACCAGATGCTCCTAATTGCGCCTTTCAGGTAGCCATGAGAAGACAATGTTTCCAATCGATGCTGAGATCAGCCCCCCCCCCTCAACACCCAATTCGGTCGTCATATCAGCTTCAAATTTGCTTGCCTTTGGATGCAGCGCTCACCAAGGGTTGATGAAGACGGATTCCAGAGGAGCCGCTGTTTTGCAAAGGTAAACCCCGAGGGGGAATATGTACAGCGTGCTGTTGCATCTGCCATCGATATGCGCATGCTTTTGCCGTTCCACTTCTGGAAAGGGTCACTCCCTCGAGAGCTCTCCTTCAGGAAAGCTCTCGGCGGTTGACCTGTGATTCCAGATCTTACACTCCTCTACCTATATATTCGCCCTAAAGACTAACCGTCCGTTCGCTGACAACAAGGTGGCCCCAACTCCGGCTCAACTGTGAGAGAAAAAAAACCCCCATTCGAGAGCATTCGATTGATCTGCTCTCTACATATTTGGTTTTACAGGTGGTGCAGCAGCAGATTTCCTGTTATCAGGCCCCTGGTGAACTTGGCAACGGCCGACAGAGGATCCATTGCACGGGACTCTCTGCCAGCCGCCGTTCGTCGGGAACAGACCCCTCGGTCGACCGTCATTGCCTCCAGGCTTCCCTCTCCTGCATCTTCGTCCTTCCCTCATTTTCTTTCAACGCACGCAGTCGCTGCTGAGACTTTCTCAAGGGCTCATAGCCAGCAAGGGTCTATATATGTGAGAAAAGAGACAATACGATACCCTACAACCTGCTTGCACAGCCGTGGATAGGAACTGGGCCCTCACGGGAGCCTGGCGTCGAACTTTGGTGTGAAGAAAGACATTTACAGAACCTAAAAGAAATAAAAGGGGACGAAGAGGGTTGTCCTCCAAGGGGAGGTACGGTAGCCCGACCAGAAATTCCTTTTCCATTTTTCTATCTGGAAGAGAGCGCGATTCGTAGATGATCATTTTCAGTGTTCACGCCCAATCTACCGTCTCTTACCTCTCCCCCTTTCTTTCCATTGCCGCATTCCCTCTCTTTCCTACAAACGACATGATTACATGTGTTTTTGACTGGATCGTCACTGAACGGCTCTACCTCTACCCTGATCCCCTCTCGACGCGAAGGTCACGTCCTCCACTTTGTGGGGGTAATTCTTTCTCCCCCAGCCCTAGCTAGCACTGTCAGCGGAAGAGGCTTGTATCTAGTTGGATAAGTAGGTACCTAGGTAGGTACGAGTAGAAGTATAGACGAGTATACAAGATAATAAATACAAGAGAGATTCGAATCTAGATATATATATATCCTTCGTTCTTAGAGCTTTCTCTCTCCCTCTCTCCCTCCCTCCCTCCCTCCCTCCCAGTCTCTCTGTCACGGTTTTCTCTCGACGCATCGCTCTCGCCGTTTGGGTTCTCTAGGACAATGCATTTTGACCAGCGCCTGCTCACTACACCCCGTACGGTACACGCACGGACGTAGGGCCGTCTACGGTATCTGGAACGGGCATTCTTGAATCCTGTTCTCACGAATACTGCTTGGCTTGCCGTTCTTGAGCCCTCGTTAGCTATGAATTACAGGATAGAATCCCCCCTGGGCGCGACGGCGGGTTGAAGGACACCTAGGTATCTGGATCAAGCTTCCGAGCACTAATTACTCTTTCTCAACCCAAGAAGGAGAGGACGGGCTGAGGGGTGGGGGGGTAGATTCGATCACTCATCAATCATCTACCATCAACGCCATGAACTCATCGGAATACTTTTATAATCAACAAGGAGATCAGGATTGAAGTGGCTTTCCAGTTCGCCAAACTATTCGTCCAAGTATGTTCCTCTCAAGGAATTCCCTCATCATTTTTTTTTTGGTGGTTCGTACCGCCCCGTCGAGTGATTTGCAAATTACAGCAGCTCCGTTTGAGGTTTCCTTTCCCGAATCCCAGCACACTACGTCTATTACCATTCGACAGGATCGGTCTTGACCTCGCCCCGATTCGTCTTGGGTACGGGCGCCGCCTCGATCTTGACGGGGCCTTTGCGCCACTTCTTGAGATACCCACTGCCGTCCAACCACGGCGTGTCCAAGGTCCTCTTGGCTTCAAACTGGGCGATCTTGTCCTCCATCTGCATGGTCAGGCCGATGTCGTCGAGGCCCTCGACGAGACAGTGCTTGCGGAACTCCTCCACCTCGAACCGGGCGAGCTCGTTGCCCTTGTCGTCGCGGATGACCTGGTTGGGCAGGTCCACTTCGATCTCGTGGCCGGCTCGGGCCTCGTCGGCGATTTTGTTGAGCTTCGCCTGGTCGGGCATGATGAGCGGCAACATGCCGTTCTTGAAGGTGTTGTTGAAGAAGATGTCCGCGTAGCTCGGGGCGATGACGCACTTGATTCCAAAGTCCAGAAGCGCCCATGGGGCATGTTCTCGCGAAGAGCCGCACCCGAAGTTGGGCCCGGTGACGACGAGGATCTTGGCCTGGCGGTAAGGTTCTTTGTTCAGGACAAAAGACGGGTTTTCGCTGCCATCTTCGTTGTAGCGCAAAGGGTGGAAGAGCGCGGAGCCGAGTCCGGTGCGCTTGATGGTCTTGAGGAATTGCTTGGGGATGATGGCGTCCGTGTCCACATTGGCTTTATCGAGAGGTGCTGCGATACCTTTGAGCACGGTGAATTTGGGGAGACCGCCTGATGCTCCCGATGCCGGGACGTGATTTGTGGCTGTGCTTGTTGCGTCTGTGGGGATGTCGAGGATACGGTCAAGCTCTTCTTCAGAGTCGACTTCAGCAAATTCAGGCCTCACGTCAAGTTTGGGGTCTGCTTTGGCGGGGGAGGGATTGTCGCTGTATTTGCGCACATCAGCCAATTTGCCCACGATGGCCGCCGCCGCCGCCATGACAGGAGACACAAGATGTGTGCGGCCCAGAGCACCTTGCCGTCCTTCGAAGTTGCGATTCGAGGTACTGGCACAGCGTTCTCTGGGAGACAGAATATCAGGATTCATGCCCAAGCACATTGAACAGCCAGCTTCCCGCCATTCGAAGCCGGCGTCCAGGAAGATCTTGTCCAGCCCTTCGCTCTCAGCTTGGGCTTTGATATTGCCAGAACCTGGAACAACCATGGCCCGCTTGATATTTGGTGCCACTTTCTTGCCCTTGACGATCTTCGCGGCAGCACGAATGTCCTCAATGCGGGAATTTGTGCATGAGCCAATGAAGACCTTGTCCACCTCGATGTCTTCCATCTTGGTGCCGGCTGTGAGTCCCATATATTCAAGGGCCCGTTTGCAGCTTGCCTTCCTGTTCGGGTCCTCAAAGTCATCAGGGCCCGGGACGACGCCAGTAATGGGAACGACATCCTGCGGCGACGTACCCCAAGAGACTGTAGGGGCAATGTCCTTGGCGTCGATGAAGACCTCGATGTCATATTTGGCACCTTCGTCCGACCTTAAGCTGGCCCAGTAGTTTGTCGCCTTCTTCCACTCATTGCTGTCGACCTTTGGAGCCAGAGGACGTCCCTTGAGGTAGTCGAAGGTGGTCTGGTCGGGGGCGATCATGCCGGCCCTAGCTCCTCCTTCGATCGACATGTTGCAGATGGACATGCGGGCTTCCATGCTGAGACTTCGGATGGCAGAGCCGCAGAACTCGATGACGGCGCCTGTACCGCCGGCGGTGCCGATGACCCCAATGACATGCAGAATTATGTCTTTGCTGCTCACCCCGGGGGCCAACTGGCCGTCGACCTGTATCCGCATGTTCTTGCTCTTTTTTGTGATCAAGCATTGCGTGGCCAGGACGTGTTCGACCTCGCTAGTGCCGATACCAAAAGCCAAGGCGCCGAAGGCGCCATGAGTCGAGGTGTGGCTGTCGCCGCAGACGACTGTTGTGCCGGGCAAGGTGAAGCCTTGTTCGGGACCGATGATGTGCACGATGCCTTGATTCTTGTCCCCGAGGCCAAAATATGTGAGCCCAAAATCTTTGACATTGTCTTCGAGGGTTGTGCATTGTAATCTGCTGTCGTCTTCCTTGACAAAGTCTGCCACATTCTTGAAATTCTTCCGTGACGTCGTGGGGACGTTGTGGTCGGTGGTAGCAAGGGTGCAGTCTGGTCGGCGGACTTTCCGCTTGGCGTTCTTCAGCCCTTCGAAGGCTTGTGGAGATGTGACTTCGTGGACAAGATGTCTATCTGTGAGAGATGTTAGTGGTTTCTGAGTCCAGGTGTTTCCGGGGCAAATGGGTGTGGCATACCAATATACAAGAGGACAGTGCCATCTCGCTCTTCGTTGACGATATGGTCTTGGAAGACCTTGTCATAGAGGGTCCTGGGGGTGGACTCGATGGAAGGCATCTTGATAGACTCGGCAGCGATCAGTACCTTGAGCGAGATTCGAGATTCAGGAATGGAACATCCAGAATGAATCTTCGAATAGCAGGGCACAAGATATAAGCAAAAAGGTTTGGAGAGACTGTGGATGGCGGGGGAGCCCGACATCGGAGCAGCAGGATGACTTCGCACGCCCGCTGATTGGCTCGCCATGGGATGCAGGCTACCAGTGGCTAGACATGAGCACGGCACTGGACGTCGTGCGTTGGTCTTGTAGACTCAGCATTCTTGTGACACATCTATCGATCTCGTTCCTGACATCTCCAACACATGTCTATTAGCTGTGGATGGTATACTGAAGCCTGCTATCTCGTCGACAGGCTATTCGTGGTGTTTGCCCGTTAGCTCGCTGGACGTGGTGAGTACAGGTGAGCAACTGCACTCATTCCATGTTTCCGTGGTGAGGAATTGAAGAATCCCTAGCCATGCCGCTGCATGCCACCCGACGGTAGCCATGATTGATGCACTGTTGCCTTGTGATCAACAGTCCGAGCACAGTCAGTCATGAGCATGGAGAACCCCTGTGGTGGTACAACGATCCCAGAAATATGCCGAGCTTCCATCATCATGGACGAGGCTATGGGGCTGTCAACTCATCAACCATGATGAGAAAACTCAGCTGGGACTGCCCAAGTTCGCCGACTTCGGACAACTGAAAGGAGATGATGCGGTCTGAGGGACCTCCTGATCAGTCACGGTGCTTGTCTGGTTGTCCCTGGGGCCTGGTTCATGTTTTCCAGATTGAGGGGTGACTCTCTCAGTGGCCGACGGGGTCCCTCTGGTGACATGTTGAAGTTCTCACACCACACAGTGAAAACAAAAACAAAACAAAAAGGCAAGGAAATGCTTTGGGAGTTGAACATCTATCTACCCTGTTTCAGCCTTTCATACATTCATCTCTGGGAGCAAAAAGTTCAAACAGGCCGCGCAGTTCCATTTTACCCTTTCCGTCCCAGTTCCCTTGTCGATGCCAGAGAGTGCGTTATCCAGCACTCTCCAACACCCACGAGGACTGGGAGACATGGCAAGACCCCGTACAGTGCCATGTCAGAAAAGGCCCCGCCCTCCGACCCGTTGGAACTTTCCAATTTGTCCCATAGCCCGAAACTCGAAGTCGTAGGGGTCTCATTGCTGGTCTCACTTCTTTCAAATGGGGCTATGTTGACCAGAATTGTGCAGATACAATTGATATGGGTGTAATTAGTTGGGGAGTGTTATACGATATGGCTTGGCGAGTGGTGAAGTACTTAGTATTGATATTGTCCTAACGGGCAGGTCGGTCGAGGTGTAGAGTGCAAGCTGTAAAGGGAGCTTGCACTTTCATCTCACGCAGAACCAAGAATCATTCATTCAGAGATGGTCTCCTCGTTCGTGTAAGCAACACCGTTCTCTTTCTCTCACACAAATCCATTGATTGCATCTCGCCGAAATGTTAGAGCAAGCAAGCGACGCTCCATCCAATGAGGACTCCAGCCTCGAATCGAAGCTCCCGTGTCCACGCTCCCTCGCTGACAATTGCCCCCACCGAAGCGCTCGAGAATCTCCAAGTCGGCAGGCTTGCAGGGGCTGCGTATCTGACTAAATGCGCCACCTTCGTAACCGCTGAGCTCTGGACCAGGCTGGGAGGTGCGGATTCAAAAAGTGGGCATTTGACAAGTGGCAAACTGAGCAAGATCTCGAGTTTCGAACAAGCTGTTCCCAAGCCCATTGCTCTCCTTTACCCATGACTATTGGCAAAGGACCAGACGATTCAGCTGCAGACCGCTAGCCGACCTGCATCCGCCTAACCGGATGCCTAGATTTGGGCTTCGCGAGCTGAGAAGAGCCCAGACAACCGTCAGATCGGCCTCATCGTCTTCCAACCATGTCCTTCTGCTGACCCCATCTACGCAACGAGCACCTTCAACGTGCGCCCCCAGCATCGTGGGCACGCATTTCGCGCCTCAAAATCGTCCTTGTTTACGCATTAGTCGGTTTACAACATCTACATCGCTCAATAGCAGCGATGCGGCTAGAAAGCCAGCCCAGGCGGCCATGGTCAGCAGTGAGACTCCGGCCAGAGGTACCCCTCCCCCTCTAGGTAGAATCGGAATAGTCTTCACCGATATTGTCAAATCGACAAACATATGGGAGAAAGACACAAACGCCATGATCGAGGCCATGAAACTGCACGATGACATGATCAGAGGCCTCACTGTCGCCAACGAAGGCTACGAGGTCAAGCAAAATGGCGACGGCTTCATGATCGCCTTCGCCACCGCGACTTCTGCGGTGCAATTCTGCCTAGACGTGCAAGAAAAGCTGCTAGACGAGCACTGGCCGAAGGAGATCCTCAAGCTGCCACCCGGCCAGGAAACCAAGGACCCTGAAGGCCACGTCCTGTTCCGCGGCTTGCAGTTGAGGATGAGTGCCCACTGGGGCGAGCCCGTGAGCAAGTGGAACGAGGTCATCCAGCGCATGGATTATCTCGGCCCGGTGGTCAATCGGGCCGCTCGATTCATTCAGGTCACAGAGGGCGGCCAGATCGTGGTATCCGAAGAATTTCTGCTCCAGCTGCAGAGCGAGTTGGAAATGGCCAAGCAGCAGAACGAGGCACAGGAGCCGGTCCAGGCAGCTGACGAGGAGGGCAACCATCACTCCCATGCAACAAACACGCCGGCAGTCTCTCTGGACCTTCGCAGTCTGCGTAGCCGGCGAGACCAAAAAAACCTCACGCACCAGCAATTCGAGATCCGGCCGCTGGGGGACTACGAGTTCCAGGGCCTGGATGACCCTCACAAGCTCTATTTCATTGTTCCCTGCTCGCTTGAAGGGCGGGTGGACCACTGGCATCAGGTCGCGCATGTGACGGGGGTGAAAGGCAATGTTCGCTCACCATAAAACCGAGGGTCGACATGTCCATCCAGACCGACCGTGAGAGAGGAAAGAGTTTAGTATAACAATCAAAGAAGCTTTATCAGTCCTGCTAGGCTTTCTTCCCTTGTCGAGGAGGAACCTGAGGGCGAGAGAGAGCAGGATGAGAACGCTGCTGTCCAATGTTCGGCGGTCAGCTTGTACAAACAAGAGAGTGAAAGGGGAGACAGTATATCAGTGTATTTTTGCCCTGTTTCACCGTGTACAATATGAAGCCATGTGATGAATTCAACTGGCGGCATCGGGGTAGTGCGATTGCAATACATTGAAATGGACAGAAACCAACGCGGATAAAGGTGCTTTGACGATCTGCATTGATTGCTCCCGGAGACCATTTTCACAAATCCCTGGTAAACTCTTTGAACAGCCGTGATGGACACTCCAGGTCTTCTTCAAACCGCTTTTCCAGCCCGAGTCAAATACAGCCTGGTATCTATCGGTGCACCATGCGTGTGCCCGAACGTCTCAAGAACTCCTTGCGCTCGTAGTTGCCGGGGCGTTTCAAGCAGCAGCCTCGACATCGTCTCCATCCGCTTCGACAGCCCCATTCGTTTCCGGAGCCTTATCGGGCTCATTTTCCTTCTCAGTGTCGCCGTTCACGTCAAGAAGGTCGTCTGACGCCTTGGCCAGTGCCGCTGCACCATTTCCACTTTCCGTCTCCTCCTCTAGCTTGATGTATTCTTCCCATTCGGGGAACAAATCCTCATCCTGGCCCTTTCCGGGGACGCCCAGGAGCCTCGCGACCTTGCCCTTTCCTTGCTTCTCGAGCCCCTCTTTCCACTCCACTGCCAGCCCCGGTGTCAAGCTCGGCTTGTACGTCTGGCTGAACAGCACTGCCTCGCTGATCCTTCCTGTGCGTTTAAGAAGGTCCATGCAGCTTACCACATCGCCTGTGGACCACAGAGCAGCAAAAGCGACGTTGTTGGCTCCCGATTCTTCCGCTTGCTTCGCGAGTTTGAGTAGTCCTTCCTTGTTGCCTGAGCTGGTGTACAAGAGCAGCAGAGAACCGAGGTCTCTTGCGTGAGTAAAGCACTCTTCTGCGAGTTTCACGTCCCACGCTTCAAGCGCCTTGTCAGCAACAGCTGCCCACCGTGCTTGAGTATCGGATTCCCTTGCAATTTCTAAAGCGATCGCGAGATTGTTCAAACCCAGCGCTAACTCGAAGCGGTGCTCAGGATCAGTGGCGACTTCTAGTGCGAGGTCCTTATGGCCCTGGGCTTCGAGGAAGCGTGCAATCTTGTTCATTTGATCTTGCGGGATATCGGAGAGGAGTTCTTGGGCGGCTTCGAGTTCATCCCGCAAGACTAGAGTCTGGTAGGAGAGTAGCGCGGTGGAGAGTCTGTACGAGACAACGTTGACGTCCTTATCGCAGAGGTAGACTCGCTCATCGCGTTGAAGGTACCGCAATAGGTACATCGGTTGGTCGAATTGAGCGATATTCACGACTTGTTCGCCCAGGAGGTAGCTGAGACGAGTGCTAGTGGTGAATAAGAAAGCATCGCCGACCCATTCGCCGGATTTTACAGATTCTTGCAAATCAGTTACGACGGAGAAGGCGGCCTCGACACCATCTTCGTCTGCCTGGCCCGAATTGAGGCCATCAAGGTAAGCTTCGCGGTCGAAGCGGAGGACGTAGGTGGTGTCGGAGCAGGCAAGGGCCACTAGTTCGCCGGACTCGCTCCAGTAGACCTATCCCGAATCTGTCAGTCACGGTCACTTCCAACCGGTGGATTTATAGGATCGCTACCTCTGTAGGTTCGACCTCAATTCTCCGGATGAGACTGCCAGTCTCCCAGTCAAACATGCCAATCCCTCCTTGCCCTTTGACGCCGAGAAGAGCACCACCGCAGAGACCTTCGGCTTGGAAGCCCACATCAAGACTTCCACTTTCTTTCAGTTTCTTGAAGATTTTAACGCTCGTGCTAGACTCTCGGATCGCATAGTCCGTTGGGTTCTGATGTGATGCCCTTCAACAAACGTTAGCGGATTATTACAACTCCGGATGAGGCTTCTCTACCATGCAAAATCAAGTGCTGAGCCAAAGGCTTGATTTCTCCATGCCAATGCAGTGTACTAGGAGGCTGTCAGCAGAAAGTCGTCGCCGAAGGGAACCACCAGAATACTCACAATGATGAACTCTCCATCACCACAGACGCTGACGAACCTGCCATTGGGTGAGTGGGATAGTGTGGTCGGATAGCTATATGTCATGTTAGCAGTTTCATCATGCTGTTTGACAGTGATGCTCACATTTCGGTGGTGCCCATTTCTTTGCTCGGAAGAGCAATAGGTGCGCCATCCTTGAGCGTTGCATCTCCTCCCTTGATTATAGCAGACACTACCTCGTTGTGACGTGCCCAGACGAGTTTCCCAGTTCCATCCATGGAAACAGCAGGCTCCTCTCGGCCCATTTTGACCACAACGGCGCCATCATCAAAGCCCATGGCAACACCCTGTTTTCCTCTTTGGTACGAGACACACCATGCCCTCTCCAGACCATAGCTCAGTGATTGCTCTAACCGGTACGTATTGGCGTGCCATATCTTGATGGTCCCGTCTTCAGAACCGGATATGATGACTGGTAATTCAGGGTGATAACAGGCGAAGCTGACATTGCTGGTGTGTCCTTCAAGTGTTGCAATGAGAGCTTTGGTCGTGTAATCCCAGACTTTGACAGTTTTGTCATCGGAAGTGCTGAGCAAGTAAGGTTTGTCACTGTGCGGGTAGTAGTCGACGTGATTCACACCCTTTTCGTGTGCCTCGATTGTCTGCTTTGCGGTGGCATTGTCGATGCTCCAGATCTTGATAGTTCGATCTAAGCATGCTGATGCAAAAACATTGGTGTCTTTGGGGTTTATTGCGAGGCCCATCACATAGTGTTGATGTCCGACAAACTCGCGCACGCACCGCCAGTCCTTTTCCCAATCGAACATGCGAATTGTCATGTCATCTGAGGCTGTCAGGACCACGCTGAGGACAGGATGCACGACAATTGCGCGGATATAATCTGGGTGTCTGCAACCATCATTGTAAGCCCACCTATTCCATTTCTTTGGAAGCCACAAGCCGCTTACGCCTCAAATGATTTGACCTTTTCACTTGTATTCCAGTTGACCACTCTAAGTTGGAAATCATCGCTGCCACATACGATCCAGTTCTTTCTTTCAATGAACCTTCCCGCCCTCACAGGCACATCGGTGAGCTCGAATGTCTTGATGATGGCTTGGGTTTCGTAGGACCAAATGTGTGCATGGCCATTGTATAAAGTGGTGAGAATCTTGAACCGTCAGCGCCGAAGGTGGACGGGGAGGAATCAGGAAAGTTATACCCATGGTTCGGTACTATGCAACTGTTAGAATTCTGTCTTCTCGGTAGAAGTTAGTACTTGCCTGTGGAAATCAATGCCCTTTACTCGCTCCGAGCCTTGACAAGGTTAGTCTTGATACATGACAATCGCGGGAATTAGACAAACGAGCAAAGAGTTGTCTCTTGACGTCCAGGCGCATGGCGGCATCCAAGAGTCAAGAATATTGTTAGGGTATTTGGCGGCGCACACAAGGGTGCTTGCTCGACCGATTAGGGTGCAGTCAGAAATCGAACCGGGCGGGAAAGAAACCAAACACAATATTCCATATCATCAATTCATGGTCGTCGTAAGCGCCGCAGTTCAGTTCATTGAAAGGAGTCGTACAGTTGTCAAAGGACGCGGGCCCGTGGTTCGGTGGTTTTGACAGAATGTCCCCAAATCCAAGCCTCGCAGGCACATACATTGAAAGTTTATATAGGTCCCGCCGCTTTAAACCCAACTTCTCCTCCCTCTCCGCACAGATAACTCGTGAGGTAGGTATTCTTTCTTGATCCTTATGACCATCCTTGCCTCGATAAATTCGTTGACTCCTCGAGATTTTCTGTTTGACCTCCCATACAATCTGACATAGCATTGACCGCGCCAAGGCTGATCACACTCAAAATGTGCAAATAGACCGCTTTGCCGTGCGCCCGGATCAATGACTGACTGCCTGTCGTGCTCGCAGAAGATGCTGACACAAAGACAGGAAGACATCACATTCACAGTGCACGACTGAGAGTCGACCGTTGCCGTCAATAACTTACAATGAAGGTATCGCAGGGGATTCCGCTGTCAGCGCACTCGCCCTCCATTCACCGCGTCAACAAGCGAGTGAGTACACTACAATGATTCCGCCGGACGAGGCTGAGAACAGAAGAAATGACAAAATAGTGGAGCTGAGATGAATGCACTCGATTTTGCGCAGCAGGGGTAGGTCCATGTTCCTTGGGGAACGGCAGCGTCTATCTGATGGGTGCTCGAGCGCAAGAAGACGCAAAGATATTAATACCCGGAATGTTTCATCCATCATAGTGAGGAAATGGCTCGACCAGTCAAATGTCAAATCTCAGTGCTGGGGTCTCGATCTGCGCCTAAGCGTCGACAGTCGCGCCTGTCAGTGAGGAGGCCTTCTCTATACACTTACTGGGACGCGATTTGCTGTATCTGATTGTTCCGAGGGCATCACCGGAAACCCTACCTGGTTGGCAACGTCTATGTACCCAGATTACTCGCGGACGAAAAAACCTGTTTCCCGAGTACGGTTGGGTCCAAAAGCGTGAGTGAAGGCTACTTGCACCTGAGCTTGAACTTGAGCCTTGAGCTAAACACCACTGAGCACTCCATGGGCAATGCTGCTGAAGATCCCGAGGCCTAGTGACCCTCAGCCTGGCCCTTGTCGATGTTACCTAGATAGGTAATATCACAACGCAGGCGGCTCACTTTGCTCGCAACCAATATCACTGGTGGCGAATTCCAGACAGAAGCTGGCTGTCCATCCAGTATAGCGCCAACAACCTCTTAACGATGGACTCAGCTTCCTGAAAGCTTGTGTTGCCTGCCCGGTTCGAGGCTTTTCCCGGGGTTTTCAGGGACCACTTGCTCCAGATGGATGAATAAAAATTCGGCATCTGGGGGTTATGGAGACTTCATGCCATTGTCGTCATGGTTCATTCACGCTTCTCATTTCAGGCGACCTTTGTGTACTAGGTATCGGCGATGAGGAGTCCTTTCCCCCTCTATCTCCGCTCATATGATTCGGCTTCTTGCGACCAGCGCAGCTGTCAGCGCTGAAACCTCTCACCACCCTTTCGAAGCCAAATGCTACGTGTCGGCTTCATTATTAGCATTGTCACACCAGGATGTTGACGCTCGAGATTCACTGCATCTACAAGTTCCTGCTCTGATTGTCTAGAACGATTTCTGCTTCCATCGTCTATGATGCAGACCATCTCCCTCCAATCGAACAGGCGAACACGAATAGCGGTGGCATGTACTTCGTGTCAAAGTCGGAAATCTCGCTGCAATGGCGGTGAACCGTCTTGCCGTCAATGCGATGAACTTGGCTTGCAGTGTATTTACGAACGCTTGCCTCGGAAGAATGAGATAAAGTCCCCCAAGAAGCAGCAAACAAGCTACAGCAGAAGACTGCGCGCCCTCGAAGATGCACTGCTCGTGCAAAACAAACATCCTGCGCAAGTGGTGCTGGGCAAGTCCGATCTGGAACAAACAAACGATTCTTACTACACGCATCTCGACGGGCTGCAGGAACCCCAATCAAGCAATCAAGAGATACGCAGCGTGGTCTACAAAACAAGCAACTGTACAGAGCAAGACGGAGGAGACGAGGACACGATCGACGGTATGGCCACAGTTATAAGTTCGAAGACCATGAATTCTATGGTCTTCGGACCGTCTTCAAACATAGCGTTTCTCCGTCAAATATTTGACGCTACTTCGGCTGCGCTGCAAGCATTGGGCAAGATTTCACAACCAGGAAACACCCTATACCAAACATACATCTCTTCAAATGCCTCCCCAGCCACGGTGACAAGGTCGGTTCCAATAGCAGCCCAGCGACGTGTCGATACCCAGCATTTGCCTTGCGATTCCCATGGACGACATCTGATCAGACTCTTCTTCTCCAACGTTGGAATGCTCTTTCCAGTCATCCATGAAAGTGAGTGCCTGAGAGCCTACTGTACCGCCAAACTGGAAGGCTCTGCGGCAGTCAGTCAATCGTGGCTTTGCCTCCTTAATGTCATCTTCGCTCTGGCCACCTATGCCAGCACAACGCCCGATCAGATAACAGGAAGAAATGAACATGCGGCTGAAGAATTCATCGAGAAGGCAGAAACTCTCTCGGTCCACATTGCGATGAAATCAGCAGACCTGGAAATCGGTGAGTCGAACTAGTGCTACCACCCAATTCTGCACTCGTTCTCCCTTTCGGCGGGAATGAAGTTAACTTTGCGAATCCTCTGCTGACTGGTTTCCAGTCCAATGTCTACTACTGATCGCGCAATACTACCAAGGTACTCAAAAGCCTGATAAAGCCTGGCATTTGCACGGTCTTGCAGTTCGTGCCGCCATACAATTGGGGTTGCACTCGCCACATGCGTACGTTGATATGGAGCCACTCGAATGCGAGCTAAGGAAAAGGACATGGTTCGGTTGTGTGATCCTGGACAGGTAAGCCTTGTCACTATTATCAGAAGGATTTACCAGTTGCTCAGGACATCTCACCTGCTAGAATGCTAAGCATGACCTTGGGCCGCCCGTACGCGATATCTGACGAACTCCTCAAATTGGACCTACCTCTTGATATTGGCCTCGATGCAGTGAGCAAGGGACCGACGCCAATGACGTCGGACGATCAATCTGCAGCTCCCAGTACGGTCTGCCTTTTCATTGCAACAATGTAGGTATCGCATCCGTGGCACACCTGGTAACCTCAAGTCCGCTAAGAATCCCTGCAGCCAGCTGTACGAGGTACTTGGCGACATCATCAAGAAGCTTTACGGCTCTAACACCGATGCTGGTGTACAACAGACCGTTCCTGCCTTGCTAGGGACAATCAGCCAGCTCGAACATAAACTTGAGGTCTGGAAACAAAATCTGCCTCCCCAGTTGCAACAGCTGCCCCTGGAAATCCAACGCACGAGTCCCGACTTGCCGACACTGGCGTTTGCGCCTGTTTTCGACCGCCTCAGTATCATTCTTACTCTCCGATACCTCAATGCCCGCATTCTTCTTCATCGACCAATTCTTTCTGCATGTCTGCGCCAAAAACACCCCTTTGGCCCTCACAAAGGGCCCGCGTCTGAGGCACACCATAGTTATCTCTATGAGTTTGCCAATATCAGCGTAAAGATCTGCGAACGATCTGCGGTGGAAGTGATCAATATTGTCTGCAAAGCAAGTCGGCAAGCTGGCACACTGGGCACCTGGTGGTTTTCTGCTTACTACAGTAAGCCATACACTTCATGCGTTATGTCTTCTTGCTGACAGGATCATGCTCTAGCATATAACGCAGCCCTGGTTATATTCAGCTGCATTCTTCTGCATACTACCACGTCGAGAAGTGGAATATCCACTGAAAAGGACGAGCATCATCATGCGAATCTTGGAAAGATCGTCCACCTTCAGCGGGCCTTCGAGGCCACAGGAAGATTGGGAGCGGGCTCGATCACGGCAAAGAAAATCCAACGTGCGCTGTTGACACACAGACAAACCTGCATGACCTTGGTCCAAAGCGATGTTGGAGACGGTGGCAAAGAAGACGCATCTGGATCATCCATTACTGCAACCGGGTTTGAGGCGCACGTTCCCAACATCGACGCCGTTCCAATCTCAAACGCAACTGGAATGATCAGCAGCGAGGCTTCCAATGTCCCTTTCCTGGATCTTGCTCAAGACGATCCGTTTGCCACATTGGATGAGGGCGTAGATCAGCCGTGGAGTGACATCGACTGGCTTTCCCACGAGTTCGGACCTGAAACTCAGCTGGACAACTACCCGAGGCCATCCAGCAATATGCAGGACCTTTTGCCGAATGGCAGATTTGTGGCATGTCCCTCGAATGACGGACCCTTTTGACATTGAGGAGACGACAAGACGCGTTTATTGTAGACGGCGGATGGGATACAGGGCTTGACCACGGAAGAAATTGACTTGAATTAAAGATCGTGTGACACAAGAACGTCGCTGTGGTTGGCAACAAGAAGACCCTCACACCCATTCGACGCCCGATCAGCTCAAATCGCGCTTGCTTGGCTGATACCCCAGGTCTCAGCCACCTCCAGTCTTTCGTAGCCATTACCAGTTCATGTATGATCCAATGTCCTTGCCCGCGTAGTAGTCTCGGTCCTTTCAGGTCACGACCTGGGTGAATACCCACTCATCGAGGCCTTGCAGGCTGTTGAACCGACCCCAGCCGCTGGCCTTGACTCCCCCATGAGGCAAGGCCGACTCGTCGTGGACCGTCGTGGAATTGATGTGTACGGCTCCCGTCTCGATCTTCTTGGCGATGGCCAACCCTCACCGCAAGTCTTCGGTGAAGACGGCGCTGGAGAGGCCGTATTGCGTGTCGTTTGCTAGCCGGATGGCTTCTTCGTCGGAGTCGACGACGTAGAGAGAGGCGGTCGGCCCGAAGGACTCGGTGTAGTAGATATCCATCCCCGGTTCCACGTTCTCGAGCACCGTGGGCGCGAGTTTCGTGTCGTCGGCACTGTCGACGACGTTGTTGTTGTTGTCCGCATTATTCCCGTGGCGGGGGCAGAGAGCGACAGCACCCTTTGAGAGGGCGTCGGCAACAAGACTCTCGGTTTTCTTGGCTGCCGGGAGAGATATCAGTCGAGGGACGGCCCCGATGCCCTTGTCGGCGAAGATGTGGTCGATGGCCTCTTTGAAGGCGGCGCGGAATTGGTCGGCGACTCGCGCGTGGACGATGATTCTCTCAGTGGACATGCAGATCTGTCCGGCATGAAGCATGGCGCCCAATGCGCACTGTTGAGCCGCGTATGGAATGTTGGCGTCGTCGCATACGATCGAAGGGGATTTACCTCCCAGCTCCATTACGGTGGGTTTCAAATGCTTTCCAGCCTGTGCGGCGAGGATGGCGCCGACCGCGGTCGACCCGGTGAAGTTGATCTTCTTGATTGCCGGGTGCGCAATAAGCGCGGTGGTGATCTTGCGGGCATCTGCCGGACGGTGGTAGATGGTATTCAGACATCCTGCCGGGAGACCAGCCTCGTGGAGGACAGAGACAACGCCCCAGTGAGTGGCCGGAGCTAGTTCGGGCCCTTTGTGCACCACCGTGTTGCCCCTGTTTCTATCTGTCAGTACGAGGAGGAGACCGATAAGAAAGCTTGTATTCGCGTGGAGTCCACATACATGGCCAACGGCTGTAAGCAGGCCCTGAGGCCGAGCACGTTCGGGACGTTCCAAGGAGATATCGCCAGGACCACCCCGTATGGCTGTTTGACCATCATGGCGTTGCTCCCACGCTCCGCTGGGATGAGGACGGAAGACGTAGTAGCGATCTGGATGAGACCTGCGACACTCCTACACGCATCTGCCGCAAGGCCATGCTCAAGCGAGAACATGGACGGCAGCGCTCCAGTCTCGGTCTGGCTGTAGTGGCCCAGTTCTTGCTTTCGCTTCTCGAAGATGTCGGCTGCGCGCAAGAAAATGTCTCTTCTGAAGTTGGGTTTCGTCTGGGACCACGTCTTGAATGCCTCCTGTGCCGAAGCAACGGCTCTCTCGACATCGGTCTCGCTGGCAGAGGAGCACTTGTACAGAAGTTGCTGGTTTTGGGGGGAGATCACGTCGAAGGTTTCAGACAGCTCGACTTGTTGACCATCAAGCCAGAGAGGGATGGTGGAGCCGGCATCGAAGGTCGAAGGGTTGGGTATCACACCTTCTCGGCGGTCTGAGAGCATGTCCTCAGACTTGTAGGTATCCGAAGTTGTGCTATGATCCAAGCTAGCAGCCATCCTTGTGATTCTGGTGAGAAGTTCTCGACTTGGGAGACAAAGGACTTGCACCAAAGCGGGAATAGGGCTTTTATATCCATTTCAATCATTCTTCTTCACTTACTGTGAAGGCATGATGTTGCAGACCGGGTTTGCGGGAAGTTCTTTGGCGACTTTAGGATATCGGGCAAGGCGCACACCTTTGCATCTGCTTTCCGCCTCAGGTGAAATTATAACCGCGGAAGGGAGTTTGGGACGCAATGAGAGATTGGAATCCGGACTGGATTGGCGAAGCCATTCTATCCCATAGCCTGTTCTGAAGACTTCAAGTCCACAGCGTATGGGATTTGAAGTGAGAAGGCCGGGACAGGCAGAGGGCGTTGCACCATCCGCGGCTGGCATGATGCCGACAGTAGCAAAATGATATTGGTCTGTGGAGTCTGTTCCAGGTGAATATAGTATCATTCGAAGACAATCATTGCCGGAAATCCGGCTGGTGAGGCTGATTGTGTGTTCCCGCGGGAAGTATTTCATTCCCGGCCTGCCGACGCTGAAATTGGGCTGGTTGTCTCAGCAAATTAGTCCCACGCTGCGCGTACAGGTTTTACCTTTACCTCAATTTGAGAGAGAAGCCATGTTCGAGTATACGAAGAAAGAGAAGGTTGCGTCTGAGATCTCCCGGGAGAGCCGTTGCCGCGGGAGGACTCACATATGCATCTCCATGTCCATCCTGCCCTTCGCGTCCAGTAAACTGCCCACGAAACCCTTGTAACAGGGACACTTCCTCTGTACAGGCCGTCTGGAAAGTAATGTTCAACCTTCCCATCTCAGCCAAACACGACTCGGGCTGATCATCATGAATGAAGGCATGAGTTCAAGCACGACACCGCCCTCGGTAGCAATGTCAACGACCCTCACCCCACATGATAAGCTTGCTGCAAATGCTCTCAAGATTCACACAAAGCCACTTTGGACCCAGATGGCCAGAATGAATCCGCGCGAGCCAAATCCGAAGTGTGTGCCGACTGTCTGGCGGTACGAGGAAGTCAGACCCCTCCTGGTAGAGGCCGGTATGCTTGTCACCGACAAGCAGGCGGAACGTCGGGCTTTGATGTTCGTAAATCCTGCAAGAGGTATCCTCGAACACGGCAACCATTGTCACCGCACGTGGACTGACGAGAGATCAAGATGCCCCGTATACCACGGACACCATAGCCTCCGGGCTCCAACTTGTCTGCCCAATGAGACAGCTCCTGCCCACAGGCACGTTGCTTTCGCCATGCGGTTCGTTATTGAAGGCCAGGGTGGCTTCACAGCAATCCAGGGTAAAGGAGTTTGGATGCAGCGTGGTGATGTTATCCTGAATCCGCCATGGAACTGGCACGACCAGGGCAAAGACGGCTCTGGTCCGATGATATGGCTCGATGGCCTTGACATTCCCAACTTTATACATTTTCCCGTGCACTTTGTTGAGCACTATAAGGAACCGAGATATCCCGCCGAGGACGTCGATTCCAGCAGCTCGCCCCTGGTGTTTCCCTGGAGAGCCATTCAGCAAAAGTTGGATGGCATGCCCGGCGAGTGGGTGTCACAGGACTATTTGCGATCGGACGGCACACCAGGTAAGTCACCCAGCAAGACGTCTGTAGGTGACTTGGTCTCGATTCCCCATTCTGATTCCAAGTTTTGAAGTATCCAAATCCCTTGGTGGTTGTGCCGAACGTCTAGACCCAGGCGCATCCTCCCCTGCTGTCCGTGAGACGGCTTCTTCAATATACCATGTCATCTCAGGGGCAGGACACAGTGACATTGCTGGGCAGAGATTCGCTTGGAAACAAGGAGATTCTTTCTGTATTCCGGCCTGGAATAAGTATCAGCATACCAACACGGGGTCTGAGACGCTTTACCTCTACCGACTCCATGACAAGCCCATGCTGACCAATCTCGGGTACTATCGACTTGATGGTTGTGATGTGGAAAGCCTGGTGACGGTGTATTGAGCCAGAGAGGTAGATTTGGCCGTCCAACAGACGGCGTTCATACCCCACGGCGCCTGGAGGCCGGATGCGGAGTTAGGGCGATCTTCGCCTCCAAAACGCAGTCTTGCACCCTCCACTCTTAGAGTCGTCGAGATAGCTTCACCACCTCTATGATGATCACCAACAGACCTTGTGTATCGAGTGGAGGTAAGTTTGCGTGCCCATATGAAGCGTGTATGGCCAATAAACCACTCAATTCCTTGTGCCGGCTATACGTACTGGTTGGTTGCGGGCCGAGGCAGCCCATTGATGCTGCGGAAATGCATTTAAACACGGCCTAGCGAGAACTCTTCGTATTATCTCTGAAACGTCCGCATCCGTTTGCTCCCTTTCCACCGCCCGCCCCAAGCTGTTGACCGTCGCAGTTATAATTATGGCAGACCTCCGGCCAACGCTCCATCATCTGAATGTCAGGTCCTCTGAACTGTCCTCCCTACCGCTGCTCACAGGTTGCAGGACTCGCAATCGCAACGAATCCTATGGCTTCTCGAAGAGCTCGAGATCCCATACGACCTCAAGCTTCACAAACGTGTCAAGCAAAGAGCTCCTCCTGAACTGAAAGAAACGCATCCCTTGGGAAAGGCACCACAACTGGAGACAGGCGATGGGAGAGTGATCGTGGAATCAGCAGTGATTGCGAAATACTTGATTGAGACATACGACAAGACGGGCAAGTTCAAGGGCGATGGCAACAAGAACGACTGGATACGCGATGACGAGTTGTGCAATCTTGCTGCCGCCAGCATCGGCCCTCCCATGATTGTGGAAGTCATCATGACTGCGGCGGTCAAGTTGACGCCCTTTTTCGTCCGCCCATTGATATCCCTGGTCCACAAACAACTCCACCAGGGCTACTCTGGGCCTGAACTTGACGCCTTCTTCAAGTATCTGGACGACCAACTGGGTGACCAAGACTATTTTATGGGCTCCGCGCCTGGGCGGGCGGACTTCATCCTCTCCTTCCCCGTTGACACGTGTACGGCCGCTGGATTCGTCGAGCTGAAGAAATACCCGAGGGTGGAAAAATGGCACGCTCGGTGCCGTGAGCGACCAGCGTGGAAGAGTAGTCTAGAGAAAGGGAACGGATATGATCTCAGCTTCAAAAACGTAGGGAGCTAGATGGCGAGTCGAGGACAGAGCAACCAAATGGCGCCAAATTGGTACTCGTATGTAATTGTGGAAGGCGTTCGACGAGGGTACAATAGCTCTCCGGAAAGCGAGCGGGAGGACGACAGGGAAGTTCATCGCCGCTCAACTGTTGTCAGTGTCTATTCCCCATAGTGTTATTGCATACTAGGGTAGCACAAGATTCTGTTCGTAAAATTCCTTAAAAGGTCAGCTTTCAACATGGGAGGCCTCAGGTGCAGGCAACTCAAGTCCGGAATCCCACAGTGAGAACACAGTGTTGTTGAAAGTGATGCGTACAGAGTAGGTAGGCAGGTAGGTATGACTGCCAAAAGTTGAGCCGGACATTTGCGAGCCCCCAAAGCCCGTGAGGGCCCCGGAACAATCGTCATCCGGGGCGTATACTTTGCCTAATCCCGCCTAGAAGCAGCCCATCAGCTCGCTGCGAGCTCGTACTCGGCGGCACCCAAAGGCTACACTTTGGCGCTACGATCCATCGACACCTCGCTTACAGCCATGTCTTCCACAGAACGCAATCTTCTGCTCCTTCGCGAGCTCCACTGCCCACCCACAAGCACGCCTGGGAACTCCCTAACATGGCTTCGCGAATGCAACATTGGTCACTTCGTCGGCGGCATGCGGCGTGGGAGGAGATGTTTCAAGGCCTGGATGAATGCATCCACGTTTGTGCCCCAAATTCTTGCATTTATCTCGCCTCTAGAGGCGAGGTTAACCAAAGTATGTGCCTATATACCTCGATGCGCTTCGGTTACTGATCTCTTGCTTCTCTTTTCCATCTCCCCCCCCCCCCCCCGAATCACACAAATATCTCTTTATTCTTTTTGTCCTTCGATCACTGGGGCGTTCATCTGATATCGCTTCTCGGGTGTGGTCTCTGACCACCTGAGGCCGGCAAAAAAACAATGCCTTCCAACGCTACAACACACCACGCCCGTCGCTTCTGCACCGAAATCACCCCCGACTGCCCCCTCGAACTCACCACATATGGATACTACCCCAATCTCGGCGTGAACTCGTTCTTCATTGCTCTCTTCGGCCTCTGCATGGTGCTGCAGTTGGGTCTCGGCACGTGGAGGCGGACATGGACATACTTGATCGTCGTCGCCGTCGGCTGTTTCGGTGAGGCGGTGGGATATATTGGCCGGCTGATCATGCATCACAACCCGTGGAGCGGTGCTGGGTTCAAGACGCAAATCTGCTGCCTGGTGCTCGCCCCAAGTTTCCTCGCCGCGGGGATCTATGTCACCTTGAAGCATTTGGTCATATACTGTGGAGCCGAGAACTCGAGACTGAAGCCTAGACTGTACCCTTGGATCTTCATCGGCTGTGATTTTGGGTCAATCGTGCTCCAGGCCATCGGGGGTGGCGTGGCAGCCGGGGCAGGCGACCGTGATGCGAATCCCAAACTGTTGGACGCGGGCAATGGGTTGATCGTGGCGGGCATTGCATTCCAGGTGGCAACCATGGGTGTCTGTGGGCTTCTCATGATCGACTACTACATCCGCTTCCATCGTGCGAAGAAGGCCAAGTCGCAAGCGACGGTGGAGAGCGAGTACGAGAAAAATCTGTCCTCGCCGAGCGCGTCGCGCAACTTTCGGATTTTCTGCTTTGCCATTGGGCTGGCCTTCACCACCATCTTTATCCGTTGCATCTACCGGTACGTCCCTTCGTCCCCTGCCCTGACTGCTGACTTACCGGAGAATGGTATACTGAGTGATTGTTTGATGACACAGTCTACCCGAGATGGCAGGAGGCTGGGGAGGGCCTCTGATGAGAATCGAGACCGAGTTCCTGATCCTTGATGGAATGTAAGTTTGGCGCCCTAGCCCCCAGGCACCAGGGAATATCAGACTGACATGTGCCCATTGCAGGATGGTGGGCATTGCCTGTGTCCTCCTGACCGTCTTTCATCCCGGGTTCTTTTTCGAACCGATGAGGAAATTCAAGAGGGCGAACTCTAATAATGCAGAGCCCGTGGAGGAGCAGCCCGAGACGGTAGAGAGCAAGTCTTAGGGATTCCCACTTGCCACTTTCCCAGGGTCATGATCTCAGACGTATATATTTCGACATAGATATAGAATGATAGATTGGACACATGACGTGATGGGATACCGAATTCTTGTGCATCGAGGGCGACCGCAGGCACCGACACCAGAGCTTTTCGGCCGCAAAGGATGACGCTTCTCTCCGCATTATCCAGGGGCCTCGGCCTTATATTGATGCCGAGCTTATGGATATGCCTCGCGAAGAACTGGGCCATGCGAATCTGATACCATCAGGGGTCCCTCCCTATATAGCGCACGCTGCTGGGCGATGATGAGGCTGGCGCCGTGTCCGCGACTTTCCGAACACGAGGCAGAAAAGGCGTGTGGTGCCAAGCTAATACGCCAGCGGATACGAGGCTTCGTTTCGTGCCAAAAGACTAAAGAAGCACCCAAGTCAGCTTCCTTTCCTTTGCTTCGTCCTCATCGTCTCCCTAGGGTTATGCGACATCATCAATCCAGCCTGCAGCCACCTCGCCGGCAGCCTTCACCATGCCTTCTCGACGGTCGCATACCAAATCCCACCACGGGTGTCGGCAGTGCAAGGCGAGGAGAGTCAAGGTCAGTCAGTCTGTTTCCCCGGGGCTCACGTTTCAACGGGCCTTTGCCTTTTCCCGAGGCTCCATAATTGGTGCAGTAGCGGTGGGAGTGGGAGTTGGTGGGAGCGGCCTTTTCTCGCTTAGTCGTCGCTGAGCCTGCCTCCACAAGATTGTTGCTGCTGTCTGTTGGTCCTGACAAAACTGTGCCCAGTGCGATGAGACGAGCCCTCAGTGCCAGCGCTGTGTGAAGCGACAAATCCCCTGTTCGTTCCTCGAGAATGGCTCCGAAGGGTTTCCGACGCCCCCGGGAAATACGTCCATCCATGACACATCGACTCCCAAGAGCTTGGACCATCAGCATTCAGACCCCGAGAAGACACGCCATGCCGCACAGTCGACTCCCCAAGCCTCGTCGCCGCTGGCAACAGACAAAGACTCGGCCAATGCTGACAAGCGCTTTGATCTCCTGGATCTGGAGCTCATCCAACATTACTCTACCCGGACTTACATGACCATGTCCTCGAGGCTCGCCACCCACGCTGTCTGGCGTGACACGGTCTTTGCAGAGGCCTTGCGCCATGACTATCTCCTACACGGCTTGATGGCCACTTCGGCCCTGCATAAGGCGACTTTGCTGCTGAAGTCGTCGGATGCGTATGCCGAGTATTCCAAGGTCGCCCTGGCTCACCAGAATGCTGCCTTGGCTGGATTCATTCCGGCGGTCAGCAAACCCAATCAGGACAACGGCATTGCCTTATTCTCTGTGTCCCTTCTTCTTACGATATGGGCTTTTGCCTCCAAGAAACTGCCAGAGGGTCTTAACAGGGTGAAGCTGAACTTCGGCACAGGCGAATCATCCCCTGGTATCACCCTGCCCATGGACTCGCCGACAGCCGACTTCATCGAAATCATCATGATCCTCAGGGGGATATACGCCGTGATTAGAGAGACTGATACGTGGCTTCAGGGTGACATCGAAGAGCTGCTGCGCTATCCTCGTACAGAAGATCTACCGCCGCATTCGCCAGAGGTGGAGGAGACCTTCGCCACGCTGCGCAAAGCCCTGGAAGATCCTCAACTGTCGTCACTATGGGAGGGCGAAGACCCTCAACGAATGAGGAATCTCTTCCTTGAGCAAATGGAGCAGTTGCGCGACATCTCGAGATGTCGTTCCGTGGTCGAATGGGATGGCCACATCTTTTCCTGGCTGATCATGGCACCACCGCCCTTCATCCACTGTCTCAAGCAGAGCAACCCCATGGCTCTAGCAATATTTGCTCATTGGGCTGCCATGTTCCGATGCATGGACCATCACTGGTGGGCAAATGGCTGGGGCTACAGCTTGGTCGTGGATGTGTCGAGCCTGCTGGATATTGTGTGGGCAAGATACTTGGATTGGCCAAGAAGACAAGTCGGTCTCGTGTTTCAAGGCGGTGGAGCTTTCGATGCCCGCCGGATGACCTGACAACTGCCTTGCATGCGCTGATTATATAGCTCGCTCGAACGATTCACCAGCTACTAATTTCTAATCCCCATGCTCGAAGAGCGAATGTGGTTGAACTTGAAGGGGGGACAGTCCGAAATTCGCCCTCTTAGCGATGGCTTACGAGTCGATTGCTCTTGCTGCGAAACCGAGACATGGAGAATTGCACGCAGAAGGAGCACCCTACGCCATGGCTCTTTTCCGTCATGAAGGCCATGTCTCCGCTAGGTAGCTCTCGTCTACCTGAACCTTTCAGCTGCCCATTTTTATCCACGGTGCGATCCTATTATTACTGTCCGTTTGTTGACAATTTGACACAATGCCTGCCTCTTTTCGCCCTCATGCTTCGATCAGCAGCGCCCCGGACAGTCTGCGAAGCCAGCAATTCCTAATTCCTCCTATGTCCCACAAGAGTGCTGAAGACATTCCTTTCAAACCGGATACATCAGATAATAGCAGCTTGACTATGAAGAGGAGGCGGAATCATCGACATGGACGGCACGATAAATCCTGTCGGTATACAAATGCGGGTCACAAGAAGAAGGCCCGCGACTGCAGAAACCAAATATCTGGCATGCGACATCGCTCACATCGCCTGCGCAAAACCCTCTCTCTTCCATCAGTCCAACCCCGATTTGACCTTGGAACGGTCGAGCTTCTTCAAAACCCCCAGCACAGAGCACGACGATGGACAGTTCCTTCGAAAGCCTTATCAACCCGAGGGCTCGCCACTCTTTTGCCAGTCGATGCCACCGCATCTACAGCTGATCCGTCCTCCGCACTAAGATTCGATCCAAACCCGAGTCCAGCAATGATAACACTTCGTCGCGCCACCACTACAAGGTCGCGGAAACACATGTCGCTCACATCATTCCCGCCACCCAATTTCAGGCGGCAGGGTAGCGGGCTACTCTCGACATTTTTGAATACGCTTACTGGATACGACGAAGCCGTCAGCCATGCCGATACAGAGAGAGATCGGACGGGACAAGTCACGCAGAAGCCTCGAACAGCATCCACAGTAAGCAAAGAAGATATTCGCCCTTCGACCAGCACCACTGCTCCACCTGTTCAAACCGAAGTCGTCACGGTAGAACCACGGCTATCGTATTCCGGACCAAATCAGGCGGCCGAGCCCATCCGCCGCTGCTCGACCCGCTACGTTTCGAACAATGTGGTGTATGAGATTATTTGGGATGAGAATTGTTCTTCGAGCAGCTCTGATGGAGAGTTTTCTAATTCCCATGGGCAAGCATCACTCTTACAGAGTCGCGATCTCATTGGGGAAGAGACCTTGGAACGACGGCTGTCGAAGGCTCTTTCCCAGTCAAGACGGGATTCTCTGCAGCAAGACTGGAGGAACAAGGCAAGCAATGTGCCTAGTAGGACGTTGTCTATGCAAAGCGTGTGGACCAACCCCAAAATTCCTCGGCTTTTTCGCGAACCAGCTTCTGCGAGTCTACCTCATTCCAAGTCTTCTAAGTCTGGCAAGATGTTTCCCCCTTCGTCAACAGACATGGACATAGACGTCGACCTGACGCGAGGAGCCTTTGTACGAGCATCCACTCACGGTGTCGAGTTCTTCCCTCCACTTCGAAGTCGGGCTAACACAAACGGAAGCGGGAATTTGAAGTCTCCGTGGACCACGGGGTTTGAGGAAATTTGGGGAGCGGTTGAGCGACTAGATCCGACTCCATATAATCCGCTTGAAGAAGGCTCGGAAACAGAGGTAGAATGGAGTCGTTGTGGGAGTATGATTAGGATCAGTTCGCACACCAAGCGAAGGAGTGCGTCTGCTGAAGGTCATCTGCAGAGACACTGGGCGAGGAGTCTCAAGTCTCGTAACAGAAGAGCGAGTGAAAGCAAATATTCGGACGACGAGAGGCTTCCTCTACTGCAGACGACTTGACACGATACATGGACGAGTTGCTAGCGGAAACAGGCCAGAAGGGATTGATCTCAGCGGCGCAGTCTCAGAACAGACCTATGAGTACGGAATAACACCATATTGTCTCTACCTAGTTGTACAAGCAGAGCGAAGGTTGCCGGGCACGACAGCCGTTGTTACCATAGCGGAAGGTGTTGGGTGTATCACTGTTCGGGTTCCATCCCTACCCTACCCCAGAATTCAACACTGCTCCCCCCTCCCTTCGACCCGCATTCGGATCACACTCGACGTGGTGACCCGAGGCCCGAAGCGAGATGGGACAAGGAGGTCAGCACATGTTGATAGAGTTTGTTCGCGCCCACAGGCCAACTAGATTGCAGAACGGTATCGTGCCCAACGACGTGAAAGGTCCCTGGTAGGCCCCCTCGACAAGCAAGATCGAACAGAAAGAGAAGGTAATAACTTGATAAGCACGGTTTGGGAGCCGCTGTCGAGCGGAAACCTCGCCTTGGACCACCTCCCACATGGCTATCTCCCAGTATCTCAAGCCCAGTTGGATTACCCCCTCTAAGGAATCAAGGTAAGACATTCTAACCGTCGTCGTGGTACCCACCGTCGCAACGGAATAGCACCTCTCTGGTGCACAAGAGCGGAGCTGTTGACAAAAAACAACGGGCAAATACTTGTGTGTCAGAGAATTGCCAGAAGGAAAGCATCCCATTCCGAGCCCTAACCCGCCGCAAGCTTTACCCGAAGTTGAGATTGTGCTTTTTCTCATCGGCCAACAAGCCAGCCGCAGCCGGCCCTCTGCCATTTGGGTTCCGATAGACTGGAGCCTTTCGAACGAACCGAGCCCGATGTGGAATCTGAATACGAAACAATTGCTGCGAGCAACTCTCCGATGGAAGGTACCGGGGAGAGGGCCACGAGGGCTAGACTTGGACCAGTCGGATGGGACTGCGGTTGCGCAAACGGAGGTGGGATCAGAGGAATAAGGAATCATGGCCGTGGTGCCTGGGGGGGGGGGGTGATGACTTGGGTGCGCTCGCGCACAAACGAGTTGCTCGTGATGAAGGCGTTTGGTCGGTCGGCAAAGTGCGGCGTCGCAAAGTGCGGGCTGAGCAGGAACGAGATGGAAAGGCCCCCTTGGCGACTAGCGACACCAACGAGACAAGACTCAGCGAACTAGGATCTCCCCGTTGCTAATTGGGCTGCGTCGCAAGCGATCATCAACACCATCGTCCGTACGAGGGTACAAGGTACTGAGGAAACCACCCAAGCACCACCTCTGGCCTGAGTGCCTTTCCCTTGAGCGTCTATGATCAGTCAGCCGCAATAATTGCGCTCACAATCGACACACGCAGTTACCCAGCTAGGCAGGTATTTGCTCCTCCACTCGCCTGGTTTCTTTCCGGGACCCGAACATTATCTGCGCAGTTCATGTACAAGTGCTGTATCTCCGGGGTATAAGGACCTAGGCCCCTACGGAACCTGCAGTTATGTGCAATCAATTGTGGTTCCTGGCGCGAACAATAATCCCGAGCACGCCCCGAGAAAGTCACATCCAGTGGCTGGGTGGCTACGAATCCCAGTGGTTAAGGTAGCAAAGGCCTCGGGGGGCCCTGGCGTCGCCTCCTGGGCGTGTGGGCATGTGGGCGTGCTGGGTATGCCTCCCGAGCCTACGAATTCCTTATCCCGTCATCTAACGTTAAACCCCGGCTACCAAGTAGCCTTGGAGTGCCTGGACTGGCTGTGTTGGCAGCCTCTCAACCTCTAGTGGCCCCAGGGTCTGCCGATAGGCTCCCTCACTCATCAGTCCGGCTGCTGAGTTGCTGCCACCCACCACTACTGCTGAGTGCTGCTGCTGCCTTTCCCCATCTTCCCAGTCAATCATCTCCAAACCCTGTCTGAACCACACACCCTTTCTCTCCCTCACTCTTTCACTCTAGTTCTCCCATCCTCCCCGTCTGAACGAGACCCTTCCTCCTCTTTATACAACAATTGCCATTTACAAATTTCCCACCGCAATCCGATATAGGTATATGCGCTAACGCCCAATCGGCATTTCGCCGCCTGTTCGAGTCCGCCGTGACCCTCCGTCCTTCTCACCCCGTCGAGTCTCCGAGGCATTATTTGGTCCTGCCTTCGTCGACCTCGTCCCTCACCTACCTACGTCGTCGAGGATATCTTTATTAGAGAAAGAGTTGTATCTTCTTGGGCCCGCCCTCCATCAGAGGTTGCTTGGGCTCTAGGCATTAGACATTGGCCTGTCAAGATGATCTGGTCATGACATCTATCTCTCCGGCCGAACCGCGGCCTCCCTCACTGCGACGTCCAACTGATTCGAAGCGACCCGCGCTTGGGAGAGCATCCAGTCATGTCTTTTCGCCCATCGACAGAAAGCCGCCGGCATTGCAAAGAGAGACTGTAGAGACTGGAGAGGACAGGCCAACGAAAAGGCGGAAGATCGAAGCCGAGCCTAACTCGAATCAAGTTGCCAATAACCACAATATATCGCTTCCTGCCAAAGCTCCCGATTCACATGTCGACACCAAGGCCGTGTACTGGCGATGGGCCAAGCCGTCGGCAATTCGAGCAGCTGGCGCCGGGTCAAAGAAGAAGCAAGAGGAGGAAAATTCGAGTGAAGACGATGCACCCGAACTCCCACCTCGGCCGTGGACAACCACTAGAGCCGCAAAAGTTGCAGATAAACCCACGCCGACACATCGATCACGAGTGGACATCCCTGTACCCAATACTCCCGACTCGATACAAGTTCCATCCTCAGCACCTCAATTCGTTCCCAGGAGACCGGTCGGATTCTTCCCCTGGACCGGGAAGCATCCTGAAGACATCTTAAATGACAACAATGTGAAGAATGGCTATTTTGATAAACCTCCAAATCCTACTGAAAAGGAACTCAATACCGCGCGGGTCCCGCTTTACAATGCATTCAAACACAAATCGGGCGTGGACAGCTTGTCTACTCTCTTTTCTCTTGTCTTGAACCAGAAGAGCAAGCATGGCTTGATCAGCTCCGTCTCCACATTCAAGCCACCTCCCCGCGTTACCTTGACCGAAGCGAAACGGAAGTCGTGGATAGCGGATCTGGCCAATGCAGATGTACCCTTGAGGCGACTGAGCAGGACCATCCCTCAGGGCATCAAGGGTCAGACACTTTTAGAACAATGCTTGCAAAGCTCGGTTCCTTTGAGTCGTGCGATATGGTTCGCCAAGTGCGTTTGTGCCAACGAGATTCGCACCTTGAAAAGGAAAGGGACTGCTCCCGCAGTGGCCGTGGGCGCTGAAAATAAATGGCTTCGCGAATGGACGCTCAACGTCGAACAATTTTTGGAAACATATCTGGAACACGCAAATCCACCTGATTGGAAATCAAACATTCAATACGCATTGCGACTTATTACCCGCCTCTACTTAGAGAACCTCCTGGATCGGGGCCACTACTTGGATTGGATTTTGCGCTCTTTCACTGTCGCGGACGTCGGCCACACTCCTTTGTGGCTAATGGTAATCCACATATACAAGCAAGATTTGAGCCACTACCGACGAAGAGGTGCGAGACTCGCCAAAGCACTGATTGACAAGTACCGCTCAATAGACAAGCTCCCCGACCAAACGATAACTCCGTTGAGACAGAGGCTGCGTGCCGCAATCCGGGAATTATTGTTCGCACGCCCCGCCATTTTCCTGATGCCAGACAGGTGGCCCGAGAGCGTGCATGTTGTGCGAACCTGCCTTGACACGACCATTGGACCTGAAGGCCAGATTTTGGAGGAACTGAACCGCATCAACGAGAGAGCCATGGGTTTTAACAAGGCGGAATTCTTGTCTGTCCGCGCACCTGACGAGGCTATTATCGAAACTCTCGATGCGGCCAGGGTCCCATACAATTTCGCTCTGCTGGAAGAAGAACTCGCCGGAACCTGTTCAGACTTCGATCTCCTACTGCGATCGTGTCTTGAATGGTCATGTACACGATTTCGACAATCCAATACTCGATTATATCTGGTCACCCGTTTGGTCAATCGCTGGCGACGAGGCGGTCGTGATATTGACACCCCTATACTCAACTTTCTTTCTGCTTTCCGGGCTGGCAAGACTACCGCTGATACCCAGGCCTTAAGGCACCTGATTGCACAGTTCTCCAGATCTGATTGCTTTCCGGTAAGCAAATACCTGCAATGGCTCATGGTGAGAGGTCTTCCAGAGAAGGGAACTGTACGCATCGACACAGGTCCTATCTTCGGGCGAACAGCGGGAGTTGAACCCCCGAGGCAGCCCGAGTCTGTTCAATTTCTACTCGATCTGTCGTTGCATCGAGCAGAAGATCACGTCATCAACTTGCGGAATTCGGTTCTCGAACGTGCGGGTTTCGATCCCAATTCGGAAGAGGCCATTTTTGAACAGTGTGTTCGTTTCCTTGAGCAAAAATTGGCGGACTCCAGTTTTATCACCAAGCCTGAGCCACCAACTCTAGCCGAGCCTTCTTTTGCATCATTGCCATGGACGCTTCGAACTAGAATATCTATGTGGCTACGATCAAGAGCTCTCGAAGCCGCCAAATTGGCACAAAGCACTCCTATGCTACCTGGGTCCAAGATTTTGAATGAAGAACAGTTTTTTGTGATCCGTCACGTTCTGGAGTGCATGGAAGATGCGGCTGTTCTTGCGGATGTGGTCGGCATTCTTTCAGTATCACAAAGAGATGATCTCGTGGCATCTCTCGTCGCCACCACTCATTTCCACGCTACTTCCTTTTCTGCGATTGGGGCCCTCGAAGTCCTGCAAAAGAGGATGTGTCAGGTATACATGAATTGGCGACCCACTAAGCCGACGATGCCGCTACTTACTTCGACTCTGCTTGACCTGTGTACTGCTTTTCCTGTCAAGGCACCGGCAATCAGGTTATTGCAACAAGACCTCGTTCGAGGAGATCGCGGGCGTGCAGTTGCAGCTTGCTCACCGTATAGTGACGGCATCGCCGAGTCACTGCAACAGGCGGGTGCTACATTCGTGGAAGATTTTGAAGCCATCCTGCAGTCGGAAACCAACATGAATGAGCAAACCATGAACGGACTCTTCTCGGTTTTGGTGGATCGCATCGAAAAACAACAGAAATTCGGAGACGACGCGCACACATTACACTCATTCTGCCAACTTCTCAGCCGGCTCCGATTGTGCCGCAAGACCCAAGGAGATGCGCTCATTCAGAAATGGATGTTGCAGCTCACCCCCCGCCTCGACTTGAAATCGGGGCCTTTACTTCTCCGAATACTCATTGCGACGGGATGCATAACCTTTGCCACTATTTTCGAAGCCACGATTGGCTCCAAGTCAGGACCTCGGAAGAATTTAGCGGTCTCTTCCTTGCTGTATCAAATTCTGGCCCCTGCCAATTCCACATCTCTTGATTGGGCTACCTACCAGACTCGGACCAGGTGGTACGAATACTCGCAGAGGGAACCGTCGACTGCCTTGGAAATCCTCTGCCAAGCTGGACTGCAAGGCGTTTCGCCACCTTTCGACTCGCTCCTTCTGGTTGTGCTTGTCAACAATTGGACGTTAGACTCATCCTCCTTGCCCGACTCTGCCAAAAAATGGCTCGTCAAGTCGCTCAGCTTGCCGTTGAAATGTTCTGATGGTGATCTAAATGTGGCCGGTCTGCAAGATTTACTAGAATCCATCAACGTCTTTTCGCACCGATTTGTCCAGTTACGATTTCGACTCATGTCACCGGCTTCTGTCGAAAAAGCATCAGGGCCGGATCAACCTGACTTGATCGAGGTACTCTCCCAGTCACTGAAACAGGCGCTACAGAAACAGTCTTCTACGCACGGGCAGGAGCAGCGCTTCTCACGGCTGTTTCAGATCGTTGGCCCTAATGTTGCCAGTCAGGTCCGCCACAACGTCGAGAACGAGTTCCTGGATGCGTTGCCGAAACTGCCGCTTGGTAAAGTGACTAGTCCACCCTCGGCGGTGTTCCCGAGCGATGTGCAGCAGCTGTCATTGATTACCGAGCAGGCGTTCCAGGTGTGCCGGCAAGATATCAGTCCTAGCCCTGGTTTCATGTCGCACCTAATTGACAGACTATCACAGCATCTCAAGTACTTGGGTAGCGTTCAGATGACTCCGGGTACTCCTGCGCCTTCGGTCACGACAGCCCCTCCAACCGTCTCTGCATCCAGTGGGTCTTCGACCAACATGAACCACTCTCAGATGATGTCCATTACATCCAGCCCGAATCCCAGCACCTTGGACATGGGAGGTGGCTCTTGCCCACCAGTAGGCTTGAGCTACTTGAGATATATGTTGCAAATGGTGTGTTTGCAACGCCCGACACTGATCTCGTCCGGCTCCGGTGGGCCCAATGCCAAACAGGCTCAGAATGAACAATTTCAACTGCTTGTACGGCTGGCATCCATCGCCACGCATCCAGCAATGGCTCTGGCATCAGGACATCACGGCAATCAAGAAGAGCAGATCAAAGCAAAAGAGGTGGTCGAATTCGCATGCGACGTAATAGCAACCATCATCGATAGTGTTAACGACGAAGTCAAAATGATGTGCGCAAAGGTGTTGAAAGACAAGTTGCAGGATCCGCGGCTCGCCTACTTATTTGGCAGCATCAATATGATGGGATCATTGCAGGTGCAAGACATGGGCCGAGGATTGCAGATGGTCAAAGAAGGCAAGGGAATCATCGGAGAGTGGAAGCCGCGAATGTGGGAAGTTTTGGATAATGGGAGCGGTAAAGAGAGCGAAACGTCTCTCGGATTGGGCCTCTTTCGAGCCAGATATGGATAGAGAACGAGATGAGGGAACGTGATGGTTCGAGATGCTAGCAGGCCCAAGAGCTTGTTGGCAAGCCGATGTGCATTGATGACTGCGTCTTGTGAGGAGTCTATGATATTGGGAGATATTTTCTGTTTCATCTACGGCCATTTTACGAAGTCACGAGGAGATGGGTTTGATTATTTGTGAAGATCAGTGTGGATTTGACTGGATGGATTGGGCTCTCCTTTTTTTTGTTAGACTTGTCGGAGCCCCAGCATTGCCGGCAGGACCATGGGCGATTTTCAAGGACCGATTGTCATTTCCATCCCTATCGGGCTTCGATACCTCGGTGACGGGTATTGTGTATGTAAAAGGAGGAGACCTCGATGTCGCACCGCATGTTGTACAGCCAGACTTAGAGTTGATGAGAAGGGCTCTCCGGCCTATGCTCTAGAAGCAAATTCTATGCCTTCACCGCAACTCGAGTCATCTGATGTGAGTTGCTGGAGGATTGAAGAGATGCCGTGGGGTTCACGTCCCAAAGAAGAAGTGGTATGCACAAAGGTGTTGATGAAGGCGAGAGATTCGCGCAGTGGGTGCGGTCAGCAGGTCAAGTCGAGGGCCATCAGCACTGTCAGTCACATCTTCTTAAGCATATCAGTAAAACGACCAAGCCCAGCAGCTGATAGATGAGTGGAAAGGTCGAGGACACTAACGCAGCCGTAAGGGGCACATGCTCGACCCTGCGCTCTGGGCACATGCATTCGTGCAGGGCATCCTGAGGCATTGTGGGCATCCCGCGCAGCCAGCCATGCAATGTGACGTGATGGCCTGGAGAGACAAGAAACATCGCGTGGACGACTCAGCGGGAGCGCGGCCTGGTGAAACCATTCTAATTGCTGGCTTGTTGGATTGCGGGAAGAAGATCCTATGGGTCTCGCAAGGTCCCAAGGTCCCAAGATCCCAAGATGCCGGCAGGATGGACGCAATGGTTGGTTGTTCTTGTTCCTTCCCTCGCAATATCGCGGAGTTATGTGGCTTCCCTGCTTTGGGGCTGGTGACATTTCTTCATCCCATTATCCCTGTCATCCGTCTGCGCGCCAAACGACCCTCGTATATCCTTCCTCGCCCTCCTCTGGTATCACGTTGTCATGGTTATTTTTACACCTCACTCCTCTGTGCTCAGTTCATTTCTATAGCCCTCGTGGCCTTTTGCAATACGCTGGATTGTGCTGTTTTTGTGGCGGATCAGGTGGTGGTGATTCTCTCTCGATATCGCCGCGCCTGTGATCGACCCGTGGCTTATTCAAGTCTTGGATGCTCGGCTCAAATGGAAGCGTCTTGAACTCCATTGGCACTTCGAGGCCTTTGTAGCCCTCCTTCCCACTACTCCAGATGCCTCCAGATGCCCCTCCCGAGCGTGGTCGGTCGACCGTCCGCCGGGATGAGAGCATTGCCCAACAGACCGCGACCGGCTCCTCCGACGATCGTTCTGCGAGAAGACGCTCCACCAGACGCCGGTCGTCTTCGAGTCCTTCGTCGAACAACGAAAAGGCAAGACCAAAGATAGAAAAATGGACATTGGGCATATTGAACGACAAGGAGACCGAGGAGGTCCCCGGAACAGTCCTACTGCTGTCCTCCAACCGCAATGAACCTCTGGGTCTCGAATATCAGCCTGGCCGGCGGAGCAGTTCCTCCATGCCGGCCCAGCCCATATCACCTAGGCGTCTGTCGGTGGCATCCAAAAAGAGAACAAAGGACGGCCAAGTCATCCTGGATCCGCAGCCAGACGACTCGCTGAATGATCCTCTCAACTGGCCCGCATGGAGACGCGACATTGCACTCCTTTCTCTGGGGTTCTACTGCATGTTGGGCGGCGGTATGACACCCATTCTAGCCGCTGGGTTCAACAATGTTGCCCAGTCGTTTGACGTCACTTATTCCAGGGTCGCCCTGACCACGGGTTTGTATATGATGGGTATGGGAGTCGGTAGTGTTGTCTTCTCCCCTACAGCTATTCTCTTCGGGAAACGACCCGTCTATCTAGCTTCAGCAGTAATGTTCATCCTAACTTCTACCTGGTGCGCTCTGGCACCCAGCTACGCCCAGTTGGCAACCGCAAGGGTTTTTCAGGGAATATCTGTAAGCCCTGTGGAATGCTTACCATCTGCCACCATTGCAGAAATCTTCTTTCTACACGAGAGAGCGTTTCGTGTGGGGATATACACCCTTCTGCTTCTTGGTGGCAAGAACTTGGTACCCCTGGTGAGCGCCGTCATCATCAATGCAAAAGGATGGAGATGGGTATTTTGGTGAGTTTTCCGCCCCAGGCAGGGCGTTGATCCTGCTAACGTGGGCAGGGTTGTCACGATTGCAGCTGGCTTCGGCCTACTCATCCTTTTCCTTTTCGTTCCCGAGACTTTTTGGGATCGGACTCCGAGACCAAAATCAAGGAGACCAACCGTTCATCGAAGCTGGTCCAACATTCTACATCCTTTGCATCAGAACAAAGACAATGCAGCCGGGCATCTGCCACTTAACAGCATCACGCTCCAAGCGGCTATCGAGAAAGCCATGACCCCGAGACAACACCGGCTGCACGAGCAAAATGCACACGCCAGATTTGAGGACGAGATTGAAGACGACAAACTTGAGCAGCATGAAGTGGAGGTGAAAGACTATTCGGAAACAAAATCTTCTCCCAAACATCGTCACAGTGATCCCGACGGGGAGCCTCTCAAAGACCCGGCATCCGCAACAGACGGTGCAGACGACGTGAAAGACACAGAAGATGTCAATCAAGCAGATGCTGCAGAAACAGGACCGATCCCACAGCCAGAACCCGTTGTCCTTCCTCGAAAGAAGCTCAAGCCCACGGGGTTGTCTTTGCCGCCTTCGCCAGATCCTCGCTCCTTCAGTAGACCCTGGGACGGGACTCACAGTGGTAGGCCGCTGACTTTACCCCCGGGCTCGAAGCCCCCCTCAAGCTCTAGAAGCGGCGAGGAAAGATTTTCTGAGAATGATCCCGCCGTCCCACATTTGCATAACCTCAATTCCCCATACTACATCGAGCTCGAAAGGACTGACGACTATATTGGGCACCATGCAGTTCCTGAAATACGAAGCGATGAATCAAGGGACCCAAACCCAGACGTGGCGAGATCCGACACCGTCGTCACACTACCTGGCACTCCCATCAGTTTGGAAAAGTCGGCATCCAGGAGCATCAACGAAGGCATGGCCTCCCCCAAGGTGTTGCGCTACACCACCAATCTCAAGCATTCGCCACCAAAATCTTATGTTGAGACCCTTCGACCGTGGAACGGGAGGCTGTCCAAGGCCAATTGGTTTCTCGTTGCTCTTCGGCCTTTCGTGCTGTTTGCTTATCCAAGCGTCCTTTGGTCGACGCTGGTATACTCTTTGTCGATTGGCTGGCTGATTGTGTTGTCGGAGGCGATATCTAACGTCTACCGCAACCGAGATACGTACAACTTTACCGCTCTCCAAGCTGGGTTGGTTTATCTTTCGCCATTTGTTGGCGGCATTCTGGGCACCGCAGTCGCTGGGCGGGTGTCCGACGTCATTGTTCGTTTCATGGCTCGCAAGAACGGCGGCGTATACGAACCCGAATTTCGGCTCGTTATGGCTATTCCGGTCGCCCTCAGCACCGCTGTCGGTCTGATGGGCTTCGGGTGGTCTGTGCAAGAACGAGACGCATGGATTGTCCCGACCATCTTCTTCGGCGTCATTTCCTTCGGCTGCTCCCTAGGAAGTACCACGTCCATCACCTTTTGTGTTGATAGCTACAGGCAATATGCTGGCGAAGCGCTAGTGACATTGAATTTCAGCAAGAACATCTTTCACGGGCTCGTGTTTAGCCTGTTCTTTGCCAACTGGCTGGAAGATGACGGGCCCAAGACCACCTTCTTAGCCATTGGAGCTATTCAGATCGCTTGTATGCTCACGGCCATCCCAATGTACATTTATGGGAAGAGGGCCAGGATGTGGACTGTCAGAAGAGGGTTCATGGAAAACTTTTGAGGGGACAGACTGCGTGCTTGAGGTGACGTTGAAGCTGGGCTTATTGGCAGAGTGGCTTGACAGCCGTGGAAGATACAGTGGTTTTGCGGCGTGAACTGGAGCATTCCCTGTGGTTTGACGAAGACGGTGCGGGTGTTTTGCATTTGATTGACGTGGATGATCACGTCTCTGGCGTTTCAGCATAGCGATGGCGTTGGTTTACTTTTCTGTTCGAGACGAACCATGACGACCGCGCCATGATCAGGGGATCCAGTCCTTTTGGCGGTGTATGAGCATCAGTTGACCGGCATGACTACAACGAATGAAGATCCCGGGAAAATCAGACGATTAGATGGGGTTTGGCTTTGGGAGCGAGTTGCATCACTTGGCATGGCATGGCATGGTATGGGATAGCATAACATGGCGTGAGGAGGCGCTTGACCGCCATTCTTCGTGGCCAACCTAAAGAACCCCGGACCTGAAGTATAATAGAGACACGGTATCTAAGAAAGAACACGAGAACCTACCTAGATAGGCAACTAATTACAGTTCTGCAGGTGGAGTTGGAACAGGGGTTTCTTCAGGGGGACATGTACAATCATAATATACCTTTTGTTCTCACGACGATGGTGCTGTGGTGAGATGGTGATACGGTGCTGGTACTCTATGGAGCCCTCGTCAAAGTCGAAGCTGAGGATTAGAGCAGGGTTGATTTTCCATGATCTTCCGTAGATACGTCCATTTTCATGTCTTCCCCTTTTCTTCCCCCCCCCCCTCCATATTATATGTCCTACAGGGGGGCTCTACTTGTCGTTGTATCTTGATCGCCGAGACGTTCCGGATCGCTTATAGGGACGACTTATATCCCCGACCGCGGCCGTCGCGCGGACAAGAATGGGGTTTGTCTTTGTGCTTTTGGGGACATGCTCTCGCAAGATGTGCCGGGGTGTTGGTGCATTCTTCATGGCCTTTGTCTTTTGCGGATAGCAATGCGTGGTTCACTCAAGTGCTCCGGCCATGCCACGAAGCGCAGCTCCTCTTCTCTGGGTCGAAGGGTTCAATGACACACGGGCGTCAGGTTCGTGGCCGGTGTCGAGACGGAGAGAGCGCCCGTCGAATATCGGCTCCGTCGGTTTCATCACCCTTCCACAGATATCACGAACGAAATCCACTCACAGAGGACAACGCGGGATGGCGCGCGCTCGACGGTCCACAAGCCCGTCGTATCTGGAGTGTTATCTCGTCCTCGGACCAAGGGCACGCTTACCTAGCCTTGTTGCGGTGAGGGAAACTTGCTGGAGGCTCGGAATAGAACATGGGCGTAAAAGAGTCTGATGGACCACGAAAACCGGCCTGGCCCCCCTCGTCAACAGCGCCACCTGAAGCGGTCACCTAGGCCTGTCGTTGCAACCTCAAGGCATCTTCCTGAATCGTCACCCAGTATAGATAGAGACGGCGGTGCTTCGCTTGAGCGACCTCGTGCCCAATGATCGTAGGAGTGTTCTGCCAAAGTTTGTCATCTGCTATGTCGAGAGGTGGCCCTCCGCGAACCACCAGCATGCTCCGGGTGATACAAGGGAGTCGTCAGGGCCCGGGCCGCACTCCATTTGTTCTTCCAATACCTGGATGCAGTATAGACGATAGAGGTTGTTCAGCCAGAAGATTGATGCATTGTTTGCCCTTCCCCTTCGCGGTAGAGTCGGAGGAGCGAGGGCGAACGGGTCCCAAAGCTCTTGGCTCCAAAAATAGTCGATAGACCTGTCGAGATTTCAGAAAAGGCATAGCTCGAAGGGGACGCAAAGGGAAGAAACGGGACTTGATGGCTGCAAGCGACACCCCAAAGCCTCTGGAGAATACCGTCTTTCCCCAAACTTCAGAGTCTCTCTCGATCAAAAATCATTTGCCACCGTGCACACTTCGAGTCTCCCTTGCGACGGCCGAACTCCGCTAGCAGTGAAAGAACATGGGCGTTCGGCAGGGCCGAAGTGCCTCTATACATACAGAGGAGATGAGTACAGGCAACAGCATTTTCGGCGTCTGGAGTCTCAGCAAGATATCCGCTGTTGGAGGGCATCGAGCATCGGAGGTTGGCGAGGGTCGCACCATGTCGCAGTATTTTTGGAAATGGTTCAAGGGTGGTGGAGTCAGGCGTTCCCAGATTGATGGAAGTGCCTCGCTTAACTATCTATCTGAATGGATAGAGGGTATCGTCCAGGGTCTGTAAGTCGCCACCGTCGTCTGTCGGGGGGGAGTTAGTCAGAGTGATACGGGGGAAGAGGGTTTAGAGGTGGACAAGAAAGTTGTGGTGATGCTCGATCATCCTCGCTCATCCGCCATTGGGATTCCGTGGGGTACGACGAGATGCCTATCCTGGCAGCTAATCCCAGAGAGGTGGGTTTCGCGAAAGGGTGATCTCTCTCCCTCGTTTCCCCAATCCTAGGTAGTGGTAGACTTTTGGAGACGCGCGATTTTTGAGCCCGGGCAAGGCAGACAGTCAGTGGAGGGTGCGTAAACAAGTCGGGACGGTGACGGCACGTGGCTATCTCATATCGTCCCATGCAGGAAACATCCGGATTCATGATGCCGGGCCTCGTGTGTCCCCTGTCGTGCATGCAGAGGGAGTTTCCCGTCTGCAGTGTGGCTGCTGGTTACCCACTGGTGCTACCGCTGCAGGTGATGTCGACACCCTAACTGGAATAGGAGCAGAGACGGCCCTGAGTCCTGACTAAACAAGGGGGAGACCTGTAGGCGAACCAGGCAGACACTCGATGCGCAAGTCGATGAGCAATTCCATCTCGGTGTGCTCTTTGTAGGCTGCAAATCGACGTGACGCCAATTCCTTTTGCCTGGGCTGTTTAGGCCCCTCGACGCCGTCCTGTCCTGGGCGTCTGGGACCGTGCTGGAGCAAGCCAATCTGGGCAGTCTCAGCTCATCTAGGATATCGCACGCAGGGATTGCTCATAATTGTGGCTGTGGCACCTCGCTCGACGACAAATCAGCGAGCATTCTTTTCCGTGGGGGTCATCTGACTCAAGGCATCAAGGCTCAGGCTCTGTAGGCAGCGAAAATAAAATATTAAAAAAATCTCTCGCCATTGACGATGGGGTCTTCGCGAAACACCGGGCCCGCGGGTGTAATTGGAACCGTCCAGAGCGCGCGGGTTTGCTTTGTCAATCCCATATGGCCGGACAAGGCGACGCCGTTCAGGGGGCTAAACAGCCTTTCCCGACCAGCCTTTTCGGTTGTCATGTCGGAGCTCACCAATCCGCTTGCATGGAACTTGGACCAGGGAGCCACAGGGCTTTTCCCAGTGTGCCCCGGGAGGTTGGCCATGACGCAGGCCAGCGTCTGGTGGACTTGTGGTTATGAGTCGACGTGGTTGATTGAGCCATTGATTGTCCTGATTCTGTCCCATTAAGTTATTTGCCGGCCATTGCGATGTAACGCCAGTTCTTCGGCATGACCCAGAGCAAAGGACCCTGGGAGGAGGTTCAGAGATTGGAGTGATGCCGTCCATTGGCCCATGTAGAACTTGGTTGGTCCCAGAGTCCAACCCATATGTCCTCGAGCAACCGAGGCGTAACCCCATTGCGGTAGAGTGCCTCCAGGATGTTCTTGACTGTGCTGCAGATGGAGAGCTATAATTATGTGTCGGTTCCTCTGGGCTGGGCTTGGAACTTTGGCGAGGTGAAGCCCCCGGGCAAGAAAGAGGCATCTCATGAACGAAGGGACAGGTGTACTGATCAACCGCATCCTCTCCTGATACGCACTGAATACGAAGCTCGTACTTTTGCTGCATTGAACGAGGCTGTGCCCCTGGCAAGGAACCAAACACGTCGGGAGCTTGACTTACTGGTTCTCAGGCCTTGATACCACAGGAGGCGGGGGCTGTTGGACCTGCATGTCGTAAGGCATCACTGTTTTGTGTTGGCATATATCTTCCCTCGAGATACTGGACCAGAACTGCTCTGGCCATTTCCGAAGTCTCATTGAGACCTCTCCCAGCTTTCCTTGTGTAAGAGCATGGACGAAAGGTCATCGGCTACCCCTACATCATACCATCAGTCCACAATCCAAGAGCACGCACAAGAGTCACCATCGGATACACACCTCGAAGAACAACTGTCGATCGGCTTTGACCCAGAAGATTCTCGCGCAAGGAGCCCAGCATCCCCTCACGAGCCCACTCCGTACGGCTTCACCAGAGAAGACGAGGAGATAGATTCGGCGTCCAGTGCCTGGGTCGAAACCCAGTCATCAAGTAGTAGCCCCAAGGAGACCGACGATCAGCCATCCCGAGAAAAAGACAAAGGGAAAGAGCGAGAGATGAGTTACCCGGGAGACTATTATCATTCAACAACGACCTCCTCACCCCAGGACCGCCGGCCTGAGATATCGAGAACAAGCCCCAGCAGTTCTGCAAGCACACCCCGGCAAGGCTCCGAGGAGGCAAAGAGCGACGACAAAAAAGACGATCGAACAGGAGGTGGCAGCGGCAGTGGCAGCAGTGGCGGTGGCGGTAGCGGCAGCGCAAGTGCGAGTGGCAGTAGTCGCTCGAGACTGGTGGCAGGAGTCTTTGTGAGATATTGACAGGCATATATCGACACGGCGCACGGTCGAATGCGAGTCCAAGGCATGTTGGGAATGCTTCTTCTCGCCTCAGCACTCTCTCCTTCACCAGCATTGGGTTAGACACTCAGACACTACTCCTGTATTACTACGTCGACTCATTCTAATGACATGTCCAAGTTAGAAGACTTCTGGTCTTGGGATCGAGAGCGCGCAGGGCGTCTCTTTTCTATCTCTTTGTCTTGTCATCATTGACAGATTGTATAGCACTATCATACAGATGGTCCGAACCCCTCTAGCTTGCTGTATCTACCATGCCAGCCGAATCATAGCTCAGTCTGCACGCGCACATGCAACTTTGTGTGTTGTATTTCATTAAATGGAGCTCCAGTTTTGGTATCACTCATGTTGGTTGTTATCGTATCGTCCAGCCGCCAAAATCTCTTACCACATCACCTCGGTGGGGAAGAAGGGTTCGGCGTCTGTAGGTTTCTCTTCATTTCAGGCATTCCCGGCACTGGCATTCGAGGAATTTGCGACGTGGCATGAGCTCGCTGAGAGAAGGCGTTGCCGGGGACATATCGAGATGGGCTGGCAGACTCGGATACCTGGGACATCTGGGGTGAGGGTGGCTGGAATGGTTGCGCACCCGTTGCATTGTAGTTCAGTGGTGTTACAGTCGTCCAGCCCTGCGGCCCAGCCGAAGGGACTTGGTCTGGATGGGGTGTGTCTTCGAAATAGCTGACCCTAGCAGGCGCCGAGAGTGTCGCAGTCATGGGCTCTTCGGGTGATACATCGGGGATGGTGGGGATTGTTCGTGAGCCTCCTGCGTTCTCGGAACCTGGTACTGAGAGACCGCTGTGGCGAGCTGCTCGTCGCCGGCCCCGTGTGGACTCGCGTCTGAGAATGTCTCGTACTTCCTCCACATCATTCGAGCGTTGCTTGTCCATTCGGAGTTCTCGCTCATGGTCGACAACCTCTTCCGGGTCAACGGCCACCTTCCGCTTGACCAAATGATCAACTGCAGACGCTTCTTTAAGTTCCGTTCCAGTTGCCGAGCTGAGGTGGTCAGGTGACTTTGCTTTGGACAGGGCGAGGTGCGGCTTGTTCTGCTCCAGGAGGGGCACGAGTCTCTTCTTATCTAAATTCTCGTCAAACACCTCCTTGTTCTTCCTGGCGATCTCGTCGCTGATCGCGACAGAGTATGTTGGATTTGCCTTATCACCAGCAGGAGGACCGGCACCCCCTGGTCCATAAAGTGGAACTTTGCGCATGGCCAGGACGAGGGCGCACATAAACTTGTTTCTTCTCGCGGCTCGTACGGCCTCGTTTGCCCAGTTGGATTTGTGACGGATCTCGATTCTCAATTCCATCTTGTTCATCTCCGCCACGCCGGTAACCTCGATGTCGACATCCGGCTGGAAGTCGCGTGCGTTGTCTTTATCTCGGACAAAGTTGGTCATTTCCTTCTTGAGCAAATCGATATCTTCAAACGTAGTGTCGAAGCTGACATAGAGCTGGATTTGTTCGCGCATGGCTTTGCTGCGAGATACATTGTCGATCCATAGAGAGTTAAGGATAATGTTGGGAACTTGAGTCCGCTTGTGATCCTTCACACGCCGGAACACGGTATACAGAAGAGACATGCGTTCCACCACATATTGGACATCGGTAATGTCGACTCTATCACCCACGTCGAATGGATGCTTGACGAACAGGAAGATACAAGACCCAAGAACTTCTTGAGCAGTGGTTGCGAAAACAAAGGACATTGAAAGGAGCGCTGTGCCTGCAGTAGCGAGTGTGGTCGTAAAATTGTGATTGAGCCAGGCGACGAAGATGAATATGACACCAACAAAGACGACGGTGCACAGCAGGTTGTCGAGGACATTGATAGCTTGGTCGACATCGTGCATGCTGCTTGCGATCGATTGACGCTCTCGTCCGAACTCGGTGATTCGAAGAATCATTTCATCGAGCGAGATGTCTCCGTTGCAATCCACGTCCAGAATCTCAAAGGCTTCGTGAGCTTCTTGGTCTCGATCGTGTCCGAGGACGTCAATGATGTCTTCCAGGCTCAGAGCATCTTTCCCTTCCAGGACGAAAGACATCCAGAGCCGCCGTGCAAGGGCTTCGGCGGAGTGTTTCTTTTCCAGAGCGTGGACCACGATCGAGTGCGATGCCGTGGGATTGAAAACCTTTTTGCCCGTGATTTCTTGGGCCACATTCCCAAATGCTGCCGTGACCTTGTCCCCAACCCGTGCAACGTTCTGGATCAACTTCATTGGAGTCGCCGAGCCAGATCGTTTGTGGCCAGGCCTCAGGCTGTTCCGATTGCTGTGCCGCTCCCCAAAGTCCAAAACATCGTTGATGAGGTAATCCTCCTCGGCAAACTCCCGACAGTACTCCGGGAAGAGCTTTCGAGAAGCATCGTAGAGCAATCCAACTAGATGAATGTTTCGCTTCGAGTCTTTGATCTTTTCATCGAACTGCTTCCGGTGGTAGCTGATGGAGAGGAGCTGGATGAGCACCTTTTCGCCGAGCAAGAGCAACGTGGAGAAGACGCAGGCAAAGAGAATGTTCTTGACGATGGACTCCCACGACTTGAGGCCAGTTTCACCACGTGATCTCTGGTCAGGATTTAACGTCATGATGGGGACAAACGTTGCCAATGATGTGACGGCCCAGCCAACCAGCGAGAGAGGTATCTCGAGCGAACTGAGAACGAGGGCATATTTTCTGGTGCCAGGGCTGGCCACTCCGCAAATGAGCTGAAAGAGAAACGGTAAGAAATGAGCCACCACTTTCGAGGCCCACAGCGAGACCCAAACCACCTCGACCCAGGTGAAGAACCACACGATCTTGACGCCGCCAATGCGTGCTCTAGGAGCAACCGTGGCTCCAACAATGATGGGGACTGCGATTGCCAACGCAAGAGGTGCGACATAGATGAAATAGCGGGTCAGGACAGAGAAGTTGTAGACTCTCTTGTAGAATCTGCCCACGGCGTTCAATGTGCCGTCCTCCTTGTCCTGGTTCTGCCGTCCTCGATCTTGCAGCCTTCTTCTCCTGCCTGCTGGGCCTCTGTGGAAGTGGTGGTCCTGTTTCTCGTCCATCTTTTCGGAGAATTCGCCATTGTACTGGGAGCGGGAGGGAGAAAGGGCATCGGCCTTGCGGGCACCAGTGGCGCTGCCAGAGGTGCTGACCTTGGTCAAGGGGATATCAATCGTAACGTCGTTAGGGTTCGCCATGTCCCCGGATTGCTGATGGGTAAGAGGCTGAAATCCCTCTCTTGAAAATCTCTTGTAGTGGCCTTTCTGTGACATGCCGCCAAGCTATGCCACTCGAAGGCCCAAGTGGGAGTGAAAGAATGTGGGCAGTGCCGGCAGTATTCCCTCAGGTATTTTGTGACGCGGCAAAAGTGAATGAAGATCCGAAGAAGCAGGCTTGTCCGCGTACTCTACCTGAGAGGAACCGACGAGGCGTGCTAGAAATCGGAACCCGTTTCAAGACAAAGCGAAACGGGGTACAAGCGAGGGCGATCTGAGAAAAGGAGGAATGAGAAAAGGATGCGTTTGTACAAGATCGACAAGGGCGGATACAGGGACGACTAGCACCCTCAAATACAAGATAACAAGAGTCTGGAGAAGTCAAGCGAGTGCAGTAAATGACCAGGGACTGAAGCAATGGAAATATAGAAAGTGAAGGAAGCAAGAATCGAAGATCGAGGAGGAGTGCATTGGGATGTTTGTACTTGATCGATGTTACCTGCACCCTACCAGGTATTTCGATCATGGGTCCCCGGTGTCCACCAACATGCCACCAATGCGGGCGAAGAATATTTTTTTCTCTCGTTCGATTTGTGCTCCCTGTTGAATCGCATGACGAAAGCCCTTGTTTCGTAGACGCGCCCCCTGGTCGAGAACTGGGGAAAACGGGTGAGATCCCGAGATTTCGGTGGCCCTCATTTGACGGCCCTGAAGAGATTTTCTGGCCAGGAACATCGACGCCGCTGACCAGTCACTCGAGTCCCTCGGCGAAAAATGCAAGCCCCCTTCACGCCTCCTCAAGCCCCCCTCGTCAATGGCTCCTAGACCCCGTCCATCTCGCCGAATCCCGTCGAACCTCCTCCGTCAAAAGCCCGCTTGCAACCGAACGCTGGGCCCAAAAAGAGCATGGAAGACGGTTGTGGCTTGCGCCATGGCTGATTTGGCTTGAGTCTGATACAAGCTCTGAAACAGCTCCATGCAGCGTTTATCCACTGTGGTTCCCAACGCATCCAGAGCCAGAAATACCTGGAATTTTCCAGCTGGCTCACTGCAACGATGTTGTATCTACCAAAGTACCTGCGCGATATGTGGAGCGTACGCCTTTCGAGGTCTCACAAAGCCACAAGGCAGTGCAAGACGTGTTCAGAAGAGGCCCAGAGCATCAATGCATGTGTTCGACGGTGGCTGATAAGCGAGGTATGAGGCTCATCCTGGTGTTATTGGGTGTTGCGAGATTACATGTCTGATGGCCCTGTTGATCACTTCAAGGTTGGCAATTCATTGTTCCTACGGAGTACTTCCTACACGGTGCACGATCATCAGCATTCGCCTTGTCATTCTCCTAATTTCTCAATGTCTGCTCCTTTGTGAATCTCCTGAGTGCCAAGGTCATGTCTCGCCTTGTTTGTTTTGAGCTGGGGCTCCCACCGGGCGGAATGTGTGGATGTACACAATGAAGCGCTACCATGTCTTCAACTATCACAACGCGGTACCCGTGCAGGTTGCAGCCAGCTGTTACTGCCTCGTCAATGGAGCTTTGTTATACCAAGCAACCCACCTTTGTTGTAGCAATCATGTCTCCTCCTTTGTTCTGTCGCTTGTCTGCTGCCCTTGCTCCTTGGTTCTGTTCTTTGACAGTTGGAAGTTACTTGGGTACTCCTTTCATGTGGATGGTCGAAGGATCTTCAGGCTATAAATGCTCCATACCCCCTACTGTCATGGCTGAAGGGCATCAAACAACCAAAGCAAGCAAGGAAAGCAAGGTAAGTACACGCCAACACAAAACAGCGCAATCAGCAACAATTTCCTTCGAAAACTTGCCGGGTTTTTACCTTCTCATCTACCATAATGCCTTACCAAGCAGCGGGACCGGCCAGGCAGCCTCAGGTCAGAAAGGTTGTGGATGCAAACGGAAAAAAATGGTTGGTCAGGGAAAAGGCCAGCTCAACCCCAAGACGACCGGCTCCAGGGCATGGTCCGCAACAGCCACCCCCCGCTTATCAACAGGACAGAACTGCCAGGTATGAGGAACGCGCTTCGCGACGCGAATCGGGGAGTCGTCAAGGTGAGAGAGCCGGGTCGGCTTATGGAGAACGACCTTCAAGACGAGGCTCCCAAGCACCTCAACAAGAGGGGCACCAGGTATCGCAACGCCGATCACACCACCAGGAGGGCTCTCGAAGAGTGGAAGGCTCTGGGAATTCTCGCCGCCCGTACTCAGAGGGAGGATACCACTCTCAGCGAGGCTACCAGGAAGATCCAGCCGTTGCTGCTGAGCGCGCCAAACGACAGGCCAAGAAGCAAAAGTACATAAAATGGCTGATGTTCTTCGTCTCGTGAGCGGGAGGGTGGTCGTTGCGAAGGGGAACAAAGGTAAGTTTCGGACATTCCTCGAATGGAAAGGGACATACGGCGTCGGCGGCAAAGTTCATTGCTGGTCAATGAGTTGAATGGTTGAGTACTCGGGATATGTAATAGTACTCGCTGCCTGTGCACAAATCCAAACACTAGCTTCTCTTTTCCTTCCCAGTACTTCCTACGTATGACACTTGGGCACTTGCACTGGACTTGACGAGAACGAAGACTCCTCTTCGGCCCCTCTATGTCATTCCTACGTTCTCCGTACGGGGTATTAGGATTCGTCCTCGTGACATCTCCTCCAACCAATGCTGACGTTCCCTTTGTTTTTCCCTTCCAGAGCTTGTTTGTCCAAGATTCCGGGGCACTCTAAAAGAGCGACTGCAATGACGAATGCCTTTGTTTCTCTTACCCCATACGAACCCTCGGGACACCGACGTAGCATTCTTTCTTCCCTTCCAAACCCCCCTCTGTCTGGTCACAGGGCGGGAGCACAGAGGCACAGAGCCACTTGAAGGGGTGGAAGTGCTGGAGGATTCCGCTCGCTTAGAATCGGGAGGAGCAACAAGGGCGCAATGGACGGTTCAATGTTTCCTTGACTCATCTCATGCCCCCTTTTCCGCTCTTACACAGCATTGCTCTGTCCTTCACCTCGTGATCCCATGTAACACGCCTCACCGCAACAGTCCCTCCCGGTTCTCATATTTCTTTTTTTCTTCTCCCCTTATTCCAGTCATTCTTTTCACTTGCATTCTTAGGTGCATTGGGATCAAATCTTTCTGCGAGGAAAATACCACTCACGGCTTCAGGGGGGATTCAAAATCCAGTTCGGAACAGAAAGAGTTAAAAAAGACAAGAGAGTGTCTCGACGACCAGAAACTCGAAACCAGGCAAACATTCATTGTAATACCGGGATCCCTCAATCTAGGAATCAGCCATGTCATCCTCAACATCGGCTCAAGCCTACGTCCCCGTCGCCACCGATTCCCAAACCGACATGTCCAACTTCATCTCCATCATCACGGCGGCGTTTTCCAGCACAGCGCTCACGACGGCATTCATAGTCGACATCGACGGCACGCCCCCGCCTTACCCATCTCCGCTGATCGACGCGGCTCGACGAGAACGACATTTCTCCCGCGGGATCCTCGAGAGCGCGGCGTCGGGGGCCGAGCTGGTCCAGGCGGGAGACTGGTCCGCCATCGCGCTGTGGGAGACTCCCACGTACGAGGGCAAGCCGTTCATCGACTCTAAGGCGCAGCCGGGCCCGCTGCTGAGCGAATGGAGAGGCAGGGTCAAAGCCGCCAAGGCAAAGCACCTGGCTGTACCGTCGACCACCTCCACCTCCACCTCCACCGCCCCGGCCACGAACGCGGATGACTCCAACTCCAACTCGCCATCCGCTTCAGGTCCAGGTTCAGGTCCAGGTTCGGTGTCTGACTCCAGCTCCGACCACCACAGCAGCAGCCAAGGCAGCCAGGACAGCCCGGACCGGCCGCTCCGCCCGTTCTACCACCTCTCCTTCCTGGCGCGGAACCCGGCGAGGCCTCGCGTGCAAGGCAGCATCAACGCCGTGATGGGCCCGTTCTTGGAGCGCGCCAGGGCCGAAGGGGTGCCCGCGTGGCTGGAAGCCACCACTCCGCAGGCCGTGCGGCTGTATCAGCACTTCGGGTTCCGGATCGTCGAGGAGATCGTGGTGGGCAAGGGCCTGGTCGACGCTCTGGGATGGCCCGCTCGGGGGGAGCATGCAAGCGGCGTGACGGCGTGGGCGATGATCCTCGATTCGCACCTTCGCGAGTGATGCAAAAAGCGGCATGTCCCCCGAAAAAGGGGAGAGAGCATTATGAATGAATTGGGGGGATATCACACCTGTCAGCGTAAGGACAGAGCAGAAGAGCAAGGACAAGGAAAAGGGCGTATTGAGAGTCCGATATCCATTCTTCCCGCCTTCTGTTTGAACAGAGGAACGAACTCGAAAACCAAATAGCCCGTCCGGCAACGCCTGCACTGACACAGCTACATCGCCCGTAGGTAGTCCAGCGATACAAAATCCCTACGATCAGCGGGCTCGGTGAGCTTGACGGATGGAGCACGGGTCACGACGTGTAGCCAAGGGAGCACAGGACAAGGGCGATTCCCGGCCCTGAACAGACGTACGATGAATCAAATCCCATAGAACAGCTCAGAGCATGGCATGGCAGGGCAGGGTAGGATGCAAGAGCAGGACACGTACCCGCAGGGATTGCAATGCATTGTAATACAACGCCAAGGACTCGATCAATGTAAATCCATGTTCCCAGTCTTCCAGCCTGCACGAGTAGATCCTTCCGATCAATGCACAGAGAACGTAGAGGGTACCGTCGATGAAGATGGGGAAAAGATCCGAGAGGACGAGGGTACAGCGAGGTGTTTCACCTTCTCCCTCATCTTGTTGCACGATTCCAACTCGCTGCTCCTTTTGGCATTGTAGGTCTTTGCATTTGTGCCTGTGGCTCGTTCGATGGTTTACACTTTCCGGCAAAGAAGAGTATAGCAAAGAAAACCAGAAGTTTGAGATCCGACTTTTATGGCCCCCCGTTTTGCCCTGTTTCTCCACGCATGCCATGCCATGCCATGTCCAGCTCTTGTGCCTGTAGAAGGAGAAAAGCATTGAGTTGATGAACCCCATTTTCCAAAGCTCCATCGCGGCCGTCCGGCTTCAGTGCCTCTGTGCAAGCTCACCGGTGCTCTTGCTCTGCCCTCCCTGCACCGCCCTCTTCCAGGGCCATCTCATATTACCAAACCATGAAGATCATCCCATTTTGGATCATGCCCCCCCCTTTCCATACCATCCATTCCGGTCCTCCCCCCGTCACCGTCAACCAGATCGACTTCATTGCACATGCCTCACCACATCGTCTAGAGCCTCTGCAAAGTAGTGCACGTTGCCCGTGTTCAAGCCGGCCATGCTGATCCGGCCGTTCTTGGTCATGTACACATGCCACTTCTCCCTGATCGCCAACACCTGCTTCTCGCTGATGCCCGTGAAACTGAACATGCCGATTTGACTCGTAATGTGGTCCCATGTGCCGGGAGTGCCCAACCGGTCAAGTTCCGCTTTCAGCGACTTTCGCATCTCGATGATACGCCCGGACATGGTGCGCAGATCGTGTTCCCACTCCTTGAAGAGTTGTGGATCGTTCAGGATGAGGGAGGCGATCCGGGCACCGTATGCGGGTGGATTGGAGATCTCCGAACGTTGTAGGATGGCAAGTTGGGACGAGACACGTTTGGCCACATCCTGTGCGTTGGCCCCCGGTGCTGCCACGAAATGGAACGCGCCCGCTCTCTCGCCATACAGACCAAAATTCTTTGCGAAGGACTGAGCAATGACCAACTCAAAACCCTGTTCCACGAAATAGCGGATCGAAAAGTTGTCCTGTGCCAGATCCCCTGAAGCGAAACCCTGATACGCGCAGTCGAAGAAGGGAAATAGTTTGCGCTCGCGCATGATTTCAGCAATCTGTTTCCACTGGTCCGGTGTTGGGTCGACGCCTGTGGGGTTGTGTGCGCAGGCGTGCAGTAGAATAATGCTTCGTTCAGGCGCGGATTTCAAGGTCGAGAGGAGACCGTCGCAGTCAAGCATCTTTGTCTTCGCGGAGAAGTAGGGGTAGGACTTGATCGGGAGCTGGACGTTGGTGAAGATTTGGTTGTGGTTGGCCCATGTTGGGCTGGATAGGTAGATGGCGGGGGTCGGTTTAGGGAGGAATTTGGAGAGGAAGAGACCGCCTAGATGGACGGCGCCGGTTCCTGAGATGGTTTGGAGGCTGCAGGCCTGTAAGACAGAAATTATATGTCAGCCAAAAGGGAAGTGTGAGGGAGAGTTGAATGCGTACCCGTCCTTCCTGGATCGCGGGGCTGTCTCCACCGAGGATGAGTTTCTGAGCCGCTGAAGTGAACTCTGGGAGACCGGCGATAGGAAGGTATTCGTGGTTGAGGTTGGGATCGTTTCGTAGGATCTCATCGGCCTGACTTGGGGGTTAGCCACCTTCGAGCATGTCATCGACCCTCGTCGAGCAATCTTAGGACGCTCACCTTCTTGACCACAGGCAACACCCAGGGTTTCGCATTGTTGTCTCTGTATGCGCCGATGCCCAGATCCACCTTCTTCTCAAAGGGGTCTTTTCGGTAGGCGGCCATCAACCCAAACAGAGGGTCCTCAGGAGCTTGAGGGACGACATTGGCGTCGAACAGAGTCGGCGGCGTATCAGTCGACGCAGAACCCATTGTGTGATTCCTGATCTGAGTCAGTCGGGTGGAGGCGTTTGTCTGCGAAGGCGAAGACGAAGACGAAGACGAGGTTGAGCGGAGAGAAGAGTCGGAACGTTTTGGCGGTGAGGGCATGTCCAGGAATTTATTGCAGCGTGGAGAGACGGAAAAGAAACGTTCCTCGCTGCAGGAGGCTTGGGGGCAAGGGCACGAAGGGCGATGCGGAAACTTGGTTGCTCTAGGACGGGCGGATGCACAACGGTTTCGGTTTTACCTTAGCCACGTACCTTCTAATTCGCGTATGGCGGTGATGTCGGTTCCAGGGACCAGAGAAACTACGGGAACAAGGGGACCTGAGCAAGCGTAGCCGGTCATTCGGTGATCGAGGAGGAAAAATTCGTAAAACCGTGATGCAAAGGGTCAGATGGACATCGATCGTCTCCAACGCCGAAGCTCGACTCCAACTGCAGGCCGAGGATGGCATCCTTGCCTCATCCGTGCCTCGTCCAAAGCCCAATCGGCGTGTCTCGATTTCGCCCTTGTTCAGGATGTCATGACTTTCCTGATTCTCACATGCTCGAGCCGCGCTGCTCTCATGTACCTGCATGAAGAGCATCTGATTTCACGGACTTGTGGCACATCTCGCCGCTGACTTCTCTTGTCCACGCCCCGCAGACGCAGGACTCTGACAGATGTGTCGACCTGTACTGGTCGATGGCAGCAAGACTTATCACTGGGAATACTAGCGCAGATATGGTTGGGGGCAACCGTCAATCCAGAGGTGGTGTTGGAGATAGTCAAAAGATGATGCGTTATCCTCCTGGACTATCGTCTCAGGTCGCGATTTCTGGCACTCCTATGCAAACGGGATAATCAATAGCTAAACGATGAACTGGATTGCGATTCTATCAGTAAATCACATAGAAAACAGCGAGAGAAGGCATCAGATCGCCTGAATCGCCTACCTTGATATAGAGATACGAGTCAATACCACCTTTACCTTTCCTAACCAACTTGCCAGTTACCTCTATAAATCGCCCGGTTAGCTTTTTACCACCTTTTTTCCTAAGGCCTAGTCGTCTCGTTCCTATCTGCAACTCCCACTCCTCCTTCTTGCTCGGTTCCAGTTCCTTATGGAATCGATCGACGTGTTTAGTTGCCTCTTGACGCTCTTTTACTGTCTCAGGATACCAGATAAAATAAGGGCCTTTCAGATCGCAAGTAAAACAGCCCCAGAACATGAACTCAGAGAAGCCTTTCCAGCGATTGCGAATAGCTAACTTTATAAAGGCCTCGTCCGCTCGCCGCCAGATTCTCTGCCTTCCTCGTTTACCTAGCACAACTGAGGTTTCGTCGCTCTAGATAACGTTCTTCCAATCCTCCAGCGTCCAGTCCTTATAGCGTAGGCAGAACCGCAATCGAACTGAACGCTGGGCCCTTGACAGACTAGGTTTTCTCGTGGGTTTGACATTCCTGAGGTTATTCTTGCGTAGAACGCGTAGAACAGAGGATGTGCTGATACCTGATTCATAGGCTAAAACGTCGCTGGATTTCTCTCTACCTGATGTGTCCTTTTCAACGAACGGTAGAACACATTGTTCAACCTCTTCAGTTATCTCCTTGGGTCTTCATATCCTGACGCCGTCCTTAACATAATGATCGAGAATGCGAGGATCCTCCTGCGTACGATAACCACGCTCTGTTGCCTTTTGAAGAATCCTCCTAGCCTGTCTCGCAGGAACTTTAATCCAGACCTCAACTTACTGTGGCGAATAACCGAGCGATAATAACGTGAGTGTCTGCACTCGTTGCGCTGGCGAATAGCGAACGCCAGTATGGCCGGTGGCCTGTTCCTGAGGGAGAGGTCTCTACGCTCGCGGGTTCTGAGGTATTCGCGGCCGCTGAGATTCGCGTTCACGGGCTTATTCTGCATACAAATCAGTTATCGGCATGGCCAAACGTACGAGATTAACCATAGACAGACCTTCCTGGGTCTTGTTCCCTACCTGATATACCACTGTTGACGATTGCGCAGGCATTGGAGGCAGTGTGATTGACACTTTTGCTGCGCGGCTCCGTATGTTATGTCTGTTCATGCAGGACTGTCCCTTCTGATATGCCTTCTTTTCCATATCCCAGCATCAGAATATGAAATCCCACACCACCAGAAACGAACAAAAGCCCACTGTAGCATAGAACACCAACCTCGCCGTACTCCCCCTCTCACTCGCCCTCTTCAGTTCTCGATTTCCCTTGCGCACATTCTCATCCGTGTTGGCCGCATCCTGAACCAGAGTATCGATCATCTCCCCCTGGACACTCAGATGGCCCACCAGCGTCTGCTGCAAACTGCCGATCTCCATCAGCGACTTTTCCACCTGCGTCACCTTGGCGAGTTGGTCGTTGAAATGCTCGAATATCCCTCTGTTTTCCTCCTCAAACAGCTGGAGTTGTTCGGGCGAGAGTTCCTGTTCGACCCCGCCCTGCGAAGGGTCGGCCCAGGGCTTGTACTCGTCGTGACCGCGTAGATCTTGGGTCGGAGGAATCGTCTCGAGGCCGCCGTTTGCGCCCGTCTCTGTATCGCGACTGGCCCGCACGCCCTTGTTTCGTGGGTTGTAGAGTATACTCATTTGCTTCTGCTGCTCGCGCTCCAGTCGCTTCTCAACCATCTCTTGCTGGGCGGTGATGGCGTCCTTGAGGAATTTGTTCAGGTACCACAATACACCGTCCCGGAACATCTTTGTGGTCCTCAGTTGCCCTTCTTCGTCGAGTTGCTTCTGTGATTTGCCTGCGTCGGGGGTGTCGCCGTCGCCCGCCGCCCACCGCCAGAGAAACCCGTCTGGTTTCCCATATTTTCTCTCGAGGACTTTACTCGCGGTCTCGTGCTGTAGGTTGACCGCCGACGTGAGATTGGTTATCTTGTTATTGATGTCGCGAAGGACCGACGACGTCTCGGAGTCGATCGCTTCTCGCTGCGTGTCATTGAGATGGTCCGGCACATCCTGCCCTGGGATGTGGGAGAAGGTAGAATGTCTCTCGACCCCTGTGTGTTTCTGGTGGCGAGGAGGAGGGGCCGTCGAAAGGTACGGGGTGCGGATGGCTCGTAGGTAGCCTAGTAGGGACGAGATGGACCTGTTGATCTGGTACGCTTCTCGCAGGAATGAATCTAGCTTGCCTGCGAGATCTAGGTTCCGGCGTAATCTCTTTGAGGAGTGCTTTTCAACCAAGATCTCAGACAAAGCTACACTGAGGTCGGTCATTGCAGCTGTGTAGTTGACATCAGACGCATTTTCTAGGGAACAGAGTCTAGAAATTGATTGTTACGGGACACCTCACGACTCCGCAGCGCCCCAGTTTCCCCAACTGAACAAGGCTGTACGGGGGAACTAACGAGGCTGGGTATATACATTAGGTGGACTTGACGAAGGACATTCCCTTCGTCAACTAAACTTCGCGCATTGTCGTCATCTTGAGTGACAAGTCAGATCGGGCACATTTAATGCGTGCGGTTGGAGTATCATTAGTTGTTGTAACCATTCCTTTTCTCAATTCTAAAGCTATATAGTACAAAATCTAGGCGGGTCATTTATTCGTGCACGTCGCTTAGCAAGACCGGAAGAATCACGACTCTTTGCCCAACTCCATCGCCAGGTCCCATCCGGTGTCATCTTCCCAGGTCGACGCCCCCGATATTTGCCTACCCAAGAAGATCCCGACCCCTGTCGCGACCACAGCCAGCATAAAAAAGCCATCGAACCATCGCTGCACCCAGGCCGGCTCCAGCAGCCCCGCCCCCAAGGCACTGTTGATCACGCTACCGACTTCTTTCGGCATCATTCCCCTCAGCATCAATGCAGAGCTTATGACATACATTCCGCTGATTTGGCTGATCAGTAAGGCGAAATTAGTCTTGGTTGCATGGAGGACCGTCGGCATGAATCGGGCAAAAAGATGAAAGGTTTGCGTGACTGCTGTGAATGAAGCGAGCAGCATTGCCCCGGAGAGCAGGAACGAGATCTGTTGAGCCCATGAGGCCTGGTCCAAGGAGGGATAGACATGTCGAGCAAAAAGAGCAATCGTATAGGTGACCGGGTCAGTGTCCGAAGGAGTGGCAGGCCCGGATGAGAGGATGCGGCGACCGATGTTGATGGTGGTGGTACATATTCGGTACACGCAGTAACAAGCAAACAAGTAGGAAAATGCCAATGACAGTCGCCCCATGGCTGTTGTCGCCCGGAGTTGATTTGCCCGTCGTGCCCGTAGAATCGAGAGCGAGGTCTCCAACGACGAGGCCATGGTCTCGAGCCCCGATGCCTCCATCTCGAGCAGATCCTTTTGTTGATCGAAAGTGTTCTTGCGCACCACGCCCACTGTGCGGCTCCAGAAGCTCTTAATCGGGCTTTCAGGGGCCATGCCCTCCATCAACCTTAGCCGCTCCTTCTTCTCGGCAATCATGTCCATGGTAGCGTCTAATCCAGCCTGTTTGCGGGTAATGTCCGTGTCGGCGACGACTTTAACCTTGGGCCCAAAGCTCTGCCAAATGGCGCTTACCGAAGCAAAGCCTGACAGAAGAGCCATCAAAGACACGCCAGTAATCCCTAATCTGTCCAAACATGCCTGAAAGAGACCGTCCGGGCGGGTCATGCTGTCGGTAAAGCTGGGTGCTTCTGGCAGGAGCGCTCCTATCGCCCAGAATCCGAATAGAAACGCTCCATACCCGGCGACTTCCAGTACCCATGCCAGATGAGCCCGACTCTTTTTCTCGCCGCGAAACTTGTACCCGGACTTTGATACCACCGAGGATATTCCCAGCAGCGGAATGGCGACTACCAGAAGACCCAGCAAACTCACGACAGTGATCTGCAGGGCGACACTTCTAGCCGTAGGGTTGAATGAGTTGGAGATTTCGCAGAGAAGTAACTCAGTCAAGACGGCAGACAGAGCGATTGTGGAAGCAAACGTTATTGCTGCCACGCGGCGGGCGAGTTGCTGGGCGGCAGACTCAGGCGCTGCGGCAGTGACAGGTCGAGGAAGGCCTTTCGCAGTGCCATCGGGTGCTTTGGAAGAGGACTGTGATAGAAGGGGGTAGACCTTGCGGTAGGCGACGAAGGTCAGGACTGCGAACGTGGCGATGAAGGGGATCGTGGAGAAAGCCGCCTTCGTGGTGAGACGAGGGGAGCGTACGTAGTCCGGCGTGCACTCGTCGCAGTCGCCATCAGCGCTCATGGGCAGCATTTTGACCAGTCTGATATGGAGGGAGGCTGGACTGGTTAACCGAATACATATTCTCACTTGGACAACCTCTGAAGGTGACGAGAGGGTAGGCAGTCGAAGAAGTCGGACATGACATGGAAACTGAGGGACCAGTACGCAAGGGGTCGATCGGGGATGGTTATAACTTTGTTATCGATTGGCCTTCAGGGACAGCCCCGCCATTGCGGAACGTGGTTGGTCCCTGAACGCCCAAGAATGTGTCGAGCCACGCCGCCCGGGAGTTTAGGCGTCACGGGGGCGTCAATAACAGCCCATGAGGGGCCCGCCTCAACGCGCCGCATTGTGTGATGCCGCCTAAACAATGGAGTTCCGGAGCACAGGTACCCTTGTGCCGTTGTTGGGAATCTACTACAGGAATGCTGCAGCAATTTCATGAATGCATCTAGGCAATACACACTTCTATCCAGTCCGAGTTTCTATAGTTGGCAGATGGGTCAATGCGTCAAAAGGCCTCTCCATACAGTGTACTCGTAGTTCCCTCCCTGCCAAAAGCGATCGTCAGAGTGCTCAGACATGTTCAGGGGCTCCAAATCAATAGTCCCGGGACGCCGCAACCACGTCAGCTCTTCCCAGAACAGTCGGCTTGATCAGGTCCCCTCTCGTTCGACGCCCACCGACATCCGGCCTCAACGGGCATGAGGGTTGTCGTGTCAACCACAGTGCATGCATCACCATATCATCGTGTCGCTACAAACTCTCGTATCTCGTGCGTAGGATCCTTAAGATTCGACTTCGTGGTCGGCCTCGCCATCTCCACCACAGAGTAGAGGTTAAGGAAGCTCTTTTGTTGCACAACCGGCGCTGAGTTTCGGGAAACTGTGGCTGGCATGTATCCTCTGTTCCATGGAATCGGCGACGCGGGTTTCTCTGATCAGCCAGTCGAAGGTTGAATCCTAGAAAGGTCATAAGGATGGTCAAATTTTGGGCAGCAGATTCTGTATATGTCAAATGACCAACTTTTATCTAGAGGGTGATCGACCGTGGCTGTATGACCGGCGTTGTGGCTTTTCTCGCAGAATGTCCGCCAGCCAAGGCGTCGTTTCCCTGACAGATGGTCGTCGCTCTTCGACGATGTTGGGCACCAGTAGGCGTATGTCTTCTGTATCAGATATTGCTGCGTCGCTCTCGCGATGCTCAGACCGCTTTGAGGGATTGGGTGATCTTGCACGTTCGGTCGGCGTTGTCTCGTTGTCATCCCAGTCTTCCACCAAGGCGGCAATGCTTGGACTGTTCATGGCAATGTCCGCCCTCGGAGCACTTTCGGTGCTCAGATATCCAATGGGTAGGGCGAAGCTCCGTTCAGGCGAATCATCATCGGACGTCACATCACTTTTGGCTGACGTTACTCGAGCAAGCGGCCCACCGTATGTGCCTTTCAATATACCTCGCCTTGGAGGGCCGATTGCCTGTGTAACAGCATCGGCCTCTTTCGCCGTGGCTTCCATAGATATCGAACTGTGGCTGGCACTTTCAAACACATGGCTCCCTCCAGCATGTTGGGCTTGCTCGAGCATGCTGCTGTAGAGGCTGCGACCGCTTTCCAGTTGTCGTTTCTTCTTCTTTTTCAATCGTTTGGAGCTCGGCCGCACGACAATTACCGGTACAGGTGATTGTTGCAAACAATACTTTGAAACTGACCCTGGGAGCAAGCCCTGCATCCCGCCTAGGTTTCGTCCTCTCGTTCCCACCACCAGCGCTGCGGGTTCGTACAGATGAATCTATCCCAAGTCAGCATGCAAACCTATCTAAATGTGAATACAGGGTTGCCCACCATGCGCTGGAAGATTTCTTGCACTTTGCCTACCGCCAATTCCATGACGATGCTAATTGCCTTTTCCTCCGAGCTGTTTTTCAGCATGACACTGTCCAACAGTCGTTTTGCCTCGGTGCGATATTTGTCCCGGTCGTACGGAGTGTCATGTGCAGTCTTGGAATCTTTCTCGATAACTCGAAGGCAGACAATCTCATCGCCGTCATCGACGAGCTCATCCATCATCCACTCCAATGCATACTCGGAGTAGTCCTTCGCATCGGTACCGCACAGGAAAGTTCGGGTTCGAGAGGTGGCGGCGAAGTCGCAGTGCTTATACTGTAAGGTAAAGGCTTCGGTGGACGCATCTCGATTGTCGATGGTGTCGAAGGAGACGCCGCGTTGGTAATGGGTAGGAGGAGGGGGCGATGACATTTTGCGCGGCGACAGGGAGACTCGTGAGCCTTGAACGACGCTTTCCCTTCTTATGGTGTCTTCTGCATCCGCCGTATGGAATTGGACTGACGACTTGCGTCTTCCACCGTTGGGTTGATCAACAAGTCTCGGTCTCTGAGGAGCTTTAGCCGCGCCCTTCCACGCCTGGCCAAATTTAACCTCCTCCTCTTCCTCTGGTGAGTTGGCTGAAGCAGAGGGTTCGTGCGCCGCGGCAGTAGCCATTTTTAAAGCGCGAGGCAGACGCGGGGTAAAAGTTGACAGCAAAAAAAATGATGGCAAATGAGGAACAGGCGGGCCAACGGTAAGATTGAATCAGCTGAATGTCAAAGAACGAGCAGTCACGCTGTGGCTGTGGATGGATCGTGGAAGCAGTGCCACTTTCCTCATCTGGGGGGGGGAGTCTAGACCTCCGGTTACACTTATGGGTCGAGTGGTGTGTTCTCTTCTGCCCGGATGATCACGGTCTCGAGGGACGAGGGAGTCTTTCGCGGTGCCGGGGGTACAAGGGGTTTTGAGAATCGTCGCCCGGTCAGCCAGCATGCAGCTGCATCAAGTCGGAAGTCGAAGGAGAGCAGGAGGACTTCATTGCCAATGATGAAGTGTCTTCAGGAAGCGGGCTGTGAACATTCTTGGTATCTTGGCCTTTGCCTGTAGAACTGGATGCTACTAAGCTGAAATGTTCAAATCGAGGCGAGGGCAAGCGGGGCAGAAGGACGAAGGATGGCGAGCCAGGAGCTGGAAGGGTGGAGTAACGTTGAGACTGAGAGGCCGGGCCACTGCTGAGGAGGGACCCGTCTCCAATCACTCCCGCAACTGATAATCAGATGAGAAGGCCCCTGGTGGAGAGCACTACTGCTGATAAACAATCATGATGCATTGCTCACAGTAACTTTCGGGATACGAGGGGATGTTTCCGCCGCCAAGTTACCTAGGTACAATATTTCGCGGGGAGGGCCACGCTGGTGACGGAGCGCTCACATGCAAGGCGTCACTGATGACAGGGGGTGACCTTTGCCCGATGAGATGGAGGAATGCAGCGATAGGCACCAGACAACAGATGACTGAGACGCTGCAGTTCCGTCTTGCCGGTGCTGGCTGCTTACTACCACAAAACCCCCCAGCACCGCCAGGCGAGCAGGGTTCTTCAGCAGAGGCAGGGCAAGGCAGGGCAAGGCAGGGCACGAACCTGGGCTAATGCGCGTGATGAGGGATCGCTGGCAGAAAGCGAGACCAGTCCAGCTCTAGCAGTCTCTAGGCTGCTTCATCACCTCCCGCACCTGCATTTGAGGGACCCCGGGAGAACCGCTCCCGAGCAAGGCCTCTCATTGAACCATGTCCTGCATGCCCTGCATGCGAGTGCCCTGTGTTCCTAGACTTCGAAGCAGCGACGTAGCACGACTAGGGCAATGCAAACTCGCGGCAGCATGGAGATGGATGAGGCCAGGGACCATTCATTTATTCAACATATGACGATCTCTGCGGCCTTCGCCTTCCGTTGCCTCCACGTTCACGAATCGCTGCCTGGCGAGCCACGAGCGCCAACGACGAAAGCAACCTATTTTTCTAGACGGTCTCTCGTCAATCTACTGTACAAAACCATTCGACCTGACAAGGGTCGGATGGTCATTCTGCCCAATGTTCCCATGGCACGTTGATCGTGGGGTCGGTGTGTGCTTGTTCCTTTTGCTACTGCTAATCCTCTGCATTTGCACGGTGGATTTGGCGGCCGTGTTTTTCGTTTGTCCCAGTTCCCACAATCGAGGTCGTGTTGCCGTGGAGTAATTTGGCCAGATGGCCGCACCCAAACATTGTCGAACCGTCATTCGTTGGAAAACTTGAGCTCAACTGGTGGACAGGTCGAGCTTGAGAAGTCAAACGTGGAACGGCCGAAATGCCCTGCAACCCCGCTGGTTGTGGAAGATGTTGTCGGACCTCATCCTAAGACTTGGGACACTGATTGAGACATGCTTGTAATATCTCATTATTAGAAGCTCATTTCTTCAATTCGGCGTAAGGATACGGGACAGGGTCACCCTAAGAGAATCAACGTCAGTAGAAAATCCATGTATTTCAGCATGATCAACACCTACCTTGCGCAAGTGAATCTTGGTCTTCCTCTTGTTGACTTGGTGCTCGACGAACACTTCTCGAGTATACTCTGCCTTGAACTTGCGGATAAAGCGTGGGTCCCAAAGCTCGCTGGCTACGCCCAAATCCTTACAACACCGCATCATTGCGTTGGATTTGCAGCCCTCGACAGCTGTTGGGATGCCCTCTTTCGAGAAGTAATCTTGTTCTCCGCGAGCAATCGAAACCAGTCTGCCTTCGAATCAGCTTATGTTCCTTGGCCATTGTTCCCAGTGTCTCTCACCTTCCGTGCGCCAGCAATGCGTATTCTCGCGTTACAGACTTCTCCGTGACAATTGTCTCGCCTCTGGGAGCCAGTCCCCAGCCGCCAGGCCCAAAAGCCTTGTTAAGAATCCGTCTATATTTGATCTCTGGAAGATAAATGATACCATCTGGCTTGATCTCGATGTCTTCGGGGGTTATCGGTGCCTGCAGCGCATCCGCAGCCTCTTTGGAAAATGGTTCCACGGAAAGACCGTGAAAAGACCTTGTCCAATCCACTTTTGAGGGGTCATCTTCTTGCAAAGTCAACGGCTGGTCCTCAAGGTTGTCGAAAGAATGACGCTTGGGGTCCGCCGGTGTCGCTTGAGGGGATGCAGTCTTTGGTTGCTGGTCTGTGGCCGCTCCAGTCCCGGCGAGACGAGCTGAGGATTGTGTGAAGATAGTGCGCGGAAAGACCATGCGCAGTGACCGAGAGGTTGACCGCGAAGTCTCGATAGATGAGCGGCAGAGACCGATCGAAGAGGTTGAGAGCCGCGTAGAGGCAGATGCGCTCAAAGCTCTGAAAGGTATTCGAGTAGCAGGCGACATTTTCCGAGCGTGCGACGGGAGAAAGGGGAACAGATCTACTGTAGCTAACACCAAACGAACAGTATTTACAGCAGCAGATGATGATGAGCTGCGGCGGCAAAAGAAGACAAATATATAACAGCAAAGGAGAGAGCGCGTGGATGAATGAGGTGACTTGGAGTTCCAATGCCTCCCGTAATTTTTTGCAAGGCGCGTCTTCGAACACCAACGCCGGACCTCGTGACTGCGGCCACCACATGCATGCGCCAACGCAGCTTTGCTCTCCCTGCAGTATCCTCGAAGCTACTTTTCACTCGAGGGAACGTCCTTGCTTTGTGTACGCTCTTCATTCCCCTTCCGCTTCCAACACTGTCTGAAAGCCTCCATCTGATATACCTCGTCAGCCTGCTGTTCCGCAACTAGACAGCGGCGTCTGGATGCCGAGGACCAACAAATCTAGAGCGGAGCAAGTCTTTTCAAAAGATCATTGGGGTTGGGGTTCAACACATACTTCGGCCTTGCAAGCTCTCCAGTCTTTCTTCTCATAATAGCAATCGTTCATGCGCAGTTGCTCTTCTGTTTCCTTCATCAGATCTCTGCATCCTTTTCTGCAGAAGACTTTAGACTCACCCGAACAGCCCGTGCTGAAGATCCGTTGATCCCTATCAGTTCGAACGACGCATCAGCCTTGACGAGCGTCATGTCATGATTAACTACTAAGGACACTTACCAATCATCGAGTTCATCCTCAGCGGCCTCGGCCTGAACCAAGCTGTCCTGTTTCGACATCCTGCCACTCCTGGAGTCACTTAGAGGTGGAAGAAAGAACAGATCTGCGTCTCGAGATACTTCACTGGCAAAGAAGTTGTCTGACAACTGTGGTCCTACTGCGCCACTTACCCCCTCTCCACAAGAGTTTGTCCGCCACTTCCAACCATGTCCAAGCGAATGAACATCCTCGTTTACTCTGGTGCGCTCACTCAAGATGCGTGGAGGAGTAATAAAAATCTAATGCTATCTTCAGGAAATGGCAGCACCGTCGAGTCAGTCCGTCATTGCCTCTACACACTCCGGAGGCTCCTGGCTCCTCATTATGCTGTCATCCCGGTCACTGGCGACATGCTTATCAAAGAGCCGTGGACAGCAAGCTGTGCTGCTGTAGTATTTCCAGGTGGCGCTGATCAGGGCTACTGCAAGACACTCAATGGTGAGGGCAACAGGCGTATTCGACAGTTCGTCGAGCGAGGTGGCCTCTATATTGGATTCTGCGCCGGCGGCTACTATGGCAGTCAGAGATGTGAATTCGAGGTAGGAAACAGGCTTCTGGAGGTTGTTGGGGATAGGGAGCTTGCTTTCTATCCTGGGACGGCTCGAGGATGCGCATTCTCCGGCTTTGTTTACCATAGTGAAAAGGGGGCGCGTGCCACCGAGTTGAAAGTGGACAAGACTTGTCTGCCCTCAGGAGCCGTCCCGGATGTTTTCAAGTCCTACTACAATGGCGGCGGCGTCTTTGTCGACGCGCCCAAGTATAAAGACCAGGGCGTCGAAGTCCTTGCCAGCTATACGGACCCTCTCGCCGTCGACCCTGGGGAAGGCGCGGCCGCCGTTGTCTATTGCAAAGTCGGCCAAGGTGCAGCATTGCTGACCGGTCCGCATCCAGAGTTTGTCTTCCTAGGAAAGCCAGCGGACGACTGGTCACTGACGAAGCCTAGGTTTGCTCCAGCCAACCTTGAGCCAAAGCCAGATGCTCCTGGATTCGCCGACGTCATCAGAACTCTGGCCGAAGACGAGAAACACAGAATGGATTTCATCAAAGCGTGCCTGACGAAACTTGGTCTCACAGTGAGCGGGGAGCAAAATGTACCCTCCCTCTCCTACATGCATCTTTCTTCATCCGACCCCACAGACACCGCGGGTATCATATCGTCCTTGGGCCATCTCGTCGAAGGGGATGAACATGGTAACGAGTTTCTCAAGGATGAAAATGATACCTTCCAGATTTTGAAACCATCCGTCTGGAAAATGGTTGATTTGGCCAAAGCTTTATCCTCGGAACCCGAGTCAAAGGAATCTGCTGACCAAACCGATGGCAGCTCCGACCGCATAGTCGACTATAACACCGTGACCAAGAAGATCATTGTGCATGATGACGACTATCCTCAGCCAAGATCAACTCCGTATTTCAACCACTCTGCTTTCTACTCAAATCTGCATAAATACCAATCCCAAACACCTGGTGCCGTGAATTTCGGCGCTCATCTGCTATACGGCGAAGTGGTCACGTCGACTAATACATTGCTTGAGAAAAACACAAAGCTTCTTCGAGTTCTTCCCCAGGGATTTACGGCAACAGCGACCGTTCAAGTTGCAGGCCGAGGCAGAGGATCCAATGTCTGGGTATCACCGGCAGGAAGTTTAATGTTCAGTACGGTCATTCGGCATCCAATGGCGCAGATGCAGTCTGCTCCAGTCGTCTTTGTCCAGTACCTGGCTGCAATGGCCATTGTCAACGGCATAAAATCCTATGACGGCTCACTCTACAAGGACATGCCAGTCAAACTCAAGTGGCCAAACGATATTTTTGCTCTCGACCCAGCAAAGGCAAAAGATAATGGCGGTGATAGGAACGACAATTACACCAAAATCGGAGGCATCCTGGTCAACAGTCACTACAACAGCAAAGAGTACATCGCCGTTTGTGGGATTGGCCTGAACACTGCGAACGCCGCGCCAACAACGTCGTTAAATCAACTCATTCAATTCCTTCCGCACAAGGTGGCTCCATTTACGCTGGAAAAATTGCTGGCCAGAATATTGACTGTGTTTGACGACTTATATGCCCGCTTTTTAGTGACCGGCTTTGACGAGGTTATGGAGCAAATGTACTACCGACATTGGCTTCACATGGATCAGATCGTTACTCTTGAAGCCGAAGGTGGTCAACGCGCAAGGATCAAGGGTATCACCAGGGATTATGGGCTGTTGATTGCGGAAGAACTTGGATGGGAAGACCGTGAGACCGGCAGGAGATGGACATTGCAAAGTGATGCGAATAGCTTTGACTTTTTCAAAGGTTTAGTAAAGGTGAGTCTTCGACATAAGATCTAAGACAGAGCTGCACTTTACGGCTCTTGCCCCGTCGTCCACTCCCTCCTCATCAAAGATGTCTTAAAGCTGATGATTGTGTTCTTGTAGAGGAAGGCTTGATGTACTCTCCAGAAGAATCAGCATGATACCAGTCCTGCATTCGGCCACCATAGCGGGAGCACCTCTTTACCCGATGGGACGGTGTCGATGGGAACAGGGATTTGGCATATAAGAAACAGATTCACCCCTCCGGCCTGAGTGAGTGAAGGACACCACGGTCTCACTACCGAGTCAGCGATCTCATGTCATGCTCCGCGCGCCAACTGTGCCGTTACTGCTTTATATACTCGCGACCCAGCAGTTTTGACCCCAGGGAGCGCTACCGAATGTTCATAATGACCTAAAAGAATCCTTGATGAGGCATGCTGAGTGCGCCGAACGAGAATGGCGAAGGCGGGTAGACTTGGGCATGAGCAGGTACAGATATGATCATGGGGCATTCCCCCTGGGTTTCCCTTCGGGTGGGACGCGAGACTCCAGCTTCTGCGGGACCACGACAGTCCATTTGGTGTAGATTGAGTGCAGCGCCTGTGGTGTCTATGCCTCTCCTTCCCTCGTCCACTCCTCGCTCGCTCACTCGCTCTCTTACATTGTGAAATGGATTGAAGATCCGTTTGGTATTTGTGGCCGAGCCCAAGCGTGTGATACAGAAAGAGAACCGCCTTCCCTGCTCAACGTACCTCAGACACGGCGGTACTGCTCCAAAGGACACCGTTCTCAACATGACCACCTACGTTCCCACAGGAAGTTCTATCGATCCCATCCTCACCGCCTCGATATACTGAAGCCGTTCGGAAACAAACGGCCCGTCGATAGGAACAATCACCCGCACTGCCGGATTACGCCTTAACCGGGTACTTGACGTCCTCGCCGGCCCAGACGCCGCCGTCCCTGTTGGCCTTGATCCGCAGGCGCCGCACGCGCTTGATGTCCTCTTCGTTCTCGTGCGTGAGATACCAGGTCCACACGTTGGCGATCCAGCTTGCGCCAATGGCGCCCGCGCAGACGCCAAAGGAGGTCTTGTACCCGTTGTGAGCGAAGCGGGATTGGAACAGCTGCGGGCCCACGACGCCGCCGACCTGGCCGATGCAGGATTGGAACGCCAGCGTGAAGGCAGTGCCTGTCGTGCCTACCAGGCTTGCGGATCGCCCTGGTTGATCATGCGGTCAGCGAGTGGTTACTTTTCTCTACTGTTGGGGAGAGAAGGGGAGAGAGATGCGGAGAGGAGGCGGAGCTTTATTTGACGGAATCGTGAATTGGGAGGGGGAAACTTACAAGCCCAGAATGGAATGAAGTAGACCGAATAGAACGTGGTCCCGAATATGCATGCGATGTACGTCGCATACCGGTTCACATCGAAGCATAGGACGAGGAAAAAGGCCAGTGCCGCGGCGCAGATGATCATGATCAGCTGCGGCCGCGTTATGTATGCTTTGCTCAGGAACCATCCGGCGAAGATGATCGACAAGACCGTTGCGGCGGCCGGGGGGATGTTGAGCAGTTGGTTCCTGGGCAGACCGGCAAAGCCTAGACTCGTCGTGACGGTGGGCAGTTGCCATTGCAATCCGTATCCGCCGAGATTCATGAGGATCTGGGACAGGCAGAAAGCATAGGTCCGCGGGTCTTTCAGGGACGCCCACACTTCTTTCTTGCTGAAGGCCGCATCGTGCGTGCGAGGAGCGTTGTCTGTGAGTCGCAGCTCGAGGTATTCTTGCTCGCGCGGCGTGAGCCATTTTGCCGAGCGCTTGGACTTGGGGTAGTCTGGAAGAACAAGGAACACGACCCCGGCGAAGAGAATGGTGAACAATCCTTCCAGAAGGTAGACCCTGTGGATGGCACACTTGTCAGCTGCCAAGGAGATATCAAGGCCGGGTAGACGTCTGGGAAGTGGCTTACCATCTCCACGCACTCAAGCCGCTAAGACCATTCATATAAGAAATGCCATAGGCGACCAGAGAACCGACGATTCCAGCGCAGTTTTGAAAGCCAAACATCCACATGATTGGTTTACCCATTTCGTCGCTGCGGTACCAACTACAAAGTTGGGCTGCAAGGCCTGGAAAGAGTCCAGCCTCCATCATTCCTAGAAAGAAGCGAGCGGCATAGAGGCCTTGTTTGTTTTGAACTGCAGCATGACAGGCCAGGACCTACGCGACAGGCAAAAGTGTTAGTCAAAATATGGCGAACTTCGTGGGAGAGATGTAGCGGAATTACACACCAGACCCCAGGTTGCAATGATGCGAGATTGCCATTTTCGAGGCGTCATTCTCTTCAGCAGCAGATTGCTAGGGACTTCGAAGACGATGTAGCTGATCTGCAATTGTGAATCAGCCACGTCACTTGCTATACTCGATAGAATCCCCAATGTCCCTCGACATACAAAGTAAATAGACTGGACCCAGTTATATTCGTCCGGTGTCATATTCAGCTCCTTCAGAATGTTGCGTGATTGGCCGACTTGGAGGACTTTGACGGTTGCGGCGTTGGTGTAATCAACATTTTTGAGCATATACATGAGTCCGATGAGGAGAAGGAATCGCTTGTCCACTTTCCGCATGACCTTGCGGTCCTCCTCGGCGGTGAAGGAGGAGAGAATAGCCTCCCTATCATTCTCAGGTACCGATTCGGTTGGGAACTCCACGACAGTCTGCTGAGCCCCGAATCCGACGTCCGCTTCTTTAGACTCGGGATACGAGATTGGGATGGTCATCCTTTGCAACAAAGATGCCGCCAACCCGCTAGTAGAGCGTACGGTGATTCACCTCGAAGGGTATAACTGAAGAGAACGGCTTGGGAATATCTGTGGCAAGTGAAGCTCTGCACGTTGGTTGTGGCTCGCAGAGATTGTATAAGGGACAGGAGAAAGGTAGGCCAAGAAGATAGCTTGATCAATAGGCCCTCTGCAGGGACTCCGTAATGTTGCGTGATGACCCGAGACTCGGGAGAGTTGGGTTTCTTGCTGGGTTGTGATTTCGCAAGCGACTCGGCAATGAAGAGGATGTCCTCGCACGTCTTTTTTGCCCCATCTTTGCCTCCGGCATAGGCGATGGCATTTCCTGCAGTCTCGTCTAGACCGTGGATCGACAGAAATGGAGAAGACCGACCCAAAGCTAGCATGTTGCTTGTCGCAATTTGAAAAATTCTATGCTTGATAGCATCGCTAGCGTCGAAGGGAACGACGAGGATGTGTGCATGAAAGGCCAAAGTGAAATGACAAAACGAGTTGTAATTACCTGAATGTTTCTGTGTATCGCCATAACCGTACACGCTGGACCTAGGCTCGCATATGCAACGCGCTCCTTCGCTCCACTGATCGCTAGAGTAGTGACCATGTGAAGAACGTGGTGAAGCCTGCAGTGGAGATCGAAACGAACGCGAAAAGGGTACAGGGAGCGTAAAGGTTCTCAGGTACATACCTATCGTCGCTTTCTTGTCTCCGCCGCAGAAGACGTTCCAGCCAGACGGCCAATTGTCCTTTCCCAGCTTCCACGGAGGATATGCCGAGACAACTGACATTTTTTTTGCGACGGTTCTGAGCACGCCATCAGTGGAAGTGCGTGGCTTCCAATCTGGGGCTGATTCGTTCCATCACCACAGTGATTGACAATTCCACACTCCCACGCCACGGTATTCGTGCATCAATGGGTATGCATGGCATCCTCCACATGGCCGTGCCATGGCCGCTATCGGAATCAAAAGATAGATCGCGAAACCCATGGGAAGCATGTTGTTTGCCGTACTTCCAGAGCGAGTTCGACGGGACTTAGGTCACGGTGTGTCACTCATCCGACGATCACCGAAAAACGTGGGCGCGATTCCGTCACGGCTATCGCAAGAACACGCACGGTGCTCTTGCGTAGACTCGAAATGTAGAGAACTAATTATGTTGAGACATAGAATTGGAGCATTGAGGTTCGTTACAGGTTGTCGAGAGGGAAGATGGACGTGGAATCTGCTGAATTGATGCCAAGCCCGATGAGGCGGAAAAACCAATCTCCGTTTTTCCGGTCCGCGCAAGGAGCATCATGCGCTTTCAGTTCAGTCAAGAGCATCTTCTACGCAATGCTCAAGACTATCTTGTCTATAGACATGACCACCAGGTTGGATACTAGCCTCTCTCCAACGGCAGACCAGAAACCCTCAGGCTTTGGCAGCCTCCACAGTCCCGCTCTCTGACCTCAGCGGCAACGTCGAAGCGCCATTCTCCTCTGTCTTCTTCTGCTTCTCTTCCGCAGGCACTGTTTCCTCTTTGTACACGTCGTATTGATATTTGGATCCCTCGTGATCGTGCCTGAGCCCCTTCTGGCCTTCTCCATATATCTTCTCGCGAGCGGTCAAGGGTTCAGCCTCGGCCGACCGGGGCTCTGGGTACAAACCGCGGCATCGCAGCTCAGGGATCAGCAGGTCAACTACATCCTCAAAAGTTCCCGGCGTTGTCACATAGGCGAGGTTGAATCCATCAAGATCAGCTTCTCGGACCCATCTTTCCATCTCATCCGCAACCTTCTGTGGGGTACCAACGCCAACAGGCCCAAGACCACCGATTGCAGCCTTTTCGGCCACAACTCTCGGCGTCCATCTCGGCACGTCGGGGCTCGTCGTCGTGAAGGCGTCCAACATGCTTCGCACCTTGTGAGCTTCTGTCGAATCCGCAGCAGTGATATCCTGGTCTATGGGGATCTTGGAGATATCGATTCCCGTCCACCCGGAGAACAGCACGAGCCCGCCGATTGTCGAGGCATATTTCTTCGCCTCTGCGAACTTCTCTTGAGCCTCTTCCTCGGTTCGCCCGATAATCGGGGTGAATGTGCCAAAGAATTTGATCGATTGTGGATCGCGCCCTTTCTCTTTGGCTAGTTGGCGGATCTTGTCGATCTTGGGCCTGAGCACTAGCGGACTGTGTGACGAGACAAAGATTGCTTCGGCGTGTGTGGCAGCAAAGGCAGATCCTGCGGGCGAGGTGCCAGCCTGGAAGAGAAACGGTGTTCTCTGGGGTGAGGGATCCACGATATGTCGAGAATCCAGGTTGAAGTATTTGCCATGGTGATGAATCGTTCGCACTTTGTCCGGGTCGATATACGTGTCCGTTTCGGGATCGGGGTTGAGGGCATCATTCGCCCATGAACCTTCCCAAAGCCTTATGGATAGTGTGTTAACAATTATGCAAGCCATCCGATGCCCTTTGACGCAAACACTTACTTGTATAGGACTCTCAGGTATTCATCAGCCTGCAAGTATCGCTCGTCATGATCAATGGGGTTGTCCAGGCCGATGGCCTTGAATGCTGCCTTCTTCCACGATGTCACAATGTTCCAGCCAATGCGCCCATTGGTGAGATGGTCGAGAGTTGAGAAACGCTTCGCGAGCAGAAACGGAGGCTCAAAGGACGTCGAAGCGGTGATGCCGAACGCGAGATTCTTGGTCACCGCCGCCATTGCAGAGATGGGCTGCCGGCCTCGTGGTCAGTTGCACATTACCTACCGCGTCGATGTTCAGGAACCAACCACTTACAATGGTCGGATCGGTCATGGGCCATTGCGCAGCACGTCGGATGCAGTTGTCGAGGCTGTCCTCGTACGTATCATATCCGCCGTACGTGTCGGCGAGAAACAGCGCGTTGATATCCCCACGCTCGAGAACCTTTGCGAGCTCGATCCAGTAGTCGAGCTTCCTCTTTGTCGCAGACTTGTCCTTTGGGTTCTATACATGCTTTCAGTCCCATAGGAACTTTTCCGTGGCAGATGCAATGCCCTCATGGCTGAGTAAGTACTGACCTTCCATTGACCGGGCGAAAGATGTCCCACGGTCGACATATCGAACGCGTTGAGCAGGATTTGCTTCTTTACCGGCTCGTGAGAGCCATTGGTCTCTTGTATGGAACCCATGATGATGCCGGCTCTACTGTTCACACAGACAATAACAACGTCAAGCAAATCGACGAGAGATTCAGTCTGCCAAATTTCACGCGTTGGTGACGGAATACTATGATCTCCAATTCCACGGTCCACGTCCGGTCTCGCACTGGACGGCTGGAGTAAACACGGCTCCCATAGAGACGAGGTGCGCCATCATCTTTCTCTCGTCCCCTCTTCCTTCTCCCACCCCACAAGAGGGTCCTCGGTTCCGAAACGACATACAGACTTACAGGGAGACATTAGCACGCCTGATACCCAGTCGACATCGGTACCACCACCGTTCTCCGCCCCGCGCCCAGCACCCTCTGAGCGGGTGCTATGGCGTGATTTTAGGTCCGATGCCACGATTTTCGCATCCCGTGGACGGACGCTGTGGTTACGAATAGCTGAATCGTGGGGGGGAACTTGCAAGAACCCACAACATGGGAGGGTTCGCGAGATAAGAGAACAATGGGTTTGAGAACAGGGAACCTCACAGGCTGGTTACCTACGTGGGCGTCGGTCTCGGTGCGGAATATTAGTCGAGATAACATGATACCCGTTTCGAGTAAGTGAGGCAGCGTTGTGGATCTTCAAATGACGTGTTCGAACTATTCCGTCATTTATGGTATCGTGGTAATGGGGCTTGACAGTACCAGACAGCAGTACCACGATACCTGAACTGGTTACCTACCTACTTGGGTTGGTATCTTGTAGAGGCCTATAGACCTAGATAGGTATTTTTCATACACGCCTCAGCGTATCCAGGTGGGTATGCAGCGGACTACACGATCTTCAGTCTAGGGTCTGTCTAAATAGGCACCGAGATCTGGCATTCGATTTCCCTCTCCAGCATCTAGAGACCACCACGGCGGGAGGCTCAGACATGGCGTGAAGCACATACAGTACATAGTACGTTCAGGCTCCCAGCACTTTTTCAGAGGGCAGGTCCTGGATTAACTGGGGTGTGTCGTCGACCGGAGACTCCAAAGGCTCCGTGGACAGATTGTTGCGGAGATAGTTCTCCTCGACGTCCTCGGCGGGATTTCTGGTAATAGAACAAGACATTGTTAGTGGACGGTACGGAAATTGAGCAAAGAAATTCAGGGGAGCCAAGAGGAGGACAGCTTCGTTTCCGTACCTTCGCCGCTTGATGTACCATGAGATGCAGTGCGCGAACAAGATCAGGCATATCGCGTTGCCAAGCACAAAGGGATACCCCTTGACGAACCGGGGCGCCTCGACGGTCTTGAACACCAGCAAGGGCGTCCACGCCGTCGTGGACTGGGACACGGTGTTGATCAGCACCAGCGTGAAGGCGCGCTCGGCCGGCGAGTAGCGGAGCTGGGTGTTAACCCAGCCGTAGAGCACGCTGGACATGGCGACGGCCGAGTACGTGGTCATGAAGGCGAACCACAGCGCCGACTCGGGCACGTCCCACACCACCAGGATGATCAGGCCGACGCTGTTCCAGACGTGGGCCACCGTGATGGCCCACGCCGGTCCCCAGAGGAGGTCCGAGGAGAAGCAGACGAAGAGCACGTAGAAGATGCCCAGGGCCGGGGAGATGGCGCCGAGCTGGTTGAGCCGCCCGGCCGAGTACCGCTTCAGGCTCTTCAGCCACAGCAGGTAACCGCCCGACGAGGTGTTGATGCTGCCGTTCCAGAAGAAGATGTCGAGCAGCAGGAACGCCCACACTTGCCACGACAACGCGACCTTTTTCAGTGTGCCGAGCGTAAATCTCCCGGACGTGGCGTGCCCCGTGCGCTGAAGGCGCTTCTTTGCGAGGGCGAGGTCATGCTCCTTGAGGAACAGCCGGTTCGGAATGTCCGGGGTCCCAGGGAGGAGGAAGTAGCCCAGGAAGCCGACGGGGATGGTTATCAGGGCACAAATGATGTACCTGTCGGAGAACCGGGTTAGAATGCTGTCCAGCCCGAGGAGGACAAAATAATCTGAGAGGAGAACATACATCCATCGCCAGCCCGCCAGACCGGCCACGCCTTCCAACTGGTCTGAAGCCGCGGACTGCAGAAGAGCCGCAGTGAGCGTTCCAAGGGTCAATCCAACATAGAAGAAGCCACCTCGGCGAGCAATTTCATGCCCTCGATACCACGAACCGAAGATGTAATGAACGGCGGGAAAATACGCGGCCTTTCACCCCTATTGTTTAGCAAAGAAACTTGACACCAAAACATATGGGCATATCACTGCAAACTGACCTCGAACCAGCCCACCAAGAACCGGTAGGCCATCAACTCAGCATAGCTATTGACCCGATACTGCAGCAACGTGAAGACTCCCCACAAGATATCGAGCAGAGGGACCAGCCAGTGCATCGGGATGCGAGTGAAGAGGAACATGAAGGGGATCTGGCCCAGCACGGCGCCGACAACGTAGATAGTCTGCACATGGACGAGTTGGTTCCCGTTGAAGCCCTGCAGAGAAGATTAGAGGTTGGGCGCGTAAGATTTTTCAACATGGAAACGTCACCACCCACCAAGTCTTCCTTGAGGCCTGCGACGTATGCATTGTCTACCGCCCCGTTAGCAAGCGTTGCCAACCCTCTTCGATGTTGGAAACCTCACTGATGTTTGCCTGGTCGATGTACTTGACCCAGTATGCCAGGAAAACATAGGGCACAATCAGGAGATCGAGCTTGGTGATGAGCTTGCGCTCTTCCTTGGTGTCCTCGGGCGAGAACCAGTGGATTTGGTACCACTTTCGAGAGCCTGCTGTCTTCCCCATATTAACCCGGGCTTCCAGATCATGCAACGCAATACCTCGTGATTACCTTTGTTGGATGTCTCTGGGAGGAATTTGTTTCATATAGACAGGGCCATCACGACCACTCAGGAAGGACTTTGACGGCTTAGCATCTTGTTGACGACATGTCCCAGAAGAATGGCGAATCCTGTGCCACGAGGGCTAGCTGCTTCAACGAGCTCCCTGTCGTTCGTTACACTGTCATCGATGGAGTTCTAGACTTTGACAAGCCAGTGTTGATGGAATCCGAGATAGGCCCTGGCTCTGGTTGATCGCCTCGATACCTGGTCTGGCTCCCCACCCGGTAAGGTCACGTAAAATGTCAACGGGGAATTGTTACAGCCAATGCTGAGAATGAAAATCCAGTGTTATCACGTCGTCAAACTCCGCTTGTTGCGCTTCCAACAAACGTCTTTTGCGGCGGCTTCGGCGATGGTGTCAATTAGTGGGTCGTGTTCGTGATGGCGGCATCCATTTGCGCTCGCTCAGCTCGTGATGGAGAAACATGGGCAGTCTCACACGTGAGAACCAGGAGGGCAGACACAGGCCGTGAGGACTGCAGCAGGGAAAAGATATATGTGTACACTAACCAAGTTTCGTGTCGTGTTTAGTTTCCCAACAAGGAATCGAAGAGGCGCAACGCCCAGCCCCTTTTGATCAATATGGCCAACGTAGATGTTATAGATCCATTCCATGTCAGCGCGGTCAGCAACGGGGAACCCAACAGCCACCAGTATCTTGCACAAACACAACCGACACCAAGGCTGAAAGAGGCTCTGGTGGTCGCACAAGAGAGCAATCCAATTGAAGTCTTGGACGCGGCAGCATCCATTGAGGAGGCGCCAAATGGCGAAACACAGCCCGATCAACGCCCTGCAAACATTCTCCACGAAGCATATCCCAAGTCAAATGTGCAGCTTCCTGACCATCACATTGACGATGGAAGAACTCTCAAGGTCGTTATCATCGGCGCCGGGCTTTCTGGCATTCTCGCGGGCATCTTGCTGCCAGTCAAGGTGCCAAAGCTTGAACTGACGATCCTCGAGAAGAATGACGACGTGGTATGTTGGCGCAAATATCTCTCCCTCTTCTTAAGTCTGCTGACCACCACTCTTCTAGGGAGGCACTTGGCTGGAGAATGTGTACCCGGGCGTCAGATGTGATATACCCGCTCATGTCTATCAGTCGACGTTTACTCCATATACCCAGTGGTCGCAACAGTTTGCCGAAGGCCACGAGATTCTGCGGTACTGGCAAACCCAAGCCAGAAAGTACGACGTGTACAAGTACGTGAAGTTTGGCCGCCGCGTCCAGGACGTCGACTGGAACGATCAAAACGCCCAGTGGACTATCACCGGAGTGAATCCTAAGACTGGGGAGACGTTCGAGGAGAAAGCAGACTTTGTGTTGCCGGCGATAGGTCGATTCAACGACTGGAGGCTTCCTTCTTATCCTGGAGTGTCGGACTACCGGGGCCATCTTCGACATACTTCGAACTGGGACCCGTCGTTTGATCCGACCGGGAAGAAGATTGCCCTCATCGGCAACGGAGCCAGCGGTATCCAAGTGCTACCGAATCTGCAGCCGATCGCGGACCACATCGACCACTACGCCCGCAGTAGGACGTGGATCGCGGGTTCCTGGGCGGGCGACGAGCGCACGTTCGCGCCGCAATGGTACTCGGAAGAGCAGAAAAAGGAGTTCCTCGACCCGGAGAAGTATCTCAAGTTCCGGAAGGAGTTGGAGGACAAGTACTGGCGCCGGTTCCCGTCGACCTTTCGCGGCTCCGAGGAGAATCTCCAGATGCGCGAGCGGTTCATCCAGATCATGGCCCAGAGGCTGGTGAAGAAGCCCGAACTGCTCGATCTGCTCGTGCCCGACTTCAACCCGAACTGCCGTCGCCTCACCCCGGGGCCGGGATACCTCGAGGCCTTGACGGCCGACAACGTCACGCTGATCCAAGATCCCATCAAGCGCTTCACCGCCACGGGGATCGAGACGGTCACCGGCGAGCATCGCGAGGTGGATGCGATACTCTGCGCCACGGGCGCCGCCGTGGATTTTGTTCCCCCCTTCAACGTGCGGGCTCGAGGCGTCAATCTTCGAGAGGCGTGGAAGCCGCTGTCCCAGGACGAAAAGGTCGACGCGAGCCATTTCGGCTGGCCGTACACGTACCTGGGCCTCGCCGTGCCGAACATGCCCAACCTGCTCTTCATCCACGGGCCCCACGGGGCTGGGCCGTCGGGCACCGTGCCGCACAGCGTCGAGGTCCAGGTGACGTACTACGCCAAACTGCTCCGCAAGGTCTCGACGCAGGGCATCAAGGCCATGTGGCCGTCCAAGCGGGCGGCCGACGACTTTGTCGCCTACGCCGACGCCTTCTTCCCCACCACCGTGCTCACGGACAACTGCAGCTCGTGGGCCAACGGGGCCAGGCCCGGCGGGCGCGTCCACGGCATCTGGCCCGGCAGCGCAGGACATGTCACCTTGGTGCGAAAGGAGCCGCGCTGGGAGGACTGGGAGTACGAGTACTTGCACGAGAGCGGCAACCGGCTCATAGGCTGGTTCGGCAACGGCTGGACAAGGAAAGAGAGGGACGACCACGAGGACATGACGGCGTATCTACAGCTCGAAGGCACGGTCGATCTTAGAGAGCTGCATGAGAAATGGTGGGAGTAGCACTGTGCTTGCGGACCAGATATAGAGGTTGGAAAATATTACGCTCTTTGTTCTGGGGATCCATATATAAAAATGAGGATGCAGTCACTCGATTCATCTAGCTCTATATATTTTGGGGGGGATCCTATACGAACAGTTGTTTTCTCCAGAGATTTTTCACTTGACCCTGACCACCAGTCTGCCGCCACTGATTTCCCCCCTCCGCATGGAATCCAAAGCATCATTGATCTCGCCGAACCCTTCTCTCACCCCCAAGATTGTAGGAGGGACCAAAAGACCTTGTGCCAGGAGTCGCTCGAGCCAGAGCATCAATACCTCGCCCAGTTCCGGGATCTCGTGGAATACCTTGATGGGCACGGTGTGGAAGGTGATGTTGGTCGGTGGCGACCCCTTGGGTAGCCCGGTCAGACCTACCAGATGTGCGGCCAGGCGCGCTGCATCGGTTTTCAGTGTTGTTGCCGAGTCGTCGTCCATGAATTCGGAATGCTGTTGCAGGCACTGCATCAGGTGCTTGGCTGTGTCCCGCCCGACCGTGTCCACGGCAAACCGGAGGCTGTTGTTCGTCACGGATCTCGTTATCTCGATGGCTCTCTCAGGGTTGTGGTTGTCAACCACGATGTCGGGTTTGGTTCTCGAATCAGAGGACACACTCAGGGCATGTTTGCGGCAGTCCATAATGCTGATTGTCCGTAGTCCCATGAGTCTGGCAATCTGGTTCAGCATAAACGCACTGGTGGAAGAACCACCCCAGATTGCGAGCCAGTCACCAGGTCTAGCTTTCTCAGCCTGGTTGATCCCATTCAAGCATTCCGATCGGATGTCCTCCGGAAGTCGCTGAGGATCCAATCCTCTCACTATAGAAAGAAGGTCTGGTCCATTTGCCACTTTCGAGAAGTCGAGCCCGACACAAATACCGAGACAGAGAGCTGCGGCGACAAAGGCCACGCCTAGCGACGCTCCCGATTCAGGGGCGATGTTAGGTGGCAGCCGGCAAGTGTTGAAGTCGGTGGCGACCACGCATTGCTGGTAAGCGGCTTTGCGAAGGTCCCTGTAGTCCGTGGAGATGACAATAACCAAGTCTCCGGGCTTGAACCGCGACTCCTGCCTTGGACTTATGGCGACCTCTCCCACAAGCTCACGACCTGATATGTAAGGGAGTTGTGGAATGCCGAAATTAAAGTCCCTGAGGTATGTCAGTATAGCAGGCTTGCGGACGCGCTCGAACAGGCGAGGGATTTATTTACGGTGCTTTCCAATCAATGGGGTTGAGGCCAATCACTCTATTCCAGACCAGAAGTTCTCGGTTATCCAAAAGTGACGGGATGGGGTGATCTAACACTTCTGCGTAAGGCTGCTTGGGGGCATGGAGCAGGAGGGCACGCTGCTGTGTCGAAATGTTCGGCAGCGAGGAAGACGACGATGACGATTTTGACGAAGGATTCTCAATCTCTTGGACGGTGAATTCGACAGTGATGTCTTTGGCTGTGCTTGTGGTCCTCAAAGACCGGAAGAATCGAACGAACCCCATGGCTCTCACAACGTGAATCAGTTGTGCTGCTCAGTGCCAAATGCAAGATATTCGGTCCGCTGGATCTTGAAGTCGCTCCAGGGCTTGGGACAACTAATCTGAAAAGCGAGATCGGATAACGGGAGCCACTCCAGGCATATCATGGTAAGCAATATGGGTACGAGTCTTGTAAAGACTCTGACACAAGATTTTGATCGCACGGTGTATTTGTGATCCAGGTATCGCGTATCGCTTGGTAAGTAAGAAAGGGTGTTATCCGCTTACATGGCCAATTCTTTGCACATGGTCCTTCGTGCTGAGATTGAACGGGACTATGTCGTGCTCAGACTCCATGGTCGCAACATGTCCCGTCGCTCCCATCAATGCCCTAACTGCGGTTCCACACGAACATGTCCGCTCGAAATCCCACCTGAGGATCTTTTCCGCTCCAGTGCGTAGGCAAACATTGGCAACACGGGCCCTTTTTCTCTCTCCGTAGACGCGTCTGAAGCAGGTTGGCCACACAGCAAAGCCGATAACCTGAGTCCGCAGTTGATCCACTCAGTTCACTGCCAGGAGCATTTCGAGAGGGTGAATTGGGGAAAGTGCGGAAATGGTTCTCGTATTGCGTGCTATTGAACACAATGACGCGATCTAGTTCTCTGAGACACGGTCAGCAATCGCACAAATGACCGGAAGCGAGGACCAAGGATGGGACTTGGCGGCGCAGATATCTTTATGTTGAAGTCCAGCACCACATGGCAGTCTGAGCAGACGTCCAAACGCCCAAGCGCCGTGAGAGGAGATACCAGTGTATGATATCGAGATGTCGACAGTTGAGGCTGGAAGCGTATCGACAAATGGAGCAAATGGCGCGGATGGTGCGAATGGCACGACGCGGCTTGGCAGCGGAAGCAAGAAGCAACTCATCCTCAACGCCTTCGCCATGAACACGCCTGGCCACCTCTCTCCAGGGCTCTGGCGACACCCCCGAAACAAAACATACAATTATAAGAAACTGGACTTCTGGACGGACCTCGCAAAACTCCTTGATGACGCTGGCTTCCATGCCCTGTTCCTTGCCGATGTCCTCGGGGCCTATGATGGTAGGTCTTGCAAACCAAGGACTGTCGTCCTTCCCCTGTGTAGGATAGATGTTCCCAGTGCCCTCAACATCCTTGTTCAGACCTTGGGCAATTCTCTCTTTGGCCTCTACCCCGACTTGCTTGCATTGTCATATGATGTTGTCGAATATCTCCTGCCGAACCAACCAAAATGAACACATGAACACAAGCTGAAGGAAAATTAGTCTACAAAGGTCCAGCCAATGCAGGCCCAGCCCTGGAATCTGGCGCCCAGTTTCCTGTCAACGACCCGCTGTATCTGGTACCCGCCCTGGCTGCTGTGACAAAGAACCTCGCATTTGGTATCACAGCCAGCACGACTTATGAACAACCATACTCTCTAGCGAGGCGGTTTTCGACGGTGGATCATCTGAGCAACGGGCGCGTGGCTTGGAACATCGTGACCTCTTACCTCGACAGTGCAGCTCGAAATTTCGGTCTCTCCCAACAGGTTGAACACGATGCGCGCTACGAAATAGCAGAGGAGTACATGGAAGTCTTGTACAAGCTGTGGGAGGGAAGCTGGCGTGGGGATGCCGTTGTGGCGGATATGGAGAGTGGTGTCTATGCCCTGGGCGACCGCGTTCGACAGATCAACCATCAGGGCAAGCATTTCAACATCCCAGGCCCTCACATTTGCGAGCCCTCTCCCCAGCGCACACCCTTCCTTTTCCAAGCAGGGACTTCCAAAAGTGGGCGAGCATTTGGAGCTAAACACGCAGAAGTAATATTTGCCGGAGCGCAACTGCCGGAAAAACTCAAACCTTCGGTTGCGGCCATTCGTCAGTTGGCACGAGAGGCTGGTCGCGATCCATACCATGTCAAGATCATTGCCAGCATGTGTGTCATCGTCGCCGAGACGGATGAGGCTGCCAAGAAGAAACAGGAGGAGTTTCTTTCTTACGGGAATCGAGAGGGAGCCCTCGCTCTATTCGGCGGTTGGACTGGTGTGGACCTTTCGACTTACTCGGAGGACGAAGATTTTCGGTTTGTCAAGATGCCCATGATCAACTCGATCATCAACGGGTGGGCAGACACGGTTCCGGGAAGTGAGAATCTGAAGTGGAACAAGGCACGCATCGCAGAATACTTGTTGTTGGGAGGGATGAACGCCAAGATTGTGGGCTCTGCCTCTACGGTTGCGGATGAACTCGAACGTTGGGTGGAAGTGGCAGACGTGGATGGGTTCAACTTGTCCCATGTGGTGAACCCCGGCTCTTTCGAAGACATTATTGAGTTTTTACTGCCCGAACTTCGAGCCAGGGGTATTTTCCGAGCCGAGCCCGAGAGGGAAGGGCACACCGCCCGCGAGCAGTTCTTTGGAACACCGTGGCTGTTGAGTGACCATCCAGGCAGCAAGTTCAAATGGGACGTCCACGATGAGGTACCTCGATATCTGCAGACTCAGTAGGAGGGTTGTTACACTGAACGAGTTGACATTGCATGAGGTTTCTCCTGTTGTGCGGCTTGGAGATAAGGGCGAACAATAACCTGAAGTGTACTGTGTACCTCGACGTTTGCCCGCATGTGGTTCTGACAGTGGTGGAGAAGTTTCTTTCGGCCAGCAGCAGAGTTGGCGACCACCTGTTGCAGGGGACAGGTGTTTCGTAGACTTGACCACCCATTGACAGCCATCGGCGATGCGATGTAACTTACAGCAATGCAGGAGAAGAGAAGTTGACGATGACGAGCCTTGTCGCCCACTGGCCTGAGTAACTAAACAAGCGCTATGGGGCTCGCTGAGCAGAAGTAGCAGGTTTCCCGAGGCACCCCCTCCATTAGTATCCCCAGTGACGTAATGACTCGGTACAACTTACTATTACAGCTCTCGCTAGGCACTTAGCAGCAAGGTACCTCGCTTCCACCTAACCATAACAAGGCCCTACCTAGATAGATATACCTTAACTACTCAGGTATAGGCGGTTGTTCCCTGACTGATCACAGCAACATCAAACTCTTTCCCTCTGCTCCACCTCGCCAGTCGTTCAGGGGGGGTTGGCAAGTTGGCAACCTGCCATTTCTGACACGCGACACCGCCTTTTGCCCTTGTGCCTCCAACGACCGACCAGAAACTCGAGCTGCTGTTGCTGTGGCGTGCGCTTGGATGAGTTTGGGATATGCGACCAGTCAAGTCGCACGCCTGGGAGAAAAAGCACCCCCACACCGGGACGCCAAATATGCTGGTGACGAGTCTACTGCCTACCCCGGACCGACGGATACGAGAACCACGTTAGGCTGCCGGTGAGCCTCGAAGACCATCCAGCATCAGAAACAAACAATAGACGTTCGTTTGACGTAAGGATGTGCACACAGGCATGGGAGCACGTCGAGCAGTGGACCTTCTCTTTCAATCCCTCATGCAGACCATGTGCTCGGTGGTTGATCCCTTTGGCTCGTGGCTTACTCCTCCCGTTGCGGCCCCCTGTCCATGCTTCGCACCGGCGTGGCCAACCCTCGGTGTTTGCCGCAATGCCCGCAGTCTATTCTATTCCTACCATGTCCTGGCCCATGAATCTGAGCCAGTCATCATTGACTCGTGTTTGTAGTGGATGTCTGGTCCCTGCAACTGATTCTCAGCTGCCGCTGCCGGAAATGCAGCGTGGCAATGCCTGCCTTAGTCGCTCGGGCGCTGGGGCTTCCTTGTCTGAATCATCATTCTCGTCCCCTTGGCCTTCTTTGATTCTGTCTCAACACAGCGAAGCTCCTGGGGGTTTTATCACACTTTGTGCATTGTTCTGTTTCTTCAGAGTTAGCTCATTTGCTTGTCTACGAGGTACTAAACATCTCTAAAGCGTCGAAAAGGACGACGGTGGCTATCCTTCTCGCTTCCAGCCTTATACTTCTAGTGGCAAAGACACATCCATTGGCCTCCGGATTCTCAGGGTCGCCTCAGGCTTGCATACGGGCCGACAACCGTCACACCGAGCTAGAACGCCAATCCTCCCACTACTACTTGGCCTTCTCGCATTTCGCCTCCGTGTTGACGCACAGGCCTTTTCTCCCTTTCGGATCGCTTCCAGTCTCGCTCAACTTAAGCCAACCACTCGCTACAGACTGCTGCACGTCAAGTATCACAGCATCACAGCCCACCCACAATCCGCTGCGTGTTCCCATTCGTCGCAAGAAAACAAACCTATCACCTGTGCGCTGATTGGTTTCTGGTGGGCATCGAAGAACTATTAAGAAGCTACCCTCTCTCCCCATGCTCGTTGAAGGAGCCCAGCGTCTTTTAGGGCTGCTCGGTGCACATTGGCCTTGCCTTTGTGCTTTGCTTCTGATCTTGTCCTCATGGAGACCGTCTTCATTACCATCCACGGTCAGTACTACTGCTCTGGGGGGACTGTTGGGACCTTGCTGATAACCGCTCCTAGATCTATCCCAGGATGCCCGAATCAGGTATTGTTCCGACTCGGTCGAGGACATACTGGGCTACTTTCCCCACGAGGTGACGGGGAGATCATGCTGGGACTACTTCCACCCAGACGAGATCCCCTTCGCCAGGGCTGTCCACGACCGTGGCATCAGTCTTGACAAGGCGGCTGTTATGAACTATTGCCGCATCAAGCATAAGGATGGTCACTGGGTTGGTTGTGAATGCGTCTTTACTGTTGTTCACGATGTCCTTGTGGCCAGTACTGCCATCTATCGCCGCGGTCCAAAGGCAAGACGTACGTCAACTTCCACTTTCTTGATCCCAAGCGTTGTCACTGATTCAAACAGAGAGAGCACTCGACGGGGCCGGTATCCGGCGAATCTTCTCCTCTTCTCCTCGAGATCCCAGGTACCACATGTTATCATATCTGTCCAACAAGTTCTACGACGAACCGGCTGCTCATACTCCAGAGCCGAGGGCAGCGCTCTTCCTCAACCGCTTCTCACGCACCTCCACCGTCATGTTCGCCACAAACGGCGTCGCCGCGATCCTGGGCCTTCAGCCGTCAGATCTGGTGGGAAAGAGCTTCTACCATTGCATTGACCGGGCGTGTCTTCAAGACGCCGTCAAATGTATTGAAAGCGCCAAAGCTAACGACTCAATCGCCTACCTGCGATTCTGGTACCACAACCCTCAACAGGAAAATGACCGAGCTGATGGCGAACCCTTTGGTGACGAGAGCGATGAAGACGACGACGGTGGTGTTCCGCTGGGGACTGGCACGCGTTCCGGTTCTAGTGTCTCGATGGGGGATGCTTCAACTCCCCGCCAGATTGAAGATACCACCAATGTCACCGATCATCAGGCGTCGAGCCCTCCTGGACAAGCCTCCACTTCTCAGATCGACGGGGCTCTACAGGAGCCTGGAACCGACACACAGAATGTTCAAGTGAACGGCCATGATGACAGTCTTGCACCTTCCACGGGCGCCAACCTCAACAATCAACCATCCGCTTCCAATGCGAGCACCGATCTCGTTATCGGCGAGCATCAGGCGGGGTCTGACCAAGGAGCCTCTCAGACCTCAGCTCCACTGCAGACTGACCCAGGAGCCACCAATGGAGGACGACTGGAGCTTGAAGCCGTAGTTTCCTGCACTTCGGATGGACTTGTTGTCATCCTCCGCCGTGCGAAACCGTTGGTTCCACATACACTTGGAGCGACGGAGGCTCCATATTACGCCAACGGGCTGTTTGCGTCGCCCTGGGCACCCGAACCAGTCATGCCTCCTACCATACAACAAACGACCGTGGCTCCCGCTACCTCTTTCCCAATGACGGACTCGTCCGAGTCTGGGTTCATGGCTGCCATTCGGGAAGTTGCGGTCTTTGCTTGGTCACTCACAGGGATCAATGGTTCTGTCGCGCAGTATGCTCGGGGTAAAGCATCTCCAGAGGCATTACCACCAGATGGTCTACCTATCTGGGACCCTAACGCTGATGTTGACCCGAAGGCCAATGAATTATACAACGGCTTCTTGGGCAGCGCGCATCGCCCATTTGCGGACTCTGGTGAGTCCAGCGTTACAAAGAAAGACGACGACTTGGGCAGCAGCGATGACGAAGTACTCTGGAAGAGAGCACCAACAATGACGCAATGGAGACGACCCAAGAGAAGAGCCCATCAAGACGCTTTTGGAGCGGAAGGGAACGATGGAGTGGATGGCGGGAATGAAGATGGCAGGAGAAAGAAAGCCACCAAATCGCATTCCAGCTCCGTGCCGAGTTCAGGTTCCGGAGCAGCATCTGCTGCAGGTTCTTCTTCTGGCTCGACCTGATAGAGCCTGCTCTCGGTTTTTGCATCAGATTGCGTGTGGAAAGGCGGTGCCTGCGATATCGTTCCTTGAAGCGGGCAAGCCAGTCGAATATCTGGGTATACATTCATTGACTAGGACACTTATGATCCGACGAAATTGATAGTTATAACGTGCCTCTTATGAATTATCGTATGTGTTCGGTGTGGCATAAAATGCTTGAAGTAGATGGGATAATCTCTTTGCGATGTGGCTGGCCTTTGTCCAGAAGTAAGTGGCGTAGTCTGACAGAGAAGACGCTTCTTCGACAAGAGAGCCGTCAGATCAGATGTAGCTAATAGTGTCAACAAGGACAGGGACATCAGTGTGTCCAAGGGGAGAGTAGATGTCTTAACCTGGGAAGAAGGTCGTTGATATGGGAGGCACGTGTTTTCGTGTTTCGGACGTGGAACGTGCCCGCGACCACGATTTTGCGACAGTTGCTCATTTTCGGTCTTCAATGTTTTTGGCAACAAGACCATTCCGACCACGTCATGTGTGGCTACTTTATGCTCTGGAATTGACTCCCTGACGACTGCAAGATGCCTCTTGTCAACGACAAAATGAATGCTAAGCAATACATTCAAAACCGCGAATCCGTCTCACACCAAGGCCGCCCGGAAAAGCGGTCACTGACACCGCAGCCAAATTCCGGCCGTGAAAGGTCGCAGCAGCGACAAGACGAAGCCCGCCGCAGAGTCCAGCAAGGCAGCCACGGCAAGGAGAATAGCGAGGCCATCAGTCGACGGGACGCTGCGAAGTTGAAGTTGGACGTTCCGAACACGCTGACGATCTCGAGTTCAAAGCATGCTCAGCCGGCTGGACACGGTGCCGCCCCAGAGCCAGCAGTGGCTCAGCCCAACATATTTGCCCGTCCTGCACCGAGTATCGAACGCCATCACAATGTGTGTATAGCTTTCTGCGCACCCCTCCCAGGAAGACCTCCCCCCCGACTGACTCAGCTCTAGGCGTTTGACGATACCCAAAGCATCCATTTTGACGATTCGATGAGCGTGGCCGACGAGAAGACTGGACGCACGAAACCTTCCTTCAGCTTCAATCACGGAGGGAGCATGCCTCCTCTCTGGAACAACGACCTTCCTGTCCATCCTCCCGCTCATCATCTCGAAGGTTCAAAACTACTCTTTGGGGAACGTGAAAGGATTCCAGGACTCCCTGCGGATTGGCAAGCTCAGTCGGACGCTGAAAGACTTAGGCGTGGCTTTGACGCAGTGCACGGTGCACGGTTCAGTCACAACATTGACCACGCGAAGTATGGGAAAGTCGACCACGAGGAAGGTTCCGATCAGGACGGCGACATCGACGAAGGAACGTCCATTGTGGAGAACACACCTTCACGCACTCGAATGGGTCCGGTGGCAAAGACCACCTCCAAGCCTGGTAAAGAGAAAGCGAAAAGGAGCCACAGGCCCGAAGAGCTGGGTAGTCGTCCTTCGCCAAACCACAGAAAGTCTCTCAGCGACGTGGCGCCCGCTGTCGTGGTTGAGCCTTCAAGCCGACAACAGATCAACCGCTTCAATGTTTACAAGTCGCTCGAGACAGACCCTGAGACAACGCTGCCTGACAGTCTTCGTCAGACTATCCAAATCCCCCAGCCACATGCATCGCTTGTGCACCCACCAGCCTTCTCTTCCAAGATGTCCTCGCTTCACGAGTCGTCCTCCGATGAAGAGCAACCTCTCGCCGCAACCACCTCTGAATCTCCGCGGCTGGGCTCGAAACGTCACCGCTCAGAATTAGACCTGGATTTTGAACTCGAAGTCCTCAAGGGCAAGACCATGGCGGACCTCGACGCCATCCCGTTCACAGTCGACCCTCGATGGTCGGCGCCCGACCCCGCCGTCGACGCCAACGGCACCCCGATGACCCTGCCGGCCAAACTCACGAACCTAACAAAAATGCGCCCGGAAGACCAACGCAACCTGTTCAAATCCCTCACCGACGCCGAGCGCGAGCAGACGGCCGAATGGTTCGTGGAAAAATTCAAGGCGGACATGCACAGGCTGATGGCCGTGCGCTTGGAGAGGAGGAAAATCGCGCTGAGGTTCGAGTTGGAGGTGAAGAAGAGGGAGAGGCAGGTCGAGGTGAAACGGGGGGATGTGGACGAGGAGTTGGCCGGGCTCAAAAAGGGCGGCGGGGAATTGATCAGAGGCAAGTCGCCCGCAAAGTGAAGTCTCGTGTCTTGTCTTTTTTTTGGTTTTTGTGTTTGTTATTCTTCCGGAGAGAAAAGGGACAAAAGTTGTACAACAAAAGAAGGCATGGACGAGCCAAGGGGCAATGTATACATTAATCTGGACCTTGGTCGGGCGAGTGATGAAGCAAAACAGGCTCCGGAATCTACCCACGAAGTTATGACGGAAACAGGAATGAAAAGGAACAACCGATGGAGTGTCTGCGCTCTCCCTCATGCACGACTCGATGATTTCACGACATAGGACGTACGTATGGACATACAGGACATGTTCACGAACCCACCTAACTACTTATCTACCTAACTACCCATCCACCCACCTACCGACCCACCAAAGTGGCCGGCTGCATTTACCTCTCAAGAGGACCACAAGCGAAGGAAGAGGAGGGGAACAAGAAGAAAGTAATTACCCAGATCAAACGGGGAGATTGAGTGTCGAGAGTTTGGCTCTAAAGACAACACAAACAAGAGCGCGGCCAAACCGTGATGGTGTTTCTTGGAATGCCACCACTGGTATGCCCTCGAGGCTCTGCGGTCGGTAGTGTACACAGTAGGGAGGCGATTTGTGCGGGCATGATTGTCACACGTGTAGTATTAGAATCAGGTAATCTAAGCTCGTTCCAAACTACTCCTCTCTGTAGCGATGTTGTTTATGCCCTTCCCCACGCACAGGAGATATATATCGAGCGACTAAGAAGATATGCGTACAACAGAAGGTGAAATTCGGCTTGATTTCGCTGGAGTTTGCTACTTCCAGATTGTCTATATCTGTTCTGTCTGTCCGGGTACCAGGGACCCGCCGACTAACTGTGAAGCTATCAGGGCTGTTGGAAGGATTCCCTACTTGCTCCATCTATGACCTGACCACTCCCGATCTGCTCTTCGATCAGCAACGAAACACAAGCAAAAGAGCAATTGTTGCTCGGCTTGAGCTGACTTGGACCTAGCATTAATTCCTCTTGCAGGAGGGAGTGCGGCTTGAATTCGTCTCATCTCTCGGAGACACGGAGTGGCCAGTCGCTCTAACGGTTCCGTCTTCGGACGTGATTGTCATGTCGAAGGAACCACCTCTCAGGGTGTTGGGGTTCGAATCTCATGACGAGCATTTGCTGTACAGCTCCGATGATGATGTTGAGGTTCTGCTCTCCTCTAGTCGATGGGAAAGCCGGGTAGTTGCCTAGTCAGGGATGCCGATTTTGCAAAATGCCGCACTGGTTCGGGAGGAGGATTGAGAAATGTATCATCAACAACGCCGTTTGGGCAGTGTTGTGAGATTCCGCACACTGTCGCTGCCGAGGCCTGCGTCTGGCAAAAAGGGACTCAATGAGTCAATCGCTTGAGACCGGCTTCAAATGTTCTGGTGGATAAAGATAGAGGGCAGCCATTACAGCCCTCAACTTTTGCTTCTCTCGCTTGTGGTCGCATGTGGCTCAGCCTCAGCCGTGTCGCTTGCCTCACCTGCCTCCGTCTCAGCATCGTTCTGAGCCTTCATTACCAGCTTTCCCAACACTTTCGCCAGCCGCTGATAATCACCAAGCAATTCTTGCACCTCGCCAAGCCTTAATTCTTTCGCATCAGCCAGCTTCATGAATCTTGTAATGGGCGGCGCGGCCTTTATAGCCACCAATTCATTGTGATCGGGCGATCGCAAGGCGGCTTCGTGTTTGATTTTCCCCTCTGGTGAATCTTCCTTGTGCTCCTGGGCCACAACTATCGTTGGCGTAGGAGGGGTCTGTGAGGCTGGAGGAGAAGCTGAAGCAGCAACTGCCCTGCCACCAAACCGTCCAAATGCACCACCAAATGCAGAACCTATGTGGCTCATTGGATTGAGACTGGTGCCAAAATTCTTCACCGTCTCGAGGGGATTGGTGGTCGTCGGTTGTGTTGCTGGTGGCGTGGGTTTTTGCGGAGGTCCGCTTGCTGGTGTTGTAGAAGGACCATTTGGAGGCGAATTCGTGTTTCCTGGAAGGAAGCCCACTCTTTTTCCGGTGCCGCTTCCATTGCTCTTCACGCTGTCCACACTTCGCTCCCGGACAGCTGCTTTTCGTCCTCCTAACAAGCCTAGGAGTTTCTCTTCGGTCTTTGTCAAACTGGAGGGCATTGGGCTAGTCTGCCCATCATGTACGGAGCTTGATTCGCTGAGAGCATGGTCGTCTTCGTCCGGGGTTAACGGCCGACTAACAAGTTGCCTGGCCTCGTCCAGCGTCTTGGGAAGGATAACTTCAGTGTTGGGACCTTCGGTGCCTCGTTCCTTCAATTTGCCAAGGAGAAATTTAAAGCTGTTGTCTAGGCTATTGGAGATGTTTTTGAAGCCTTCCTCTGCCGTGGAGCGAACGGCTTCATTCGCGTTGCTTATGGGCTGGAGAAGGTCCGAGAATGTACGTTGATGTCGTGTAGAGGGAGTAGGCGTGGACTTTCCGGGAAGGGATTTGACGATCGACGAAGTTTGACTTGTTTGGATTGCTGTGCCCGTAGCATTGGACGTCGAAGTGGCTGTTGTCGGAGACAAGGGTGCAGGGACCGATTCTGGCAACAAGGGAAAGGCTTCAAGCTTATCCGAGCCACCGTCTCCTTCTGACTGGGAGGGAGCCTTCTTGGGGCCTTCTGGCAGTTCATCCGCCCTCAGGCTCGCTAGGTCGACATCTTCCAGAAAGGTGATAGCAGCTTCCAGATTTGTGAGGCAATAAGCGGCCTCGCCGTCGATCTTTGGTGCCGCTCTGAATCGCTGGATGAAATAAAGATTGCTAATAATGTTGATGCCTTCAACTGGGGACGTGATCAAGGTGTAAATCAGAGTCGGCAGGATCTCGTCGGCAGAGGATGAGGACGGGTGTATTGAATACAGAGTGTCCACAACGGCCTTATGGGCGGTGGTGAGGTGTTGTAACTTCCCTAGCGGATAATGCTCTTCATTCATCTTAGCCAGGCTCTCTCTCGCGGGAGCCAGTGAAGCTTGAACGTCTTCGACCGACTTTTCAGTGTCTTCGCTCCAATCAATACCCAAGTCTTTCAGGCCTATCCCTACCAATGCTAATGCTGCTGTTTTCGATCTCAGCTTCTCGTCTCTGACCTCATCCAGGGTACTTTTGTGTCTCCATATTTTGTCATAGACCTTCTCGCATACTCTTTTCTCCACTGCCTCTTCTAGGACGATCCTCTTGTATTCCAACAGTTTTCTCTGTTTGCGTCTCTCCGTGACCTCGGAAGCCGTCAGCATCTGCTGGGAGCTTCCTCTTTGGTCCAATGGTCCCAGAGAATCACTTGAAGGTTTGGTTTGCAGAGGTCTGGAGCGCGAGGAAGGTTTCGAGGGTGTAGGCGAATGGTCTCGATGAAGGCGGGATTTGAGCGCGGAAATGTGAATGGAGATTGCTCCAGATGCCCGAGCATAGAATTCCTGAAACAGTTCCGACAGCTGTTCGATCGTCGGCGGCTCATTGTATATTTTAGCACTGAGGGACTCAATGAATCTGTCGGTCAGGCTTGCCAACTCTATGGGCAATTCGTCAAACCGATCGGGAAGGCTGTTGACCCGTCCCAGGTCTGGGGATGCGGGCTCATCTTCCTCATTTATAGGCTTTTCGAAGATGTCTTCCGGAGAAGAGTCCTGCTTCTTTGGGGATTTCAGAGAGGTGACGGATTGGATGGTGCTGGCTCTATTTCTACCCGCGGAAGAGGAGGGAGCAGGAGGCTCGTAGCGAGTAAAGGATTTCGTGGGAAGAGCAGAGGGTCTCGACTTCATTGAGCCTGTTGAGATATTCCTCGACATGATGAAGATCAAGATGTGACGGTCTCGAGTGCGGAAGCCAGTGGACAGACAAATACCCTGGACTGCGCTGTCAGCCTATCTCAGGCAGCCAGCATGGGAGGTCTTAGAAGAGCATCCTTTTGCTCCAAAGAGAAACCATCAACAATGCTGTGCCTAGGAGTCGCAACTGACCCCAGACCCGGCTCATCCGCAGAGGATTCGTGGTGCGTTGTTTCGTTGTTGACTGCTGAAACAAAAGCCCACCAACGCATGTGATTGATGGGATTGGTCACTCGCAGAATGTGGTTTAGTTGCCCTCCGCAGCCCGCTCGACGTCAGTGCCTTCCAGACCCGTCTCGCCGTCCACGAGACCCCCCGAGCCACTTCAGTCAACAGTCATTCAAGCCGCCATCGCTCCGATCTCCTCTGCACTCTGATCCATCAACACACCCAATATGAAGACCCGGAAACCAAGAGACAGGGTTTGCACTTCAGGCAGCAGAATCACCGCGAGCATGCTACTGTCGTTCCTCGCTCTTGTACCCTCGATCGCAGCGACCAAACTCCCCGCCGCTATCGATCCCTGGTACCCAGTACCGGCACCGAAAGAACCAGACACTCATGACTTTACACTCAGACATATTTTCCATCGAGGCACCTATCGAGATCCCAACCTGCACAAACGATACGATTTCAGCCCGCAGGCGCCCGTCCTGCTCACCCAAGAAGACGACCATGCCCTGACGTCCTCCCTTCAACCGCCGCCACATTTTACCCTTCGTTCTGACTCTGTCGAGATCGAACGACTAGTCGATAGACAGCCGCTGAACATCGAGAGATTTCTCCAGCATGCACGCCTCACTGGCAGCCCGGCTGTCCTTGACGCTTCGCAGTGGACACTGGACGAGATCGAGGGTCCCAACATCGTGCACAAACCCACTGTCCTCAACATGGCCATTATGGCAGCCAACGCCTATAACCCAGGCCCTGGCGAGGGTGATTGGGAGGATGTCAGCCAAGGTTATAACCAGTCTACACCGTTTGGATGGGAAGGCGATGGTTTGAGAGGTCATATATTTGCCAACGAAGGCAATGAAACAGTTATTATTAGTCTAAAGGGGACTTCTCCTGCCGTCTTTGACGGAGACGGAACCACCACCAAGGACAAACTCAACGACAATCTCTTCTTCTCCTGCTGTTGTGCTCAGGGCGGCTCATATTTCTGGCATCAGGTGTGCGACTGCCAAACCAGCACATATACTTGTAACTCGACATGCGTGGTGCAGGCCCTGCGACAAGAAAACCGGTACTATCGAGCCGCAATCGACTTATATACCAATGTCACAGAATTATACCCAGACTCAAACGTCTGGCTGGCGGGTCACTCCCTCGGAGGCGCGGTGACCAGCCTCCTCGGTCTCACATTCGGCCTGCCCACGGTAACATTCGAAGCGCCCGGCGATGACCTCGCAGCAAAACGCCTTGGTCTTCCCACTCCTCCATCGTCAGATCCCCATAGACCACGCACAAAATATACAGGAGCCTACCACTTTGGAAACACCGCGGATCCAGTATTCATGGGTACCTGCAATGGAGCCACAGCAACATGCACTTTGGGCGGGTACGCCATGGAATCTCAATGCCATACGGGCAAACAATGCATTTACGACACTGTGAGTGATTACGGTTGGCGTGTCGGAATAGGAAACCATAAGATCCACAACGTCATCGACAACATTATCAAGATCTACCAGACTGTCCCCTCTTGTGAGCCTGATGATGAATGCGTGGATTGCTTCAATTGGAAATTCTTTGAGAGTAATGGCTCGGACTCGACGACGACGACCAGGACAACTAGCACAAGCTCAACAACGTACACGAGAACGAGCACATGCAAGACTCCAGGCTGGTGGGGATGTCTAGACGAGACTACAACGGCGAGCACAACTTCAACGACACCAGTGGTGACCACAACCTACACCACGACAAGCTGCGCTACGCCGGGCTGGTTTGGATGCAACGAGAAAGTCAACATCACGGTAACGACAACCACACTCGCGCCAACGACAACTTCGCCTACAACGTCTGTTCCTGCTTCCGTCACTCACGAACCATCGTCTTCTACCTGTGAGCACCCGGGTTGGTGGGGTTGTCGCGATCCCTCCTCGACTACAGATAAGCCATCTCCGTCCTCGGCGTTGTCGAGTCCAAGTGCTACAAGGACCGCTAAGCCACATAAGAAGCACACGTGCAAGACACCCGGATATTTCTGGGGTTGTTATGATACGCCCAAGTCCCACCACCGCCATGCTACAAGCAGTGCGGTTGATGCTTCAACAACAAGTGACGGCATGATCACGCGAGCACCGACGATCAGCACAAGCGCTATAAGTGCTACAGCTACTCAGACCACTACCGATGACGGTTCGGGGAAGAGAAGGAAATGCAAAAAGCGGGTGTTCTTTGGGCTGATCTGTTTGGAGGATTACGAGGACGAATATGTGCCTGAACTTTGATTGTTGGGTATATCACAGCACGATTTGATGATACTTTGCCATTTAGGTGTGATTGTATGGGACTGCATGCATGCGCTTTGGTTGCACGTGGGTTGGCGTATTATACCGAAGAATGGTCCTCAGGTTGAAGCCTCTGGACGGATTTTTGAGTTATGAGGACTGCTCATTCGTTTTCCTCGACATGCAACATTGAGGATCAGCATGGACTGCCCAAGCTCTCCAGGATATCTCGGGGCAAGCAAGGAATGTGCCTGAAGCCCTCGCAATTACTATACAGTAACAACTTCTCAGATGATCACTGTCTGGAGCCAGGACGGTAGTTAAGCTTAGGTCAAATCGCTTGTTAGAACGTGCTTGTATTGTGAACACCACCCACAGAACTGTTCCTCAAGCTACCACAATCTGTGCCGCCAATGCGATACGACTACAGGCCCAGCGGGTTGTCTGCGGTCTGCTTCTTACCACCGATCGAATCCGTAGTAGATTTAGTGGTATTGCCCACCGCCTTGGTGGTGTCACCGAGCTATATACAACAGATCCAGTCAGCCCATACTATGCAAGGCTTTATTATGGCCAATCTTTGCTGACGGACACGAACGAAGAAATGGAGAATCGAAGGGTGTGGTGGTTTTTTTTAAAAAAAAGAAAAAAAAAAGACGTACGCCTTGAGTGGCTCCGCCCACGGTCTTGCCCACGCCCTCGCCGACGCCGGAGACGGTGTTGCCCAGGGTGTCCTGCGTAGATCCTCGATGTATTAGCTGTGGCAGTCATTCTGGAGAATGGCGGGGAGAATACGCACCGTGACGCCGCCCACTGTGTTGCCGACTGTGTCGGTCAAGCCGCCCAGGATGCCTCCTACTAGGTAGGTTGACTTTGTTAGTCGAAAACACTCCTTCTTCAAGCATAAACTGTGAGATCATCCGGCGGGGAGTGGATTGAAACGCCTCCAGGGCTGGAGGAGGCGCCAGAAGGACAAAGGATATGGGAAACGGCGGGAGGAGAAGTGGGTGGCGCGAGCAGTAGTATTTGGGACATACCGCCTTGCTTCTTCTGTTGTTGGTCAGACATGATGGAAGTTTTGTGTTGTAGCAAACTTGTCCTTGTTCGAGAATTGTTGATATGGAAATGCTATACGTTGGTGGAAGACGATGTGTACACAGGGGGGGAGCGAGCATGTGGCTTAAGCACGGGGAGTATATGTAGCTTTTCCCCCTCAAGAGCCGTTTGAACGCCTCCTCTTTTCCTCCTGTTTTCAGCATAGGAGTCGTCATATCACTTGCCTTGCTGTGGCATTTGTGCCACAAAGGGATGGTGACTTGACGTCAGTCTCGATCCCTCTAGGGAGCGAACCCTGGTCCTAGTAGGGTGGTAGGTTAGGGATCGCACTTGGGGGTGTGTCCCAAGGGTTCTCGGGCCACGGGCCACATGGTGGCTGTTTCGAGGCAGAAGCCAGAGACGAGTGGCTTGGACACTTGAGGGGCCCGATCTGATCCAGACATCCCTGTTGCTGACAACGAGAGTGGTCAAAAACACCAGTCAAGATGAACGAAAAGAACAAACCAGGATTGCTGGTGTGAGGAGAAGTGGAGGGCACGGTGAGTTGATCCTGGTAGAAATGACGTCGATGCAGCTTGCTCATGATCGTTCGTATTTGTCGATGCCATGGCCTTGAAAACAACACAAACCGCAAGGTGCACATTCAGGCCATACACAAATAACAAGGATGTCACTTGAAACTACAAATACTTAGTTGTTACTCCTATTGTAACTCGCCATGTAGACCGTGGTATTTAAGGTGATACAAAATATAACATTTCTCATCCACCAAGACAATCCCTATCCAAGGCTCATAGCAACGTCCTCCTGGACACTGAATGCTCGATGTCCAGGAGCATCTCGCCATTTATCCAGCATGTCGTCCTCGGGCCCATCGCGACTCCGATCACTCCGTGTGCTGAGCTGGCCCGTATTCTTCCCACTAGAGCTCTTGCTATCACTCCGGTCTCTTTTCGAGAACCAGCTGCCCGGCTTCTTCACTCCTGACGACTTGACAGTGCTGTTGGCGTCATTGGACTTTTGATCTGCTTCAGATGGTTTCTCTGTAGGAGGTCTTGAGTCTGCGGTAACTGTGTCTCCCGACCCGCCGACCCCTTTCGCAACCTCTTTTGCTCTCCTCACCTTGACCTCTTCCGTGTCCGACAGAGGTTGTGCTGGGGTGCCGCTTGGAGTGTCCTCAACGCTCGGTGTCGCTTCGACAAGTTCCGCATCACGGAACCACTTGCGTCTCCTTGTATATCTGCCCCATCCGTCCTCCCTTCTTCCATCTTCCCACCTATTGTCATAGTATATCCAGCCTCCACCATCATCGGCAGTCGCCTTACCCGACATGCCACCTGCTCCTATTTTGCTGTCGCTTGTCGCCCTCTTATGTGACTTGGCGTCTCCATGCTCTATTCGCCAGTCAGAGTCGATCCATCTCCACCGGGACAAACCACCCTCCACATCTGGGAGTTCGAACTCTTCTTTGGATGGTGCAGGGTTCAGATGTTCGTCCGTCCAAGGCGCGCGTTCGTATGCAAACAAAGAGGTTGTCCACCCCAGACCCAACCACCGCCGCTGGTTCTCGTATAGTATAAAGGTGAAACGAACGCCTGAAGAGTCCGGTTTCCGCTTGTTTGCGGCTTCCGAGGCGAGGTCGCCTTGAGATTTCGATCTGGTTCCAATTGATGGTCGATTTGACGGTCCAGATTTAGCATTCGGTGAAGTATCAAATTCCAAACCAGTGATGAATGCCGCAGCCTTGCGCATGAAGACAGAACGCCAGAGAATAACCCGAGACACCCGAGCGGGCTTGGAATGCCAGGTCAATATTATTGTGCCAACAGCAAGAATGACTCGTCGAGGAGTCAGGATATAGAAAGGCGGAAGAGTCAGGGTAATCCAAAAGGGGGTAACTAAAAGAACACGGATGAAGAGAGTCGTCAAAGCTGGCCGGGTCGTAGCGGCAGTCGGTGTGGTCTGGGTAGAGAGAAAATCGGTCAGGTTCAGGAAGGGATCCAACAGGACATTGCATCGGGCAGTCAATTCCTGTAGCGTCTCGACAATCTCATCGAGAGTCTTATGGTGCGACTGAGATTCCGAGGGTTCCCTTTTGTGGCCCTTTGCGGTGTGTTTCTCTCCGGTTTTGCTGGTGGACGACAGAGGTGAATAGCGTCTGGAGTACATTCCCAGTATGAGACCAACTACTACGATGATCGGGCTTGCAAAGCGAATAATCTCACTGCCATAAAGTGTGATTCCCCAGAAGACCGCCACCATCAGATATGATTCCCACGGATCTCGAGTGCTCCATGACAGAAGACCGGCGAGTTTGTTCAGCGGGAGTAAGAAGGGATGTGAATGGGCTAGGGCTCGAGTGATCTGAGGTGGTGTCGCTACTAGCAAGGGCGACTTTTTGTGGACAATGATCGTAGACCGCTGCTTCGATGTAGCGGAGTAGCCAGAGGTGGATGTTGGAGAGAAGGCAGCATATGTGGGGGGGTTGGGGTCCCAGGCCTGCTGGGACGAGGAATCAGACGGAGGTGCATATGAGGATGGTCTTGACATTGATGTGATCCAGGGTGTTTCTGAACAATCATCAGTACAGCTGAAGCAGCAGTTCGGATAGGGGATCGGTGTGTACCAAATGCTGCCATACACCGAGTAATGCAGGGTCATGAGGATGACACCCAAGGATACCTAAACAGATGACGCCACCAGTGCGGAGACGGAAAGATTCAGGTGAGGATAGCCTGATTGATGTGTAGAGGTCTGTGGTGCAGAATTGCAACAACAGATGGTATAGACATGCTTGACAAAGGCAGATATTGGATTGCTCGGCGATTTTGAGAGCTGGTCTTGTGGACAACCTTGACTGCGGCACAGGCATGTGCACAGCGCAGGCAGAGACGTGATGATCAGTGACTTGTTCGGCGATCCATCCATGCAAGTCATAATGAAGGGGGACCCAGCACGTGACACCGAGAGAACCGCGGATGTTTAGGCGAAGTTTCGCCGGTCCGAAATGGCGACAAGCAAAAAGATTTCCTGCAGCTTCTGTCGCTCGAAGACGACGAACAGCACACTCCGCCATCGCCAACATTGCGGCCATCAGCCAGTTTGATCTTGTTGCTTCGCTGACAGGAATCAATGGTATGTATCTCCTGGTTTCCTGGTCTTGCCAGCCCGTCATTCCCTGCAGGACATGGACTGACCGTCGCAGGCGCATCGAATTATCGCCCAGATCGTCCTAACCGGCGGGCGTGTCTTTGGCAGGGCCTTTGCAGAGGCATACAAGCAAGCACAAGCATCGACACAATATGCAAGGGCTGCTGCGAAAAGTGACCCGGGTGCCGTCAATACCGCCGCCGCTTCCGGAATGACCCTTGACGAAGCCTGCAAGATTCTCAACGTGAAGCCTCCCCAAGGTGGCGCCACCAACATGGAACAGGTCATGGAGAGGTTCAAGAAGTTGTACGATCTCAACGAGCCGAAGAAAGGTGGTGGTGGATCCTTCTACCTCCAGAGCAAGATTCTTCGTGCAAGAGAACGGATAGAGATGGAGGCCCGCGCCGCCGAGCACAAGGCCAAGTTGGAAAAAGAAATCAAAGAAGGTTGGAGACCCAAGATATACAAAGATTGATCTCCCTTGTGGCTGACCGTCTCCAAAGGACGGTAACGAGACTGGATGGCCAACTCGGCCCACACCACTTCGTTTCCTCGAATCCTCTTTTCGACAATTGTTTCTCGAGCATAGCGGACGGCGTTGGATGGGGATCTACTGTAAAAATCGATTGTACTATACCATGGGCGAGGGTCTACGCTAGAATCTTTCAGCAAAGAGAATGGGATTTTCACGTCTTGGATGGATGCTCCTTCTACTTTCGAGGGAAGGGTGGCTATATGCAGGAAGAGATAGCAGACAGGCCGACGCGGTGTCTCTGGTATCAGATCTGCCATATTCGCAGCCTTGGGGGTTGGGGGACCGACGCCGCTCCATCCCAATGAGCGACTCTCCACTCAAGGAAGGAAATTGGGACCATGTTGAATCGGCCATATATTGGCCCGGGGTGAAGTCGATGCAGACATGTAGAGAACGAGAGCGAACGAAAGAGATCCAGGAGAGGGTTGGGGAAACTCGATACTCCCTCCTGGCGCTCAAGCAGGTTCCAGAAATGATAACACATTCAAAGTCACATTTGGCTAGTGGCTATTACATACGGTGATGTGTTGGCAGCCAAAAAAGGAGCACGGATCAGTCAAGCCGACCAGTTTCGATGCTTGCGTAAGGAGGAAGGGCAGGGAAGACCAGGATCACCACGATCACCGGGTTAGAAGTGGGTATTGACGGAGGCAGAGGTGCGATAAGGTGTGAGATCTGTGCCGCAGGTTACAAAGACTGCGCCCAGGCCAATATGAAGGCGTCATGGATCTGGGTGGCGTCGTCCGCGATTCTGCTTCGCTGCGTTTGTCTCCATCCCCCATGTTCCAGGCTTGCATTATCTTGACCTGTGACGAGTCAACGTTGCGTGCTTAAGCGAAGATGCTACTATGCCGCTTGTCGATGCAGGTGTCCATCCCATTGTTGCCCGCTAGGATCCCATCAGATTGATTGATGCCCTGCCCTTGGCCGTTTTGGAGCGCATCTCGGTCCACACATTGCTTTCCAATCCACACCCTCCGCCTGCGACAGCCTGCGACAGCCTGTGACTCGGAGGAGAACAATCTAGGCCACCGGCAACTCACCTCCTTCTTGTTCTCTAGCTCGATATCAGCCGCAGGAACCTATCCCTTGCATGCCTTGGACTGCCCCACCGCGCTGTCGCCATCTCTCCCAAAACTTCCGAATCGAACCAAACGCAAAAAAAGAGTCTTTGGTGGCTCGTGTCATCCATCAGAATTCCCGATTTCGACCGCCGTTGCCCAGAAAGGTATTACATTGGCACCCTGCCCCTAGATACCTCCAACCCGCCTCGACTATTCAACCTACATACCCTTCTTTCACCAGACTCATACACTGTGCTTGTCCGTGGGACTGACGAAGACATGCCCAGGTCGGGGTCGCCACTCTCCAACTCACTCCCCCCTCTTGTCTTTGGGACCGCCACTTTCAATTATCAGGTAAGTTAGCACCTTATCTTCCCGAGGTTGGATATTTGTTGACATGGACCTCACAGTACAATGTCGACCCATACGCATTGGGTCCCACGTCTCTCGTCCAGAAGGCCCTTGCACAAGGAGTCCATGCTTTTGACACCTCTCCTTACTATGGGCCGGCGGAAGAGATCCTCGGGACTGCTTTGGACACCGACCTAGTCCGACGACACTATCCGCGGGATCAGTACTTCATCCTTACAAAAGTTGGCCGCGTCGCCGCCGATATCTTCGATTATTCCCCATCTTGGATCCGACAAAGCGTCCAGAGAAGCTGCAAACGTCTGAGGACTAATTACCTCGACGTCGTCTACTGCCATGATTGCGAGTTCGTCTCGCCAGAGGAAGTGCTCTGCGCCGTAAGAGAGCTCCGTCGCATCCGGGACGAAGAAGGCACCGTCCATTATGTCGGTATCTCCGGCTACCCTGTGCTGGTTCTTTGCGAGCTGGCTGAAATGATTCTGCGAGAGACCGGCGAACCACTGGACATTGTTCAATCATATGCGAATTTCACCCTGCAGAACACTCGACTGCTTTCGGATGGTCTCCAGCGGCTCGTGAACGCCGGGGTAGATGTTGTGACAAATGCTAGTCCCCTTGGAATGGGCCTGTTGAGGTCGACCGGTCCTCCGGTGGGAGCCATGGGCAATTGGCATCCGGCCCCAGATGGCCTCCGACAAGCCTGCATCAACGCCGCAAAATGGGCAGAGTTCAGAGGAGAAAAGCTAGAGGTTGTTGCAGTCAGATTCGCCCTTGAAAACTGGCTACGGGAAGGCGCCAAAGTCGGTTCCCTGGGTGACCCCCTAGGAAATACCGACGTATCTTATGGCCACGCTCTCAGCTTGCCTCGGGAAAGGCTCGGTGTCAGCGTCATGGGGGTCAGTAAGGTGGAAGAGCTCGACGAGACGATGCGAGTGTGGAGAAGCGTTCTCGATGGTCTAGCCGATGATCTCGATGCCGAACCTGGGACCATTACTCCCTCCGACTCCGTTACTGATCATGAGTGGTCTCTAGCGCGGCGGCAGACCATCCGCGAACTCGCCAAAGGCATTCGGGGGGTTATCGGCTCTCAATGGGTTGACTATGCCTGGGAGTCTCCCGATCCAGGCTTTTTCAATCAAAGAGAGAGGAAGGACGATGTTGTGGTTAATGAAGTTGAAGTCTCTGCTGCTCCCGACACAACGATGCTCACACCTCCCTCCGAAGCCGACGACAATGGGGTACCAACGGACGTTCCGCCTCTATGCTCTGAAGCATGATTGCAAACCAAGTGTTGTTCAGTGTATGAAGTGGATTATCACTATTAAAGTTATCTTTCGGTGGATTTTGCCGGCCGCCAACTTCTGTCACTTCAACCTCAGTTGCCCCCGGTTGAGAGGTTCGCGACGGCAGGGATCGCGGCAATCGCGCATCTCGAGCTGCTGCGGCAATCTACGAAATATTCTGATCTGATCATAGACCGTCAAGGAGATGAATTTAGACTTCACCGAAATGTCGTTTACTCTCAGTTTGCAATGTTTGACACAAAACACAACGAAACATTCGAGATGGCCGACCCGGCTTTCCAATCTTGCGCAATTACAACGTTCCTCGAGGAAGCCCTAGACATTTCAGCGGCCGTCCACAGAAGGAATCTGACATGATGGCGAGTCTTATTCTCTCCTTGTACCTATCGGCATTTTGCCCACGGCTTATCTGGGCCAGGAGAGAAGAATATGCCGAGGCCAAATGCCCCACGGCGCTTTTGAAAGAGAGAGACGGCTGGGCCTAAGATGTCCCCCCAAAGTCAAGGTCCTTGGTTCCAAGACACTCGAGATGCTCTCAGCCCAAGGCCCTGCAGAAGCTTGCGTGCGACCGGTCGACCAGGCATTTCGAGGTCGATTTGGGTGCGTCTTGTCGCGGGGAGCTCACTGAGAATTTATCGGTGTCAGGCAAATTGTAGTATGCAGTCTTTCGCCAGTCGATAAACGCAGCCATCGTAGCCAGTATGAGCACCCCATAGATCCTATTCGATTCTCCTCGATAGAATCCCCTACCAACCTTGCTTCGTGGTGAAGCGCAGGCGAGCGCCTTCCCATAGCATCTCGCGAAGCTACAGTAATTGTTGGACGCGAAAGATCGTGACAGTCCCCACAGGGGTCGGGTTAGATCCAACTGATAATACCAAACTTGAGCAAGCTCTAAAGCAGTGTCACTTATCCTGTGGTTGCCATCTTTACACAAAGCACTGTACGGTACTACGCCTGAGAAGCTAGCGCACCGGGAAACGGAACGAGTCTTGGGGTCAAGTACCTTCAAAAGGGTCAGAAGCATAGTTACGTACCCCTTCCAGACTGCCCTCCTCTCCAAGTGATTGACTTTACGACTTCTCTGAGTGGGAAGTCGTAGTTTGAAGAATCCATCACCGAAAAATAATATAAAACCGGATACATAATAAAATTGCTGTTAGGGTACAAGAACGATCAAGAAGCCATCGGCTCATCCTTCGACTCTAGAGCTTCTCCCATGCTGCCGGCCGTGAGGGTACCTGTGTTTGCGGCATTCAACATCTCCAGCCCGTCAATCTGAATGGCTGGTCCGGTAAAGGTCTTCCGCTTCCCACCCCACCACAGACACATAGTGATCAGCCATACGCCCACCAGGACGACACTGACGTAGTTCATGTTCTGCGCCGTCGCGGGCAAGAAGACGGGGAAACTGAACAGGACCGTGTAGAAGAGGGTCCAGAGGACGGAGAAGGCGTTGCAGAACGGGCCCAGGATCGGGCCCATGTCGAACGGACGGGCCGGGAGGACGTTGGCGCGGCCGCGGACCAAGACGATGGCTTGCGGAATGGCGTATGTAATGTTCAACCCGAGGATCGACAACGAGATGAAGCTGTTGAACGCGGTGGTGGATCCGATGTAAATCAGCCCGTAGAGTATGCAGAACACCATGGTCAGGAGTGAGGCGTTGACCGGCACTTGGAGCGTCGGATGGACTTTGGCAAAGATGGAAGAGAAGGGGAGGCCGTTGTCTCGGGCAAACGCCCATGTCAGGCGCCCGGCGGTGAGAAAGCAGGATATCGTCGCGCCATAGTACACGACCAGGAGCCAAACCGCCAGAAAGGCGGCGCCTCCCTGATTTCTCAGGGCCTGGTAAAAGACCGTCAGGATGGGGAGGTATGACAGCGAAACCTCGTCAAGGTCATTGGTCGAGAACATAAAGGCAATCGTCCACAGCAAGCTGGTGGTCGCTCCAATGATCATAGTCATGCCGATCGCGCGGGGGACATTCCTCGAAGGGTTTGGCATCTCCTCCGCGATGTGAGTCGCCGAGTCGGTCGCTGCTCACACAAGATCTTTGTCAGTTTAAGGTGTCCATGATACAGACTGTTCCGAGTCCCCATTAGAACCACATACCTAAGAAGACGTACATGCAACTCCCAAGGCCGAGGAAGAAAGCAATCCCATCATTCCATCCGGTTTGATTGTCCCACGCGGTGAACACGGTCCGACCGGATTGTTTCGTGTCGGAAGCGGCCAGGACCGTGATGAAGAAGACCACAAAGCCGACGATGCTGGCCAGGAAGAAGGCAATCTCGGTCTTGGGCATAAAGGTCGGGAGGAGGACGAAGATGGCCACCGCGAGACACGTCAGGAGGACATAGACCAGGTAGACCTGCCACTGAGTCCACACATAGTCCGGGTTCAAAAAGGAGGCCAAGTTGACACAGATCTGGGCGCAAAAGATGCACGCCGACGCGGCCGTCATCCACCAAGCCACGACGCTGAGCCATCCCGCCGTGAAAGCAATGGCAGCTCGATATTTGGGAGGGGCGACCATGAATGCAAAGCTGAAATGCCGCGGATTAGTATGCGCGCCCGAAATCTCCAACATCATGAACGGGGAAATTTACTGGTATTGTCCCCCGCTGGATGGGAAAGCTGAGGCAAGCTCGGCCAGTCCGGCATTGATGAAACTGCAGGCCACTGCGGCCACCACTTGGCCCCAGAAGATCGCCGGGCCACCGCCGGCGAACAACGGAGTCGGGAAGACGGCGGAGATGCCAATCCACGAATTGGTGATGGTGAAGGCCAGGGAGATGGTTGCCAGGGTTCCAAACTGGCGAGGCAGCTCGCCCTTGTGGCCTTGGACTCGTAGTTGAATCTCGTCCGCCGACAACCCTGTCAGGTCCATGCTGGAGCGGACCCGGGTGTTGTTGACGTTCGCCGCGACCTTGTCTGTCATTCTGGGGACTAGTATTGTCCAATCCCGGAAAGTCTTCTCGTCAAAAGTGATCAGTCAACGGAGCTGAAGTCAGCCAAACGCCTTCGCCGATGTTGAGGAACGAGAAGGGATGTATCTGGTCAAGGACGGTGGTGGGCTTCGCGGCGCTGAAGTAGAACTCCATAAGGCGACAGAGGACAGATCGAGGTGCCGCATTTGAAGGCATTCGACCATCCTGCAGGTACCAAATCGAGACCTATCGACTGGCCAGGCCATCTGAACAGATTCCTGTAAGAGGACTAACTCATGACCGAGGCCATGCTGAACGTTGATAAGAAAGAAACTCTAGCTGAGATTTTGTCTATTCTGGGTTAGCGTTGTCTTTTGAAGCAGGTGTCGGGCCCCACATTGCCTGCCTAGTGCGGTCCTATTATTTGTTCCGGAGAACTGATACACGCAGTGTATAGAACATTAATGACCGCCGCTGTGAAAATGCTCAATACTATCACATCGTTCCTCTCGAGACTCCTTCAAAGTAGTGCAATCATCTGTTAACCGATACCCTGAAGCCTGTTGAGACCTTCAGCCAACGTCATCCGCCGCCGGCTTCCACTCACCCTCAGAGCAGCGTCTGGGCTTGAGCCTCTTGCCGAGCATCTCGCCATGTCTTTTGTCCAAAGTCACTTCTACCCTGGCGCCGAAACCCTCGCAGAAGTCTTCAGCTGCAGCAGCTCCTCGTCCTTCCAGGTCAAAGGGGCTCGCATTGTCGCCGTCGGCGGTCAAATCGGCGAATCCGACGAATACTCGCCCTTTACGCCCGATGGCGCCGACGGCTCGCAGTTCGAAGGAGGCCACGCGCAGCAGTTCGAAGTCGCCATGCAAAATGTGGAGCGGGCTCTGGCCGTCGCATCTCCCCATCTCAGTCCCGAACAATTGTGGGCGGGCGTCTTTAATATGACATCGTTTCACGTCGGTGTCGTGCCACAGGAGGAGCAACTGAAAATAGGGGCAGTGGCCAGGAAGTATTTTGGCAAGGGCAACAACAAGCCTGCTTGGGCAGCAATCTGTGTAGCGGCATTGTTTCCACCCAAATGTTTGATCGAGATCCAAGTTCAGGCTGCTTATCCGGAGGAAGCTGCTTGATGCGTAAATATTATCGAGGACGAAAGGGCTCAAGCCGCTTATGTCTCTGGATTATCAGGTGTGTCTTGACATATATAGCGGAGGGCCTGTAGCTAAACTGCCTTGTGCAGGATGAAGCAAGGAAAGGAGTCTCCTGCGCTGCAACTCAGCTTATAACGAACGACATTTCAAAATTCATTACTTCATAGTAAAGTTGCCATGGATAGTATGGTAGAACATGTTCTTTGGTAGGCGCTCTTAGTACCATTGTCTTGGTCAGAGAGATCCTAACGCCCTTCAAGGTTGGACTCAGATAGGGTTTGTGTGGCATATGTCGAGGCATAAAACTCCAACTTCGACTCATGTTTTCAAGGTCAAGTTTGAAGTCGTTCTTACGACACGTTCCGCCATCAGAGGTCGAGTTGGAGACTTTTACCAAGAATGCCACAGTCTTGCTGATTCGAAGTAGAAAACTTGGTGGCACCCAAAAATCTAGAAAGCCATTCCAAACTACGACACCGCAGGGAGCATCAATTCTCTTTTGGGCAAAAACGCGGCCTGGACTACCCCCGAAAAAGACCAATGATGATAGTAGGATGCAGATTAAAATTCTCCTTTTTTGATTATAAGATGTTGCCTTCGGACACGCCGGGCTACAGGACGAGTACATATTCAGAACAGGTCGCGTTGCACCGTCGCCTCTTTCCTGACCAAGTCGTAGGGATTGCGGAAGTCCGTCCAGCCACAAAACGGAGCGCTGGCTTTCCAGCCCAGCAGGTCCTGGACGTCGTGGTCGTAAGCCGCCACCTGTTCCTTGGACACGGCAAGGAACTGATTTTCCTCGGCGCGGTAGACCCCCTTGCAGAACAAGGTGACAATGACGCTGCGGAACTCATTCTCGGTGGTGTTGCTGCCGGCGGCGTGGTAGCAGTTGCCCAGCACAAACAGGCAGTCGCCCGCGTCCATCTCGCCGTAGGTGCATTCCTCCGGCCGGGGCTTGCGCTCGTCATCCCAGACGTGCGAGCCCGGGACGACCTCGGTGGCGCCGTTGGCGCGCGTCGTTTTGGACGTGGCGACGATGCAGCCCAGCTTGGTGGTCTCGCGCGGGTCGGCGTGCGTGTGTGTGGCGTGGTGGTCTTGGTCGTCGCGGTGCAGGCCTTGCCGAGCGCTCCCGGGCCCGACACGCACGGTGAAGAAGCTCGACAATAGTGGCGGGCTGGTGCAGGAATTGCGCGAGTCTCCCCACCAGGAATCGGTCCGCACGGTGAGCACGTCGTCGACGGCGGCTTTGACTGTCGGGTGCTGGAGGATGGCTCGCACTGCCGCTGGAGACTTCCCCGCCAGACCACAGACGGTCTTGGTTTGTTTGGCGAAGACGTCGAGGCCCGAGTTGAAGTCGTCGTCGAAGTACGGCTTGAGCTCGCGATTGATCTCGTCGATGGTGGCTTGTGAGAGGAGGCCCTTGATGCGCACCGCACCATCTCGGTATAGGGCTTCGAATACCTGCTCCATGGGCGTGCCATTGGGGAAGGCTTCGACGGGTGGGACGGCTGTGAGACCCATTGTCGATAATGCCGTTGGGGTTAGTAGATAGAAGCGTGGCTGATGCTGCGCTCGCGATGTGATAAGACACAGCTCTTGCTATGACTATCTACCTACATATATCACTCTCTGGTGGAGGCGCTAAAGAAGGTGTCACGAGCACCAGATTCTCCTGTCCATCTCTCTGGAGGCCGTGTTCAAATCAGAGTCTACATAGGTCCTAGCGTGCTACATAGATAGCCAAGGATAGCTAGACTGCAGCTGCTTATCCGCGCACCCTAAATGGAATGGTTGCAGCTTCGACAATCTCCACATGGTCAATCCCTAATCTCGACGCGCATCTGCTGCCCAGACTCGGCGAAAGGCAAAACGAGGTTCTCGGGTAGGAAAGATACTCAGTTGTCTCTTTCTCGGCTCAGACTGCAGATGCGAATGTTATGATCCATGTAAACCAAATATGTCAAGAAGGATAGAAAGAAATGGGGAAAAAAGGCAGACCAGATACTCTGTACCCAACATCAGGCCCGCAATTGGGCGATAGTTGATAACCGATAAAGGCGTCCGAATAACACATCAAAATCCTCAAAGTGTGTTCTCAAGTTTTGGGGACAAGACCGGCATTTGTGCTAATCGCAATCATGTACTCAAGCACGAAGACTGCTTCAGATGAAGATGGATTGGAAGGGTCTTTGTTCGACTACATTATTTGCGGAGGCGGAACGGCCGGTTGTCTCATTGCCGCGAGACTGGCGTCTCAGACAAAGTCGAAAATTCTGGTCATCGAAGCTGGTAGAGATTCGAGCGAGTCGCCAGATGCTCTCATCCCCGGGAAGTTCGTCTACCAGCTGTTCGGCCGAGACACCGACGGGATTTGGCAAATACCCAGCGTACCGCAAAAAGAATTGAATAACCGAGAGATAGTGTTTCTCTCAGGAAAACAACTCGGTGGTACTTCTGCGGTGAATTACCAAGCTCTTGCAAGAGGGCCAGCTGCTGATTATGAGGCGTGGGCCTGCCGAACTGGAGACAAATCTTGGAAATGGAACAACGTTCTGCCATTGATGAAAGAGCTGGAGGACTTCAGACCACAGCGTCCCCCGGGATTCGAACAATATGCAAATCCGGATCCCGCCAACCATGGGGTTGGAGGGCCTCTCAAGGTTGGATTCGGGGACGTCATGACGCCCGGAGTCGAGATGTTTTTCCAAGCTTGCCATGAGACGGGGATCGATTTCTGTCCCGACAACAACTCTGGGAACCCCGTAGGCGTGGGTCTTGCACAATTCAACAACGCAGGAGGCGTCAGATCGTACGCCGCGAATCGCTTCCTTGACGAAGAGACACAGCAGCGACTTCCAAATCTCCAGATTTTCACTCGTACCTCGGTCGACAAAATCCTTTTCGACGATACAACGCCGAGAGCAGTGGGCGTTGAAATAACCGACCAAGCGAGTGACAAACCCCGCCATCTATTTTGCTGCCGAGAAATCATTCTGTGTCAGGGAACATTTGGAAGTCCGAAAACACTTATGCTGTCTGGCATTGGACCACGAGAACACCTCGAAAGCCTGAACATACATTGCGTTGTGGACAACCCCAATGTTGGCCAAAACATGTTCGATCACAGCATTCTGACGCTGGAGTACTTGGTTGATGACGACAACCTGGCTCATAACCAGATCTTTGAAAGCCCGGAATTGCTTGCTGAAGCCGATGCCATGTATGCGAGGGACAAGACTGGCCCGCACAATGTGTTTGGAACGAGTGGATCTGTGGCATTCCCCAAGCTCAAGGGACTGTTTGACAGCTCCGAGTTTCATGATTTGGATCAAGATACCCAGTCGTTCATGATGGAGCCAACTCGACCCAATGCTGAGATATGGCTCGGATCGGGTCCAGTGGCGTTCCAAGGAGATGCTCGAAATGTTTATATGCACCACGAACTCCTTCTCCAAAACAACCTCTCCCTTGGCACGGTGCGTCTGCAATCAGCCGATCCGCGGGACCTCCCAGAAGTCAATCCTCATTTTTTTGAGCACCCATACGACCAGCGGATCGCCATCGAAACCATCAAGCAGGCCATGAAAATCGCCAAGGCAGATGCTTATAAGTCGTACATTCGCGAAGTGGTGCATGCCCCGGCCGGAGACGATGATGAGACTATCCGGGAGTTCATTCGCCAAAATCTCGGTCAAGGCTATCACAGCATGGGAACCTGTAGAATGGGAGCCCGCGGCGGGGCACAGGCCGTCGTAGACACAGAATTCAGGGTGATTGGGGTGCAAGGGCTTCGCGTGGCCGACCTGTCCGTGTGTCCGGTTTTGACTTGCAACCACACCCAAATCAACGCGTATCTGATTGGCGAACGCTGTGCTCGAACACTGCTGAGTTCTCTGTAGACAAAAGATATAGCCGCCGTGAGGTGACATTCAACATCCTGACCTCTCCTGCTTGGTGAGTAGAATAAGATTATGGATGGGCTCAACTTCAAGCCTCAGACGTCAGGGCCTAGTCATAGAATTGGGGACTTCAAAGTATGCTCACACGAAAACCATGGTGTTGAAGGAGTCTGGGGACAGGAAATCCGTGTGGTCTGGCCGACAGCCACTGCTCCAAACCTGTTCGAGAATCTTCATAGATGTGTCGACATTGCGAAAGCCTCCGCTTCGTTGCATGACCTCCGATCTTTCTCGCAGCCACTGCTTCTGGCGTTCATCCCGAAGTTCTAGTCCTGCATGGAACAGAGGCCACAGTAGATGATTAGTCCATCCAGTAAAGGGCGGCGTAAGCTTCGAGTGATAGAACACGCTTTGCGTCAGCCACACCATCTCGTCCGGGTCGGCTTCGATGTGAAAAAGGCGAATCATATAAAGAGCAATCGCGTGGCGAAAAGCTTCGGTGAGATGAAACCACCCGATACCCCTTTCAGTGTGCATGGGAAGGCATAACAATTGTCTCTTTCGCTCTTCAATCTTTGCTATAACTTCGGGTGCTGGATTTCGAGGGTCGGGTTGCGATTTGTAAAGTCGAACAACTTCTGAGACGATGGTGAATTGGTCTGGAGGGCATGGAAAGACATCGTGGCTCCATTCTCCCGATGGTCCGGTGAAATGGGCAATATCTTCGGAGGTGAACAGTGCCTCCCGCTTGTTATTAGCAGCGCACATTATGTCGAGCCATGCAATGTATTGTTCAACAAATGCATCACGAGTGAGCTTGGCGCCCCGGAGATTGATGAGTCTTTTGGAGGCATTGAAATGTGCGTCGAAATTTGAAGGATCACCACGACTCATGTCAGTCAGGGTCAGCATCAGGATGGTGGTGAGAATTCCATCGTCCTTTGCACACTGTTCCGACCACAGCTGTTCTTGTAACCGGCGCATCGCCTTGCCTCGGAATCTCAAGCAGTCAACCTTGCAACTCTCATTCGAGAGTCGGACATGCCGATGACTCGCAGCAAGAGCCGCGCACGCGTAGAGAAGTGGTGGCTTCTCCACCGCAAGTTGAAGGATGAATTGCGAATAAGGGTTGCGAGCTGCGGCGTCGTCAACAACCAGTTTCGGAGCGACTTCAAGCAGGTGGTAGTTGAGAATAGATTTGAGTTCCTGGGGAATGTTGTACGGGTCCAATGGGTTCAATGGCACAGCGTAATTATTTCCCAGTGGCAGGTTGTCAAACTGCTGGTCGGTAATCTCATCTAAGCCGTCCGAATCCAGCTCCGTCGGTTCGGATTCCAGGTCGAAGACCACGAGAGCTGCCTGCTCGAACTGAGTCGGGCTCCAATTTGGGGTAGATGGAGAGTCGTTGATGATATCGGCAACAGGATGTGATGGAGCAGCTGAGATAGGTGGCACTCTTGAAGATAAATTCCTCTCGTCTGATGCGGTACTAGTTCTTTGCACCTGTGATTCTGGCTGGACTCCTCTCGCCGTTCTCATTGTCTTTTGCTCCACCATGGCAGTCTTTCCAGCCAGCTTGCCATGCATGGAAATGCTTGCCCAGCGTAATGCATAGCCTTCGCACTCGAGCCCTTTGTCCAGACATGATTTACACTTTGGCAGCTCCCGGGAGCATTTTCGTCCACGTCGTCGGCAGGTCCTACAGGCAGCGCCATGGTATTTGGTACTCATCCTGCTCTCTCCAAATCTTCTGCATGGAGATAGGTGAAGACAAGGCTGTATACAGCTGGAATTGGCAAACCCAGCGTTCTGGACTTGAGTCAGTAGACTCGCGGACAGGTTGTTGCTGCATCGACGATAGGTCCAGTAGATAATGAGGTATTGATAAGAGACTACTCGTAACTAGATAGTGGATTAGCATTGCACGTGCCCTCAGTGTGGGGCATCTGACTTGGCACATTTGAAGAGTTTGACAACAGAGACTGGGGGTTTGTCCCATCCCGTGAAGCTTGAATTACTACGGAGTTCATACATGTATTATTCTGCACATGCGAGAAATGGTGCAGAGAAGTGATTCACTATTTCCTTATCCTTGTGCATCAAATGCTATACGATACACACGCTCTGGCTTGCAGAGCCTGCCCCACGTGACCGTGGCCTCGGTCTTTCGCAGGTCCATGACAATGTTGAACAACGTTGCGTCTTCACTGGCCCCTTCTTGAAACCTGCATATCGAGACTGGAAACCCTTGATGGTCGTCGAACAGACTCTGAAAGGCGCCCAGACTCTTCACGCCGCTTGTTAGCAACCTTTCATCGGCTGTCTGTCTCATCCGCTGCAGCCTTGGGAACGAGTCGGCTTCGGGGTCTTCCCAGATTCCAGGGTGCTTTTCGATCATATGATTGCTGTGGACGATCCGGCCCTCGTCATCGAGATGAAGGCGAAGACAGCTCCGTGGCGTAAACTCGAAGCTGAAGGCAGTGGCGACGTCGGCAACCAAGAGATGCACGGATCCTGCCACTCCCACGGCTTGAAGCTGTTCTGCTGCTTGCGACGCCGTCTCGCACTCCAACACCATGCGCATAGCGAGGTGGACTGGGATCCGCGTGCTGTCGTAGCCTGTGGATCTGATGGCGTTCATGCAAATGCCCACGCCGCTTGAGTTCAATCCGATTTTGCCGATTATTCCTGCTTCGGTCACCATCTTGATGGTCGGAAAACCTGGGGATTTGATGGTCATCAGTCCGGCATTCTGTTTCTGCTCCTCCATCCAGTCCCAGTTCTGTCCGAGGAAGACATTGTCCCCGGTGTCCCAAAACAGCGTGGTGCATCCATCGGTGGGGACATTCGTGTAAGCCGCAAGAAGCCCATACGCAATCTCCGTCCTGGTATTCAACGCAATGATGTCCAGGGTGCCCTGGCCGGAGCCTGTCGCGATGCCCCTGATTTCTTCATAATATCTCGGCCATGTCGTCTGGATCCGCGCCTCAAATTCTTCCGCGATGACCAGAATTTGTTCCCAATCCTTTCCGGTATACTTCTTGAACATCCACGTGTAAAAGTCGATGCTGCCCTGAATCTGAGGTGCAAGTTCCTTGCCGTGCTGGACGCCAATCTGGTAAGGCGAGCCCTCGCAACAAACGTCGAACATCTCGCTGACGTGTTGAACTAGTTGCTCGTTGTGCGGATGACGGACTTTGGGCATGCAACCAGGCTTCATACCAAATACAACCGGAGCGATAGCTTTCCCTGACCTGACTCGAGTCCTCTGTAACCCCTACCAAAGGTAACCTCAAGATTCTCTTTCACCCTCATTTATTCCAGCCTCGTAGAATTGGAGAGCTAGGGGGCGGGCGGGACTCAGCCAATCAGCGGGATTGACTTCCTAATGCGGTATGTCGATAAGCCGGTAAAGCGTGTTTGCACGGAATACACCAGTCTCGACACCGCGCAAGCCCCATGTCCTGACCTAAATTGGACTCAGAGTCCTGCACACAGGAGAATGACGGACAGACAAGGCGTAGACAGATGTCTGTGCCATGAACGTGGTTTCCGGGAAGAATGGGTAAAAAGATCCTCGTCGGTTACGGCGTGGACGTCGACGCCGTGTCTGGATGGTAAGTGACTTCCAAAGAAGCCCACGCAACACTCCTGATATCAATCACTTGCTGCGGCTGACGAGAAAACCAAAAAATGAAGGATCGATACGAAGGACGGGTCGGCCGCAGATCCGGTCGACATCTCCAGGGGCATCTTTGGCGCCGTCGTCGGCATCGATCGACTGCTGAAACTCTGGGACAAATACAACATCAAGACTTCTTGGTATGTCCCTGCGCACAGCGTGGAATCGTTCCCGACACAGATCGCCAAGATTCGAGACGCTGGCCATGAGATGTACGTTTCAGCCTTGTCCCTTTTCCAGATCGCGTGGAGCTGCACCATTGACCATCGTTCTCTAGAGGGCTCCACGGGTACACGCATGAGTATGTGTCAGGACTCTCCGAGCACCAGGAACGAGCTGTTCTCCAGAAATCCATTCAAGTCCTCACAGAATTCACCGGGAAGAAACCTCGAGGGTGGACAGCCCCGGCGTGGACCATGTCTCGCCACTCCATTCATCTCCTCGAGGAGATGGGGATCGAATACGACCACAGCTCCATGCACCACGACTGTTTGATATCGCGGACACCATACAGCAACTACGGCGTCAAGGAGACAACGTATAAAGCGACGCCACTGCAGGCCCCCACCGCCTCAACCTCGCCGTCAGCTGCGACCTGGATGACTCCCATGCCTGTCCCACGACTCTCAACCATCGTCACGGTCCCGGCGAACTGGCACCTAGACGACTGGCCACCGTTCCAACCCGGCGACGGCGGGAGCGACGGTTTCATCGACCCGGCGGTGCTCGAGAATATATGGAAGGAGCATTTCCTGTACTACTACGAAGAGTACGACGAGTTCGTCTTCCCACTGAGCATCCATCCTCAGGTCAGCGGGAAGCCACACGTGATCAGGATGCACCAACGGATGATTGAATGGATCAATACATTCCAAGGGGTTGAGTGGTGCACCTTTGCCGAGATGGTCGATCGGTACAAGCAGGGCGAGATCGAGGGCTTCGACATTGAAAATGCCCTTGGGACTGGGTCTCATCACCAATACAGAGCACGGGAAATGACGCCAGAATGCGAATAGGCTGTTTTGGATGAACCATAGGACGCCAGGGCCGGGCAGCAGCTGTCTCTGCCGCGCACTAAATCGGTTTCCTTCCACGTGCTCGGTATGTACTTTTGGGAGGACCATCTGCCTGCCACCCCTTCTGTTATGTGATCTCGAGGGGGTTGGGAGCAGCCTCAGTTTAAGTGTTTTGTTGCATTCTGAGTCTCAGGATGATTTGCAGATGAAGAAGAGATATGAAAGGGCACAAGTGATAATGTGTGTCTGATGTAGTTTCGAGGACACCACGATTCTCGGAAAGCAATTTTCTTTCGCCCATATATTGTATCATGCAAACCTCTATCCGAGAGGCTTGTCCAGTAGGGGTTCACAGTCTGGAGGATTAATCTGTGGCTGCCCGCAATTCCATACCCACCGTCAACATGTAGATCCGACCCAGCCAATACAACTCCTTTCCATCCATCTTCCGACCAGCAGCCAACGCTGGATTTCCGGGAAGTCTCGTGCTTGGTCGAAGACGTTGACCACTTCACCCAGAGCGGGACAGAAGCACGAGAACCCGGCGCCAGCGCTGATGAGCTCCTTCACGATGTGCAGTCTGCCATAAGATGCGGCGGCAATAAGCGGCGTGCCCATTTGCCCGCCGATCAAGTCCAGATCCGCCCCAGAGACGAGAAGCAGCCGGAGGATCTTTAGTTGTCCCATTGCACTCGCGGCGTAGAGGGGTGTGTCGCGATGTTCTGGCTTGACATTCAGCATGTCAAGGCTCTGTTCACGTCCCAGTCTTCTCAGCAGTCGCCGGAGCAGTCCATGGTTGAAGTCGTACCAGTGATAGTTCAAGGCGCTACCGAAACATCTTGTACGTCCGCTCAAGTCCAAGCCAGAGTTTAGAATGTAGGCCTTCATGACAGCTGGGCCGCGGTTCCAGCAAGAGTGTAATGCTGTCCATCCGAGACCATCCGGTTCTATCATTTCATGTGGATGACCAACCGCCTCGTAGAGCTCTAGTACCCTAGATGACGCCGCGAGCTCAGAGATAAGAGTCCGACGATCCAAGCAGCATGGCAGGCGGAACAAATTAGACTGAATTAGCTTCTCCCCAGATACTTGGGAATGGGCAAGACGGATTGAACATGCGCAGCTTTCGCTGTCCGATGGAAAGTGATGGATTGACGCGCCATAATCAAGTAGAGCGCAGACAGCTTTTGAATCAGGTCGCCTGGCAGCTATAGAGAGTGCTGTATCGAGGTAAATGGACGATTCCTGGTTCACCCGGGCGCCGTGTTCCAGGAGCAGACGAATTGCTTCGACATTGGCATTGTAGGCAGCACACTGCAATGCTGTGTGAGCTCCTACACCGAGAAGCATTGACACGTTCACACCCTTCGTTAGTTCCAGATCATTCGGAAGCTCAGGAGAGATTTCCACACCCAGGAGATCCTCAATCGAGATCAGGTGGTGGCCTTGAGGTCCACGTCTCTTCCACATGTCGAGACTGCCTTGTGCATGGGCAACTCTCGAATCCGGACAGTCGCGGTTAACGGAAAGAGTGAGAGATTTGTGCAACCTGCTCCAACAGTCGGTCCTCTTCTCTAGCATGATTTTCAGACATTCGTTCCGTTGCGCCAGAACAGCCAGGTGGAGCGGGTGAACATTCGTTCGCAGGAAGAGCAGCTCCGGACACATGTCCAAAATCCGGTTCAGAGCTCGTGGGAGATTGCTCATGACGCATAGGTGTACAGCACTGTATTCTTGATGCATCATTTCCCCATAGTTCAGTCCTGCCTCTAGGAGGTATAGAAAAATCTCTTCCTTATTTGCCCATAAAGAATACAATATTGCATTCGTGCTCCCGCAGCATGCACATCTCTCGACTTGAAAATGGGTTTCGGAAACCAGCCGCTGACACAACTGTAGATTGTTGGAGTCGATGGCGTACTTGAGCTCTCTTCGGGGGGAATTTGAGACATTCGTTGGCGTCGTTTTCTTCTCTGCACGAACAGACCCACACTGGCCCTGCGAAACTGTAGATGGTCAGCAAACAGGTCGGTGAAGGACCAAAGCGAGGGAAAATATACTTGAAAATATACTTTTGTCTGCAATGAAAGCCTCAATAACCGAGACGACTTCGGTCCAGTTCAAAGTCTTCGCAATTGATAAGGGCGTGCGGCCATAAGATCCAGGTTCGAGCGGATCGAATCCATGTTTTAACAGCGCGTTGACAATTTCGAGGTCTCCGAACTCAGCAGCCGTGTGCAGAGCAGTGTTGCCATTCCTAGCACGATGGGGTGTGGCGCCACTTTGCAGTAGATATGTTACAATCGGCTGACAACGCCTTTGAACTGCGATTTCCAGTAACGTGCATCCATCGTCCGTTTGCTCCTCAAGCTTGAAGTACTGGGAGAGACCGAGGAGGAATTTGAGGCACTCGAGCTGACTGTAGACAGCTGCGGCGTGGTGAAGCTTGATAGCCCGCAGGCCGTGCGGCAATTGCAGAGGACAAGATTCTCTCCATCTGCCTCCCTCAACAGGAATCGACTGGAGAAAGCCAAGCCAGCCGTGTTGAATCGCTAGTTGAACCGATGAGACGCCATTCGAGTTCAACAGCCACGGGTCTGCGCCAGCTGTGAGCAGCAATGTTGCGCTTTCCACACGTTGAGCATAACAAGCGTAATGGAGAGCAATACTACCACCATGATCCCTCTCATTTGGGTCCAGCCCCTTTGACAGGAGCAGTTCAACCCTGTCAAGGTAGAATGCCGATGCTGCAAGATGGAGCAAGGAAGCTCCCAGCAACGTCTTAGAATCGAAAGACCCGGCGCTTTCCAGGATTATCTCGAATAGTGCATTGCCACAAGGAGACCAAAACACGCACTCCAGCGCATTGACACAATGCTTGTCGTCGGCCATTTCCAAGTCTCTTGTCTCGAGATCCACATACCTTTTGAGAATGGCTTTCGCGATAGCGTCTGACCGGAGAAGGCCAAAGGTGAGTATTTGACGGCCTTTTACCCGAATTTTTCTAAGACATTCTTCAGGCAGATGATCGATCAGAACTATACTCAATCCTACCAATTCATCTTGCTCGGAATGGCCCCCTGCCAAGAAAGAGGACGCCAATGTGTCTAACGCCTGAAAAAGACATCTTGACATTTTTTCCAGCAAGTTTTTATCGTCGAAGAGACCAGTCAGGCACCTTCTATCTTCGGCGAAGATTGTCCTCAGCATCCTGCAGGGCGTACGGAGATGGACAAAACCCGAGGCCATGAGAAATATCGTGATCCCCAGCAAGATCTTTTCGGCACTCTTTGTTATCATCGATTCAAGCGCCTCGTCCGTTGCGGAAGAACCGGAATTCCACATATCGGACATCAACAAGCGCTCCAGAGCGGACTCTGCCCCTGGCGATTTGGAGAGGAGAAGATCGGGACTGTGGTGGTAAAGAAGCTTGAAGCAAGAATCGTGTTGCCAAATAGTTGGCACAGAATATGACAACGGATTCTGGCCTTTGGAGTCTAGTGATGCAGGATCATGTCCTCGAGAAAGGAGGCGCTTCACCCATTCGCAATTACCGTTGACTGCTGCTATGTGCAGGGCTGTCCGACCAGACACATCTGTGCTCCACAGGTTTGCGCCAGCTTCCTCGAAGAACGAGAAATGCTCCGGAATTCCCTCTTGGGCAGCGACCAACCACGGCGTGCGCCCTTTTTTATCAACCGTGTCTACTCCTGCTGGAGCATTCTCCAGAAGGAGATCCAAGATGTGCCGACTATCGGCATCCGTTCTGGATGCACAGAAATGCCAGGCATTCCAACCTCGGTGGTCACACAGTAGCGGGTTTGCCCCAGTCATAAGCAGGAACTCCACAGCTTCCGGCATTCCACTCTTGACGGCATGGTGTAGTGGTGTCCTGCCCTTTTCGTCTGCAATCTCCAGCTCAGCCCCATGCTCAAGGAGCATTCTTAAAATGGGCACATTGCAATGCCTGGCTGCTAACATGAGTGCTGATTCACCGGCATGGTTCTTCGAATTACAGTCTATTGAAAGACCCTCAAGCAAGGAGGTCATACTCTTCTCATTGTTGAACCTGGCCGAGTCAAGCACCAATTCAAGTTGAGCTTCCACATCTGCAGATTGAGAAAGGATTTGGAGGGCTCCGGATGGCATGTCGACGCTAGGCGAGAGTGTGCAGAATTTTGCTTTCATCCTCGAAAATGCTTCTTTGGCTCCATGAGCAATCTCTTGCTCTGATATGCTGTCAACAATGCTCATAAGGCCAGTGTCGTCGCATTCGAACTCGCTGGAATCCAGATACTCTATCAACTTCTCAATGACAACAATCCCACATTTGGCTCCCGCACGAAGCAGGAGTCGAAAGGAATACCACTCTTGAGTCAAAAGTGTCATTACCAGGGGAGTCATGGACAAGACTCCATCTTGGTGGACCCAATTTCCATCGACGTCTGCTCCGTGATCAATCAAGACCTGCACGGTTTCCAGTAGGAAGATGTCTTCAATCTCTGCATCAAAACCGTAACTCAAGCTGGCTTCACGTGAGCCTTGTTGTGCCACACAGTAGCATTGGCACCCTACCAAAGCCATCTGAAGCGGCGTTCCGAACGAAGAACCTGCTTGGGTCTGACCTGGCACGCAAGTCAGGCTTCGGCAAACGTCAGGAAGTCTCATCATTGCGGCCCAGTGCAGTGGAGTGAAAGATTTCCAACGGATTCGTGATCCAAAAAAACCGCTCGGGTTTATGCTACGGAAGCCAAATAACTCGAAGAGATATTCTTGTGCCCATGAAGTAACAAGACGTGTGCTCTGAGGACCAAACAGTCTCATCAAGGGCTGTCGGACACTCGGGCTCTCCGTACAATCTCTGGCGAGATTCACCCATTTCACTACGGCCTGCGGTCGGAAGGGGTGTTCATGATGGCGGGAAGCCAACTCTTCCTCCCTCAAGCAAATGTCAAAGTCACCGCAGCAGAGGAAGGTCAAGCAGGTTGCTGCTAGGTATTGGCGGTCACTTTCGAAGTTCAATTTGTAGCTGGACAGGTCCGGTCTTGCAGTGGTATCGACCGATGTAAGAAATTCCTTCACGGTGAAGTGAGCAAGTTCAACCTTGTATTCATCTGAGCTCAGTCGCACCAAGCTCTCGCAATGAAGAAGAATATCTTGCACCTCGTATTTGCGCAGGTTTTTAAGCTGGCGCGTGTCTTCAGTTACCGCAAGGGCCTCAAGAAGAGCCGGCACCTCCATGTTGCAATAGGTAATCCACTTCAAGGCACACTGGACCAGGCGCTGTGTAAGAGGATGCTTCCGACTGATGCGATCTAGAACACGCTCGTATGAGGGGAATAGTCCACGAGGAAGAGTGTTGAGGGCTTCCCGGATGTCGAAGTCAGATGGCATTTCGCAGAAAGAGTCCAACTGCACCGCCACCCATCTGAACATGCCATCAGCACCGTTGATGAGCTTGTCCATAATTTCGCCTTTAAGGCTTGGATCCTTGATCCTCAGACGTCTCACATTACTTGGCTTCATGCGGTTTTCCATCTCGGCTGCGACGTAGAGACGTAAATCACTGCTTCTTGCAGCTATAGATATCCTCTTGTAGTCTGACATGAAGTCTTCGACATCGACAATCTTCCGGCTTGAAAGAAAAGTTTTTATACGTGCCGAGCCCTCGCTTAGCAATGTGAGGCACCTTGTTGTCCTGCGGACGTCTTCACATTCGTCCAAGCCATCGACAATGATCATAGTGGTTTCAAAGTTCTCAGCCATAGCGATGACAAGGTTGTAGAGCTCTTCTTCATTGGTGATAAAAGTTTGCAGGTCTTTATCGTGAGTATGCGCGTGAACGAATGCCTTTAGTTTGTCGAAGCTTCGAGAGTCCTGTCGCGCTATTTGCTCGGCCAAAGAACCCAGGATTTTGACTGGGTCTTGCGTTTCAGGATCTTTGTAGTCACAATAGAAATAGGCGACTGCATTGTCCGAATTTGCATATGCAAGTGCTTTTTCAATCGCCGTGGCGGCCAGTACGCTTTTACCAGCGCCCGGAATGCCAAAGACCCATAGCTTGGAGTTCTGAGTTTCGAGCCACCATCTGAACTCGTCGCTTTCAATGAACCAGATGCTTGTTCCGGGATGGTGAAGTTGTGCATTAGTCTTTTGATACGCAACAGGTCTTGTTGGGCCAACAACAGATAAAAGTTCCCGTGTGGTCTTGTTGAGTTCGATCTGGGCGGATGCTTCCAGCAATTTACTGACTTTTTCGAGTGTGCTAGCGGATGACTCTGCATTACTGAGCATCGCCACCATCATCGAGAGGCCATTAGCGCTGAGCGAGGTCGTGAAGCTGATATTGTGATCATGGACTTTGCGTTTGAGGTCGAGAGCTTTTGATTTGTCAATCGGCCACATCCATCGAGCTTTGACAGTTCTGATAGATAAATCAGCCTCCGCCTCGGCCTCAGGTTGATATTTGGAAAGTAACTGGCGCAACTCATCCAAGGTAGTAACACAATCCGAGATATGCTTGGGATCGACGAGAGGTGCATGACCGTTCAGATCCTTGAGGTCCTCGGCCGCCGTCCTCACGCTTTGCAGTGTCCAATACAGACGCTTCACCTCGGCGGCGAGGTCCAGAATTTCTTTCTCGGCCCTTTTGACCCCCTTAATGTATTTAAAGAGCCGCGTGAAGACAACATCAGCCGTGGAAATGACTCCAACAATACTAAAGGGGTCAGCCATCGTCGCCCGTAGCTGTCGGTCGACGGAGACGTTTGCGTGATGCGTAGAAAGGCGGAATCAATGCTGGCAGCAGATCGTAACAACTCGTAACCGCCGTGACCCGCGGCATCATGAGGGATGGGCCGCAAAACTGGTCGTGCCGTCAGGCTGATCGTGCCGTCAGGCTGATCGTGCCGTCAGGCTGAATTGGCATTCAGCAGAAGGCAGAATCGGCTCAAGGCTAACACAGGTATTCGGATCAACCAGCACGGAATGGGATGGGCGGCCATGGAGAGGGCAGGAAGCCTAGCATGGCATGCAACCAGCAATGGCTGCAGTAGAATAGGCAGTCTTGGTGGTTGCATAGTGGGATGGCTGCATAGCAGAGGCGCAGCGATGCAGAAGCGAGCTTCGACTCGGGATGCCGGGCATCTTAGTGGCGAAGCGCCGGCTACCTCAACGGCCACTGAAGGGCAAATCGGAACGACGCCCAACGAAGCTCTCTGCCCAAGGGCTCCATCATTCAGCCACCTGTTGTTGGCACTGTAACGCTCAGGGGAGCAAGCGTTGGGATTGTCTGATCAAGGGACGTGCGCCTCAGTATCACCCGCCTCACTAGCCCTAATCGAGGCAGGGCGAACTGTGCTGATACCGACGGAGATGCAGGCTTGATCTCGACTCCTTGCCCTGAGGGCTGGAGGCAACAACATGACTTTCTATCATGAATATGTATCCTATGAGGCAATTCATTCAACCGCGACGACGACTGCCCTCTCTACAACCCAATCTAATACCCCTTGCACCGTCCACCTGCCTTCGTTGAACCTCTTCCAAACAGTATCCTCCCCGGCGACGTTACCCACGGCATCCTCCAGGCCTTTAACCCCGACCATGCCTTCCTTCTCTCTCCAGACTCTCTCGGCCTCCTCACCCGCCCTCCGGACCATAAGGTCTTCGTCTTCTGCGCGGTACAGATCGCACTTGTCACACTCTTGGCATTTCTGGCCTGGAATAGGGCGGAAGTGTTCGCAAAAGTGCCGGTAACCTTCCCCGCCTTCATTGTTCGCGCCGGCCTTGCCGATGTTTTTGCGGCAGAGGTAGCACATGCTGTACCCGCACACGCAGGTGAGTTTGTTGCAACCTGAGGTTTTGACAAAGGACGTTCCGCAGCGTGGACATGTCCTCTTGATGGCTGCGGTGCGGGCTGCTTCGACGGTCGTGCGGAGTGAAAGTATCAAAGGCTCGTGGCAGACGTGCGGGTCGTGCCATGCCTTTTGACATTTCAGACAGGACTTCCGCAGGCACGAGGGATTCCGACATTGAAAGCGCGTGGTACTAGTTTTCACGGCTAGGTGTGCGAGCGACGTGTAGAAGAGTGTGATGAAGTAGTGAGGGAAGATGAGGAAGAAAGGTAAGAGAAGGACAATGGTGGCCGGGAGGAGCTCGAGAAGGAGGATGCATAAGATGGTGTGGACGCTCGTGGTGGGTTTGCGAACATGCCATGTGATAGTAGACGTCACCGTGTCCGGATCGTAGATCTGTTCGACTTCGGCATAAGAGCAGTAGGGGCAGCGGACGAGTGGTAAAGCAGAGTGCTGGAGGTTATGTTCGGCCAGGCGGTCTTCAAACTTTTTCCATGTCTCGGCGCTGGACTTGTCGGAGCGGCGGAGGGCTCGTATGAGAAGGTCCTGATGGATATGGCCGTCACAATCATCTGCGGCCAAGCATCTCAAGGTACCGCGCTCGACGTCAATGGATTTGGCCCACCCTTGCCCGAAAAGGGCCTCATGGAGGGTATGCCGAACGCAGTCCAGACAAATGATATGGTTGGACTGTGTGCAGAATGAGGCGTCCTCAAACGTGACATCGTTGTAACAGACCTGACATTCAAAGAGGGCCCCTGCCTCTTCGGCCTCTTTTTGATTGAGGGCTTGAGCGAGTTCCAAGTCTGAGGCTTCCTGGTCTCTCGGTCTTCGAGACGACTGCGCGGGCAAGGAGAACAGACTTGATAACTCCCTGTCAAGGTCCCGAGAACCTGTTGTGATCAATCGGGGCCCTCCGGGATCCGCCTTTGTTCTATCCAGAAGCATAGAGGGGGGTTCAGCCTGAGATCGCTTCTTCTTGAGGAGATTCGCAAGCGTGGCTTTCCATGACCTGCTCGTCAATTCTTGGAGAGTCGGCCTCGCGCTCGTGTACGAGAAGTTGACTTCGGCGAGGACAGCGTCGACGGCACTCTTGCCCAGCGCGCTGAATTCGCGTCCAACCGTCCGTCTAACCGCATCCTTGTATTCCTTCGTCCTGAAAAGTTCGTCCGGCGGGAGCGGCTCGTCCAAACTCCTCGGCGGCACATTCAATCGGCCCTTAGCCCATTCTGCCTTGTATTTGTAGAGCTGCTCCGTGGCTATCGGGAGTCTGCTGTCGCCGTCGAACCGGAGGAGCAGTTCGCGGAGGACTTCGACCTTGACGTCCGGGAAGAAGTCGGCGAGCACCCGCAGGTCCTTGTTCAAGGGCACCGAGGGATCCTCATCTCCGGGGCTGTCGGCGGGCAGGGACTCCTTGGAGCCTGATCGGAAGGGATTCTTTCTTAGGACCTCGGCGAGCGCGGAGCTGGGGGACGTCTGTCGCGGGGGAGGAGTATTCGACGACGACGACGACGAGGACGGCGTACGATGATGACGGGATGACGAGGATTTGGGGTTAGCGGAGCGTTTTGATGCGCCCGAGTAAAGCCACATCACACCGACTGCTGCTGCTGCTGCTGCTGCGGGTCGATTTGAACATGGTGCTCAAGCAGACATCGGCGGAGGGACGAGCGAGGACAAAGCATTATTCTTTTCGACCTTTCTTGGAGGATCTCCTAGGTGCAGTGCCACTTCCCTGCGCGCTGCATAGACATGAGTAAGTAGTAGTCACTGAGAGAAATAACTGATAAGTGACATGGGTGGGTGCTCTAGAGGCGGCTCGGAGCCTCCCACAGTTGACCTTATGCCAGTTTCGGGCTGGTCCTGGTGGGCGAATAATAATTAACGAGTGCCTACAGGTCACTTTTCGCCACGCCTACGTACTTTAGGCACTCGACCATGCGTATTGCGTATCTCTTCGTAAATATCCTGAGCTTCATCTGTGCACATCATAGTTCAACAACGGGCCGTCACGAAGAGAAGTGATCGCAACAACAGGCAACAACAGTCAACCCAGACATCTGATATGGAGAGGAATGCTTCACGCGTTCGATTCTTCATGAAGCAAGCGATCTCTTCCAGAGCCAGTCGTTGAGGACTATAGTATAGCGTATATCGTATCAGACGGACCGTGAGCATTGACGTCTTTCGCCCGCGATCTATTTTCAACTTCCCTACGGCCCCGGACATGGTAGACAAGGCATCACAGATCAGGAAAATCCATTTATTCCCGTGCTACCTAGGTTCCTTTTTCTGAGGCCGGTATCAGGGACTGTTAGTGGCTCTCCTCCCACACACCCGCACCGGAGTTTATCACAGGGACCAAAAAGATCAAAACAAGACAACAGAGTACCAAAACAGAGTCCGTCTTACCCTTTCCTTCTTATCCCACTATCATTATCACTATAGTATTTCCCCAAAACAGCAAAAAAAGGGCTCAATCGGGATTCGAACCCGAGGCCTGTCACATTTCATGGCTTTTTCAACCAGAGGCCAACCCGCCCGAAGCGACAATCATACCACTAGACCCTACATAACACATTGTTAGAACACCTGTAGATAATAAACCAACGGGTAGCAACATACATTGAGCCGTTGAGAGAGAATCTGTGTCTGATTTGGAGCACACAAACCACTCATTTTTATGCTAGTGCAATATATGATCTTAATCACACCGGCCGAGGTAACAGGGGCTAACTCCACCGTCAAGTCTCCCTCTTTCACGCCCTCCACACGCCCCAGCAGCCGAATCAGCCGTCTATTTAGGGGTGGTGGTCCACCGACGGACCCCTCGCTATCCGACGCATAAACAGTGCTCGATCCATGGATAATGAATTAAAATTCTCTATGCGAAGAGCTTCCGACCCCATGTTGTCAAATTCCGCAGATTATGCTACCTGAACCCAGCCAGACATGTTTTCGCTACATAATCTACAACTTGGGCTTAGGAGCACCCAAGAGCTCGGCTCCAGCACCGGCAATACATAGCTTGCCGGTCTCCTTGACCTTGGTCTGGAAGATGATCTTGTTACCCTCCTTCCACATCTCCGTCACCAAAGTCTGGCCTGGAATCACGGTGCCAGCAAAGCGGACTTTGATGTTCTTGAAAAGACCGTATGTCTGGACAATGTGTTTGCCGCTGAAACCCATAAAGCAGAGACCGTGTAGGATAGGGTCCTTGAAGCCACCAACTTTGCTGAATTCAGGGTCAATGTGCAAAGGGTTCCGGTCGCCGTTCAGCCTGTACAGGGCAGCCTGGTCTTCTGAGGTCTTCTCCTCCACCACGGCGTCAGGAGCTCGCTTGGGAGGCTGGTAGACTATTGTTGCGTTGCCGCGGTTGGCTCCCTTCTTGGGTCCTCCGAAACCACCGGACCCTCGGACGAAGACGGTGGACTCATTGTAGAAGACATCCTCCCCAGTCTTTGCGTCCTTGGTGATGGTACCAGTCACGACAATACCAGCATTGCCCTTGTCAACCACTTCTACTAGTCGAGGGTACGATATCAGTTTGGCGGCAGTCGGGATAGGGAACTTTCGAATCTCAAGATATTGTTCGCCATGGAGTAACATCATAGGTGAGAAGTTCGGAAGAACCTCGTCCATCGAGAAAGGTGCAACGGCTCCGAAGAAAGGAATAACTCCAAACGTCGGCAGAACCTGGAAGTTGTCGTCGTTTTCGTAAACCAAGGGCAGTTGTGTTCTCCTTGCATTGAGGGACAGGTTGTAAAGGATGACATCCTTGTCGTCATAGACGAATTCAGTGCCGCTGGCTTGGGCTTTTTTAGCCTTTTCGATTGCCGCCAAGTAGTCTGTACCGGACTCTGATTTGTTGCTCTTGTTCTCCATGTTGGCCATAATAGATTTGAGACCATCCTGGCCGCTCTCAGGGTAATCGGCTCGGCCATCATCGAAGTTGGTGATCCGGTCCCATTGCTCGACAACTTGCTCGGGTGTCAGCTTAACGTCGACAGGGAACCCGTGGCCCCCAGTTCTTTGCCATCGAGTGCGTGCTTGCCAGCCACTACCGACTTCAAAGAGAAGGCCTGTTGGCGGTTCCGGCACCTTGTCTGAGCATAACGCGAGCACAAGAGGAGCGACATATTCGGGCTTGAAAAGTTGCACTAATTCCTCGGGCAAGATACTGCGGGTCATTTGAGTCCCCGCGTTAGGTGCAATGGTGTTGACAAAGATGTTGTTCTTCCGGCCTTCTAGTGCTAGAGATCGAGAGAAGCCGAGTATACCGAGTTTCTGTCCAGATCAGCAGGCGCCCAATTTGCAATCTGAGAAACTTACCGCAGCAGCGTAGTTAGCTTGACCAAAGTTCCCATAGATACCACTCGTGCTCGTGGTGTTCACAATCCGGCCATATTTCTGCTTGAGCATATATGGATATGCTGCCTTGGTCACTTTGTAGGTGCCACGGAGATGGATATTGATGATATCGTCCCATTGCTTGTCGTCCATATTGGCAAAAGCCTTGTCCCTGAGGATGCCTGCGTTGTTGATCAAGATATCGATTCTACCGAACGTATCGATGGCTGTTTTGACCACGGCGTCACCGTCTTCAACCGAGGCCTTGTTGCCGACAGCCTTGCCGCCGAGTTTTTGAATCTCTTGTACGACAGTGTCTGGATTCATCAGGTCATTTACGACAACAGAAGCGCCACGCTTGGCGAAAGCGAGACAGTAACCCCGGCCGAGACTGCAGGTGTTGTTAGTCAAGGTCAGTTGTGGAGAGCATCGGCAAAAACGTACCCAGCACCGCCGCCAGTTACCAGGACGACCTTCCCATCAAAGCGGATGTCCTCGCCTTGTTCATTGGGTGGCAGTTTCATTGATTCCTCAGCCTTGGTCACGAAATCGGCAACACCGTTGGGGTGTTCCGGCTCGGAGAAATCGCTGACCTGATCCCACTTCTTCAGGATGGCGCCGGGGGTGTAGGTGTCGTCAGCTTTGAGCAACAGGCCCTTGGCACGCTCCCATCTCAACTTGGCAATATGGCCTCCGCCAACTTCGAAGATCGAGCCGCTGGTATGTGTGTTGGACGGGTGGACCAAGACAGCCACGAGAGGCACCACCCAATCGGGCTTGAGGTTGTCAAGCACATCGGGAGGCATGACAGTCGCCGTCATTCGGCTGGCGGCAATGGGAGCAATGACATTGCAGATGATGTTATATTTGGCTCCTTCTTTGGCCAAGGTCTCAGTAAAACCAACTTGAGCCAGTTTCGCAGCGGAGTAGTTGCACTGGCCGAAGCTGCCGAACAGACCGGCGGCAGAAGCAGTGTTGATGACTCGGCCGTACTTCTGTTTCCTAAAATATGGCCATGCAGCTCTTGCACATTTGTATGCACCCTTGACGTGGACGGTGTTGATCAGATCCCAGTCGGAGTCCTTCATGTTCTTGAAGCTGACATCGCGGAGGATACCGGCATTGTTCAGGAGGACGTCAACGCGGCCAAAGTTGTCGATGGCGGTTTTGATAATCTTGTCGCCATTCTCGACACTGTCGTAGTTGGCGACTGCTTTGCCGCCAGCAGCTTTGATCTCATCGACCACGACGTCTGCGGCCTGGGACAAGGTCAGTGGATGCGGAGATGGTGCAGAGCATGTGACAATTTCAGACAGACCTTTGTGCCAGCACCCTCGCCCTTGAAGGAACCGCCCAAGTCGTTGACGACGACATTGGCACCTCTCGAGGCGAAGAAGAGGGCATATGCTTTCCCGAGACCACCACCAGCACCAGTGACCACCACGGTCTGGTTGTCGAAACGTAATTCTTGCACCATTGTCACCTGTTCAACTGTCTCTCATGCGTATTACGGAGAGTATTCTCTGCTCGACGACACACAGGAGAGGGAAGGGGAGAGGGAGGAGAGACGTCTTTGAGGGACCCAGCGCCGATATATGAACTGCGGCCGTAACACGGGGATGGGAGAGGGAGAAGCCGAAGAATGATGCCGGCAGGACTGGGAAGGGAGTAGTATCATCAAACAAAACACACTTGAGCTTCCCTCCTGCGAGAATGCCATGAACTGTGTGGCTATTGGGCGGGCCTCGGTGTCGTCAGTCCAAAAAGCTGCCGAGGCATCTGGTCACATGACGATTACGGATGGCAGCCCCACGACGCACCATCGCGCTGAGGTTGCTTCGACCCCTTCCGACAGCCTCCCATCGGTGAGCGAAACATGATCCGAATCCCGCCCAGTTCTCGCCTCCACATCTGGTCCATCGGCATGTGAAATTCACCGCGCGGATGCTGACCAGCTGCTCCGTCAAAAGTGTGACCAGGCCAACAATAGGTCAACAGCTTGCACGAGCCAAAAGAATAATTCAACACCACACCTCCATTGATCTTGAGCAGTACATTGGAAACACTTTTCTACGAAGAAGTCGCGCGCCCAAACATACGACCTTTGCCGACACGGACAATTTCTCTCGACGGTCATTCAGATCGGAGTCGTCTCCGTCGTTGGAGCGGGTAATCTTCTAGCCGCAGCCATCTCTCAAATGTTGGGGGCATTAGCTGACAATTTCAATGAGAACACGAATGATATATTCCTTCCCTCTTCAGTGTCCTGAGACTTCCAAACATCTGCGTGACGGCCCTCGTTCTTGACAATAAGCGGACAAGATGCCCGAAATTCGCGATGACAAGGCCCAATACGTTGTGCCCTTTATTCTCTCCCTGCTTGCGGAACATCAGAAGGCATATTCGACGTCTTCGAATCCACCACCCTTCTTCATCGGCCTGAATGGCGTCCAAGGGGCCGGGAAGACGGTCCTCGTGGACATTTTGAAGACCACCTTGTCGTCACCGCCCCATAATCTTCCCGTAGTGGTCTTCTCCCTCGACGACCTCTACCTGACGCACGCCGACCAAGTGGCCCTGGCGCAGTCGCATCCAGATAACCCGCTGTTGCAACACAGGGGACAGCCTTCGACGCATGATATTCCCCTTGCTCTTTCGGTGTTTGCGAGCCTCAAGCAAAACAGGCCAACTAAGATCCCGCAGTACAATAAAGCTGCCTTCTCAGGGCAAGGGGATCGGGTGCCCGAGAGCGAGTGGGAAGAGGTCAACACTGACCCGTCTAGCCCGGTGCGTGTGGTTTTATTTGAGGGATGGTGCGTTGGATTCCGCCCACTGGCTCAAGAAGCGTTGGGATCAAAGCACGCGGCCGCCGTTGCTGCCCTGGAGAGCTCCACAGCCAACAGCCCGTACACCGGCCGCTTGGGACACAACACACTGAAATCGATCACGACCATCAATGAAGCCCTTAAGAAGTATGACGAGATAACCACTCAGCTCGACGCATTCATCCACATCGACGCCCTTGACTCTCAGTATGTGTACAAGTGGCGCTTGGAGCAGGAAGCCGGCCTCCGCGCAGCGAGGGGGAGCGGGATGACGGACGAACAGGTCAAGCATTTTGTAGACGGCTATTATCCTGCGTACGAGCTGTACACGGACACACTGCGGCAAGGGGTGTTCAAGGGCATCAAGGACGATTGGCAGGGCAAGCAGTTGCGCTTGGTGGTTGGGGAGGATCGCAAGGTGAGGGAAGTGGTGAAGATCTGAAATCGTCGCTTGGCCGGTTCCGGTTTGAAGAGGTGGCCCGCCAAAGGAAGGAGATCAACCTATCGCCTCGGTGATCAACTACAAATTAAGATAAGCTGGGCTTTCGAGGACAGTGTCAATCAATAGACGATGACGCCTCTGGAGAGGTACCGATGACGATCTAGCACAGAGCTCTCGCAGACTGGAAATTTCCCACCCACCTGCTTGTCGTTTGGTTGCGCTTGGCCAGATGGAGGCAAATAGTAGGTGGAAGTGACGAGCTATCAAGTGAAAGATGTGCAGAGCGGTCCAGGGCGAGTCGCCAAACACAACTTGCCAGGTCTCTCGGTCCCCTTGCTCTCCAGAGTCTTGTTGTCCTCAGTCCACGACCCTCCTCGCACATCGGGTTTTGTGGGCAAATCGAGGATATCCTTGCATTCCGAGGCAAAAATACTATACCACATAGGCTGAAGTCCTCGTTCGGCTGTTTCAAGCTGGAACTCGTTGTGTGGAACAAGACACTAGAGAAAGCCCTTTGATACTAAAAATCATCAATTCTGCGCAAGAATGTACTCCTGCAAGCGATTGTAGATGCGTGATAAAGAGTAGAACAGTCTACCTGCTGCTAGCTAAACGTGAGAAATCGACATGGGCCGATAAAAGAACAAAGTCGGGATCTGAGAAGTAAAGCACAACCTGTTTCGTTGGTGGCTGGTTGGCTTGAAGAGCTGGATTCGCCGGCAACTTGCTTCCGGGTTCAGTGAGAACAACGGATCGAGAAAAAGCATGACCGAAATCAAACATCCTGCCCCTGAAAGTGGCTACCTAGCAGCCTTGCCATCTGCTGCCAGTCGCGGGTGATTCCACCAATACTTGTGCCCTTCCCGCATTTACATACAAAGCCATACACTTGAACATATTGACTGGCCATAATCGATTAATTTTCAATGCAACCACCCCCCACCCACGGATGTCCTATGCCCGAGAGGATGCTTTATGTTGCCGGAGCCGCATTCGCCTCGAGTATGAAGTCGTTGGGTTCTTCGGAAAACAACTTATGCCTTCTTGCCATTGATTCCTTGGAGATGGACGTCACTGATGCACCGTGTCAGCATGTTGTTCTTGAGAATGGACTCATTCCGCAATCCGCGAGAGGACATCGCCATAGCGGCCTGAGGGTGGAACAAAGCAAACACGGACTCACAAGATGAGGGTGGCATTCTTAGGGATGAGGCCCGGGAAACCACTATATATCAGACCACTGGTCAGCACACGGGAGTCGAGAAGAAACGAACATTTTCGTCGAGTTTGGCGAGGAAATGAAACAAGGTCGGGTCGTATCTCGAGTAGATGGTGCTCTTCCTCCCAGTCTGAAGATGACACGACGCGAGGAATTCACCGAGTCTTCTCCGATCGACGACTCGACACGAGCAGGACGGTCTGCTATGCAAGTAAAGAGGGGGGTTTTGGTCGGTTACTGACCGATCGCCGTACGCCATATGCCTGAATCAATGTCAGCGTGTCAAGTTCATCTGTGGCCCCGACCATCGCCCCGGCCGGCCTGGCGGCCGAGGCTGTCACGTCTAAATGAGAAGTGACAAGAGGCAGCCTCGTCCGAGTTCTTCCCCGGAGCAGGATATCTCTGGAGGGTTTCCGCGATCACAGAAGCGACGGAATGAAACAAGAAGCCAAGACCTTGATAGAGACTCACCCTGGAATCGTCAATCTGCTCTTCTCACCCAACGACATCTGTGGCACGCCGTGATCCCAACCTGCAGGAACCCGCGTCAGAAGTGGCGGTTGGAAGTTTAATTGGGGTTGTAATCCGCACCTTCAATGACTCTGCCAACGCCAATCTGGGTCTTGAAAGCGCCCCGGCCGACAGAACTATCGAACCTGATGGAAAGGTCAGAGCAAGCCCTTGGGGGAAACCCGACGGTTGGTTGGGAGCGGGGGGGCCTTACTTGTCGCCCTTGTAATCTTGGTCGGGTTTTGAAGCATCGTACAACCAACCCGTATACTCGATACTGACCTCATCACCTTTTCTTGGATAGTCGGTCCCATTACCCTCGAAGAGGAGCTGCTTGTGGAACTGTGACGCCATGACTCTGCTGTCGAACTGGAGAGGTTGTTCTCTGAGGGCACTAGCAGTTGGGCGCGCTAGAAAGGGATCCGCGAAGAGGTTGCGAGAGACAAGTGCTCGGAAAGTTTGGGAGAAAGTGAAGAGAGGTCAGGCCTCAATATATCGGCAGCGGAAAGCGGTTGAGTTCCTAGGTCGGTACTACTATTGACAATCAGGAAACTAGTGGGGAAGCAGGGGCAACGGGGGTGGGCCAGTGGATGAAGTCACTCTTGTGATAGCAGGAATTCGAATTACGAGTCTGATGAAGACTGAGGGGACTTGGCAGGAACGCAGCCAGGGCTCTGAGGGACGAGCAAGAGCGAGTGAAAACAGCCGACTCCGACTAGTTCGCTGACGAGGGCGGTGGAGGAGGCGACGGTGTCACGGTACGCAGTGACGGTGGTGACGGGGACCAGTTAGCACCGTCAGAGGTCACATAAGCGGGCAGGATCAAGGGGGAGATATGCCTTTGCACAGCACCAACTATCGGTGAAATTCTGCGCGAATGAAACTCCGACCGAAGCAGGCCATGATTTTTGCAAAGCCACAACACCAGAAAACCCAGACAGAGGTATCCTTGTATTCTTGGTTGAGTTCGCACGTGTGAGTGGCAGACGCCGGCAAGGAATTGACTTCCCGAATAGACTCACACGCTGGCTCAGTCAGATGGACACACCCGGATTCGAGGGGGCTGAGCAGGATGGACGGCGAGGCGGGACAAGCACCCACAAGGCCAGCACAGCTGTGCTCAGAGATCCGAAGTTTGAACAAGTTGTCGGGGGACAGGGATGAGGGGCGCTAAACAAGCAGGGGTATAGGACACATGAAGACCAATCCATGCGAGGACGGGATCCGCGGGGGCTTGAGGAGGGGGATCTGTTGCATGGAAAAACTTGAAAGGGGCAGGTACAGAAGAAAGTCTTCGGCTGAGATCGGATCAGCGAGCATTGAGTCAACACATGCATCGGACCTGCAGGATCAATTAGCGATGAACTCTGTGCCGACTGGCAAAAGAAACGAAAGAGAAAAAAAAAAGGGAAAAGGAAGGTCCCAGATTCCGATCTTCTGAGGGAAAAAAAAATAGAGTAGCGAACAACAGGCGAAGAGGCGCACCCAGAGGGTTTGGGGGCGCAGGCACTGCAAGGATGGGTGGGCCGACATATTCCCACCTCGGGGCCACACAGCGACGGGCGTGACACGGTGCCAGTACAATGGTTGTCGAGCGCGGGGCAGCCGCTCCAACTCCGTACCCGGGCTGCGCAGAGAAACCTTCATTCTCGAGCGTGAAGGAGGGGGGTGAGGGGGGTACGTAGGTACCTACGTAGGGTACCTCGTAGGTGGAGTGTAGAGTAGCGAGAAGGTTAGGTAGGTACATTCTGGGCAAGTACCTAGGTACCTGGGTACCCGTACTGGAGGACTGTGGGCTGATTTTCACTTTCATCTCACTTTTTGCCTCGTTTCCCCATCTCACCCTTCGATGCCCTCACTTGGCCAGAGTCACGCCCACTCCCATCCCCCCCTCTTTGATTTGGCCAAAGGGCAAGTCACCTTCCGTCATCGCTCAGCTGTTGTGTTCTGGTGTCATGACGTGATCGGAGATGTCCCCTCCTGGTGCTGGTGCTGGTGCTGGTGCTGGTGTTGGTGTTGGTGCTGGCGCTGGTGCTGCGGAACCCTCGTGTTTGCCATCCCTCTCTGCCTCGACTTTTCCCACAAGTGTGTTCGCCTGATCAGGAAATGACTTGGAGTCTCCTCCTGTGCATCCTCCTCACTCGGTGCTTTGCCGCGACGCTGATCAGGCGGGGGTGCCGTCGAGGCCGTGACCTCTCTCTCGATGGCTTCTGGTTCATCCTGCGTCGCTAGCGGGAGATACTGGCCCGCTAACTGCCTGTCTGCAGCATCTCGCGCTGGTGTTTGCTGATCCTCTCCCCGAACTTTGAGAAATGCTGATCGGGACAAGTACCCATCTCGAAGACGGCTCATAGTCTTCCAATCGTTGCTGGAATAATGCTTTGACTCACCGCTTGATAGGAATTCTCCAATCGCAGATTGCTGCCCGAACTTCCAAACCACCCCCCGTGTGCCTCCCTCACCAGCCGTCCTGACCAAACGAGTTTGCCGGCTGGCGATCACTACCTCCTCCATCATACATGAGCATCAGCCTTACCGAGATCTTGGTTTCCCAGGGAGCGGCCATCCAATCCGAGCCTGACACATCGGTCCCGATGCATTTCGAGATTTTGTCCGAGTTGAGAATCAAAATCTAGCTATCCTCCTTCAACCTCGTATATGCGCAGCGGAAGACACATCCCTGCCATCTGCAGCGGTAATAGTCAGACATTAGAAATCGCAATTAGGTGGGGGTCATCCCAGTCCGTTGGGCTCACTGCCACCTTTTCATTCGACGCTTCCCGCACTCGATGCCGCTCCTACCAGCCTGGTCTTCTCGACCATGCTTTTGCCGGCGAATGGCGGTGCACGGGCACACCGATGTACCTGGTGACTTGATTCACATGACCAGATACCCTCAGATGGGGGAGACGGCAGGCACAGCGCTCTCTCGGGGACCATGCTTCGGTCCACCCTCAAGCATCCGCTTATCCCCGTGGGCAGCACTGCGTCTCTTCCTTCGCTGGAAATACAAATCACTGTGCGCCTACATCTCACTTGTTGCATAGGCGCTGCCTCCTGAACCGCTGCTGGAACTTCGGATATCGTGCGACCTGCGGGCGTGTCGGTAGATAGTACGCACACGTCGACGTGCATCGGCCACATCGGGCCAAATCTGTCCTTTCCCAGATAATAGTTCAGCCAGGATACAACCTCATGAACCGACTACCACCATTGGAAGCCCGTAGTGGTGGTGCCTCAGATGACCTATCATCCCACGGCCCAGAACATTGGATCGAGTTCGCACGATTCCCAGTATGCAGTCTGGCTGATCTGGACCGCAGGAGTTCGCTATCGACACTTCCTTTTTGGGCATGACCATTTTGCTCTCGTGAGTTCCCAGAATACCTCGTGGCCAGACCGGGAACCACGGAGGACTAAAAACCTCCCACTTCCGCACACCCGACCACTGATTGGGATGTCAAATATTCCAGGCCCTGTAAATGTGGTCTAGACACTATATCTCGTGCAGCTGTGGTCTAGTAGCCTGCTCATTGACTCCAAAACCTGTGTTCTCTAAGCTTTTTCAGCCCCATCTGCTCCTGGCGCAGTGTCTGAAAGCGAAGGTCGTGTATCGGGCTGTGGCCATCGCTGGGTTCACGGTGGCTCAGAAAAGTTACAGAGCTGATGCCGACCTTTTGCAAAAAGTCCAAGACGTGGGAGTAGCTATGGGCGATCTGATCCACGCCGTGACTGTCATCAGACAAGCAAAAGCGGATGTCTCTCTCCAGCGCAGCCTGGCAAATTTCTCCCTGGGGATATGGCTCGGCCATGCCCTTCCTCACTGCCGAAGAGTTGATCTCCAGTATCCCTCCGTACCTGGCAATGCAGTCCAGATTCCTTGATATCCGTGCCCATACCCCCTTCATCCGCTTGAAACTCTGGTTCGGATCGTCGCTCTTCAGCCGGATGAGATCAAAGTGGCCGACCACGGGCGGCCTCAGGGCCTGCAGCATGGCAAATTGCGCGTCAAAGTAATCTTCAAAGATCCTCTCGTCCGTGCCGCCGGCCTTTGCCCGGGCGTCGTGGTACATGGCGTGGTCGTAGTCGATGGGGATCGTGTGGACATGGTGCACGGAGCCGACGAAGAAGTCGTACGGGTGCCTGTCCAGACTCTGCTTGATCAGGTCCTCGGACTCGGGTCGGATCCATTCGCCCTCGAACCCCAGGGGCAGCTCTATCCTGTCCTTGTACTTCTGGCGCAGGCGGAGGGCCTCGGCGACATAGGCGGCCTCGTTGGCGAAGTGCATCTCGAGCGTGTTGAGCTCCCCCGGGTACCGGTCTTGCTCATGCCGGGGCATGTGCTCGGTCAGCGCAAAGACGGACATGTTCTTGGAAATGGCCGTCTGGACCACATCTTCGAGCGAGTCGCGCGCGTGATCGGCACAAAATTGGCCGGAGTGCGAGTGATGGGAGAAGGGCATCTCTTTGGGGAGGCTTTTGCCCTCTTGAGTTGGAAATCCTGCTCAACAGCACAGCACCAAGGTCTCAGAGAATATTGTCGTAGCTTGAGCCGATGGGACAGGTGCTGTCAGCTTTCTCTTCAGGAATATACCGACTTTTGTTCGCCCTCAATGGTCCTGGGTCGAGGTCAGGCCTGATATGCGACTTCTCTTTGATTTCTTTCCAATTGCTCCTAGATAGCAAACACGGAGAGACGCACCAGTCTCGCCGTCCAGTCGTCGCCCTCAACCCCGAAGTTCTTCCGAACACCCTCAAACACCCGCGCCCCTACTACCCCTATTACCCCTCCCTCATCCACCCCCCAAAAAGGAAACCCACACACACACACACACACAGGGTGTGCTCTTTTCTCTCTCCTCCGGGAGCACATATCCCTCGTAGAACACACCAAAAAGATAAAAAAGATAAAAAACGAGGAACATGGGACTCGAACCCACAACCTTGGCTTGGCACCTGCCCTTCCAACCAACGACATGACGGTGAATGGGACACAAGTGTAGGAGAGCCACGCGCTACCATTGCGCCAATCCCCCTTTTTCTGGCTTGGGAGAAAAACGTCCCGCGACATTTTTTTCCTGCTTGAAATCTGTGTTCGGATTTGGCAAAATTCCGAGTACCTTTTGCGGGTGTTTCATATATAAAGACAAAGCATTTTGCACGTGATGAGCCTAGTTGGTTGAGCCTGAGAGAGGGGCCAAAAAGGGGGTGTCCCTCCCTTTGAACTTACTGTACTCGTTATTATAGCCCACCTTTACTCCGTATAGGTCTACCTATACTACTGCTATTAGCGGACTGGTGAGGCCGACGAGACAGGTAGGTATATAAATGTTCATAGCTTCTCGTGCTTATCCAAATAGGTAACGAAGTTGATCAGCGCGAACAGACACAAACAGACGACTCGGTATCCCCTTTTCCGATCTGAGCGACGAGGTGGCCCTGGTGAATGTGCAGTGTTTCGAACCGGTAGTGGGAAAACAGGTGTTTGTATCTACATCTACGGAGCTGCGGGTCCATAGTCGACGCCCTTCAACAGTTTGCCGAAACATGATATTGGGGATACGCACTTCAGTGTGGAAGCCAGCATCGATCAAAGGCAAACGAAGCAGTGTCCAAAAAGCAAATTGAGAGGCTGGGAAAGAGAGAGAAAGCGACAACGCGTAGAGAATAGACTCGTCAACTTTTTCCTGAAATGTCATTTCGTTCAAGAGCTTATATACACCGAGTCTACCTGTCCCTCCTTTTGGTCATGGCACTTTTCGAATCCAAAACCCACAAGTATAACGTGAAATGGCCGTGTAGGTTGAAAATCCGCCTTTTTTTTTCTTTGGGTTGCCTCGCGAGAGGCCCTTCTCTCTCACTTCTCTTTACGAAATTCCTCGGCCCACAGGACCAGTCAGCCCGAGTCATTCACGGCTCGAGGTTCGAGACGATGGTTGCTTTCCAAGACAGTCGTCCCTGTTGCGACCTCAAAGATCTAACCTGACAACCGGTCCTCGTCAGGGTTCGTTGACCGCCGCAGCTTCTGCAGCCAAATGTTCGCCTTCTTCGGGGTGTTCGTCCCCGACCGTTGCATTCTTTGCATAGATTCCGTCCAGCGTGACGTTCATGGCACCAGACTGCACCAGTGCACTCCGCAAATCATCCAAAAGATCCTCTCCGTCCTCGATCCCTACACATAGTCGGATCAGATCTTCAGGCACGCCGCGCTCCTTGCGGGTCTTGGCGTCGATGCTGGCGTGGCTCATGCGGCACGGCATGCTGATGAGAGAGTTGACGCAGCCGAAACTCACACTGATGGCCCATAGTTTGGCAGACTCGACAATCCGCTCGGACAACTGGACGTCCCCGGTCTCGAAGGACAGGACCGCGCCGGGCCCCCGGGCCATCGAGTTGAAGAGATCATACTGAGGGTGGCTCTTGAGACCGGGGTAGCGAACTTTAAAGCCCGCGGACTCGAGGAACCGGGCAATCATCATGGCATTTGCTTGCTGTGCGTCCATGCGGACTTTCAGTGTCTTGATCCCACGCATCAGGAGCCAGCAGTCAAAGGGAGCAAGGCCACAACCCGAGGCATTGATGGTGAAGTAAAATTTCTCGCCCAGAGCTTCGTCGTTGACAGCAAGCACACCAGCCATCAAGTCGTGGTGGCCGGACAGATACTTGGTGCCGGATTCATAGACAACATCCGCGCCGAGTTCCAGAGGATTTTGGAGCAAGGGCGACAACATGGTATTATCCACAATCACCAGACAGGACGGATTGGCGGTGTGGGCGTAGTTTGCAATGGTGGGGATATCCACAATCTTGATCAGGGGATTGGTAGGTGTCTCAAGCAGAACCATGGCCGTCTTCTCGCTCAGCACCTCCTTTACCTTTTCAGGCGTGGTTGTATCGACGTGATGGACGATGATCCCGCCATGGGTGGATAGATATTTGAGCAATCTGTTTGTTCCTCCGTATAGGTCGTCGCCTGTTACGACTTCATCCCCAGGCTTCAGCTGCCGGGTTATCACATCAAGTGCACCCATGCCCGAAGAGACAACAAGAGCTCGTTTGGCACGCATGATCTTTGCTAGGTGTTTTTCCAAGTGGGTGCGGGTTGGGTTGCCGCTGCGCGTATAGTCGTAGTCGGCGACGCCCCCCGTGGCGGAGGTCTGTTTGAAGGTGGCAGACTGTAGAACGTTAGCGAGCCTTGGTCTTCGGCTTCATGTATCACTACTGACCTGGTAGATGGGCACGCTGCTTGCATTGTACTGGTCGTTCCCCTCCGAGTAGACCAGCTGTGTCGCGATAGCGTATTGCCGACCGCCTCTCGGACTGGACGGAGCAGGTGAAGGCGGTAGATCATGGCCGTCCAGATCTACTTGGGAGAAAGCTTTGCTCATTGCGCTGAGCTTGGGATTCTTCAGGGGCGGTGTAGAAGAAGGCCCTGACTCAGACATGTTGGCGGCGGTCGAAGGGTGGCGGAGGTACAAGCTCGACGACTTGTAGGGTACTGATCAGTATGCTCAAGGACATAAGAGAGTCCAGCAGGGTGTTTGCTTGTGGCAGCAGCTGATGGCGACCGAATCGAGCTGTCACATTGAATAGCAAGACAACGGGCGAGAAAGGCGCAGAGAGGTTGATCGAGTAGTGCCTTTGCATGTACCGAAGGTGGAGCAATTTTCGCAGTTCGGGGGCACAAAGGCGAGGAGGGCAAATGACGTGCTCGGGAGAATCTGGGGGGGGTTTTTCCTCCCACACGACTCACTTCCCGTTCCTTCGGCCACGCCTCGCCTGAGACTTTAGGCTTTGGTAAGGTCGAATATCCAATGTCCTCTGCTGAGATGTCGCTGGACGGGCGCAGTTGGACCAAATGAGATGTGTCGACTAATGAGATGTTGATTCAAGTATGTGCGATCAAAGACCATACACTGGGTGCTGCCCCGCGCAGTGCGTTCAAAGCCCTGGGCTGAATATTTTGCCGAGGCCATCTCACCACGGCGAAACTGTCCACGAGATTTTCCGAGCAGTAACACAGGAGGATTCAAGGATGTACGCAAGGTATTTCAGGAGACATCGTATTATCTTTTGGACCGTAGACCAGTGTCTGACAATCTAGGAATATCACCACGACAGAGTTATAGGCAAAACAATTCGGATATGTCCCAGACTCGACCGGAACCCCTCTGGTGGCGTTGCTATCAAGCTCAAAGGACCACAGACCAGACCAAACCATCGTCAGTCCTGATGCAACACCACATCAGTCATGCTCTGCAATGCTTATAGAACAGGAATCTCGTCGCCCATTGACCACATATCGGAGAACTCTGTCCCGAAATACTAGCACCTTGTAGTGCAATAGTCGATGAGTATATTAACGGCCAGATTGTAGTCCAAGACTGAGCATTCGTTTGGATTGAGTCAGCACACAGGTGTCCCTGTTGGATGTTCATTTCGATCTGGCCGTTAGCAAGATGACTACCCGTCATAAATTTCGGGCGTGTTCTGCTTTCAAATTTGTCCCAGCATGTTGATCAACAGACTGCATGCCATGTGGTTCGACAACGATCATCGGGCCAATGCGATGGAATGTTCCAGGGCGTAAAACGCTGATAGCCAACGGGTTATGGAGTCCGCTCCTTGAGCATGAAACCCAGTAGGTCAGCAGAAGATAGATCAAGGATGAAAGAATGCGCGCGCCCCAAACATTGCAGAGATTTCACCAAAAGCTTACCCAGGGTGGCTTTCTCCCTGTGGCTTCTCGGTTGGACCCCTAATGAAACAACACCGGCTGCTCGGCCAGCGGGGACCGATGGAGGAACCAATTGCTTTGGTGTCAAACATGTTTGTGTACTCGGATGGAATGTTGGTGGGTGTCCTTTGCATAGCACAACGTGTCGACAGGACATGCCGCATCTGTTGTGCCCAAACAAACGGTGACGGTGGTGGTATGCTCCCAAGCCAACAGCCACCCTCCATCCCCTGGTCTCCTCGAGCATGACCGTCGATTCCCAACGGGGCGGCAGATGGGGGAAAATGATGGAGGAGAATTTGGACCAATCCTCCGGTCCGCTGGAGCCAAGGGCTTGCGACCGGCGTCTGGCTGACACGCGATTGGGCTCCAGCCAGCTCCTGGTTCCTGATGCTAAAATTGCTTGCTTGCGTGCAATGTTGCATGCTTGGTCTCTCACTGGCAGCCGAGTGTCACGGAGCCACGCAGCTCGACAAGGACTCACCTTGAAGCATCCTCGTCCCTGTGGTTCTGGTCAGAATTTTTTACGCCGAGAGTCTCAGCGCGGCGAGGATGCCGGAAGCACAGACTGTTTCGAGGAGTGTTTCGTCCACAGATAGGGCGGTCAAAATGCCAGACTCTCCCTCGATACACTCGATGGACTTACGAGTGTTCGTACTCAGTGCTCGTGCGTGAAGACTGCAGATCCTACCACAGAAGAGGATCAGGTTATGACAAGCCACGCTGAAGCCAAAGACGAGCCACGGCGCGGGAACGAGATTGAGGTGCGAAATTGGCTGCAGCAGAAGCGAGAGAAGCCCAGGCCCAGCAACGGCTAAGGTGATCAATAATGGCCCAAGGGGAGGAGGAGGCTGAGCCAGCCCCGGCGTGAAGCACCGTCAAGTACGAGTCTCAGTGGTATTGAGCCCTGCAGGTACCGGGTTAGCGCCACCATCCTTTTAACTGTAGTGGCCCAACAAGGAGTGCCTGTGGGCGCCACGAGGCCCGCTGGAGTGGGACGGTGGCTGTAAGTTACAGGGACTCGTACTCGGAAAATAACCACCTAACCAGAGGGCGTAAATGTGCCTGAGAGATATCTCCGCCGGGACCACCTCTCGCTGGGCCCGAGTCCACAAAACCCCCAAGATCTGTCTGTTTGAGTTTGCCCCCCCGGGAGCCGCTTGGGTGCCTTGTCTCGACCAACAGCCACCGCTCGGGCCTAGCAGCTGCGCTTGTAGGGCTTGCCTCGTCACTCCTTTCCCATCACGTACTCGGCCTCCATTCAGCCTCTCCCTTTCGACACGTCTTCGACAATGCCTTCCCTTCCAATTGTCCTTTGCACTCACCGTCCACGCCTGCACGCCCTCACCATCGAGCCTCGATGATCCGTCAACGTCGCCGTGGTCGCCGTCTCTCGTTCTGCGACCGATAACCTTCCCTTTCGACTTGTCAATTCCGCCTCGACGGCTGCGGTTCTTCATCCCTTTCGTGTCTAAGCAATTTTGCCAGCACCGACCCCGACGTGCTCGCGTTCATTCCTTTAGACCGTCGACGTCCAGCCTATTTGACACGATCGATCACGCTCCTTAGTTCTTGTACCTTCGTGCACGCATTTCTACAATTCGCCGCGCAAGCCTTTGCAGGATATCTCCTCGTCGCCGCCTCATTTCAAGGAACGAGTCTTCAAGTCGCCAAGAGCAGCTCTTTGGATACTGTCTTTGTCTTCGCGAGCAATTGGCTGGCCCAACAATTCGAGGAAGAGGATAGTCTGCAGCGGTCCTTTGTTGGAGAGACACGGGTAATCCAAGGGTCAAAGAAATCGCCAAAAATATATGATTCAAAGCCTTTGACCATTCGACGTTGTCAATTTGCATACCCACGGGACAAAGGAATCCCCCTCGATCACAGGTTTCGACAACCGCTGAACCTGCTCTTGGGATTATAACTCCATCAAACCAAACTGGCTTGACCGACCCTTCGAAGACGACGGAAGCCGAGGAAATCGTCTGGGACGGTTCTTTCGAGTTACAGATCAGGATCATTTGATCCTAGCCGCTCTTTTTCAACAACTCTCCCACCATATACACTCGTTTCATAAGATCTGAAGTAAGGAAGGCGGGACGTAACTGGCAAGGGGTTTTGCTAACCGGCCCTCCAGGAACTTTCCAGACGAGAACCTCCCACGACATGAAGATCTCATCAATTACTTTGTTTGCTGCGGTAGTGGCAGGATCCTTTGCCGAAGCCGTCCCTGCCCATCGCCGTGGAGCGGATCTGAAGCCCAGGTACTATTTTCCGAGGGTCGTGAAGAGGCAGGTCACATTCGACAACTCGACCACGTCTAGCTCTACGGACTCGGGATTGGGTAGCTTGATATCGTCGGTATCTGATGCGTTGTCCGGAGTCGCATCACAAATCTCGGACGATTCGCCGACGTCAACACCAGCGAGCACCGACGCACAGACGACTGACACCGCCTCAACTGATACCTCAACCGATACCGCGACAGATTCTGCAACCACTTCTACAGACACCGCTACGGCCTCAGCTACAGATACAAGCGCTGCCACGATTACGGACCCCTTCAGTAGTCCATCTGCGACCGATGTCCCGACCAGTATCAACACGGATACTACTTCTACTGGGACAGACACGGCCAGCATCACAGATACTGCCACTACAAGCTCAACGTCCGACGAGAGTGGAATTACTCTCGGCCTTGGGTCCATCTTTACGAGCGATTCATCCACAGACACTGCCACCATTACTAGCACAACCGATACGGCAGCTCTAGCATCAAGCACTGCTGCAGCCGAGTCTGTTCTCTCGTCGGCGAGCGATGCTGCAACTTCGATCTTGTCCGTCGCGAGCTCGCTGCAGTCGGTTGCGGCCACAGCTTCGGGTACAGACATCGCCTCGATTTCCTCAGCCTTGTCCTCAGCTGCCTCCGCTGCATCCTCAATTGCATCGGATGTGAGCTCTGCAAATTCCGTTATCACTTCCGCGGCTGGCACTACAAGTTCGAGTCCAGCTGATGTGACTTCGGATCTCAGCTCTTTTATCTCTGATGTGACGTCGACGCCCCCAATCACCTCGCCAACCACCACCGAGAGCAATACAGATACGGTGACGCCACCGCCTACCAGCCCGACGACGACGCCTACGGATCCGCCAACGGACGGTCCCACTGGCAGCCCTACGACCACTCCTCCCACTGGACCAACCGACCCCCCTACAACAACACCGACTACGACACCGACTACTACTCCAACTGATCTTCCTCCGACAACCACTCCTCCTACCAGCCCAACAGATACGCCGACGGGTCCCACGATTACTGGAGGCAACGGCAACAATACCGTGATCACTACTCCAACCACTACACCAACCGATACAACCAGCGACACGAGGACGACGCCTACTGAGACGGCCACCGAACCTCCGACAACATTCCCTACAGTGACTCCGACCGTGACACCGTTCGTTGCGAATCTGACGACCCCAGTTATAACTCCTACGACTGACAAGTCCACGACCTCAGGGCCTCCTGTGAACACCGTCAAGCCAACTGGTACGGACTCGGCGACAGCCCTTGTTCCAGATTCGAGCATTATCTCTGCCACGACCACTGCCCCCACCGAAACGTCCAAGTCAGCTTCAACGAGCGCTGCGGTCATCCCCACAACACTCCCTCGAGTGATTCAACCACAAGGTGGTGTGCCCGACGCGCCAGAAAACTCTACTTTGATCCAGCTCGGGTTTGATTACGGCCTCAACTATGCCTTTGTGGTATCGTCTCCCACGGCTGTGTCTCAGATATTCTCTTATCTGCCCGTTGGTGTTTCCCATGGATTGGGCATTGACCTTGATCAAGTGGTAATGCAGTATCTCCAGCCTTACAACACTTTGAATACCTTGAACTACATTACCACTTTGGCCATGGCGTACATTCCCGCAGACAAAGTCGACACCCTCTCCTTGCAACTCCTGAACCCTAACTCCGATCTCTACAACAATCCAAACCCGTCTGTGGTGACTCTGATGGGCATGATTGACCCCTCGATTCCTGTTATACCCGGGTCTCAAATTGCCGGTGGAGGTACGCCCATTAACTCGGCAAATTCTGCCGCCACGACTTCCGACCAAAGCGGAACTCCCGATGATGGTACACCAGGTGGCTCCGATTCTGGAAGCTCTCCCGTCCGGCCATCTTCAGTGGGTATCGCAGTTGGGGCCGTGGCTGGTGCCGCAGTCTATGGAGCTGCCATGTTCCTTGTTGCACGAAGGTACAAGAGAAGAAAGGCTGGCCACCAACGGTCAAGCAGCATGCAATCAGGCAATCGTGGCAACCGTCCCGGTGAACAATCGAACCTCATGGTCGGCGCACGAGGTAGTTATGGTACTCGATTCGGTGGGAGGAATTCCCGAACAAGTGACCGCAGCAATTCTCAGCGCAGCGGGCGGACGTATATTAGTCCACCTGTGATGGCTGAGAATAGTTTGGGATGGAACTAATTGACAAGATCTACCTTGTACAGCTGGAGATGTGCGACCAACTGATTGGAACTCAATGCCCGCTCACGAAAGACACACCACACTCTGATTTTCTACATAGTCATTCTCCTTTATTTATTGCCGGTTTGGCTTTTTTTGGATACCTTGCAAAGACGTGGAGAGGAAAAAGGTGGATTGGAGAAATGCCATTTTGATTGAAGGTGCCCCATGATGTCAAAGAACATGAAGACCCAAGGGAGAGGGAGAAGGTGGGAGCAGCAAAGATCTTGTGAATATAGAGAAGTGAACCTGTCATGCTGCCAGGCCGTCATTTGAGAGTGCCGAGAATCGACGCTGAGGACGTAGCAGTCGAGTCTGACAATCCAGGCCTGATTGGGGAGAGTGAGATGGGAAATATAGGAGAGAGACAATGGCAATCTATTTTATTATAACTACTTGGTACCTAGGTGTGGACTGCTCTGTGCCGTGTCCTCCGTATCCAGTATGGCCCCTTACGACGCAGGGCCAGAAGCGCCGGATGGTCTTGATCGCCCAATAGTTCACGACAGCTCACACGCCAACGACAAGGCACGAGGTCCGAGGTCTCGAGTACGAGGTGCTGTGCTCGGTGCGTGGGTGATTACATACCTGGGTACCATCCCGTCGACGCACAAACGGACGGTCATTTGGACGGACGGTTAGTCTTGACGAGTTACACGGGGCTGGATATGCATGCATGCATGTTATTGGCAGGTACCTAGGTATATGCCTAATAGCATCGGCACGCACCCGTACGTGTATGTCCCCATATCCATATCCATATCCACATCCATAGCGATTTGTTGCGAGACCCGTCCAAAGATAGCCAAAAGAAAAACCATATCCGTGTTGTGCGTGTGCCCTTGACAAGTGCGTCCATCAATCGTCCTTATCTTTCCCCGACGAGCTCTGAGAGACGTATGCGTTCCTCACCCGGCCCCGCATGGGAAACCTCTCGTTCAGAAGCGCCTCGTCCGTTGCAGACTCGGTCGTGCTGGCTCTCGGCGTGGTGATGTCCTCGCCGTCTTCGCCCTCTACTTCCTCCCTCTGAACGTGCCTGTCCTCGTGGACTTCCGAGTTCGTCTCCAACTCGATCAGATCGCCCATTCGGTCCACGGCGGCATTCCGGTCCCTTTTCCCCGCGGCGCCCGCCATTTTCCGCATCCACCCTTCGATCGTGCCGCCCACGTCCCCTGTCAAACCTGAACTATTCGAGTTGGAGCGTAGGCTCCTTACCGACTCGGAGCTCGCGCGTGGCGTCGATCGCGATGTGGGTGTTCTCGCGCTGAACCCCGTTCGGGGCGTCTCTCCGGGCGGTGGTAGGAAGTCTGGGAAGTATTGGTTGAATTTGCGATTCAGCGGGTCGTCGGCCGGGCCTGGACGCGAGGTTTCTGTGCGCAGGCCGCGAAGCGTGCCGACACCACCGGGCCCGCGGAGGGCATCGGCGAAGGGGTTGCCTCCTGTGGCGCTGGAAGATCGTTGGCGGCCGGACGAGCTGAGCCGGGACGAGGGGAAATTGGGCCGGCGGACGGGGGAGGCATTCAACGAAGCCGAAAGCTGCGCGGCATGAGTGGGCGGATGGCGGAGCAGGTCGAAGGAGGTTTTGGGTGTAGAGGAAGGTGAGGTGGTGATGGTGGCGTTTGATTTCCGACGGGCACGGGGGAAATAGCCTAGCGCACGACGAGGGACGCGTAGGACTTCGGTCGCTTCTTTGAAGTTGGGCAGCATGACCCAGCAGTCATGTTTGAACTCGATTTCTTCGGAGAGAGAGGTGATGAGCGACAGGGGTTCCGAGGTTAGAGCAGAAGATGAGATGGTCGGATTTGTCCTAGGGTCGTGAACACCATTGAATGAGGAGATGTTGATGTCTTTCGATCTTGCGTTCGAGAGCTCTTGGGTAGGGAAGCGGTCGGATTCTGGATCGAAGAGATCTCTGGAGAGATATGGACTGTCGACTTTCCTACCCTTAACAGTGGAGCCCTCCAGGGGTATCAAGACATGAGTTCGGGTCTGAATGTTGTCATTCGGCCAGAATCGGTTTACCTTTCGGAAGAGCTCAGGCTGGCAGTTGTACTTGATGATGACTCCGGCCAGCGTGTCCCCTTTCTCGACTTTGTGCATGTAAACAAGGGCGTCTTCACTCTGGTCTGAGGGAGCCGCCGTGGCAGCGTCCGCGTCCGAGTCCCGCCTCTTAAACTTGCCCAGACGATCGCGGTTCTCTGATACGCTTGCAAGGAGCAGTGCTTCCCTCTTCTTGGCCTGGACCATTGCCTGTCGTTCTTCGACACTGCCCTGGAGGAGAGTTGTGGTGGATTGGATCGAGGGACCCCATTGCGGCGCGGCGCTCTTCGAGCCATAGTGGTTGTCTTGTTTCATCCAGAGAGGCTTCTTGAACGAGCCTGCAGCCTTATCCTTCGAGGGACCCGGCACCTCGCTCCCTAGCAACGTGGACGCGAAGCCCTGGAGCGAGGTCCATGGTTCCCACAACCCCTGGTTTCCTGCGGTCGGGGTTGAGTTGCCCGAGGATGACCTTGCACGCGTTTTACTCCCCCGACCATTTCGGGGTCTGTCCGTCGACTTGGATCTCGATACCGCGGCGTCGTTGGGGGAGACGCCTCTGCTGGGGAATAGTGGCGGGGTAGAAGATGTGGATGTAGAGATGGCAGTGGACTCGGTGCCCTCATCGTCAAGGTAGGAGATGAGGCGGCCGGTCCGAGGGCGGAGGGTAGAGGTGCTACTATTTGCAGACTGGTAGAGGCCGGTAAGGGAACTGTTGCTCATGGCTGGCCTGGCTGCCAACGCGAGGCATCGGAGACTGGCGACATGGAGGCTCCGACGGCCCCAGGGAGACGGATCCAAGGGGTGACTGGATTCCCCTGGCTGTTTGTTTCTTGCACAGAAGACGGACCGGGTGGACGAGGAGGAGTAATAGAACCAAATCGGGGGCTGGAGCAGGGGAGGTGGAAGTGTGCACAGGGGCGGACTGGAGATGCCAGTTTGACTTCGGAGTCCTTGGAGTCCAGCAGCAGATGATGCGATATCAATGGGTGCAATGGCCATGGGCGGCTGCAGCCGCCTACGTCGATCCTCGTCTCACGTGAACAGGCACACAGGCTAGCCTCGCGCCCTTCCTATCTAAGGAGTATACCGAGTAATAATATATTATGTAGTCCGCAACACTAGAGCTTTCTCCTGCAGTCGCTATTGTTCCTCTTGAAAGAATAAGCATGTACGAAAAGGTAGAGATATTTTCAGGCGATGTGTATAGTAGGTTAGAAATGCTAAGAAGTTTCACAATAGTAAATACTAATGAGATATACGATACTAGGTGGTACTGCTGTTGTATCTGACACCTTTTGATACCCGAGGTCTTAGAAACCACTCTGATTTTCTACGTATGCTAGATTTCCTTCTTCGGCCCTTATATGATTTAGGCTGTAGCAGTATCTCTTCAGCACGCCTCATTTGAGTCTAACATTGGAGTCCTGAATACCTATTCCGGATCTCGAAACCCTCTCTCATGTCCACGATTCCCTCGAACGTCAATTCCATCAAGTGTTTCCACAAGATATCCTCTAGACGCATGTCAAATCCGGTTTTCACACATATCTTCAATCTTCAACGAGGTGGGCACAATTGGCTCGACCCCGACCCGGCGCCTTAAGTTGTACCTCGCAGGCCGTGAGAGATGACTGGCTTCTGACTTCCCTCGAGGAGGACCGGTGCAGGTTGGTCATCACTGGATGGAGACGTAACATCATTCTTCTCACTCTCGTGGATCTCTAGCGAGTGATGTCTGATGCTATCGCGCCGTGCAGAGAATCTTCGGCGTGTGCGACGGCGGCGGATGACATCGTCAATGTGTCTTCCAATTGCTAGGATCAGACCAAACGCCAGCACAGCGCAGTTGACACTGAATGCGCGGCGGTATCGCGGGCGGTCGTCTTGCCGGAAAATTTGAGCGCCGTAGATCCCAGCAATGTTCGCGCCCATGATAACCCTGCAACAAGGTCAGACAACTTTCTTCATTCACACCTAGGGAGAGAACTACATGGCCATCGCAAGAGCTCTTTCTTCCGAGTCGTCGCAAGTAAGCGACATCCAGGTGATGTTCAGGGGGTGCGAGAAAGTGCCAAAAGTTTGCGTCCAGACGACACCGAAGTATCTCAATCCTCGATTGTTGATTTCGGTAAAGATGCGATTGAAGATGTACCCAAGGAGATGCATGCTGAGTCCAACAATGACTGTTTCTCCGCGCCTCGAGCTGCTCCAGGTCAGCACACCAAGAACCAAAGCGAGTCCGGACGGCTTACAAATGATCCGACACATAGCTGAATGCGAATGACACCGGGATCTGCAAAAACAGACCAACTGAGGCAAGGGCATTGGCCGACAGCGCAGCAAAGCCGAAGCTGCTGACAATGGTCGGAGCGTAGGTGTCAAAGGCACGTTGTGGTCCATTGTTTGCCAGGGTGATGAGAACGTGCACCCACAATCTCCAAGCAGAGAACTGCACACCGCATCAGATCGAGTCAAATGGGGGATGATCATGGGTCGACGTACAGCTTTTTTGAAGGCGATTCGGCCGATGCGTTTCTTCTTCTTGCCCTTCATCGGGTCGTCCAGCATGACTCGAGTGTTAAGAATATGGATCTCTCTGTCTGTGAAGATCTTGACATTGGGGAGGAAAGTGCTACGAGGTCGCTTGAAAGAGTCGGGGAGGAACAATCCTAGAACGAGGCCGCAGAGAACTGTAAAGCTTCCCATGATGGTGAACAACCAGAACCAGCCTGCTTTACCCGCAACGCCGCGCATGTGGAGAATACCATATGCCAGTAGCTTTGCAGATGCTTGACCGAACTGGTTCCCAAAGTAGAAGATCATAACACGCTTCGCAGTCTCCCTTCGGGTGTACCAGGTTGAGAGAGTCCACAGACCACCAGGGATGAAGCCAGACTCTGTCATTCCAAGGAGAAAACGGGTAGCGATAAACGAGCCGTAGCTTCTTTGGAAGGCCTGGAAGGTGCTCACGGTGCCGAAAAGGAATAATTGAAGTGTTAACCATTTGCCAGGACCAACCCGATACAAAATCATGTTGGAGGGGATCTCGAAGAGCACGATGCCCAAGGATAGCATCTGTTGACCCACGTTGAATTGGTTTTGCGTGATGCCCACGTCCTCCATGAAATCGTCCGTGATGGCATTGGCCATGTTCCCGCGGTCCAGTTCTGTGAAGGGTTGGATCAGAGGGGAGATTGGGCGCATGGTCAGGATTCAGACGTACGAAGGCAAAAGAAGCCCAGGGTGAGGAGTGGCATGATAATGAAGTCCATCCTGCAAAGGTGGTTTCTGTCAGTAGCGTTCTCATTGTACATAAGCTGGCGATGAAAACACCGACTTCCTTTTCGCTTTGACTTCTTCTTCTATTGTCCAGTCGCGCTCCAGGAGAAGAGCTTCGCCATTTTCGCCGATCTGAGGAATTTCACTGACAACTTTCGCTGACTTGGGATCAAAATCCGACATCTTTGCAAAGGTAAGACTGAACAATGATCCAAAATGGTCTTTGTCCCTGCCACAGACTTCGAAAAGGAACAGTCCAACATTCTTGTAGCAATTCAACCACTAACGGATCCCCATCACGCCATTTCGGGCCACGTCTTGGTCATCAGAATCTTTAGATGCTTCTCCATCATAGACAGGAAGCCAAGCACGTAAATGCATCGTGGCCATGGATGTGCAGGGCAGATTTCCAAACATTTCTCCGTTTCTCCAGCAAGAGTTGTCAAGCCAAGAGAGCGACTGCGTCGCCAGTGTCCAAGTGACGCCCACCCAAGGATGTTCGCGTCAAGATTTCTCGCGGCGCCGAGTACGCGGGCTGAACATGGTGGTACATGTGGCATGTAGACATTAAATACAGAGCTCTGGGAATGGTCGAGATAGCTTGGCAAGCCTTGTCAGTATGGCGACATCCTTGAGCCTGATAGCGCAATTTGGCCTCCTCTCGACGTTAGACCAATGCCTGTTGAATTTCCACTCCAATTTCCATTGGCATAGTGTTCATGGTATCGGGAACCCTGCTGAGAGCTTGCTCTCCGCTCCATCCACCTTGCCGAGTCGAGGTTGTGATAGTGAAGAGACAGCTGCGGCCAGAGAACTTGGCGACGACGACGAGCGATAGCATCTTGATCCCCAAGCATTAGAATGCCTCAGAGCCGACCACAAGAAAGGCTCCAAGGAATGGGAAGACAACCAAGGCCACTGCCGTACTTGGCGTGAGAGCTTGGAAATTGACGGCTGCCACTGATGCAGAATATCTCCTGATGGAATGTGCGATGTTCATGTTTAGTAAGGACACCATCACTTTGAGATATTGCCGTGGCCGACTACGGCCAATGTAGTATATCTAGAGAGCCAGCACTGTGTTGGAGCCTTTTGTTCGATTTCCTAGCCTTTGTTAGTTGACCATATATATTTGATCCTTTTCAGAAGGGCACACCTCGCAGATCTGCACCCACAATGATTAGTCTCGGTCGGATCTGGTCATGCTAGAAAAGACAATGGCTTTGCTGAGTGGTCGAAGCAATGAGGATGATCACAACCGGGGCGCCAATGTGGTGAAGATCGTCCTCTTCACCATAACGGGCGCCATCGTTGCCTTCTTTGGAACCATCGCTCTCATCAGGGGAATTCAAGTATATCGTCACCCAGAACGATACATGCCACAAAATACAGCCGACCAGTCAATGCGAAATCGAGCGAAAGGAATCACCCACGCCATCCTGGGCACGATCCCTATCATTCGATTTGCCGAAAAGACGGAGGTTGAACTTGACTCAGTCGAGCAGGGGAATTCGAACATCGATAAGAAAAACCAAGAGGATGCTGCGGGCCGGATGACAAAACGTGGCGGCGGCGACCCGAGCAGTGCTGCCGTGACAGAAATGGATGTTGCTGGCGCCCTGGGTGGAGAGCGACACCTCAAGTGTTCGATATGCACAGAGGATTTCAGCATCGGAGAGCAGGTCCGAGTGTTGCCATGTCTTCACCAATACCATCCTGGATGCGTCGATCCCTGGCTGCTCAACTTGAGCAGCACCTGTCCCCTTTGCCGTATCGATCTTGGCCGTAAGGAGCAACGGCAGAGCAATTGCCAGGTCCGAAGCGAAGCCTGAATTGATTCACGTTGAGAGTCTAGCAATGTATGCAGGGTGCAAGAGGCCATTTGTGGGGATAAGAAGCAGCTTCTTGATCGTCGCAGCAATCGTTGAAGCCGAGAACCCGATTCCAGAACCCGAGAACAGACCAGGTGCTGGACATTGTCACAATCTAACATTCAAGCCTCGCCCTACCAAAACAACTCCCCCGTGACCAATATGCATCAGGCTGAGCGGACACCCACGCCAAGCCTAATACAGAGGCGGAGCACTTGCTAACAACTCCAGATGCTCAGCCTTGACAGCTGGGGCACCTCCAGTCTATTCCTTCTTCAAATTCAACTACACCAAAAGGATGTACGGGGGTTCAAGCATAAATGTCAACGGCATCCCCTAGTTGTCTCGACATCCCGCAAGTTGACGTGGGAGGAGGAACGCCTGAGAAGGAAAGGTCAATACGCCGCTCCAGTGGCAGCCCCAACCACTATCACAATCCATTCGCGAGCTGCCTTGGTCGTGGGAGATGGCATGACGACCGTTACGAGCACTTTATATCGCAAGGCCTAGAAGATTCCCCCGAAGGCCATGGGATGATTGGCGTCCGTGCACCAAGGTGTTTTCATGGACGTCTGAGAAGGGATGCCCAATATTCGGCAGAGCAAGGCGCAATGTTCGATGCGTGACGAACAAACCTCCTGCAGGTGAATGAGCTGTCACATTTCACCCCGGCGAACCAAAGGTAGTGACGCCCACCACAACGAAAACGCCTGAAAAGACTCCCTATGTGAGCAACACTTGTCTCCACCCAATACCCAACTCGACTTGCTATAATACCGGATCTAGGCTGGCTTACCTAATTCGTGATGTCTTGGAAAAGTCATCGATTTGAACTTACTCGTCTTCAACCAAATCTGTACCGTGGTGTATGTACCAAACACTTTCAACCCAGGCGCCCTGCAAGCTCGTATCGCTTCTCTCGCGTGCTGTCTATAATATAAGAATAGCCCTGGCTTGAAAACAATCAGAGGCTGTCCTCCCTCCATCTGCTTCGCACTCTTTGCCATCCCTCCTTCTCCTCCAAACCTCCCCTCTTCTCCAGACCCAGCCCGCGTTCCACCCACTCTTGACTCCCCATTTCGCTCAAGCGACTGAGCGCCCGTGCAAAGGCGAACCGTTCTTCGTCGCCGCTGAAGAGGGAGCTCTGCTTCAACATGCTCATGTTCATCCCCAGGTCGTCCATGAGGTTGCGCATCACGTCGTCGACGTCCGCGCCTTCCTCCTCGCGTCCCCCTCGGCCCTCCGAGGCCTTTTTGACTTCCTCCACAACCGCATGCTCTTCTTTGGAGGCGCCGGATTTTTCCGTCTGGACCTTGTGCGCGACTTTGTTCAACGACTCGTCGAGCTCGGTCTTGGACACGAAAAGCTGAGAGAGGGGCACCGCGGTCGTGAGGACCAGCTTCGCGTGCGACTCGTACACCGCGTCGATGAAAGTGATAAACCGCCTGGCCCAGTCGCGTTCTCGATGGGTCATTCCCGGCACGTCGGTGACGATGAACGCATCAAAACTACGCATCATCTCAATGTAGTCCGCCGCACCGGTCGCGCGACCGATCAGATCGTGGAAAGTGAACTTGGCGCAACGACCCGAGGCGAGCGGGATTGGTACTTCGCGGCCCCAAACGGTGATGGTCGTGGGATGAGGCGGATCGTTTTCTGGATCGCCCAGGAACCGGAACCATTTGTTGGCGTGAGAGACGGCCGCTCGGTCGAGCGGATGGTGGTATACTCCTGAAGGTGGCCGTGGGAGCTTGCGATAGTCGGTCTGTGAATCAAGATTGATGACTTTGAGTTGTTTCTTCAGGAGATTTATGCAGGGGATGAAGGACTGGCGCTGGATTCCGTTCTTGTAGAGATCGTCGGGATGCCGATTCGAGGTCGTGACCAGGACGACGCCATGCGACATGAGTGCCTCGATCAGACGACGGAGGATCATCGCATCGGCCACGTCAACCACCTGGAACTCATCAAAGCAGAGGACTTGGCCAGTTTCGGCGATATCTGCGGCGATAAAAGGCACGGCGTCAAAATCGTTGCCATATTGCATGCGGACCTTGTGTAGTCGCTTATGGACGTCTTGCATAAAGTTGTGGAAATGGATGCGAGTCTTGGATGTGATGTTCGGAGGTAGCGTGTCGAAGAAGAGGTCCATCAGCATGGTTTTCCCGGAGCCAACGTCGCCGTACATGTACAGTCCTTTGGGCAGATTCTCGGGTATTTCGCCAATGGCCTTCTTCTTGTTCCCGCTGCCGAACAAAGAGCCAAACAGGGATTTCTTGGGTGGCTGAAGATCATTGACGTCCGGGTGGATGATCTTGGGAGGGTTGTACTCTTTCAGAGTCTCGTGGAGATCTTGCAGGTGTTCCACCAAGGCTGTAGCCAGTTAGCCTGTCGTCCGTGCCAAAAAGAGAATCGCGTCTGCGCACTTCTCTGATGTTCATCCTCCCTCAGCCGCCTCGTTTGCACTCTCTCATCGTACTCCTCCAAAGGCCCGCGAGCAGGTACGTCGGCCACGGTGGCGAGCTCGCGCCTCTGTTGCCGCTGGGCCGATCTCGCCGCTCGGACGGTCTCGCGAAGACTCCTGGAAGTTCTTGCATTGCTGGCGACGTGGATCTGGCGGGACGAGGTTCTCAACGCTCTTCTTTGCTGTCGCAGAGTGTTCAGACAGTCGGTGCAGATCGACCGCCGCCTCAGCGGCCGGGCTGCGGTATCGGAGAGCAAAGCTCTTACGTAGGTCTGAAAGGTGGTGCGAAAGAGCCGCACAGGCGCCTTCATTTTGCCCAATGGAGAAGAGACTGAATCACTGGACAGACCTCACTTGGCGCAAAGACACCAGCCGAGTCATGGCGACGGGGAGGAGTAACAATAATAATAACAAAAGATATGGGCTGCAGAGCAGAAACGTCAGAGCCAACTACTTCCAAGCGCCTCCGGAATAAACACCGCATTTTTGTGATCTCGGCTATCTCGGACGACCGTCGGCCAGAAAACAATTGCCGCCCATCAACATGGCGTCAACCAGTGTCAAATCTTTCAGCCGACTTCTTTCATTTCTCTGACCTTGGGCGGATGCGGGTGGGAAGCGGCGGATTGTCTGGACGACTAAGCCCAGTTGTAGAGATTGTGGCACAAATTCATTATAAAGGGCAGGTTCTATAGACCTCTGAGGACTATCGCAATTGACCCGAAAATGGCCTGGATACCCGCATGATCGAAGGGAATATAATCTGTGCATAAGGCTTTCCATCATCCATGTCTCATCGCGCCGTGTACCTGTGAAAGATCCGTCCAAACATGACTTCGAGAGATTTCAACTCCACGTAGCACTTCATATTCCTCCTTGCAAGTCAAGGTCGAGAGTTTCGAAACTTTTTGCGAGAATTGGAAAAGTCTCCCTTCAAGATCAACCCTAGGACGCCCTATAAAAGCGCCGAACATCGTCACATTAACCATTCGTCTCATCAGGTCGCCCTGTCGCTCGCCCTGTAAGCCGCGCATAAGAAAAGGCTGGGGTAATACTGCAAAACAGTGCTGAGACTCGGGATGCTGCTCGCTGGCAATATTCAGAATGTATCATCGGAAGAACGACCCCTTGCCTCTAACCCGTCGCATAATTGACGTACAGTGTGAGTTTTGGATTTCGTTGTAGCGCAACATCGAGGTTGTCATCGTTCTCGAGATCAATGAGGGTGTTCGTCGGCTCGTCCTTGTACTGTATGACAATGTCCTCATTGACCTTCAGCCGGTCCATCAACTTCTCTCTCAATGCTGCAAATATAATATCCTGGGGTACTCGGAGCACAATAATATCGTCCTGAAAAAATACCTTCACCTTCATAGCAGCGCCGGCATTGCTCGTCTTCATGCTCGAAGAGTTGGAATTTTGAGTCAAATTGCTGGCCTGGGAGTGTAAGAAAGGTGGCCCTCCCATGGCCACACTGGTTCCGGCGGGCATGGGGACGGGACCCCGGTGTTGCTGGGACATTCGTGCGCTGGGAGGGGGCATACCACCGTATGCCATTCCCGGCGCTTGCTGGTTAGAGGACGTCCGAGAGACAGGTTGCATCGATTGCTGTGATCCCGCGGATAGTCGGTAATCCTCTCCCAGCGCGTTGGGGTCAATTTCAAAATCTTGACCCGGTTTTGGCTTGAATAAATTCCTCACAAGCATGCTTTTGGAGATGTGAGGCGGCATTGCCACGATCTTTTTGATATACTCATCCAGGTTCTGGCGTCGACCATTGGAGATTGCATCTGTGACGTGTGCCACTGGCCCAGGCATAAATGGCAGAGTACGAGGCTTGCCCTTGTTGCCGGCCTCTTCGGGAAACATCTCCAGTAAGGCGATCTGAAAGTCGTAGAAATCAGCGTAGTACCGCGACAGCTCCCACCATCGGCCGTCTTCCATTTGGCATTCGATAATATACCAGTACATATCGTTGTCGAAACAATACCGGGGTACTGAAGCGCTCATGGGCGCAAGAGGGATATTCGACTGCTGCGATATTCTCGCACCATTCTATTTGAAACTTGGTCAACTTCACCTCCCCAGACTGACGAAGAATACCTTCCACTTACATAGTTCGTATTGGGGAGCGATTGCTGCGAAGGCGCATTCTGAAGGCTCATTCGAGCCATCTCGGCTGACATTTGAGCTTGGGGATTGTCAAATTTGCCCAGGCTGATACTGCTGTTCTTGTATTCTGCAGCAAACTTTTTCCACTCTTCAACCCGAGGAACGCCTGCTTTCCGGACTGCTTCCAGGGGATCGGACACGGATTGCATAGTCGCGGTATCCTTAATATCGACAAATGAAACCGGAATCAATCCTGGTCCTCCTAACCGTCCTATCGGCTTCGCAACGAACCATTCAGGATTGGACTGCGCCACGACGATGATCGCCTCTCCGGCTTTGGCATCCAGTTCATCTGCCCGTTCAGCGTGGAAATCGTACTGCACTACACCATACACCATGGCGCCTGCGTTTCTTCCGGTCATGCTTGGTCCTCTCTGGTGTGTTCCTGCACTGGGTCTTGTGGTTGCCGTCGATTCGGATCTGGTGTGGCCCGAGTTGGTCGAACCTTTCTCTGAAAATCCCGAGTCGTGACCATCCATCTTCTCCCCTGGGGAGGATAGAGAGTTTTCACTTTGTCGCTGTTTTTTACCGACCACTTCAAAGAAAGCCACGGGCACCAGCCCCCTAGCGGATGGGATGAGCGGGTTGCAGGCCTCGTACCACTCTGTGTCGTCTTCGCGACTCAGGACGTGGAAGAAGTCGCCCTTGTGGAATGACAACTCTTGCGCATTGCCATTTTGGGGCTCGTGGTCGTATAAGGCTTTTATAACTTTCTTCGGGGGGAGGGCTTGGATCGTCTTGGGGGTAATGGTCAGACTTGGTGGCGGCTGCCTCCCGTCCTTGTCACTCTTGAGAGATCGGCGGATAGCCTAGAAGAGCAAGATGGATGAGCGGATGCGATATGTGAGGGGTGCAGAAGAGCAGCTGGTGGTGACATACCTTCATTGTCGCATTTGACGTGTGCCCCGCAGTCGCCCTTGGCCGGAGAGAAAATCCTACGAAAACGGGCTTTTGTCGGTTCTAGATTGACTGCATGTGAAGTCGCAGGGTGGAACGAGGCTTTCAATGGCTTGCGCTGGCTTGGACGGTGCTGGGCTGTTCCGAGCGAAGCTGAGGCAGGAGGTGTTTCAACTGGGGGAGTTGACAGGCTGGGATGACAAGGTCGTTGATGTCGGACAGGCGCAGCGCTCACGAGGTTCAGGCAAGGGAGAAAGATCTGGTGCGTGCTTCTAGCGTGTCTGGCAGGGATACCTCCTGGTGCTCCGGTTCAAGTCCGCTGCGGCCCCCACGGACCCAAGATTGCAAAGGGAGTCAAATTTTCCACATCAGATGCCGGAAATGGATTCCCAGAGATTGGGAATGTCGAGATGACGATGACGTGAAATGTGCAGGATTCACTTTGCAGGCCTTTCCTGCCAGCGGACGTTGTCGATGGCTCCGGACAATACGTGTGCAATGTTGTCAAGAAGCACGTACCTCCCAAGTACCTGGTAGCCAAGTGTAGGGCATACGTACCTAGGTAGGTACCTGGGTATACGCTACTGCTCGTAAAGAACTGGGTTCCAAGGGCTCGCTGCAGCCGCAACGTGGGACATGGGGCTGCGCATGGCAGCCATTCCCAAAGCATCCACAACTTCTGAAAGATCCGAGAACAAAGGAGGCCCAATGCTTAGGTGCCGTTGGACCGGGCGTCCTCGACAAAGGCAACGGGCCTGGGTCTCGCTAGACGGCTGTGCAGCGAGGGCTAGTGGTGTTACTCGTATGTTGAGAGCCATATGGGACATTCACTGGATCCCCTTGCTTGAAGTCCATAGCCACAGCTCTATCCAGGAGGCGCCGCCAGACTCGATTCCCCAGCTGCTCGTACATAACTACATACCAATCCTAGAACCCAGAGCCCTGCTGTGGATCGGTGAATGGGCGGTTCATGCCCACAGTACCTAGCGAACCGCAGGCCCCCAAGCCTCCCGTGTTCAGCTCGCTCGGGCCTATCTACACTTCAAGCGCTTCAAGAGAAAATGCCCTTTTCAGCTGCATTCCTAGGACTCTTCTGACTGCAGGTCTTGAAACAAAAGGGTCAACAATGACTGCATGGCAGATCCTCCAAGACAGCCAGCGTCGAATGATCAGAGGAGTTTCATCTTTTGATGATAGCCCAAGATATCTAGCCCTCGTAAATGGCTCGTTGTCCCTTATGAGCCTCTGCGCAGGTCTTCTCCATGCGCACTGTTGGCCTCAAAGCATCTCCTCCTAAGACGTGCATAGATGAAACGTAAGGCCAGGTACAAGAAACAATGACCGGGAAGCATCATTATAGTTGCCACAATCTCAGCCTCTTTTGTCTTTTCCCGACGCCCGAAAAATGCAATGCTAAAGTCGTTGCATCCCTTGATTAAAGGGATTGAATCGCCACATATGAGGGCAGTCTTCATAGCTGCAGAGGCGGCATGCGAGCGTGCCCAACGCAATCAATCAATCGAATCCGAAGAACTGGAAATATGCGTATGTCAAAGGCAATGGTTGCATCACCGACGGCTGGGAGAAACCAGACTTGTCAACGCCTCAAAGGCTTTGTCGATCGTGGGCAGTATTGAAAACAAAACTGGGTATCTCATATTTGGCCCTTGATATCGACTTGCCCAAAGGCTCGGGTCTTCGCAATGTGAAAGATGTTCCCCGCCTTTCCGGTTAAGAAGCGAACATCACCGTCGCGTTCTTCAAGCAGATTCGACGATTCCTCCGGGGCATGGTCGAGGATGAATTGGCAGGCTTCTTCGTCTGACTCAAAACCAAGTTCTTCGGTGACGAAGCGCAATCGCACATCCGGTTTGTACCTGGACACAATTTAGCGGCTGCATTCATGCTGGGGATTGGAAAGAGAAACTTACGCTTTGCACAAGCACGCCAATGCAGCTAGTCTCTCACGTTCTACGAACATATCCATCAAATAGGCCCCCATATCGGGCACGGCGAGATACAATTTGAAGAATTTGTGGTAATTTCCAAGAGCGAGAGCAGAGCGCACTTCCAGCGCATGCTTGATTGCAGGTTCCTTCTTGTCTGCTGGTGTTAGATCAGAGAGTACGTCATTCATGTCAGTCTGGTTGCACGTGTGAATGAAATAAAGGATACGGTATGCCTTGAACTCCACAGGGTGACCACCGAGGTTTTGTTTATACAGCGCCCGTAGCTGTGTTTGGCACTGATTATACTCACCCAGGTCACCCTTCTCCAAAGCAATGCGAGCATGATACTCGTACACACTGGTGGTGAACTCGTTCTTGATATGTTGGACGGTCAAATCTTGCCGCAGTGACTTGAACTGGTCACAAATGTAAACGTAGTTCCCCCCGGTGCGCCACTTCTTCTTAAGCAGTTCCAGTGTTTTGCGGAGGACATCCAGAGGCCGTACGTCATCAGGGTTGGGGGCTGATGTTAATCTGAAGTAGTTCTTCTCGAGCTTTTGCGAGCGGCCGACGATTGGTCCAGTCACCCTTGGCTCTGGTGAAGCTACCCGAGACGACTCTTGTGTGCGTGGAGAGTCGGATCCCGCGCGTGTCTCTTCGAATCGCCGCCTGCGAGACTCCAGGCTTGCGTGGGTTTTACTTACGGATTTATTCATGTCGAGTTTGGGCCGCTTTTCGGACGGGTTGAAAGAGACACGGTCAGCCAGGAGTCCGGAAGATCGTCCATTCGTTCTCCAAGGTGGTAGGGGCGCAGAGGTCTCGCCATCAGTTGAAAGCTCCGTGGATTTGCGCTTACGAGGGACATCCGGTTGAGTGTGGTAAGAACTGGTGGAAGCGGCTTGAACAGGTACAGGAGGAATATAGGATGGAGGGGTTATAGGGGCAAGAAGAGCACGACTGCGTTCATCCCGAATCATTTGTTGCGGTAGCGGCAGCTCCTTCCAATTGATGGTATCCAACTTGCCACTCTGAGTTGCATCAGTGATGACCTCTTTGAGTTTTGTTTCAATCTGTTCCTTCGAGACATCCCGTATTTCTGCGGCTTTGGCGAATGAGCGGTTGACATAGTCACGGACATCTGCAGACCAGACTATCTTTTGCCTGGCTGGCTGTTGCGGTTCGGGCGGTGGAGTGTTCTCCGCAGTGCTTGTCGGAGGTGAGGACATATATTGCTGAGAGGGCAACGGAGCTGGAGTGTAGGTGGGTGGTGGAGGAAGATGCGGTTGAGGACCAAAAGCGTTTCGGGCGGGAACTGGTATGTAAGCATGATTCTGTTGGTTCAGCGACGGGTATGCAGACTGCCACGGAGGGTGGCCAGCAGGAGATGAATACATGACAGCGGGTCCGGCAGAACAAGACTATACGAGGCAAGGATTTTGGCAGGAAAGGTACAGAAAGTGTTCCAAAAGCCGTGGCTGTACAGAATCAGGAGAATTATTTTGATGCTGTAGACTTTGGTGGACGGAACAGGAGACGGTGAGAAGGAGAGGGAGAAGTGAAGTTGTCGCGAAACTGAGCGCAGGAGGAAAGGTCTCTTGGCAAGCGGTCTAACCTGATATGGGCTAGCGACATCTGCGTCGTCTTCGGCGTCTATCTTGATCCTCGATCAGTTCTTCATTATCCATTGGAAAGATGTCACGAACACCAGACTTATAGCGACACGCACCCAGAGGCCCTCTTTACTCCCAAACATGAACTCCAGTCTGCACAGACAGCCGGATGTTCCTCAAAAAGCCAGATTTGACCGCTGGCTCGCGCCCGACCTTGTCTCCAGATGAGGTCCTTCTATTCGTACAGGATGGGGTTGGGCTCTATGAAGGGTCAGATTGTATTTCTTTTTGTAAACACGTAACCCAGAGGCTTACCGCATTTTAGAAAATACAAGATCGACTCTTGCCAGAAAGGACATGCCTATTTGACCTCCCATCGCGCTTGTTATGTCGACGATGCAGATCCTCGGGCCAATTCATGGGCCGTTGATCTTAAAGATGTTGAGAAACACGAGTTCCAGGTAGTAAGATTTGCCATCCCCAACGTAAGATGTACTGACCACTAGTTTCAAGGCTGGGTTCCTCAAATCCTCGCCGAAGGTCACCCTGTTTCCCAAGCCACCGAAACGAAGGTTTGGCTCGATAAGCAGAGCTGGGCCGTCACAGTCCCCTAGCTTCCAGAGGGTGGCATCTTCTTCAACTCCGTCAACACGCGCCTCCAGTCCGTTTCGTTCATCAGCAATCTCCCCTACTCCGACACCGCTGGTTATAGGCACTTGGGTATGCCCCATCTGCTCTTTCTCTAATCCTGTACCCTCCAATTTTGATCCTACAATCGCAACCGAGTCTTTTCCCCTACCGCCTTGTTTGGCTTGCGGTATCAAGCCACCCTTTTCACTTGTACTCAAAGCAGCTATTGCTGCGAATGCGAAGCGGATCCCCGAAACCAGACCAGAGTCAATCAACCTCACAGCCGACTCACAGACCCAGTCTTATGGAGATGAAGTCTCATCGGAAAGCATCACTTGTCCCCGGTGTACGTTTCACAATCATCCTTGGATGCGCATCTGTGAGCTATGCTCTGCACCACTTCCGGTGCCAGACTCTATACCTAGAAAGGCGCTTGAAGACTCGTTGGGTCGGTCTGAGTCACCAGGACCTGAAATCTCCGGCCTTACGTTGGAGGAAGAGCATGAGAGTCCAAGCGTCAAGTTTTCCTTTCGGAATGGCGGTGACCGAGTTTTTTACGAGCGACTCAAAAATGCAATGATACAGAGAAAGTGGTTGTTGCAGAATGCGCCGCCCATACCACGCCCTGACGCTGAGCGTGCGCCAACACCACTTGGTAGTACAAGCCCTGTGCCACCATCTGAGTCTCGAGCAGTGGCCGTTGGTATTGCCGGGCTTGAGCAACGTGGACTTCAAACTCGCAAGAACAACGAAGCGGTGCTGGGCAATGCTTTTGAAGATCTGGAGGCCTTGATGGCGTCAGCCAAAGATGTCGTTGCTCTGGCAGAGCGATTTGCCCTAGAGTCAGGATCACAGACTGGTGTTCCCAGTACCTCGTCCGACCCTCTTCTATCCCAGTCGGCGGCAGCCCTTGGCATGGTTGCAACGAAAGATATGATCGGGGACAACTCCACTGCACTCTACATTTCGGAACTGGCAAGAAATCTAGCCGAATATGCTACGGACGACCGACAGGGAGTATTACGACGTCAAGGTGGCACAATGAGTCTGGTTGACCTGTGGGCAATATTCAACAGGAGTCAGAATGGCGTGGAGCTAGTCAGCCCATCTGATTTTCACAAAGCGGCCGAAGCATGGGAAAAGCTGGGCCTGCCTATCAAACTCCGGCGTTTCAAGAGCGGCCTTTTGGTAGTGCAACAGCGCAATGCAAGTGACGAGAAAACGATCGGCCAGATCAAGGCATGGCTCGATTCACTACGGCTTTCGACGGCTGCTACGTCGCCAGAGGCATGGGACAGGTCAGTGTATGGTATTGGGGTAACAGCGCAGCAGGCAGCTGCGCAGTTTGGCTGGAGCCTTGGTGTTGCCGCTGAAGAACTTGAAATGGCAGAGGAGAGAGGTGCCCTGTGTCGGGACGAAGGGGTGGAAGGCCTGAAGTTTTGGCTCAACTACCTGATCGAAGATGACTAGATAGATCTGTATGAGGACATTAGTATCCAGTCTCCTTGTACCCCTGAGCGGTTGAACTGTTGCTTGGAGAGAACCCTACCACACTACGCACCGTCCACCCACGAGGCTCTGGAGATCCACGTGGCGCGTCTTCGCAGATTTCGGCGCACCTGCCCCATTGAAAATATTTCTACTCCTGAACTCTGGGGATTGGGGGACGCGAGGACGCCGACTGCGAGGGACCACGATTGTTCTTGATGCTGATGTATGATGGTATCGATATTGTCTCACCCAAGTCGCTCTTTCCCTTAGTTCTGCACAAACATGGCCAGAATCGGTCGCGGAGGCTTCCTGGCTCTCGCCGTGGTCTTCCATCTGGTCTACGTCTACTCCATCTTCGACATTTACTTTGTTAGTCCGATCGTCCATGGCATGAGACCAATTGCCGCCCAGCAAGATCGTGCCCCGTCGAAAAGGCTCGTTTTGTTTGTAGGGGACGGTCTCCGCGCCGACAAGGCGTTTCAATCCTTTCCAGATCCTTCTCCTCCCGACCCAGACAACGCCGACTCGACTCCGCGGCCTCTCGCTCCCTTTCTGCGATCTCGAGTACTCGAGCACGGCACCTTCGGCGTCTCTCATACAAGGGTGCCGACAGAGTCGCGGCCTGGACATGTCGCGCTCATAGCGGGTCTTTACGAAGACGTTTCTGCGGTGACGACCGGGTGGAAGTTGAATCCCGTGGATTTTGACAGCGTCTTCAATCGAAGTCGGCATACATGGAGTTGGGGCAGTCCAGATATTCTTCCGATGTTTAAAGAAGGGGCAGTACCAGGGCGAGTCGATGCCGATCATTATGCTGCAGAGTTCGAGGACTTCTCACAGGACGCTACATCACTGGATACATGGGTGTTCGACAGGGTTAAGGGCCTTTTCAAATCTGCCAGCACAAACGCCACCCTTGATGCGATGCTTCGAGAGGACAAAATTGTTTTTTTCCTGCATCTTCTTGGATTGGATACGACAGGTCACTCTTACCGCCCGTACTCCAAGGAGTATCTGCACAACATCAAGATTGTCGACCAAGGTGTCGAGGCTATCACGAATCTGATCGATGAGTTTTACGGTGATGGAGAAACCTCCTACGTCTTCACTGCGGATCACGGAATGAGCGACTGGGGAAGTCATGGAGACGGACACCCCGACAATACGAGAACGCCTTTGATCGTTTGGGGCGCTGGCGTCGCCCGGCCACAGCTGTACACGGGCGTGCAAGCTCCCGGCCATGAGGACGGGCTCTCCTCCGACTGGGGCCTTGATCATGTTCAACGCCATGATGTCGACCAAGCTGATGTCGCTGCGCTCATGTCGCACCTTGCGGGACTGGAGTTTCCAGTCAACTCAGTCGGCAAGCTTCCATTGTCGTATCTTGCTGCATCGACGCAAGAGAAAGCCAATGCGGTACTTGTGAACACGAAGCAACTCCTGGAGATGTACACAGTCAAGGAGGAACAGAAAAGGGCAACATCGCTGAACTTTCATCCATACCCGCCTTTTTCACAAGCAAACGCCTCTGTGGCTGATCGAATTGCTGCTATCGAAGCCGCAATTAGCGGCGTCCAGCATGAGTCAGCAATTCAGCTATCCTCTGAGCTTTTCGACCATGCTCTACAGGGTTTACGATACTTGCAAACCTACGATTGGCTGTTTCTTCGAGCACTGATCACGATCGGATACCTTGGCTGGATTACCTATGCAATTACGACTGTCATCGATCTACATGTCCTTCATGGTGCGGTAAACGATGAGAGGACGATTGGCACAACCATGCTGTTTTCGTCTGTCCTAGTTCTGTTGTATTCGTTCTTCGTCGTGGAGCGGTCGCCCATCACATATTACGGATACGCATTTTTCCCTGTCTTTTTCTGGGAGGAAGTGTTCGCCAGAAGAAAAGCTGTGTTTTCCGGGCTCAGCATTCTTTTCGGCCACGTCCAAAGCTTTTCTAGGTCTCTCTCTCTTCTGGTACAGACGTTGCTGTATCTATTCGTCATTGAAGCTTTGGTAGGTGACACGGACCCAATTTCACAACAACTGATTGCTGACCCAGACAGGTGCAATCGTACTTTCATCGCATTATCTTCACGATGTGTTACCTTCTCGCATCGGTCTTCCCAGCTGCGTACGGAGCGGATTTCATCAAGAAGAATAAATTAATTGTGCTGGCATGGGCAGCGGGCTGCCTAATACTGAGCACTTTCACGCTACTCCCGGTGATCAAGGTGGAGAGTTCGAGTATGATCACGGCAGGAGGTCTTCTTATGTTCGGAGCCGGTGTCCTCTATCTTGCTTTTGAACACGACATCACCTCGCAGTCGAAATCGCAAACCCAGGAAACAGAACCCAACCTCGTTTCTCGAGTCCTCATGGGTCTTCAAGTCGGCGTTATTGGGCTGACAATCATCGTTACGCGCTCAAGTGTCGCTTCACTTCAAGCAAAGCAAGGACTACCGCTGGGGAATCAAGTCATCGGTTGGCTTGTTCTCATCGCTTCTGTCATTCTTCCATTCGTGCATCGGATAGCACCAAACAAACACTACCTCCATCGCCTGGTCATCATCTTCCTAACATTTTCGCCATCCTTTGTCCTCCTCACCATCTCATACGAGGGCCTCTTCTACTTTGCCTTCTGCTTCACGTTACTTACGTGGGTACGCCTCGAGCACGCCATTCAGCTTCATGAACCTTTTCGGTCACGACCAACTGCGGTTGACTCAATGCCGTCCGCGAATGGCATCACCATAACATCGAAATCGCAGAAATCCGAGAATCTCCATCCCGAAGAGACGTTCCGTACTCTTACACTCACGGACCTGCGCCGTGCCCTTTTCTTCCTCTTCTTTCTACAATCCGGCTTCTTCTCGACCGGCAACATCGCCTCTGTTTCCAGCTTCAGTTTAGATGCTGTGTACCGCCTCATTCCGATATTCGATCCCTTTTCGCAGGGGGCCCTTCTACTCTACAAGCTGATGGTCCCCTTTGCTATCATTTCGGCGGCACTGGGTATCCTCAATCGCAGACTGGGACTCCAGAGCTCGGCGCTGACCATGACAGTTATGGGTATTAGTGACGTGATGACACTCAACTTTTTCTGGATGGTGAAGGACGAGGGAAGTTGGTTGGATATTGGCACCACGATTAGTCACTTTGTGATTGGGAGTTTGCTTTGTGTCTTTGTGGCGGGATTGGAGGGAGTGAGCCAAGCTTTGATCCAAGGGGTCGAGGTCGATAGCTATGAGGATAGAACAAAGGAGCTGGGTGGAGTTCAGGTGATTCAAGGAAATGCTGTGGAAAGTAGTATGGACGAGGATGTGCAGGCAAACGGGAAGGTGAATGGAGCCGTCAAAGTGACAGAAGGGAGAGAAGGCGTGGACGAGAGGCCGGTTATTGATTAGTTGTGGTCACTGTCTGGTCAAATTATCGCGGTTAGATATTGACACCGCAAGGCCTGTTGTGCATATCTTGACAGAGGTTGAGCCAGTCTAGACAATAGTTGGACACTTGACGTTACAACATGCTCCCCAAAGCTAGCACGGTTGTCACAGCGGTTCATTTGCGTTGAAATGGAGGTTCCGAGCCCATATCCCGTCCTTGAGTTATGATCCATTTTGTGCGTAGATTACGCCATGCTAATGCCTTTTTTCCCCCTTGCCCTTGTCGCCTTATGACAATCTCACAGATCTGTTCGGGATCTCGCTACCCCCAGAGCCATGAAGCTCTGCAACCTGATCTGTCCGAGAGGTTGGCGGGGGTCTCGTGACTGCTGTGCCAGCTTCACTGCCCTGGCACTCTTTTTGGGGGGGAGAGCCAGGAGGAGGATCGGTCATCAGCTTTACTCTCGAGGGTTTCCAGCGCCTCTGTCAGACACGCCGGTCGCGCCCTTGGCCTTGGAGTATCCCGCGTACTCTCCAGCCTTGCCACTCTCTGCGGCGACGAACTCTGCGCTCACGGGCTCCTTCGCCTCGGCGCCCGTCCTGCTCACATTGTGACCCGAGATGGGGCCTCGAGGATGGTCGCCCTCTTGCTGGAGCCGGCGGAACTCGCTGTTCACGTCGCTGGGGTCTCGCAGGCCCGAGCCGCCCGTTGCGCCCGCGCCTTCGGGGCCCGATGTCGCTTTGCTAGCTGTGTGGTGTCCCTCGTGGCGGAGTTCGGTCGACGTCTGCCCTTGGCCCGGGTGGCCGAGACCCTGGTGCACGTCCGCCGACGTAGCGCCGGGCAGCGTGCTCAGGGGGTCGGTGCGCACGCCCTCTTTGCCGTGTGTGCGGTCGACGTTCTCGTTGAAGGCTTGTCCGGGGACTTCGCCCGTCGGGTTGGGTTGGAATGTTGCGTTTGCCGGGGCCGTGCCCGGAGGGAGGGTTTTGGCGGAGAACTCTGGGGCGTTGTCTGCTGGCGAGACTTTTTGGCCTACTTGGTGCTGGAGGGACAGGAGAGTCAGTAACTCGAAGGGGCCGCGGATGGTTCTTCCGGGGACTGTAGGAATACTTACACCGTGCTTCTCCATGGGCTCGTCACGGGGTTTGTGAGGCATGAATTCGCCTTGGGCGTTGGTCATGGAGGGGGCGTTTCTTGCCGCCATGGTGTTGTGTGTTCTTGGTTTCTTGGGGTCCTTCGACTTGCTTCAATGCGCTTTGTAGAGAGAGCTTTCCAAGATTGAAAGTGTTGAATGATCTGAAATTGACTGAAACAAATAGGTCACGGAGGGGATGAGGCCCTTGAAAAATGGTCGTGTGCTTTGTGCCTGGGCTTCTTGACGTCATGCTGGCCACACTGTGATCTCATACCCATTTTTGCTGCTTTTCATGTGGCAATCGAATATCACCGGATTCAACGGGGCCGGAAGAGGCGTGGAAAGTGCTAGGAGCTTCCCATTGGATCGGTGGAAGTGGTAAGATGGGTGCAATGGTGATCGGTGGTTGGCGAACATGTTGTTGTACCTACTTCTCATCCTACATAACAACTTCTTTCGGGTTGACTTACCGTTTGGGCTCCTCAAAATACATACCCAAGTGCAAGTATCTCAGTTTTAGTGTGTATTCATTCTTGGTTACACCAGTCTCGAAGAATTATGGTCCCAGAGGGCAGTAGTCCTCGTTGTCTCTGAGATTGAAGTCGGATCGCAGCCAAACAAATCAGCTTGTCGCCGGAATGACCGCCAAGCCTTTGAAATGGCGTGGCAGGAGCCACCACCCCCTGCCTCCTCGCCTCCGCCTCGTATTCTGATATAGGACTGAGCTGCTGGCCTTGGATATCGCCATTCCCTATATCTTGGTTCTCCCAGGCATGTCACTTTGTAAGCAGAGTGGAGAACAAGCCAAGACTTCAACTTACAACGGTCCTTCGTTCAGGGACCGAGATGAGTTATACATCTTTTGACCTTTTATTCCTTCGCTTATAGTTCTAGATGGGGATCACTCGAAAAATCTCGGGCGTCGTGACTGGAGCCCTGGACGGATGAGACTTGTGGGGCTCCTGGTTCGATAATGCCCACTCCCTCACCTTCCTAATCTTCTGCAGTGCATCAACATCCCTTCAGAAAGACAACCAAGATCCTCGGCAAGAAGCCAGTGAACCCATGGACGGTCTCGCTCTCTGCCTCGGTGACGAGATTGCACCGATTCAATCCTAACCCGGCTTAAATATCGACTTCGAGCTACGAAGTTACCCCGAAATCAATGGGGTGCTGGGGTTGAAAGCCGGGGAAGGATACGGCCAAATACGAGTTCTACACGACCCGTGCCTCCCAGTTCCAAATGGCTGATTGAGCCTCTTGAATATTTATCAATGCCTGTATCTCTCTGCGATCAGTCTAAAGTGTAGCGGGAAGTATAACCGGCTTCACTTTTCTGTCTGCAACCAGCTCTACTTTCCCAGACGACCACCATCTACAAGACGTCCAAGAAGAAAGCCTTGCATCTGTCCTCAACATGGCACCCACGATGAACTTACCACCCATCCCAGAAGATGAATTCGTTCTGTATGCAGATGTGAGTATGCAGGCCGCGCCGAACAGAGCCACATCCTAACGGACTTGCAGGTGTACGCCAAGGAGGGTTACGCCGACGAACTCGAACGATTGATCCGCATCTTGATCCGAATGGTCGAGTCGGAGCCAGGGACCTTGGAATATGCCATCTCGAGAGACCATGATGAGCCCAATCACTTCTTCGTCTTTGAGCGATACACTGGCAAGGAAGCATTCGACAAACACTGTGCTACTCAGGAGTATCAGAACCTCCTCAACGCCGGGGTCCTGGTTGACCTGCCGCAGCCTAAGATCTTGAAGCAATTGAAATCCATTTAGGGGGCGGTCTTAGAGCCTTCCATCACAATAACACTCATAAGGCAAAGTCAGTGACATACAATACAATCTCTTGATTTTCATAGAACAAAGTTCCAAGTTTGGAAATCTAGAGCGCTTCCAGTCCTCCAAATTGCTTTCTAAACATTTCAGCTGTGACAAGGAATATGTAACGTCCTACTAAAAAGAAGGAGCCGCCGCTGAAATTCTCATTACCTACCTGATTGTGAGGCCGAGGACTGAATTCAACAATGTCTGAGACTTCCCATCAAAACACTGAACATATCAAGGATTTGAGACACCACGCAGTTGGCGCAAGGTGAGGTGGTCCTGGAAAAGTTGCCCAAGTCAGAAAGCAAGCAGATTAATAGGATTCGTTGACTATGTGGATGATTGAGTCTCGCTTCTCTTCTTTATCTTTACTGATAAATTGTTGCCGTTTCCCATCCCCGACCATCTTAGGGACGTGTCTTCTGCACTGCGGTGAACCTCTACTGGCCATAAACTAGGGTTTCTGGACATTATGTTGTTTCCTCCTCAGACGAGCACGCACCAAGTACCCACCATGCTGCCTCATACCGTCAAGTCGAACCGGAGAATCGGAGCGGACCGCCCTTGACCCGGAGCCGCTCACCGTAGAAGTAGATGAAGGTGAGGATGCCTCCAGCCGCGACAATCACGGCCGCCTGAGTGCCGAAACTCGCGCCGTAACCAACGCTCAAGCCCCATGGCTGCTGGAAGTAGCCCACGGCAAATCCGCCCATGACGCGCATGAAGTTGATGAACGCCGAGACCTCCCCGGAAGCTTGGGGGTAGCATTCAAGGGCGTACGCGGTGATGGCCACGCTGGAGAGCATGGCGCCGAAGATGTAGATTCCCCAGCCGAATGCGATGCCCAGCCAATGCAGGTGATGCTCGAACGTCTGTCCGAGAAGGACCAGGCCAGGTACCATGATGACGGTCCCCAAGTACGTGACGGGCAAACGCGCCTCCGCTTTGAAGAGACCGTCATGGCGTCTGGTGTATCTTGCAGCGTTCCAGTCGTTCAGCCAGTGTCCGAGAACCTCTCCCAAGGTGACGCCTATGGCAGGGGCACTGAACCGGAGAAGGATCAGTCGCCGAATGGGATGAAAATGTTAGGGAAGCGAGACGTACAAATAGATGAACCCAGAGGCCTTGGGTCCAAATCCGTAACCTCCAACATCCTCAGGCGTCCCCAGGAGGACAGCGGCGGTGATGTTGACGCCGGTCGCCCACATGAAATAAAGGCAACTAGCAACTCCTTGTCAGTACGGTTTTGTGGGAAATGAGTGTCACACTCACAAGTAGACCAGGATTGGTAGCATCAGAGGCTTGATCAAAACAGCCCACAGCCTGCCAAAGGCTGGCAGGACGCCCATGAAGTAGCCTCTGTGATGTCTGATTTGCCATATTCCAACCACTCTCTGCCATCTGCTACCCCGCCGCGGCTGCTCCTCGACGGACACGTCCCTTCGGTACCAGGTTTCGTCGAGGAAGAGCAGCACCAGGACAAGATCAAGGCAAGTCGATGCCAGCGCAAGCCAGTAGAGCGGGCGCCACTCCGAGTCCAGTCCGGAAATCATAAAGTAGCCCAGCATCGGCCCAATGTACGGCGTGACGTAGAAGAAGAAGAGCCATATGCCGATCTTGCGGGCGTGTTCGTGGAGGAAGAACATGTCCTTGATGTAACACAGCGTCGTGGTTTGGCAGACCGTGAGGGTGGCCCCTTGCAACGCGCGCAGCGCATAGAACGTCTCGAAGTTGTCCGTCAAGCAGATCCCGAGCGTGAACAACAGGCTGGCGAGCACGTTCCAGAACACGACCGGCGCACGCCCCCAGAAGTAGCTGGGAGGGATCGCGAGCACGCCGCCCACTCCCCTGGGATCTGGTCAGATATCGAGTTGAAGCGTGAGAAAAAGGGGCGACCTACACCATAATCACTGCTAGATTCGTGGTGAAGTTCATAGAGTTGTACGACTTGCCCCAATGAAGCGCCTGAGGCAGGACAGCGGGAAAGCCAAGGCAAAGACTGAAGTCTCCGTTGCCCGCCAAAATCGACGTCGTGAGGAGGACGGCGTGCTTCTTCCACCATGGCCAATTGAGCGGATCGTTCGGGTCGTCACTGGGTTGCGGAATAAGAACAGTCTGCGAGTTTTTTTCTTGTTTCAGCCATTCTGAGCGTGATGCCTTCTCGAGCGCAAGCACTTACACGACCATCCGGTGCCAATTTCAAGCCTGCCGTGTCCGACCCATCTTTGGTGTTGATGGTGAGAAGGATCCCTTCACCTTCTTGAGCGGCCTCCTCGGTCGTGATGTGATGCTCTTCGTGAGCTGTTGCATGCGGCTTCTCTCCTATATCTTCGCAGTAGCCGACCCTCTTCTCTTCCTGAGAATGATCTTTTGAGCCAGTCATCTTAAAATCCTTGCCACAGCGTAGCTCGGAAGTACCAAAGTGGTTTGATCGGGCACGATAGTTAGTTGACTGGATCTCAGAGAGAATTCCGACCGTTAGGGAGCACGCACCATATATCCTGCAAGTATCTCCCTTACCTTTTATCAAGAATCAAAAAGGGGCTTCCCGTCTACTCGGCCGCTAGAGATGGAATAAAGGCGCTGGCCTATTGCACGGTGGAATGTCCAAATGCCGGCCTTCGGCCTATTTTGATGTATACCTAGGTAGCATGTACCGTGGACTTAGCTCAAATAGAGTTCGACACCGTTCCAGACCTTCTGTCGCCTTCACTTCCAAAACCGGAACACCGTTAGGGTAGAGGTCGGACCGAGGACAATCTGTTGCAGCCTCGAAGACAGTGAATACAACGAGCCTGGCCGATCAATCTTACCGGAAATATGGCAAGTCTTGAAGAAACGCTCTTGCGGATCCCAACTAGCCGAAATACCATCACTGTAGCCTTGATAGGTATGACAACTAAGAGTATTTACTTCGAGAATTATCGAGAATGAGCCAGAAAAGGTGGAAGAATCATGTTATTTGGCATAATAGCGGTGCAAGCCTTCTAGGTAGTTGTAGGATGTGGTGCTGTTCCTATTGTGACTCAACAGTAGACTATGGACTGCTAGATTCTGTTGTCTGTAAATGAGGTGCCTAGGCCCGTTTTCTCACAATGTCTGGCAGTCCAGAAGGCTCTCCATGGATCGTCACAAAGTATGGATCATAGACGGTGGTAGTTCGCTTGGTGACTTCTCCATCTGCATACTCGGGCCTTTTCAAAATGAAATGCTGGTCCCGGGAGCATTCAATGAATTCTCCATTAATAGATCTATCGTTCAAGCATTTCCAATACGCTCCAACAATGGTTGAGGCGGGAGTCAGTCTGATAGTCTGTTAGAACAAGAGAAGTCACAGGCCTCGAGCAAGGACTTACGAATCTTCGCCAAAGGTGTCCCGCATATGTTGGCTTATGAATTGAGTTGGCACCACGCCGGGACAGACTGTGTTGATAGTAATGTTTTCTTTCTGAGCAGAAGTCAATGTTTATTCGAAGATATGCCAATTTAGCACTCACGAACTGCAGATACGGCGCACAGGCTCGCACGAATCCATTGATCTGCGAAAATTTCAGCAAGAGGGCTCCACAAGTCCCTCTCCCACAAGACTTACTCCGGCCTTTGCGCCAGAATACTCAGGAAACGAGGCAACTGGGTGGACAGCTACCATACTGGACGTCGCAACAATGCTTCCGCCAGGGGTGGGATTCTGTCGCATAAAGTGTATAGCAAGTTGCACTCCATAGATTGTCGCCTTCAGGCAAACGTCCGTACATGACAGGTCTGGTTCCGGGGGGACCCTTGGAGAGACAAATTAGCGAAACCAAGGTAATAGCGGATAGCAGTCTGGTCGTACTCGGTTTTGCCCCGCCACTTCAGAATGTAAATCGAGCTCCTGTCGATGATGCCCGCATTCGCGCAGAGAGCATCGATACGGCCCCATTTCTGAAACGCGGCTGAGAATGCACTCGCTTGCTCATGGTAATGGCTGATATCACATTGACAGAACATGAATTTTTCTCCGAATTCATCAGAGAGCTTTTGAGCAAGGTGTGCTTGAGAGGCAATGTCAAGTGCACCGACTTTCCATCCTTCGCGGATCAGTTTTCGAGTCAACTCTGCACCAATACCCGACTAAATAGACTCATTGTTAGTCTTGAGCATCGTGGAATGTTTGCAAATGCATCTTGGGCAAGGCAAATCGCATCTGTGATAACTTACCACACCGCCGGTGACAAGAGCGACCTTCTCACCTGGACTGGACATGATCGTTTCAATGCCGAAGAATTTGGAACGCACATAGGCGGTTTTGAAGCTAACATAAACAATGTCATGTTTATAGCTAGACACAACCGTGCTGTAAGAGCTCAAACCTCGCCGATTCTCAGAGAGAGGGTTCGCAGTGCCCCCAGACTTTCGTCCCCGGATATCCCCAGGCCGCGGTAAGCGACCCCATTTACCCCGACAAACAATACGAGAAATCCAAAGTGCGAAATCTCACCGAGCAACCGAAACTCTACCGACACTCTTAGAACGCAACTAGGGATGCAAACGCTTGTTGATACCTCACACAGCGACGGTGGCAGGAGAATGAGTTGGGACCGACCAAGAGATTCCCCCGTTGTTGAAATATACCAGACTTAAAAGCGCCGAATTACAGTTTTCCGGAGTATGTGCTTCGTCAGTTACCAGCTCCTCCAGCACCCCGGGGAAGAGAGTGATTTCACTGACGACTTTCTCCGACCCTCACTGCCATGGCCACTAAACACCGATTCTACCGCGTAACGATCTTTGTCAATCGAGTTCCAGAGCTGAGTGAGGACGAGTTCCATAAACACTGGTCATCCACGCACAGAGAACTAGCAGAAGACTTACTTGTGAAGTATGGCATCGCAAAATATCGACAGGTCGGTGCCGCTTGGGAGAATGCATGTTGAAGGAGCTAACGAAGAAGCACACAGTACCATACACCATCAGCTCTCCTACCAGAAGCTGAAGCCAAGTGCCCTGGTTTAGACAAGCTCAACAAGCTGGGCTTTGATGGAGCGGCCGACTTCATCATGGCCGACATCGAATCCTTCTACAAGTTTCGTCAGGATCCATATTATAACTCGCATATCGATGCCGATGCAAAGATTCTGTTTGATTGGAACAGCGCCCGGTGGACTGTGGGATGGGAGGAAGTGTACGTAAAGGATGGACGCGTTGTTGAAATGCCGGATGGAGAGGATTAGCTCGGTCAAGTCTCCAGCTGAAGCTGAAACGACAACGTTTGACATGTGCTATCGGCTGTGACAGCGTAACCTCTGCTCCGGAGGGCGCCATGCTCATGCTGTGCTCTTCAAAAGAACAATGCTTGCTTCTGGTAATCAGATGCCTCCGCAAATCCACCTCGGCATCGTCCACTTCCCAATGCGGTGCGTATTCCGTGCCTTCGACTGATCGGGGTAAATGCTCCACCCCCACCTGTGTGATTGGGTTGGATTTTGAGGAGGCTATGCTGTACTCGTGCACTTAATTTTGTTACAGACCGCGGCGGCCTCTTCGACGAGCAGTCGTATTTCAAAGCCGTAGGCTGTGCTTGAGGGCGGCGGTAAGGGCAGAGGAACACCATCTTCGACAGATGCTGAGTTGTCATCGCACTCCTCTCTGAACAGACCAGCGCCTGAAGCGTACATAAATGGGACCAAATCGAGGGGCTCGGCGGTGGGAAAATATGCCGGGTAAAGGCTTGTTTACTGTGCACGCCCCCGACTCGTGCTGGAGATCCACTTTTCTCGTCCCTAGCCGTTGAGCTGTGAAGATCTTTGGTCGTCATCCGCAGCCTCATTGCTCGATCGGGTGTATAGGCGTCGATCCAGCCCCGCCCGCTAACTCAACTACGAGTGCCACCGAAATGCCAATTTCGGCTCCTGAAGAATTGTGTCACTTTGCCCCCCTTGCGATTGCTAGTCGCTGTCAGCGTCGTTACAGTGCTGGTGGATAGCCCGGAAGCAAGATGCAGATTAGGGAACCTCAGTGTGCTGTATAAGAGTCTTGCGCGTCTTCGCAGAATGGGATTGTTGAGAGTAGTGGCAGCGCCTATTCATCGCTTCGCCAGGGACCATTTACCCGCGAGCTGAGAGACTTGGTGTCTCGCCATGAATCAACAGTCACTCGTTTCACTCCTGCTCGCGCTGGCCGCGCTGCAAACATGCCCAGTTGCCTCTCTTGCGGTACCAAGGCCACCGACTTTAAAGAGCCGTTCACTCCTTCCCCCTTATTCGTTGCCGCAGGATGACCTGCTCGACTTGACAAGAGCAGTTGATATCGGGACAAAGCAGGCTGGCTACTTATACGGCCCTCCTGTTGCCGGTGGACCTTTCTTTCCCACCGGCGCCCTAGGTCTGGTCAGGGCCGCGGCCGATCAAGCAGAGATTCAGCTCGATGAAGCTCCGATCCTTGCGGCCGTTGCTGTCGATACGACCGACAGCTCGGTTTCAGCTCCTCAGTACAACGGCCTGCAGACTCTGGACGATTACACACTATTATATGACGGGCACTGGAAGGCGACTCTCCCATCTGGCCCGGTTCCAGGAATGTTGACCAATTACACTCAAGATCTTCTGTTCTCAATGGAACGCCTCTCGTTTAGTCCCTACCAGGTGAGGAGGCTCAATCCTGCCTCGGATACGTTGCAGTTCAGCGTCGACGATGCCACTGCGACGAATCTCACGGGCATGACACTGCAACAACTATTTGAAGACGGTCGGCTCTTCTATGCCGACTATCGAGACCAGAAAGATCTCACTCCCACCGATCGATTTTCCGCCGCTTGCGACGCGTTCTTCTATATTGACCAAACATCTGGAGATTTCTTACCCCTCGCTATCCGTACAAACGTGGGATCCAGCCTGATCTACACACCAAACGACGACCCCGCCGACTGGCTACTCGCGAAGATCATGTACAACGTCAATGACTTTTGGTTTGCGCAATGGAACCATCTTGCGAGCACCCACGAGGTTGTCCAGATTACATACCTAGCCGCTATCCGAACCCTGAGCGACAACCACCCCGTCCTTGCCTTGCTAAACCGGATCATGTACGAGGTATACGCAATACAACCGCTGGCGGAAACTCTTCTGTTCCTCCCTGGTGCGGCAGTCGATCAGGTCTTCGCTTACACCGGTACCTCCGCCCAAGACTACACCACCAACCTCTATATGAACGGTGGTAGTGGTCGCTTTCAGGCCAATTATTTTGAGGCCGACCTTCAATCTCGTGGATTGATCAATTCGAACTTTGGCCCGGCGTTGAAAAACTTCCCGTTCTACGAAGATGCTTCGACTATTTATAATGCGATCCATGCCTTCATGACTTCGTTTGTGAATTCATATTACTCCAAAGACTCAGACGTCACGGCCGACAATGAAATGCAAGCGTGGGTGAAGGAGTCACAAGGCCCCGCTGAGGCGATTGACTTTCCTTCGATCACGACCAGGAGCGCCCTGATTGATGCTTTAACACATATGGTGAGCACAAAGAGCTAATTGGCAATATCCCTACCCTATGGTCTCCTGCTGACGAAGTTCTGCTTAGGCTCATCTTGCCTCTACCTCCCACCACACGGTCAATACGAACGAGTTGCTCTCCGCCAGTTCTACATTGCCCTTCCATCCCCCATCTCTCTATCAGCCACCCCCGTCTTCGAAAGGGTTTACAAACGTGGTGGACTTCCTCCCGCCACTTGACAAGGTCGAAAGCCAATTCAGCGTGGCTGCCATTTTTGTCCGCCCCTTTTTCGTGGGCACGAATCGCACTCTGATGCACATGTTTGATGATCCTGCGACGCTCAGCCGCATGAATAGTGCCACTCAAGCAGCGGCCACGACGTTTTTCAACAGCATGCAGGCATTCAGTGGACAGGTTTCTTCGCGCACATTCGACGAAAATGGCCTGTCACAGGGGATGCCGTTTGTGTGGCAGGCCTTGGATCCCAATGTGGCGCCATTTTCTATCACTTCTTAGGATGGCTCATTTGAGCCGTCCCTATGACTGTCTTATACAATGTATTTTCAACATCCATGTGATTAGGGGGCATGATTTTTTTTGTTTTTCCCCTGCAGCAGATAATAGTTGGATTCCAAACTTCGTTATTCCCCCCGAATCCTGAGCAATTGCTGTGGAAAATCCATCCCCCTTGTCAGCTTTTAGGTAAACCAGAAGCGTAACAGCAACGCGTCCGATGCAGCTTGCAAGGGAGCGGTCCCGGAACTTTCTCGTCATTCACTCGAATGGGACAGAGGGGGGGTTCTGCGTTCTTCGAGATCTACAGAGCTCCTTCTAAACCCACAAGCTCTGGAACTCGCTAACACTTTTCTTCAAGGCCCTGCCTGCAGTTGTGTTGGACACACGTAAGCTATGTCCTTCACCATACCTAGTGAAAGACTTGATGCGTCGCGACGAAATGGCCTCTCTTCCCTTATTAGGCCTACTGGAGCTCGAGTCAGGAGTCAGGGCTCCAGCTGAGTCGGCACTCTGTATCCGCAATCCTGATATTGGGGGCCATCGAGTGGGTTATTGGAAAGTCTTATTTCCCAACCTGTTGGTCACTTTCGACAGTCCCCACGGAATATTCCCAGAGAGATTTGCAACAACGTTTACTAGGCCGGATTTGCAAGGTCGAGAGTCGAGCCCGTTTGTTTCAGAGTTGGATCCTCGAGGAGCAGGCTCTGTAATACGGCGTTCCTATGACTCCATATTGCATGCTAACTCCTGACTTTGGTTAGTCGGCGGACTAGTCAGTGGTGATCAACAGCAGATGTTTTCTTCCCCGCACACCATATCCCTGTTCTCTCTGATATCCATATCAACAATCATGCAGGTCCAAGGGACCAGGAGCCACTCTTGGGCCTGGTTCTGATTCGCTGCTCCCTGTTAGCTTCAGGCCTCACCAGCCTTCTAGCCGTGGGAATGGCGACCGCGTCTGATCTCCCGGACGCCACCTGGGAGCCACCAGCGCCTGGTCCAAACTGCCTGCGTTCGAACTAGACGGCGACCAACTGCTCGGTACCGGGGCAGGCTTGTATCAAGCCTTGCTGTCGCAAGAAGCCGTTGTAAAAGGATCTGCTGTCGCGCAAGAAACGCTACAGGGAAGCAGGAGGAGGCGTTCCTCCATCTCCATCTTCATCGGTGTCCTGGTGGAGCCCCTGCGCCAGCCTCCTGCCCAAAATCCTGCGCAAATCCTCCACAAGCTCTCTTCTCCATAAGCCCGGCGACACTCTTTTCATACGTCGTTTCTCTGCGAGGACATTTCGCCTTTTCGTTTCTCGCCCCTGCCGTTTTGTACAATAATCGGCCCCCCTTGACGCTGCTGCTTCCTGGTGATCCAGCTTCGAAACGTCGTTCCCAGCAGTGTCCAGTGTACAGGTACATTGAGCCCTTGCGAAGCATCTTCTACAACGAGTTATGAATGTTTCATAGCGCTACAGATCACGGCGACTTTTTCTGCATCGTTGTCGCACACATCCAAGACGGGGGACATGCTCTCTTGCTCCTAGCGTCCAGCGCCCAAGACTCTCGCTTGTCCAAACATAAATAGACGAGCTGCGTCGCGATCAGGTTCAAAATGGTCGACACATTGCACCGTGAGTACACTCTGACACGACGACAACGGGCGCGCGTACTGAGCACTCGTCCTAATAGCACCTCCTTCGGTCATCGCTTCTTGGCCCAAACCGAACTATGTCAATCCCGACACCAGAGGGCCGGGCCTGGTGTACATGTGTATCATATTCGCCGCCATTGGCATCATCACATGCACGGCCCGAGTGTACTCGCGACTGTTCATCACCAAGGCGCCGGGCTTGGACGATCTCCTGGTGGTCGTCGCCCTGGGGTTTCTGACGGCCTTGACTGTGCTGGTCATCATCGGCAATAAAGACTACTACAACGGCCGGCACGTGTGGGACATCCCGCCCGACAGCTTCGTCGGCGGGCGTGCCAACATCTGGGCCAGCCTGTGGTGTTATGTGATCGGGATCACCTTGATCAAGATCTCGGTGCTGTTGTTCTACCGCCGCCTGAGCGTCAAGTTCAGCCGGGCCTTCCTGATCGCGACCTGGGTCGGCATCATTTACAACATCTTGTACTTTCTCTCCTTCGGCCTGACGCTGCTGCTGCTCTGCAACCCCCTCCACGCGTATTGGGACAGCTTCAACCCGGTCTGGGCCGCGACGCACCACTTCCACTGCGGCTCCGAGAGTGCGGCGCTCCCCGCGTCCTCGGCGTTCAGTGTGGCTGGGGACTTCTACAGCACCCTGCTGCCACTGATCTTGGTGTACTATCTCGAACTGCCTCGTCGCCAGAAGATCGCGTTGTACGCCCTATTTGCGCTGGGGTTCATGGCAGTCGCCGCCGGGCTGGTCCGGACGGTCCTGATGTACAACCTGTTGAACGTCGACTACGACTTCACGTGGGAACTGTGGCTGACCTGGATCTGGGCGGTCCTGGAGCTGTACCTGGCGCTCTTCGCAGCCAGCGCCCCGAGCTTGAAGCCGTTCTTCCGACACTTCTTTGTGGAGTCGATCAACAGCTTCGCGCGGGGCTCTAGAAGACGCGCGGAATACGGCAACAACAATAGCAGCCAACGGGCCGGGGCAGAGCCAATGTCGGGAAAGGGCTCAGGAGGAGGGACAGGCACATTCGCCACGGGGGGAACCAAGGGCGACGTCAGCGTAGACCTCTCAGCCGACATCGAAAGGGGCCGAGGAGGCCACTGGGAAGAACCCGCCGACGAAAGGATGGAGTCCCGGCAGAGCTGGTTCCTGGCGGACAACGACGAGACCGGGACGAAGCATTTCGAGCTGCGCGCCAGCCAGGACGGGAAGAAGATGATCCCCATGCGCGTGTACAAGCGCGGGGACTACCACGACTACAACTACAACAACCACTACACCGTCCCCGAGGGGACTCCTTCAGACCCCTTCGCCGACGTCGAGGACCGCGTCCACCGCTCGAACTCGGCGGCGACGGCGCTGCCGCAGCGGCCAGACTGGCCATTGGCCCTGCCCACAATGGGGACCGAACCGCACCATGAACCGCGCGAGTTCCTGGCCAATCCCCGGCTTTCTACGTACAAAGAAAAGATATAAAACATAAAACATAGTCAATAGAAACTCGTCAAACCAGAGTATACTCCGCACGATCTATCAATTTTCCCCTAGCAGCAGTCACAGACGAAGCTGAGGTGGGCATAGAGTAACCGTGTGCAGTCCTGTGTCGTTTACCACCCATCCACTGTCATAGTCCATGCGCGTTCAGGAGATCACGCAGGGGACGTGAGTAGCCTCGCTTAGCCATCGAGTCTGACAGAGGTAGGGGTAGTTTAGTAGTAGAAGATAGCGGTGGTTTGGTGTTGCAGACTCGTAAATGTTCTGCCGCCGTGATCCCTAGCCACGTTTTTGTCCATCTGCAACACCACGAGTCGCCCGGCCCAGGGTCGTTTTCCATGGGTTATTGCTCCGGCTTTGGCTTAGTCGGGGGCGATCTCGTATCATCTAGGAACTGTGGATTTCGTGATCGTCGGCGCATCTCTGCGGTGTGCGTGATCCTGGCATCGGTTCCAAGGGCGTCTCCGGCACATAATTACATGAAAATAACTGCCATAGTTGGTTAGAACCTTGCTGTGCTGGGGCGTTGCTTTTGGTAGCATTTTTCATCGTTTCGGGGGTTCCCGTATTGCCCTCATGTTTGGAGTGAAAGGTTCACCGAACGTCCATGTGCAATGCCCGTGGGCTGGAGAGTCCCAGGCCGATCGAGCCGGGAATGTACACAGATGGTCGACTGTGACTCGGCTGATATAAGGACTGCTGGGTGTATCTCCCTCCTACTCGGTCCCAGGCCCAGCAATCGACAGTCCGTATTAGAGCCGAGCAGAAAGGCGTGCGCCGACTCCGTTGAAGTGAGCTTGGACTGTGCTCTGACCGAGAGATAGCTTTCAATCTGAATGTTCAATGATGGCCCCAAGATAGTTGCTGTAGTTGCTGGGTTCCAACAGTTGAGTTGATATCAAGGGGAAGGAACAGAGCGAGGTCAAGGCATCCCTCTTACTTCAAAATAGGCTTAGTCTCCAAACCAGGGAACAGGCGGCCGTCTCGCCCTGTAGCTCCGAGTCTTCGACCATCAAAAGCTTCGTGGGCTTGATTCTGGAGGCTACCTACTCAACGTATCTGATCTTTGCCTGAAGGTCAGTGCAGCTCATTCTTTGTTGAGTGAAGATGGCAGCTACAGCCTCAAGACGGGCAGACGACCTGTGGCGTCGCGACATTCCCAGCAATCTTGCGGTCACCGGCGTCATGCACCACCATCCCCTCGAGTCTCCTCTCTTCAGCACTCCTCCATACCTCGAAGCCCTTCTCTGCCCACCTGATTGCAGTCCCCATTGCAGCCGCTGTACGCCTCGCAAAGCGCTCAGATGTTGACAAGCTCGTGATGGAGACCCCAGACAAAATGGACCTTTCCGATCAGCCTGCACTGTGGCTTGCCGATGTAAGCAGATTCGGGCAAACGCAGCGCCTATGGTGTCACGTTCTAGGCCATGCTTTTCCAGCCAACAGCGTTCTTTGGTTTCTCGCACTTGCGAGGCGCATACTGGGCTGTGCAAGCTGCGCCTAGAACTAGTCAGGCTCGAACTACTACTGGTCCAGCGTAATTCTAAGCTATCAGCATCCTTGTTGGTGGGAATGGGAGCTGCACCTCAGCTTGCCTACTATCTTTTGACGTCCCAGCAGCCTTCTCTCGATTTCTGATCAAACGCTTTTGCTTCGTGAACAGCAAATATTTTCGGAAACGATGCTTGATCCGCTTTCCGCGATCGGTCTGGCGTCGGCCATAGTGCAGTTCGTTGATTTCAGCGCCGAAATCATCCAGGGCGCGCGGGAAGTCTATGGCTCCATGTCTGGCGCGACTGAGCGCAACCGGAGCCTAGAGGTTGTTGTGGGCCAAACGAGAGATCTGATCTCAAAGCTCAATGCTCCGGGCCACTCGCAGCAGAGTGAGGATGAGAAGGCTCTCCGCCGCGTGGCCAACGAATGCAAGATTCTGGCACAACAGATTCTCGATCTGCTTCAGAAGATCAAGGCAAAAGATCCCAACTCAACTCTCCAGGCTGTCTGGGCAGCACTGAAGAATCAAAAATATAAGAGAGAGCGATCGGAACTGGAAGAAAGACTGGAGAGTTGTCGGAATCACCTTGAATTCCAACTAAACTATTTGACCAGGTTGCTCCCTTTACACCTTGATCGGTGCAGAAGATAACTAATTGACAGTGCCGAGACCAAGGCCGAATTGAACAAACTGACAACCTCTACGGAAGGTCACGCTGAGAAACTTACATTTCTTCAAAAGGATGTTGAGCAACTTCGCTGTGGAACCAGGGTTACGTCCTTGAGCCCGGAAGCTCAAGACCAAGTCCAGAAGCTCTTGCAGATCTCAGACGAAGCTCTCCAGAGAATCAAACAGCAGGTTGTTTTAAAGAACCTCGCCTACAGTGACATGGAAACAAGATTCGAAGAAGTGTCCGAAGAACACAGCAAAACCTTCGAGTGGATTTTTGGAGACACCACCCAAGATAACAACCCGGACTGTGACGGACCCAGCCAGGAGTCATTTGTGCATTGGTTGTCAGCCGGAAGAGACATCTTTCACATATGCGGGAAACTAGGGTCCGGGAAAAGCACATTGATGAAGTTTCTGTGTAACCATGATCGCACAGAAACTGAACTACAGCGCTGGGCGGGTAAGTCGCAAGCCGCGAGGGCAATATATATTCATATCGATTCTTCAACAACTAAAACTAACAGTTCTCGAAGGTGGCCGAAAACTGATACGTGCAAAGTTTTTCTTCTGGAGGGGAGCTACAACAAAAGAACAAAAGTCTTTGACTGGCCTTGTTCGATCCCTCCTCTATGAGACGCTGCGTGCCTGCCCTGAACTCATCCCCGACACGTTGCCCGGTCTCTGGGCTCAGTTGGAGTCGTTATCCTGGCAGGTGGATATGAGGCTCGATCTCAGCAAACTGCAGATCCGAGCAGCAATCTCCAACCTTATCACACATCGGGACTTGTACAAGGAACACTGTTTCTGCTTCTTTATTGATGGTCTGGATGAATTTGAGAAGACTCATGAGGACGGTTATGGAGATCTCATCAGGTTGCTCAAAAGTTGGTCTGACGCAGCCCCAGACGCCGTCAAAATCTGTGTTTCAAGCAGAGAGGACCTAGTCTTCATGGATGCCTTCTCTACCAAAAGAAGATTTCGCCTTCAAGACCTCACGAGAGAAGATATTCAACGTTATGTGCGAGATAAATTGCCGCTCGGAGCCGACGAAAAAGGTGAAGACTTGGTCGAAAAGATAACTGAACGAGCGGATGGAATCTTCCTCTGGGTGGCTTTGGTGGTCAAGTCAATTCGGGATCAGTTGGACGAAGGCTATGATCTATCTGATGTCGAACAAGAGCTCGACCGACTTCCCCGCGAGTTACACGAACTCTTTGAATGTCTTCTCAAGTCGATTAGCATTTCAGGTCGCAAGAGAGCTCATCGCACCTTTGCAATGGTTCTGAAGCTGAGACATTACAAAATCAACATGTCGTTACTGGCGTATTCTTTTCTAGGAGAATATGAAAAGGAACCGGCATTCGCCATGGAAGAGTCCTTCCCGTTCTCGAATATGGATGACGATACTAGGAGAAGTCGAGAAGATCTTGCACGCAAAAGACTGTATCGGGACTGCAGGCGGCTCCTCGAAGTGAAACAAGATCCTGCGCGTAAAAGAATGCCTTGGGACCCCCAGCCGCCTCTGGGACTGAAACAAGACGAGACGATCATCACAATCACACATCGCTCCATTTTGGAATTCCTTGAAAGTCAGCCTGTCAAAGACGAGATGAGGTGCATTCTTGATGGCTTTAGCACGGAAGATGCAGTTTCTCAACTCTCCCTTGCGGAGTTGAGGTGCGAAAGGGGAAAGATTTCCCCTAGGTTCTTAAGTTTGGTCGTCTATAACCTGCTTAAGATGCGGCACCAAAGCAACGTTGACCAAGAGCCGTATCATTTCCAAGAGGCTCTAAGTTCCATAGTGAGTCACCACAGTGGGACGGACTTGGAGACGCAAATGAAGGATTTCCCATGGATTGCAACTGCCTGGAGCGAGGCTTGCCCTGGGGCAGGCATCGTTAATGGATCGATTAAATCCAAAAGCCCTGAGAATTTCCTCGCATCTCCTCTCTATGTTTCAGCATTCTATGGAGCGTGCGAATATGTCATCTGGAAGATAGAGCGCGACCCAGCCATTATCGAACATACTTCGAACAAAGGCGCCATTGTCTGCTACGCTGAATCTGGGCTCTGTTTTTCCGAAAACCATCACAAGCAGCTGAAGCTTCTAGAGCTCCTTCTGATCCGAGGTCTTTCCCCCAACACTGTCATACACACTCACGCTGGGAATAGCAACTTTGAAGGGGAATTGAGTTTCTGGCAACATTTCATCCTTTTTACTGTGATCGTGTTCGATCCTTGGTCCAATAAAGAGAAAAAGGACGTTGGCGAATTAGTTGAAAAGTTTCTGGAACATGATGCAGACCCTCATTTGTGGATTTTGCTGCTTCCAAGACCTCCAACTGATGACTGGGCTGATGAGCCAGATTTCGTTTTCAGGGTGACCCTTGCAAGAGAGCGATGCAAGACTATAGAGGTGATGTTTTTCCGACATTACAGGCCGAAGCACCAATGTCCACTCCCAGTTGAAGAGGGTGAAGAGGTTTCGCTTCGACAAATTCTTGAATTCTGGGCATTCGACAACGGGGAAGCAATTCTGCAATTGCTCGATCGGAATGTGCAGCGACGGGAACTGTTGGCAACAGTGGCCAACGAGGCACACCAAGTCCTTTTATTCGTATTGGGCAAGTATTTGTCCCTCACTATCCTGTGGTAGTAGCGATCAACTTCTGACGACCGATCTAGGTATACTTCTGGCCCTTGTCTTACCTCGACTGTGGGCTATGGTCACAACAGAGTTGAGTTCACCAGCTGGGTGAGAGGCGGAAGAATTCTGAAAGCTCCAGCTGAAAGGGCTCATTCAATTCCGTGGCGATCTATAGTTCTCCCCGCGTCGGTGGAGTTCGTCTGAATATCAAGGGACAACTGAGAAGTAGTACAATGCAGAAACCTGGGAACCTCTACTGCGATCGACGCCATCTGGCACTGCAGGCGAGGCATCGCCCTTTACGCAAGCCAATGTATAGATATGTATTTATAGAGACATAACCAACACGATCCCATGCCAGCCTCCGCGTCCACGAGGTACGTCTTGTCCTCCCTTATACACCAATCCCAAACCAGGCTTGAACTGGTCGTTGATACTCCCGGCATTGGAGCAGAATCGACAGACAAATTACCTAGTATCGCAGTGATGGCACCTACCGGGAACCTAAGAAAGGAAGTCGTTGCTTCACGGAATACTAGCCCCGACCAATGATGACGCGATGATCTCTTACCTATTACCAAAGGGTGACGACAAAGGTATTACACTACCTATAGTGACACTGAGTGACTACCTAGGCAGGTACCTGGTATTCTAAATTCTTGACGACATGCTGCAGGTCTACAAGTTCTCCGTGGCATCGTCAACACTACGAGAGTTGAGTACACCACATACAAAGACGTGCCAGTATAGAGCGGCGTAGAACCAAGACATTGCACCCATCGTCACCACCGTCAACCATGTCTGATATCAAATCAAAGGGAGGGGCGCCAATCGAGGAGGGCGACACGGTCAGCACGCCCGTAAGTCCCGACGCGTCTAACGCGATCAAGTCAACTTGGTACGAGAAGCAACACTAATAACCATCCATCCACACGCAGTATCGAGGCGGCAAGCACGAGGGACAGGTACGTGGCCAGACTCTCCGCCCCGTGCCGAGATGCCTGTTCCAACCAGAACCCCCCCCCCCCCCCAAAAAAACAACAACAAACAACAACAACAACAACAGCCTGTTGATACGGGAGAACTAATCTTGTGTGGGACGGTGCGTTAGGTCGAGCAGATCATCACGAGCGACGAGCAGGCCGGCGAGGCGCTGCAGGGCGTCAAAGGGGCCGGCCGCGCGCCCGCGGTCGTCTTCACGGACCAGAATCGCAAGAAGGTCGCGCACAAGCCGGGCACGGTGACGGACTTGGACAAGGAGGGCTGAAATGGCTTGCGAGTCGGTCGGTCAGCAATGTCGACGGTCGGGGACTGGTCGGTGAAAGGGGGGTGCGGGATGGACAATGACGATGGACAACGGACAATGGACGTGATCTGATACATGTGGGCAAGTGAGCATATCGGGGATTGCGTCATGCGATTCATCCTGGTGGAAGTGAGCATTGAATAATAAGATCTCTTTTTGACCAGTCAATGGCTTCCCACAAACCCAAGATCCGATTGAAGATATACTACCACGTCAACTATTCAAGGTAGAGCCCGATGATTACTGGGCTGCCAAACTCCCCAATAAAGGCTGTGTATTAGAAGTGTCGAGAGCGAAGTCCGCGGCAACCGAAGCCAGAATGACGGTGACTAAAGAGGGCGCCCGGCGGATACCATTCCTTTCCCTCCTCGCGGTCTATTTGACCACGGCCATCATGAACCCGTCATAGTTCTTTTCCGCCACGGTCTGCAGGACGACCGCGTCGACTCTGTCATCTTTGCCCACGGCTTCAATGAGCCTCCTCGACCCGGCGACGCGCGGGTCATCCTTGGCGGCCTCGTCGGCCAACAGGCCACGCCTGACCACGTTGTCGACGTAGATGCAGGTCCCGCGCTTGGTCATCTGCAGGGCCCACTCAAAGTAGGCCAGGTTGTTCTCCTTGTCGGCGTCGATGAAGACGAAGTCAAAGGGCGGGCGCTTCCCGGCTTGGACTTCCTTGAGCAGCGCCGGGAGGACCTCGACGCCCGGGCCGAGCAGGACGGTGACTCGGTCGCTCAGCCCGGCGTGGGCAATGTTCTCCTCGGCCACCTTCTTGGTCTCCGGGTTGACTTCGACCGTGGTCACTCGGCCGTCCGCCCCGGCCCCGGCGGCCATCCAGATGGCCGAGTAGCCCCCCAGCGTGCCGACTTCCAGGATGTTTTTGGCGCCGGTGATTTGGATCTGCAGCGACAGCAGCTTCCCTTGTGCCGGGAAGACGGCGATGTCGGGGAGACCCTTGGCGCGGGAATTGGACTGGGCGAACTCCAGCGCCGCGTGGTACGGGTTCCGGGACGGACCCAGCAGATGCCCGTTGGTATACTGGTCGACGGCCGTCCACCGCGGATCGTGCTCGTGCGCGAACGAGTATCCGCCCTGTGTCGTCGTCGTGGCCATGGTTTCGTCCCGCGCTCACAGATGTGTGTCTGTCTACTTCCAATCAAAGACGATGGTTGGGAATTCTTGGGTTTATAATGGTCAGTTGGGGGCTATTCGCTGCTCGTGAGAATGAGTCACCCCCCACGAGGGCCACTGGGCCTTTTAACCTTTGCTTCGGCCTCGGCCTTCCTGCGCCCAAGCTCGGCCGATATATCTGGATGTAATGGTGTCGCGAGAACGGTCGCGATGGCGTAGTCCCCGTCGTGGCTGATGCTGAGTTGAGCCGTCTGCTCGGTCACCTCGCTGGGGGTGGTGGAGGTGGAAGTGGAGGGGATGGAATGGTCCGAAGTGGTCGGGGTTGTCAGACGGGTGTCGCAGACGACATGCACAGCGCCGTCGGATTCAATTCCGACCCTCAGATCTCGAAAGCTGAGTAATGAAGCGTTCCAGGCCTTTTTGGCTGCCTCCTTGGACGCCCAGCGGCCGGCAATCCAGGCGGCCAGCTGTCTCCTCGCGAGCTGGTCCTGGCGATCTGCATCTTGCCAGTGCGGGAAGCGGCGCCTGAGATCCTCGAGCTCCTGAGGGAGGAGGAAGCGATTGGCGAGTCGGACCAGGCGGCGGATGTCTGGTTGGACCAAGGACGAGATCCGGTTCGTGGCGACGATGTCGGTGCCAATGCGCAGCGCGAGAGGGAAAGGGGCCCGCATCCGGCTTTGACGCGCGTACAGAAAAATGCCCTGCGCCTGCGGGGTGCAATTGACGCGATTTTGGGTGAGGGATGCTTTGAGGACGCAAGAGGTGGAGAGCGACGGTTGCGACAACGGACTGCGTTCTGAAGAGTTGAGGGAGGGTTTGGAGAATCGCGCAATGGGGGACGAATGAAGGGCAGCGCCGGCGGGGAACGTTGGCGAGATCGTCCCCGTCCAGTATCAAGTCAACTTCAGCCACAGAACTCTCCTTCCAGGTTGGGCCTGTCGATGAAGCGGCAGGGCGTCAAGACACAGAGAAGGTCATGCTCGAATCATCGTGGGCTTCTACCACCCGTACTGCTATCTACAACTGTCTAGATGGCCGTGAAACGCTATCACATCCCAGTAACACCATGTACAACAGATATCGCCCGCGCTTCACGCGCAACTCCGCATCTTGCGGGGTCCGAGGCCAAAGGCAATGAATAATATGGCATTGATCTCCTGGTTCTGTCTTGCTTGGTCGCAGTCTCCATCTCTTTTTCCCCGCTGGAAGCCCAAGAAATCGCCGTATTCGCCTCAAGATGAAGCATATCAAGTGTTCAGGAACGCCATACGAGGTGAGATCACGTTGTCAGGCTCGTGCAGATCCACTGCTGACAGCACCTTCAGATTGGTCGTCAGCATGGCGAGGCAGCCAAAACCGAGGTTCACGGGAGCATGGCCTTCTATTCCGCTTTCTTCAAGGAGAGGGCGAAGCTGTCGTGGCCGCAAGTGCAGGATGTGGCACGAAAGTCCCTTCCATGGTTGCAAAATTCGTACCCGGAGTATGTCGAGGAAATGCAAGGTGTTGCCGATGGCGCAGGCCTCGATCTCGAATCAATCGTCGCGCTGAACGTCCGCACCGAGATTGCCTTTGGCATGCTGAGCGACGGCTGCACCGCGCTGGCCTGGAAGACGCCAGATGCGAGTTTTCTCGCGCAGAATTGGGACTGGAACTTTGACCAAACCCCTAACATCGTCTGTCTCTCAATCGAGCAACCTGGCAAGCCCAGAATCCATATGATGAGCGAAGGCGGAATCATTGGCAAGATTGGCATGAATTCCGCGGGTGTCGGCGTCACGCTGAACGCCATCCAGGCACCTGGCGTGTCTTTTGACAAGCTTCCTTGCCATCTTGCGCTGAGGACGGTACTCAATAGCACGTCTAAGGAGGCAGCAGCAGCCGCCCTTCGTAAAGCGGGATTGGCTTCGGCGTGTCACATCACCATCGCTGATGGTACGACTGGGGGTGTTGGATTTGAATGCACAGCACTTGACATTGTGGAATTGCCCATGGACACAGATGGCGCATTGCGTGGATCCTGTACTCACTCAAATCATCTGGTCAAGAAGCACAAGGTAGAAGGGGATATGTTCGTCAATGACTCCCCCTTCAGACTAGACCGGATCCAACAGCTGATGAAGGACATCGGCAAACCGACCATGCAAAACCTGAAGGAGATTTTGAAGGATGAGAGAAACTATCCCACCGCTATCAACCGAGCTGTAGGCGAGAAGAGCACCAGCCAGACTTTGTTTTCCATTGTCATGGACTTGAAGCAAGGCTTTGCCGAAGTCAAGATGGGACGACCGACGGAGGATGGGGAAGTGTTCCAGCTGAGACCATAAAAGATATTGCGACACAAGGACTGCGGGAACCTCCTCTGTCCACAGAGCTTCAAGTCTGGTGCGGTGGTTTTCGATCCGTCTAGCTTATGTACAATGCGTAGGTTCGTCCGAACCGTATTCTCTCATGTTGCTGTACTCCTCTCTAATGCGCCTCTTTGCCTGAGATCTTGTTCCCTTTGTCTTCTTGCTCCACCTGTTGTAAAAATTCCCTGCCAAGGGGTTAGGGACGACGCTTCAGGCGCGAATAACCGGGTGAGCTCCTTACTGAATGAACTTCTCTTCGTCCTTGCTTGAGGCGTTGATCGGGGGTGTTGTCGATTTCTTGGCTCCACCACCTCTCGTCAGCAGCCAGGGAAGGCCAAATGCAGTGCTGAGGGTAGCAATAGCCAGCTACATATGGTCAGTCGGTGCGGTCAAAGGAAGGCGTCCCTCAACGCGGATTTGACTATGACAAAGTAGAATCGATCACGGTCACATACCCAGTGTGATCCGACCTGGCGGCCTGCGACATTGTACATGGCAACCATCTTGACGATTCGGAGGTTTTGCGAAGATATCAATTCGAGATGTTGCGGGGACGGTGCTGGTTGCAAAAAGATGAAGCAAGTCGACTGCGGACCGAGATTTTGCGTCTGAGCTGCTGGAGCTTTCATTGAATGACCCGCCGGACACACTAACGGACTACGGCGAGGTAAACCGAAGACCTCCGCAGTTTCTTACCTGAGGAGCCACGGAGCCTCGCCGCCTGGTCTGGGCGAGAAGCTTGGAGGCTCCGGAAGCTGCAGGCACTGGTCAACCGGACAGACACAACGCGGTTCTGAGGCCTTTTTGCCTCCGTCCCATATCCTTTTAAATGTGAGCCGGCTGTCTTGGGCGACAGGCAACTGCAAACGTGCCTGTTGAGTTTTCCATTCCATCCCCATTCCCACCATGGCCGGCAAAGAGGGAGACCGCCCGAACTCTGCCTTCCCACGCGAGCAGTTGAACAAGGACCTCCAAAAGCTGGTCGACAAGCAAGATGACTGGATGGATAGCTTTTACGAAGGAGAAGGGCCCGACACGACCGAAACGAGCATGCGATACGCCGCATATGCAAACCGGCTGCGCACCATCATGTTGAGCGCCCATCGATATGTTGCGTACACCTCAGACATTGGCGAGTCCTTCCGTCCAGTCGCGCACCCCATACTCGTTAGAAGCGCGTACGCGGTCTCATGGGCATATGTGCTGGGTGACGTTGGGCATGAGGGGTGGAAGGCATATAAGAGGAATCAGAAGCTGCTACATCCTCAAGCAGAAGAGGACTCCGACGAAAAACCGAAGGAACCCATGGGCAAGGTCGATGCTGATACACCGCAACATCCTGTCCACATCCCTGCGATTGAAGACTATCGGGCCGTGATGGCTCAGCGAGCCGTTTTCCAGAGTCTGGCGTCGATGGGATTACCGGCGTTTACGATTCACTCGATCGTGAAGTATTCTGGGAAAGCACTTAAGAGTGCAGCAAATCCTGCCATAAGAACCTGGGCCCCGATTGGAGTGAGTGAAACGTTCAGAGACTTATTACTAGACACTGACAAGATTACAGCTCGGCCTCGCAGTGGTTCCGGCATTGCCATATCTCTTTGACAAACCTGTGGAGGAGGCTGTCGAGTGGACCTTCTACCAAGCGTTCCGGTCCATTGGCGGAGAAAACGCAGTCGGCAACAGACACAGTACAGGTAGAAAGGAAGCCTTGCAAGCTGAAGCAAAGATCCTCAAGGAAAAGAAGGACTTATGAAGGCGCACCCCAGATTCATTGGGAGGAGTTCTCTGGTCATAAAAGGCCCTTGTACACACTCGACTTTGCCTTGGATATAAACTATTTCCACTCGATTTGTCCACCCTCGTATGGCATGAAGCTGCCGAGGGTTGTTGCGAAAGCACTATGGATCGTCTACAAGCCGGCTGACGAGGAGGTCAAACGGGTGCGAAGTCTAGCCCGCATATCTGGCGGGAAATATATTTCTACTCAGCCTGACAGTGGCGTTCAATTCCTACATTCTTCTACTAGGTACTGACTGGGATTCGCTACCACATGCAGTAGCATGGCAAGGCTCAGGCCTGATGGAACCGGGCCAATGTCGGATCGGTGAACAATGACCCGAAGGCAGAGTGACTCAATTCCAGTCCATCCGCTGCGCGTAATTGAAATTCCCAGTCGACGACGATCTTGCTCAGCAACACGGTCAGCCAGGCGAAGACGATCTGAAAAATGTCCAGACGACCCTGCGGGATCTATCCCGTCTGCATCTGAAGCGAGTCGCAGCCGTCCACAACTCACCGTGACGGCTTCAATGCACGGCGCGCAGGAGCCTCCGCGATCACGATGCCTCGCCCGCACCAACCTCTCCTCGAGTCCAAACCCAACGAGGAGCTTTCACAGACGCTGCCTGTCTCCTCGAAGCCTGTCTGCTTCCCCAAGCCTCAGATTCACCTCCCTTCGGTGAGGAACGTGTCGGTAGAGCAGAAGAACCCCATGCAATGGAACACAATGAATTTGGGATTGCGACTGGGCGCAGATATCACCTCTGCTGCAAGTGCTTCGGCGTTGATCGCTCCCATCATAACTGTCATAGACCGGTATGTACACTCTGGGAGCTCTCATGCTTGTCGATGGCGTCCAAGAGCGAGCCAGTCGGCACTGTTGCTGTTTAATCCCAAGCCTCGGTTCGGAGGTCTCTGCTCGTCCGACGTCTTGCCATGGTTCTGTCCAGACCGACATTGAAAGTAGGTGCCACTGACAGCGACGACCAGATCCATAGTTGAGAAAGCTGCGAATGGCGCGTCCTTCTCGTCTTGCCTCGTGCGCTCCTTGCACCCCGCCATCACCCGTCCGCATGCGTTCGTCTTCTCCCGGCCGTTCCTGCTGATCTTCGCCCTGTATTTCTCGACCTACACGACAGCCAACACCGTCGACACGTTTCATTCGACCGTCACGGCAAAGCCGGCGTCCACGGTTTCTTCGGGCGCGACCAAATTCATCGCGACCTCCTCGGTGAACATGAGCGTGTGTGTGTACAAAGATTCCTGCTTTGCGAGGATGTTTGGTGGCCCGTCCTCTTCCCCGGCAGCCGCCGTCCCCAAGCTCTCTTACGCCCTCTTTGCCATGCGGGATAGTCTGACCATCTTCGCGTCCTTCAACTTGCCGTCCATGATCGCACCACGACTCGCGAACCTGCCCCCCGAGATCAGGTCGCGGTTTTCTCGCATTCTCTCCACGGAGTCCGGGAGGGTGAATACTGCCCAGTTCATGGCGCCGGCCGCCATCCAGGTAATATCCACCCCGATTCATCTGCTCGGCTTGGATCTGTACAATAGACAGGGCCGGCTAGGTTTCGGCGAGCGATATTCTCGGGTGGTGCGGGATTGGGGTGTCAGTGCTCTGGCGCGGATGGGGAGGATCATTGTAAGTTCTGCATATTTACTTTTCATCCACTCCGCCATTTCTAGGGACGACGTTGAGATCGGCAGCTAACTTGTTATTCACCACACAGCCCGCCTTTGGAGTTGGCGGCGTCGTCAATTCGAATATGAGGAAGAGATTCATGACGAAGATCGAAGGATTATAAGAACCTTTCCACACCTGCAATGACTTGGTTACGGCGTTGAGGGTTCTTTCGGGGTCGGTTGTCTGTCATAATTCTTTACATTTCGGCACAAGGTACTCTTGCGAGAGCTAGACAAAAAGTGGGACATGGCTTTATTTTACTTCTCGATATCCGGTATTGCGTCTTGTGGAGGCCAGGATCCTAACGATGTACTCAGAGTGCTTATGTGGATATGTTGGGCGCATGGACTGGGCACGCCATCGAAGAGCCTCGGGCAGGGCTGGACACATCAGCGGATGTGGGTTGCGGACTTCATTTGCGGATATGAACCGTTTGCGAGGCCATCAAGGCGAAGATTTCGCCTTACAATGAAGGAAGCTTTCCTTCTTTCCCGCTGGAGTTACTTCACTCTAGATGCACCCTTCGCTTCCGCCCATACGTTTCCTTCCCACACTAAGCGCCATAACTCTTCCTTACCTTCTCCCTCAACAGATCCAGCCCCACGGCCTTTCTCCACCACTCATCCCACCAGCCGACGGGCCAGAACGTGCAGTTGTAGAACCAGGTGCTCCAGGCGCCCGTGCCCCTCCAGATCTCCAACGGCAGGCCACCGCTTCTGAAAGGGGAGGTGGCGGCGGCCCTGTCCCAGGGCGTGAGGATATCGCGCACGACGTCGGCGGCCCACTTGTCGGGGTCCTCGCGGACGGGGAAGGCGTTGCGCATGGCGCCCTCGGTCTGCTCGCGCACGGGCGCGTAGATGCTGCCCTCGGGTAGGCTGGCGCGGCCGCCCTGGTGGTTGGCGTGGAAGCGCGAGTGCACGCAGCCCGTCTTGAGGTCGACCACGTGCACGTTGAAGGGCTGCAGCTCGAGGCGCATGTGCGTCGAGAACATGGCGCTCGCAGCCTTGCTGGCGTGGTAGGCGCTGTTGTGCGGCGTCGGCTCGACCGACGAGACGGACGTGTTGTTCAGGATCAGGCTCGGGGGGTGCGCGCGGGTTTTGGATCTGGTGGCGGTGGTGGTAATGGGTTTGGCGGCGTTGATTAATAGCGGGAGGAATGCCTGCGTGACGGCGATGCAGGACCAGACGTTCAAATCGAACAGCGCTTTCGCCTCGGGGATTGAGATGTCGGCCACGGGCATGTTGTACCCTTCACACAGCAATAGAGAGTTAGTCCTTGCACAACAGGTGTCTGAGGGTAGGCAGCGTTCCATCAAGTCAAAGAGCCACGCGAGGGTCGTCTAGTAGGTCAGTCTCTCGCAGGAGACCGTCCACACTCCAGTCTTTCGACAGCTCCAGCTGCTAGAGAAACAGCCCCGAGAGCACAAAAGCAACCTGGCCAGAAAGAAGCAATCAGAGTAGAAAGCAGAAAGAAAGAGAAACATACCTCCCCCGGCATTGTTGACGAGACAGTCCAGTCTCCCCTCGGCCTCGCCGTCTCGCCTCGTCAAGCCCCTGACGGTTCCGGCGCACAGCTTGATACTCTCCTCGTCCAACACGTCCAGCTTGAGGCACTCGATCCCCTGCGCCTGCAGCCCGGCCATCTTGTCCGGGTTGCGCGCCGTGGCGAAGACGCGCAGTCCGGCTTTGTGGAACGCAATCGCCAATGCGTGACCCAGACCATGCGCCGAGCAGCCCGTTATCAGCACCGTTCTGCGCGTGTCAGGTTGACTTGGAGCAGAAGTCGTCTTGGAAGCCATATCAGACGCAGCTCCTTTGATATCTGAATAGCTGTGTCGACCGATTGCGTCGTGGGTTCTGGATGCTTTTCGTTTCTTGAATCTGTTGTGGGCTCGAAAGCTGGAGATTTCCCTGAGTTCTCGTCCTTTCCGTTTCTGTGCCGTCTATGCAAGGAGTCTGCTAGGCACTATGGGACGGTTGGACGGACCGATTGAAGCAAGCGCTCTAGAAGAGGGACGATGGAGGTGGTAAGGTATTTTCAGAACTCGACTCCACCAGAATTGCACCATTGATTGGGCCAAACATGCGGCCCAAAAAGGAAGGTAGATTTCATACCAGAACCAGAAGAAGAAGGATAGCGGCAATCAGGGTGTCGGGGGTCATACGAACGTCGAATATATATCTCGTTGCCGAGCAACAACCGAGAATATGGGATTTGGAGCAGAGTCGCTATAAAGACAAGAAACTAAGAGGAAGAGCGGACTTGGTATATACATCATAGTGGTAATCGTCCTGCAGTGCCGCCTGCGCCTCGCACCGAAAGAGACGCAAAACATTAAACGAGTGCTTCCCATCCACATTAATTTTCGTATCCGCCGGCATTTCAAACTGGACGAGCCTCACATCTGCAACATGCCTCATCGAGAACTTTCGGTGCTAAAGATCCCCGGCCGCTGACCCGTCATGACTATTCGCTTTCTCGGTCCTTGCGCTTCTCCGTCATCGATCCCTTTTTGCTGCTGGGCGTGAGCACTCAGCCCTTCTGCGACAAAACCGATAGTATAAGCACAGAGACTCAGCGCCGTGAGAGTCAACAGTGTGTATTTCACTGCGCGCGTGAACCGCATCCATAGACCCTCGCTCTGTGTATCAGCATTGGCCTTGTCAAAATTCGATGCCGACGGCTTCTCGTCCGGTGCTTGGGACGGCGCTGAGGACGAAGCATTTGGACGAATTGTTCCAGAGAAGACCTTCTCCTGTCTTCTCACTTTTGGCTGATTTCCGAACGGACGAGATGGAGGGGCTGTGGGAGCTGCTGGGCCAGGGAGCGGGTTCAACTCGGCGGGCAATTCATCCAAGACCGTAGCTGCCTGCTGACCTGGTAGCTGAGGAGTAACATTGGCTCCAGTCGTCGACATTGTTCCGTCCGTCGACGATTGTGCTTCTGTTTCAGCCTTGGGCACAGTTGAACCTGTGACGTGTTCTGCTTGCTTCTTCTGGAAAATTAACATGTTCTCGGTTCCATTGTACAAAGAATATCCTGCTCTTTGCATGGTTTGGAAATGCTTAAGAAATTCTGGTGCATTTCTCAGTCGTCCCAGAATACCAATCACATTGTTAGACTTGGGTATTTCAGTAGTGGGTTGATTCATTGGAGAGAAGTTGACCTTCTCAGTCGCCTTGTCGTACGTGAGAACAAGATAGGGTGAATCGAACTTTCTCACTTTCATGCTCTCGATTGGCGGGGGTTGCTCATCATTCCAAACAGGTGATCCTGATGGTGTGTGGATTGGTTCGGGAACCGTCTTCAGCTCCTTCTCACTTCGAGTCGGCGCAACTATCTTCACTCCACTCTCGGTGTTTGTATCCTTTTCAGCAACGCTCTCATAGGTGGCTTTGGGGGCGTCGAGACCTTTCTGCGCTTTAAGGTCAATCCTCTTCTTGCCAAAGTCGGAGCCAGACAATTGAGGAGCACTCCAAGCGATGGCTGGTCTTCCACTTTCAATCCGTCTTATCGTGTTCTGAGCTTCGTGTAATTCCCTTCTCACCTCCTTCGCGCCTTGCATGACGTCGCTCAACTTGTGAAGAGGTGGCTTCGCCTCTTCGATTTGACCTTTAATATCTGCTTGACTTGCAGCCTGTCGCGATCCGTCCAACTCCTGAGCCTTGATGTCAACATCTCGAAGCTCGGCACGGATCTGCTTTGCTTCGTCCACGAGCTTGGCAAAGTTGGGCTCGAACTTGCTAATATGATTATCAATCACTGGATTTGTGGTGACTCCGGGTCGGACGCTTGCAGTAGAGAGTGGGTGGGGCCCGGCCGGGGTTCGCTCAGAAGTGGTGGTGGAAGACACAGCTTCGGCCTCTGGAGAACGTTGTGCTCGCTGCCTGTGTTCGGGATTAATGGGCCCATACTCGCTCTCGTAGACAGCTTGTATATCTGCAGCCAATCGCGACATCTGGACCTTTTCCACTTCTGCGTCCTTCTTCATATTCTCCGTTACCTCACGCAAGTCAGCTGTCCGTTGCATGCCTTCTTTTTCATCGGCGAGGACATTGTGCGAAGGAGTAAAAGGCGCCAGTTTTTGGGGTTTGGGGCTGGACTTGTAGATGGACGGAGTATTGCGCAACGATTCGTCTTTGAAGACGAGCTTGTCGGTCAGCCCCTTCACCGCATCCGGCCGAATATACTTCTTGTAGTTCTCGTTGAAATTCGTCATGGATTTCATCGTTTTGGCAACGATTCCATTGGGGTATTCCCGGATGTGCTCCCAGACATTGTTGAGGGTTTTAGTCAATTTGTTGGTGGGAGTTTCGAGCTCCAGGGTCCTAGGCGAGGCGATGCCTTCGTTTGCGGCCTCTTGTTGTCGTGCTTCGAAATCCGTTTCGAGTTTTGCTCTTGATGTCATTTTCGAGACTTCGGTGTCCGCTTTCTCCTCTTTTGAAGCCATCACTGCAGCTTCCGCCCGTGCCTCTTTCTCTGGAGAACGAGCAGGCCGCATAGATGCAGAGATCTCTCGATCGATCGCAGTTTGCAGCCTGGTCAACTTGCCTTTTTGATCGTGAACAGCCCGTGCCTTCACTCTGTCGAGGGCCGGCTCCAGCCTATTCCTGATTGCCCTGATTGGCTCGTCAATCGAAGAGTCCTGCGCATCTGTGGCATTTACCGACTCTCCAGTCTGTTGCCGAAACCCTTCTTTAACCAGCCAATCTGATGCGTTGGTGTCTGCTTCCCTGCGGGCCTTTGCCTCGTAGGTGGTGCCTGAGAATAGCGGCAGAGTGTCATCTGGCTCAGGCAATTCTCGAGTCTTCCTTGGAGCAGGGGTTTCGCCAGCGGTGGTCTCCAACTCTGACTGTGCGGTAATTTCTGTGAACAGGGCAGTGGTGTCTATATTGTTACCCTTCGCCCGTGCCATCAAATGCCGGAGTTCTTGTTTTCTCGAGCTGTCGAAGCCCTCGCTTTTGGCGGAGAGGGAGGTGGATTCATCAGTCGATTTCTTTTCCGAAGCGTTGTAGCCGTAGACTTTGTGAGGCTTGTAAGTCTTGACTGGTATGTCAACTCCATGCTCTTGAAAAAACAAATTTTTTAAGAATGGCTGCTGTGACTGATCTTCGGACAGCGGATTTTCTGGCTTGGACTGCTGAGATGGCTTTTCGGGATCTGGGACTGCTGATTGATGTTCTCGCTCAGGGTCTTCCTTTGGTGCAGGCTCAGCTGATTGCTTCTTTATGGGAACCTTTCTCATAGAGATTGGGTCGTATTCATATTCTTCCTCACTAATATCCATGGCCGACTGCTTGATTGCTTGCCTGCCTGGGCCTGACTCTGAGGGAGAGGTTGACCTTTCAGTCGAGTTTTTTGCAGTCACGGTCGAAGGAGGGTCTGGATCCTTAACGCTTTGATCATTTTTGATCTCCTTCGGGTCAGAAAACCAAGAGAAAGACGTCCATGACGAGTTATTGGAAGACGGAGGGCTTTGGAGCCGCCTTCCGAATAAAGTTCCGTATGGGTCTCGTGCAATAGCACGGTCGACAGCGGCTCGGAAAGCATCGAAGTCTTTGTATATAGTCTGAGCCTCATTGGCTTGTTCACTATTGGGGTCTTTTGCTTCTTGACTTGAGGCTCCCGTGGAAGACAATGGCTTGTAATCGCAATATCGGCTTGACCAGAGGCGATGGTGACGCCACGGCCGAATATACGTATCTTCTGACTCCCACAATGCTCTTCTTCGGAGAACTTTGTAGTATCTTGACTTCATAATCTTGTGATGTCTTCTCACGCGCTCTTCAAAATCCTCCGAGGGAGACCAAGGGTTGCCCGTCTGTCGGCCCCACCACCAGAGTGTTCGAACTTGGACGGCATTGACTCGATAAGTCCGGTAGATACTAGATCTTTGAGGTAGAGCCCTCACGTTGGCGGATAGAGAGCCTTTCTGCAGAGATGCCACAGGCATTGTGCTCGAGTCGTCTTGAAGCTCAAGGCGTTGCCGGTACCAAATGGACAGTGGATCCGATCGAATGAGTCGATATATAGAAGGCAGCGGTGGCAGCAATCCTGGCAGGATCGAGGCTCCGGGGGAACGCGAGGAGATGGCGGTGTCGCAAGGGAGTAGCTCTGTGTCGGTGTCGAAAGACCAGCAATAGCGGTCCCGAGCCGGACCAGTATCAGGTTGACATGAGCAGGCACTCGACAATACAGCGGGCTCACACCCCGACGCAGGTGAAGGTCTCGGTGCCTTTCAAGTTCAAAAGAGTGATGGATGACATTTATAGCAGCGCATTGAAGGATGACCAATTGGCCCAGCAGAACTAGCGTGGGTGAATCGAGGGAGCATGAGCGACTGGAGGATGATGAGGAGATGGAGGGGTAGTGCACGAGTAAGCGCAGCCTGGCGACAGCGATACGCACAATGCGGGACGCGGGATGCGGAGAAACCGCGTTCCGCCGCCTCGTCCTCAGGAGTGCACCTTGGTCCTCCAGCTTTCCTCCAGCTTCATGACCGCTGCAAAATATGGTCTTTCAGACAATGCAATAAGCACTATGGCATATATCCAATCCGTGTCATGATACACCCGAAGACTGATCGCCACCGTAGCAGACGATCGCCACTCTCCAAATTGACCTAATATATTCTTCAGCCCACAGAACACCTGAACCATTTCCAGGATCAAGGTGCGATCCAAAACCACGTTAGGAGGGCATAACTTCGTATCGTACAACTCGTTCATTCGTCCCCCCTTTTCTTGGTGATAGTGTCCACCACCCTGCCATAGAACTTGGCTGCATTGTGTCTGGCGAAAGTAATGTCCTCGGTCAGATAGCTAGGCATTAATTTCATCATCTCGTGGTCTCGGTCGCGATCCAGCAGCGGCGTGTACAGGTACTCTGTTTCCTCGAAACTCGTGCCCTTTGCAATTTCCTGGTCGATAAACAGTCTGAAATGTAACGCTTATCACTCGTTAGCTCATGGACGTAGCGGATTGATTTGTCAAACTTACTCCCATTACGGCCAGTCTGGATGCATTCGTACGTATCACCTTCTTCTGTCTTTTTCACGTTGAGAATAACGAGACCCGTAAGGTCGCTGTACAGCTCCTCCTTCATTTGTGCGACCTGCGTGGCCTGAGCAGCTTCTCCTGAGAAATGGCGTTGTGCAGTACTTTTCATCGCGCTGCTAGGAGGTTTTGGGTTGTCAACCGATGATGCTCGTGCTGCCACCAACTTAGCTTGCAGGCCTTTGATCTCGTTTTGTGCATCAGCAAGAGACGTCGAAAGCTGCAAAGCCGCGTCGCGCATCCGTTCCATCTCTGCTTCCTGGTTCTGTATCTGTTTGCGGAGCTTGCGCGCCTCGTGCGCCAATGGCGCTTGCGTAGCCAGCTCCTTCTTGAGCGATGCCACCAGGTCATCTGACGCCTGTATCGTTGCATCACATTGCTTGCGTAGCTTTTCCATATTCGCGTTTGCCTCGTGGATGCCCACTTCCTTGAGGTTACGGTATTTCAAATCCACATTCTCGAATTTGCGAGTGACGTCTCCCAGCTTACGCCGGAGGTTAGGGTCACCCCGTTCAGTATCGGAAGCACTCCCGGCTCGCCTTCGGTAAGGCGGATCTTGCCTTGTTCTGGATGTATCTCTCGCAATTGCTCTCCCTTTCGGTGCTCTGACAACTTCCAACTCTTCGGTTATCTCCTCCGTCTCGTCATGCTGCGGTTCCAGTACAACACATTGAGGTTGTGAGGCCGCTTTCGACTTTGTGGGAGCGGTGGCTTTGGCAGAGACTTTTGGCGCTTCTTTCTTCGTTCGGGCTGCGGCATGCTTTGAACGCACTGCCACAGGTGATACCTCTATTAACTGATCTTCGTTCTCAACGGCTTCCACAGCCTCGGGTGCTGCTTTTACTTTGTTATTCGTGCGCTTTCCTCTTTTAGCTTTCGGTGCGATTGGTTGCTTCTCTGCTTCGGAATCTCTTAGCGACTCATCGAGGTTGCCAGTGGAATCTTGGTCGTTTGAAGCATCCTCGACCGCCTTGCGCTTCACGCCGGCGGTCTGTCTAGAAGAGGCTTTTTTGGTCTCTGATGGGGCACCCTTCTGTACTTTCGACTTTACTTTCGTTGGCATTGTGACGCGCTGTCTTTTTTTGCCTCGTTTCCCTTGTGCCGTTTTCGTGGTAGTGGCATCGGTTGCGTCGGAGGCGGAGGACAGAATCGAATTTTCGTCGATAAAAGGTACCGCCTCCTCCATGTCGGAGTCGAGGAGATCTGCAATGCCCTTCATATCAATGTGCAATCGGTAAATGTCAGCCCCAGGATGAAGTGCAGGGCGTCATTCAAGAGGCCAAGTAGAATCTAAACAGGAAGGTGATGTAAACAAAGCGGTGCCACTTTTGATTTTGGCTTAGCCTCGGGAGTCGCACTAGCCACAGTCGATGTGGCAACTCGGCGGACAAGCCTCATCACAAGACGCTCAACGGGGTCTCCTCATCGTCGTCGGAACCTCGCTTTCACAAGTTGTCCATATTCAGCAACTAATGTATCGCGCCGCCATACCCTCTGCAGTCCCCAAATACCTTCGATGATGTCTCCTGATAGAGGCGACGGTGCCTGGTGGCATCGAGTTCTGCAAGAACTGGCCATTACGGTCCCTTTGGTATGCCTACACGTTGGGTTCTTATAGCGTCGATTGTCTGACAAAACTGCAGATGTTTGGGGGCTACTACATCATCAAATATGTCCTCACACAGATGAACCTCGACCCCGAAGCGGAACAGAAGGAGCAAAATCGCTTGCAGTCTGCCGCAATACTACGACGACTAGACGATCCCAACCAGAACCAACTCGCGAAACAACAACCAGGTGCGGACCGACCGCCCAGAGAGAATTTACGCCTGTCTCAATATGAAGAAGTCATTCTACAAGAGCTGGTGTTTCCCGAGGATATATCTGTGTCCTTTGACGACATTGGGGGTCTATCGGATATCATAGAGGATCTAAGAGAGTCGGTGATATACCCTTTGACCTTACCAGAACTGTACTCTACGTCTTCCTCTCTGCTGGCGGCCCCTTCCGGTGTCCTCCTATATGGTCCTCCCGGTTGTGGCAAGACCATGCTGGCCAAGGCGCTCGCGCACGAAAGCGGTGCATGCTTCATCAATCTGCATATTTCGACCGTTACCAACAAATGGTTTGGCGATTCCAACAAACTGGTCAACGCAGTCTTCTCTCTAGCTCGCAAGCTGGAGCCGGTGATTGTCTTTATCGACGAAATCGATGCGGTCCTGGGTACGCGACATAGTGGCGAACATGAAGCAAGCGGCATGGTCAAGGCCGAGTTCATGACGCATTGGGATGGACTGGCTTCGGCCAACACTTCTGGTCGGCCGCAGCGAATACTGATCCTCGGGGCCACCAATCGCCTCCAGGATATTGACGATGCTATTCTGCGGCGGATGCCGAAAAAGTTCCCCATCTCGCTGCCGAACGCCTCTCAGCGCCTCAAGATCCTGAAGATCATACTTCGAGATACCAAGCTGGACAAGGAAAATCTCGATTTGGAGTATCTGTCCAGAGTGATGGCGGGAATGTCAGGAAGCGATATCAAGGAGGCTTGCCGAGAAGCAGCAATGGTGCCTGTCCGTGAGATGATTCAGCGGCAGAGGGAAAGCGGGCAGCGCATGGAGACCATGAAAGCAGGAGATGTGCGAGGTCTTCGCACAGTTGACTTCTTCTTGCGAGCGCGCGCGACCAAGGCCGGTCAGGATGCAAGGCGAGACAAAGACGAAAGAGAATGGAGCACCGAGTCGTCATCCCCGATCGTGGACGCCGTGGAGGATGCAGCGGAAGAGCTTCACCAACCCGACTAACAGCCATCGGTCTCAGTTTTTTCTCAGGTTGCGACCCCTGCCACTTGGCGCTTCTCAACAGAACGTGAGATCATCTCAGGTACGGGCGTAATGGGCACTTTAGGTCTAGGCCAGATGTTGTAAATACAAGAAATAGCACAACTTGGACTAGCTTTATGCAGCACCACCGTATGCACAAAGGCATGGGAGACAAGGACACGAGGGGAGGCAAGGGCAGCTCGAAAATCAACCGGAAGGCTTTTCCCACTTTGACTGGTGCATGAAATCAAATCAAATCAAATCAGTCCGCGAGGATGATATGCTTTTGGGTGTGTCGACTAGTAGCATGATATTGTAGCGCAGCCCCCGGTACCCCGCAAAGATCAAGTTACTGGCGGGTTTGGAGTGCGTCTTAAGGGCAGCAGGGGGGAGAGGGGGAATGGGGAGGGGGTTTGTTGAAGGCGGGTATCGCGGGCAGCCTCTTGTAGGGCTTGCAGGCTGGACAGTGCTAGTAGTTTACGGAGTACGGAGTACGCAGTGCGCAGTGCGCAGTGCTGGGATGGCGGCGGGCAGGCGATCCTGCATGGCCACACTAAAAATTTCCCTTCGGCTGACCACTGACCAGCCCTCGCACCCACCATAGTGCGGGAGACGGCGAGACGGTCACAGGCCCTGGCATTCACTCATGTGCTCTCTGTATCCAGAACTACCAGATCGTCTTCTACAAGACCCTACCCGCTTGAATCCAATTTTCGAGGTCGACCTTGTCACCGCATCGCCCATTCTCCTTGCCGTCGCACTCTTTGGCTGTAATGCGCCTTCGCTTCTACGGAGCGTAGACCCTACTCGCTGTATCGTGGTCTGAGCCTGCCTGCAGCCATGAGTGATCCGAGCCCACAATCCGAGTCGCAGGCACCCTCTGCTGCAGCTCCGTCGCAGACATCCAACGATCAGCCCGCCACGAACAGTGCGCCTGCGAGTCAAACTCCAGGCCACCCAAGCTTCAGAAGGTACATAGTTGTTGCGAGACTTCTGCTTCCATTGCTGCATTTGCTAACGCACCGTCCAGGCAGCGCGCATCTCGAGCGTGTGGTAAGCTCACCTCCTCTTCCTGAACTTCCTTTTTATCTTGCGACGGCGCGGGTCATGCGGGCAACGTGGTTTTGGCGGTTCGCGTAGTGGGTGGTCTTGCTTCTCTTGCAAGTCGAAAGAATGTCACAAATGCTCCTGCGGACATGTTCACCTTAATACCATTGTTACTCTGGAGATCGCGATAAACCGAGAACCTCGGTCCAAAAGTGGTACTTGTGATCAATCTGTCGGTGGCAGTTGGAGACAACCTCAGACACCATCCTGGTCCAATGAGCATGTACATACATATGGCGGAAAGCAGTTCTCAACATTTTGGAAAGCATTACTGACGCTTATACTGTCCAGAAACATGTCACGCCCGCAAAGTATGTTGGCATTCTACCACCGAACCCAAGGGAGACTGCGAAAGTGGATCGAGTTCTAACACGTCCTTTGGCTTAGGTGCGATGCGATGCAGCATCTCTTGGGTGAGAACCCTCTATTCTGTCACCCTCACCGCTGATAGCTGATACTGACCGGTTCTAGTGTCCCATGTACAAACTGTGTCGCCTTTTCTATTGAATGTCGGATTCCCATTCCCAAGCGGAAAAGAGCCAGTGCTGCCCGAGCTAAAGATGAGGAGAGGTAGGACCTTTTCATCTCCTAGACCTCCCATGCTCCAGAGCTTTCGAGGCACCTCATTGCCCAGTAGGTGCGAAACCGGGAATGCTAACGGACGCGTCAGTGAGACCGGCGACTCACAGCCGGCGGGCACGCCTACAGAGCCTCGCATCGCACGGCCGCCACAGCCTAAGCCCACAGTTGGCTACAATTCCCCCGATGGCATTCCCTCGACGCAGATGTCAGAGGCGCAAGCCGCCCAACAAGCCGCGAATAATAGCACCATGGCACAGTTCATGAAGCCCAAATTCGCTCGAGCGCCCATTAAAGAAGCTGGGCGCGTCGCCTATCTTGGGGAGTCGTCAAACCTATCATTACTCGTCCACGACCGGCATGGTACCACGGACGTCGTTCACTACCCCTTACCAGAGAACATCAGAGGCGCCCGCGCTCGCCTAACAGAGCCCGACCAGATGGAAATAGAGATCCTCCAGCAGAGGGGGGCATTCCTACTTCCACCCCGTGCGTTGTGTGATGAGCTTGTTGATGCTTACTTTCGCTGGGTCGCTCCTATTGTACCAGTCATCAATCGAAGCCGGTTCATGAAGAGATACAAGGATACAAAGAACCCGCCATCGTTGCTGCTGCTGCAGGCCATCTTGCTGGCTGGCTCCAGAGTCTGCACGAACCCGCAACTGATGGACGCCACTGGTTCGACCACCCCAGCTGCAATGACTTTTTACAAACGTGCAAAAGCCCTTTACGACGCAAACTATGAAGATGATCGCATTACCATCGTCCAGGCTTTGATACTGATGGGCTGGTACTGGGAGGGCCCCGAAGGTAAGGGAGCGGTGGCCAACGAATTTGCCGACAACCCCCGGTCTAACATTGCAGCAGATGTGACAAAGAACGTCTTTTACTGGACCAGAGTAGCCATTGTGGTAGCCCAAGGAGCCGGAATGCATCGAAGGTACTTTGTGACTGTAACTCCAATCCGGAAGCAAGCTAACTATCTTGAAAGTGTGGAAAGTTCTCAACTGAGCAGACAAGACAAGCGCCTGTGGAAGAGAGTGTGGTGGTCCCTCTTTACGAGAGATCGATCAGTCGCAGTGGCCCTCGGCCGGCCCGTTTCGATTAACACGGACGATTCCGACGTAGAGATGATCACGGAGGAAGACTTTATCGAAGACGAGGGTGACCCGAACCATGACTACCAGGCCGATCCCGTGCACATTCAGTTCTTCTTGCAATATGTCAAACTCTGCGAGATCATGGGCCTCGTCCTGTCTCAGCAATATTCAGTGGCCTCAAAAGCTCGACGGACCAACGCAATCGATCTGACTCACAGCGACATGGCTTTGGCAGACTGGCTGCAGAATTGCCCTCGTGAAGTATACTGGGAACGCTCACGCCATCATTTCTGGTCTGCACTTCTGCATTCCAACTACTAGTAAGCGTGTTGCGTTTGAAACCTGGATCAGATATTGACAACTTTCACAGCACCACGCTGTGCTTGCTGCACCGAGCCCATATGCCGCCAGCAACCGCAAAACCCCATGACTATGAAAATGTCGACATGGCTTACCCTTCCAGGACGATTGCCTTCCAGGCTGCTGGGATGATTACTTCAATTATGGAAAACCTTCTTGCTCATGACCAAGTCAAATACACGCCTGCGTTCATGTAAGTTGGTCATATTGGACATCTGTTTGGATACTAAAGCTTGTTGTAGTGTGTACAGTTTATTCTCCGCACTCATTATGCACGTCTACCAAATGCGGTCTTCGGTCCCATCGGTGGTAGCTGCGAGCCAGGAGCGCATCAACGTCTGCATGAACGCCTTGAAGGAGGTTTCGAAAGTCTGGCTGGTTGCCAAAATGGTCCACACGCTGTTCGAGTCCATTCTCGGCAACAAAGTGCTGGAGGAGAGGCTCCAAAAGGCCACCGGGAAAAAGGCTCAGAGGGCCAAACTCAACCAACGTGATCAAGGTCAAAACCAGGCCAACGGCAATTCGAACGGGATCGGAAGTGCCACCCCTATACCCGCACCGCCGCCGGCACCGCCAGCAAATCCAGCTAAGCGCAAGTTCGACGACATCGATCTTGCCTTTAACGTTGGGCCGCCAGCCCCTCAAATGTCCTACGAGCGTTCCCGACCTCAAACACCTGCTGTTACGCCTTCTCGCGAGATCCCGCAACAGCAGCAGCACAACTTCTTGGGCTCACCTCCACTACAGAATGAACAGTATTTACCCCCCTCGCGGTCTCGAGGCGCGTCACGTTTGCCGTCACGAGGACCTACACGGGCCAACTCTCCGTTCAACGGGTATTCAATCCCTGCAACACCGCCGGACTTGTTCTTGGTCACCAGAGACTCTCCAAATATCTCTCAACAGCTGTGGGAAAATTTTCAGCCCGATCAACTGTTCCCCGACGGCACGATTGGAGATGTGGTTGGTTTCAGCACCAGTCCCATTCTGAACCATGCGGTAGATCCTCAACTACAGCAACTGCAGGGACAACAAACAGCGATGAACGCAGGCGGACAACCAATTCCCCATATAGATATATCAGGTCAGGGACAGCAGCAGCCCCAAGTATGGCCACCTGGCATGCAAGGGATGATGGGCGCAGCCATGGAATTGCCTGACAGCGACGGGTGGTCGACGAGTTCGCTCGGAAACGCGCCTGTGGCGCCCACGACACTCAACGTGGAAGACTGGTTCCAGTTCTTTGGGATCAATGGCGAAATGGCGGGCATGAACATGGACGGGACGTAGGCTTTCTGTCTGGGTGCATGTGATGCTGGCCTCAGAGTCGAATCCAAGGCAGAAGACAAGGCAGGCTGGCCACTATTTCAGGGAGGACAGCCCCCTTGAGCGATTTAGTTGCAAAGACGAGACTCTCTGTACAAAGGCGGTCCAGTGATACGAGTCTGGCTTGAACATTGAAACGGACCGACGGATGGGTGGGTATCGGATGATGATGCTATAACTATGTACATTCAAGAAGAGATGATGGATCTTTGCGAATGTAACAATAAAAGTCTCGCATATGATAGGTAGCTAAATGTGTTTGGGGAACGTGAGTCTGGATCAGAGAGGATGGAGTTCTAGAACCACGGATAGTTTAGATCTTAGACTTCCGACCTCCAACCTCAGGCTATCTCCAAGTAGAGCACAGGAAGGAGATACGGAGTACGATGAAGGCTATTGTCTTGGGGGAGGAGAGTTTCCATCCTTCGAGTCGAGTGACCATTGATCCATGAGGCAGAAGAGACTTTTTCTCCCCATGTGACTTGGTTTCTACGAGTACTCAGCTCGCATACTGGGACCAGGTTATTCGCTCGCTTGGGGCTGCTCTCATGGGGGTTAGTTTAGCTGGCCACAGTCTCGCAAACCAAAGGCTGGCAGACCAACTGACCTGACCGACTTGACTGGCTCTGGGCTTACTTTAGGGTGCAGAAGGGGGAAGTTACTTCGGTTCTGTCCGCTTGGCCATTGCTGGTTATTTGGGTCGATTCCTCTGCTTGGTGAGTGATTTGAGTGGGTTTATTGGCGGCCTCTGTGTCTCGGCTGACATTTGGGTTTTGGTGTCTCCAGGTAAGAAACTCTGGTTTACTGTTTACCTTCCCACCTACGCACCACCCAAGAAAACACAGCCACACAACGAGCGCTTTCACACCTTATCCTCCGCATCTGTCAATTGACGCACGCCTCCAGGCTGTGACGAGCATGGGCACCGTTGCCATGAAACATGCGGGCGCAGTCCCTACCCTCCACAAGGAAACAGCCGCGAAACGCTATGGCACAGCCGGAGTGTATTAGGCTGAATGTGTTTTACGGATCAGGCAAGTCTACGAAAGAGATGGAGACAATCAAGACAGTGAGAACGACAGTCTGGGTCTAGCTTGGCTGGGCCTGGGCCTTTTCGTCACTGGCGACGTTATTTTGCTCACCTTGTGATGCTACTTGCTATTGCTACTACAGCTACAGCTCGATGACGACTGCTACACCAAACCTCAATAACACCCAACGGCTAAGCTGGGGAGAGGCAGAGTGGGGAGCGACAGGATGTTTCTATAGAAAGATCATGGGGAAGAAATGTGGGAACAGGGCGCTATCAACATATAAAGAACCGCCCCTTTTCTATATGGCCTCGTTGATGTGTCAGACATTCATTCAGCAATAAAGATCATCCGGGCGACTGAGAGACACAAAGAGGCACAACATTCAACAGGAATCAAACATCCTCGGGGCCTTCGGATACATTCTCACACTCTCACACATCCACCGCTCCTCGCCATCATACAGTCTAGTCCTAGCCTGTTCAACTCTCACCAATTTTTCTTTTCTTGCTTCAAATTGAACAGCCCTTGTGAGATCGCGACATTATATCACTATGCCAGCAGCGGTCCCCTCAACGTCCATTGCACCCCTGATCGTCACGAGCACGACAGGAACCACGATCCAGGCCCTTGACTACTTGACGGGCGAGACGTCCGGGATGGCCACCGTGATGGCTGCCAACTACAACCAGGAGAAGACGACGACGAAGGAGAAGAAGAGGCATTGGTGGTCGCGCATCCGCAAGGGGAGACCGTGTCGCCAGATGGAGACGCTGGAGACCGCCCAGCCGAGTCGTAGCTCGAGCCGGGGGCCCCGACCGCTCGACGAGGACATGTTCCCTCGGAGGATCCGCACCAACAGTTCTCAATCCGTGCCCACGGTGATGAACACGCAGGCTGCGGGGGACGTCTTCGGCGAAGACAGCGGCCTGGACGCCATGGCCGAGCCGCCCGTCGACATCACCACCGCCGCCAGCCCCAGCAGCTCGGTGTTGACCTCCAGCGTCGACTCCTCCCCACGCAGCAGCTGCAGTAGCAGCAACAACAGCTTCGGCTCAGACGCCTCGCGAACCACGATCGACGGCGCCCGCTCCAGCATGTCGTCGGACCGCCAGAGCAGGGCCAGCGGCACGAGTGTGGCGCGACTGTATGAGGCGCTGGGCACGCGGGCCATCATGAAGGAACAGAAGAAGTTGCAGAACTACCGCGCTCGACAGGGCATCCTGGACGATCGCGCCCTGGATACTGTGGTGCTGGGGGGCGCCTTTGTGATCATGTAATTTCGTGCTGTTTCCAAGGGCCCTCGCCTCTCTGGCTGGTTCAGGTGGCCTCTTGCCTATTTTTTGGGATATCTAGAACAGGAAAACAATGCGACCTCTGTTACGGAGTTTATTACTAGCCGAGCTCTTGCGCACTGTTTCCTTTGCTTCGAGTCTCCAGAGTTGTGCATAATATCCGAACATCATCCCGTGTGACTCCAATGCAGTAGGAGAAGCAGGAGAGCTCATGGATAGCTTAGGAATGGGAGCATGCGCCATTCGCCGCATGTGCATGGGCATGGGCATGTGATTGTCGTTCCAAAGTATCAGACAAAGCCCCTATAGCCTGCCATCTTGTTGACTTCCGGAGGCTCGAAGCCACACGAAAAAGTCCCACGCGCATTCATGATGGGCGGCAGGCGTGTTGCCTGGCAAGATGGGTCTGCTTCCCGTGCCGCAGCACAGGAAGTCATGAAAGCATGGGTAGGACGACTCCTCGCTTTCATCCCGTAGGGTTCAAAGTCTGTCCAAGGTCCCGGCTCCCGAGTCGTGTCTTCCACCATGAGACTCTGCTCAGAATGGACTTGGAAGGCTGCCATTGGGCGTCAGTCGGGATGTCTTCCCCACTCATGGAGCAATCGATCCTATCCTTTCCTACGCTCTTAGAACCTTTGATATCGTTTCGGCACTGCATCTCGCAAAGGCGTCCACCATGCCCTCCATCCCAGGCCATTGCTCTTTGCACCAGGAAAGCAAGACTAGACAATCGTTCGACACGCTCAGCAGGTCCGAGAAGTCGAGCCTCGTTTCTTGATTTCCGGCCCCTTGAGAATCTCGGAAGGGTTCGGGGCTGAGAGAGGATGGGCCTCGGATCTCGATGGCGGACTCGAGAGAGAGAAGGGCATAGGATATTAGCGTCATGCCCGCCTGGAAGATCGAGTATGCGGCGAGGAAGGTTACGGGAAAGATGGATAGGGGTGAAGTGGGCGTCGTCGAGCGAATAACACGAGTGTACAACCTCAGAAGAGCCTTCGAGGAGTAATAAGGCTCCGAGGTGATGGTAAGGGAGTGGGTCGGCTGGAAAGGATTTCGCGGTGATGGACCATTGTGCCGAACGGTGGCCAGGGCCTCGAGAAGCTGGCGTTGGAAGAGGAAGAGAACCGAGGAGTGGTACATGATGTCGTGTGTGACCTCGCCCACTCCCGTGGGATTCTTGCTGGCGTTGATGAAGGGGCTTTGGCTGGGGTTTTGGTACCATTGTCGCAACGCCGCGTGTTGCTCGAGAAACCAGCTCAGCCTGGGGAGGGGGCTGGAAGCAGAGAGGTAAATCTCAGTGTAGATTTCTGAGCGGAGGAACATCAAGTGGAATCCTTGAGCGGCCGACATCTTCTGTCTTGATCCGTCGTCCAAGAGTGCCGCGTCTTTGGGTATGGTCGGATACTCCGTGGTGATGATAGAACTGGGCAGATCTGAAGGTCGACCAAAACATTGCCCTACCAAGCGCTCTATGGAGTACAGGCTCCAGAAGGCTGTCCTCCTCCAGGACTTTTCATCTTCACTCTCCAATATCGAGTGTCCTTGTTCAGTGTGATAGCCTAGCTGGACGCTCAAGCGACAGGCGAAGTCTAGGATTTTCCATATGTTGCCTTTGCGGGGATTGAAAAGACAATAAATCACGAGAAGGAGTAGGGCTTCCAGGGACTGGGGAGAGACTTCTGCCGTCACTTCCTCGACATACCTCACGGCCTGCGCATAGAACTGATTGCCGTACGCGACGAGGCGGGGACTGTGCCGAGCCTTAGCGGCGCAGGATATAGAACACATCATGGCGATGCGGAAGCATTGATACTTTTCGATCTGTTGCATCGTGTCTGTGTCGAACTCCAGAGCTCCACTCCTTGCCAAAAACGTATCAAGGTCCTCGTCCAGGTGAGTGCCGCCAACACAAGGATGTATGACATTGATGGATGCCATGTAATCCGCAATTAGTGACTGCACAAAATCTCTTCCGGTATCAAAGACTGCGGTGGGGGCCACGGAATCCAAGTCTCGATCATGACCGTCCTGGCTTGAAAGGAGAGGGTCCAAGGAACCCGCAGGACTGAAAAGATTTCTATCGGAAGCCAACGCTAGGACCTCCACTGCAAGCGCAAAGACGGAACTCGACCCATAGAATCGGGAAGTCAATCCATTGACGCTGGGAATAGGGAAATGGCTGTTGAAGTCTCCCCCATGATCACAATCGAATACTGATTCTGGGAGGGAAGGAGAGTTGCTTTGCGCTTGATGCGTCTCCAATCGATTTGGAATATTGTCAGGGATAGAATTTCGGCCGGCATCAGCCTCTAGTGTCAGAGCGGCGTGTTTTGCTTTGAGGCTGTCCAGTCGCAAGGTGAGAGACTGGATATACCTGCTTCGAGTCAGGGAAGAGGCCTTCGTTGGACCAGGCACACAACATACTTTCGGGACAGCGTCTGTTGCAGTGCATGGTCGAAAATAGTGCAGTCGACCTTTGCACTTTGGCACAGTCGACAGGCCGGCATCTGGGGGTCGCATCTCTTTCTCAGCCGTCGACACCGTTGACAAGACGGCAGCGACTGCAGCGCATAATGCAGCTCTTCCATGACTTGTCACAGTGCTGAGCTGAGTAGCTCTCTGCTCATGGGCGTCGATGAATCTGTTGATCTGTACGGATTACGATAGTGAACGAGGAAAGCGCCACTGGGTTTTGGCAGGAGCATACGAGAGCGACTGATAAGCGGACTATTTGGGACTAGCGCCTCTCCACCAGGCCGTGAGGCATCACGTGACAGTCCAGCCCCTTAACTTCAGCCTCAGGAAGATTCCTTCGCATTTCTCGCTGCTTTGGGCCACTGACTGTCTCTCAGGTCTTGCTTGTATTCCTCCTCTGTCCACAACGTAAATGTACATTGTTCCCAGTCATTCTGGATCGAGAGCGCTCCGTGTCAGCCCCAGCCTCCATCCAAGTCTCAGGAGTACCCCGCCTGGATCATGGTTACAGGCTCTCCTTGAATATGCCAAGCTTTCGCGAAAGTCCTAGACCTGTGCTTATCGCTGCAGCCCGCCTTCTTACTCCTTTATCTGCCGTGCTCTGGCAAGCGGCTAGAGCTAAATGATAAAGTCCAACAGCCCCATTTCGCCCTGATTGGTGTAAATGAGGGTAAGGCTTTGGGTATCGCGTCTGCGGAAAGTTAACCTGATGTCCGAGCATTTGAACGACATCAAGATTATGACGCTTTATCAGGTCGCTGGTGCCGAGGGTGTCGGTAAGACAACTCAGGGACTTCCAATTCCATCCAAAGCATCCTCAGCGGTCAGGCTGATGCTAAAGGGTGCAAAAGAAGCCTAGAACAAGACTGCGTCTTGCCTCTAGACCGTATTTGCTTCGGAGATTCACGACCTATCCCCAGATAAGCCACAAACGACACACTCGCGCATCTTCTTGTACCCAGCTGCAACCTCTATATTACAAAACCAAAGATATGGCCGTGCCTCAAGCCTGTGTCTCGAAAGTGCCTTCAATCGCTCACTATTCCTTCTCGAATCTCTTCTCGTGATAGCCTGGTAACCGCCATGTCTGTGGCGAAGATGGACGCCACGGGGACCTCGACGCCGATCATGGACGAAGAGAAATTGTCGATGCACGCCGACCAGCGCCCTGTTGACTCCTCTCTTCCGGAGCTGGGGACAATGGAAGGCCTTGGAAATAGTGCCCCCCAAACGTCGTGGCAGAAATTCGCAAACTGGATGGAGACTCGTGCTAATGTGGAAGCCCGCGGTATCGAACGCGTGCCGGAGTCCAGTCGACAGCGCAAGGTTTCGATGAAGGACCTCTTCCAAATCGGCATCGTCTGGTTCTCGGCCAACTGCACTGCCAACAACATGACTGTTGGAGTTCTCGGACCAATCGAGTTCCACCTCGGCTTGAAGGACGCAATGCTGTAAGATTTTTGGCATTTCCGGAAGCCATAGAAGTGTACGCTGAACAAGAGACCAGGATCTGCGCGTTCGGAAATATATTCGGCGCCATGTGTACGGCATACATTGGTACATTCGGACCCATGTCTGGTAATCGAACATTGGTATGCTACTCAGCTCCCATTCCTTCAGCGAGGCTCGCCCGAACTTATATCTGGAATAGGTGAACGCACGATACACGATGGGATGGTATCCATCTCGACTGGCCGCTCTCTTCAACGTCGTCGTGCAAATCGGGTGGGGCCTGGTTGATTGTCTGGTTGCTGGCTTGATCCTCTCCGCCGTCAATGGGGGAGGCATGACTGTTATTGTCGGAGTTATCATTGCAGCATTGGGAACCTGGCTCATCATCACGTTCGGCATCAAGTGGTTTCATATCTATGAGAGGTTCGTTGAGAGCAATACCGACTGATCCCAGATGTCGACGCTGACAGAAAACCTCTCCTAGATATGCCTGGCTTCCCCAAATCTGCGTCCTATTCATCATGGTAGGCACGGCCGGCCCGCTCTTCGACACCAGCTCAGCCAGCTCAGGCGAGGGCTCCGTCCTCGCCGGTCACCGGTTGACTTACTTCTTCCTCAGCGCCTCCGGTGCCCTCGGCTGGTCCGCCTGTGCGTGTGATTTCTTCGTCTACTTTCCCCCAAAGACGTCACGCTGGCAGATTTTTCTGTGGACGACCGTGGGTCTCGGTTTGGGCAAGATGTTCCCCGAACTGATCGGCATCGGCCTGGGGAGCGGTCTAACCAAGAACCCGGCATGGAAAGCTGCTTTCGCGAAATCCGCGGGGGCTCTGTACGTCGAGGGCCTCTCACCATTAAACCAATTCGGCAAATTCTGCGCAGTCCTCCTAGCTCTGGGTATTGTCGCGAACAACGTCGCAGGAATTTATGCTGCTGCCTTGTCCTTCCAGCTGCTTGACCCGCGATTCGCCCGCATCCCCCGTGTCTTCTGGTGCACCGTCTCCACTATCATCTTCACTGTGACAGCGATCGCGGGTCGTGCTCATCTGCTCCAGATCTTTATCAACTTCCTCTCGCTGATCGGTTACTGGACCATCATCTGGATCACCATGACCTTGGAAGAGGAATTTCTTTTCCGAAGAAAACGTGGCTGGTACGACTGGAGTGCATGGAACACTCGCGAACTCCTCCCGATTGGACTCGCGGCCATCACGACCTTTGTGATTGGATGGGTTGGGGCAATCTTGTGCATGGACCAAGACTACTACACGGGTCCGATCGCTGCCTTGATCGGAGACGGCGCGGATGTAAGGCCACTCAATCACCACTTTCTGTTTTCTTTGCTCTTTCTCTCGGATTTCAAGTCGCGACTAACTCTTGCTTCTTAGATTGGCCTGCCCGTCGCTGCGTCATGGACAGCTATCATCTATCCAGGTCTCAGGTACCTGGAATTAAAATATATCGGACGATAGATCTCGGGAACGAGTTGGAAGGGGGTCCTGAGGGAAAGCACCGGAGGACTTTTTGGACGCTTTACGAGATAGAACAAGAGGTCTCATGTCTTCTTAAATACCGTGTTTCATTAAAAACAGGCAATAGGGTGTATTGGGAAATAGAGCGTGACTCCGCAGCAGAAGGGGGAACAACAGACTGCCGTCTTCTGGTCGAGATTTTCAAGCTCCAATTTCTGCTTCTGTTTCCTTTTCCTTTTCTTTTCGGTGATTTTCTTACGAGCACTTACTGAATGGCTAATGTTCCCACGAGTCTTTCTGTCAATGGATTGTGACGAAGAGATTGCGCCTACGAAGACCGTAGAGTGTTGCCAGATGTCTTTCGTCTGCTAAAGCCTTGCAGTTGCCACCAGGCTAACCAAGTCGAGTTTCTTCGAATCTGAGCGCGGAGCCGTCCTTGCAGCAGCCTCTTCCTCTGCATGGAGCAATGCCCAACATCTCTCCACATCCACCGCGCAATCATACTCAAATAGCCACTTTCCAACCCCACCGCTCCTCCAGGCGAACGGATCGTCCCCCTGCATCAACCCCTGGGGCACTGCTCCGTGCCCTTGAGTGTGATATGCGTCCTCAAACGCCCTCATCTTTCGGTCCCGCTCCCTCTGCTCCGGACCGTCCGGAAGATGATATAGATACTGGCTCTCGTACGCTTTCTCGACCACCCGTTGAGTGCGCGGTTTCCGGCACATTTCATACACCCTCAGAGCATGGAGCTTCTCCTGTGGCGTGGAGCTCGAGGATATGCGTGAGAGGCAGAGCCCTAGGACAGAGGCGTCTTCGATCGCCATGCCGGCGCCGCTCGCCAGGTAAGGGAGAGTGGCGTGGACGCAATCGCCGAGCAGGACGAAAGTCCCGCTGGGGTGGTACCAAGACGGGGAGCTTGGTGTGGGCGTTCGGGTACAGAGGCGCCATTTCTTGACCTGCGAACAGGTAGATAGAATCTTGCGGACTCTAAGGTTTCGTCAATCCGGTGAACACGGGTTCCTTCCCGACATGGGGGAAGTCTGCAGCAGCTCCTGGGGTTCATCTTACCTCGGGTCCCAGTCTTTAAACAAAGCTTGCATAACTTCGACGTTCCCCTCCTGCGTGACGACGTCCTCCGGTAAATCATCGGGCACCAAGAGGACCATATTAAACTGTTTGCCTCCTCTCAGGACGTACGACACCACATGACATTCAGGTCCAATCCAGTAGTTGACCTGCGGATCCAACACGAAATCCCTCAGTTCTGGATCCTTCAACATGTCGTCGGTGTTGAGGAGAACCCTGTACGCCATATCGCCCGACTTGGCCGGAGGGTCGTTTCTCCCAACCAGAAGATCTCGACAGTGGCTTCTGACGCCGTCTGCGCCGACCACAAGATCTGCGTTCATGAAGATGCGGGTCTCCTGCTCGCCTTGTCGCACAACCACAGTCGCAGAGCTTCCGTCCGCTGCGACCCTGACATCGGTGACTCGTGAATTGGCCCGCACCTCTGCACCCAGTTCCACCGCCCGATCCCAGAGACACTGATGCAGACTGACGCGATGCAGATCCCAGTACGGACTGCCCCATTCCTCGCGCGTAGACTTGTGGATGTCCCACGTGGATATGGTCTCCCCTCGCCATCCGATCATGTTGCAGAGCCGCGGCGTCGTCGCACATTGGCTGAGTTGTTCGCCCATGCCCCAAGAGATGAGGACTCGGGACGAGTTTGCCAACGTCTGCAGACCCGCCCCGATCTCGCCCATTGAGGCCGCGGACTCCAGGACGGTGACTTCATGACCAGCAAGCCGGCATGATATTGCCGTCGCGAGCCCGCCAAGCCCCGCGCCCACCACGATGATCTAGACGCCTGTTAGGTGCTGTACTGCGGCTCTGGGGAGAGATGCCTTACCTTCAACCTGGTACCGGCATCTCGCTCAATCTGTACTCTCATGGGAACAGGTGAGAAGTCCATCTCTGAGAGTTGGTGCAGCCGTCAAAGACACAAGGAAATCAAAGGAAGGACTCACGCCAAGTGCGGCCAGGCGAAGGCTAAGCAATGAGTGTCCCAAAGCTCTAATACTAGGCTGAAGTCATACATGGGAATAATATACGGAACAAGGATGTACGAAATGAGACACGGGCCAAAGGAAATGCGTCCTCAGTTACATCCTCACCGGAGCAATCCAACCCATCCCACAACGCGTCGCACAACGATCGGGCGAAGCTTGAAGGGAAGGACAGTGGAAACTCCACAGGAGGGAGGCCATCTCGGCGTCTGAGAGAGTCGATATTGCCACACAGCTGTGCTCGCTCATGCCATCCGGCGTCTGTCTGCAGGAGAAACCCGATTGCGTTGGTTCAGTCGCCGCGAAATAAGAGCGTCGGACTTTGTCGACTCGGCCCAGATTATCGTGGATGATAAGCGCGACTACGAATGTCCAATTAGAGATGAGACAGGTACCCGCGTCGCTCGACTTTCCGAAATTGGTAAAATGTGGATACACTCGGCCAACCTTAATTCGGCCTCGATTTTCAAGCCCAAGCGACATGCAAGTCGTGAATCTCCGATGCGTCCCCGTTTGAGACGATTCGCAAAGTGCCATACGGTCCTATGCTCCGTTAATCGCTTCAAAATAGTCCACTTCCCCCCAAGGGCGCGAATTTCCAATATGCTCCGTGATCACACATCTCCCCTAGTCGCTCAACTGCGGCTCAATAACAGTGTGGGCGGGCCTCGAATGGATTGTGATCAATAACGAACTCTTTGGACGCCAGAACGTACATTTGAGTTTGGATTGAGTAAGTCGAATCAAGAGTTCTGTCATTTGGAGCGAGTAAGGAGCTGATAAAGAGGCATGTCTTTAGTTGGCTAGAACGGTGCGCCGAGCACGTAACGATAGGAGACACTTGTCAGCTTATCACATCCATGGGCCGGAGAACCTCGACCGCCATGCCAACTACACCGAACACTGCCGCCTGTAGGCGCAGCGTGCTGTCGTGCGTCAGGTGTCGGAAGCGGAAATCCAAGGTACATTATATCATTTGCTTGTTACATGATTGATGAAATAAGGGAGCCTTTGGAACTATGCATCATGACTGACATGAATTTGCGCCGAAGTGCGACAGACAGCTACCGTCATGCTCCCAGTGCGTTGCTGTGGGCGAGGAATGCAGGGGCTTCAATTCAGCCCGCGGCGCTGCCATTCCGCGAAGTATCGTGCACCATCTTGAGAACGAGATTGCCAGTCTCGAGTTGAAACTGGCAGAGCTAGGCTGTGACGAGGCCGAGATCCAGCAAGAGATCGATCGCAACAAGCCTTCCAACAAAAACCCTTCTGCCCTTGCGACGGCAGCTATGATCGATGGGCCATCGCAAGTCTCCTCAGAGATGGAGATCAGAGAGCAATACGATGCGGTCGAACAAGCCATGAGCAGGCCCACTCCGAATACGCACTCGCGCCATCGGAGAACATCGAGTGCCCAAGACGCGACCAAGGAGCGTGTAATTGCCAGCGCCGAAATCCAGTCGATGATCAATGCGACTTTACCAGTTGGTCCGTCGCTGACGGACGTGGTACGACGAGTCCGCATGGGACTCACCCCGTCGCTAGTGCTCTCATCGGAGGCGAAGGAACAGGCTCAAAGCAAGACGCCAGCCCAGAATCGTGATAGCGAGCCCGAGGTCGATGTATCGATCTTGGCAAGCCTGCCGTCTCACGTCGTCCACACGTTGGTGAGGAAGTACGTACAGCGCATGCTCCCCGTCCACCCATTTCTCTACGAGCCGACCATATGGGAACAGCTCGACCGCGTGCTCTTGAAGATCCCGCGAGCTGAAGGAGGGGAGTCCTGCCCACAGACAGTAAGGCTCGACTATGACTTCCTCGTTATTTACTTGATCCTCTCCGTGTCTACAACTTTGGGCAGTGCAAAGGTAGGGCAAGGTGCGCGATGCATGGCCTTCTCTGAAGCGCTCTTCAAAGAAGGGATTCGCCACCTCTCGCAGACTGCGGCGTATCCTTCAGACATGGCTTGGATCCAAGTCACGTTGCTGATTCTGCAATACGCATCCATCAATCCTAAGCTGGGAAACGTGTGGATCCTCAGCGGATTTGCTATGCGCAACTGTCTCGAGCTAGGTCTCCATCGCGAGGTGTCGGAGAGTATGGGCCTGGACCCCTTGACTATCGACTTACGCAGACGCATCTTTTGGGCCGCATACTGTATGGATCGATCCATTTGTGCGGCGCTCCAGAGACCGCTGTCCATTCCGGACCCGGCCATTGACACGAGTGTCATGTCAGTGCTCGAGGATCGATGCATCACCTCACATGGTCTCGATCACCGGGGACAAGCAACCAAGAAATTGGCTATTCGTTGGATCGAATATCGACGAGTGCAATCCACCATCATCGAAGTCCACTTTCAAAGCCGGCTGCTGGACCCTCAACAGACGTGGCAGGAGTGGCTAGCCGTAACGGAGCGACGCCTATGGGAATGGTATCAGTCTGACCTCCCGCACGACGGGTGGACCGAGTTCGCGTTGATGCATGGCCTAGTAATGTTGCATCGACCCTCGTCTCGTGCGCCCTTGCCATCTTCCACGAGCATGTCCACGGCGTTCGAGGCTGCCTGCTCGGCAGCCAAGAGCTGCCGCGGGCAGATACTGTCGGGCTACTTCCCGCGCCCATGGCTTGCGGCTCATCACACCTTTGAAATGGCCCTGGTGGTGCTGTTCTGTTTGCGACACAACTTCGAGGCGATTGCGCTGCGGTTCAGCCCTAACGAAATCTTTGAGATGACAAAGCTCTTCACGTCGAACCTGCTGACCATCTCGGGCCAAGGCTGGACCGAAGTCTCCGCGTATGCGGCCATCTACGAGAGACTACTGAGCCCACTCCTCGACGCCATTTTCACCCGGTCTAGACCCGTCTCGAGGGCGTATACCCCGGAGCAGGAGACGGAATTGGCAAGGCTGCTGTACCCCAGTCCTGCACATCGCCAGGAACTGCGGTTTGCGGATATAGGCGGTGCCAGCGTTACAGAGGACCATTTCTCGTTCGATGCAGGGATTTTTGACTGGGACGACGATCTGCTTGCCCACGACACGGATTCGTTCCCGTTGTTGGTATTCTAGCGCGTACCGTTTGTCCTGAGATAGAGACTATAATATCCAATAGCCCGGTCAGTGTCATCGACATACGAGTAGGCACGTACGATCGTATACAGGATTACTTGGGACACGTCTTGTTCGACCACGAGTTCTGCGTCGTTTCACGACAGAGTGGATCTGGGCGACTCCCACATGCCGGAGATTAGCGCTCAGCCATGGCATCTTTATACATAGGATGACTGTAAGCCTGATTGGCTGTCTAGAGCAATGATCCATTATTGCTGAGGTATGTATATCGGGGTCGACCGCCACGATCCGACTTTTAATCTGTTGGATCTAAAGAGCAACGGCTTAGCCTTCTCGGTTGCAGACGGATATTTGGAGGACTAGCCAAAGACCAGTTTACTGTTCCAATATTATCTGGTAGAACTGAAGAACACTTGAATTGGTTAGCACGGTTGCAAATGGAGCGAATCGACACCCACAGCCATGCCATCCCGGCTCGATGGCGGCAACATTGTATGGACCTGGGCTATGGGGACACTGACGGCATCTCGATGGTACAGGTAAGCAAGCAACCCAGCCACTGATGCAGATTTCGTGGCATCCCGGACAACCCTCCAGAAGAGGAGAGCTGATACTGGGCATGCAAGAGACTACCAGCTGGACTGACTGTGAACCAAATTCCAGGACTGGACCGTCGAGGCGCACCTGGCGACGATGGACAAGGCCAAGATCTCGAAGAGCATATTGAGCATCACCTCGCCAGGCACGCACCTGAAGCCTGGAGACGACGCCTTTGCGCGCAAGCTGACCCGCGAAACCAACGAGGACATCGCCGAGATCTGTGCGGCTCACCCGGACCGATTTGCATTCTTCGCAAGCCTGCCACTTCCGGACGTTGAGGGTTCTCTTGCTGAGATCGACTATGCCCTCGACCACCTCGGTGCCGTGGGCTTCGCGGTCATGACGAACGCACATGCCGTGTACCTGGGCGATCCAGCGCTGGACAAGGTCTTCGAGAAGCTGAATTCACGACGGGCTGTGGTCTTTATGCATCCGACCTGCTGTCGAGTGAACCTTCCCACCGCCAACGGCATGGCCCCTCAGGCCGTCGCTCCTCTGACCCAGTATCCGCGGCCTATGCTCGAATTCCTCTTCGACACCACCCGCGCCGTCAGCAACCTGATCCTCTCCGGCACTGTGGCGCGATACCAGTCCATTACGTTCGTCGTCCCCCACTGCGGCGCCGCCTTGCCGCCCGTGATCGAGCGGTGTGTGGGGTACACGCTACGCACGGTGAGCCCCAGCATGCCCATCACCAGCGACGACGTCAAACATCTGTTCAAGACGCGCTTCTTCTTTGACCTCGCGGGCTACCCGTTCCCGGACCAGATCCACGGCCTGCTGCGCTTCACCGAGCCCTCGAGGCTTCTGTACGGGACGGACTATCCCTTTTACAAAGCCGAGGCCGTGTATCGGCTTGGAGGAATCATGGAGCAGCGAGCGCCCGAGATCTTTGACGAGGAGACCAGGAAGGGCATCTTTGGCGCCAACGCCAGGAGGCTGCTATGGCCCAAACTGAGAAGCCATGCTTAGGAGCAGACAGGACAATTTATTGAGGTGTTGATCACCCATTCTGCCCTCGGTCTCCCGAGGGTGGGAACTTCAAAAATACATATGTACTTTTGTGCAACAAATCCCCGCCGGGATCAGTTACTACATAGGTGCCTATATGAGGTACCCACGCAATGAGCTACCTTCAGAAGCACCACTCAATTCTTAGCAGTGGAGATGCTAGAAATGATTCCGCCACGGCTCTCCGGAACCAAAGCGACATCTCCTCATACTTCCTTGAACTTGCTGATCTTCTGTTTGAAAACTTGCCGTGTAGAGTTTCGGAAGCCCTCGGTCCTAGTGGATTATTTGCACACACAGATTTTGAAGCGACTTCAGCCGAAGTGGCTTGCGGCGGGCACACGAAATATCAGGCTCAGGACTCCACAGGTACACAGGTAATTGTTCGCGTTCACTGCTTATCGGCATCAAGCCTCGGCATCAAACGCTTAGTCGACTACCTTATTCATATGGTGGCACCAAGTGCAGAGGCCCAAGCTCCAAAGCCCACCGTCAACAGTGACTGGGAGGCATTCTCGACTCGTGCGAACGCGGCGTATAAAGCCTAGAACCTCGCCGTGCATCCTAGCGAGTCGATGGGGCAAACGTTGAACCCCTCGCTTCGCTTGCAGTTGGCGGGCGTTCTTTGCCGTCGGCCCACCAGGCGCAAGCCATGTCTCTGATTTACGCCAGCCACGTTTTCTCTGGCCTCAGCGGTCCCTCGGGATTGGGTGGTACAGTCGACAAAAGCCGTGCGACTCGCCCTATCCGGGTATAGCACACCAAGAGGGGAACATAGTACACCACGAAAGAGAATTTTCAGTCACTTCTTCCCTTATCGAGCGGATGGCTACTCTGCATTTGGAGCCTCCAGCTGTCAGTCTAGAGGCCCTATTAAATGCAGGTTGGTGGGCAGCTGCATCTTCTGGAAAGTCTAGGCACATGGCGGAAGAGCTTTTCTCTTTACAAAGGTAGGTGTCTGCGCCAGTCGCGGCCAGCATTTTCCCTACACTCCTCCGGCAGTCTGTCGTACGTTCTTTACGCCATGGGTGCTTCATACGAGACGATCCAAGGTCCTCAAACGACTGTTGAAGATGTACACGCCGATGATGAAGTCGTCCAAATTAACCATGAGCATGCCGAGAGGATGGACGGCGCGTTTCTCTCCATTGTTTTCAGTGCAGCCATTCCCTGCGGGCTTATTTTAGTGGTCACTGCTATTCTGCTGGGCGTGATCTATAGCAACGAGGTCGATGCCTACAAAGGCTGGCCTGAGTTGCAGGTTGTCCAGAATGACACGAGCAAACCCACTGGAGTCTGGGCCACCATCAACAGCTGGAAGAAACACGGGGGGGATGCGGCATTGTTCGTCGACTTCAATCCTTCTTCTCTGACGGCCATCGCCACTTTGACTGGCAAGATTATCCCATACCTCTCAAGTTCAATCATGGCACTGGTTGCATTTTTCGTTGCCCGTCGCATCATCCTCGTCTCCAAGGACAGTCAGGGCCACGAACTTCCCACCCCACGTCAGATGTCGCTCCTCATTCAGCTGCTAGGAGGAAACAGTTATGGACCGCTGAAAGATACGGTGCACTATCACATCAAGCACAAGAAGAGATGGATCTCGCCCATCCCACACGCATTTTCTGCCCTGGCTGCTGTCACGGCCTTAGGGTAAGTGACCCCTAGGGTCCCCTCGGAACCCTCTGGAGAGCGCTGACTAGAAACTCAGAATAATCATTCCAGTTGCAGACACATGGTTCAGCACGACTGTAACACCAGTTAAAGTCGCTGTGGTGAAGAAAGTTTCCAACGCTTCCCGTTCTCCTCTCGGGCGAGACTTCGTCGATCATGACAATTACTGTAGAGAGGGCAAGTGGTCGTACCCTGCTGACGGGAACAGTAGCTGGAAAGTACCATGCAATATGGACTACTATTATTATACCAATGGTCAGGATATCAAGCATCCGACCCGATGGTCTTATGCCATCGTCAATGCCAACAAGGCGGCCCTGACCATCGCCAACCTGTCCGACACGAATACCGTGAACGACTGGTACAATAGCACCAGCGATCCGGTCCATCATTATAAATATTTGGCCCACATGGCCTTAGACTTCACTAGAGATTTTCGAGCCAAGACGGTCGCAGTGAAGACGCAGTGCGCTCCGATGACCGCACGCTGCTTCTCGGCCTGCTCCTCTGACAATCCCAGCGATGAAGACGATTGCAGGTATCTCGACAATTCTTATGCATTTAACTGCAGCCCCGGTTACACTGGAGAATTGACCTCGAACGGAGCGTCTCTGGCGACTTCGCTTCGTAAACCCTCCCTGGCCGGATCAATGGGATTTGGATTTGCGCCCGACGCGAGTCTGAGCCGGATGGTTGGAAACGACGAGTCCCAAGTCGAGTTCGCCGCCTGGTCCAATCCTCTGTATTTCGGAGCCTGGTCGCTGGGTTGGCAGCAAATGCCTGATGACGATATAACTGATGATGGGAATCCTCGGAACCGCGACCCTTGGGACCGCGACAGCAACATATTTTGGGACGATAATTATTACTATGCCTGGATGTTGAACTGCAGTATGGAAATATCCTACGCACACTACGACTGGATCAACGGCACGACATACAGCTTCACCCCGTGGCGGGCCCCGCGAGATATTGGCGGCATGGTCTCATACCCCTTCGTCTCGGGCTTACCACTTGGTCAGCTCTGCGGCCAGTCTGCGGCCAGTCGCATGAGAGAAGCCAACAACTCGGTGCAACTGGCCAACCTGTTCGCCGATGATTTCTCCACCTGTGCCCTGGGCATCATGGCGGCGAACATCGACCCCACGTCGACCATCTTGGAGCAGTCGCGGGACGACAACTTCGGCGCCACGCGGGTGCCGATTGTTCCTCTTTTCGTCCTCCTGGGCTTCAAATTCCTCTACTGCTTCGCAGTGCTCTGTCTGGCGGTCGCGGCGTACCACTATACCAATCCTGCCGAGGCCCAATCCGTCAAGGAGCGACTGACGATCAAGGGCCTGGCGGCAACCTACTTCTGCGACACGCCTTCACACCAACAAGTGGCGGTCAAGAACATCGAGCAGCTTTTTCAACCGTCCGAAGCAGCCAAGGATGCGGACGACGCTGACGCCGAGGCTGCGGTGCCCGCCGAGCCAAAGATCGGTGTGGTCCAGACGGAGGTGGGCGGCTGGCAGTTCGTCAAGATGGCCGCGAGCAAAGTCTACGACTCTGTGGGCCCCATAGTCGAGAGGCAGCTCATGTCGGATGCCAGTGCCGGCAACTTTGGCACCGACGGCAAGGATGTTGCAAACTGGGTGTCGCTCGTCCAGAAATAATGCGCCAACGTTATCCCCTGCACCCGTTTGAACTAGAACACCGTTGGCATGCATTTGTTTGAGCGTTTTCTGACGAAATGACCATGGATAGTGCTTGTTTTTGTTGCATCAGCGAAGCGTCATATGTATAGCAAATATTTTGCCCCGAGCTAACTGATAGATAGTAGCAATAGGAGGTGAGAGCATGGTTATCCACTATATGAGAGAAAGTCGGCAGGTCAGTGGGTGTTGTATAAGTTAGTCCTGCATAAGTTGGTGTTCATGCAGTCCGGCTAAATTTCCTGTCCTGACTCCCTACTCCACGCCATCCTCCACGTGTGCATGGGTTCCTGCGCCAGTCCCCGTGGGGGGGGATCCCGCAATGCTTCCTCTCTCCAATCCTTGCGGGGTCACTTCAATCTTTCTCATTTTCTGCCTTTGACCAACCGAGGAACAGGATATTCAATCCATTGTACGGTAGCGATGGTTCCAGCGGTCGGCCATGTTTTGGAAACGTTTCCTTCTCCCACCCCTGGGCCGAATCAACGACACTCGCAACCCCTAGAGCCTCCTGTCGCCTACCCAGAATCGCAGCCCAATCGCGTACGAGATCCAAAGATCATCAAGCGACGAGCTTCTCAAGCATGCCAGAGCTGTCGAGCGCGCAAAGTCCGCTGCAATGTCTCTAAGCATGGCCCACCATGTATCCATTGCAGATTAGACGAGGTGGAGTGCATTGTAGGGGAGAGCAGGCGCAAGAAGTGAGTCCGAGTTGAACTACAGTAGCCCGATGGGCTGACAGCGTACAGAAAAAAAACCACGGGACAAACATCAGCAGCCTTTAACAGCGATGCTCTGCTGCCCTCAGGTAGTGCTGAGCTGTCAGGAGGCGCAACTGAGGAGCTTTTCAGACCATTGAGCGAGAATGTGCCGTACTCTATAGGTGAGACCAGCCCAGGCCAAATGTCGCCCGACTTTAGCTTATGCTCTGCAGACAAGGGTGCGATTCGTTCTACGATACCTACGGTGCCTTCGAGTATACATTACATTTTCCAGCCACCCAGTCAACCGATGGAGCCCCTGCCCGAGACCATAACACTCTCTCGCGGCATTGCATCGCCTACAGCTCCGCCTTTCCCGGCCTTGCCTGCTTACATCAATCCACTCCCAAGTCGGTTCGGGCACGACGATATCATATATCTCCAAAACAAAGGGGCACTCTCTATCCCGGATGAAGAGCTTCGGAACGAGCTCCTGCGAAATTACGCAGAGTACATGCACCCGTTTATGCCATTGCTCGACGTGCACAAGTTTGTGCGGATAATCAACCAGAATGACGGTTCGCAGTCCGTCAGCCTACTGCTGTTTCAGGCTGTTATGTTTGCGGGAGTTGCCACGGTCGACATGCGCCTCCTCAGATCCGCCGGCTACAGTACTCGTCGTGAGGCACGGCGCGCCCTTTTTGAGAAGACGCGGCTGCTGTACGACCTCGACTACGAGGACGATTCGATAGCGTTGATCCAAGCCCTCCTGCTGATGACCTACTGGCGAGAGAGTCGGACCGGCCGGAAAGAAACTCACTATTGGATTGAAGTCGCCGTGTCGCTCGCTCACAAGATCGGTCTCCATCGCAATCCGGAGGGATCTACAACATTGGAACCGTGGCGTCAGAAGCTCTATAAGAGGATTTGGTGGTCTGCGGTTATACGCGATGCCCAGATCTCGCTGGGCACACAAAGATCGACTCGCATGACTCGCATCAAAGACGTGGACTTCGACGTGCCAATGCTGCAATTAGCAGATTTCGAGCTCGACACATTGCCGAATGGGTCATGCTGCGTCCCCACCAATTGCGAAGTGCTGCGGGATGTGGAGAAGCAGCGACAGCTAGCGGTGATGTGCATCGAGATGGCGAAGTTGTCTCTGTGTATTAGCCATATCCTCTCGGTCCAGCATGGGCTCACAAGTTCCAAGGCTAGCGCATGGACGGCGACGATGCTCTTCCCGGAGTCCCTCGATCCTAGCGACGACCAGATGCAGGATAGTGCAAAGGCCTTGCAGGAATGGAAAGAGAGACTCCCGGAAGAAGCACAAAAATCCACGCCCAGCTTGCTCGACGTGGAATCAAACAACAGCTCTCTGGTGGTCAACCGCGCATTTTTACACCTGCTCTACTACGCCGCCCTTTCGGCGCTTCATCGGTCGCCTTTGCAGCCTTCGACCGGACTGCTACCGCCCGCGGCCCGTTCCAACGTCGTCGACCTATCCCGCGAGACCGTTCGACACGCAGCGATCAAGATCGCTGAGATAGCTGGCACGCTCCACGACCTGGACTTGGTGCGCTACCTCCCATCGCCGAGCATTACGGTGCTCCTTCACGCCATCGTCTCACATCTCCTGGACGTCTTGGCGCCTAAAGAGTCTACACGCCTCACCAGCTTGCAAGATTTCTGTAAATGCATGCAGATCATGGCTGGGCTGCGTGACATGTATCCTGCGGCAGATTACTCGACCGCCTTTCTCCAGACCGCCATCCAAAGGACAGATATCGGCCCCATGATGCCGCAAACAGACGAAGACAGAGAAACCCGTACTGGCCCTGCGTGTGCACAACGTCTCCCAAGCAATGAACTACGGCTGCACCCCGCTGATCCAAGCCCGGCGAGCCAACTGGCCTCACCGCCCGCAGAGCAGGTCCTAGATTTGGCGTCCCAGCAGCTCATCAACGGGACTTCAGCGCCAGACGCACTGGGAAGTGATAACAGCATGGACCGCCGTCTGTACTCCTCTCTCGCGTCCGCAACCCATTCATACAATCAGCATGATACCCACCGGCAGCACGTCAACCACATATCCAACTGCTCGCAACACCTAGTATTCGATGCCATGGACACGGCCAACGACCCATCAGCCATAGACCTGAATACCTCCGACAACGCAAGGCTGATCGACGGCGTGGATGTTTTCGAGCTCGGTTTCGACGGCATGACCAATCTAGGCGCTGCAGGGCAGATATTCCATATTGAAGAGGACGCGTTTGGCGCCATGCCAGGCGAGAACGGTGGATTCTCACTCGATCCAGATCCATTCACGGAGATGCATGTGGAGAGGCTGACGTTGCCTTAGAGGGAAAGTTTGGCCTGCCACGTTCTGTAATTGATGGCGTTCAAGCTTCGAAGTTGACGAGCATATGACCGACTTGAAACGCGCAACAGAGATCAGACAATTTTCCATGAAACGGAACCCCATCCGACTTCCTGTGGGAGTGATCACAGGTGCTTTGGTCAAACGACGAATTTGTCCCTTGGTTTCCCAGAGGCTCTTGTTACCCGTGTCGCGATGCTATCCCCCCTGGCCGAACGGCTTTACTGAAGGGAGTGAACGGAAATATTGGGAAAGATCAACCACCGCCTACGCCCACAACTGCTTGACAGCATACCGCCAAGTAACTGCCTAAGGCCACAAATTGAAGGCCACAAATTGAAATCCAGAACTGACAGGAAGTGGCGATCTTGCTCCTCACGTGGAAGTCTTCTATGAGCGTCACTTACGTGACATGGCTGGTTTCCGCTTCAAGTGAGTAGGGGTCCATATCTGTTCGACGCCGTGCCCTCTCACTGTACCTTGCCGGAATCTTCTCCGCCACTCCCCTGACCAACGTTCTCATCCATGACCTGCACCTAATGATCAGTCTCACTGTCCCGTTGGTCTTTGCCTGCTCTGTGAACATGCTCCCATAGTGTAGTCTGAAGCGATGCTAGCAGAGCAAAGAGGATGCGACCAGCTCTGCAAGGGGGGAGGAGAACAAAACAATCGCTGAATGGTTACAAGAGGACTAGTTGCTCAGCTAGACGATATGGACAATGTCCCTCACTATCGCCTACACGGCCAGTGGCCAGACAAGGACCGAATTGCTTCGTGCCATAATATCTTGACTCACCTCCGAGGAATAGAGGGGTGAGAACAGCCGGTGTCAACACTTCCGTGTGTCAAGCTCAGTGGAACTTGTTCTTGTGGGCTTCGACATCGTTTTCCAAGAAGATCTCGATCTTTCTGGTCATCTTCGGCCCGATGTCTTCGATAAAGAAGCACGCAAGTATCGCGACACATCCGAAGCCGGTCAATGCGAGTGCGACGGTCCTGAGAAGCTGTTAGCAAATGGCAAGCCCTGTGCGGACGTTCATCTCTCGTGTGACACTCACTTTAGACCCTGCACGTAGCTCTCCAGGAACGCGTCACTCGCTGCTGCGGCAATTGCTGGAGTCAGACCTTGCACTTTCGCCAGCGTCGCAGCACCAAGTGGTAGAGCTGCAGCCACAGCCTGAGCGACTTTCGGCGAGGCACCAGCAGCCATGGCCGCCGGAGCCACATGTCGCGCGGCGTAACGCGTCTGGACATGGACCAAGATAGTCTGGAACGAGGTGACGGCGACCGCCCCTCCAGATTCTCTCGACACACCTGCGAGACCTCCGGCAATACCAAGCTCGATCTGCTCGGCCCCGAACTGGATATAGGTGATCGACAAGTATTGGGCGTAGCCAAAGCCCGCCGCGGACAGAAACGCAAAACCGACGCCCGTGCCCTCGCGCTCGGGGGTGACGTAGGCCAGCAGGCCTCCAAAAAAGGTCATCCATGCAATAGAGAGGCCCATCTGCCACTTCCAATGCTGGAAGCGGTTTCCGGCGACGGAGAGAAACACGCCGCCCACCAGGATTCCAAACCCTTGCACGGTGGCAAGCCAGTAGACGATGTGAGGCGGCGTGGCGACGGTGGTGAAATACAACGAGACCATCTCCCCCCAGATGATGTTGGTGCCGTAATAGAACATGGTGACCACGAAGCCCACGATGAAGGGAGCTGTCATGGTCCGGCCCTTGTTCTTGGTAAACATGCGCGTTGGCGTGAGAGGCTCCTTGAGCGACGCAAACGTCTCCCACAGACTAAAGAAGATCAGACACGCGAAGCCGACGGCCAGCAAGGCCACGACTTTCGGGTCGTCAGAAGGGACCAGCTGGACGTAGACGATCCCAGAAAGAACCGTCGCCGCACTGACCGTGAAGCTCACAATGCCGACGTAGTCCAGATTTCGAGCCGCCTGGCCCCACGGAATACCTCGCGGGTGTTTGGGGGGGTAATAGAACAAGACGAGAACGACGAATGAGATGGCAATGGTGATGACCATCGCCCAGTAGCCCCAACGCCACTGTCGCGTATTAGCTGGTGAGGGAGAGAGAGAGAACCAAGGGGAAGCATCACTTACGGCGTCGCCGTGCCGGATGGCGATTCGTGCCGTGACGGGACCGGCAATGACATTGAAGAAAGCCACGCCATCGGCAATGACGACTCCGATGTGCCGCCATCGGTTTGGCAGCAGCTCCGGGATGGCGAACGTGCTCAACTGACAGTTGCCCGCGCCGAATCCAATGAGGACATGCGCCACAATGGATTGACGGATGTGATGGGAGGTGGCGCCCACGATGGCTCCAACCAAGACGAGAAAGTTGCCCAGAAGAATGAACGCTCGCCGGCCGAATAGATCACTGTTGGCGCCGCACGTCATGAATGCGATAGTCGCGGCGGTAATATAGACTGATGTGATCCTGTTCAGGGGTTAGTCATTGTGATTGTCGCGTTTCCAGACCCATTGAGGCTCATACCAGGTCCCGTAGGCAGGTGGAGATCCAAACGAAGCGGTTATTTCTGACTGGATCGTGCTGAAGAACGGCACTGGCCAGAATGATATGCCATATGCGAAGGAGAGAGTCTCAATCCTGGTCAGCCAGACATATACACCCGTAGTAGGAGGAGGGGGTGGAGTACCACTACAACGGCCCAAGTTTTTGTTGTCACATAGCTTTCCTCGTCAGTCACTTGAGCGCGAGACGGGTCATAAGCCTTGTGCGAGGCGTTCTTCTCGAGGTCGTGCTCCATCTCCTCATCCGCAGTCTCTGGTTGGGCCTCAATCTGCTCATCCTGGTGACGTGTTGCTCCTTTTTCGTCATGCTCCGTGTGATTGAAGGTGCCCGTTGCTGTCATATCGACCCTTTTCTCAGCTATTGCATCCGCAGCCGAGAATGATTGCAAAGAGGCGAGGGAGGTGAACCGCGGCAAAAATTGGTCGAGTGCAATTTCTGCCGTCCAGGATTGAGATAAGTCAGGTGGATGGACTCAAAGCGATAGCTCTTGTGTATATATGTATATATCCGAGGACACTGCATTCTCCCCACGGGGTCCTCCTGGATCCCATCCGCAGCAAGCCAAGCATGGGATATCGGTGAACATCCAATAGCAATGAGGGTATATTCGCTGTATTGGTCACAAACTCGCCAACACAAACGTGGACGGGCTCTTATCCGCGGCTATTGGTACTTCCACGTTTTTGAGAATCCAATCGGAGCTTATCAATGTCCAGAATTGGTTAGAGCCAACCCTTTATCCCCGGCTACCTCGATTGTTAGGAAGAGTTTTAGTGAGTTCTACCCCCGGCTAGTTCAACGTCTGGAAAGACACTTGGGCTTTACCCCCGGCTACACGATCTCCACCGAAAATTGATCCTCACCCCCCCAGGATACTTGATTTCTAGTGATGGAATCATACTTTACCCCGGCTAAATCACGCCGTAGCAATGGGGGTATATAGATCCCACTACAGGCGCTCGGTTCACACACTCGACATCGATCTCGAACCCAACAGAGAGATCCTATACCCACCATGGCGACCGAGGTCCAAACACTCCCAGCTGCCGTCACGACCATTCTAAACTACCATCTCGAGCCTGAGCGAGGTGGAGCGGAGGTATGGTGTCCCGGAACAGTGCGCGACAAGCGCCGGCCGCACGAACACCAAGAAGTCACCGTTTCCAACATTCGAGGCCGGGAGGACGAGTTCACGCTGGACGAGCAGGGGTTCGCCGTCGGGCCGTTCACGACGTCCGTGGCGGACGTTGAAGACGATTCGGAATTCACGGGACAGTACTACCAAGACGTGGTCGCGCATCTGCAGAAAATGTAGGTCTGAGCCACTTCCTGCCGTTGTGTGTGTGCTAACATTGTCTCCAAGCACTGGCGCAACGAAGGTCATCCCTGTGGTTCACATTGTCCGTCGACTTCAATGGGACCAGGTGGCGGAGGCCGAGAAGGACCTGGCTGACGATGAGCCGGTGACGGCCCCAACGGCCAATCGCTCCGGTGAGCAAGACACATACTCCCGTCTCTGACAAGCAGCCGCTTACTGAATGAGTGGTGCAGTCCACGTCGATCAGTCGTACTTTGGCGCCGAGCTTGTCCGCGACAGCAAGTTGCAAGAACTGCCAGACGCGGAGGCCGAGAAACTCAGAAAGGTCCGCTGGGCCATCATCAACCTGTGGCGGCCCCTCAATCTGGTGACGCGCGATAACATGGCTCTCTGCGACGCTCGGACCGTGGACGAGAAGGACTTGACGGCCGTGTACGCGGACCTCCCGCAGAAGCTCCGGAACGCGAAGACGGGCTACAACTTCGCGGCGAAATCCCGGTCCGAGGCGTGGGAGGTCAAGGCCAACCCGGGCGCGCACAAGTGGTACTACGCGGCGAACATGACGCCCAACGAGGCCTTGCTGATCAAGCAGTTTGATTCAAAGCCTCACGGCGTCGCGAGGCGGACCCCCCACAGTGCGTTCTCGGCCAAGGAGGACTATGGACCGACGAGGCAGAGTATCGAGGTTAGATGTCTGTGTTTCTGGGAAGATCAACCGCAAGAGTGACTGTGGTATAGATAAGGCCAGTTTAATATCATTTACCTGGTTACGAGGACGCCTTGGCCCTGTATACTCTCGCCTGTGACGCCTCACGTGTTGTTGTAAAGCAATTCGTGATACCAGGACAACAATGAGGAACGATGGACTCAAGTTCGTCGCATGAAGGAAATATACAAAGGGGGTTTTCTACGCAGTTGTATCCCTACGAGACAAACAGATCTCGCTTGCCTAAAATGTGACAACTCCATGACTGTATAACCCAGATGAAAGATGAGGACGGCATTCAGACGGACACACCCAAGGGCGCTTTTCCCGACATATTGCCTTGTCTGTCTTCCATCTATCAAGAGTGACTTCCTCTTTCTATATGTGTTTCTCTGGTAGAGAGAAATGCCCACTGCTTCGGCGAGAATCTGTCGAAATGAGTTGTTGAGGCGTCTATGCACTTTTGGACCCCAGTTGCGTACGCCATCGCTCAATCTCTTTGAACTTCAACCAGTGAGTCCAACAAGTATTGATGACGACCACCATCATACCGAGTCGACCAGTGTCAGCTTGTCTGGCCTAAGAATACAACCAACACGGCCGTATATGCAGCCGCAGCCACCATGAGTTCTTGATTTTTGGCCGAGGATATCAATGAAAGAGAGATGCTGAAGAGAACGGTGAATAAGGAAGTCGCTATAAGCCCATAGGCTTTGTTGTTGATGTAAGAGAGAGCGTAGACAGGGGCAAGGAGGTCGATTGCGGCTATGATGGATACGATGAATCTAGCGGCCATGTCAACGCCAGGAGAGACTGGTACGTGATAGGGTCGCCCGGCGAATTGGATCTGGATGCCGCTTTTATTCTCCTCGAGCTTTCGTTTTATCGTTGCCGTATGTGTCATTGATCGTCCATATCCACCGGAGAAGGTCCTCGACAATGTTCGAGTCATGACCCTGATGGTATCTGCTTCCACCCCTAGAGCCTTCGGAGTAAGGTCCATCATCCCGTAAGCGTCCGCAGCCGTCACGTAATGTTGTGTGTTCAATCTAACGCACATGGTCTCCGCTGCAGCTTGTCTTTCTTCGACAGAAGGTCGCGTCATCCTGAAAATCTCTTGGAATGATTTCGCCGCCTCATCTAGTCTTAATCAGAGTCTCCTAGAGTTTCGAAGTGCGCACGACCTAACTTACAATATTCACGAAGTAAGCGGCGCATTTCTGTAACCATGTTTCCGTCCACTGATCCGGGAAGGTCGGTGTTTTCGGGTCTGTATATCTTGGATTCCAACTGGATAAGTTCATGTTGATAATGGTAAAGATTAAGTAAGTTCAAAGTTTCGAACCTCTTAAACTTATACCAAAGTTCTGGGTATTCTCCTCTCGAACATTTGAACAGGTCCTGGCTGGTTCCAGCATCCCTTTGCCCGTCCCAAAACTCGACTGAAGCATAGTCTGGTGGCGGCCCTATGCGAGGTACTTGGCGCTCGAGAATCCTCCTAATTTCATCTTGATCGCCTTGTATGTTCTCGAAGACTGCAGTTGGAGGCTCTTCCTTTGCTTCGTTACTTGGCGTTTCGCCGGGGCCGGGCACGTCGAACTGCACATGAAGGTCATCGGGATCACTCATCTTGGGCAGATATGTTGAATGCGAGCAAAAAGAGATATCGCAACCGTAAATCAAATTTATATCATGATTTCCGCGGGATATTGGGGCGATGCCTACCTTCGTGCGTTCATGAGTGGTCAGCCTGGCGTCAGCCTTGGGCGTCAATACGAGGATGTTCTGAGCCACGCAGGGAGAGTGGCAAACCAATCATAGTAAGACAACGCAACTGAGGTCCTGCAACTCACAAGGCCGTGCCACTCGACGGTGTGTGGCGAATAAGAGAGGAACAAATCTACTCTGCAAATATCTGAGGGAGGAGACAAGACAAGGCCGACAACGATTGCACCTAGTAATTCCATTAACAGCCATGCAGAATGGGCCAAGGAAAGAGTGGCTTGTGGCTGCGGTTGCACATGATGGTGAAGGGAATAGTCCGTTTTTGGTACCAGCGAGATTAAGAGCCAGATGCCCCCCAGGACAGATTTCCTCGCCACCAAGATATACGCAGCCGCATCCCTATTTTGGCTACGACAACATCATCGTTGGAGATGGCTGTTGCATCGAATTTCTGGATTTCCCCGTGTCTCAGCCATGGATTTCTCGGGCTTGACAATGCGAGTGGCGTCTATCCCCAAGCCGCGTTTCCACGGCAACCACTCGGGTCTCCAAAGTCAACCTCCAACCTCACAAGGCTGTGATTGGTGTTGCTCCTTTCTCCCTCCCATACATCCCGCACGGCATGGCGCAGGAGCTATGCTCTGTTAAGAGCGAAAAGATGGACAGTCCGGGAAATACCTCATGTGTTGCGCTGCCATCCCATGTACGAGTAGGTTTGGTGGCGGGCTGATGTCCCCCAGCCTTGATCCTTGCCGCCATGAAGGCTTATTTTCCCATCAACCCAACAACCAAAAGCCTGAATTGCATGAAGATGCTTTCCCGTCCCTCAAAAGGGCGACAACGCCTGACTGGAGGGGTCTCACTCCTCCCAGAAGACACCACATCGAGCTGCAGTAAGCTTGTTGGGCCGAAACATCGGAGACAAGGTCATTTATGATCGGATCACAAGCCAGCTGGCGCACCTCTATACTTCAATACCGGACAAACAACAGGAGTATCATAGAGGCCTTGTCTCATGCGTGCCATAACGCTCTTCGCGGGTCTACTCTCCCAGCTACAGAAGCGAGATACATAGTAAGTGCCCAGTGCTGGTTACTGTTTGATATCCATCGCCAGATCTGACAGTCTCAACTACCAGTGATGATGGACAGTACACTCAAGTCGTCCAAGCCACGAGCTGGAGCTACTCTCCGTCCTACTACACCTCGTATCTCTCGACGGAGATCATCACCATTACGTCGTACATCCCCTGCCCCGTCCTCACCAGCTACACCACAATCTACAAGTGCTCGACCTGCGGCGCGTGCGACAGCTGCAGCCCCACGGCGCAGACCACGTGCGAGCCGAAACTGTGCGCCACGTACATCTACGACGTGGTCGAAGCAACCACCACGCCCTACGTTCCGGGCGAGTACGCCATGGCCTATGTGACGAGCTACAGCGGCGCGCAGGCCGTGACGACGAGCATCCCCGCGTCCTGGTGCACGGCGTACGAGCAACTCGACTTCACCGGCATCGACTGCCAGACCCTGCCCGCCTGCGGCGGCGGGAGCTCGGGCGGGCTCACATGCGAAGCGAAGCCGTGCACCACGTGCATCGACGAGGACGGCGACGGGGACTACGAGACCCTCACCGAGGGCACGCAGTACTTCTTCACCGAGTTCGCCCGACTCACCGTGAACGGCCAGGTCACGTCCACGCCCGCCAGCCTGTGCGGGGTGCTGACCATCCCGACGCCGTGGTACGTCCAGCCGACGCTCGCCTGTGGCTATGACGACGGCAATGCCGACAACAACGACGACAACAGCGACGACCAAGGCGGCCAGGTTATCACCTACACTTACACGACCAACGGTGCCACCATTGTCGTCGCCACCAGCCTGCCCTCGCACGGCGGCGCATTCCATCTCACCGGCAGCGGCGGTGGAGCCCGGGTCGGTGGGGAGCTGGGAAGAAACGTGCTCTTCTGGATGTGGGTTGCCGGCGCGCTCGTCGCGGGCGTGGGGATGATTGTTCTTTGAGAAACGAAATCCCCCGATATCGACATGTGACAATTATATGATCAAAAAAGGGGGTGGAACAAGACGGAACTAGAGACGTATTTGTGCCTTTCTTCTCTATGGCATAACGCATTGGAAATGACTACGACAGTGGAGTATGACTATAAGGAGAGTCGGGCGTGGAACCTCTGAATATCATAACAATGATTTGACGCCAGGGCAAACAGCGGGTCGGGGGAAACTCTGTACATTGGAATGGAATGGACATGCCGGTGGATGTCTCACTTTACTATTATACCAGGGAGGACGGTTCTCGAGGGAAGCACATGGTTGCATATAGCATCAGCATTCAGGTCAGGCCATGGGCAATGGAATGGACCGGTACAAATGGACGACGGATGGGCAGGACGGACTAAATGATTACATGCAAACCACAGTGAGCAAATGGGCAAATGGGGGGTAGTCTGGCTTGAATCTTGTTGGCAAAATATTGAAATTCAACTCTCTTCGTGCTCGTGAGTGTATTCTTTGGAGAGGGAGAGGGGAGGGGCGGTGCGCTGTTTGGTAGTCGTGGTGGTGGTGCTGATTTATCCTATCCTAACTGTAGCTGACGGGGCCTCGCACAAAACATTCCCAACTCGAGTCTCGAGGAAGGCGTCTTGCGTCTTGCGTCTTCGCCTGAGGCTGTCTTTCTCCTTTCCGACGCTGGAAAACAAAACAAAAAGAGCCAATACCGCCATCCTCCAAACCAGGACGCGTCTTCGGGGGATCTTCCTTATCCGGTCAAGCAACCTAGGTCCCTCTTCATCAAAAAAATTGGCATTCCAAACTCCCAATAGGCCTTTTCGGTGGAGATGGGGAACCGAGCGCGCCAACGTCCCGTAGACATGTGTGTAGGTATGTAGCTGTCCGGAAGGTCGAGCGACGCTGTGAGGGCCGAATTGTTCTTCATGGAGGGTGGGAGCGGTCTTCTTCTCCCCGGGCTGCTGCAATGCTGCGCTTCGCCATTCACCGGGCTTGACTTTGAAAGTGTTTTAGACCTGCGATGCTGAAAGGGGGAGGGGGAGGAGGTGCCTTCGGCCTTTCCGCCTCTTCTCATCACAGCTCTTCCTGCAGTTCTCGGATCTTGTAGTAGATTTCTCTCAGGGTCTCTTCTTTACCAACCTGTTCCCAGAGTATTAGCAGGGCGGACAAATGGAGCCGGCTGGTGGCAATAGACGGAAGCTGACAGCATTTCTGGTGGGATGGCGTTGCTGGATGTCTTACCTTTATCTGGAATCCCGTCGGCTTCCCTCCCTCCAGTCCAGTGAGATGCATAGTCTTCCCACTCGGTTCTTTGCCGTCGTGCGTGCCGACGTTCATCTCCTTAAATACCGGCGTGTTGAGGAGCAGGCGGTGCGTGCCCATGGCGCGCATGATGAGTCGTCCTCTACGTTCGAGAGTCACAGACGACTCACGTTCGCCGCCTTCAAGGGCAGCTTCAATGTCTTCTTCATTTGTTTCCCCAGAATCGTCTTCAGCCTTGCCCTCTCTGCTTCCATCATTCTTGCCGTCTGTGGCAGGGCTTTGGACAGTTGACCTTGCTTCGAATCGCATGTTGATCTTGAAATCACCCAAACCGCTTTCTTTCCACTCCCTGTCGAAGTGGTAAAGCTTCGCCCGGCAGCTGAAGATGGTTCTTTCATCCTCTTCTCCTGTATTAACTAGGAAGACAGTCAGTTAATCCTCCTCCTTCACAATGGAAATCAACTCACGCTCTTGCTCGCGGAATCTCGGATCCTGTTCGGCTTCTTCCTCCGCCTGCTGTGCCTCGTCGTGCTCGCCTCCGTCTTCGCTTTCTTCCTCCTCTTCATTTGATTTTGCTCCGAACGGCTTAGATTTGCCAAACGTGCCCGCCGCTCCTGCGGGAGTAGCAAATGGTGAGACCCCCATGCCGAGTGGCTTTGCAGCACTTCCAAACCCGCTCCCACCTCCAAATCCACCAGTAGAGCCAAATCCGCCCGCTGAGCCGAAGCCTGACATGGGCTTACTTGCAAATGGTGATGCACCCCCGAATCCGCCAGAAGTCGACGCGAACCCGCTTGCTCCTCCGCCCCCACCAAACCCACCACCAGGTTTGGCGGTCGCGCCTACGGCTCCAAAGGGTGACTTTTCGGATGCTGCGAATGCTGCTAAACCGGAGGAAGCAAAGGCGGAACTTGACGTCCCGCTACCAGGAGACAAAATCGACTCCGACGCTTTCTCCGGTGATTTGGGTGGTTTAAAACTGCTGAATGGAGATGCTGTTGACGTGTTGGCGAATCCTGACGATGTCGGGATCAGCGATTTGGCTGCTTGTTCGGCCGACGGAATGGTTTGGACTGGGATTGCTTCAGCTGCTGGCTTCTTGTCCAAGCCAGGAGCAACATTAGGTCGTTCGTCCTCTGCCGTGAGACCTCCCAAGTCTTGCGCACTAGCACCTGTCTCCATCTCCTCCTTCGAGGGCGCCGAAACTAGGATCCCAGGCCCGCCTGGAGACTGTTGTGCTTCTGCGTCACTCTCTTCTTGGACCGGACTCGCCATGTCCTCGTGTTTGTCAAAAGTCTGTATCTCCTCGTCGTTCCCCGAAATTTCACGAGATCTCATTCTCTTGTGCTGGCTTGCCTTTTTCGGCAGCGGAGGCCCCCCGTTCTCGACGCCAGGGCCAGACTCTTCGGCTTGCAGGTCTTCAAATGATCGTTTCTTGGAAGGGCGGCCTCGTGCTTGTCCATTTTCGCTTTGTGATTCAGGAGAGGCCTCGACGGTGGTAGCGTCGCCCACAGGGCGGTCTCCAACCACTCCAGGCTTTGCCTTGGAGTATTGTGAGAGTCCTGCGATAGATGTTTTCTTCAATTTCTCCCGTGCGGTGCGTTCGCCTCCCTCGCCGTCTGAACTCCCATCTTGAGGCGGCAGATCTTGTATGACTGTGTCTTCTGTCGATTCATGCTGCGGTGGCGGCAGATTTTCTGCTGGGTCGCTCGCGGACATCGTGGGTTATCGGAGTGAACAGATCTTGTTGAGAGGGAAATCCTGCAGTTCGTGTGGCGCTGCGGCAGTTTCCCAGGGAGCGGGATCTCGCAGATAGAATCCTCCTTCGTTGTAGACACTTTCCCGCCGGTCACTGGACACGTCGAGATTGGTACAGATGAATGTGTGATGAGTTCTCAATCCCCAGGTCGATCAGGCCACAAACCCCCTCATGGAACCAGCCCAGGTCTCCTCAAAATACCCCAGGGACTTGCCTCGAGTACAAACGGAAGGCAAAGAGGCTGCTTGCGCCTCGGGTGCTTGGAGGCTCGAGGGGCGGTGCGGGTACGGTGGTTGTCCTCAGTGGCTTGGTGGTGATCGTGATCAGGTAACCGATGGCGCTTTTTGTACTGTCTCCAGCAACGATTTGGGGCTGCCGCAGTGCGGTGGGATGTGCAACGTATTATTTGGAAGCGACACAGAAGTAGGCGCCGGAAATCAGAGATGGATACGCAGTCAAAGGGATGCGCTGTCGGCACAAAGATACTGGCACGATATGATTGAAGCGGCTCAAGGCATGCGCAGGCACTTGCTCCGCACAAACAACACTCATAAACTTCTCTTCTTCCCGCCCCACCCACGGCAATGTCGTCAGGTCCTCCAAGCAGACTTTGAGACGTTGCTGTGTTATTGAATTGCTACCTTCTACATTAGAGGTGGAATACAGTTATAGCCATGCGACCGATACATCAGCCAACCCTTTTCCTGCAGTCTAACTAATAAAACAAAGACAGCCGAGACTGACGTAGAAGACAAAGAGAGGGTAGACACTCAGAGCCACCCTATTCTTCACAACTCCTGATCCTCCGAGGATACTAACTCCGGCTGCGAGTGACCATGCAACAAGGACGATGTAGACAGGAATCCGCGCAATAGTCGGTAACCCGAGAGCGCTGAGTAGAGCGGCAATGGTCAGAGGGAACAGGGTATACCCGATGATGGAGACGGATTGCATGAAAGATCTAGAAAAGTGTCAGCACTGCTAGAATTCATCGGAGGCCGGGAAATCCTCACATATTCCCTCCGAGTAGTTTGATCTGAAGGGTAACCACAGCCTCGCCGATCCAGACCAGGGAAAAGACACCGGAAAAGACGAGGTCGGTCTGGCCTTTGCTGGCGCGCATAGAGAGGAAGACGCTCAGTAACAAGCAGAAAATTAGAGGACCCCTTAGTACAGCTGTTAGAATGCTTCCCGGGGACAAAAGATGGCATCTCACCATAGATCCCAGTCTCTTAAGCCTTCACTCATCCCGCCCTGCAAGATTCCATCCGCGTCCGGCCAGCGTCCCAGCAGGCCTCTGAGATCTCTTCCGAGCCCTCCTCCTTGACTCTCGACATCGCCCATGCCGGTGCCTTGTCTCTGGAGCATACCTCCAAGCAAGTACTTGGGGTAGAGGACTTGCTTCATTTTCTCCCATACCGCGAATAGGTCTCGAGACACTGTGTCCCAGACACTCTCATCGATGGTATTTTGTGTGGCATGCCTGTCTTCACCAGGTATTCTCGAGGTCAAATAGCTTTGGTTAAGGGGTGCGCTGGAAGAGGACGATTGAATGTTGCCTGTTAAAGGGGCGCGATCGGAGGTCTCGTATGATGGTTCGTCAGGTTCGACTTCTGCAGAAAATGAGCCTCAGATCTTTCGGGGTTGAAGCGAACTACCGTACCATCGTTGAGGAAGTCATCCTCGAGTACTGCATGATCGTCGTCGTAAGAGTTTCTTGATAGTCCGCTGGCCATAGTTGCTAGAGTGTCAACATCCGCAACTGAAAAGGATGCCTGAGTGCGGCCACTGAGATAAACAGCAGTTGGATTGTCGCGCGATCACGATATCATGTAGGGCGTAGGGGTTTGGAGTCCGTCGGTGTGGTTGAGCAAACCGGACGTGATTGTAACAGGCTCGAGGAAGGGCTTGTTCTATGGCAGCCTCCAGTTCGACCCAAGCTGTGGCTTGAGGAGAACAGGGCCACCTCCAATACTCGTAGGGCTCGAGCGGGCTGAGCAGGTGTGTTGAATAAGTCAGATATTACGTAACCTTCTTTCGCGCTTTTGATTCGACAGATGGCAGTACAGTCCAAAGTGAGGACCATGGCCAACTGCACCTGTATTCCACCTTTTGAGCTCAAGCGAAGGTGGTCCGATAGTGTCTTGATCGAAAGAGACCATCACACTTACATTGTGAATCTTGGATACTTCTATCTCAAGGAGCGACGGAAGCTCTGTCGTCTGCGAATTTGATAGCCTGCAACCCTTTCTCCAAGTTGTCGATGAGGACCTTATCAAGGGCGTCCTCTCTAAAGCTAACCCTCTCTGTCCACCAGTCCAACAAAGTCATTGCCCTTGAGCCCTCCGATGCTCGCAAGAGCCCTACACTCACGTCAACCAAATCTGGCCTCTCGAGGCAATGCCAGAAGACCGTAGCACCGCAACGGCTGCAGAATTCACGGAAACAGCCCTTGGAGCTTTCAATCTGTTTCAGGGTGCCCATCCCATAATCCAGCGGCTTGCCATCAAGCTGGAGGATGTTGGCTTTCGGGATAAAAGCCCAGGCTTGGATTGGAGATCCGGAGCCTAACCTGCAAGACCTGCATGCACAAGTTCCTGCCAAATATTTCGAATCGTCTGCACGCAACCACCACTTGACGTCTTCCCGATTTTCTGAGCTCGAAGAATGAAACGGGACCAGCAAATCAGACCATGGCGAGGAGCATTCCGTTGAGAGGGCATTGGGCCGGGTGATACGAAAGATGACCCCTCCACAATGGCAGTGCGCGGAGATTTCGCTTGAACTCCCAGATATCACCACGGCCTCGTCCAATTCACCTTTCCTAGTAGCAGGGTCGTCACCCTCGCCCTGAGGGAACAAGCTTCCAGTCGAATCCTTGATTAACGCTCCATCTGGTCCCTGCAAATAGAGGGGTATTGCACTCTGGTCTATCCGGGCCAAGCAGATCGCCAGCCCGCCATCTGTGGTATCGCCAATGAACTCGTGTTGGGTGATTCTTTCCAGGCTCGGAGCTGACATCGCTTGTAGACCGTCCACTCTATCAACCACACCAGAACATACGCCCCAAGTGTCGTCTTTATGGACATGGACAAACATGTGCGACCCACATATTGGACAGAAATATCTGGCGACCTTTGGAGAGGAGTCATATTGGGTGAGCCCCTCCGCTGTGTTTGGCTTCGACACAAGGGGGAGGCACGAAAAGTACAGCACGCCGGTGCTGTATCGGCAGCTGTTGCATGAACAGGGAGACACTGGCACAGGCAGTTGGGAAGCCAACTCTAGTGTCTCGGAATTCTTCCCACACAAGCATCTGACACTGATGGTGGTTGTCATGGCTCCGAATAACGGGTAGGTGTCACCAGGCTTTCTGGAGTGAGATCCAAGAAAGCGGTGCCAACTCGCGAGGTTGTCCAACCTCTATATCAGGAGCATAAGTCGGAACCAGGCAGCATCATCTGCCAGAGAATGCTGCAGTACTGTCCGTGGGAAGTGATTTCATACATATATTTGGCATGGATGGAGAAACTTCGGCAGCCTGATCCCGGGAATCCGCACTGCATCTCGAGTCGCCTTTGCTATGGAAGATCCGCTGGATACAGCTGTGCGAATGGGGCGGGCGCCTGGATCCAAGTTGGAGCTGCTCGAAGGTGATGGAGGAGGTTTCTAAGCGAGGAAGGCCTGGACGCTAAAGACGAAGCGCATTGGAGAGGGGATTGACCATCAGGTGCGACTATCAGGCACTACGACAGGTGAGTGTACAGGGATGGTCAATCACGAGGTGCTTCTATGCTTCTGTATCCCCACGATACAACCAGCTTCTCTCGCTCGGAGACCTTGGAGTCGCAATGGGTCTAGTGTCTGGTCTGCCACGGCGCGACCATCGCCGCACGGGATTCAGCGCTGTCCCGCCCAGAACAAAAACCATGTCTTACCATTCCTCTCTCACTTCCCCCCTTCCTTTCCTTCTCCTCTCCACACAGCAACGAGCAATCCCTCCTGTCTTTCCCATCCCACATACACCAACTTCAGTTCGAACAAGCAACTCTTCCACAAAAGCACTCACGTACCAGCACAAAATGGGTATGCTCGACCTGAGGAGTTTCTGCTCATTCACGTTCGACGGCTGACTCGTTGCATCCAGGTCCTTGCAGCTGCAGCTGTGGCGCTTCTTGTGAGTATCTCGTCCCCACCGCTGGTAATATATCTCTCGCTCACATAGACACCAGGCCAATGCCCTTCTGGTCAATGCACCTGCGTATGAAAAACCATGGTTCTGTCACCCTGCATGGCAACTGACACACTCGACCACAGAAATAAACCACCGCATATACTGCCTCTAAGGCTCACTACACCATATCTCATTTGCTAAAATACATATTGCGTTCACGACACAGAAAAAAAGGTGGCAGGGCAATGCTGTCAGGAGATGGTTGGATCAGACACTCATTTGGATGAGCAACAACTGCGGCATCTGTGATAGCCATTGTCAGGGTAGAACAGACAAGCACACGTAACCTGCAATGAGAACAATGACTTGAAGCCCACAATTTGTAAATAGCCTCTTCCATTTGTTCCCGACACCAGAATCCCGGGTCCCTACAAGCCTCTGCTTTCCCCCTTGCTACGGTCTGCGAGCGACTGAGCGGGGTAGTTTTTCTTCACTAACCTCCCACCAAGTCCCAGCTCGCCGGTCCCTTATCGGCTCTTATCGAGCCTTATCGATTGTCGCTTCAGGGGTCTCGCGGGGGCGAATCTCAGGGTTGTTTGTTTGTTGTCAGAAGGAGGGAAAAGGTATCCTGTTGATTCGGGACTCTAGTGTCTTTTCTGTAGTCGTGGGCAAACTCGATGTATCGCCGCTGTCCGTTGTATCTTGCGGCATCTTGTCGCCGTCTACATCCGCAGGCAATCGCTCTGCTTTTGTGCTGGGAATCTGGAATCTATCCGGTTCCAGGTTGAGTCATCCTGACGCAATGTTTCATCAGGCATTCTCTACTCGGCACGCTTTTAACGGTCTAGCTTAACTGCTTGTTCGGTCTTCGCGACGAGTTCACCAGTATCCCAACATTCAAGATCTTTCGGTTGAGGCCAGGCTACCGACTATAGCATTGAGAGGTGGCAGCGGACCTGACCTGCCTGCGCTTCGTCTCGGTGGGTAGTTCGTCCAACCTACTGTCTCCTCTTCTGAGCTCCTCTGGCTATACAGGTTGTTATTCGCCATGCCAGCACCTGTTCCCCTTTCGTCTCGTGTGAAAGGCGCCATCTTCGGGCTCGCCGTGTGCGACGCGTTGGGAGGGCCCGTCGAGTTCAAGCCCCGCGGTTCCTTTGACCGAGTGACGCGGATGCTGCCAAACGACAACTTTGGCCTCCCGCCGGGCTGTTTCACCGACGACACGTCCATGACCCTGTGCCTGGCCCAGTCGCTTCTGGAGTGTGGCGGCCAGTCCAATATCGTGGACCAGGTCCTGAAGTACATCTCGTGGTGGCGGCACGGCTACATGTCGTCCGTCGGCCGGTGCTTCGACATTGGCGTCTCGACGAGAAGTGCGCTCGAGACGTGGGACAACTTCCTCCATCTTGTCCACCGCGACTCCTCGCCCCCGGTGGAAGAGACCCATCGTGCAATCCTGAAGAAAATTACCTTCTCCTTCGGCAAGGATGAATACTGCGGCAACGGGAGCCTGATGAGGGTGCTTCCCGCGGCGCTGGTTGCCCCAAGCGAGCCGGATGCCGTCCAGCTCGCCCACGAGAGCTCGCTGCCCACGCATCCCCATCCTCGGTGCGTCCACGCGTGCATGATATACGCTGCCCTGGTACTTCAGACGCTCAACGGCGCTTCGAAGACGGAACTCGCCGTCAGCCTGGCCGAGTCAGTCAGGGAGATGCCCAGCAACATCTCCGACACGCCCGTCGAACCCGTGCTCGCGGAGCGGCTGCGAAAGTACCAGACGCTGGAGGACTGGGAAAAGGCGCCAGCCGAATCGATCCGGAGCACGGGATACGTCATCGACACTCTCGAGGCCTCGCTCTGGGCCTTCTTCAACGCGGATACCTTCGACGAGGCGGCAACCCTGGCCGTCAACCTGGGATACGACGCCGACACCGTGGGGGCGATATGCGGCGGGCTCGCCGGGGCATACCATGGCTACGAAGCCATTCCGGAGAGTTGGCTGCGCGAGATGAAGAAGGCAGACCTCCTCGAGGAGGTGGCCCAGAAGATAGTCGAACACAGGAGCAGAACAATATAATTTGTAAACTATTTCGGACAAAGATGATTCCTGTTAAGCGTTGAGAACGCTGTGTGCTCCTCTTCCGTCGACCATATTTACCCATGAACTCCGTCCCCAGGTCGATACATTCTTTATTATGCAGTCCATAGGAGTATTCTAATCTTTGGATTTAGTCATGTAGATGAATACACAACCCTCGACTTGACACCATGTATGTGCCACCGTTCCGTTCATTACAATCCCCCCACAGAATCCGACAGGCACGCAGTACATATCTACCTATCGTACGCATCCACTACTCAACACTATGAGATATCTTATTCTCGCTAGACCGAGAGAATGGGGCATTTGCATCACCCACGATGGCCCGAATGATGTCAAACAGAGACCCAGAGGCAAACCCACAGCATCCAAACTTGGCCGTGGGCACCTTTCCAAGTTTCCATTCCCTGGGCCCATCCCCGCATTTTCTCGAAGCGAGTTTGGCTGGGAGGGAAGGGTGATGATCCGAAAATCCCACCGGCGCTTTTGCCACCGCAAGAGGATAGGCAGACGGGGTGGAGGCACAAGGCATCCATAGAATATCCAGACAACGGGACCAAAGAGGCATATCTCACTGGTTGAGCAAACGAGAAGGTGACGCCAGGGAGGAGACGCAAGGGGCCAAGCATATATAAATTGCCTACTCCTCTCTTCCTCGAAATATGCATGTGACTGCTCAATCTACTTTGAAATACAGCACATCCCTCCATCAAGCATATCATTACCCCAGGACAAACACTCAACCCGGAGAATACTTACAAACCTCCTGTCCATACGCACACACTCTCCCACTCTCGTCCCCCAGACCGACCAACCGACATCGATCACAATATGTCCAACTACGGCTCTAACCAAGCAACCCGGCAGCAAGGATCCGGCGGCGACGGCAGCTCCTACAGCTCGGTCTTCTACAGCGCGTCTGCGTCGTATTCGACCTCGAGCTCCAGCTCCACCTCGCGGGGCGGCGACCGCGACCCGCAAACCCAGAGCCACGCGCAGCGGTACACCGAGACCATGACGAGCAATGACCGCGACGGGACCAACATCCGGCGCGTGGCCGAGGAGACGGGCAGGCCGGTCCGGAGCGAGGAGACGTACATTCCGCCCCGGGGGACGACGGCGGCGGCGGCGGCGAGGGGGATTGACGACGGCGGTCGCGACGGCGGGGGCAGGATCGAGGATGTCACTGACGCGGACGCCGACGAGGAGCACGACCAGGACAGGGACCAGGCGGCGAGGGATAGGGAGTATGAGGAGAGGATGGAGGACGAGTATGCCAAGCGGGAAGGGGGTGCTTGAATTTCTTCCCCCTCCTCCCCCGAATCTTTGTTCGAAGAAGGGTTTGAGACTCCGGAAGCTGAGGGTGGACTTGTTCTGATGGTTGCTTGTTGTTGCTGTTGCTATTACTGTACTTTACTCTTCTCGGTGGACTGAGGCTGCAGCGTGGCTTTGGACAAGACATCTCGCCGTGTGAGACGAGAAACGAAGGATGAGGACCCGTGATTGAGCGGAGGAAGGGTCTGTTTACTGTGGACGACGTGTGTGACCTTAGAAGCGGCTTCGTTTGAAAGGGCCAATTGCAGTGATGGAATGGTTTCATGATGGAAGAAGCAACGCAACTCAGCTAAACGAACTCGGATGAGGGTATGATTTCTCTCTATCTCCAATTCAATCCACTCATCCATCTATCAGCTATCAACTATCGAGTTCTGCATGATCGTCTGTAAAACCGTAGGTATAAAGGGAGGTAAGGTCCGAGGTGGAAAACATATGAGACAACGTCAAAGCGTGAGGGCAGGGGAATTCATGCCTCGTTGCTCGTCTGTACTGAGACTGCTGTGTTCTGTCGCTTTCCGTGTTAGACGTGTCAGAAAGCTCAAAGGAGCCATGTTCCTTTGGTCCTGGTTGACATTGAATTGATTTGCATCCAGGCAGACAGTGGACGGGAGCCCAACGGCTCGATGAGAGCCGGTCTCGCACTCGCAGGAGGACATGGTACAATTCTTTGGGTGATTGCAAAGGCATGTTTCTTCCTCCTATATCTTCAATTCCTCCAACGATGCGGTGGCTGCAACGCTCTTCTCCTTCGAAAGGATGATCGGACTCGTCGAGATGTCGATTTTCTTGGTGCAGATCCATGCGGACGCGTACATGTTGACCCTGCAACGAAGGATGAGAGTCTGGTCTCACAGAATGGAGCGGCTGCGAACTGAGGACGAGGTAGTCGAGACTCACCTATCGATACATTTTCCAGAATCCCGTTTGCCTACACACGTGACATTGAAACCATTCTGCTCAAATATGTCCGTATACCACGGTCTCAGCGCCGCAGACCGGAAGAGGACGCGGCCCCCGATCTTGAGGACTTTGTTCAAAGCCACGATTTGCTCCAGCGCTGCTGAGTCTTTGTCGCTGGGGTCGAACCAGTCCATGGAATCCATGAGCTGTAGATTGTCAATGAATGGCCATTATAGTGGAGATGGGAGGACATATTGTCTAGGCAAGGAAGGACGAGGAACCCACAATAGCAATAGTCAACGTCGAGGGGCTGATCCTCGCAATCACTTCCATGATTTCATCCGTGTGGATGCGGAGATTATCAAATGCATCGGGCTTCGATAGCGCTGCGTGCGCTTTGACACCGAGGTAGCGAGGATGGCACCTATTTCATCGTCCGTTAGGGGAAAGGTCAAAGGCTGATCCAAGGCGAAATTAACTGCTGCTTACTTTCTGGAGAATTTCCCCTGCAAGCAGAGATAATAGAAATAATTATCCCTGCTGATCTGCGTCGTTTCCACCACGGGATCCAAAGTGTCGACAACGTATTGCCAGATGGCTTCACCGCAGAGCTTCTTCGTCCGTGGCAACCTCGTCCGCTGCGCATAGTCGTCGATGATGAGGGCGTGCTGGTTCGGAGGCACCCCGGCCGCTTTCCATGCCCACCACTCTGTAGACACCACTGTCTTGTGCAATGGCCAGCTGAGCAGGAGATTCCTGACCTGGGGCCAGATCTCGCGCTGCTCGTTTAGTGTCTCCACCTTACACATTGTGCGCACTTTGGCAGTGAGCCCAAAAGTCTTGAACAGCCATCGGACCAGCTTAATAGCGTGTCTGGAGCCCCCACTCTCGTACAGCCCCCCCTTGGAAGAGAAAATGTAGGATTTGCTCAGCCAGTACTGGAAAGCTTGGCTGGACATATGAGGACTGAGTTTGGAGAGAAGGAGATTGCGGAAGTCCGGGTGCTTGCCTTCGCCGAATAGTTGCCAGACATCGCTGTAGGGGAGGGCGGTGAAGGCTGCAACTTTGAGCTCGAGGAGGTGGTTTTGGTTCGGGTTCAGATCAACTGCGTGGATGCGCTTGGGTCTTTCGAGCAGATAGTCAAGAATGTTGTCCCCGGCGCTGGTGATGGTGAGAATAACGTCGTCTTGAGTGATGTTCAAGAGCTGGCGGTCGACCTTGGGATCTTCCCAGTTAAAGGCATAGATATACTCGTTGCCAAATTGTTGATGTTTCTGCAAAAGGTCGTTGTAGTAGATTCTCCAATGGTGCTGTTGGTAGAATGCTGAAGGCAATGGCAGGTCATTGCTCAAGTTGACAATGGCTGACTCGTATGACTTGGATCGGGGAATGCTTTGCTGAGCGTCCAAATTCCGCTGCTCCTTGAATTTCATTGGGGACAGGTATGGTGACTCTGTAAGAGCCGCGTCGAGTCTTTCCAAGACTTCCTGACCCTGCTCAGCGAAGGCTTCGGCATCTCGTCTGCATCCAATGAAGATATAGTATGGGATGCTACAATGATATCGAGTTAGTTTCTGAGATTTCAAGGTGAAGGGGGAAAGGGGCCGGCTGCGCGTTGTGGGAGACGCATCACTTGAGCCTGTGTCTACGTTTTGGTGACGGAAGGGGAAGCACATAGCTCGGGACTCACCCGCCGAGAGGATAGTTGCGCTGGCTTGTTGACAAGACAGTCCCGAAGCGATACTCGACGTAGTCTCTACGACCACCATCAAGGTTTACTCGATCAGCGTCGAACCACGTCCGCCAGAACATCCGACCGAACCAATTGACGTGGCGATTGAAGCTCCCGCCACAGTAGTTTCGCGACGAGATATCAACGATGCTCTGGACGTAGAAGTCACAAATGCCAATCAAGCCTTTAGGGGACAAGAACCCTGAGACCATGTCGACCACGCCATAGAAATCCGGGATCATGGACAAGCTGTAGCTCATGGTGATCAGGTCCGCCGAGGATGGAGGGCACGCAACCGACCTTGCATCCTGGCACAGGACCGTGACATTCTTCCAGCCATTCTTACGGACTCGCTCTTGGGCGACCTCGCACAACGAAGTGGAGAGATCGACGAGGAAGACATGCCCAAAAAAGCCCTCGATACCCACCAGTTTGTCCATGACTTCGATATTGTAGCCGGTGCCGCCCCCAATGTCATACCACACGGGTTTGTGCCCATCTCCGGATGCCATTTTGCCCTGTAATTTCGCAACCAAGATCGCGAGCATATCCTCTCTCCCTCGCAACAGACGTTTTCGGGTAGAGTCATAGACATTTGCCTGAAGCAAACATGAGTAAAATGAAAAGGATAGCGAACTTGTCTATCCTCCTACCTGAGCAGAATAGAAGCTCTCGAGAGCCCCTTGCTGACCAAGATCGGCTCGTCTGTCATGAGGCTTGAGCATGCAGGCATAGACAAACTTGACGTAGGGATGGGTAGTGAGTTTGTCGAGGGAGACCTGTCCGCCAAGCCTATAGAAAACGACCCCCAGGATGGTCACGAGGACAGAGAAACCGACACCGATCAAGCCAAGTTCGAAGTGGAAGTCCTTCAGGCGCTGCCATTCTGCGTAGTTGAATTGTGCCATTGTTGCCGGGTCAGTGCGAACAACAACGACACTTGCATGTAGGAGAGAGAAAAGAGGATGAGTGAACTCTGAGGGCGCTCGTGATTGCCCTCATATTTTCGGGTGTTTATGTGTTGACCGCAAGACCTAGGAGACGCTGGGCAACGAGCAAACCACGGGGGCAGCGAATTCCACGAATCGGGTCCCTGGAAAGGCCCATATGGCGCACTGAATGGCAAGGACAACCGCCGTAGAGCCTCGAGAATACTCCATTCAGGGGACTTCCAGCCAGATTACCCAGAGCCGGGCCTGCATGTGAAGCCATCAAAATTCGGTGGGATGAAACTTTGTCGGAAAAAGCTCACAGGACATGTGGTGAGCAGCTCTTGATAGCTGTCCAAGGGGACGAATCAACGTCGAGAACTTGGCGCGTGGACCTCGTAACCCTATCGCGGGCGAGTCGGAAGAAACAAGCTTGGGCAGCATCATCTCGAACGAAAGGTAAGAATCCGGTGCACGTGTCGTACAGCTAAATCGACAACCAATGCGAAACTGGGCTCTGTGTAATCCGACGTCCGGCTACAGGGCAACGAGATCTTTTTCTGGCCGGCAAATTGGTGGTGGGGATCGCCTGGTCGTTGGCCCTGGGAAATGCAGGTCATCCTCCGTCGCTTCTCGCTTCACTTTCCAGCCTCGACAAGAGGTCTTGCGCCTTGTCACGTGCCCGAGCAGCCTCGCGCCTGTGCTCGTTCGGGGCTGAGGGGTGGTCTTCGTTCAGAGCCGGCGACGGGGTATTCGGGTCCAAGGGCATGTCGACAGCCTCCAGGTCACCGAGTCTGGTGAGATGGGCACAATCGTCGTGGAGGTCAGCCACCCAAAGGGCGACCATGGCACGAAGTCTGATGAGCTCCGGTTCATCCATATATGGAACGGTCGCCATGCAAGTGTCCATCCTGGATGCAATCTGATCAGCCTGTTGAAGTTCCCTCACCTTCTTGTGTGATGTATTGGTCAACCTGCTCACGCGAGGAGAAGAAGTGACGGACTCGACATCAATTTCATCGTCCTCATGCGCGGTCGATTGGGCCGCGTATTGGGCTTGCACCACGTAGATCCAAATATTGAACATAGCGAGGTAATAGTCAACAGCATTGACGGCCTCGGGCCATGACTTGTGATAGGGATGCCTGACGATAAGTCGCTCATAGAAGCGCTTGGCTTTCTCGAAACCCTCAGGCGTGAACGGAATCGCAGAGACACCCTGGTCATGAGTAGGATCTCTGGCGGATCCATTACGCAGGAGTACTTCAGCTGCAATGCCCATATAGCCTTGAGTGCGGACAGCAGCAGTCTTACTGACAATATCCTCGCGGAAGATCAGTCCTAGAGCGCGGGCAGCACGAGGGAAATCTTCCTGGAGGAGCGACCGGTGGACTATGGCGGTCAAGGCAGCGAGATGTTGAATGTGCAAAGAACGTGAGCTGTCCGATAGCTTTGACACTTGTGAGCCTTCCTTTTCCTCGTCTAGATCCCCTCGTGCTGCCCAGCTCTTCTTCGAAGGTACCTCTGCGTGCGGAAATGGGAAGGGCGGTGGAGGCTGATCCAGCGGTTGTCCAGCGACACGGCGTTGAAGCCTCTCGATTGGAGTTACAACAGCGACATAGTCGAGATTGGCAGTGTTCACAGAGTGGCTGTCTATATCATACAGTGTCTGGCTAGAGGGGTCCTCGCCTTGTGCAGCATCATTTTTCAGAGTCTTCATTCTCTTGCGCTTGCTCTTTCCTGAGGGTAGTTGCCATGCTGCAGAACCAGCTCGCTGCGTCGCGACAGGAGGCACGAATATGTGCGGCATGATTTCCTAAAGAAGGGAGGGTTGCTTGGGGGAAGAGCGCGAACACGTAGGTCTCGAGGTGTTTAATCGCGTGCGCTTCAAAATCGCCCCGAGGGTCCGCGTGATCTGAGCACTGCCTTAATTAGTAAACGTCGCACCGAGTTCATGTGCTGCTGTGATGTAATCGTGTCGAGGCTCGGCCAGATAGACGAAGGTCTCACAATAGCAAAGAGATACCGAGTCATAGATAGAGGGTACGATACAAAGTAACAGGAGGACAAATATGGAGCCGGTCGAGGCATGTAATACCTGAGCAGTCGTCGATGTTGTTATTGGATCGGAGGTTTTGTTGTTTGATCAAGTCCTCAGAGGTCAAAAGTGCAGGGTGACCAAACAAAGTCCGTGCCTTGGTTCTTGGGGCGGCTTTTGGCTTGCTCGCTGCCCAGCGCTTCAGCCTTTCCTTGACACAAACCACACCACACCACCCCCAACCTCGACTCTCCCGTGAGCAACCAAACCACTGTTTTGTCAATTAGTCTATGCATCTTGGTCTTCTTGACCTTGTCACCGAGCTCACTCTGTCACCGAGGTCCTCACGTCCCCACTAGTCGTCGAATAAAGTCCAACTTCCAGAGTCTGGATGAGCCTGTTCGGTTGCTGACAGCGACCACAACCTTGGCCACCGATCGACCTCTGCCTTGATTCTCTCCTCCTACGACGTGGACATCTGTACAGAGTCAAATATCTCGGGCTTAACGTTGACGACGAAGCTACGCAGAGCCATCGCTCTTCTATCATGACACCACAATAGTTTGTCCTGTTGCGCAGGCCAAAAACCATCCGGCCTCCAAAGATGGGGAACGCCTCGTCCGCTCCTCGTACTCAAGCGGATGATGGACTCATGGAGGAACTAAGGGATACCCCGACTGGCGTAGGAACTGCAGTTGGCGGTACGCGCGCGGAGGGCAGGAGTTCGCGACTGGCGAGACGGAATACCCAGTCGTTGAGACTCGCAGGCCAGAGGGCCAGCACTCTTTACGACAGTTTTCGACGCCATCGATCCGCCGAGTCAGTCACATCACGTCCGAATGCAGGCCATTCGTCGTCCTCTCCCTCCGAGACCGAATACGAACAAGAGAACAGACCTCTGGTAGGTGTGGAGGACGTGGACATGCCAGATGCAGATGCTATTGCGAGACCTATGCTATCGCCTTCCTCCAACAGGAGAAGGTCAACAATGTCAAGATTGGGATCAAGGCTGCTTCCAGATTCGGTTGCAAGAGGTCTGCTGAACAGTGGAGAGGAGACTGCAGAAGAAGGCCGGGCATTGCGACATGGAATCTCGGGGCGATTACGCCCTTCCGTTTACGAGCGGCCACCAAATTCAGATTCGAACAGTCGTGTGTCCCTCACGGGTTCCATTAGACGACGAGGCGAGACCAGAACTGAATCCAGACGACGTGCGATTCGAGGACCATTTCCAGCCCTGCAAAGCGTACATCAAACCCCCGAGTCTAGTAATTCATGGTCCGAATCCATGGACGGTGATCTACGAGAGCTGCCCCAGCCCGCCGCTTCCGGTCTGCGACATCGCAACAGGTTCAGCAGAGTTCGGGATTCGATGTCAATCTCTCAACGGATTTCTAGTCTGTTCCGGCAGTCCACAGAGCAGCTTCAGTCCAGCCAGGGAGGCCGAGAGTCTCCTTCGCGGCCAGCGAGGGTGACGTTCGCCGATGAGTCTGATCATCTCCTTCCATCCATCGCTTCCGCTGACCACCGTCATGAACACGATGATGCTCCCCATGAGCTAGATGCAGTTGAGCCTGAAGCTCGGACCCTCCTGGCTGGGCCGCGAGTCACTTCGGGGATGAGCACAATTAGGCGCTTCCAGCCCGGCCTTCGCTCGCGATCAACAAGACTCATACGAAGAGGAGAGCATCCGCCTCTCTCGCAAGTGCTCCAGCTTGCTGCCGCTGCTATCGCTGCTCAACTTTCAGGTCACGCCACAGCCGGTTCTACTGGTGCCCGTCATCTTGGAGGTGACACGTTTGATGGTAGTATCCAGAACTTTGTGCAAACCCTTCAAGAAGCGGCAACAGCCCAGGCTGGAGAAAACATCGACGTGAACGCAGCGGATGGCGACTTGCCACCTGTGAACTTCATGAGGGTTTTTCAATTTCCAAATGACGAAAATGGTTCGCCCATTGCATCGCAGGCAGAATCGCGGGATGTTGATCAGATGGACTTGGATTCTATCGCTGGACCCAGTGAAAGCGATAGGTCCGTAACCTTGGTCCTTGTCGGGGTCCGATCCCTTCCCCACGGCCAGGACAGCACCGGCGGTGAGAATGGTACGCTGGGCCCAAGTCTTGACACCCTCTTGAGCCTACCTTTCTTGCCCCCAGCCAATGTTCTACGGAATGGAAGCTCTGGAGCTTTGTTTCGGCGCTCGGATGTAAGAAATAGATCCAGCACCCGCCGACACTCCATGACCAACTTTAGCTTTCCCGCGCAATATGAGTCGCAGAGACATCAGCGCACTCGGACGCAGACCAGCCGCTTGTCCAGCCATTCGGACCAGACTGCTCCTACTACTCCGGACGCGGGTTCTTCTACGTTGGTCTCGGAAACCCCTCCCGGTCCTATTCCTCCTCCGTCGACCCCAGCAGATATCAGGAGTGGCCATGCTACTCCAATTCGACGGCCATCCTCAGCATCAGCGGCACCTAATCAGGCGCTCTCCGAACTTGACGAGGATCGTCCACAAGAACATGCCGATAGCCGTGCTCCCGAACCTTCATTCAATACCGCACGTCAGCGAAGACGAAGTGATTCTGAGTTTGCTCGCCGGCCAGAGCTGGGGTCGGGTGCAGCAAGGCGCAACGGGGTGGTAGAACCGGATCATCCGCCAGCAGGGGCTGGGCGAAGTTGGTTGATCTATGTTGTGGGCACCAACGTTTCAGCGACTCATCCTGCTTTTGCCATGCCCAGCTTATTCACTGACAATCCATCCTATGAGGACATGCAGATGTTGTCAACTCTCTTAGGACCTGTCAAGCCACCTGTTGCAACCCAGGAAGATGTGAGCGCTGCTGGGGGGGTCTTTCGGCTTGTCGTCCAAGAATCGGGCTTTCTCGGGGAAACCATCTCGGACGGCGATAACTCACCGCTCGTAATCAATTTGGGAGAACGATGTCTCATTTGTTTGTCAGACTATGCTGCGTCGGAAGAAGTCCGCCTCTTGGATAAATGCAAGCATGTCTACCACCGCGAATGCATCGACGAAGTGAGTTGTCCTCGTGGTCCGTGTACGCAGTGATTTACTGACTTCATTATAGTGGCTCACAACTGGTCGGAACAGCTGTCCCATGTGCCGTGGCCAGGGGGTGCAGGAAAAGGGCACATCTTCTCCTTCCACCACAAATGCTGGATCAGCTTCTTCAACCACCACATGACAAAACGGCTGAGAAGAGCGTCTGGGATCTTTACACAGAAGCTCACGACACTTTACGAATTTTCTTGGAGCATTTTCTGGAAGAAGCTATCAGTTTGGCGTACTTTGGGTAACAACGGTGAAGAGAAGGCTACTGGATGGGATCATGCAGTCTTTACAGATTGGGAACTCTGGAGAACCGGGAGCTGGTCGGCTTCTATATGAACGTGAAGCTGCCTTCATGGACCTGGGACACTCGGGTCGGACACGAAATTTGTTTGCGTTGTTACATAGCCAGGGCTTTAGGTGTTGGTCGGAGAGCTGGGAAGCTTGGAGACGAATCTCAATCGGACCGTGGATGTAAGGATCACTGCAGGGGCTGGCTCCTAATCAGAACTCGCGGGCTTTTGTGACGCAGGAAATGAGTATGAGTCTTACGTTTTACAGATATACGGAGCACCTTGTCACTACCATTGTCTTGGGTTGGTTCCCGCTCTTGTCGTCCCCTTGATCCAAATTAATCCTACTTCAGATGAGTTTTGTCGACGATCCGCAAACTAGGCCAGGGATTTTGAAACACGGGACTTTGCATTGGAGCAACAAGCGAGGATTCGATACGAGCCTTGCCGCGCCTCCGGAATGGGAATCGATTCGTGCTAAACGTCGGTGGGGGGGACTTGTGCGACTTGATGACAGCGACTTGGACTTGACACGAGCGTGCCCGAGTTGAAGTTGATTCTTGGGGGGGCGGCAGGCACATGGGAAGGTGGAAACAAAATGGCAGAAAGTCAGTACAAAACTAGTGGCTTCGTTGCAATTCCACATTTGACTTCATCACTTCTGCATTGGGAACCCACCAGCTTCAGACGAAACAAGGTCGTCACCTTACCAGAGACTACCAGTCCTCACCTTCCGCCTCACGCTGCGATCCCCGCTCTCTCCTCCCACCCACTCTCCCCGATGGCATCCCTGACCAGTCTGGGCCGTCGTCATCGAGTCCTGCACCTTCGTCTGTCAGAGAAACACGAGGTCTAGGCAACGAGAATAAAGCTTCAGAGACTAGTACTGATAAGCGTCTCATCGAGATCAAAGATGATCAATGGTATCGAATGCGTCCGGAAGTTGCCAGCGAGTCAGTCTGGCCTTACTCTTCGAGCCCTCCGACTCGCTCTCCCACCCCCTCCTTCCCGGGAGCTTCTGCCTCCATGTGGGTAGACAAGCGGAATTACTCGGTGCAATGTGACAGTGGGTGCAAAAGATGCAAAAGAACACACCAGTGGCGCTCTTAAAGGCCAAGCCGCCGTGTTACTCGTTGACCATGCCTGTTGACGGCCAATGGGACTTGGTTGGAAGCAAAATACGGAGCACACACGGTGTTTCGGGACACCCGGTTGAGATGACGAGAATCCCTCCTCTCTGTGAGCGACACCGGCTTTTGTCACCAAGCGTCCTGACTGGACGGTGGACAGGAGCTCTCCCCCCTCAACACCAAAGCTTGTAGAGCAGAAAAAAGTGGGCTTTCTGACTACTGGGGTGACAGCAGGATCTGCAACCAGGGTGAATAGCGACCAGAGAAGAAGCTGTGCATCCCCGAAAACAATGCTAGGCACCCACTGGCACCCACCGTAGGGTGTGAGAAGCTTCATCCCCGACCAGTTTGACACGCCTATCGACGCTAAAAAGCCGTTTCTGATGCTAGCACATTGGCCACGCTTGTGTCCTGTCAACTTTGGACTCGGTCCAAGCCAGAGCGAATCAACCCGCTGTGAGGTGGAGCGAGAGGAGCCAGAATGAGCATCTCGCAGGCTTTCTCTCGCTCGTTCCCCGCCCCCAAGAAAACGGCGGTGCAGCTCAAGCCATATCAACTATCGACTCGACCCATACTCGTGCTTGGGAGAGGCTTGCAAACATGCAAGAGCGTCCCACAGTACGCAATCTCGTCAGCACTGGGATTTGCCTCGTGCCATTCTTGGTCGCAAAATTTGGGAACAAAATATACAAAGTAGGCATGGGACAAGGCTTGGGCACCGGGTTAGAAATTGCCGGTCGACGATGAGGGTCGAAAATTACAACGGTATGGAGGTTGTTCAATACAGCGGACCGCCGAGCAGATCAGGAGATCGACAGATAACCCCAACCATCTGGCTTTGGCCCATGCTGCTTCTAAATTCTGCTTCATCGCAGCCTCCTCCTGAAGCCCAGACCAACGGCACAATTTAGGCTAGTCGAGGATATCCCAGGGTCAACATGGCGACCAACTCCACATCAATTACCGTTTCCATGACCCTGAGAAAGGTGCCAGGACGGCGCCACTGATGCAAACCGGTCGATGGACGATGTCCTCCGGAGCAGCTGTCCAACAGCCAACCTGTCCGGACCGAGAAACGTGGCTTTAGCTTTGGCCGCTGAGGCTTGCTAGACATCCCCCAAAGTCCAACGCCGCTGAGCCCGTTCGGCGGCTCGTTCACTCTCCCCTGAGTTGGACTGATATCAGAACCTGGTCCTGGCGATCCTGATCGCATACGTATATCAACAATTCATACAAAGGCACATCTGATGGTGTTACATACCCTGGTCTACCAGAGTTATTATTATCTAGGCCGCAACCAAGATCAGTAGAAGACAGAAGACTTTGTGGGGTTCGTTCTCCCCGTCAACATGATCGCCCCTGGCTACGATCCATTATCCAAGACGAGGAAAATGATGGGTCATGTACCCCGTACGAGGTAAATGCACACAGTTGCACCGATATTTCCGCCGCCCAGCATGAACAGGCCGAATGCGGTGCTGGCCAATTTGCCTTTGCCGCCATGATTCGGGTTCCGGCCATGGATATCTTACAGGGCCTTGTTTGCCAGAGCAAGACCCCTTCCCACCTGACCTCCTGGCACGAATTCTAGACAAAAGTTACTGCGACCACAGAAGGTGTGTCGGATGCTGGCATCCCTGTGTGTCAATGCCGTTAGCTGTCCACGGTGCCTGCTCCCAGACTGCGCGATCGTCTGTCCTCGGATCAAATCCCACGTTTTCGACGCGCGATACTCCCACTAAAGGGGAAAATTGCTTGATGAGACTGTCCTGTGCCTACGTTAACATCGCATCCATGTGTTTTGCGGTGCGGCTCTCCCATTTGAGAGGGGATTATGGTTCTGTGCCGAATCCCAGAAATTTCCGACTCCGCCGTTCATACCGGCGTCAAGTGCATGGCTTGTGGACTGTCTTAGGGCTCCTAAGCCCAGGGCCACGCAGCTTGTGGTCGATTCTGGACGCCCTGTGGGCCGCCCATTGATCGACGTTCGGGATCGCCCTCAGACAACCCCAGTCAAGTTCTGGGTCTGAGTTCACGTCTGACGACACTACTACTTGACCACCACCTGGAAGTGTGCTTGGAGCCAGCAGCAGGACCCCTGTCGTGCCCAAAAATCCACCGCCGCGGTATAGCGCTTCTGCAATCATTCGCTACTTTTTGGGCATGGGGCCTGACTGAACCAGGAGGGGTCCCCCTTCCAACTTCGAACCTTCGAGTCTTGACCTCTTCATTTCTGGACAACACCAAGCTCGGTGTTACAATAGCAATCTGTGCCCGTGGGTGGAAACAGCTTCATTTTCACCTTGTACCGCGCATATCCCTTCCCATTTCAAGCCCGGATGCAAATCGACATCACATTATCTCCCCTCAATCAAACAAATGCTTCAACGGTCTGGCTGATCCTCTGATAATCGTTGGTCACCCGCGTCATAGTCGGCTTTGGCTTGTATCTGCGAACTCCGACAACTTTACCTGGGCAGACCAATTTTGCCGCATTCTGCGCTGCTCAAATTGCAACCCACACTTCCAGTGCAGGTCCAGCGCGGTTGCATGTGCGGCGAGACTCAACGAGACCTGCCTGGATTTCCTTCGGTCCGACTGGTGCTCCTCGATGTCATATCACGCCTTTAAAATTTTTGCCGCCAAATCGACACTAAACCACTGTCAATTTCTGGCCTCTACTGAAGCTGCCTGTCTCCTACGCACTCTGCTCTGCGCCTGAGACTTTCCACTGGTTCCCGTTGGCTGGAGACCTGGAGGCTTTGGACCGTAAGGCGCTGGTAGTTGGACTGAGACAAGCGCATGGAACATTAGTTGTTGTTACACCGAGCTCAATTGTACCGATTGCCAGTATCGTCATTCCTTGGTCGTTCGACGAGACGCCTACAATCGCAACAAGCGGCCCTCCGTACCACAACGTCGTGGTTCAGAGTCTTGGAAGTATTGGTGACTGGGAAGTCCATCCAGGGGTACGGCATTCCCTGAGCGAGGGCACGAGGGCAAGAACAAGTATTTGTTTCCATCTGTTGGCGAATACATCTTGTCCTGTGTCACAATCAGCCATTTGGAATTGTGCGACTTGCGCACCAAGGCATGAGCGGCCCCTACGACCATGGCATGAATATGCCAATCCCTAATATGCTGGATGCAGCCTATCCGATCTACGATGGCACTTTCAATGCAGCATATCCCCGGTTGTCGGGTCCTCCAACTCATTTTGACGGTGTTGCCTTCTGGTACAATCCTACCAACACCGAACAACTTTATGACAGGCAGGCAAGCCTTCTCAGTGGCCGGCGTGGAGGAGCGCATGCAAATAGCATGGACACTTCCGCTGTCAAACACCGTCGAACCCGCAGTGGTTGCTTTACTTGCCGCAGCAGAAGAGTGAAGGTACGATCTCGAACATTGTCATGTTTACTGCTTCCGCGCTAACCCTGGTGAAGTGTGATGAGACGAGGCCTGTCTGCGACAGTATGTGATTCCTCCAATTGCCCTGGAATTTGGTACTGACTCCTACCCCAGGATGCAAGAAGGGTAATCGTGAATGCGAGTTTCCGCAGACCACCCAGTCTTCGAAGCGATCCAAGCAAGGCGACAGTCGCGGCACCAAGGATCAGGCGGCGAAGCATGAAGTCAAAGATGAGAGCATGACCGGGTTGCCCACTATAAAAGACGAGAGCGAGGAAGACGAGTCTCCACTGTCTCCGACGACAACACGACCACCACCACTGCGAAGCGACAGCGGCCAATCAGTGCCACGCAGTACAAAACCCAAGAATGCTTCAGAGGCATCCTCTGGCGTCAAGGATCAAACCAGTCCACAATCGAGCGAAGCATCGGACGCTCGCTCAAGAGACGATACACCTGCATCATCATTGCGCACAGTTGGCAATTCTGCGGAAATGCAAGCTCGACAGGCAAAGATAAAGTCCTTGAAGCCCGATCTTCAAAGATATCTACAATTCCAGCAAGAGTATATGACCTTCTACCACTACTTCTTCAAGCTCGACCCGACGGACTTTGTGCATGCAGAGTTTATCGACCTTGCTTTGACCTACGAGCCGCTGCTATATGCTGCTGTCGGTTTTGCGGCGTACCATTACGAGCTGAAGCAGCCTGAACCCAAGTTGTCGCATTTCTTGGGGTACCATAGCAGATCGCTGTCAATGCTCAGGAAATCGTTGGAGAAGAACACAAAGGTCACCGAGGCCACTCTTCTTACTGTTTTACAATTGGCCACCTTCGAAGAATATATTGGCGATTGGGTGAATCTGGTGGGGCATCATCGTGCGGCTCTTACTATGGCGCGTGATCTTTACACCCCAGGTACGATGATGGAGTCGGACGTGGGAAGACGTATCTTCAGCTGGATCGCTCGCTTGGATGTCATGGTGGGTCTCATGGCCGGCAACGAGACGCGACTGGACCGTCAATGGTTCGAGGCGAACGCTGCATGGTACCACAGTCAGGTCGAGAGCGACCCAGAAGTCGATGTCGACATCGAGAACACCATGGCATACTTTGTATCCTCAAATCGACTGATTGGCATGGACATGGCTGCTCTGTTCGCCAAGTTTGCCAAACGCGAGATCAGCGTGGAGACATTTTGCGCCGAAAACAGCGAGATTGTTGGGAGGGTCGAGGCTATGAAACGCCAGATCGAATTGTTCAACGACGAATACTACAGGGTACAAGAGTTCCCGGTAGAGAAGACTCGACCTTTGACCGAAGAAGATATTGTCAATCCTTATGTTCCGGGAGGCCTCTTTAAGGACGTCCTCTGGCCTCTGAACTTCATGTGGATCGACTGGTACAGCATTGAGCTATTGCAGAGATACCAGACGGCGGTTATGCTTCAGCAGCCGATGCCTCCTGAATTGGAACAGATCAGTCTGGAACAGTGTCGAATCTACGAGGCCATGGAGCGGTGGCCGGATGCTCCAACCGGATCCATCTTGGGAGCACATGCGCCTCTGGGACTTGCTTCGGTTTTCCTGAACAAAGATGCTAGACACGTCATGTGGATGCGAAGAAAATTTGCCGCTGTGGAAAGACAAGGCTACATTTTCCCACCGTCCTTTCGACAAAAGATGGCTGAAAGGTGGGGTTTGACGCACGACGAGGTCGGTGAAAATGAAGCCGTGGAAAATTGGTGGCTACCCAATGACGAAGGGAACATTCCTATGTTGAAGGAGATCCGCAAAGTGGTGACAGAAAGGCATGAAAGCGATACGATCACCAGCGTCGAGTCCCTTGCCAGCGTCCGAGACCTCAAGGCCATCTTCGAAAAGCTGGATCTTCGCACTCAATCGGCTGGGAAATCGGGGGGTAGTGATGGACAATTCAGCCCCAAAAGTGATACCAGTGGTGGACTCAGCGACCGCGCAAGCAATCCCAGTTTCAGTCCCACCAGTGTGAACTTCGGTGACGCAGCGAAAGGGAACAGCATATCGGTAGCTGTGCAAGATGGAGCTGGTTCCTCGAACCGAAGAGACAAGCGATCTGGCTCGACTTCATGAGAAGATGATGAAAGTGACTGCAGGGCTTTTTCGGAAGCCTTGTCGGCAACGATATATTTTCATGCGCCAACGACGCGAGACGAGCGACAAAGGAATTATAGAATGGCCTGAGCTGCTCGTCACAAAACTCCTCAAAGGATCGGACGCTTCGATCTCCGTCCTCCTAGCATTGGTGCCTAGGCACGACGACGTCGAGTTCGTCTGACTAGGCAGACGACCCTTCAACTGGTTTCATCCCTTTCATCGCTGCGATATTATTGTTCTCTTTTACAACAGACCCACTTTCACCTCGCATGTTTCAATCCTGGTGGGAGGAAAGTATTTTTGCTACAGCACAATTCTAAACTTCTGATTGTGCGGCCATAGAAGAAGCATTTGTTTCGATTCTGTCTCAACTCGGTCCGCCGTCTGTCTCTTGAATCGGCAGAGCTGGGCAGCGTGGTGCGACTCGAACATCTGCAAGCTTCATCATATACCAGGGATCTTCTCGCTCTTTCCTCTTAGAGACGTATATATAAATCTATACTCATCAGCAAAAGAAGGCGCAGTGCTCCAGGCGGCTCACGCCTATCGAGCCAGTTTTGGCAACGAGGAAAAATGAAAGGGCAAAATTGCTACATTCACATCTTCTTCTTGTCTCTGCTCCTGGAGTAAGACTCGCCTCTGGATGATTGCTCGTTGGGCAAGCTCACATACTTTCGACCACACGCAACAAAATTAGCCAGCTGATCAGATTAGATGCTTCAAAAGGAGCGCCCCGTGTCGAGGAGTTTTCAGCGGGATCTCCAAGTTCACGAACCGCTAGTAAGCAACGACCGTTAGTTTCCCCCTGGGGGCATTTGCCAGCCCAAGTCTTTCTGCATTAATAATGTTAGCAAAAGAAAAGACATCCCAAGATGGCCGAGGCGTCCTCGGTCGGGGACATGGGAAAACGGTCGGCCAACATCACCTCCCCTTTTTTACTCGTGGGTAGAGGACCAACCGGTTCATCTTCCTTGCTGTACGAGGGACAGGGAACTCCACTGCACCCGGGACATGAGCTCTTTTGGGATGGCCGTTGAACAGTGCGTGTCGAATAGCAAACGCGTATTCGCTTTCCCTCGTACCCCGGGGGGTGTCGTTGCTCTTTGGCAGGATGATTTATGTGGCCAGACTTGGGGGATCAAGCACACACTCACCCCCCTAAAATAGGCTTCTTTATGCAACCTCGACCCCTCCGTCGATGCAGTCGAATGCTGCTGAAAGAGGAGAGGAACCATCATAGCACCCCTGACCTTTTTGCCAATGGCTCGCTGTCCATGAATTGCGTTCGTTCTTGCAGATACTTCCCGCGTGGCTTGCCAGTGTTGTTCTGGTCCAATAGCAGTGTCTTGCCCTTGGTTGTCCTTTGATGTCCGTGTTAGTCTGCTTCTGGGATGGGACTCTCCATCGCCGCGTCTTGAGTCTCTGAAACGGTCCACATGGGTTCTCGTGCTAAAGTGTTTGCGGTTCGGCATGTTTTAGGCCCACATTAAGTTGCTTGCTTCCTTCGAGTTGCCACTAAAAAGCTGGACGGCAATAAGCTGGCTCCATCAGTGAACAAGACAACTGGGGCTCGACTGCAGAACAAGGCTTGGTCTTCGCAGGACTGTGAACCCCGGGCTGTGGTGGATATCCCACCAACTCCAGTCTCAGGAGGAGAGTGCACATCTCGTTCGTATCGGCAGGTGCTTATTCTGCGCCGACACCACTCGGCCAAAGTGAGAGATGAATACGAGGGTATGCAAAGGCACGGAAAAGCGGACGCCTTTAGCCTTCTGAAGCCGTCACGTAGTTTCCCGTTCTAGGCGAAACTGCCTCTTGAAGCTGCGAAAGTAGTCACACGGGATGCTTCATCCAGCCTAGACTCGTGCAGTTTCACGCCAAAGACGTATTTCTCCGAGTCCCCTGAAACACCTCCTCAACGTGCCCGACATGTGGGATATGGGGGGGGCATGTGGCAGACAAAGAAGGAAAGCGTCGTTCCCTTGGATTCCACAGTATTCGTAGGACTTGATGATAGCGCGTCGATGCGGGCACTCCTGCTCCTTGTGGTGCCCGTGGTTAGTCCTGCTCGTACAGCCCTCGAAGTGATACCAGGTGGATGTTGAGTAATTGCATGAAGTATGTATGGAGTACTATTGTCTTGATGCCTTTTCTTGCTAGCCTGCCGGCTAAAGCCGTTGATAACAGTTGCCTGTGATGAATAACGTAGCAACAGCTGGATTGGTGTCCAAGTGCATCGCACTCGCCCGCGATTGCTGTTTGGTCGAACCTGTTTTTCGAGACTGCCTGTGAATGGTTTCACATATCTTGAATGGATAATGTCAGATGGTCATTCATCATCCCCGCATGATCACCTCTCCCAAACTGACGAGACTCTGGGGTGTTTGTTCAACGAGTTAGGGAGATCTACCGAGCCTCATCAGCCCAACCTTCTCACCAAATAAGACTTATACAGAGTGCCGTAAAAACACCGAGGTCGGTCAGGGTGGACGATTCGAAGCTCCCAAGTCTTGCCCACCCTCGAATGGCACACAGTCTCGCAGGGTGGGATTCAACGTTCATGTCCAGTAAGCTGCTATTCTCAAGCTGCGCCAAGGTTGATGGCCAGCGAACGAAGAGTTTAGTCTTGAAGCTTGCAATAGCAGCCAAGGGGGCAAACTTCCCAGAAGCCAGTGGCCTTCTAGCGTGGAGTAGTTGGAGCTGCGATGAGGCTGCCTCCCACGTACATATGGAGGCCGGCCAGTGAGTAGACTTCTGCCACGAATGAGCCGTCGCGCACTCAGTGTAGTGCTTGTTGCATGGCAAGTGTGCCTGATTCCCTGTTGCCGTTAGAACGGCTGATCTTCCCCAAAGATACAAGAAAACCTTCTCCACGGTGACCACTGGCGGTATGGGGCATGAAATGCGCGGACCACAGGCCAAATTAAGTCCCTCTTGTGAATGGAAATATGGAGGAAATGTCTAGGGATTTGGCAAGGGTGTGGTGACAACATAGACAGACTCTCGGGGGACGTGAAATGTTCCCAACCCGCTGGAAAGGCTCTCCGATACAAGTGGTCCGGCCCGCAGGGGTTGTTGAAGCCATCAATTCGGATACTAAGAATGTCCGGGCCCGGTCCTTTAGAGTGCTCGATGTCTCGAGGTAATGTCGCGGATCCACTGGTCCAGGAGTTACTATCATTAGCATGGCCTAGGATATGGGACGAGTAGCTCCAATGGAGGACAGTCTCCATTATTTATTGATCCCATTCCTTAGGGGAGCAAAAAGCAGTGATACAAGGTCCAACTCGACGAACCCGGGTAACGATCGGACGACAAGTTTGCGATACGACTTTCTCAGAGTCAGTAACGACCCGGCAATAGAGCGAAATTTAATAATGATCCAGGAGATCGCTGCTTCGTCGAGCCTAGGCTCATGAGCTTCCATGGGGGAACTTCCACTCTCTTGCCATGCCGGCTCCTGCGAGCGAGCAACTGTCTTGAATACATTTGCCTCGCATGTTTTCTGACAATTTCGAGTTAGCCCGACCGTACGTGCGCACCTAATTGATGCCAGGCTTTTCCGTGGTGCAATCATCATACACTGATGCTATTCCGCTTGGCGAGGATGCAGCCCTTGGAATCTGCTGGGAGATAGTTGGGACCAGCGTCTTCTCGGGTTTTATTCAGCTCTGTATCGTTCAGCATTTGGGAAATCGTCGATAACCAGTCCCAAAACCGTGAACTGGGCTTCATGTACCGTCTTGCGCAATGGCAACGAATTCAGAAATGGGATTTGGGATCGCTCTTGCAGTCGAGCATCATGACGGTTCTGAAAACACAAAGGAACCGAAGCCAACACGCTTCGACGGTCTGGCAGTTGCGAGTGATGGCAATGGGATGGCAAACGAGGATCCGGTTGATCTCGAGGGCGAGAGCCTTGCAAGACTGCTGCGTCGTCAGTCTTTCACGAGCCGCGATTCGAGGACAGCAATCCTGGAAATTGGGAACATAATTGAAGAGCGAGAGGAATCTGTGGCGATAGGAGACTGACAGCGATGACCAGCCTTGGTTCCGGTCAGCGAGCAAGTTGCAATACCCTCGAGCGTCTGGAAGGTGTCTTGGGGATTGACAGAAGGAACACGAGTCGACTATCATCTAGAGGTTCGCATTAGTTGGCCAGTTCTCTATCGAGGTGCGGGCAATCCGGGGGACTGATGTGTTCATTCAAAGATTTTGTCAGCGGAGAGTCTGTTGATGTAACCAGGAAGTGACACGACCAAGGGAGCCGCGGGAGCGTAGGTGGAAGCGCTCGTTCCTGGAGACAGAGGCGATGGTGATCTAGACCTTGCAGGGGTATTCTGATCCGTCTCGAAAATGAAGTCTTGCTGCTGAGTGGGAGTTAGATACCACCTTTTCTCGGGCAATACTATTTCGTTTCCTGTGAAGCTTTCAGTCATCCAGCAAAGATACATGGTCAAATGCTTCAGTCGAGCTTGCATCTATCTTGCGTGAGATTGGTGCATCGAGGCGAGCCGTCGTGTCCACAGTGGGGGTCATTTGATGTCGAAGAAGCAGTTCAAAAGCACAAAGACGTTGCTGCCTATGAATCCAGGCGATATGAAGCTAGAGTAAGGAGCAGCCTCCAGCTATGAGCGACAACATCAATTGGAACGAAAGACTGGCAACAAACATGGTTCCAAGGCAGTTGAGTGAGAGAGCCATAGAGCCTCTGCCTGCGCCCCGTCTGTCCAGGCGCAGGCGGAATGTGGTCTGCGGTCGGCGCACTTTCCACATTCAGCTGCCCGACAAATAATTTTCCCACCCGCGTAATGCGACCAACACGACGGACTGGTTTGCAGACTCACTTTGCTTTCGCCACCAAATTTCTGTATTCGTGTATCCCTCTTAGAAACCTCATACTCTGAGGCATGGATTCGTATCGCCCTGCTGGCGACGATCGTCGGCCTTATCGAGACAGCGACTCATACCGGCCCCGCCACTATGACCCTCCTCCCCCGCCTTGGCCTCCGTCTAATGGCGGCAATGGGATGTACTACTTCCAAGGCTCGCGCGACAGAGACCTCCCAGGATCGTCTAGCTATCGACCCAGACCTGACAATCGTGGGGCGCGTTCTCAACCTCCACGACGGGACCAAGCTCGCAGGCCTCCGCCGGCTTTTCCCAAGACAGCAGCAAATAGGCCCTTGATGAAGCTTCGTCAAGACGACTCCACGGATTCTTCCCTTACAGATCCAAACTCGAACCCCAAGTCCAAGTTTCGCAATGTCGACGAGCTCACTGATAGTGAAGAAGAAGAAATGGCGCAATCCGAAGATGAAGAGGTGGACCGGCCAGCCAACAAACGTGCGCGACTGAATGGACCCGAACATACCGCCGCACCTGTCGCACCAAAGTGGTCAAACCCCGATCCATACACCTCACTTCCTCCTCAAGCAGAGGCAACTGTCAAACGCGTTGATGTTGTCAAGCTGATTCGAAAAGCGCGCATCGATGGCGACCGTAGTCGCGAGGAAGTCAACATAGCCGACGACTTCATCTCTTTTGATAGTGAGGAACATAAGTCGACCGAGCAATATATGTCTCTCGCGCCTCGTTTAAATATTCCGATGGCGCCTAAAGTATCGGCGTCTCAAGTAGAGATCAGGACTACCGCTACGGGAAAGAGAAAGCGAGGTGCTTCTCTCGGTGAGGACGCACCACTGCCACGATCCGACAACCAGATTTATGCCGATCGTCATGTGCAAGAACAGTGGAGAGCAACACCTGGAGTTGATACGACGCCGTGGCTGGCAGCTCATCCCCCTAGTGACATTCCGTTGGTTGCGTAAGTGAGCACATGTATTCTTCACTTTCGCAACTGACCGCCATAGTTTTCACAAAGAGATCATTGACTTCTACGATTGGGTGAAGCCAAAGCCTCACGAGGAGGATGTCCGTGACGAGGTTTTTCGACGCCTGAATACCCTCCTGCAAAGTTTCATCTACGGAGAACTCAGAGCGTTCGGATCTTATGCTGCTGGCCTGTACCTCCCTACCGGGGATATGGATCTTGTTTACCTCACTCGCAACTTCAGACCTGGCCGGTTTTCTCCAGAAGATTCGAGGCGACTCGTCTGGGACTGTGCCAGGTTTCTCAGGCAGAGGAACATTGCTGAAGGAGTCATCGTACCTATTCCCAGGGCTAAAGTCCCAATAATCAAATTTGTCGATAGGGTCAGCGGCCTCAAGATTGACCTTTCTTTCGACAACGATACCGGCGTTGTTGCTATTGACACATTCCACAGGTGGAAGCAGGAATATCCTGTTATGCCCATAATCGTGTCAGTGGTGAAGCAATACTTGATGATCCGAGGGTTGAATGATGTTTCAACAGGTGGTTTGGGGGGCTTTTCGACTATCTGTTTGGTCACCAGTCTGCTTCAACATTTGCCAGTTCTTAAGGAGCCAACCAACCTGGGCGACGTCCTATTACAGTTTTTCAACTACTACGGGAACCTCTTCGATAAGAATTCTGTGATCATCCGACTCGACCCCCCCGGATATTTGCACAAGGTAGTTGCGTCCATCCTATTTTGTTCATACTAATCTGTTGCTGCAGGCGTCTCACCGTCCTCGGTTCGATGATAGAGAGTCGAGACGGCTTACTATCATGGATCCACATCGCGCGGACAACAACATCTCAGGAGGAACCAAAGAAATCGACAAGATCTTCAAATGCTTTTCTGAGGCATACAAGGCCCTCACGAGTCGACTATCCGCTTACGAAAGACGAAATCCGCAGGCTCCTCAAACCAGCTTTTTGGAGTGTCTCATTGGTGGCAACTTCACGCTTTACGAGTCACAGCGCAAGAAATTGCTTGATCTTTGTTCCGACGACCATGATTTAATGGTGACGAACGAAAGAAATGCGTCCAAGATGTCTTATCGACCGGCTGTTGTGAACGCACGTGGCGAACGGAACGTACGTTGATAGTTGCTGTCCTACAGACGAGGAAGCTTGACGTGATCTAGGGACAACCAAATGAATCTGAGGTTTCCTCAGAAAGAATGCCCGCCCCGACGAAGACGCTCGTTAAAGGCGAGAAACGAGCGAAACGGCTCAAAGACTTACGGCCCGAGCTCGCACCATCGATACGGAACACTATCAGCCTCATAGATGCTTTGAAGATTGGAGGCTACAAAACACCGCAGGAGATGGAACATGACCTCCAGGTACGGGAAACGGCGGCCGCGAAAATTGCAGCAGCCAAAGTCGAGTGACCAGACAGCATTCAGGAGCATTTGTCAGTTGAATCACTCTCACGAGTTACCGTATCACAAGCTGGCGCCCCATTGCGCCAACATTATTCAGGACAGCGGCTGAGTGCCGCGTATTGATTACTGGCAAGTGATCAGAGCATCTTGACAGTCACAGTGTCTTGAGAGCTCCTGTGTCTCAGAGTGCCTGTCTTTTCAAATCACACCCACTTGAAAATGTTCTCTTCAGCATTGAATTCTTCCATCCAGCCTAATCTCGGCTCTGCGATTTACTATGGCATTTGGAGACTGCTGACAAGTATATAGAACGTTGTCACCTCACAACGGCTGGCGTCCGCAAAGGCCGGTAGGAAGATGCCAAAGTTCAGCCCAAGACACGATGACCGACGCTACAAAACCCTCTCCATTGCTTCTCTTTTAGTCTTTGGTCTCTTGCGTGATTATTTACGTGTGAAAAAGGTAACTAATCTCCATATTTGGAAGCCTACTGGAATGCATCAGGACTTGCATCGCCTCTACTTCCAAGACTGCCAATCCAAAAATCGAAACATCTCAAAATACGGCATTTCTCGAGCTCCATGGTATCATGAGGCCCAAATGTCAACAGGCCCAGAGCTCTCTTGAGACCACAGCAGCTATTATCACGCAAGTGGTGCCTGAGCGCTGCTCTTGAGCTCTATCCTACCGCCCCTTTTCTCATTGTCAAAAGTGCTTTATGCACTATGGCGGAGAGGAAGTCTCGGTAGCAGACCTATCTTTGCATGGTCAGGCTGGCTGGTGGTTCATCAAAGATTGGCTGGCTCTGATATTCAGTATCTCCGCCAGACTTTGGCGCAGCGACTCTTTGTCAGCGGCATAGAGTTGTGGTTGTCTTTAAGAGCACCGAAACTCGTTACGCTGACGAAGTGCTCTGTATGGCCGAGTCTGGCGAACTGACTGGGAACCGAAGGAGGGTGTCCGAAGCCGAACTCGCCTACTACCACATGTTGGAGATGATGAGTAGCACTGACAATGCCTCCTCTGTCATCCAAGGAGTGAACGGATACCAGTCTGCTCCGGCGAACAAGCCAGCATTGAATTTGTGTGAAGTTGGCATCAGTAATTCCATTGGACGCCAACTTCTTCTGAAGTATCTGCCTTTTGCAGAGGAATGGGTAACAAATAAAAGAAGAGGAAGGGTGGAAGAAGCTCACCCGGCGATGCAATGGGTACGCAGTTGGTGACCAGTGCAAACATATCGAGAGAATTGGTGAAGGATGCATTAAGGTCGAGACCTACAGAGAATCAGAGTGAATCAGAAGGTCTGTTTAGATGGTTACCTATCCAAGGAAGCACGAGTACAGAGGTACATGCTAGGTAGGTAGCTAACAAGCTGCACTATTGTAAGTGCCTGTGGTGCCTATATGGAGATCCCAGTAGTTAAGCGTTTTAATGACATCGGGTATGTCTGGGCTCGGTGGGCGATTCTAGCACCCAAGAGAGCCGCACCAAGGATCGGAAGGGAAAGAATTGAGCACTGCGAGGGTCCTTCACCCGCTGCTCCGCCGCCAAGCGCGGACACCAGCCAGCCTGAGTCTCCGCATCCATCCTGGGCGGCTGTGGCAGCGTAACGTGGACATGGCAATTACTGCTCCCCCTCATGCAGTGCAAAAAGTCACTTAGAAACATGGAATAGGCCAATATTTTGCCCTCTCAACACCTTCACGTCCGAGACACGTTGACATCTCCATCCGTCCCACCGCGCTCAGAGGTCATCCTGCGGACCATGGTTCTGCACCATGGCGTCGTCGCAAGGTCCGGGTCCAGACCCCAGCGAGCGCATCTTCGTTGATCTACGAAGCAAGAATGACGAAGTCAAGAACAAGGCTGCAGCAGAGCTGCGTGACTTGATAACATTGCTCTCGAGAGGTCAGACTCAATCCTGTGTGTCCTTCTGATCTGCTGACCTGGTTTCCAAAGAATGGTCCCCCGAACGATTCAGCGCATTCTACGATCGAGTTACCACCCGCATCAGCAACCTCATCGTGCAGGCACCCGACCCAAGTGACAAAGTTGGAGGAGTCGTGGCCTTGGACCGACTGATAGACTGCGAGGCAATTGATCCTGCCCAGAAGGCTTCGAAATACTCCAATTACTTGCGGGCAGCTTTGAAGAGCAATGACTACAGTGTGCTGGATGCGGCCAGTCGGGCGCTGGGCCATCTGGCTCGACCTGGGGGGGCATATACCGCAGAGCTTGTCGAAGCTGAAATGACATCGGCCTTCGAATGGTTGCAACCGGAGAGCAAGCAGGAAAGCCGTAAACTGGCAGCCGTCCTACTCATCCGCGAGCTCGCCAAAAATTCACCTACACTTGTGTACGGCTTCATTCCCCAGATCTTCGAGCTGATCTGGAATGCCTTGCGAGACCCCAAAGACCTTATACGCCGAATCGCCGCCCAGTCCGTCAGCGCATGCTTTGGTGTGATGGTTGCAAGAGACACACAGTTCCAAAACCATTGGTTTGCCAAAATATACTCCAAGACACTCGAGGGTTTCCGACCAAACACATCTGTTGATGAGACGCTGGGTTCTCTTCTGATCCTGAACGAACTGCTGCAACAAGGTAACATGTTCATGCACGACTTCTACAGAAACGCCTGCGAAACTGTGCTCCGGCTGAAGGACCACCGCGATCCCAGGATTCGTACCCAGATTGTACAGATCATTCCAGTCCTGGCGGAATATGCCCCTCTCGAATTCATCAACAACTACCTGCACAAATTCATGATCTACCTCCAAGCCCAGCTGAAGCGAGAAAAGGAACGCAACCAAGCTTTTATCGCCATTGGCCAGATCGCAGACGCGGTTGGTAGTGCAATTGGTCAATATCTCGATGGCATCATTCTCTACATCCGGGAATCGCTGAGTGCGAAGACCAAGAATCGAGCGGCGGTCGATGAGGGCCCGATGTTCAAGTGCATCAGCATGCTTGCGGGAGCCGTTGGCCAAACACTTAGCAAGTACATGGAGGCTCTCCTTGATCCGATCTTCGCTTGCGGCCTTACCGAGCCTATGGAACAAGCCCTCGAAGATATGGCGCACCATATCCCGCCAATCCGAGCGACTATTCAGGACAAGTTGTTGGATCTTCTGAGTTTGATACTTGTTCGTACCCCTTACAGGCCGCTGGGATGCCCGCCGAATACTTCACCACCCCTTCCTTCTTTTGCGAAGGATTATGGAGGCATGCCAGCCGAGCACAAGGACTACGAGATTACGTTGGCTCTTAAGACCTTGGGAAAATTTGATTTCTCCGGTCACATACTTAACGAGTTCGTTAGAGACGTCACGCTTCGCTATGCCACTAACGACAACCCGGAAATCCGGCGCGCAGCTGCCCTCACCTGCTGCCAGTTGTTCATGCAAGATCCTATCCTGCATCAGACCAGCAATAACGCCATTCAGGTCGTTGGAGAAGTGGTGGACAAACTCTTGACTGTTGCAGTTGGTGATCCCGATGCGGACATACGAGTGACTGTCCTTCGAGCCCTGGATCGGAAATTTGACAAGCATTTGGCCCGGCCGGAAAACATCCGCTGTCTTTTCCTGGCCGTCAACGACGAGGTCTTCGCTGTTCGTGAGGCTGCCATCGAAATTATCGGGAGGTTGACGACAGTGAATCCGGCTTATGTATTTCCACCTCTGCGGAAGCTGCTGGTTAACCTGCTCACAGGACTTGGTTATTCCAATACAGCAAAGCAAAAGGAGGAGTGCGCCCGTCTGATCAGCTTATTTGTCTCCAACGCTACCTCTCTAGTCAGGACTTACGTGGAAGCCATGGTCTCTGCTCTTCTGCCTAAAGCGACTGACCCCAATCCCGGAGTGGCTTCGACAACCATCAAGGCTCTTGGAGATCTCACTTCTGTTGGTGGAGATGAAATGGCTCACCACATTCCGGAGCTCATGCCGATCATCATCGACGCCCTGCAAGATCTCGGTTCACATGAGAAGCGCGAAGCGGCCATGAAGACCCTGCGTTCCTTGGCAATCAACTCACAATATGTGATCGACCCATATCTGGACTATCCCGAACTCCTTGGAATCCTGATCAATATTATCAAAACAGAGGCGCATGAGGAGCTAAGGACAGACGCTATCAAGCTAGTTGGTGTCCTAGGTGCTCTGGATCCTTACAAGTACCAACAGCTAAGTGAATCTGTTGCAGAAAAGCAAAGCAAGACAGAGACCCAACCGGTGTCGGACGTCGCGTTGATCATGCAAGGTTTGACGCCATCCAACGAGGAATTTTATCCGACAGTGGTGATCAACACGCTTATGCAAACCATACTCGCCGACCATACACTCGTTCAGTACCACAGTGCTGTGATCGATGCGGTTGTGACTATTTTCAAGACGATTGGCATGAAGTGTGTTCCATTCCTGGGTCAAATAATCCCCGGGTTTCTGGGTGTCATTCGCAGCTCCCCTCCTCCTCGCTTGGAGTCATATTTCAACCAACTTGCAGTGCTTGTCAATATTGTCCGTCAGCATATCCGTGCGTTTTTGGCCGAAATCATCGAGGTCATCCGAGAGTTCTGGAACGTGTCGAGGCAAGTCCAATCTACGATTTTATCCTTGATCGAGGCAATCTCCAAGTCTTTGGAAGGCGAATTCCGCAGGTACTTAGCAGGACTGCTGCCGCTCATGCTAGGTGTGATCGAAAACGACACAGATCTGCGGAGAGAATCCTCCATCCGCATCCTGCACACGTTTCTGGTCTTTGGCTCTAGTGGAGAAGAGTACATGCACATGATCGTACCGGCAATTGTTGGCATATTCGAAAATCCTGCGGCACCTCCGAACGCACGCAGAGCAGCAATTGATACTTTGGGCAAATTGTCTCGAACTGTCAATGTCACAGACTTCGCGTCGCTCATGATTCACCCGTTGGCAAAGATACTATCTTCTCCGGAAAAGGTTGTGACAAACTCTTCTGAACGGTCGCTGAAATCCGCTGCGTTGGATTGCATCTGCGCACTGATCTATCATCTCGGACAGGATTTTGTGCACTATTTGCCTCTTATCGAGCGGTCTACAAAGGCGGGTCAGATCAACTCTGAGAGGTTCCAGAAATTGATCGAGAATTTCAAGAGCGGCAAGGCTCTACCTGTCGACTTCTACCCAGAAGAACAATATGGGACGGCGGTGGAAGACACCAGCTACTCCAATATCACCTCGATGAGGCTACCAGTCAACCAGCAACATTTAAAGAGTGCTTGGGACACCTCTCAGAAGTCGACAAAGGAGGATTGGCAGGAGTGGATGCGACGCTTTAGCGTCGAGCTGTTGAAGGAATCTCCGTCACACGCTCTGCGGGCTTGCGCGAGTTTGGCTGGTGTTTATCAGCCACTGGCCAAATACCTTTTCAATTCCGCGTTCGTCTCGTGCTGGACCGAGTTATATGATCAGTACCAGGAACAACTCATCCAGTCATTTGAGAAGGCTCTGATCTCTCCGAACATCCCTCCAGATATCTTACAGACGTTGCTCAATCTGGCTGAGTTCATGGAACATGATGACAAATCTCTTGCAATCGACCTTCGGACACTGGGACGATACGCTGCCAAATGCCATGCATTCGCCAAAGCGCTCCACTACAAAGAACTTGAGTTTGAGCAAGATCAAAACAGCCAGAGTGTTGAAGCTCTTATCAGCATCAACAACCAACTCCAACAATCCGACGCTGCTATTGGCATTCTCCGAAGAGCACAGGTCTTCGGTGAAGTCGAATTGAAGGAGGCATGGTTCGAAAAGCTACAGCGATGGGAGGAAGCTTTGGCAGCATATCAGAAGCGAGAGAAGATCGAGCCAGACAATTTTGACGTGGTAATGGGCAAGATGAGGTGCCTGCACGCTCTGGGCGAGTGGAAAATGCTGTCCGAAATTGCGCAAGAGCATTGGAACAGCGCCTCGACGGAGAACCGCAAGAACATGTCTGCTCTGGCAGCGGCAGCGGCTTGGGGCAGAGGCGAATGGGACCTAATGGACAACTACATCAGCGTCATGAAAGAGAGCTCACCCGACCGGGCATTCTTCGGTGCAATTCTCGCGATTCAACGCAACAACTTTGCAGAAGCTCGCAATTTTATCATCCGGGCACAAGATGGTGTCAACTCAGAGATTGCAGCAACTATCGGCGAGTCGTACAATCGCGCTTACAGCGTTGTGGTCAGAGCACAAATGCTTGCAGAGCTGGAAGAGATCATTCTTTTCAAGCAAAGTGAGGGCAACCTCGAGAAGCAAAATGCCATGAAAGTTCTGTGGAACAAGAGACTCCTCGGGTGTCAATCCAATGTTGAGGTCTGGCAACGAATGCTCAAGGTTAGGGCCCTTGTTCTCACCCCTTCAGAAAATCCAGATATCTGGATCAAGTTTGCAAACCTCTGCCGAAAATCCGAACGCATCGGCTTGGCCGAAAGATCACTGGCGTCCCTAGGGGGCAGTGGCAACCTTGCTGCTACTGGTCCAGGCGCGGCACCACCTCCTGTTGCGTATGCTCGTCTCAAGTTCACTTGGGCGACCGGCAACCAACAGCAAGCTTTGACATACTTACGCGATTTCACCACCCGACTAGCCGACGAATACCAACAAGCCAACACTGCGATGGCAAGCGGTGCACACAACGATAGGATGAACAATCTGAATGGTCTTGATATGAACGGGCACGACACGATCGCTCAGAGAAGGAGACAAGAGGACTTGGAGAAATATGCCAAGCTCCTTGCCAAGTGCTATCTCCGACAGGGAGAATGGCAATCCTACCTTCTGAGAGGCGACTGGACAAGTCCACGAGCTCAGGATCCTGTGCGAGAGATCCTCAACTCGTATCAATTGGCGACACAATACAACGAGTCGTGGTACAAAGCATGGCATGCTTACGCACTGGCAAATTTCGAAGTCGTCACATCTATGGCATCCCATACCGACCAAGACAAAGTCCGCAACCTTCCCGAGCACGTTATTCAGAACCACGTTGTTCCTGCCATTGGAGGCTTCTTCCGGTCAATCGCGCTCTCCAAAACAAGCTCGCTCCAAGACACTCTTCGTCTGTTGACGCTGTGGTTTGCTCATGGTGGCCATAGTGAAGTCAACCAGGTGGTAATCGAGGGATTTGCTTCCGTCAGCATCGATACCTGGTTGGAAGTTATTCCCCAATTGATCGCTAGAATCAATCAGCCCAACGCGAGGGTGAGAGCTGCCGTGCACAGGCTACTCGCAGAAGTCGGTAAAGCACATCCTCAGGCACTCGTCTACCCGTTGACAGTGGCAATGAAATCATCGGTGGCGCGACGAGCCAATTCCGCCACTCAAATCATGGATAGCATGAGAACACACAGTCCTCGACTTGTTGAGCAAGCGGATCTGGTTAGCCACGAACTCATCAGAGTCGCTGTGCTTTGGCATGAGCTTTGGCACGAAGGTCTGGAGGAAGCATCTCGCTTGTACTTTGGCGATCATGATGTCGAGGGCATGCTTGCCACCCTAGCTCCGCTCCACGAGCTCCTTGATCGAGGTGCCGAAACTCTCAGAGAGGTTTCGTTTGCTCAAGCGTTTGGCCACGACCTGGCAGAGGCTAGGGCTTTCTGCAACGCTTTCCGTCGCTCGAAAGAAATCGGCGACCTTAACCAAGCTTGGGATTTGTACTATGCGGTTTTCAGAAAGATCGCGAGGCAACTCCCCCAGCTCATGAGCCTCGACCTCAAATACGTGTCGCCTCGACTGAAGGATGCTCACGATCTCGACCTTGCGGCTCCTGGTACCTACCAGTCTGGCAAGCCCATCATCAAAATAGTGAGCTTTGATCATGTTCTGACTGTAATACCCTCCAAGCAACGACCCAGAAAGATGACGCTCAAGGGATCAGATGGCGTGTCGTATGCGTTCCTCCTCAAGGGTCACGAAGATATCAGACAAGATGAGCGAGTAATGCAGCTGTTTGGCCTCGTCAACACCCTTCTGAACAACGATACCGAATCATTCAAGAGGCATCTGAACATTCAACGGTTCCCCGCTATCCCGCTGTCACAGAACTCCGGACTGTTGGGCTGGGTACCTAACTCTGATACTCTTCATAACTTGGTGAAAGAGTATCGCGAATCCAGACGCATCTTACTGAATATCGAGCACAGAATTATGCTGCAAATGGCACCTGACTACGATAACCTTACGCTCATGCAGAAGGTGGAAGTCTTTGGATATGCAATGGACAACACCACCGGCAAGGACCTATACCGTGTGCTCTGGCTCAAGTCTAAGAGCTCTGAGGCCTGGCTGGATCGACGAACGAACTACACCCGGTCACTCGCTGTCATGTCAATGGTCGGCTATATTCTTGGTTTGGGTGATCGCCACCCGTCAAATCTCATGCTTGACCGCATCACTGGCAAGATTATCCACATTGACTTCGGTGACTGTTTTGAAGTTGCTATGCATCGCGAGAAATATCCAGAACGCGTTCCGTTCCGACTGACGCGGATGCTCACCTTCGCCATGGAGGTCAGCAATATCGAAGGATCGTTCCGGATAACATGCGAAAACGTCATGCGCGTCATCCGCGAGAACAAGGAGTCAATTCTGGCGGTGCTTGAAGCCTTCATCCACGACCCCTTGCTTAATTGGCGTCTCAATACACGCGAGTCTCCACCCAGACCACACTTCCGCTCTGAACGGAGACAGAGCATTATTGATGCGCCAGGTGCACAGGGCGGAGACTATGATCGCAGTCCAATGGAGAGTGCGAACAACCCAGCCGCGTTAATGAATGCCCAGGGACAGAGTCATGTTGGTGCTCCCCCAGGCCGTCGACACCGACGTAGCAGTGTTCTTGACCCGGCCATGGTCGGCGGAAGTGTCCTTGACAAGACAATGGACAACAATGCTGCAGCCCAGGAAGCGAAGGAGGTGCAAAATGCCCGAGCATTGCAGGTCCTTGCCCGCGTCAAGGAGAAATTGACCGGACGTGACTTCAAGCCCGCCGCGCCAGGAACACCCTCGTACGCTATTGCCACGGCCCTCCGCGCGGACGTCAATGGGCTTGGTCTCGAGTCTCTCATGAACGTGAACGGTGGCGCGATGAATAACTTGACCAACGGCGCCATTGGGGCCGTGGATATGCAGCCACACGACAATCAGGTCTCTATTGCGGGAACGGCGCCCGAGACTACCATGGCGGGGATCGGTGGGCTAGGAGTTGCAGAGCAGGTGGATCGCTTGATTCTGCAGGCGACGAATGTGGAGAATCTGTGTCAGCATTATATTGGATGGTGTTCATTCTGGTGATCAGGCCTGGGAAATGGACGACCACCTTCAATCTGTGTCGACTGAGAGGATTGCTTCTTCCGAGACGATGGTGTCCAATGAGCCAGGCTTTGGTCTGCATTTGCTGATATCCACTTGGCCATGAGAGACTATGCTGGCTTGCCATATGTTTGGGCCTTGTCTATACCGAGGGAAGGCGCTGGACGGACTAGAGACCAGGGATGGAGATGGAACGGCAAGACATAATCTGTGGCGGCTTGGACAACACCTAGCGAGGGGATTCATCGATCAAACATCGCATCTACCCTGTCCTTACCTTAGTTAGCCTGGGATGAAGCAGGGCGTTGCTTGTATGTAATGCATAGTAGCACGGAGTGGCACGGCATGGCACAGCATAGGATAGCGAAATTGTAGCATGGGAGCCAGTCACCAATCCCAAAGGACTCGATGGTCATGGAAGTTCCATGTGTACAGGATGAGCTCCAAAAATCCTCATACAGGAGCAGGAGGTTTCGAAGCAGAGACATGGCTACTTACTTGTAGCCCTAATCCCACGGAGGATTCGCGCCGCACACCCTATATAGGCAGGTCAGCAAGTCACCATCCAAACACCGCGTACTCGGTACTCTGTTACATAAGCCTACGAGCTATCAACAAGGCTTGACTCGACCCGGCTCCTATCGATCGAGTAACGGGCCACCAGTGTTGCGCCCTTGTATAACTCCTGCCTGGTGCTGCCTGACCTAGCGCTTACATAGACCCCACTTAGGCTAGCTTCCCACTAACTAGCATAGATAAACGATATACAATGTCCATATTAGTGCGTTGCCAAACGCATATAAAGCCACTGGCCTTGGTCCAGTACAATCTCCCATACGAGGTACTTTAATCAACTATTGAGAGCAAAAGAAAATGGCAGAACAAGGGCCCGACACTCCCATCACAGCCACCTGCCACTGCGGTGGCATTACGGTCACCGCGCCACGCCGCCCCGCCTACGTCAACGAGTGCCAATGCACCCTCTGCCGCCGCTACGCCGTGGCCTGGGCATACTACGACCCGGCCGAAGTCAAGGTGGACATCAAGGAGGGCGCCGCGACGACGAAGTACATCTGGGGCGACCGCGACCACTCGTTTGACTTTTGCTCAAAGTGCGGGTGCATGTAAGTTGTTCGAGGCCACCTCATATCCCACATCCCACATCCCGTATCCCGTATCAGAAGCTCCCTCCACCACCCCGGGCCACCCGGAGGAGGACATAGCCTTTCGCATGAGAAAATCGGATCGAAACCGCTCGACTGATGTTATGCGCGCTGTGCCGCGGCCGGATGGAATAGGTGTTACTGGTGGCCGGTGAAAGCCCAAACCACCCCGATGATGGGTCTCAATACTCGCCTGGTCGATCCCGACGAGATGAGGTATGTCAGCCTACTAAAGCTACTCCTGGTGTGGTGGCGACGGCGTGCTCCAAGGGTTGCGCGTTTCCCCCAAACAGACCTGGCCTTGCCACACACATACACACACACACACACAACACTACTGACGCTTGGGTCTGTACACTGCATAGATGGGTGACGCGGAAGATTGATTACGACCAGCTGTTCGTGCCGATCGAGGCGAAGGACTCGCCCCATCCGGAGGACAAGGCCAAGTATTGAAGGGGGTTTCCAAAGCGGTGGTACCGATTACGCGGTAGTCAGAGTCGCTGTGCGAGGGAACAGGGGATGGAGTACATACAGGATGGTGTCGCAGATGTTCGAAGGGCAGCTGTAAGGATCAAAAGGATACAGACAGACCTACTACCTACATACATACCTACATACATACATACCTCACGCCCACGCAGATCTGATGTTTGTCCTGAGTGAAATTGGCCTTTTTCGGACGCGGGTATATACAAGAATGGGATTGCAGACGCCATAGAGTAATGCTATTATTTATAACAGAACGTGAGTACTTCGAAAAACGCGTGTGTGAAAGGGGGGGGGGGGGGGGGTCAATCCGTCATTAAGAAGAATACAGGGTTGGCCAGCAGCTCGTCTTTAGGCCAGTGGATCAGAACACATGCTGAATCCAGTTGAGACTGATTCCGGCATTCGTGTAGCCTGTCCTTGAGTACGCAAAGTTCATTCCGACGACGTTGAGACAGCCCTAAAGTGGAAAAGAAATGTATCTTATCCATGTTCTTCTTTGCTCCGTAGATGAGGTAGCATATGCTACCGCTTTGACTACACCACGTAAGGAGGTGGTTGATTTCTTCAATCTTCTTTTAGTTCCGACCCATCCAGCTCCATACTTTCCCGGACCGCATGCATATGATTTTCGTAGCCTTCATCAACGCCGTAAATGGAGAGCGGAATGCATATCTCGGGCACAAATGTCTCATTGCCCGCATGTTGATTTCAAATGTTTTGCTTTTTTGCCGTGTTGGAAAGAGCAGTGGGCGAGTGGGGTGCAAGAGGAAGTGCGTCACTCCCAATATCTGTAAGATCTAGTGGTGTCCATTTGAGACGCCGTTTGTCCCGTTTTGTTGGGACTTTCTGACTTGTCTCCTTGCCCTCACCGCCTCGGCCAACTGCTCCAAGACTTCGACCGTGCTCTCCCAATTAATACAAGCATCCGTAATGCTGACTCCCTTTTGTAGGCTGGTAAGACCACCTTCCGGAGGCACCTTTTGATTTCCTTCGTTGATATTGGACTCAATCATGACCGCCACGATGGCGTCTTCTCCCTGTCGCAACTGGTCGCCAATGGCTTGAGCGACCAAGGGCTGGTTCTTATGGTTTTTCTTCGAGTTTCCGTGTGAGCAGTCAATCATCATGACTTCTCTCTGGCCCTTGGATTTCAAAGCTGCACGAGCTGCTTTGACAGACTCCGCATCGTAGTTTGTGCCCTTTGAGCCGCCGCGGAGGATCACGAAGCCGTCTTCATTGCCGGATGTTTTTGTTATGGCAGCCAAACCTTGCTTGGTGACGCCCATGAAGTAGTGTTTTGCGGCGGCTGCTCCAACGGCGTCAATAGCCACGGAAAGTGACCCGTCTGTGCCATTCTTGAAGCCCATAGGGAATGAAAGACCTGAGGCGAGTTCACGGTGCAGTTGAGATTCGGTAGTTCGGGCTCCAATTGCACCTAGAGAGATCAGGTCTGCCAGAAACTGCGGCGAAATGGTGTCGAGCATTTCGCTCGCAATGGGCATGCCCATTGAGGTGAGGTCGGCGTAGAGTTGTCTCGAGACGCGGAGGCCTTTGTTGATCTTGTAGGACTCATCAATGTCAGGATCGTTGATGAGGCCTTTCCAGCCCACTGTGGTCCGCGGCTTTTCTAGGTAGGCACGCATGATGATACATAGATCCGCTGACAGCTTTTCGGAGAGCTCCTTCAACCGACCGGCATATTCAAGAGCTGTTGCAGGGTCGTGGATCGAACAAGGTCCGACCATGACAAGAAGTCTGTCGTCCCGCTGGTGGATGATTTCTTTGCATTCTCGACGACCTTTGGCGACCGTCTCGACAGAGCTTTGGGAGGCAGGGATCTCGGCTTGCAGGAGGGCAGGAGGGATAAGAGGGTCATAGCCAAGGACTCGAACGTCCTCGCCGGGAGCGTGGGCTGGAGCGTCGACGGCGGGCATGGTGAGAGAGAGGGACGTAGGACAGTTGGTTACAAAAGATGAGCAGACGAGAGGCTACAGGATGTGGGCAGGGAGAATGAGATGTACTCGTATGAACGGAAGAGGAGGAATGGAAAGGAAGAACAAAGGCAAGGTGAGGTATAGCTATTTTTTGAGCGGACCTCGAGTCACCCTGGTCAATAGCATGATTCACAAGGGCGACGTGCGGCGAGGACTGGCATCGACTCAGAAAAATTTCGGACGCAGTGGAGGGGCAGCCAACGGTAAAAGGGTAAAAAAAGCAGACGAGGCGGTGTGACGGTGTGACTCGCGGGAGTGGCTGCCTCGGATAAATGATTTTTCCAGAGCTCCGGGCGGCGGGCGCGCTAGGCCGAGAAGGGCTGGTGCGAGTTGCCGCCACGAGGCGCCACACCAACGGCGGTGACACCAATGACAGCCGGGATAATGGGATAATGACGTAGTGCTCGGGCGGCTCTGGGTGGCTTGTTCGTGGCTTCCCCTTTCACGTACTGTTCGTTCGGCACATTCGACTTCCCCCCCACAAACGCGACAAAGCCGACCGCCTCCCTCATCCTCGTCCTCCTCTTCTCTCCCACAATATTCCCGTACATGTTATATGCGACCATATTACCCATCTCCCGCGCATCACTCAGCCGCCCCCTTATACCGAAATCCCAGAGATCTCACTCGTGCGGAACGCTGACTTCCCGAACACCCTCCATCTGAGACCGGCATTTCGCCTTGAGCCCAGGCGCGCGCTCTGGTTGGCCCTCTCTCAAATTGTCCTTGTTTCACCTCGTCAAAGACGTCAACCACACGACACTGCCACCGTTTGATCGTCTCTCCTTGCACACGGGGCTATGACTTGCATTTCGACGCTGGAAACATAAAAACACCCCTCTAATCACACCACAGTCGCTCCTCATCCCATATCCGCACTGTCCAAGTCGATGTCCGGTCTGGGTCCAAATCACCCGACCAACGCCGATCCCTCTGTCATGGCCGACGTCGACACCTCTACTTTCCATTTCAACATCTCGACGCCTGCGTGCAAGCGGAAACGACCATCGGACCATCTGGAGGACGATGGTCGTTTCTTTGTCCGCGACGCCAAAAGACGCTCCACCTCGACACATTGTCTGCCCATCCGCTTATCACCCTCCTCGCGGCCACATGTCTCGGTTCCTCCCGCTTCTTACTCCCTCTTCACTTCGATATACCAGCAGCCTCCGACTCCGGTAGATACCTCGGATGACGAAAGTTCCGGCCAGTCATTCAACGGAGCAGAAGACCAGTGGCCGGCCGCGAAGAACGACTCGCAGCTGGGCAGCGACAGGGGCACGTCGTCAGTCAAGGCCCAATTCAGCGATCCCGTTGATGTCGAAATGGATCTGACCATGGCCCCTCCGGTCGTCCAGCCGAGGATACGACGTGCTCGATCAAACGACATTGTCCCTCCTGAACGCGACCCCAATTTTCTTAATGCTATGGATACATTTGCTCGAGAACGAGTGCCGACGCCCATCAGCGGTCATTTCGACAACCGCGTCAATGATCTCCCCAACGTCCCGCGCCATCATTTTCCACCATTACGCACAAATCTCAGCCCGATGATTGAACAGGAGTCGTGGATCACTAGAGACGGTCTACCGAGTCCCGTCGAAGACGAGGATATGGACACCGCAATGATGATGGATCGGGATGAGCCAGCCATTCAAGGGCATTTGCCCGCCGATAAATACGGAGGGAATGGAAATTCGAGTCCTTCAGGTCGAACGAGGTCGGCGAGACTTCATATGGGATATCTCAACGATTGTGAGAAATGCATTCAGAAAGTGCCAGGCCACTACAGCCATATTATATGGACTTGACCAGGCAGGCAGATGCGTGACAGCGTTTGGCCTGCCATTGGTTGCATGATGAATTTGATGAGCAATGAGAATAAAGATTGAATGAGAAGCATGACGATCACGGTTTGGAGCTTCGCGAGATTACAGGGCATTCACTGGCTGGTACGGCGAACAGCGGTCGGAGAACTTGCAAAGCCACCATGAGCTTCCAAGCAGCACGGTTCGGCGCACTGCTCGTTTGAGACGAGGGAATTTTGATCTGAGAGTTTTGTGCGGCTCCATTCTACACAGGTGCACGCCGCCTACAATAGCTGTACAAATGACATGTCTGAGATGCCCTGCGATATCAGGGCTCAATCGCTTTTCAATCTCTCCCCCCATTTCCACGCGTCTATGATTTGCTGTTGTTTCCCCTAATCCAACTGAGCCAACTCCTTCCTCCTTCTGTCGAAGGCCCTGCAACAGCACCCGCCACGTTACTGGCCATGACATCCAACGGTCCTCCCACAGCTGCCGGTCTTGCGCCAAGGTCTTTTTCGGCTCTTGGGGGCTCATCTTCCGCTTTCCTGGTGATGTATTCGACCCTATTCGCGGGTACAGGGCGTCCTTTAGAATCGATGCCCACGCCCTGGACGCCGCTCGGCGCAACTTGGACGGCTTCCATCACCGGAAGCCCCGTAGAAGCAGGTTGTAGTTCGTCGTCACCTGGTTTGAGTCCCCTCTGGTTCCACGCCGCTCTGGTCTCCCTCCGGCTCTTCTCCTCGGCCGACTCCTCCCCCATTGTCCCCTTTGCCATCTGACCACCCACCAACCCCTTCAACTTGCTCCAGTAGCCGTCCTCCTTCTTCCTCTCCGCCTCTTTCATCCGGGCGGCCTCCATCTCCTGCCCCGCGCGCTCTTGCTCGAGGAGATGCAACTGTTCCGCCGTGGCCTCGCCCTTGAGGAACGCCCGCCGGGCATCGTCCAGCCTGTTCAGCTCCCTCTCGACCCACGCGCGCTTTTGTCTTCTTGAGTGGGCGACGAGCGAGATCGTGCCGTACGCGGTGACGCAGACCGCGAGGCCGGAGAAGAGGATCAGGCCGTACGCGGTGAGGCGGTGGGCGCGGTCGGCGATGACCCGCCCGCTGGAGATGAGGCGGTCGATCGGGGACGACCCTGCGGAGCTCTTTGCGGCCTCGTGCGCGGCCCGGAGGCGGGCGACTCTTTCCATCGGCGTTTCTCTCGAGGAAGACGCTGGTTGCGGGGGAGGAGATTGTGGAGATGAAGGGTGTGAGGAGGGCGACGGTGAGGAGGGTGCGTTCCTGCCCCCCGGCCGGGAGGCAGGTTGATAAGTGAAGGTCGTGGCATGTGGAGTCGTAGATGTGAAGCGTGTAAAGGTGTCGGATGCCGGTCGTCGCGACATTTTGGGGATGAATGCTTTCATTACTTTTTTTGGGGGTGGCACAGGTTCAGGGAGAGGGAAAAGCCTCAGACCTGGGGAGGGAAATATCGCTGGTGTTACAGAGCTGACATCTAAATAGTCGCGCAAGCGGTAGGTAGTGTACAAGGAAAATAGAAGGGAAATCAATTGAAGGGAGAGAAACACCCGGTGGTGGGGAGAAAGCTAGAGGGGAGGGAGGTTGAAGACAACTGGTGTATGAGACTTTTGAGAAAATGAAGCTTCGAAAAGAGCCCGAAAGGAAAGCATCGCATGACGGCGACATGGATGGCGAGACCCACTTTATTTCCATTGGATCTCCAGCCCTTCGCTATTGCTCGCAGTATTCTTTCCCTCCCGTGAATGCTGAGACTCATTCTTCGTTCTACTTCAATGGCGCTTCAACTTATCATTTTGTCCATGTGCAGACATCTATAGAACTCAACTTCTCACTATCAGATCAGAGCACACTCGCTTCGATGGGATGGCCGTGACTCGCGGTCTGTGCTTCTGCCGGACGGCCTCTTTGGCCATCGAGTAGCCACACTGCAAGCTATTCGTGGGAATCATTCTCCGACGAAAGTAATATGATCTAAATTTGTTCGAGTGATGATGCACCCTTTGACTCGTCGACCAGCGTCGCGCATGTATGCATCAGCTCCAGGAGTGCAGCCTTGCCAAGACGCGAGGCTGCCGTTTGCCGAGAGATCGGACTTCTTGGTCCTCCCTTTCCAGACCTCCTCCCCCTCTGCATATCTCTTGAATTTCCAAGACCACCCCCTCTGTGCTCTGGTAGTGCATGTTCTTCGGCGTTATCCATGGGCTCAACACTATCGCTCTTGTGGCCCTAGCTCCTTTGACCTTGTTGTAGGCGGGACATGGACGGTCAGCGGAATCCCGAGCTCCAGCGGGTCCTAGCAGCGCTGAATAGCTTTTCCCAGCAACAAGTGCACCAGCCGCCGCAGCAAGCCGCTTCCTTTGGACTCAACTCTTATAGCAATCAGAGTTTGCATGATGTGAACCCTGGGCCTGCCAACTCGACGATTCCGGGTCTAGGCTTACTCCCGTCAGCCTTCCATGAACGGGCTGTCTCTCCGCCACCCATCCACCGCTACCAAGACTCAACTCCAACCCCCTCCCAGGCACAGAGTAGGACTTCGACACCACGACTACCGGAGACTCTTCGCAGCAAGACTTCCACTCCTAATCCCAACGTCCCCGATGCATCGACCATCGTTACCTGGCCGGCAGCGCTGAAACACGTCTCGCGCCATCTCGTCCACAACGAACAAGTGGCAAACAGGATCAAACATTTGATCAACGAGCAGCATAAGCATGAGCGGCAGTGGTGGGCCGGCCGTGAGGCTATTGTTGCGAGACAGCAGGGAAGGTCTGGGACGTCACAGCAAGTCTCAGCAATATTGAAGTCCCTTGGCGCGAAGGACGTGGCGGCTGCTTCTCCACGTGTGGCTGCGCCATCAGACGAACAGAAGAAAGCGGACCAAGCAGAACTAGACGCCTATGACAAAAAGGTCTATGCTGGTTTGCTGGCCATGGCGGCAGATTTTGACAGGCAACTGCGGTCCCTGGGAGTGCCGTTCTACGCGATCAAACATGATCTGGTAATTTTGGAGGATGGGCCTGAGAAACGAGCCGGTGTCAACAAGGGAAAGATTGATAAGGGGGAGTTGAGGGAGTTGCAAAAACGGATGTGTCAAACTTTGGAGGATCTGTTTGGAGACTGAAAGATGGTGCAGACGGGTGAACCGACCAATACAATGACCTGTCCAGAAATCCAGGCCGCTATTAAGAGGCTCGACGGCCAGGATGATGTCTAGAAGAACTAAATCCTCTCTTCCAGAGCTCCCCCTTGAGATGCCTTGACTGGAAGAAAAAGGCAGAAGACACAGAAGGTATTGTTGTTCCATGACAAGGGATAAGTAGGATATCAGCACAGATGGTGCAGGGCCACCCCCGGACGGCCGGCGCGGGCAATTTCAGCGAACTCTTCTGGGATGTCGGTGAGCAGATGTTGTCCAGCGGATGACTGCCAATGTCTGGACTGCACTTGGGCAAGCAGATAGTCACAAGGATCCCGATGAGGAAGGAGAGACATTGGATGGACGGAATGATGAAGTGGTGGATGGGATCTGGGACGAACCGTGTCTTGTCGGTCTGGGAATTCTCGGCCGGGCACCGTGTCTTCCTCTCTATTGCAGCGGCAGTCATCACCAGCTTCATTCCACACCTTCTCCTCACGAGGAAATCCTGAAAAGAGTTCTCGGCCTCTGCGCCGTCACCTGCGTTAATCATGGGCACCTTGCTGCGCTATCTCACCACTGCCGAAGGCTGCGATCTGATCATAATCTGTGAGCGACAATTCTTCTTTATTCACAAAGCCGTCATCGCTGCCCACTCCCCAGTGCTGAGCAGAGATACAAGCAAGTCAGCGGTAACGTCTGTCACACCCCTCGTCTCTCTTCTCCTCTGTTCTGACAAGGGGAAAACTCGCAGTTCTTTGGTGGCGAGGCATACACTCTGAATGCAGTCTCCGCAGATGTCTTCCGCAAAGTTCTCACTTTCATGTACACTGGCGACATCCCCGACTCCTTCCGGAATGCACTGGCTGCTTCGGATCAACGTCCCCTCAACGAAAAGTTCCCAGTGACTGACGCCTTTCTCGTCACTGTACAAGGCAAGCCCGCTACCGTCAGCCTCTCTAATGGCTCGTTGACGACGGTAGACACTATTACCAACGCGGACAAATGGGCAAAATCCATGGCAAAGCAAGCCTTGAACAAGGATCCTTACGATACCCTTCCATGCCAGCACCCAGACGAAGTCTTTGCCGAGCTCAATGTATACATCGTGGCAAAGCAATTGGAGATCCAATCCTTGAAGGGTGTTTGCGTGCAAAAAATCATTGCTTGGTTTGAGAGAGAACTACACGTAGGGCTGTCCTTGTCCGAAGACTTCCGGATTTCGGCAGGGTACATCCTCAGAACCTACGAAGACTTTACACAGCCTTTTTTTCCGGCTCTGTGCAACGCACCTCCTTGTCGTGGAACAAGAAAGTGCTCTGAGGTCTGTGCTTGAGAAATGCAACCCAAGCCTCTGGGAGGTGATGATGTCCGTCCGCAACCAGTGGCAAAAGGAACTCAAGGACCAGCGGGATGAGTTGCAAAAGAGCAAGGATCAGGTCTCGGCTTTCAAGACTGACCTAGACAGGCAGAAGAATGCCTCGAGAGACCTGGACAAAGCATATCAATCAAGAATGGAGGCCTTGGAGAAGTCACGGGTGCTGGCTGATGGCAGGACCAAAGCTGCACAAGCAATGGCTCGACAGCTGGATGAATTGACACCGTCTCTGCAACAGGACCTGCTGAAAGAGCAGGCCAATGCGGTTCGGTTGAAGGAGAATATTCAAAAAGAAAACAACCCCCCGAAGTCCGAACCTGCTGCTCCAAAACTTCAGAAGAAAATTGAGGACTTGATGGTATTGGTCAAGAGCAAGGAACAGGCCTTGGAGCAGTCCAAAGCAGCCAATAATAAGATTAAGGAGGAGCTGCGAGATGAGAAAGGGGAGCTGTGGGTTGAATCGACGAAGATGAAAGATGCATTCACCAGGTTCAAGAGATACATCAATCGTGAAGGAGAATGTCCCTGCTGTCGGAAGCGGTACAACATCCGGATCGAGCATGAGCGATATACATCCATTGGCTTTGCATGTGCGTATTGCTCTTATCGTTCGATGTTCCGCGGAGAAGACGACTGAAGAAATGCGAGGGAGGATCCAATCGAGAACGTCAATGAGACAACACCTCGTCATTCCAGAGGTTTCAAGTGTATGGCTGCGGAGGATACACAGGCACAAGGATCGGCTAGGAGAGTGTATGATTCACACCGAGAGGTGTCTAGAAGCCCCCAGTTGCTGATGAGGTGTCGATCGATGAGATGTATTGTGCTTGTTTGAGAACGCCCTTGAGGTGTGGTCGTAAACCTTCCTTCCTCCCTTGACGATGAAGGCGGGATGGAAGTAACTCGCAGTTGCCAACAACTGCATACACTCAATAAATGAACACCACTACTGCTGTTTTCTCAAATATGACATTCTCTCGGTTCACACACAAATCGATCACCGAGTTCGACCAGTCACCTAACCCCGTCTCTCATTTCTTGCGCCGCCAGCATGGATGCAAAAGGGGTTGATGCTGGTGCTGTTGACACTCCTCCCTCCTCCTCTAACCAAGCCAATCCTCCATCTTCCGCTGCCGAGGAAACGACCGATTTGCGGAATCTTGCAGTTCGAGCACAAACACTCTCGAGCACTCTTGACAACCTCCGCCAGCACTGTGGACATGAGAGCACTTCGTCAGATATCGCCACTGCCACCGAAGAACTCAAACTCCTTGCCGCGGAACTCCACAGCCTCGATTCTGCAGTGAGCGCCAACAAAGAACTATATACCGATGCCTTTGGTGAAGATCTGGGAGAGATTCGTGCACATCTGGGGGGCATCTTCGAAGACATCGCCGACTGCTGCAAAGAGATGCAAAAGGCTGATGGCCCAAACACCAGTGCAGTTGGTTGGTTGACCAAGAAGAGATACGTGCGCAAGTTGCAAAAACACCTCGAAGTGAACAAGACCACTCTGATCGTCATGCGTACTGTTCTACACCATGGCAAGGAATATGGCACTCACAAGTTAGTTCTCCCGTTGTGGGCTTGATGGCATTATGGAACTGATATTCTCTAGCTCCCCTGGCCGTCTTGCCGAGTCGTCACCACACACCTTGCAAGAAGACCTTGCTATCCTCGAAACCGTCTTTGCCAGCAGAAACGCCATCAAGGACCTTCAAAGTCTTGCCAAAAAGTCTCATGAACATTCCCCTTCAACTTCGTCTACAGGAACCAACGATGCCAGCCCGTCCTTCCAACCAGGCGCACATGGCCGAAACTTATCCTCGGCTACAGGTGTCGATGTTCCGGTGGTGGGAGATGTTTTACCAGTTAGTACTGCGGATGGAAAGAAGAAACAAGATGCACTAGCTCGCAGATTCTCGCGTCGCGGGGTCCGACTAGCAGTCCACAGCTCTATCATGGACACAAACGCTCACGATGTTCCTATCTCTCTCCGGAAGAAATGGATCCATCAAGCTCAACTTCGACATGGCTCTGACCATATGGACGCAGTTGGCCAGTCTATTGCCCAGCTGAGCAATATTGCTGAAGTCAACTCCAGTTCTGGAGCAGATGACGAACCACCCCAGTCTGTTCACCATTCAAGACTCACCACACCCGAGTATGGGGAGGGTAGAGATTCTGACAAAGCTGCCAGCGCGGCTTCATCGACATCGGGCCCGCTGTCGACCGCTCCGAAGAGAAGCTCGTCGCTAGTAAATTCTCCTCTTGGCAGAAAGCTCGGAAACGTCATTGCTCGACTTTCTCGCACCAGCACCGACCAACAAGAAGCGGCTGATGGTGAGTGTACCGAAACTCAAGTGCAAGCGAATCAAGCCCAGCCCGAAAATAGAAGGCAAGTGAGCAAGGAAAAGGAGGGGAAGGCGCCTGTAGCCAAGAAGGACATGTCGGCAAAGGAAAAGCCGGGATGGTCTTACCGGTTGACCAGGCCCTTTGTGAAGTCGGAGCTGACCACGCCTGATTTCGAGAGAGGCTTCTGATGGAAGGGACAGGAAGGTAGATGGTTGCGCAGAGGCAGATCCTAGAAGAACATGCTTGACAAATTTACATCATTATGCGCAGAGCATCAAGTTGAAAGAGAGGAAGCAGGAAGGGTTAAGAGTGCATTATAGACATCAAACACTATCGTAATTATGAAAGCTACTGATATGTTGTAAGTAGGTAGAGGTTTTGTCGCTCAGTAGTCTAAAAGAGTCGATATTTCCCCAGCTACAACGTGTGGGAAACAACATCTTCTGCGTATCAGATATCTGGGAACAGCACACAACTAGAATAGTGACTATGAAGTATTGGTCTCAACGAGAACAAAGTAAAACCAAAGTGTCAACACGAACTTGGTGGTGTTTGGGAAGAGCACATCTACACAATAGATTCTTGAAGAATTGGAAGCGGCAAGGCTGGAGAAGCGCCAAGCATTCAGGGGTTTTGCAGGGACTCTTGGACGCAGATTTGTATGAGAACCTGAGAACAGAGCAAAAACTTAAGCACGAAGCAGCTCAACGCTGGTTCGTGATAAGCGAAACTCGGCCCTTTCGGGCTTGGTTTTTCTCGGCCGGTTATACTAGAGGAGGAAGTTTGTCGTCGCTATCGGAGGAGGGGGAGGGTTCGGAATCGGTTCGAATCGAGGATCTGTTGCCTGCTAGCCCGTTATTGCTAGTTTGACCTGACAGGACCCAGATCGGGGTGTTTGTCGTCGGACTCGGAGTCGAACTCGAACTCGAACTCGAATTTTCGCCCTCGTCGGGGTTGAGGGGGTCTTTGTGTGCCAGAAATTGGGGGGAGGAATGTGATATAGGCGTGAATTAATTTGACGGGGTGTGACTTGGGAGGGTGGGTTTCGTTTGGACCGCACCCGGTCGATGGTGGTGGTGGTGTTGGTAGTCGGCGCAAGGCTGGGTCAAAATAACATTGATATTTCTATCACGCATTCGAAATGTCGGTCCTTTCAGACATGGTCCGTGTTCTGACGCGGATATGGAAGTGACACAAGCATTAGCGGGGGATGTGTGTGAGGACATTGATAATTGATTCTACTTCGTTTGCCCCCGTCTTGCACGACGCGACACCCCGTACTCACCGCTCTCTCGATGGGGCCCCGCGTTCGACTCAGTGAGACTCAGCGCCGGAGAGACAGCAATTTGGGAGCTGCTAGGCAAGTAGGTCACTACGCGCCGTAGCGGGCTGAAAGGACACAAGTCTGCGATTCATCTCCCTGGATGTCTCGAGGTTTGTTTCTCTCGAAAGAAGTACCTGAGAAATACCGTGTCCCACATCGTACCATCCGTGGCCAGATGCATGGTCGCATCTAGATCTTTCCTCGCCCCAAAAAGTGAAGATGGTGCTGCTGCTGCTGCTGCTGCGATCTGTTCGCAGTGGAAAAGGCCGGTTGTAGCTGTCCATGTTTGCGCCGGGTCAAACGAGTGGACGACTCGACGGGAACCAATACTGACGATCCTTCGTTTGGAAGTGGATTGATTTTCGTGCCGGGCAGCGTAGACGTCGACAAACGGAGACGTCGGCCATTTGTTTTTGGTAGAAAGAAAAAGGAGCCTCGACTGCTCTCGCCTCAGGCCCTTCCTTCGTTATATCTGGGATCAGGATCAGGATCAGGATAAGTCAGGAACTTTACCATATAGAAACATCCATTCCACGCATTCATTACTCGCCGAGATATCTTGCCTCCAATCCCCCGTCTCCTGAGCAGGCATCAACAACCCTGGATACCCGCATCTTCTCCTCGTCGAGCACCCACCGCCACGGGCGCTTCGAGCACAAGCACACCGACACCGTCTTCCTCCCCGACTGGATCTCGGGACGCATCATGGACCTGGCGGACAAGCTGTCCGGGCTCGACATGCATCTCTACAACGCTGAGGACGGCCCGTACCAATCCGATTCGGACACGGAGGATGTCCTCCGTGGCCATCAAGGTCCGGAACAACCCAGCGGTGGCGCTGGCGGTGGCGGTGGCGCTGGCGGTGGCGGTGGCGCTGGCGGGGGCCCGAAACAGCCTGGTGACGACACCTTTGATGAAAAGGAAGGGCGTGGTCCGGCAGTGGCGCGTGGGGGTGGCTCCGGGGCCGACGACGAGTGGGAAGTTGTCCCCCGGCATCCAGACTGGGATGTGGTTCCTCGGCACGGCGGCGAGGAGGAGGATGCACACAGGGCGCGTGAGCCACAGGCGCCGTCGTTGAACGCGGACTGGGTCGTGTGTGAGAAGGGACGGGATGGGGAGGTGCAGATGTTCGAGGGTCAGCGAGTGGAGAATACCAATGCGTCGCCGACGTCGTCCGAGAAGTCGGCGTCTCTCCCTGGACCCGGCGAGAGTGTCGCCACGAGACCCGAGATACGCGGTCCCGCAAGACCCGATCCAGGCACGTTATCACAGATTGCATGCGATTCGCAACCCAGCTCCTCGCGGGCGCTGAAGACCCAGACCCAAATACCGCCACCAGGCCAAGCACTGTCCAGCCTGACCGCGCCGATCCCAGCACCGTTGAGACGGTCATACGAACGCGTTCGTCCAGGGAACATGGTCCGACGATGCGCGAAGCAATCGGCCCCGGATGACAAGGCTCGAGAGGACCAACCACCACATCCACCGCAGTCAATCCCGCTCCGCATCCCGACCAGTCGCAACGCCAGACCCAGCCGCAACCCCAACATCAACCGACCGCTCTCGCCCGACGAAAAGGAGCTGCCCTTCTTGGCTCCAAGGGCCGCTGCCGCCGCCGCCGCGGCTCGAGCGTCCACGAGCCAAAAGTATGGTCAGATTTCCGCTCAACTGCGGGCGCAGGCCGACCGGGAGCAACAAGCCGCGCTGACGGCCGAGCAGCAAAGGATGGACGACAGACTGGAGCGGACAGAGCGTGCCGTGGCTGATTGGTACGGCTTGCCTCATGGATATGGTCCACATTTTTATTAGTACATTTCCCCCCTTCCACTGAGGAGTGTGCTGGTCTCGATTTCTGGGGCTTGGGCCCAGCGGAACAAGACTTCTCGTGGTGCGGCGTGAGGCTCATGGCACCTGTCATGTCAGACTTGGGGACTTCTGGTGAAGTCAAGCGGAGCCGCCAGAGCAGCTAGTCATCATGGGCGTGCTTGGGACAATGTGTCGACCTGCCAGGGCGGCCGAGAGCAGAATCAAACAACACCTAACATGTGTAAGCAGTTTTGCATATTACGCCAGATGACTTGATGACTTGAACATTTTCCTGGAAGGACAGATATCGATGTCAGTTAGCAGGTTGCTCTTGCTTGCGTGCTTGCGTGCATGGGACGCCACAATGCCACAGTTGAACAAGATCCTCAGGAACATTCTCATCGCGCTTTCAGTGTTTAAGATGTAATTGTCAATTTGTCTAGTTTTTTCTTCTGACCGACTGACCGACTGGAGGGTATGCATTAGAGAATCGTAAAAGCTGGGGTAATGCCGAATGTCACACGAGCGGCGCCGTCCACAAAACACCACCACCTTTTCATCTATTCAGCTAATAAGACAAGAGTGACGGAACAAATTCAGCCCCCGGGAAAAAAGGTTGGGGCAAAAACTCCTCCCGTGAAATGTATGCCTGAGACCAAAGAAAATCCTCGAGACCGAGAGAACAACTTGGGCAATCACAAATCACCACATGCCATAGTTCTGGCCTGGGAACGGGCCGCAGACGCCACCGGCGATGGTCTGCGGCGGGCCGACGTCGACGTAGCCGCCGGCGGCGGGGAGGGCGATGACGGCGCCGTCTATGCCGAAGAAGGCACAGGACGCGCCGGCCGAGGTCTGGATGTGCGAGATGCTCAGCGGGTTGTCCGTGGGGAACCACTCGCTGTTGGCGGGGATCTGGAGCGTGTACTGCGCGTCGGCCGCCCCGATGAACGTCGCCGAGACGGTCGAGGTTTGGCGCTTGTCGATGGGCGTGGCGCCGACGAGGCTGGCGACGAGGGGGAGGAGGGACAGGAGCGTTGTCGTCAGGGAAACCATCGTGGCGATCGAATTGGGGCTGGTATGAGAGATAGATCGAGGTGGGATGTGTTTGAGGGATTTGGGAAGGGGGAAGTAGATGAATGTCTGTCGCTTTTGCGTTGGAGGGAGTATCAACTTACCTGGGAGCTCTCGACTGGTTATTATTATACTTGCCCTTTCCGCCCCATTCGTAACTGATTCTTGATATCCCTCACTCGCGAGGATGGGATGGAGGAGGGCTTGGACGAAGCGAGGAAATGGGGCGGAGGCGCCCACTAGGGCCATCTCGCCTGTGCATCCAGAGGGACTCCGTAGAGCCACGCGCGGAGCGAGCCCATAGAGAACGTGACAGTCTCTCGATAAGCGCCCTCGTGTCTGACTGGCGGCGTGAGATCTCGAGGGGCGCAGCCAGCAGGTGATGGGCCACAATCTGAGTGTGTTCGGTGGCCTGTGTGTCTACTTGTAGATGGCGTAAGATGGGAAAGATATTTCGAGGGCGAGGAATTGGTCAGATTGTGGGAGGCCCAAGCGATGGCCACAATCCACGAGTCGTGATTGGCCAGCCTTACGACCTCACAGCCTTACGAGGCACAGCCTCAGTATCTATTTTCGCATCTGCCACCGAGATTCCACGTGCTGAGAAAAAGAAAGATTCTTGTTGGACACTCCCTTCAGCCTGACCATTCATTCTCTCTGCTCAAGGGGACAAGACACGCCACTCAATAAGTAGAAATTTGTCGCATACCGATCGGGAGGCTAGCCCTCACTGAACAAGTAAGAAATGGAGAGTCGGTGATGTAAACTAAAGGTAGCCTTTCGCTCGAATTGAGGGTCGCTTCTACTTCAACAACAGCTGCCGTGCTTTTGGCGGTTGAGAGTGAGCAGCCTCGCCTTGGAGACCTGACCTGCACCATATTGCTGGTTGCTGATATGTGCTTCGTACTGGACGTCAATGTCCCCAAATATGGCCTTGTTTGCCGCCAATGGCCCATCAAGTCGTCCATGATCCAACATTCTGCTCTCGCGTCATACATCCACATTTGCTGTTATGACAAAGAGCAGTCCTGATCAGTCAAATCCCGCAGACTCTGGATCCAAAAACGCTGTCGCTTTTGCAGACTGGCTCACGGCGTGTGAGACACAAAGGTCCCATATATGCTTGCCTGGCCCGCTGCAACCCTCCGACGCATTCCTGTGACAGGTTCCACGGACATCAGAGACAGTCAACGAGCCGGCCAGGGCCTTCCAAAATTCTGTTGGCCTTCCTTGTCGGAACATGGCATCAATCCCTCTTGCCCAGATTGCTGGTGTATCCGCCGTACCCTCCGTAGCCGGAGCTTCTCGCCATTCCATTACCGACGTTGCCACCAAGGATCCCATTACTATATATCCCGCTTCTCCCACTTTTCCTCCTTTCGTAAACGAGCATCGCCATGGCTCCCACACCGGCACTCGCAGCCAAAGCGAAGAAGCTCAATAACGAAAAGCCGACGCTGTGGTCCGTCACTTTCAGGACAGGCCGTCCAACCATGCCAGGTAAGACTGCTCCGTCGATCCAGCCGACATTGAAAGTCAGGACCAATGGCTCGTAGCGAATAATTTTGGCACCCTCAATGGGTGCAGAGGACGAAGTGTTGGGGAGGGAATACGCGGTCGAAGCAATCAGATATGACTGCTGTGAGGAAGCCCGTGGGGAATCCGGGTCCTGGGACATGTGGAAGAGAGCATTGATGTTGGTGTGTAGGTGTAGATGGCTTAGTTGCAGGGTTCCCTGCAACGCAATCGTAAAAGGGGTCCAGAGACCCTTCTCCGCTCCCGTCCCGCCTGCTTCTGGGAGTGAAGGTGTAATTCCAAGCTCTTCTTGCGTCAAGGGGAAAGAAGGAACACGACAGGTAAGGGGCACATCGCTGTGGACGAAGAACTCGAGCAGGTGATAGAGTTCGTCCGGCAAGGAATCGATCGTGCAGGTCTGGGTTTGTGGCTCGTTGTACTTGAATGCCAGCGGCTGGCCCGTCTCGTTGCACGTCGGAAACGGTATATATTGTAGATTCCCATGGTCATCGGTGATCTAGGAGCCGTTGCGTATGAGTATCCATTTGAGAGGACGATTAGAAGCCACGGTTGCCGCGCTGATGGCGTCGTGGCGCCCTTTCTTTGCGTGCTGGCTGAAAACAACAACTCACATGCTCTCCAGTATCGCTGCCATCTGTAAGTAGCAGCACATAAAGAGCTCGTGGTGTAGCACTCACATGGTTCGATTCAGACAGCTGACGGGCATCAGCTCTCCTTTGGAGTAGCCTCTGCGCTTCGAGGCTCCATTGAGCAAGGTCTTCTCCTCGGCGGCGCTTACCGAATCTGACAGAGACAAATAGAACACAAAGAGCGCATTCAAATAAACAGAAACATGACGCAGCATGGTTGCGGTCCCCCACGCTTACCAGGCAATTTAATTGTTCAGCGGCTTTCAGATCTCGGAGCGCACTTTCGGGCGCACTTGGGGACGATCTTGGTTCGTTGTAAACTTGCCGTTTTCGTCCTCCAGGAGCTAAGTGCGGGCCGACCCGCCGCTACTCAAAGCAGCAGCCAACTGACGTCACAGGACTCTAGAATTGCCCGCTGAATTACGTGCTACTAATAACATAAGGCATAACATGAGGCTCAAGGTTGGGACTGCTGCCAGAGTTTCAGGGAGGCTGAGGGAGCAAGGATGTTCATCCACCCTATTTACACTCCTTTGAGGTTTGAAGACTCCGGTACACTGTGTTGGATAATTCCCCCCTGGCTTGTAATTATAGAGCTGCTGTCTCACAACATGAGACATGATATTGTCTCTGAAACCAAAGATAATCAGTTGGGATAAAGAAGGTCTACGCAGCATTGTTGTTTGTGGATAGCTCACTTGTGGCTGAAGGAGTCAGACGATATCAACAGCCGCCGTCTGGTGAGTCCAACGAGGAGCACTGATTGGTATACCTGAAGTTGGCTTGGTGCGGCACGCGACCATATGCAACAGCGAGCGCGAAGGAGATGAGCCGGTTTCGGTGGGTTGGTTTGAAGGTCCAAAACCCACAAAGCTTTCAGCATTTAAGTAGGATTATCAAAGGGGTAGAGATACAGTTTTCAAGGATTGATGAAGCTGGTACAAGGACTTTTGATGGTTGGTTTTGTGATTTTCGACTTGTTTCTTAAGTGATCTCACAGCCCATTGGGAATGACTGCCCACTCCCACGTTCTAAATTCGGCAATCTCTTCAATTCAGCCCAGCATAACTCTAGCTTGACGCTCCTGTGCCCTTGGCCGTCTTTGTTTCGGCATGATCTTGAAGGATGTGCTTAGGGTTGCTCGTGAGATTGGCGGTTTGGTCATCTTTGCCTTCGTTCTTGCCTTGGGAGTTGTCGAGCTACACCACAGCCGTCAGTAATTGTCATGGTGTGCGTGGATATCTTGTTGGATGAGTTGAGGGACAGATGGGGCTTGGATCGCCGAATGGCGGAGGGGGGAGGAGTATACCTTTCCGCTACCGGGCTGGGAGGGATGGTCTTGCTGCTGAGCGCCGGTCTGGCGCTCGGGGTCTGGTGACTGACGACCTTGGTTTGGTGCAGACATTGTGTAGGAGAGAATAAGGGTTGATTGAGAATCTGTGTGCAGTGTGAGCAACAGCCTTGGTCAAGCAGCTGCTGACATGGAGAGTGATGTGTCTACTTACTGGGCTTGTAAGTGAAGGTGCGTGAGTTGTTTGATAGTCAAGAGAAGGTCTGAGGATTCTGGAGAAGATATGGACCTGAAATATAAATGAAAAGGAACGAAAGGAAAAGAGAGAGAGTCTCTGTCTATGCACCTTTCGTCACCCCCCGCTGAGCACAGTCGATGATCCCACCTTCAACTATGACGTCTGGTGGTTACGAAATACTGGGTCGCCACGAACCATGTCGCGGCTGCTGTGAGCCTTTCTCTAGAAAGGTAAGGAAGTGGAATTCCCGATACCCTGCAAGGAACCCTCATGCATATCGGCATGTGAGATTTGGCATAGACTCTCGCGTTGTCTTGATCGAGTAGTGGTATAATACTCCGTATATTTCTAGCATATGTGGATCAAAACCGGTGTCAAATCACTGCACATTCCGAGGGTACTCGCTCCATCTGGGTCTCTCCAAGAACCAAAGCAGCATCTTCCCCAAAGCCGGGGATTCATCTTCCACAGACATCTAAATCCACTCAACCAGCCAGCGAGCCATCAAGTCTAGACCCCCATTTAATCAGTCGCGCAAACAGCCACCCTCCTTTTATCAACATTGTGCCCTTTAGCCTCCAATCAACCAGACATCCACTCCCATTACTCAAAGTCGCACTTGTAGATCTATTTTCCCCATCGAAGGCTGGGACTGGCGATGCCGAATGTGGCCAGAAGGCTGGCCTTGCATTTGGGACAGCTGCGGTTCTTGTCCTGCCGAATCTTGACCTGCACGTAGTTTGGGCATCGGCGACCAGCCTGGTACTTGCAACCGGTCTTGTCCAGTTGGTATGATTCGTAGTGACCGCACCTCAGGTTGACCAGGCGCTCGAAGCACATGTCGGCGGATTGTCTCGTCCAAACCCGGCTGCGCTGAAGCCGTTAATAAACGCCCCGCGGGGCAACAGAGTGCTGCGCGCACGTACTTTTGATTATCCAAATATTGATTATATCCAAATTTATCGTGTGTTGCTCAGTTCGGCCGCTGTGGGCGGTGTAGGCGATCGGCCCAGTTATCCAGGCTCTCCGCAGGCCTCACAGAAGCGATCAGTTGAGATGGTGGAAGGCTTGTTCATACTCTGGGGAATGATGGGACCAAACAATAGATGACGGTAGAAGATGCTATCGTCCGGGACGACAGCGACGCGGTGGAATAAAAGGGTGGCAGTGAGGACAAGAGTCATTCCCAGGTGGGCAGGGTAAATTTAAAGCTGTTCAGGTGGTTTGGGGGGCGCAGGCAAAGATTTGTTCGCTCGTGGGGAGCTGGGGTGTTTGGGTGTCTTGTCGGTGGTCACTCCCGGCTAGCGGTTGGCCCGCCTGTGCGCGCCGCGCCTGCGCTCGATACGGCAACTGAAACCAGACATGGCTCGTTGGCTCTCGCTTTGTTTGCACCATCGCACTACAGTATCCTACATACGCACAGTTCATCTACAACGCAGCCAGCACCCGTTTCTTCTACAAACAAAAATGGATTGCGAAAACTGCTGAGATAGTGGAGCAGTTCACAGGTCATCTCGTCGAAAATGCCCAACTGATCCATTAGTTACAGCGGGTTTGTTTGGATTTTGTTCATCGCAACCACACAATTCTGTGTCAAGCACACTGCATGCCTCCATCAAATGCAACGGTCAAACCACTGAGACTCCGCCATCAAAAAATAAACCCTTGGACAGCATGACCCAGTCCCTCCCTTACACAGCCCCGGTCGGCAATTGTTGCCCGCTGGCTTGAGCAGCCTCCTTCGCTTCAGTGGTCGCTTCAGAGCTGCCCTTTGCACAGTTCGCACAGGCACAGTGGCCAGGAGGACAGGGGCATTTGCCCTCGGAGCCTCCACAAGTGCAGACAGTCTTGTCAGTGCCCTTGACTGGCTCTGGCTGGATGGCCCCGACATCGCTCTTTGCGCACCTAGCACAGTTGCAATGACCGGGAGCACATCCACATACTCCTTCCTCGCCACCGCATTTGCAAACCGTCTTGTCCGTTCCTGGGACTGGCTCTGGCTCGTGCTGCTTACCGGCCTTGAGATCTGCCAATCTGCGAGCTTCGTTGTGAACATCTCTGACTTGCTTGTCTCCTTGCACATAGAATTCTCTGATTTTCTGCCCGGTAGGGGTACCCAGGGCCTTCTCAAAATACGTGTGGATTCCACCCCATGCGCTCATCGCCTTGTCACTCACACCATACTTGGTATCCATAGATTTGGCTGTGTCGGTGGCCTTGTACTTCTGGTCGAAGTTGGTCAGGGCACTGGTGAAACGATTGCTGAAACCGTGCTTCTGATCCAATGCAATTGCTCTTGTGATAACTTGGTCCGAGAGGTGGTAGCCATGAGCAAGGTATTCGGCCACAATCCTTGAACGTGGTTTATCTTCTTGCGCAATATGGTCGTCGCCAGTGGCAGACGAGACTGCGGCGCCGGCCTTGGAAGCAACGTCATCGATGGTGCTGGCCGCAGACACGTGGACTTGAGATTTTCCCAGCTGGGTGTTGTCGAGGAGGAGGGCGGTCTTAGCGGCACTATGAGAGTAGTGTTAGTCTGCTGGTCAAATTTTCTAGGAGCATCAAAAAGACTTACGTTTCCTTCTCAAAGGTCACAGTGGCAGATTTTGCGGCATCTGGGGCGTCCGACTCCGGTGTCACAGAGATAGAAGTGATCTTGCCACTAGAAGAGATTAATGTCGTACAACTTGCGGGAGGCCTGAGGCCTGTCTGATACTCACCAGAAGCTGAAAAAGTCCTTGACCTCTTTTTCGCTGGTCTCATGAGAGATACCCTTGACGTGGACGGTGGTCGACATCTTGGCGGGGTTGAGTGTAGAATGGGACCTGGTTCTGGGTAAGGGTTATGTTGAAATGAAAGGCTGTTTTGTAAGAGATGGTTCCCTTGTGAAGAAAACAGAAACGTGCGATGGTTCTTTTATGGCGTTGAGGAGATTAATTGAAGAGAGATGCGAGATGCCCGCGATGGTCATGGCGAAGGTGGAGGAACGAACATACGTCACTTCTGTCTCGACTTGTTCCCCCTCCTGCCTGCGTTCAGTGACTGCGCCACATCGAACCACATCAACCATGCGCCACCACAGCCCCGACATGTGGTGATGACGATGGAGAGGATTTTCTACAACCATCAGGCAACGACGAAATCACAGGTGTCACATGAATCGGGGATCTGTCAAGCTCTGTGTGGTAATTCATCAGGATCATTGCCTGGCAGGACTTGATCCTAATACGTGGATCCCAACCCATCAAAACTCCTGGATACCTATCTCTGACGGCTATCACAGAACCCCTTGGTGTTTCCCATGCCATAACCTCCAACATAAAATGCCTAAACCCGAGATCCTGTCTATCTCAAGGAGCGATGCAGACCCTTTCGAAAGCACCGAGACATCGGGGGATGCAAGACTTGAATATCTGACCTCTTGAGTGTTTGCTTGGACCGACTCTGTTACTTCGGCGCCTACAACCAGCGTCAGATGGTAGATCAAATGATGAGGACTGCCAGAGGGTCAAACGGTGTCTGGCTGGGTTTCTTTGCCTTTGAAGTGATTTTGGTCGCCTTCGTCGATTTGGGCTTGGACGAGGTCTTGCTCGGCTTTTTGGTCGTGGTTTTTGTAGACTTTGGGTTTCTCGTCGTGGTGTCGGCGGCCACGGTGCTCGCCCTCCCAATCACATCCACTTGGGCACATTGTTGCATCGTTATCCCCTGGCCGGCTCGTCAGATTCCATTGTTATGTATATGTGGCGTGCCCTCAGGAAGTGGATCAAAGGCACGGAGTACTCACTGGAGGACAGCAGCGATTGGCAGCAACTCCTGTGCCGCAGTTGTAACCGGCTGGACAAATCCCTGTGTCATCGCCCTATCAGTCTTCGATCTTTCCAACACGAGGCGGGAATGTGGTCTCGTACCGCTTCCATCTTGACAGCAGGTGTCCTTTTTGGCATAACAGAACGCTCCAAAGAATGCATCGCACAGGTTGGATCCGTCTGGGCAGATTGACCAGTTTTCGACGTCGGCCACAGAGAGGGAGACGAAAAGGCACAGGGCGCCGAGGGCGGTAATGAGCTTCATCTTTGCTAAGACGTGATTAAATCTGTCTGGTCAAACAAGGCTGCCGCGAAGTATACCCTCCAATCTCGGCTCTGGGAGGGCAGCAGCAACATATAAGTACCCATATCTTGTTCTCAATCTAGGACAATGAATCTCGACGAGAGAAAGACAGGAGCAGGGTGAAGTCAGCATGGTTGCAGTCGTTTGTCAACTCAGTACCATAGGGAGTACCCCGGATCAGAGACTCAATAGCGGTGTACACAAAGGAAAGGCGGGCGGCTGCAAGGACGAGAACAGCAATAGAGGTAGTTTAATGTCGCCGCCGAACAAAGAGAACCGTAGTCTCGAAGGTCAACAAGTGCGCCGTTGTCCAGGCCGTTGAGACAGCGCTGTATCAAAGACGGAAGGCCGACCTCGCAGCACATAAGAGCCAGGGGGAGCATAGCTCTACCTAATACGCGCTCGTTGAAACCGCAGGGTTGTTGAATCAGAATGCTTTGTCGTGGCTGGGAAGATGGCCCGTGCTCAGAGGACGTAGGGAACATCACTTGCAGGGCGGGCTACTCTTCGTGGTAAGGTGAATCGTGAGCCATGATGGACCAATGCAAGTAATAATAACTCTGTGGACAATTCAGTTTGGCTAGCGATAGAATATGGGTAGTTGATTCCGCCAGGTGGTCATTGGCCGCCGGGAATGGGATGAATACGGCGTAAGGGGTTCTCGACACCCACTTATATACTCAGTGGTATGTACTCAGTCTCATCCCTGCTAATCAGGGCAATCATAGTACATAGACCGAGCAACTAATTAGGACTTCACCGAACTCTGGGCCCACATCGATAGAAACCCAGCTCCATCCGTATAGTTACCCAAATTCTCCTTGATGCCAGTCACCTTGCCTGAGCTACCGCCTTAGCTACAGATACTGAGGAACAAACTCGAGAGACGAAGACTTCTGCTCTAGTGTCACTCTTGAGCGCCGATCAACAATATCCATCCCCAGATCCTCCATGAGCTCCGGTCTCGTCGCCGTCATCTCCGCCATCATGCAACTTTCCGCCGTGGTGGTGACCATGGTGGTGACCATTGTCATTATCAGTCCCATCATGCCATCCTCCCCCTTGGTGGTGACTATTGTCGTCATGCCCTCCGTCTTGCCATCCTCCGCCTTGCTGGTCGGTGTTATCATCATCACCTCCACCCTGCCAGTTGTCGCCATACTGCTCCTCACCTCCACCCTGCCAGTTGTCGCCATACTGCTCCTCACCACCAACATAGTCATCTCCGCCTTGCCAGTGTTCGCCGTCCTGGCCACCGTAGTCATCATCCCATGACTGCTCGGGGTCGTAATCTTGATTGCCGTAGTCGTCGTAGCCACCGTGACCGTGTTCGCCGGAAGAATCCTCATCTTCTCCCGCCCCGTAATCCTCCTGGCCATACTGGTCGCCCCCTTCTCCACCCGAATATTCGGGATTGTCCTCGTTGTCAAAGTCTTCATCATAATCCCCGGACTCGCTCTCATCATCTGAGTCGCTATCCATGTCTTCAAGGCGGGGAACTCCAAAGATGTGCTCGTGCATTCTGGGTTTGTACTGGCTCTCATCATCATCACCTTCGCGCCCGCGGAACTCGCCGAAGATAGAGGCCGAGTGATCACGATGTAGTTCGGCGGCACGTTGGTTTTCCGGGTCGATGCTCAGAATTTGAAAGCAGACGTCGGCCATGTCCAACGAATGGTGGTGGAGCTTCGGTTGTTGAATTTCATCCGGCTCTATATCACACGTCATGAGGGACTCATTTTGCCGATGTTCGACGGGGCCAAAGCAACTTACCTTCAGACCAGTACGTTTTTTCATACCTTTTCTCGAGCTTGTCGAGCTTGGCCTCGAGCTCCTGCAGTTTCGCACCAAGGTCCTCCATCCCAGATTCACCTTCCTGTTCCATCTCTCCTTCTGGGACAGAGTCGCCATAACCTAGGCCTTCTCCTTGATCAAATTCATGTTGTGCTTGGCCGAAGTCGTATTGTGCTTGGTCGAAGTCGTGTTGTACTTGGTCTCCAGGATGGTAGTAGTCGCCGTACCCTTGGTCCTCTCCAAGAAAATGTCCGCTGTGGTCGTCGCCTTCCATGCTTTGAAACTTTTCAAATTATGGCAATATCCACAAGAGATGCTTCAGAAACAAGTATAATGGATCAAAAACCCTAGGCTCGGAAAGAATCACCCACGGAACCATGGGAAGAAATGTCTTGCATGGGCACAGCTCCTGTACATCAATGGCTTACTTTTGTATCGAAATTCAGACAGACTTGCGCCCCGCGGACGACCCTGATCCCGTGGGATCTTCCCGCCGCCCCGGACAGTGTAAATCCAAAATTCCATGTGCTCTCGCGGAATGTAACAAAGGAGAGGCTGTGGAGCCGATACCAGTGATGTTCGGGAAAATACTCGGTTCGCTATTTTAAACTCCTTGGCTGGGCCCAAAGTCCTCCAAGGAGGACCGGCATTCTTCGGCAGGAAGATGGAGTACAAGTTTATATTACATAGAACCAGTTCATTTGATTAGTTCATGCGTACCCAAGTAGCGTTCACTGTATAATATTATAATTCGCTATACTTCACTTCTGGTGGTGAGCCTGGTCCTATATGAGAGCCGCCAGACGCTCCCCTCGGACTAGTTTTCAAGAACCTGTCTAAGTATCCGCTATACTATATGGTAGGCTCGAACCTCAAGGGAAAGATAATCCTGATACCGCTCGGGTACAGGCCGGTGTGGCGGATGGTCTTAATATGAGTAGAGAGAATATGATAGAAGGACTTTCTACATTTACCCTCGGCTGGCTCTCACTCTGACCCGTAGCCTGACAGGAGACGGTAGACTTCGATTCAAAGCTTAGCGGTAGGATGAGCACCATCCTTCGAACCCCCGAAAGACAAATAACACGACGAGGGGCCAAACACTGGCACAAAACGCAATCCGAATGAATTATATTGGTAAAGCGGCTTATGCTGGGCTCCACCCACTGGACGGATAGGGCCGAAATAGCTACTAGCTAGCCTAGTAGGGCTAAAGGGGGCCGCTCCATCGGCTGCCTTCTCCATGGTAAGACTATGACCCTTGCCAACTTGGATTAATTGCGGTTGCATGTCAGGAACCCGAGGGGTATGATCAGCAACCGACAGACCATTCCAACAGGTGCAGACCTGACAGAGCGCGATCTTGGCAGACCCGGTTTCTGACAACATTACCATGAGATGTACTCGTACCAAGTAATGCGAATCTGGGATCGAGGCTGAAAATCCATGAGGTCCTCCTTTATTGATTACAATGCCGAGTCCGCCGCTCTTTTAATAGCAGTGCAAGGGAGTAGCTATCTCGAAGTGCTGCTCTCCTTTGGTAGATAATACGCTGTAGCTCTCAGCCGTAGACCATACGTACTCGTAAGCTATAGAGAAGCCGAACCTGAACGTTCCCTAATACAACAACCGGCGCAGGATGTCTTCTACTAGAGGCGCTCCGCGTGGAGGAGGTACCCTTGGCGGAAGACGAGGTGCCTCAGGTGGAAGAGGAGGTACCTCAAGCACAAAAGGAAAGGGCCGTGAGGTCCCGGCAAGTGCAGGGGCCTCCCAAGCTGGCCGAAGATTTCTCATATTTTGCGATGGGACTGGCGAAAATGCAGCCGCCAGCAGTGGCCCAGCAAGTAACCTAGCGACACTCGCACTCTCCATTGGAGCCCAAGGCAGGGACCACCAGGATCAAATTGTTTATTATCAGCAGGGACTGGGCACTGGTACCGGATTCCCTGGTACAGTACGAAAAATCTTTGAGATGGCAGTTGGACAAGGTGAGGCGCGAGACTCCATCCGAGACACTCAAACAGACTAATGCAATGTAGGCATCGACGAAAACATCAAGGCCATATACAATGCCCTTGCTCCTTTATCACCCGCTCAAGCCCAACGGGCACCCCCTGACGCTCCACCAAGAATCCGAAACGGTGACACTTTATGTTTCTTTGGATTCTCCAGAGGTGCTGCAACAGCACGTTTGGCGGCCGATTTCATTGCGACTGTTGGTTTCCTCAGTGGAGGGCCGAATCAGAGCTTCAATGTGAACAAGTTCTTCACGACCTGGGCTGGTCTATCAGAGAACAGTCGGTATCGAGATCCGCAGAGTTATCCCGTCATCCACCCCAGGATCGAATGCGTGGCAGTTTTCGACACAGTCGAGGCCCTGACAGTGCCGAGAACCACTCAACAGAGAGCGCGCCCAGGAGTACCCCCTACAATCCCGACTCTCTCGACAAAGGCAAAGCTCCTGCATCCAAGTATCCCATATGGATTTCAAGCACTTGCGCTGCATGAAATGCGCAACGCCTTTTTACCAGAGGTGTGGGGTCCGCCAAAGGCCCTTGGACAAAGGATTCAACAGACATGGTTTATTGGGAAACATTCAGATATCGGTGGCGGCCCTCCCTCGGACGCGCCAGACGCTGGTCTGGCGTCTGAAGTTCTACGATGGATGGTAGCGCGGACGGAGGCCATCGGCATCGGATTTGCTGCGACGGAGGAGCTTAACCACTTGTTGTCAATCCCAGAATCAGAGGCCGGGCAGGGGCATGTTCGAAACCAAGGGACAATCTCGGGGGCCGTCATGGGAGGCCAGACAGCAAGAACACCAGGACGATATCAGCCGAACCAGGAGCAAGTTCACATCTCCGTCCGAAATAGAGGGCAGTTGAACCTCCAAGACTTACCACCCCAGCCTCCCCTGGTCGACCTCATCGGGCAGCCAGAGGAACAACAAGGGGGCGCCTTTATATGGATCAATGGAGACGTCAGGATGCCGGAAGACACACTCATTGCACCTCCGGAAGGCAGCACCACGACTCAGACCACGAGCGCACCAAGGCATCCATTGCCTAGTGTCTCAAATCCAGCCGGCGGGGTACCTCGTCCACCGGGACAAAATCAACCAGGAGGATCTCAGCAGACTGGAACGTGAAGTAGGCTCCATGGAGATGCCCTGTTCGAGCAAGCAGTTGGGTTAGAATTTGGTTCTCTTGCGTAATGCAGAGGCCATAGACTGCTGTGGGACCCCGGTAGTATAACAGCGCGTAGCTTCCAAATTCCGTCTGGACCTGAGGCTTTCATGGAGCCAACGGCAATGGCGCGAGGAGAATGAGATTTCGGCCTCCTATTTGTCAATCCATCGAGACAACTCCCCACTGTACAGAGCGTACTCGTCAAAGGGAACCGCTCTGGGGGGTTCTTTAACCAGATTAAGGGCTCTCTTTAACTAGGCTCAACTGAGTTCTGGTTAAGTTAGGCATGCCAATGCCCGTAATATGCCGAGACCAAACCTGCCAATCCGATGGAATCATAGAATCCAGCTTATGCTAACATATGGTATGGAGTAGCTCATATATACCAAGGGATGTATCACTCATCGGCAAACGGCTCGCTCTTCTGTATGGAGATTGCTGTGTGAATATGCCAATGGCCAAGTAAGTTTCTCCCAGCCCTCAGATCCAGCTCCCTGCCTGTTCTTCTTACTCTGTTTGTATTCCAGACCGCGACTGGGTTAAGAAAGGGCATATCAATTCATGCGGCAGCCTCTTGCACAGCCAATGTCGTGAAACATGAGCCTTACGAGGTCAGCAATCCTCGCCGGTGCGCCACCCCAACCGAGGCTTCCGATGCTGGGCACCACGGCTTCAGCCCCGGTCGCCCGTCTCCAGCTCTATGCTCTTTCATTCCGGTCCAAATGTCCAGAGTATATCTTACATAACTACCTAGCTACATCCTCTGTCTCTGACATACAAGTTATATCATTCGGTTCCGAAGTCTGGGGAAACCGCAACCTGTTCGGGACAAGCTACAGGCAAGCTTTTTGGAGGCTGGGATTCCCGTCGCCGACTTGGCTTTATCGGCCCAGAAACAAGAAAAGGCGCCACCGTCGGTCGCCTCGGCAAAAGCTTTTCCTGGGCAAAAACCTCAAACGGCGGATAGAGCCTAGTGCTTCGTGGCGGGCGAACAAGAGGCTGCGATCACCCAAAGATCTGCTGGGTCCCTATGGCCCGCCCTTGTGGCCCTGGTGCCTCGTGGCCCCTCCTCCCCCATCTTATGCCCTTGGTGAAAACGCACAGAAAGGCTTGGGCTTGTAAGAAGTGGGCTGGGATGTGACAATTCCCTCTTCCCTGACTGGCGAATGGCCGGTCTTCTGGGGTCGCTTTGGGCCTCTTGGTGCCTCCACCGTCGTGCTGACCCCCATGGCGATGATGGATAAACATGCCTGTACTAGGTAAGGATCCAGCAAGAAGTGAATGCCATCGATCTTTCTTCTGTTCCCACCCCCCGCCGCCGCCGCGTGACCTGGATTTTCTCCAGCCACTCTCCTCGGTCACCTCTATCTTTCCTATCTATCCTAGCTGTCAGCCTTTGATATAGATCCCGTCACTCTAAGCAGGAAATTGTTCCTGCTTCGGACAAGGGCGGCCTTGGTAGAGCAGTAAGCGTTTTGAGGTCTAGTCTGGACGATCACCCTTCCAGCTATAAGCTAGGCCGCGAGCCTGCTACGTCCCCGGGATTGTTGTTTTTCCAGCTTCGTGACGCCTCTTTCCTCTCCGTTGCGTGCGGTTGTGTCGTTGTGCTTTTCCCAAGTTTATTTTCGTCGTCCATGCCACACGGGCTGGCTGTCCAGGAGCATTGATCCAGACACCATGGCACGGACCAAGGAAGACACCACCGACGCCACCACCCTTGCGCTGTTGGGGAAAAAGCAAGTCCTCAAGCGGCGATTCGGCTTCTGGTCGCTCTTTGGGTTCGCCGTGTGCGAACTGATCACCTGGGAGACGGTGCTCGCGCTTTTCAGCCAGGGATTCGACAATGGAGGGCCCGCGGGACTGGTCTACGGGTTCATCATCGCGTGGTCCAGCACGCTGTCGGTCTACACGGTCATCTCGGAGCTGGCGTCCATGGCCCCGATCGCGGGAGGCCAGTACTACTGGGTCTACATGCTCGCGCCGCCGCGGTGGAAGGTGTTCAGCAGCTACATCATCGGGTGGCTGACCTCGCTGGCGTGGATCGCCACGGTGGCGACCGAGACCATCTTCGCGGGGACCATGCTCCAGGGCATCATCATCCTCGACTACAAGGACTACGACGCCCAGCGGTGGCACGGCACCCTGCTGGCCTGGCTGGTCATGGCCGTCGCCGTCTTCATCAACGTGGTCATCCCCGGGGCGCTGCCCAAGTTCGAGATCTTCATCATCGTCTTCCACATCGCCGGCTTCGTCACCATCCTCGGCGTGCTCTGGGCCTACGCGCCGCACAACTCGGCCCACTTCGTCTTCGCGACCGCGCTCAACGAGGGCGGCTGGCCCACCCAGGGCCTGTCGTACTGCGTCGGCTTCCTGGGGAACGTCGCCACCTTTGTCGGCGCGGACGCTTCCGTCCACATGGCCGAGGAGGTCGAGCACGCGGGGCTGAACATTCCGCGGGCCATCATTGCCAGCATGTGCATCAACGGGCTGGTGGGGTTCGTCATGATGCTGACGGTGCTGTTCTGCCTGGGCGACGTCGATTCCGTCTTGGAGACGGCGACAGGGTATCCATTTATCCAGATTTTCTACAGTAAGTTCCCCCAAGTCACGCCGCTCTTTTCTCTCCCAATCGCCCATATATATGTACCCAAAAAAAAAGAAGGTTCACGACGTTTGGATTACAATTATTGACCCTTGTTTTCTCTCTTCCCGAATATAGACAGCGTGAACTCGGTCGCCGGCGCCTCAGTCATGACCGCCGTCGTGCTGGCGTTGACGTGGGCGTGCGCGACGGGCATCACGACGACGGCGTCGCGTATGACGTGGTCGTTTGCGCGCGACCGCGGCACGCCGTTCAGCAAGCCGCTCAGCTACGTGTCGCGGGTGCGCCGCATCCCCGTGGTGGGCGTGGTCGTGGTGGTCGGGTTCGCGGCGCTGCTAACGCTCATCTACATCGGGTCGTACACGGCCTTCAACGACGTCATCTCCCTCACCATCACCGGCTTCTACTGCTCGTACTTCCTGCCCGCGGCGTTCCTGCTGTGGCACCGCGCCAAGGGCCACATCAGCCCGCACAAGCAGGACACGCCGGGCCTGCCGATCGGCGACGGCGACGACGGCGGGGTTCTGGAGGGCGGCGCCGCGTCCGAGCAGGAGGAGAAGATTAGCGGAGGAGGAGGAGTCGTCGGTGGCGGCGGAGACTCCAAGGTCCTCGAATCCGGCCTCGCGACCGGCGGCGTCGGCCCCGTGTACGGCGCCGACGACGACAACCCGGGCCCCGGCCGGCGGCCCTCGATGGTCGCCCAGCCGCAGTTGCAATGGGGCCCGTTCCACCTGCCCGAGCCGTTCGGCACGGTCAACAACCTGTACGCGTGCCTGTACATGATCTTCGTCATCTTCTGGAGCGTCTGGCCCCCCGTCACCCCCGTCGACGCCTCGACCATGAACTACAGCGTCGTCGTGACCAGCGGCGTCGTCATCTTCAGCATCGTCTGGTACTGGGTCAAGGGCCGCCACGAGTACCACGGCCCCACCATCGACGACGAAGTCGCCAGCGTCATGAGGCTGGGGAGCATCGTCGCCGTTTGATCCCTTTCCCCCTTGCCACTGCCACCGCCACTGCCGCTGAACATCCCGCCGGCGCTGACCACATGATGAGCTCGCCAGATCCTGTTCCCCAAAAAAGGCCGGGCGAATGACGGGATAGCTGCCCTTGTTCTCGGCTTCTGGATTTAAAGAGCGGTCGCTTCGCAAGTGAGTGGGTGGGTGGGTGAGTGGAATCTAATCTATCAATATTTAAAAAAGGATGATGTCGCAGGATGAATTGGCATCACATGTACCGTAGCCACAAAAAATACATCATGAAAAGTTGGGAAATAGGTTTTCCACTTGGTTGAGTCAACCGAATGCATAAACCTCTGGGAATCAAAAACATTGAGAGAAGAAGGGTTTGTGAAGACCGATGCTAGAAAGGGCATATCTTGCTGCCACTATTGCACCGCCAAGTTTCCCGCTGGTATACATCTCCCTCTGCTTCCTTCGACTGAACCCGGGCAGAGGTCGTTATACGGGCACTACCACATGAACCTCTGGACATTCCCCGGCTCCTGGGGCCACTCGAATCCTCTGTACAAGAACAGGTAGCATGTGACTGCGTTGACGACAACATACCACACTAATTCCACCCATGCAGAATGCGCTGCAGCCGTTCTTAGCAGCGCATGTAACGCTGATGTTGATGGGGCATCTAGAGAACTGGTCTCTCGAGAAGAACCCTTGGTCTCCAGCTCCGATCTCTTCCGCTTCTCTGCTGACGGGGCGATGTATTCCGGGACAGCCAGCCGCCATGTCAGCCAAGGTATCAGAAAGTATCGAGGCTCCACCAGTGGAGCGGCTATGAGTGACAGCGAGGTGGCTACAAGCCAGACAAGTATGAAGCTCACTCGCACAGTGTCGTCTCCGTACAGAACGCGAGCGGACTTTGATGACGATGATACAGCGTCCGTCGCACCTCCTAGACTTCCCAGAACCATCCACGCGCATAGACAGTAGACTGGAACAACTGCGTATCTGATGAACCCGTGCTTTCTCAGTATAGCGAAGACATAGAACGTATAATGTCGATTGTCAGCGAGGGTGAAGGGGTGTATGATGGTGTTGAATTTGACGACGGCGAGCATGAGAAGGAGGAAGCTCATTGTCGTGGTGATCCTGGGGAGTCGTCGACGAAGACCGCGGAGGTCGGAGAAAAGCGGTAGCAGAACAGGCCATGAAAAGAAGACGATTGCGGGCCAAATATACAGCATTTGGGCAAGGTGGATTGTTGCAATGTGGTTGTCTTTGTCTCCGAGGACAACGCCACTGTTCCAGACGACAAACGCGGCGAACACGGCGAGGAGCGATAATTGTGGCCACAAGTCGAGAAGGAGTTGGGGTATCATGGGGACGGCAGATTGGGCGAGAGAAATGCTTGTGATGGGGAAATCTAGAATTGCTGTCAGAGACCGATCAGGGAAACGCTTCAACCGTGAGAGGACTTGGGACAAACTGGCCGGCCGAACCTTCAAAGTATGATTCAGACACGGGAGGATCGTGAACCTCGCGCGCGCCCACTCTCTGTTTAACGCTTTCAATGACCTGGAGGCCACCCAGAAACACCGCGACCCAAAAGATATTCGTCTGCCGGGCGGATAACGACACCAACCCAGCCACGAAATGTGACGCTTGGAAGAGGACCTTGACGGGTCCCTGCGAGTTGATTCCTGCTTTCCAAAAGACCTCACTGAGGACCACGGTGAGAACGCTGAACAGATCGGTGTAGTATATGCCAGAGAAGAAGAAAATCAAGGGGAAGCAGATGATGCTGAACTCCCGCTGAAGAACACTTTCATGATACACAGTCCTCCTCCCGACGGCCGCCAGAATGTACAATGCGACCAGCAATAGATACAGCAACAGTACATTGGTAAATCTCCACTCGTTGACAGAAGGTCTCAGTTCTTCTTTGGAGAAGAAGCCCCGGACCGCATTGACGACGTAGGAAAAGACGTAGAGGCCGGGGGGAGTAGTGATTTTAGGATCCCACTGCGACCACCTCCCGAGCCAATATGCCTGGGCCTGAGGGATGTGGAAATATTCGTCGAGATAGGGTTCCGGAACTATCTGATTGACGAGCCGTCGCCATGTCATGTGCAGCGAGGTGATGCAGCCGAGAAGCAGGACTCGCAGAAATTCCGGGCTGACAAAGTATGACATGGCGAGGGTTTGGAGGGAGAAGCAGAGCAGCTTGAGCAGATAACGGCCAAGGCCCCGTAAGTCCTGCAGGTTTGAAAGGAGACTGGGGACTGAAACACACCTGAGGTGCTGAAGTTGAAGCTCGCGACTTGGCATCGAAGAAAGTCAAGTGAATGTGATTTAACAGAAGCGCCAAGACATGTACTGGCAGCTGGCAGCTAAGGGTTTAGCGCGTCCGACGCTCTTCCGGGCGGAGCGCTAGCGGCACTATGTGTGAGCATGATTGCACACTAGTAGCATTAGGGCATTGCCACCTTTGACCCCCGGCCTACTCGCCGAGTACTTGCTGGCATCCAGCCTCGTCGCTCACTCACGGTGTGTCTGGAACTTCTTCGCCGACTAGTAATGGCCGTAACGGCGCCTGCTACACATAAATGTCTTCTCTCAATGCTAGAAGCTTGTCCCCGGTCCTACTGAGTCCGGGTTGCCTGGAAGCGCCGTCATGGCTAAGACACTCATTGGTCCTGGTCGTCACCGAAGCACATACGGGGTCAATTTGCCCCGAGTATGCCCATTGCTCTGCATTCGCTGCTGGCCTTGTTCACAGGGGCCTGATTGTCCTCGTCTCTGCAAATAGATTCGAAAATCTGACGAAATTTTCACTCGGCAAATGCGATGTGGTATTCCCTTTCTTCCAGAGCCCCAGCAATCGAAGTCAACAAAATCCAACAAGTCGAATGCTGTAGACGTTTGGCCCTGCTCATTCAGCAGACAGGCAATGTCATACATATTATCGCAAGTTTGGTACCTGTCCCCATGGATTTTCTGTCGCCAACTAAGTGCCTGACGAGCGAGGCGCAAGGCATTCTTATTCTTGCCCTGGGCACATCGAATGCGAGAAAGAAGGCCCAGGTCGCCAACGAAACCGGGGATTATCAACTCGCAGAAACGTCCTCAGATACTTGTCTTCTAAGAAGGTATTCGGATACCCAAAAGCCCATCTGCATTGCTGGGCATGCAACACCACTTCTCTCCGTTCAAGAAGTTCACTTGGAACGCTGGGAAGTTCTTCGGATTGTCCTCTGCATACTGGCTACATCCAGCGTCGATCTGTATATGTGCAGGCGGAAGAGTATTTTCTCGAGCGCCTCCTTATCATATAGAAGGGTGTTAGTTCGGTCAATATGAAGTGGCAATATCTGGTGGTGCGAGTCGAACTCGATTCTAATTTGCTTGACATTGCGAGGCTGCAGGAAAAGTGAGAGGGGTTGGGTGAAGCGAGAAGATATTCTCCATCACCGAGTAATTTATTGGCGAAGTGGGGTGAGCTTGCACCCAGTGTTTCGGCGCGTACCGCGACGAGGCTGTCTCCAATTCATCATGAACCTCGACCTTTTCGAGACAGGACAGACAATCATCACTTCTGCTTGATACTTGTCACCGCACTGATCTCCCCTTCTCGCCCTCTCCAACCGAAACCTAATGTCTGCCTTCCCTCATCCACCAGGCTTGCTGCCCGCCGAGATCGCGTTTCTCTGTGAAATGGAGCAAGTGACCATAATCCCACGACAGCGCCTCGAACGTCTCGACTTACTGGGCGTAAGTCCTTCCCACGGCCTCTGCATCAGATGAGGTGCGAAGCACATTCTCGTTCTAGTCTATCCCCAACCAACCTCGAGCGACCTAGCATGTTGACAACCTGACAATCCGCATCTAGGGTCCGACCCGAGCCCTCATCCCCCCGCAACGCACAACCCTACCCATCTGGCTCGCAGTCCTATTGAAGCGCCAAAGACGCGCCAACATCATGCCACCGCCCTGGATTCTCACCGAGAATCTGCAGGATATTCTCGAGACCGAGACCCATAAGGACTTTGAAGAGACGTTTTCACCCCCGGCTTCAATGCCGTCTTTGCGTCAGACAGACTACGGCGGAAAGCCGTTTTATGCCTCTGCGCCTTTTGTGGAGTCGTGTACGGTGAATGCAAATCCAACAACGCTGCCGTATCATTGGTTCGAACTCTCAGAGATACTCCTGGAAGCGGCGAGCGACGATATTCCTGAACCTGACAAAGTGAGGCAGTTGCTGAGAGACATACGAGAAGTGCGGCTAGCCAAGATGCGGAAACGAGTAGAGCATTTGTCTGGCAATGGTGAAGGTACACGGCTTGACGGTATAGGCGCTATGGAGCTCTCTGAATCTAGAGGATTTATTACAGGCGTTGTCGATGGCTTGAGGAAGATCGATGCCAGCAGAGAGCAGGAGAGGAGAGAAAGAGAAGAGGAAGAGAGGGAGGACCGGAGGTATAACGACGAAGACGACGAAGACGATGAAATGACATAAAATGATTTTCCATGAGCGTGAGGAATATGACCATTGATTTCGGTATAGACATCGGGCAAATTCATTCGAGCTCGTAACCAAAGTGGATCAATCATCAGTCCTAGAGCGCCTGCGCAAGATTTCGAGTTACGGCTAAGATGGAGGACTTTCGTTTCCTGCATCTTTTTCCTGCATCTTCCTTCGAGCTGCGAGAATCATTTCTTCTCGCCGTCTCTGGAGCATCCTCTGTCGCTCCTCTTTATTGCTGGTCCATCCTGGTGGCGGTGACTCTTCTTCTCTCTCTTTTCCCTTTGAGTTTACTTTTGCCTGTAAATTGTACCGCGTGATCAAATCCGGCGGCGGGGGTTTTTTGAAGGGTGTTAATACACTGGGGGCGGTAGTTGATTCAGAGGATGTGGCCATGTATGAAGGGGGCGGTTGAAACGAAGGCGGAGCCTGCACAAGATTCCAATATCAGCCATCGTGTTTCTTTTGCTGCCAACTTTGGCACAAGCATCCTCTTGGTCTGTCGCTTACCGGATCCAGTCCTCTCCCCGTCAGCACCCTCTCCGTTGTCGCCTGCACACTGCCTCTGTTGCGATGCAAATCCCACATTATATCCCTGCGATTTAATTGCGGGAACATCTGAGCTATCTGGTCAACCTGTGCAGGCGTGAAACGAATCCCAGGAGTAGCGTTTCTGGAGGTAGTGGACGATGTTTGAGAGCCGCCATCGGCGGCGCCTGGGCGGGAGGAGAAGAAGTAGCGATAGATGAAGTATCCAAGCACGGCGACAAAGGCAAGGCTCGGGATGGAAATGGTGGCTTCCTCGTCAACGGCTGAGGACATAGTTGACGATGTTGCGATTGCGACGCAGGGTCCTTTCTGGTACAGAGGGGATTTATGCCCAGTATCTGCGGTGGGAAAGTAGATATAACTGGGGAGTGTGGAACTGTAAAGGGCCTCACACAGAGGTAATCGTAGATATTAGGAAAATAGGTACAGGAGAAGTTGTGCTCAACGGGTGATGGTCTGAGGAAGTTGGAGATCAGCGGCATCGGGAGGCAATGATATCAACCGCCAAGGCCGGAAGGAACAAATATCGGCCGAGGTTATGGCTTCCTCCACTACTCCAAAGGTCCATTTACAACGGCGTACTATCACTGTTCAGAACATATGGAAGACGAATTGAATCGGCTAGATCGGACGTCCGAACTCACGGGACACTCTATGCGATGCAGTTGGGCGGAACTTTGTGACTACAATGTGACGGAACGTACGTTGCTGATGGTCGGAGAGTTGGATCCTCAGCCTGATAGCCTGATGTAGTGAAGTAAAAGAGCCTTGGTAGGAGAAAATGACCAGGAAGTAGGAGGATAGGAGGATATGATACAGCTTGCGAGGAATGCCGCGGGGCGTGTTGGATACGCGCAGAGCTCGACATGAGAGGCCGAGGGCGGCTTGGCTTCAGGGAGTGGAAGGCAATTTTGAGAAGCAGCATGAGAGGAAGAGATGTATTGATTTTTTTATCTTTATCGTGATCAGGTTCCTTTCCGTATGACAAGCGTCCGGGATCATTGCACACACAACATGAACGACCAGGTATCATCATCATTGTCGCAAGTTTTCCCCTTCACCAGTGCACGTTTCGTCTAGTAAAATCCCAAAATCACGACTTGGTAGTATCCCAATTCACCCAAGTCCTCGGCATGACCCTCCAAACCATGACCTCTCCGCTCTTCAGGTCTCCGACCTTGAAACTCTCCTCTCTCACCTTCGGCTTTTTGCCCTTTTCCAAATCTCTCCCTTGCTCCCACGCGCGGATTTTCTTCTTGGTGCCATCCCAATCGATGACCACAGCTACGTGCTCGGGTTTCCCTACATCGACGCTGTATTTTTGGTGCAGGCCCCCCTTGTGGCCCGAGAACTTGGCATTGCGGAATGTGACTATGTCACCCGGCCGGATTTCGTCGAATTGTTGTGTGGATGCGTTGCCCAAGTTTGAGTAGACGAGAGCACCATATGCTCTCGTGCCAACCGGTAGGAGTGCTGTTGGATGGGGCTTTAAGAGTTCGAGGACGAAGCTTCGCGCGGAGCCATCGCCGACAGTTGTTCCAGAAAGTCCGCTAGCCACTCTCGCTATCTGACTGCCATATTGAACAGACGCATTTTCCAGTTGGTCACGCCGAGGTGCAGGGGGTGGTCGCCCGTGGTTCTGTTCTAGTGTCACATGGGTTGGGTCCGCCGCATCGTAGCTCACATTGACGGTAGTCTGGGAATAGTCCATGTAAAGCACATAAATATCCTTCGAGATGGTGGTCCTCCCTCCACGTTTGCTAGAGGAGCCTGTCTCCATTTCGAACAGAATATCAGGTCTCCCTTGCAGTGAAGGAGGTGGTGTATTGTCTTTTGTCCACCACATTGAGCCCTTTCCGAGGTCGATATCTTGAGCGATATACCCCTGTTCACTGCTTCCTCGAGAGTGGTCCATTGAACGGCGGGAAAGAGTACCGGACCTTCGGAGGTCGGTACCCTGTTCAGCGGAATCTGTCGGTGGAGGAGGCGCGAGAGTGGGAGGCGCAATATACTCCGCCGGTTCTGGCAGCGGTGGTGGAGGTGCCGGCCTCTCTGTGGGTGGAGGCGGTATAGTCGATGGTTGTGGCATTGCACTGTACATATCATCTTCCTCGAGCTCCTCCCTTGGCGACTGCAATGATGTAGAATATGGTGGTTTGGTATGAAGAGATGGCGGAGGGTGTTGAGGTGCAGAATATCGATACGGATCATATTCATCATCATCACCGACCTTTGGTGGCGGAATGGGTGGGGGGGCCGCTCGTGGGGCATCCATAGATCTTCTACTTTTAGGCGTTGGTAAAGACGGAGGCGCGGGTGGCATGTCTCGCGGAACACCGACTGGAGGCAGCGGAGGAGCAGCTCGTGTGGGAGCGTGTTTTGGGGATTTCATGTCGTCCGTGAGGGCGCCCTCGTCGAGGCTTGAGTCGCGATTATGAGCCTTGAGCGCATCTTTGTGCTTTGCACTTGAAGCAATGTCCGTATCGTAATCTCCGTCATATTCAGTAACTTCCTCTTCGTCGTCAACGTCAGGCTTAGGAGAATGCACAGTGCCGAAACCTCGCGAATCAGTTGTTGAACGGCGACTCGGGGGAGCTCCTGGTGGAGGAGGCGGGGGAGCTCTGGTCTGTGGAGAGGTCGGGCTCATGGGAATAGGGGGAGGAGGGCGTGAAGCGCGTTTGTCGGTGGTTGGAGACATCGAGGCCTCGGCAGTGTCCAAGGTAGAATGCCCAGGTGGCCTAGTTGGTGGCATCGGAGGAAGGGGTGGCGCGCCAGCTGGAGTCTCTAGTGCTTCCTGAGTGTCTTCTTCAGGAGATTCGTTGATTTCATCCTCTTCCTCATAACCGGGAGTTTCTGAAGACGCTTGGGGCAATGATGGAGGAGGGGCAGGTATGGACCGAGCTAAGAGAGTCAGCAGATCTTCAAGATGTAGGAGGTTCTTACGTACAGGTAGGTGACTGGGGAACTGGAGGAGCTGCCCTTGGGCCTGATGGCGGCGGTGGAGGAGCACCCCTAAAGTCACGTACTGGTGGAGGAGGAACGACGCGGTCTGCTGAATGTGAGCGGGCAACTTGCTTTACGATCAAGGGAACATACCTTGTGGCACCGGCGGCGCGGAGCGGTCTGTCGAACGACGTTGTAAGGGTTTCGAGACGTAGTCTTCGGTTTCTCCGTGAACACCAGGTTCTTGGGGTGTCGGGCGTGCAGTCTCGTCTTCGTCACTTTCTGTCGAAGCCAGAGGCTCCTCTTGCCGCTTGGGGATTGATGGAGACATTCCTGGCAAGGCCATGATTCGGACTGGAGCTGCTCGTTCTTGAGGCTCTTCCTGTGGATGGCTCTCAGAAGCTTGTCGAGATGGTTCTGATTTTGGCTTTCTTGTAGCACCAGGTAGTCCAATCCCGCCTGGAGGGCCGAACATGCCCATCATGCCCATACCTCCACTCATTTTAGCCATTCTGTCCCTAAGCTCTCTTCTCCGGCGGATCTCTGCATCTTCCTCATCCTCCTCCTCCTCCTCTTCTTCTTCTTCCTCCGCTTCACCCTGTTGCTCTCGGTCGTCATCTATAGATTTCCTGGGAACAGCTACTGGATTTGGTATGTCTGTGCCTTTGGACTTTGGGCGCTCTTCTTCGGTGGATGTCTCCTGAACATCATCGTCATCCGCGGCCCCCGAGTCATCGGCATCATTCGTGTCGCTGACGAGCTCGCGAGAAGCTGGCTGTGGCGTGCTGAGGCCTGTCGTGCGGCGCAAAAGACCCATGGTGTCGTGATCGCCTTCAGCCACCTCGGCAGATGGGCGGCCTACAGTTTCATTCGAATCTAGCCTCGCCAGAGTCGGCTCAGGTGGCTGGGTCTGTTCCCCAGGCTCAGCAGTGTCGACCCTCTTCTTGGGCGGTTTCTTGGGCTTTTCCTTCTTCTCGGCATTCCGCGCTGCTTGCTCCAGCTGTTGCTTTTGCAGAAGTGCTATTCTTTCTTTGAGAGATTGGGGCTTCGGTTGATCTTCCGCCTCAGGCTCTGGTTGTGTAGCGGTATATTCCGCTGGATCTCTGGGTTCTGCTCCATTTACACTCGCGTCGTCCTCACGCCGGTACTGCTTTTGAATGGGAGGTTCTCGGGCTGGTGGGGGAACAAATGCATTCCTGCTGGGTGGAGGTGCCACAAATGGCTTTCTGATGAAACCGCTGCTTGGTCCACCACCCCCGGGGTTGAAAGGAGCGATTGGCGCAGCAGCAGGTTTGTTGAAGGCAGCAATCCTGTCTTTGAAAGAACTAGAAGATGGCTTTTCTGCGACAGGCGGAGGGGCACGGGCAGCGGCGGCGGAAGGGGAAGTTGGGACAGTGGTAGAGGCGGTGGGAGCAACGGGCTGAGGCTTCGGGGCTGGCGGAGGAGCCTCAGGCTCTGCTCTCGCCGTTTCCGCTGCTTCCCTTATTGACCCTTTCTCTTCCTCGTGCGCAGTTTCGGATGTCTCTACTGGCGGAGGGAGTGGTTGAGGCGCTGGAGGCTCTGGGACACGCTCGGAAGGCTCTGAAACCTGTGCACGCCTCGGAGCACGCACCGGGCGCGAGGGAACTGTCGGTTCGTATTTCTCGACAAAATTCCTTGGGAACAGGCCTTGAAGCTTCTCCCCGGAGGCATCCACATATTCCCCTGTATACCAATCCGCATCCTCCTCTTCTGTAACTGTGATTATCTGGCCATTGTCAAAGTTAAGATCATCGGGCTCGTCTGATCTATATTCAAAGATCGCCTTGACTTTAAACGGAACCGCAGGCATTTTGTCTAGAGGAGATGCTCCTCAGAGACCAGAAATGAGGTGGATGTGGGCGGACAGTCGACCTTTCAATGATCTTACTTGACCAGCACGGTGACGCAGCGTCTGCGCCACCTCGCTTGAAGGTCGGTGCCAAGGTCAGATTTAGACCTCCTGGTGAGTGATTATTTGATCACCTGAACTTGCGACAGAGGGATGCAGGCATGGAAGGACGGTATAAGCTGGAACAGGTGCGGTGGACAGGGAACGTTGTTCAAATTGTGAGAGAATGTGTAGCCGTGGCCGACTTGAACGTGGGGCTCTAGTCGCTGCGGACCTCCTTGAACACTTGACGAAGTACTTTAGCCTTGTTACTTAGTCAGGCCGCCTTGCCTTTGGTGCCTTCGGTCTAGATATTTGCCGCCATCATTCTCTGTTAACCATCTCAGTCTCGGGTCTCACGCTACGCACCAAAGAAGAATCGAGTACATATCTCTCTCCCGCTCTCACTCTCTCGCACGTGCACCTACCATCTGCGGCTGGCATTTGGCAACAAATAATACTCGGAACATGGCCGGCTATGGCAACTGAACAACCTGAGAGCAACAAAGAAGATCGCATTCGGTCAACTGCGATACGTCACGCCAGGGATATCGAGGAGCGAAAGAAATTACAGGCGCGCATAGCCGACCTTGTAGTCGAAGCGTTTGACTTGCCATCCAGACCCGACGCCGATCCAGCAAGGCCACAACCGTCCGATGCTTCCCTCTTCAAACATTGTCTGAGCCTCTTTCAGACCTCAGATTTGGATGATCTCATCTACGAGCGAAACGTAGATAACCGATGTGGCTATGCCCTTTGCCCAAGACCAAATCTGAAGCTCGCGCATGGTGGTCAGAAAGTGTGGAATCAGAAGGGCGGCAAGGACTTCAAACTCGTCGATAGGACAGAGCTGGAAAGATGGTGTTCACCAGCCTGTCAAGAGAAAGCTGCTTTTGTGCGCGCTCAGCTTGGGACGGAGCCCGCGTGGCTTCGAACCAGTCAGGCTGTAGACATCAGGCTGCTTGATGAAGTTGATTCCGAGGGTCTTGCCGACCCTTTCAAGGTATGTGCAATGTTGAATCGACCTGTACCGGTGCCTGAGACTACGTTGCTAAGTGCTTGCAGCAACTCTCCCTCGCGGAAGCGTCTGACGCAGAAATGGCCGAAAAGATGCAGGCTCTCGCGCTTGAACGTGGGGAGCTGAATGTCAAAGCTGACGACGACACTGTTGATCTTGTTGAGAGGACAAGCGAGGCGATACCGAGTGCTCCAACGTTGAAAGGACACCAACCGCAGAATGGCATTGAAGGACATCAACCACGAAAGGTCCGCTTCTCGCAGAGATGATCGGTCCCGACGCCGTCGCCTCTAACAAAACACCGAATACTCAACTCCATTTCCAGCGCGCGGCGAAGATCGATCCTAATCAAGCGGATGACGTCGCAAGAGATACCATCAAACTCCCAGGCTCTTTTGCCGTCTTTTCCCTAGGCATAGCTTCTTTGTCTCAGAGAGGGAGCTCCGGGATCCACAGGTGGGGGGCACCGCGAAACGGCGCTGCGAACAAAACACGAGGACGACGTAACCTCGAGCAGTCTTGAGGGCATCTGAAGGATGGATATGGTCAGACGAGAAAGGAACATATCCGTAAAAGTCATGGCTGCGCTGTCTGGCGGAAGCCAAGTGGTCTTCAGGATGCTGCACCAAGATATCTCATCCTGTTTTCTTGAGATTATGGACCAAATGCAAAATATGCTCTCTCAAGCGGTTGTCTCTGATATTCCCATGCCAACCAATCGCTTCTGGTTGTAGGTAACAGTCCCATACTGTTGACTTTATAGATGCCCAAGCCGAGCAGCAGACACTGCATCAGAATATACACCGCTTTGACGCCCAACATCTGGGTACGATTGCCGGCGCTCTCGAATCTGGCGAATTGTGTATTGGTCTGCGAAATGGCCTGAATAGGATTCTTAAAGCTGTAATGCACCAATTAGTATTGACATCCACAGGCTATAAATCATAGACTCACAGCATAAAGACCATCATAATGGAGAATATCTGGAGCGAATTGCCAGACATGTAGCCCATGATAGCTTGCATGGGAAGTTGCTTCGCGGGTCCAAGTGCAACCTCCCAGGCTTTCTTGAGTTTGAGCGTTTCGGTCTCTTCGGGGGTCGGGGGTTTTCGTCCAGGACCTTGCGACTTCTGTTCGACCGTCAGTAAGTATAGTTTGTGAGTGGTATATGATGCCTGCGGTACCTGTTTCCCAACAACGGCTCTGGATCCCAAGAAGCCGGGAGGATCTGGGATGCTGGATACGTTCTTTGGTTTCGGAGGGACACCGTTGTTCATGTCAACGACCCATTTCGGCATCGGAGGAACCATACTGTCTGAGGCCGCCATCGCAGGACGATATCTTTTCGAACGAGCACTGTCCAAAGAATCGCTGCAAGTACGAAGGATGTTGGGTTGACTACTGACGGGGCCGGAAAAATGCAAACTCCGCAACCCTTGGCGTGAGCGGCCGCCTCTAGGGAGACACGCCTCAACGTCCATGCACCTCCTTGACCTCCAGTAAGACTTACATTGGACACCTACCACTTGGACATTGTCAATAGATAGAACATTCCCGAGAAACCTGTCCTTTATTGATGCATCCTCCTGAAGATCATGCCATGACCTGAACCGCGATCAGCTGAATCCAGCACCAATATTGTCGACTCTAGGGTGATACGGGAATCCTACTGCTAGTTGTCTGAATTCAGACAGAAAGGGTCAGAATGTCTTCCGGACACGGAGACTCTAAGCTCTTTGCCAGGGTATGTAAATTTCTCCAGGATGCTGCGCTGTCCTTCAGGACATGGCTCTGTCCGTGTGTGTGCCTGCTCCTTTCACTTGGTCCCATATTGAGGGACTTTGATCTCCATGTCACTTTCCTCCAACATGGTATCTGGAGTAAGGGTGGCTTGAGTTTCTTATATGTGAGACCATGGGATTCACATCGGGGTCATGTCTTTTGCTGCATTGTCCCTTCCCGTTTATTTCGATCTAAGAGCTCATACATATAAATAGGGCAAAGTGGCTGAGCTACGAGCGGAGCTCACCAATCCGGGCAAAAAGGACAAGAACCACACCACGAAGAAGAATGCACTGAAGAAGATCGTCGCCAATATGACCATGAGTAACAACGACATGGTTGCACTGTTTCCAGATATCGTGGCTTGCATGGATATCCCGGTCCTCGAGATCAAGAAGATGTTTGTCAATGTGCTTTCACGGCTGTCCTGCCTGCTAAATCACATACAGGTGTTTCTTGTACCTTCAGCATTATGCTCGAATGAAACCGGATATTGCTTTGCGAGCGTTGCCGGTGCTGGAAGAGGTGAGCATGGCCCAGCTGCGTTGCTGGACTTCTTATTCAAAAGCATTTAGGATCTCCTGGACTCGAACCCCTTGATTCGAGCACTTGCCTTACGCACTATATCATACGTCCACGTTCGAGAATTCGTTGAAGGCACGATCGCCCCACTGAAAAAATTAATGGTTGACCAAGATCCCTATGTCCGGAAAACAGCCGCCATCACCGTCGCCAAAATCTATGACCACGACAAACGGCTGGTCGAGGGATCAGACCTAATTGATAGACTCAATAGAATGCTGAAGGACGACAACCCTACTGTCGTTGCAAGTGCACTTTCTGCCCTGCAGGATATCTGGGAGAGGAGCGAAAATATCAAGTTGACAATCGACTATGCAAGCGCCTCCAAAATCATTTCGATCTTACCCGACTGCAATGAATGGTCTCAGACCTACATCTTGGAAGCACTGGTATCCTACGTCCCACACGAATCTGGTGAAGCTCTCTTACTGGCAGAACGAATATCATCTCGGCTTTCGCACTCAAACTCTGCCGTGGTGCTTACGTGCATCCGAGTGATTATGTACCTGATGAACTACATCTCCGACCAGAAGAAAGTCGACGAACTTGCCCGCAAATTATCCCCCCCACTCATCACCCTCCTCTCTAAACCACCGGAGATCCAGTATCTCGCCCTGAGAAATGCCATACTCATCCTGCAACAAAGACCTGAGGTCCTGCAAAATGACATCCGCGTGTTTTTCTGCAAGTACAACGATCCGATATATGTTAAGGTCACGAAACTGGAGTTGATATTCATGCTGGCCAATAAGAGCAACATCTCTGTGGTTCTCAACGAGTTGAGGGAGTATGCTACCGAGATTGATGTCCAGTTTGTGCGCAAAGCCGTTCGAGCAATCGGAAAACTTGCAATCAAGATTGAGCCGGCGGCGCGGCAGTGTATCGATGCACTCCTGGAGCTTGTCAACGCCAAAATTCCGTACATCGTCCAAGAAGCAACAGTGGTCATCAAGAATATTTTCCGCAAGTACCCCAACCAATACGAATCTGTCATCTCCACCGTGATCGGTCAGATTGATGAATTGGATGAGCCAGAGGCAAAGGCTGCCATCATTTGGATCATCGGAGAGTACGCTGACCGAATCGATAATGCCGATTCACTACTGCAAGACTACCTCTCAACTTTCCACGAGGAGCCTATAGAGGTTCAATTAGCATTACTTACTGCAACAGTGAAACTCTTCCTCCACCGGCCCACAAAAGGCTCGTCCATTGTTCCGCAAGTGCTCAAATGGTGCACGGAGGAGTCTGACGATCCGGATCTTCGCGACCGAGGGTACATGTACTGGCGCCTGTTGTCTACCGACCCAGTGACGGCAAAGAAAGTCGTCATGGGAATGAAACCACCCATTACAGCCGAAAGCGAGAAGCTGGACCCAATAACTCTGGAAGAGCTCTGCTTGGGGATCGGGACCCTCGCCACCATTTATCTGAAACCAGTACAGCAAGTCTTCCGGTCTGCACGGACACGTCGGCTTCAGGATTCCCCCGCGCTGCAAAGGAAGAGAGAAGACCTGACCCGCTCGCTGACCGGTCTGGATCTTGCGAATCCCCTTTCATTGAACACCACCGTCACAACTCCAGGCGGCACAGCCGTGCCCAATCATCAAGCTGCGATTGAAGCCGCCGACGAATATTTCAAGAATCTGAGCTTGAGTGACAACAGTGGGGGTGATATCCTGACCAGTCCGACTGGCGGAGGAGTAGGAAACCCATATATCGTCAGCCAGAGCGCCCCACAGCACAGCTTCCATCCGCAAACGAGTGTCGCCAACAACGGAGATCTCCTGTACTAGCATTACAGGGAGGAGGAAGTCGAAGAGAGTGTGCATGGCGCATAAGCGATGGTTGTTTACTTGGCGCGACAAACAGGACGGTTGTAAACGCAGGCTCCCCTAATGCGCATGTGGTAGTGGAATCTCATTCTTTCGGTCGATACCAAAATGGTCCGCTGCGTCTGGAGAGGTGAAATAACACGGCAGACGTGTGACCCTTGACTCTCCTCGACAGGAACCTATCAGGCCCTGTACTTTGTTGTATAGCTAGTTCGAGCTGTAGAGAAGACGTGTTTCAGGGGATCGCGCAGCGGTATTCGCGCCCCGGCGACTCCAAGCCGACGTCATGACTGATTCGCTGTTCTCCAAGAACCTCTTTTTTTTTTTCGGGGTTCTGGCCATTAACATTCACTCCACATCGAAATTGAGAGGATCCCGCGCGAAACAACGATCAAGTGGACAGCACACTGCATACAGCGGTACGACGGTACAGCACACCGAAGATTCGAACTTCCAGATCCGTTGCGGAACCGCGTATCCAGGTCCTCCTTCTCGTGCGCGCAGAGAGAGTGACCTCCTCCACCCACCTCATGATCGCAAAGTGACAGCGAACCGAAACTGCTGCGTGCCCTGCCCACCATGGTCTCCCTCCTCGTCACGGTCTTCCTAATCCAACTGGTCTGCCACCTCGTCCTGACGATCGGTTCCAAACCCATCAACGACCTAGTACGTTCGAGTCCCGCTCTTCTCGTCATCTTGCTGTCCCCCCCCCCCTTTTCCAACCTCCTCTTCCGGATGGTTGCTATATCACTCTTCAGGCGCCTTTCAAGAAGGAAGCCAAAAAGCACAAGAAAGAAGATTCCAAGAAAGGGAGGGGGGAGAAAACCCCTAAAAAAAAACGATACTTTCTGGCGGTTTTGGCTGACAGACTCTGGGTCTTAAATAGCTATGGCAAATCTACTGCCGCCTCCCGCTACAATCGTCCACGGACATTCAAGAACAGATGCGCCTGCGCCGCGAGGTGCTGAGACTGAAGCGGGAGATGAACGCGGTCAGCGCGCAGGACGAGTTTTCCAAGTGGGCCAAGTTGAGGAGACAGCATGACAAGGCCATGGACGAGCATGACAAGAAAGGTGAGTTGTTCATTTACCCCCTCTCACACCAGGAAGCGAGGGGTTGCAACCGGGAGGAGGTCGAGAAAGGCAAGAGAGAAAAAGAGTGTTTCGTACTGGTGACATGGATTTCTACTTTTCACGCTACTCTTTGCTGGCAAGGCAGAAACGGGGGCAAGAGACAAAAAAGCAAACACCACTGCATTTTATTTTCTCTCCGTCACAGCCCCCAACTAACAGACGATATCTATCTTTGTCTTGCAGCCGCCGCGGTTTCCTCCTCCCGCGCCTCCTTCGACACCAAAGCCACGGCGATCCGGTGGACGTGCACCAGCGGCCTGAGACTCGCGCTGCAGTTCTGGCACGCAAAGACCCCGGTCTTTACGTACCCGCGCGGCTGGTTCCCCTGGTACATCGAGTGGCTGCTCGGCTTCCCGCGGTGCCCGTACGGCGGCGTGAGCATCAACGTCTGGAGCACGGCTTGCGCGACCGTCATCGCGCTCGTGTGGGACGTCATGGTCTACCTGATCCAGAGCGTGCAGCAGCAGGTGCGAGGCGGGCAACAACAGGGGAAGGAAAAGGTAGACGGTAGAAGAAAACAAGAGGTGCGAACGTGAAAACGTGAACATTATGACTTCCAATACCTCGAATAGATGAGGTGGTTAAGAGTTTGGGAAAAGACCTATGCCCTCCCAAATCAAAGGCTCAAGGATACTTTGAGGGGCTTCGGCGTGGTTCCATCAGAGTATATTCAACCATGTTCGCGTCACTGGCCAAACCCAAGCTCGCTTGGAGTCGTGGAGGCCTAAGTGCTTGACTCTATTGTGATTGAGAGTTCATCATTTGAAACCACTCGCCGCAGCCAGCGCTCCTCTTCATCGCCTTTTCACAAGGATCCCCCTGTGGTGCTGCTTTCTCACATGCGCAGGGTGCTTGTTCATGAAACGCCTCGCGAACACACCAAAGGAAGAGTCCGGTCCGTTCGACAGGACATCTGCGCCATCGTGGACGATAGTCGCTGCTTTCCATAAGCTACAGACTCAAAAGAAGAAAAAGTAGTGGTGTTGCTCCGCGCCTCAAGAATAAGCCCCATCGAGTTACTCTCCGTGGCCCAACCGCCGCAGGGACGGAAATGGGTGGTGGAAGAGCAATCGCATAACTTTCGACATATGACGAATTGCGCAACCTCCAAAAATCACTCTTTGAGCTCCCCAAGTATCCAGACTGCCCCATAGATCTCCCAATGGTATAGACCCTCGCCATCTCTTCCCTTCGTGAAACCCCAAAAATCCAAGGCCTCTCCGCTTCAGAAAAAGAAGAAGCTTGTCTTCACGGCGACGGACTCATATCTTCATCCATCCCCTCGACAAAACTCTTCCCTCATTCATTCCACTTCGAGACGCAAGGACAACGGGGACTCAGAGGAGAATGCAGCCGATAGTGAGGTCGGATCTCGAAGAGGAGGGATGACTCGGAGAAGAGTGGGAGGCGGAAAAAAGAAACCGCAGTGAAAGGTTGCTTTTATGGCGGTTGCCTCTCGGCAGGTCCTGACGTTCTCTCTCTCACGAAGAGAGAGAGGTAGGGTGGTCCGGGGACTTTCTCCCAAAGCTTTGCCCTTGTTGCCTTGGGCATTTCGGGTCTGCAGATATCTGGAGAGACTTCTGCTGTGCGTGAGCTTTGAATGCGATTCTTCGAACGCGGAGACTGATGGACACCAGAAGGGAGAAGAAGAAGAGAGAGTCTGCAGCAAGAATGAATTTTATGGAGTTCTCAGGCCGAGGAAAATATTGCCAAGAGAGACTAGTCCCAAACTGGGGAAGAGTGACCCTCTTGCGCGATGCTGCCAAACTGAAACCTCGACACTTTCTCCGCTCCGCCCAAGTTTCCGAACGCCCGCCTTTCCTGCCACCTAGAGCAACCTTATCTCTTTTTTTTTTATATGAGAAGCACCTCAATATTATTAAAGGGGTTTCCCTAGTGTAAAGGCAACGCACGTTGTAGAGGACTTGGGAGTCTGTCCGTCTACCATGAATTGAACGGGGCGGGGATAGCATCATTGAGAAACCAGAGCTTGTTGCTTCATCAAAAGGAGCATCATCCCAAGCTGGGTCCAGCCTGAGAGTTCCCGGGGGATAAGCAACAGAAAAGCACGCGCTGAGCGTGGCCGCAATGATGAAGATGTCGTCTTCTCATCGAGGACTGAAGCCCGTGCTGGCGGCCGCCCTCGCGCAGACGAACAAAGCGCCATCTCTCCGAGCAAGGCGCGAACTGAGCTTCTTGGTCACATCATCATCGTCATCGTCGTCGTCGTCGTCTTCGTCATCCTCACCACGGCATCCCGTCCGTCGCTATGCTCCCGAGTTGATCCCAATACCGATCCCTATACCTCAACCCAAACCAACATTCCCACCGTCGGCCCTATCACATCAACAACGTCGCCATGCATCGTCGAAACCGGAGCCGGAAGCAGAACTCAAGCACACGCCCCTGTACAACCTCCACGTTTCGCTCGGGGCAAAAATGGTGCCCTACGCCGCATTTGCCATGCCAGTCACATACCCAGACCTCTCCCACAAGGACTCCCACCTCTGGACCCGCGAACACGCCAGTGTCTTCGACGTCTCGCACATGGTGCAGCACAAACTCTCCGGGGAACTCGCCGAGGAGTTTCTCATGACAGTCACCCCGTCAGCCATCGGCGAATTAGAAAAGCACCGCTCGAGTCTATCTTGCCTTTTGAATGAGGAGGGAGGCATCGTGGATGACACGGTGATCTCGAGAATCGGTAAAGATAGCTTTTACTTTGTGACGAACGCGGGCTGTCGGGAGAAGGACATTGCCTTTATCGACGAGCACATATCGAAGTTTCTCAAGGCAAAAGAGGCATCGGGGGATAAGATCAATTGGCATGTACTTGACCATCACGCCCTTCTGGCTCTTCAAGGTCCCGAATCCGCCAACGTGCTCCAGTCACTCATCTTCAACGACACGGAAGACGAGAGTCTCGATACGTCGCTGGACACGCTATACTTTGGATCCAGCCGGTGGCTGCAACTGACCCTACCTGACTCCGGGATGAACACGCCATCCCTCCTCATCAGCCGTACCGGGTATACTGGAGAGGATGGCTTTGAAATTTCGATTCCTCCTGAGAATGGAGACGCGACTGAGCTGGCGACGAACATTGCCAAAGCTCTGACCGCCGACAGCTCCAAAGTCCGCTGGGCGGGGCTCGGGGCGCGCGACTCCCTCCGCCTGGAGGCTGGAATGTGTCTCTACGGGCATGACTTAAATGAGAAGATCACGCCGCCAATGGCGGCGTTGGGGTGGTTGGTCGGTAAATCCCGCCGGGGCGAGAACCCTACGCCAGCGTTTAATGGGCATCAAATCATCAACAAACAACTCGCTTCGCCAAAGACAATGCCTGAGCGACGAGTTGGGTTGCTCATAGAAAAAGGCCCCGCCGCGCGCGAAGGGGCAGAGATCGTCGATCCAGAAAACAACGACCAGGTCATTGGTCACATAACCTCGGGTTCTCCCAGCCCGAGCCTGGACGGACAGAACATCGCCATGGGGTATATTAAGAATGGATTCCACAAAAAGGGGACCCCAGTTGGAGTTAGGGTGCGGAAGAATGTGAGGAAAGCGGAGGTCGCTAAGATGCCCTTTGTGCCGAACAAGTTTTACACCCGGCCCTCGTGAAGGTTGTCTGCCTGGGGTCACGGCGGGCCGATCTCTGCAGCTCCGCCGGAAAAGCGGTCAAGGGGACTCGGCGATGGCTATTGCGAGTTTTGCGCAAAGAACATGGAGGCAGGAGAAGATGGGCGATGTGACAGGCTGGTGATCCGTCTCCATGGGTAGATCTTGTCACACCCTGATCGTCGGTTGTAGCCGATCCTTTGGAGCAACGGCGGCGGCGGTGTTCTGGCACGGAACTCTGGCCTCACCACCTAGCTCTTAGCTTTTAGTGGAATTTGCTGGTTTTTCTCCGCGGCGGGTTGCTTCTTTGTTTGCCCGGCCGCAGAGGTGTGTTTGACTACCCCTCTTCGTATATGCATGCGAATGTCTGCTAGCTTGTATGACTATCCCTAGCCTGACAGCACCATGAGTTAGCGTATCCCATGTGATTGGGGCCGAGACTTCGTGTGCGCAGTGATCGATGCAAGAAAGTTCCCTGCCGCCACCGCCGCTCTTTTCCTGTTTGCGTGCATCCGATGTGTCTCGGGTTTCGGGATGCAGGAGCTCCTGGATGGTCGCCTAAGCATTCGTGATCAGGTTCAGGAGTACCGCCGCGCAAGAGGATGATCTCTCGCCAGAGGGGAGACTGTCGACCCTTGAGCTCACGAGTAGGGCATGCCTTCACGAAAGACGCTAAGGATGGATCCGAAAACCAAGGCCAAGGTTCAGGGCTAATCTTGAACTTTGGCACTCGCTCATCGTCGCCCACATGGAACAGCAGAGGCCCGGTCAGTGGCGGCAAAGTGCGGTTCCCGCTTCCCACGCGTGTGATAGCCCACTGGGCGTGAGCAGCTTCAGGATAGTGTAGACAAATGGGCTTTGTGGAGCTGTGGTGGACCCAAGGACTAGCAATGTAGCTGGCGTTTTTGCCTATTTTGACGACATTTCGGTGCCCCGGCCCCGTCCAATCCGCCTGCTACTGCACAGGTCGAGCAGTCTCATCGTCGATTGACTGAGAGATGGGCGGAATTTAAAAACCGCCTTTTGTGACAATGGTGAAATCCTTTTAATCGCCATGGGGGCTGTGGCCCAGGCCACGCACAGACCATCGGGGACCTCCCTGGCCCGTCTTGTGAAAGCGTGTTCTTCGTGTTCGGAGACCATAGCTCGTCCTTTGTGACTGTCTCGATGGATCCGATAAGCTATCAAGGTAGCTATTGACAAGCTAGCTGCGCATGTTTCTTGCGAGGTACATGGGTTCTCAATGAGCTCTGTACGTCACCTTCGGCAAGCAAGAAATACATGCGCGACTTGCGCTACAAGCACTAGTGACATGTCCAGCTAGTCCACTGGGCTTGCTTGTGGCATGATTTTTGGGTTGGTCAGAGGCTTCCACACCGATTCGAGAGAGTGTTTGCCTCAGCGGTAAATGCTATCCGGTCTGCCCTTACGTTGCGCTGCCGGTGACATGTCATTCATTCTTGCAGTTTATGGTTCCTCCAATGGCGATCATACACCATCAAACGAGCGTTAACAGATTGAGAGAGATAGTCAATGATGGTTGCGTCTCGTGTGTCTGAGATGCTCGCGAATTTCCTCATCTGGCTTATTGTTTTTTTAGGACACAGGGCGAGGACAATTGCCGAAGTCACTTTGCCAGAGGAGAGCACACTAGAAGGCTCAGAACCAGCTTCCTGGGCGGGAAACTCCAGAGTCAGCTCCCACGCGAGGATGTTTGCTGAGTCTGTCGATCATCTGAGAGCCCAAAATACAGTCGCAAAGGTGTCCCTAGGTCCCCACAATGACCTAGTCACCTAACAGTCGCTTGGTATGGTACGAGGAGCCCAGGAGACAGGCTTGCTGCACTCTGCAGCTTCCTTTTGCCGTGCTTGGCATCACTTTCAGCTGGATCCTCTGGTATCATCCTTGCTTTGCTTGCTCTGTCCCAGGGGCAGATGACCCAGCTCTTTCTGGAGTACCTCTGGGTGTACTTCCAGGATAAGGATGGTGGACATGAGGCGCAGGCCAAATAGTGAGATCCAGCCGCTCTGTAAGGTGTGAATTTCTTTTTATTTGCTCTTTCACCGCCGTTAACACCCGACGAGGCGGGGTCCGATCCGTACGGATTGACTTGAATATTTCGCTTCTCGCTCTCAAAGTCCTCCCGATGATGGAGGTGGCTGTTGGGCTGGAAACAGGCGAGCAATCATTTCGTAGAGCCAGCTCGAGTGGCAGAGGCAGCCCCTGGTCGAAGGCAAGCATCGGCTAGGGTTCGAATGGCGGCTCGTTCGCGAATGAGGCAGGGCCAAACTGGGAGCGGAGCCCGAGCTCTCAATATCACAATGGGGTCTGAGAGGATCGCCTGGGGTCATGCCACCTCCGGGATGACCACCTTCAGCGCGCACTTTTGGAAACCAGACAACTCTCGCCAACTCCAGCGTCGTGAATGGCAGGGAAGAGGAGTCAGGTGGCCCGGTGGCTGCAGTGAGTGTAGTAGTGTAAGGCAGGATAAGGACAAGCAAAACTCTGTTGCCAGCTAGATAGGCACTCGTATTGAGGTGGATTCTGGCGACCCTCTTGAAGGGGCTGAGGGAAGAGTAACCGAGAGAACGACGGGCTTGGAGAGGTGGAAGTGAAAATTCATCGGCTCCATGCTCATGGCCTAGTCGGCTTTGTGGCTCCCAAGCTCATTTTCCCCATATCTTGATGCCAACCTTGAAATCTACTCATGCATGCAAAGCCTTTGTTCCCCCCCCCCCCCACAACTACGACCTTTTCATCTCGCGAGTGTAACGCATGTTCCCTCGGCTCTGCTTCCCGCCACCAGCTCTAGTCCCCAATTTCCATGAAATTGACAAAGGTCTGAGCTTGTGCAAGGTAGAATCCGTACATTTGAATCATGAAACTATGACTATATGCCGTTATCGTATCATCACGTCGTGCTGAGCCCATCCATCTACGTCTGCGTGTACCATTTTTCCCAATGCATTGTCCCTCGATGATATTCCCCGTTAAATGACCTCGTGAATAACCAGTTATGCAGCTCCTCCTGTATATCCCCGAGCCTGGCCCACGCCTGTCCCCTGTCTGTCATGCACCATGCTTCCTGAGTGGCCGTCAAAGAGGGGGATCCCCGTCATCCACGTTCTTGATTCCGTTCTTTGTAACCTATCCATGCGCCATGCCCTGTCTGAATTGAACCCGGGGTATCTTTAGATCCTGTGCAAGTCTGGCCCTGTGCCACTTGGTGCATTGTCCTTTCACCGTCGTAAAACATGACTCCAGAAAACATTGAAATAAGAAATGACTCGAATTGGACAAAGGCCAATGTCTCAACGAAAGACTGCTTAGTGGGACCTTCAATGTATGCTAGATCCAGCTGCGGCGCACTTATCCACTCGCCAGAAGTGGGTCATGATGAAGCGCATAAAAGCTTCGAGTACGGTGTGGCCGAGAAGTCGACGAGCGATGTCATGCTGTCCGTGAATGGCCCCGGTAATGGGAAGCGCATATGCTCCCCCTCTCCGTCATCCTCGAATGGCCTCTTGCGACCTGTGCCCTCGCGGTCAAGGCTGCTGAACATAATATCGTCACTGCCTTCTGACAGTGGTGTTAGGGCAGATCGGTCCGACGACACGGTGCAAGAGGACTTTGCCGTGCGGGAATCACAGAGGCTGACTTCAACCTCTGTTGGAGTCCCAGCCAGGGTGCTCGAGGAGACTAGGCTTGCCGGAGAATAGCGAGAAGCAGGGGCATGGCGGTAGCTGGAGCCTCCGAAATGGCCTCCCTGTCGATGACTTCCCATCCAATCCATTGAAGTATGAGTGTGCCCGTAGCTGCCTGATGAAAGTGGACCGGCATGCCCATCGCTTCCATGCCCTGTTCCGCGGTCGGGATCCATGCTAGCCTGGCTATCTCGCCGTCCATTGTCCTTGTAATGGCCGGGCGATCGGCCACGCACCACCATAGGGTCAGATTCCTTGGTCGCTATCACGACCCAGTTTTCGTCACTCTGCCTTCCAATATTTGCAGAAAGCTCAACCACCACCAAAAAATATTGCTGCTGCGCACGCCGTTTGCCGTTGTTGGCGGTGGCTTTCTGGAACTGGATTCTCTCAAATGTATGTGAAGTCGGAATCGAGTTGGTGCCGGGGTTTTCGAAACCTGAAAAGGGGCCCATGATACCTGGATGGAGATGGTTTGGCCCCCCATAAACATGCCCGGCACTCGGGTATGTGCCGTTGGGACCAACAGCATGGTTGGGGGACGGCGCAATCGGATGGCGGCCAGGGACTGATTCTGTTGCCTTGTCCCGTTTAGGGGTATGCTGAACCAGACCGCGAGCTTCACTTTCACCATTGCTGGTCATGGCGGTCTTTGCAGTAATTGACACAGCAAACTGATGGATCAACTCTTCAGAGCCATTCCTGTTGAGATAGAATGGCCCATCCACGATGCCATTGCGAAATCCGAAAGAACACTGTACGGCAAAGTAGTTTCGGCGGTAGCAAGTCCATTTTCTGTCCACCTGGAAGAACCCTTTCTGTATGGAAGCCATAATTTCTGGCAATAAACGTTGATTGCGGAGCGTCAAGACCGGATGTAGTACCGTGGTTTCGTGAAAGGGAGGTCCATCTTGCCGCGTAGTGTTCTGATTTTCCGGGCAGTGCGTTGACATATTGTGGCCTGGGTATGAACCCTCTTGGACGGGGAAAGGAAACGCCGGACTGCTGCGAGCAGGATAGGGATTTGATTGATACCTTATTCCTCCTGGAAACGGGCCTTGACTTATTTGGGTGTGGAGAGTGCTCGAATACTGTGGTATTCTCTCTCCCATGCTCCTGAAGGTTGACCCGATGCCGTTTGCCGAATTGTACGAATGGGGAGGTGACAAAGGAGGACTGTACGACAGAAGTGAGCACCTGTCACAAGGCTGACGATTGAATTCTTGGGGGAGACGAGACTCACACTCGCTGTTGACGTTCCATGAGCGTCATTGAAGATCCAGGCCAGTTAGACGAGAGAACTGAAGGAGGTGCGGTCGAGAAATGGTCTGGTGCGCATGCATTGCTAGGAAACGGCTTGGGGAGAGTCGTGAAGGTGTTGGCAGAGGCTGTAGGATTGCCCCCCGCGCTTGCTGACCCAGTGGTGGAATCAGGTGGGCTCAGCAGCAATTGTGAGCTCTGGTGATACCTGCAAAGACCACGATGAAGGGGTCAGTAAGACAGAACTGGTAGAGCGTCCAGATCACGGTTATATGTCACACCTAGGAGGTGCGACTATTGAGTCATGGGACGAGGGAGTTCTCAAAACAACCAAAGATCATCAGCTACCTCTTACAGCCTCTCATTGACACCAGAGAGTGGATGAAAACTGGCACCGGTGCCCAACCTTCAAGGCTCTAGACTTGCATGCCGACCAAATAGTCGGCCTGGGGCAACCATTGGGTATTTCAAAGACACATGAACTGGCGGGGAAAAGCTGGAAGTCGGATACTCACGGTGTTTCGTTCAGAAGCGAGCTCCCATTGAAGTCGAGACTGGGATTTGCTGGCAGCGCCACCCCTGCCGTACCACTCGTCAGGCTGCTCTGAGGCCTTCGGCTTGGAAACGTAAAGTCATTGGTAGAATAGGACGAATTTGAGAAGGTACGCTGCTGCCCGAGGTATTTGGATTCTGCAAAATCGAACGGAGAAGATTGAAGCAAAGCTGCAAGCAAGCAAGGTCAGTAGCGGCCAGTAGGCGGAGGAGGCAACTCGAGGATGGGGATTTGATAAAAGAAAAGGAATCCTGGCACAAGTTCTCATGCAACTCGGCTGGGCTGAGGGGCCTTTCATCGTGCACAATTACCCATTGAGTACCAAACTGGCAAGCAGAGTAGCACGGAGCGGGGCATCCTGGTCGGGTGAGCGTAGGTGGCAATTGTGCGAAACGAGGTCAGGGCGGCCACCACATTGGCATCTCCGACTGCACACAGCATATCAATGCCAGATTGCCGAGCCGCAGCATGATTTCGTCGAGCTTGACCCCCAACAAAGCAGACAAGATATACACAATTTGCCGTAAATACGTACTGGGATCCATGGCTGTCCTGCCCGACACAGCACTGCTTGCGCGACAAGGCTGAATCAGCACAGGGGGATTTAGAGTTTGTTCAGTTCGTGGAGGCTCGAGGTGGGTAAGAGGCTGGTCTCTTTCGGCAGGCCTTGGGTCGGTGTGTGCTCAGCCGTCCGCTAGCTCTCCTCCTTGAACGGTGATTGAATAGCCCGGGAACTGGGTGGATTTGCTCTGCTAGGCCCTAATGATCCAAGGCGCATGCAGGACGCAGCGACCTGCCAATAGCGGGAAGATTGCCAATATGTGTATGGAGTCCACAGCGTCCCTCGAGACTGGCGGGACTGCTGAAAAGTCAGCGACGAGTGTGCTTTCATTTCTCATGGGGCGCGGCATCTTTTTGCTCGTGTCAAGCTCCAGTATCCGCAATAACAGAGAGACCAAGTTCTGCAATCGTACCTAGTCGAAGTGAGACACGTCGCCGCAGCAGTGACTTGCGCAATTGTCCTGTTATTGGTCAGCGACTCCTGCGAGTGCATTGTTGATCAAGTTCGACTTACTTTTTAACTTTCCAGTTCTCGCCCTGCATGTACCGCCGACTCAAGGAATTTCCTGCCCTTTCCCTGCTATACAAAAAGAGTTTTCGTGTCTGTACAATCGACAACGTCCTGCTCAAGCAGCATTGAACCCAGACTGCTCAAAACGCGCCCCCTTCCGAGCAGTTGTGATGAGCGCACTCTGGTCGACGAGAACTCATAGACAATGATGCTCAACGCCTGGATGTCCGCAGCGAGCAAAAGCACTGGTCCTAAGACGGATATGCGATGAAAGGGATTCTTGATGGGAGGAAAAGGCGGACAATATGGTGGTTGAAATAAAAGTAGTTCAAAGCAAGAGACATCAGAGCCTTACTGATAGGAAGGAGAGGCTTTGGACAATTGAACGGATTGAACAGTCTTCAAATGAGTGCGCAGCCCAGCAGCCAACACCAAGATTAGGGGGTTCCACACAAGCCTCAGACCAATTCCTGGCCCGGTTGGGCAGGCTGGGATTGTGTTGGAGTGTCTTCGTCGGATGTAGAAATGACTAGCTCAGCCATCGGCGCAGCAATGGGATCTGACACTTTGACTACCAGTATTCGGTGAGGATACGGGATCGACCAGACGTTGTTGGCAAGGACCATTCGAAGGAAGGCTGCATATTCGACAGGCCAATGACCACTCAGGGCATGACCTTTGAGCCTTGAGACCGCCCGACCGTGCTGCAGGCGGCCTTCTTCAGCAGCCCCAACACCAGCCTAAAAATCGCCACAACATTGGCTTGGCCACCGAATCTTTACCTTGAAGGGCGAAATAAAGGAATATTTGGAAGAATCGAATCGGGTCCAAACGAGATGCAGAACAAAGAATGCATTCAAGCGCAGGCCTTGCAGAGAGGGTTTCAGCTGAGGCCCGCCTTCGAGAGCATGCTGTTGGCACAGAGGCCATGAATGCAGCGATTTCTTTGGCACGTGGCTGGAGAACGCCTGGCTGTTAGGTATTGAGCGGGCAATGACGCCCCTGCCCATCGACCCACCGTGGACATTCTTTGTTTTGCCAGTTACTTGATGGGAGGCAGGCAAGTCATGTGGCGGCGCTGCGTACTCGGTGCCTCAGATGAAGCGAAGATGAGCCGGTCAAGTGGCTCCAGGAGGGGATTCATTGCTCAAACGGACCGAGTGTTGCTGATTTTGACATCAAAGGCTGATGTCTGAGCCATAGAGAAAATCGAGTGCGGGAAGCCGACTGTCGATGGACTGATCGTCGGCCGCCTTGACAACAAACCAATCGCAACATGAACGAAGGCAGGGCCAGGGCTGCCCGGTATCCCTGCACTCCGCGACAACACTCAGGCGAAAAGGAAATGTTCCGACTGGACAGGTATGGGCCAGAAAGGTGCGGGCAGCTGCGAAGGTGCGTGGCCAGAGGACTCTTTGGCTCGAGGGAAGTTCAGGTAAACGACAAGAATCAGGGCTCTGGTGCTCGATCGACATGGTCCAGGGCTTGTTGGAGGATGTGGGTGAGGGCCAACGGGGCGTTGCTTCACCGGCAGGCTGAAGCTTCGGAGATCTCCAAACACGCTGGGCGCAAACTGGAACGAGAGGGTCACCAGTGCTGGCCTCTCCGTCCAGAACCAAAAGGGTCTCGAATTGGATGCCCTCAAAGGGGACAAAATTGAGCAGAGTGGATCTGCGAACCCGGTGAACCATTGGTTACAAACGGTGGGCAATTGTCTTCCAGAGTCCACCAGACTGCCACGGCCCGCAGTCTGTTGTCATCTGCAAGTATGTCGTGCGCATTTCCGGAATATGCAGCATGGGGCGAGTTTGGAAGTCGAGCAAGGGGCGGAGCCGCGTGGAGTGGATGATCTAGCCCTGGCCAAAACCGCTCCAGTTGGTTGCGGCGAGAAAAGGCTGCCAGCCTGAACATGGGGCTATGCGGGAGGTGCTGACGATGCTGCCGCCGAGAGAGGAGGAGATGGAGGTGGAAGCGGTCATGGTGGTGGTGGTGGTGTCAGGGAGGGACCGAAAGGAGAAGAAAGCAGGATGCGGTGGCTCGAGTCTGGGATCTGATGATGGTGAGTGGTGGTTGAGGTGGTTGAAGTGGTAGAGTGGTGAGCGGAAGGGTGAGCGAGTGGTGACTTGCTGCCGCCTTTGTGCTCTCCATCTCTCTCTCCCTACTCTGTGTCTCGACTTTCAGCATTCTCACCACCACCCCTTCCGTAACATTGCTCCATTTTTCACTTCCGCATGGCGGCCTTGTCAATATGCCCAGATTTCTTCTGATTTGGGGCAGAACGAGCGGAAAGGCCAAGTTACTAGGTGCAAATGAGTCGATGATTGCTAATCTCATGGATAGGGCGATCAATCCTCAATTCCTGGTGGGATGCGCCCTACGAGGTGCGCCCCTTACCTCTGCTGCAGGCATTCTCCAGGATGTCTAGATACAGATCGATTGATACCTGACCACGCAGCCGATCCTTTCAAAGTACATCTTTTCCTTGCGCTCGGCATGTTTGATCTGCCGAAACACTGGTTGGGCACACACCACATTTCTTCTGCTAGGCACAGCAAGCTAAAGGGAGTTTTGACTGGCCGGGGATCGTAAATGGCAAGACATATCTCAGCTGCACGGTTGGGCCACGGCGGTGAAGGAAGATTCCCGTTCTTTCGAACCTGCAACAAAGGGCCCTTCTGTGGCCGCTCGGGCGAAGCCAGGGCAAGCTTGACGGTCTCTCAACCGCTTTCGCTCTGAAACCTGGATTCGCCTTTTGTTGGCCTTGACAAATCCCGCAACTTTGACGGGTTGCACCAAATCTACGTTCTTTGCAGCTCGGACCACCAGTTCGTCTTTCATGGTGCCCAGTGGTGTCACCACTTTAGAGGCGGTCTTGGGTGCCCCGAACGGTGTCGACACCACAAAGGCGAACAGACTCTTCCTGGCATGGACTCACAGCTCCCCTGGCTCCCCGGAATGCCTGGTTGGCTCTGATTTGGCATAGCTTCATACGTTGGCATTCGGCCCTACTTTGCACCTTTGCTGCGGCGATGATGATTCTGGACATGATCTCTCTAGAATAATGCTTGGAAAATGGACAATCCAGATATTGCCGCGCCCCTGCCAACCTGATCGTTGCATGTGGTGCCAGGCTACAAAACCGTTGCCGCCGGCTCGTTCTTCCCCGATGCAGGTCCAAAATACTCTCTACCGTCGAGAAAATTGCTTGGTTCGTGGAGCAAGAAGGCATCGCCTCTTCCAAGACCATCGGGCAGTGACAGACCTGGAATAGTTTCCCTTTTCGGGCTATTTTGATCTCAGCTGGCCGGTATCCATAACAGAAACCGACGTTGATACCTGAACCCCATATGCCAGGCAACTTGCGTCGTGGTTCCGCTGAACCCTGGAGATGTCAAGCTTCGGCACCGCTCATACATCTGAGTCTGCAAGGGCAAGATCAGGCGGAAAGGACAAGCTGACGTGTTTGTACGAGCCCGTTTGCGTGCATTGTGGAGGCTGGAAGGACCATCCACGCCTGGGCGACAGGCAAGACGCAATGCAGCCGATCGATTCACTTGAAGTCTGCCATGTTTGATCACCTGGTATCCTATTCGTTATGTCTTTCGCCACCACCATGATCATCGCCACCCTTGTTTCGAGCGAATGGTTTCCATATCTCTCGCTTCCTACTTCGGGCGGTCCATGAGCCTTCGGGAAAGAATTTTGCGAACAACTTGGGCGACCCGTCCTACTGCTGTCTGGCGAGTCCACGCAAATCAACATAGTTCTTCTGGCCTCTGTACACAGCCTTCTCATGACTTAGAAGCAAGGCTTTGAATCCCACAGGGCTTCCAGGTTTGTGAACTATCAATAGAGACTACGTGGCACTGCAAATAACTACTGTTACAGGCTCCAGCCTCGGGTGAATGCACTGTTTCCAACCCTTTTGACCCATTCCCCTGCTTTTCCTTCTTGAGAGTGATCTAGTTCCACTCCTTCCGCACTCTCAACGGGGCGCTCTTGCCTGAAGGTGAGTAAGAAGCAACTCACGGGAAGCTGGAGCATTCTATTTCAGGCAATCTCTGCGCGAATGGGGCTGAAGACAATATCGTCAATGCCCCGACCTTTCGTTTGAGGGAACGGGTGCCTTCGTGCAAGCTGACGACTGCAGGAACGAGCCATCCTATCACCAGTCTTCTCTGGCGCGGTGTATGGAGGATTGATGGACTTCCTTCTGTTGAATCAGGCCAGGTTATCTTTTAATCATCTTGAGCATTCTATGCAATAAAGTTCCTTTTGCTATTCATCACAAGTCCCGTCCATACAGTGCAATGCGTAATTTGCGGAAAGGCCGTCCACCTCCCATTCCAAGTCCACGCATTTTGCGAAACTGTAACCTCATGATTTCGTGGACCCCTTTTGCCGTACACTTCAGCTACGTCTCCAGCTCTGCGCATGGTCATGGTCATAGTCTCCTAGGTCGTCCTCTTTGCAAACTCCACTCTCAGAATCAAGTGCCTGTAGCCGAAGCCGTCCATCTTCTCACACGCTCTGGCGGCATCAGATCTGTCCACAAAGGAGATGAATGCAAACCCCTTAGCACGACCAGTATCTCTGTCTTTGGCGAGGAAGACTCGGGTGACACGGCCGAACCGCTCGAAGAGATCGCGGAGCTCTTGCTCTTCGGCCATTTCGGAGACCTGTTCAATTGATGGTTAGTATGCGTCCAGACGACCAGAGCAACGGATTCGTGTCGACGGGGGAACTCACGTTCGTAACTCGCAATGTAGCCAAGTCGTCTCTCTCGTACTTTCCGCCCATCCTCTCCCCGGCTCCTTGGGCACCTTTCCTGAGATGTGGTGGTACGTAGCTGCTGCCGCCACTTCCGAGCGCACCCTGGGGCTTGGCCCCAGATTCATCATCCTCGGCCATGGGGTCCGCCACGGGTGTTGTCCCGTCGTCCGCGGGCGCCATCGTATCCTTGAAGGGACATCTGGCTGTGAAATGCTCGCCCTGACAGATTCGACACTTGACCTTCTTGTCTCTCAGTTGCTCCTTTATGGACTTCTCCTCGGCCTTGCCGCCGCCTGCTTTGGCTTCTTCGGCCTGCACATTCTTCCAGTCCCGACTCGGCCTGAAGACGATGTTCTCGCCCACGGAGGTGGTGTCGGGCTGGGGGCCCTTGGGCTTGCCCTTCTCGAGGCCGAATTTGTCCCAGGTGCGTCGCTCAGCGACGACCGGGTTGACTTTTTCCTTGTGGGTGGTGATGCGGGTCTTGCGTGTAACTTTCACTTTCTGGCCCTGGTCGTTGAAGCGGTAGAACACCGTGGTCCGCGTCCCATCTTTGTTCACAGTCGTCACAGGGGCGGGCAGCGCCGAGGGGTCGTTGATCTGTTCCGAGTCGGAGACGTCGTCTGCCCAGTCTGGGCGCCTGTGGATTTCCAAATCGCTGGTTAGGAAACTTTTCTTCCAATTCATCATCACGATACACCAGGAGGGTACTTACGTTGCGGTCTTTGACATCTTGGTGTATTGTGTTATTCCCTTGTAAACAGAAACTTTGCAATCTGAATATCGTCAAAGTATGAGTCTGAGGAGGATGGAAGGCAAAGGTCATAGAACTGCCATCCGCACATTTTCGCGTGCACTGCGCATGCAGCGCCAAAAGAGGTTTAGCCCTGCCAAGTGGCGCGAGGCTCCATTAGGTAATGGCAAGTTGCCTCCACGAGTGGTGGCGAGGCTGACCAAACTACATACGTTCCTGAACTTGGCCTAGACATGATGCTTCCAAGCTGGGCGGAATGTTGTTCATTGTTGCTATGCTCATGACCCGTTTGGCCATACGAGTCCATGTACACCCTGCTCGATCATAGCTCTATGGACTCGAATTCATTTGCCACCCTTGCCCCGTACCTTACACATCAGCCACCAGCCAGCCTTCGCACCGCTCTGTCGAGCGTAGAGTTCTCAGCCAGCGAATCTCTCTCAGCCTGTATTCTGCACGTCAGACGAATTCTCTTGAAAATCTCGCCCTCCTTGAATCCCAGTGAGTTCGTGTCTTCCCTCTTTCAATGAGACGATTTGCTCTTTTTGCCACGCCGAACCGGCTGATCGAACTTCACCACAATTGTGGGTTTGACGAGCACAATCCTCTTGCTGGAGTCCGCAGATTTGCGCACAAATGCAGGATACACCAAGAACAGAACATGTCCCACTCTACCGCCAGGACCTGCGACTGGAACAGCGGAATAACCCAAGGTAGAGCCAGTGTCGCAATCAATAATCATGAAATCTTTAACTTTCTCCTCGATCAACTGAGAATCGACAGTGAAGTCGAATTCGTATTCGGCCGTCGACTGCCTGATATTGTTGGCTAGATCGGCGGCTTCTTTGACGATTTGACGGCATGCCATCGGATCTTTGGAACAGTCAAGAAGCCCCCTCTCTTTCAATAGCATTGGACAATGCATAATGTCCGATTCAATCTCGCTCAATCTCTCTTCGCGCAGGTCCTTGAACCCTTCGTTGACGTTTAAAGATCGTTGCAGATCAACGCGCCACATCACGATAGCATCCTTATCTGCCCCGGGTTAGTCACGACGCAGCATCAACCGGGAATCGCTTACCCTTTGCGGGCTTCAGGGCATTAAGTCCGTCAATGACCATTCCCAGACATTCTTCCGTGCCCTGGTCGAGACCTGGAAAGATTTTGTGCGCTGTCAGCAGCTCCTCATGCAGATAAAAATAAACCAGTCCCTGCATTATCGGAATCTCCAGGTTTCGGTTCTCATCCACGAGATTCACCAATGATTCCGTTAGACATTCCATCACCAAATTTCCTCGACCTCTTTTCTTTCCAACACTGGCAAGAGCAGCGATAAAGCCGTCTGCATTACCAAATTGAGTGTCCAGCCAATATTCGATGGTTTTGCACAACGTACTGTACTGATTCTGCAGTTGAGTATCGGCCATCCCTTCCACCGGTAGCATATTGAAGATGCGGTCCTTGCAGCTCTCCAGATTCTGCAACAAACCCTCTTTCTCATGTCTTAATTTTTGCAGCTCACGTTGCAAATTTGCGATCTGGGAGCGGTCATTTTTGATCATCGCTCTAGTCTGCCAAACGTAGACTTCGTGTTCGCTTTGACACCGTTCCAACACCTCTTGCTGAGTTTCGAGCTCCTGCTCAAGTCGATCATTTTCTCTTGCAAGCGCAGCAACCTTGAGTTGTGGGTCTCTTTTTGGTGCAGTATTTGCCGCCTTGTCTCCCTCCATGCCTTTTGCCTGGGGAGCTGTTATGGGCTCGCGACCCGCGGTGGGATGCACCAAATCAGCACGTAGAAAATCGCCAGGCATGGTGATTTCTTGTCTTCCGGGATCAGGTCCACGGTAAGAGCGTTCGTATCGTTCGCGATCTTCTGACTGTTGCAGGCTGCTCGCACCACTCGGGAAGGCCAAAAACTTGCGCACCGAGTCAGTCATCGAGTTGCCTGCGACTCTCCTTCCTGCAAGGCTGTTCGGTATTTCCACAACTGCTTTGTTCGATGATGCCATCTCATGGACCTGGTGTCTCCTTGGGTGCTCTCGAAGCTCCCGAGTGGATGAATGGCGTTGCCTGGAACCTCTGTCTTTAATTCTTGATGATCCATCGGCAACCTCTATGATTTTATTCTTGTGGGCGGTATTTGGAGCAGCGGACTCATGTTCCCTAGCCATTGTGTTTGAGAGGGGACAGTGACGATTCAGATCAGTCGATGAGAATCCTTTGTCTGCAAGGCGTTTCAAAATATGGGATGAAAGGTAATCGAAGCACGCCACTCACTAAGGAGCAGAGAGTGGGATGTTTCGAGAGGGTCACAATGGGTGGATGAAATCTGAGAGGACGGAGAAAAGTTTACTCTGAAAGACTGCAGAAGAATTGATCTCTCACAACACTCTCTTTCACTGACTCCTCAGTCATTCCTCACCTCGACCGTTGTGAGCAGTGGACCAAGCAATTATTCACTTTACGTCCACACTCAAGCCCCTGCCACTACTTCCTTGCGCCAGGCCATAAGCTACAACTTCCAAATCGCATTCAACATTCTTCATCTCAGCATTCTATGTCTTTTGACATTCTCCAAAGATCCTAAAGCTTTTGTCGGCAGTAGCTACGACTCATGGCTCCAAAACGAAATCGGAAGTCTGGAGCGGCTGCTCGAAGTTCTCGCCAGATACTCGTCGGTGTTGACTTTGGCACCACTTTTTCTGGAGTGGCATGGGCTCAGACTGCTCGTGTAAGTCATGGAGAAGTGACCCTGGTCCCTGGGATTAGTCTTACTGATCGGAGTAACAGCCAGATATACAAACTGCAATCATTCAGTGGCCTGACCGGGACGGCTCACTTGAGGGACAAACCAGCGAAAAGGTTCCAACCCAGCTCTGCTACGTCGGTAATGAGTGTCTGTGGGGTTTCGGAGTTCCTGAGGAGAATGGTCGCTACCAGTGGTTCAAGCTTGGTCTCGATCCCAGCCAGAAGCAGAATGAAGTGTCTCTTCTGGCCGTTGACTATCCCGACCCCAAAGCTCTACCTTCGGGATACAACAATAAGCCGAGCGCAATCAAATTAGCAACGGATTATCTTGCAAAGCTTCATCATCATACTGAAAAGATACTTAGACGAAAACTCGGAGACAGCATCGTGAATACCACTCCGCTTCGTTATACCATTACCGTCCCGGCCATCTGGAGTGATGCTGCGAAAGCTAAAACCCAACGATGTGCCTTTGACGCCGGAATGGGACAGGATATTCGAATTGTTTCGGAACCGGAAGCTGCAGTGATTTACGCTCTCGATGCGATGGATCCACACAGCCTTCAAGTGGGCGACAGCTTCGTTCTCTGCGATGCAGGAGGCGGCACCGTTGATCTGATTACATACGCCATCGTGTCGCTCAAGCCTACAGTCAAGGTGCGAGAGGCAGTGCCTAGCGGCGGAGGTGCCTGCGGGAGTACATTCTTGAATCGCATTTTTCGAAAGTACCTAGAAGAAAATCTCAGTGACCTCGATGGGTTCGATGAGGATACATTGGAAGACGCTTTGAATGAGTTCGAGAACATCACGAAGCGCCGATTACGGGTCAAGAGGAAAGCATCATCGTCCGCGTTCCTGGGCTAATGGACAATGCCGAGAAAGGAATCAAGCGTCAGAAGCTCACAATCAAGGCAGCCGTCCTCAAAGACCTCTTCAAACCAGTCATGACCGCCATCACAACTCTTGTCAAATCCCAGCTGCAACAGTCCAAGACGGCAAGGGCAGTTATCCTTGTCGGAGGCTTCGGCCAGTCTCCTTATCTTCGCAGTTGTATTCAGCAGGTCATTGGAGAGAACATCGACATCATGCAACCTGCGTATGGTTGGACTGCTGTTGTCCGGGGAGCTTTACTATACGCCCTTCATGATACGACACCTGAGGAATTGAGAGTCAATATCGCTTCGAGAAAAGCCCGCCGTGCATATGGAATGACATGTAGCGAGAGATACGGCGCTTCCGACCACATAGGTCTCGAAACGTAAGTGATTGTCCTGCTTCCTGCGAACATTGGCTGAATTGCGTAGGCGGTGGGACTCGTTTGATGGATGTTACAGGGTCACCGCGATGAAATGGTTTGTGAAGAGAGTATGATCCGTACCGATCGAATAAGTGAGGTGATAGAAAGTTAATGTGAATGCAGGGCGACGAGGTTGATCAAGACAACCCCCTTGTCACTCGCTGGCTGGAGAGGAGACAGATCTCCAAGGGTCGATTTCCGGTCCGATCCTACACTCTGTACACCTTTATTCCTGAGGAGGATGAGGCAGCACCAAGGTTCCCGTGTGAAGGTACGAACCCCCTGGAAACTATCGCCATTTCTCTCAAGAGATCAAACTGACATCAAGAAGAAGCAAAGGAGCTTGTGACTCTAACTGCTGATCTTTCTGCCATCAACCATAGCAAAATTCCGGTCGAGAAGGGAAAGGATGAGCGGAAATACTATGCGCTGGATTTTCAAATCAAGGTCGCGTTCTTCTCAGGGCACATGGAATTCTCCCTGTGGCATCTGGGGAAACAGTACGGCAGTGTCGAAGCCGAGTTTTACTGATTCGCAACCCGTTCAACGCAGATCCACCTCGCCTGCCGGAAACCCGCGCATTCAGTCAGCGTGGGAAGTGGGTTTTCCGATCGGAGACACGTACAAGATCCTTGGTGACGGTTACACCTCACGCACAATCACAAGTGGAGCTGAAGAGAAAGAGATACAGCAAAGAGCACACTCATGGCAGCAAAGCAGATTCAAATGCCCGGGCTAGAAAGGAGCCAGAACTCCGGGAGCATATACTTGGGGCTGACACGGAAATGTGACGACAAGGAGGGTTTTCTGTGAGCTTCAAAACGTGGGTTACAAGACATAATGTCGAATAGGACGAGCTCTCCGTACGACGAGTGATTGGGCTACTTGGATGAGGTAGCGAAATGCAGTGTGTCTAGCCATTCGAACACGGTTGAATACAATACATAATAGCGCTCCCTTCGCCTAGTTTTTTGGGGGGTCCAGCACTCTCGGCCTATTTGGGGTGATAATGTGATAAGCCTACAGGCGAGAGAGCAAGCGACGTGAACCGCGTTCTAATCGAGCAACAGAGGGTCCGTAGAGCGAAAAATCGAAAAAAAAAGGATCAGTGTCAAACAAAGACATTGGACAGGAGCATAAAGCAAGAGCCATTCGCGGCACCGCGGCCCAACAATTTTGCTTATGCGCCATGAAACGAGCCTACAGAAAATGGCAGCCTACATCAGCCACGCCCGCCCGCTGTCTACCTCCTCCATACCCTGCCCCGTCTTAGCTCTGCTTCCGACCCCGACTCCCCACATGGAGCGTTCATAGCTTGCTCTTGGAGACGATCAAGGCGTTGCCCGTCTGCAGACACTTGACGGCGTCGTTGACGAACTCGTCGACGATTTCACGGGCGGACTTCTTCTCGTTGACCACGGCGGCGGCCTTGCCCATCAGGAAGGGGCGGGCGTTCTCCATGTCCTCGTCGGAGAGGTCATCGCCCTTGGTCTCGAAGTCGTGTTCAACCTATACAGGAAAACCAGAGTTGTCAGTAATCATGGGGTTGGAGAAAACAAGGGGAGATCAAATAGTGATGTTAATTAGGGGAGGAGCATACCGGAATAACACCCTTCTCAGTCAGCGCCTTGATCTCGGATTGCCGGTTCTCCTCCCAGTTCTTGATGTACTCGTTGGCCCTCACCCGGAGAGGCCGCCCAGTGAAAATGATGGTTCGAATGTTGTCATCGAAGCCGGCAGTCCGGACGGCTTCCTGATGTGCTTTGGGTGCACCAGCTTCCTCGGAGAGCACAAAGCGTGTTCCGACCCAGACGGCGGAGGCACCGAGCATCAGAGCCGATGCCAGAGATGCGCCGCAGAAGATACCTCCTGCCGCAATGCATTGCACGGGCTGGCCGGTGAATTTCGATGGCGGAGCTTCCGCGCAGAGTTTGGCGACAGCGGGGATGAGCACTGAGGTGGGGGTATCACCCTGTTGAGCTGGTCAGTTGATCCGCGTACAAGAGGTGAGAGAGGACGCTGGATTCTTACGGTGTGACCGCCGCCTTCACCACCCTGGGCACATATTAAGTCGACACCAAGGTCAAGGCATTTCTTCACGTGCTTGACGTGGCCAATCATATTCTGAGGAGGAACTAGTTAGCCAGATCACCCCAATGGACGGGTTTCGTGGCGGCTCACCATGTAGAGGATGCCGTTTCTGTGGAGCTTGTCCACAACTTCCTTTGGAGGAACACCCACGGCTGAGACTATCGCAAACAGTCAACACCAATTACCAGGCACGAGAGTTGGGCCAGAAGCCGCCCTTACCGAAGAGCTTCGCGCCAGAGTCAATGATGATGTCAATCAATTCGTTGAGCTTGCCCTTGGTATAGTCGTAGCTACAAGGCCATCAGTAATCGCCTCATACGTGTGGTTATGGCAATCTCTCACTTTGTCTTTCTTGCGCTCCCACCGACTTGAGGAAGGAGAAGGTCGACACCGAAGGGGGCGTTCTTGTCGTTCAGATAGCTCTTGAGCTCGGCAACCTGTTCCCGGAGCATGTCTGGGGTATAGCCGACCTATACACATCAGCACGTGTCCATCAAAGTATGAGTTTCAATGTCCTTTCTTACACCACCAATAACACCAAGGCCTCCGGCATTGGTGACTGCGGCAGCCAATTTAGGGCCAGCCGCCACGTTCATACCAGCCAGCAGAACTGGATGTTTGATCTTCAGGAGATCCGTGGTCGTGGTTCGGAGTTGCTGAGGAGACGACATTTTGAACTAGATGGATAGGCACAGAGATGGTGAGAGACGCAGGAGATCTGGGAAGGATGTTTTCGAAGAAGTTGGATTGAAGGAATCTGGGATCGATATCTGGATGCACAGACGAATCGACGAAGCTGCGGAGGCTCAAAACGAAGATATATCTGCACACAACGAAGGTCCAGAGGATTGTTCAGAGAAGAAATAGCCGAAGGGCGCAAAGTAATCAACAAAAACTGAGGGAGAAGAAAGAAGATTAAGGCGAATGCAGTATTGGATGCGAGCGTGTGGAAGCGGTGGCAGCGCAGGATGTGAGGCCGCTTCCCAAGTACCGAGGCATCTCCCCGATTCTGGGCAAATCAGTCCCCACTCGCCCACAACTCCTCCACACTCTGCGCGGAATACGCCCCTGATACGACGTGGTTCGAGGGGTGCTGTGAGACACCTGACGGTCTCGGCTTGAGAGGCTGTTTTTCGCTGGAGAACCTCACATGCTTCACCAGGTGCGGCCGGATTGAAGCAGGGCGGGACCCCGTCGCCAATGTCCCTTATCCGGTGCCAAGACTCGAGATGCGGAGGGCCTCGCCCGACTCGGTTAAGATGCCGCTTTGGGCTCCGGGCGGAGCGCCACGAGGCTCGGAGGCTCAATTTTTCTTGTCTCGACAATACGGCATGGGGAGCATATGCCCTGGTAGAGCTACTCGATATCACCTTCGACTCGGTTGGTCCAGTACTTGTTGCGTGCTGGCTCCTGCCAATAGCCAATCTCCTTCTGTCTCCATCTCTTTGCCCCGTCTCCATCGTCAGATTAACCCCATATGCCCATCGATCTACTCACCACTTTTAGCCGGGTTCCTCGCATCCGGAGTTTGCCTACCTTCTCCAATCACGCATGGTCTCCAGCGATCCAACACGATCTATATGCAAGTAAGATCCAGTTCAGCCTGCGGTCGAATGTGCGCCAACGCGCATTTCTGACCCTGTCCGCCTCCCCGAGAAGAATCGTTAGGAATTCTACTTTGCTACAATACCCCTTGCAGGCCAACTCGTTTTCCTTGACCGCGTATCGTCCTCTCAGCCAGACCAATGCAAATATGAAGCCCTCAACTTCGGCTCCAGGTTCTTTAAACAAAGCTGTGGTGGCGTTTGGTAGTAATCTAGGGGATCGGCTTGCCAACATCGAAGCCGGACTCTTTAAGATGAGGGAAAATGACCTCCGGGTTCTCAAGCTGAGCTCCCTCTACGAGACCAAGCCCATGTACTACGATGATCAAGACACCTTTCTGAATGGCGTATGTCAGATCGAGACCAGTCTTGAACCGCTACAGTTGTTGGATGTCTTGCAAGCAATCGAGAATGACCTGGGCCGGAAACGCTTGATTGATAAAGGACCTAGGACACTTGACCTTGATATCATCCTCTATAACCACGACTATTTCAAGCACCCCCGTCTCAATATTCCGCATATGCTGATGCTAGAAAGGGAATTCGTTCTCAGGCCTCTCGCAGAGTAAGTCTGGGCTGTATCGTGCTCGCCAAAGCTGACCTTTGCTAGTATACTCCCCCACGAGCATCTTCCCGCGGACTTCTCACCAACTGCTCCATATCGCCAAATAAGTCAACTATTGGAGGGTCTTGCAGAGAGAGATACTACTATGTCCCCAGTCACTGTTCTAAGGCCACAAATGCCCCTCGTCCGCACTCACGATGTCACTCGCAAGACTCATGTTATGGCCATTTTGAACCTGACCCCAGACTCTTTCTCCGACGGAGGAGTGCACGCGGCCAAAGGTGCTGAATCAATAAAAACAACCGTTGCGAGTTTCATTGCCGCAGGGGCCAGCATCATTGACGTTGGTGGACAAAGCACTCGCCCCAAAGCTGACTACCTTGGACCTCAGGAAGAGGTCGAGCGCATCCTTCCCATTGTCCGGGTTATCAGAGAGATGAAGGAAGCGGAAAATGTCGCCATCAGCATCGACACTTTTCACTCCGACGTAGCCCGGCAGACCATTCTTGCTGGTGCAGACATCATCAATGACGTCTCGGCAGGGCTATTAGACCCTCAAATGCTGTCGACTGTGGCCGAGTTGGGAAAGACTATCGTCCTTATGCATATGAGAGGAGATCCACACACAATGACAAAACTTACCGATTATCCGGATGGGGTCACCAATGGAGTAGCCCGAGAACTTTGCGAGCGTCTTCAGGCTGCTCTTGCCGCCGGGATTCCTCCTTGGCGGATCATCCTCGATCCGGGCTTGGGCTTCGCAAAGGACCAGGAACAGAATCTCGAACTCCTAAGGAGTCTCCAGCAACTGCGAGAGCAAGCAGAATATGCTCCTACGTTCAGGAATTTCCCTTGGCTTATGGGTCCAAGCCGCAAGGGGTTCGTCGGTAGTGTCACCGGCGTGGCGGAGGCTTCCGGGCGGAGCTATGGTACTGCAGCCGCTGTCACGGCCAGCATCGAGGGCGGCGCAGATATTGTGCGGATACACGATGTTCGCGAAATGGTTCAGGTCACCAAGATGGCAGACGCGATTTATCGACGCCCCTGAAGCGGATGGCCTGCACGCGTAGGACCCGCAGAAATCACATTGCAGCACCGCCATGTAGCAAGACCCTCGGTGCCACTCTGAGCTGGACAGATTGTCTAGGTCTTTATGACAAATGTACACCACGGATTCTGCAGCTCTCGAAAGTGCAAACCGCGGGCTCAACATGTCGACGAGGCCGGGTGTGGCAAGGCTGCGACAGCCTCGGGAGTTCTTGGCCGGTCGACAATGATGAGGTCATGACCAATCGATCTTCACGCAGGTACGAACCACTGTCCGCCATCACTGCCTTTCAATTTCCTATATTGAATGACAATCATCAAATTCTCTTTTTCCTTCTTCGCGTTGGGATACATTCTCACTCATCTGCATTAACCAGTAATCCGTACCCCGAAACATTCGCTTCAGCATACTTCCACAACATGCCTTCCGACGATCATCCCATAGGCCTCCGCTGGCGAGCAAGCACTCTTTTCATCATCTCCACAGTGGCCATCGGTCTTTTCACCGACCTTTTTCTCTATGGACTTGTCGTCCCTGTACTCCCCTTCATGCTCGAAGAGCGTATACATCTCCCTGAGGACAAAATTCAATCCTGGGTGTCTGGGCTTCTGGCCGCCTATGCTGGCGCTAGTGTCGTCTTCTCCATCCCCGTGGGCATTGTCGCCGACCGCACCAATGCTCGACGGACACCCTTTCTTTGTGGACTTGCCGCGTTACTCGCCGCTACCATCATGCTAGCTCTGGGTCAGAATATCCCTGCGCTTATTGTAGCCAGGCTTCTGCAAGGGACCAGTGCCGCTGTTGTCTGGACCGTGGGTTTGGCCATGGTACTAGATACCGTGGGCCCTCAGAACCTTGGCAAAGTAATTGGAACGGTGAGTGTGCTGGCTGGATTGCTACGGGAACATGGTCTCATGCGGGCTGCAGATTTTCTCCTTCATATCGGTCGGCGAGCTGGCGGCTCCTGTTCTCGGAGGAGTCCTATACCGCAAGACCGGCTATGGGGGAGTGTTTGGGTTAGGTGCAGCATTCTTAGGCGTCGACTTCATCATGCGGATCCTGGTGATTGAGAAGAAAGTCGCAGTGAAATACGACAAATCCCTTGCAGAAATTCAAAACCCCCGTGACGCCGAAGCGCGAGCGGAAGGAATGGATAGCGGAGACGATCGCAGCGAAGAGGAACCTCTGTTGCCAAAGAAGGGGGAAGATAACTACCGCATCCCAGAAGGTCAAAACAGACTGATCCGAACTCTGCCCATCCTCTACTGCCTATCCGACCCCCGGCTTCTCGTTGCTCTGCTCCTTGCATTCGTCCAAGCGGCCCTCCTCGCCACCTTCGACGCCACGATTCCCACCGAGGCCCAAACACTGTTCGAATTCGATTCCTTACAAGCCGGTCTCCTCTTCATCGGCCTTGACATTCCATACCTCCTACTCGGTCCCATAGCCGGCTGGGCTGTCGACAAATATGGCACCAAACCAGCTGCGGTCCTCGGTTTCGGCTACCTCGTCCCGACCCTGGTACTGCTCCGCCTGCCCTCATCACAAATCGCACCTTCCCGTACCGCCAACGTCGTCTTATACTCGGCGCTTCTCGCCCTCAATGGAATCGGCCTCGCGATCATCGGGTCCCCGTCCATTGTCGAGGCCTCGGACGTCGTGCAAAAGTACGACAAGGCCAACCCGGGCCTCTTTGGCGAGAACGGGCCCTACGCTCAACTTTACGGCTTCAACTCCCTGGTGTTCTCCGCCGGGTTGACCATCGGACCCATCTTGAGCGGGACCTTGAGAGACAGGATAGGGTATGCGAACATGAACGTGGTGGTTGCATGCATTGCGGGCATCACGGCCGTCTTGAGCTTCCTGTATGTTGGCGGCCGGCCGAGGATGTTGAAGAAGAACAAGAGACAGCTGGGTGAGAGATAGAGTCTTCCCAATGACTCGGGTAAAGTCGAGCGGACACAGACCATGGATTGAAAAATATTCTCTCTTTGTTTTAGAAGTCTATACTTTAGAAGACGGCGTTCTTTGAGGCTTCCAATACATATTATTCTTTTTTGGGACGTTCATGGGAGCCACCCGACGCAAGTTTTAGAACGCGTCGGGTCATTTTTTTTCTACGCTCCCAGGTGCCCGTGTTCCTCGCCTGGTATAGACTATGCAGGCTCGGTGTCTAATAAAAGGCCCTGTCCAACCAAGCCGGGCTTCCATTTATATGAGTGAGTAGCTCGAACGGAAGATTCGTTCTAGCTCGCCCAGAAAAGATCGTGCCAAGTGAGCGCCTCTGCAAGTTGCGCTATAACTCGGCCCCGAGAGTCCGGGGCTCGGGGCTCCTTTGGTTCAATCGAGAACATCATCAACATCACATAGACCTCTCACCTCCAGGGATGTTTGTGATTCATGGTCTCAACCACGGCACTCGACTTGTCGGAAGACGGGTCCCACCCACTGGAGCAAGGGCACCCAGACCCAGCCATGGCATGGCGCAATCACAATTGTTTCTTCTGCGATTCAAGGTTCCAGGAAGTCCCAGTCACGTTCACTTTGTGGAATTCCTGAGACCGTCGTTGCCACCGTTAGACAGACGTCCATGCCTCCGCTCACGAAGGGCTGTTGGGCGAGGTGCATCCCATTAGGCTGAGGCATTTCCAAGCCGGCGTTGCAGATCTGGGAAGGGTAAAGGGCCTCAGCGACTCGGAAGGGAAGAGCCCCCTCTTCCTTTTTGGTTCTGTGCAGACCGAATCGGAGCCACTGGAACGGCGGCCGAGGTGGCGGCGGCTCTCCCCTCCGAATACACCACTCGACCTCCTGTTCCCAGTAATGCCACCGTAACAACTCGTCCATGAGGGCCTCCGAATGTGCGAACTGGCCTGTCGCCTGCAAAATGGAAGCGAGTGGCCAGGCAGCCCACCAAATGATGAGGTTGTGAACACCGTGGATCAGGACGCGGATATCCAGAACTTTGCGGAGTTGTTTCTCCGCGTTGAGAGGGTCTTGCAGATGGTAAAGGAGCATTGCATGTCGAGATAGTAGGGTTGAACGAAACAGTTGGAGAACAGGTCCGTGGGCTTCGACATGGGTTTGGTCTTCTTCCAGGAGTTGTGTTGCACTCATTGCTCTACGGTAGCATCGCACTGCGGCTTCGGTACGACCAATATGTGCATAAGCTCTAGCAGCGATGGACAAACAGTTAATGGTCAGGAGATCGTGACGACCCATTGTCCGCTCACATACTGGGAGGCTGTTGATCAATAGTCTCAATGCTGCATGGTAATCGCCCTTCCAGATTGAGTGCCATGCGTAGAGGTAGCCACTGACGAAGAAGTTTGGGTGTTCTCTGCCCCAAATTTGTCCGATTTGCGTGTGTGATCGTCCTAGTGACTCGCCGTGCAGGTCCATCTCTTCAAGATCATTACTGGCCCACGCAAGAGCGTACCGGAAGGGTACCTCGTATGTGTAGCTCTTTCGCATGGCAGGCTGGGAGCTGATAATATCACAACTGGCAGAAAGAAAATCCGCCAGTTGCTCCATCCGTTGAGTCTGTCCTAGCACGAGCATAGTCCAGCTGAGACATGGAAGGATGAACTCATTGTTGTGCTGCAAAGCATATTGCAGGATATCCATGGACTGAGACTTACGGTATTCGAGGATGTCTTCCTGCAAATTCTCGGAAAAACACTGCAAATAATATGGAGCGGCCCATTGACTGGCGCTTAGTTTACGGTCTTCCTCGCTAGTGTCCTGAAATGAACACACAGGGTGCACGTAGGCTGAATACACGGGTGGCTCATACTTGATGCCCTTACAGAGCGTTCCGATTGATTCGCTGAAGTCGTAGCTTTGGTGGGAATGTGGTGGTTGACATGAACGGCATGCATTGGGGTTGAAGATGGTCTCGGGGGGTGTGGCAAGCACAACCAAGGTTGCTGTCGAAGATACCGAGCAGCTCGAATATGGAGGGGAATAGACCTTGTCTTCGATTGGAAATGTCTCAGCGGGTGGGCTCAGCAGCATATGAGATGGATCCAATGGGAAAGATGTGTTGTTGCCATCGGCCATGTTTCTCACGGGCTCTGGCCACGAAAGCTCGTTACAGGGAATTGGCTCAAGTGACGATACCTGACAGTCAGTCGTCGCCACGGTCCCATTCGGGGGTAAGACTCTTTCCGGACTGCCGGCACTGGGTGGTGTGTGTGGCTTTGGAGAAATCTTCGGAGGCGATGGAGTTCGGGATTTCGGTTCGTCTGGAGATACGGCGCAGATGTGCACAGGTTCAAGCTCTGAGGGTGGAGAGTCCTTATCATCTTGTCGATTCAGAATTAATGTAAGACCACCGCCGCCACTCGCGAGTATGTCTCTATTTCGCGAAGGGCATGTCCGGTGTGGTAGACCGTGCAGATTTGCGTGCCATTGCAGAGGTGGTCCGTACAGCTGGATTTTTCCGGCGTGATCGTGGTGTATTATCAGATCTTTGTCTTTCCAGGAGATGCCAGCACTTCTCAAAGTGTACTCGGCTTCGCAAAGTGATGGGAGCTTGAAGGACTCTCGCTGTGATAGGTGTCTTTTCCTGACCCTTTCGCACTCTTTCTTGACCTTCTGGGCGTTATAAGTCACTCGTTCCTCCCTTTTAGGGACCTCGAAAACAGCCTCACCGCCGCGAGCCTTCCATGATTCCGCCACCACCAACATAGCGAGGTAATGCTGGTGGGGAGTTTTTTTGCGTTCATATTTCCATTCACTCAGCCTGTTTTTGATCTGCCTCTCGCTCACAAAGAGGCTGCGAAGACGAAGCTGCTTTTGGATGTATTCGCAAGTTTGATTCTCCTTCAGATACCACTTGCGGATTTCGGGCTTGAGAGCCTCCCATGTCTCCCTGGGAGGCTGCGGCGAGCGATCGCCTACCATTGGACGTTGCAGAGCTTTTTGAGATCCAGCTAGGAGGTATCATGGGGAGTATGATAAAGGTCACCACTTGAATGTTGAGAAATTGTGCGACGACACACTTCCCTTTGGCGGCGGCGTTAGGCAGATCGGGAGAACTCGCAGTAGCGGCAGCGATCAGAAGTGTCCGACAGGCACACGACTGTGCAGGTCAGGATCTGGAGAGTTCAAGTCCTGCTATTCGTCAGGTAAACCGACTCTTTTTGGCAAATGTCATGATTGAAATGGCCGACACTCGGGAAGATGATTGGTTGGCACTCACTTCGACGAACGCGAATGGCATTGGCGGCGATGGGTCCAAGGCGTGGTGTTTGGAAACACCAGTGACGTCTGAAAGCTCCCTGTCTTCCTCTTGCTTGCCTCCCTCCCTCTCTCTCTCTTGATCTTTGTCTCTCCTCCACCTTTTCGCTTGGTTGGCTGTATGGTTGTGTGTGTGTGTGTGTGTGTGTGTGCGTCAGTCGGTTCCGCAGACCTGCAAGAGAAATCTGACCTGTCAGAAAATGCTGCAGAAGAGTGACCAGGGTGCAAAAGTCTGGCACAACGACCAGTGGGATGGGAACAGGATAGGGAAACGGGGCTGGAGTCCAGCGAGCTTCCTCGTGATGGCACAAGGCCAGCTTGCCAGCTTTGGATTGGATCACTGGGAGAATGGAATGTTGAGTAACTTGCCCTTACCACCCCGGCATCCTGTTCCCGAGCCAGATGATCGTAGGTGAGGGCGTGAGGGTGTTCACCACCGGACTGGTTCCACCGTAGCAGCGTGAAGGCGACACCTTTGGTGGCCAAAGGGGCAGGAGCAGAGAGAGGATGTCAAGGCCGGAGGTTGGAGGGGGGAAAAAGTGACAGGTCATTTCTGCCCACTGCTGGCCGAATGTTCGTCCTTTGCCCACTGGCATGAGGCCTGCATGTTGCACAGACCCATGCAGCCTCAACTTCGCGGTCGAGTCACATAATCCGTTTCCTCGTCTGCATCGATTGTGCATGGCGCCTTGACACCTGGTGGAATGATGGCTCGATGGCTCAACGGCACCAACGGGGTCTCGGCCAATGACGAACAGCCAGAGCTTAGTTTGCTGGCGTTGCTAGTTGACTTCTGCAGCTCCCCCAGCTAGCTTCCCAGCAGCGCAAGGGGCTCCCTGGTAGCCAGCCACGACAGCCAAAGAATCATGCCTCTACCAAACGTTGTTTCAGCCTGCAGGTAGGTGGACAAACAGAGCGAGAGAATGCATCCTCTTCCCTCGCCTCGGGAGCGCTTATTGTCTTGAATTTGACCTCCTCCTCCAGGTTGGGCATCGTCTCCCCCCTGGGCAGCTGGTTGGCTGCCTGAAGAATGAGGCCGTTAGCCTCGCCAACGCACCGATGCCTGCGCCCTTCGTTTTCTTCACCCCCCACGATTCGACCTGACTCGACTCCTTTCGACTCCTTTCGACTTCTACCGTGGCTCACTCAGAAAGCACCGCTACTACTCTCTCGCATGACCCCCCCTCGCTTCCAGGAATTGGGCCTCCTCCATGTGTGGCCACCCCCCAGGTAGTTGGCCTGCTCTGTCGAAGGACGGTCACAGCATCATGGATTCTGGCTGAGACTCTACTGTTCCTGGTAAATCCCCGGCCTTGCAGTTCCAGCTTTGATCCACGCCTCCCCCGGTTATCCACCGGATCCAAGGACTTGAATCCTGCTACCATTATCTCCTATCCTTTTCGAGGAAACAAGGCCTTGTCATTCTATCAATTCACCCTGAATGCTGCTTTCTTTCGGCCACACCTTCCGATGAAATGCCCCTGTGCCAGAATGCATTCTTTAGCTAGAGCGAGTCATTGGAAGGTTTCAAAACCTGTCATAATCCGCAGGTGCGGTGCGGTGCGAATGGCGGTTCCACATAATCTGGCAGAAACGTCTCGTCACGGCTCTCTACTCACTTTGGGCGCCGCCCATCGTTGCGCCAGCCTGTCCCTGCCGATGATCTGGATAGATTGCATTATACATCGGTTGAACTGTGCATCTCCAGCGTCCGCGATGGAGCATTTTACCTGGGTACCGGCCGCGTGGGCCGATTGGGTGTTGCCGGTGATGAATGGCTTCATGGAAAGCAAGCCATGCCTCACTGCCATAGTTTCGTGTCGATGCCCAACAAGAACCCTGCAATCACAAGACTCATAGATGGGGCAAAAAGGTTTAGACTCGGGTTTAAATGACATTTGTGTATTCATTCGTAGCTGCTTTCACCAAGATCCTGTGCCTCCTGTCTGGAATAAGTGCATGTCCTTTGCTCCTGCCGACAACCCCTGGATCGTCGGTTATGCGGCCTACTCTTCCCACGATAGGCCGCTTTGATTTCAATCAGGGACCGTTTCCCTCAAGATTCTTGTCGGATACTCGCAGGCCCTCTTGCTCTCAATCACGGCGAGCAACGAGAGACATGCGAAACCGCCCAAGAGTTCACGATACTCCAGGTATTGATGGCTCTCCTGAAGGTTTTGGAGGAGGTTTTGGGGGAGATTTCGGTTGAGGTTTCGAGGGACGTTGGGGTTGGGGTTGAGGTTGAGGTTGGGTTTGAGACTGCTGTTGAGGACGATCTGAGCCTGTGCGGCGCACACTGCCTAGATCGCTAAATCTTTCATTGTGATTGTCTGCTTCTGGGTTAGCTTTTGTTACCGACAGCGACAATGGTGTCGCGGATTTTACCATTTGGTAGGTTGTGTTTGCCATTACCAGCGAGTGCGGCTTGATATCCGACGGCTTCAAAGGGTGGTCAGCAGGTTGAGGTAGTACCACTATGTAGTTCTAAAGCCAAACTGTGTCGTGCATGTCTGGGTTGCACAAACCTGGGGCCAATGGTCGATCCCTCCTATACATGATGAGAGATGGATCTGAGTCCTAGCCTTGCAAGACCCGTGATCCTAGAGATAGGTGGCCAATATGCTGAAGTTTGAAAGAGTTTGAGCCAAATGTCCCAATTGACAGAAGAGCCAAAAGCCTGAAAGGAACTGAGGAGGACGGAGGAGGGGATGTCAGCTTTAAAACGGGGCCTGTGGCATTCCCACTCACTGGTCTTGACTCACTGGTCTGCCAGCGCCTGTCTGCCATTCTAGGGCATCGCTTTAGCGTAGGGAATCGCCAAACCAAAGCGTCTTGCAGGGGTTCTGTCATTGTGCATTCAGTCCTCGCTGGTTCTTGATCAATGATACCCTGGGGGCAATGAGTAGCTGTCGGTAGTCGTGGTGGATGCGAAGACTGACGAGTCAGAGGGAATCTGTGACCCGGTCCACGACTGGTAAGTTTGTGCTTTCGTCCAATCTTGTCTCTCAGTGGCTGCGGATGGCGGAAGCGTTACAGCTTTTGCTGCGATATTCTCACTATCAGCGCCATTCAGATCCGGTGGCCCTCCCCAGTGCATGTGCCCAGTGCCTAGAGCAAGGACGGTCCTGCCGTCTCGGCAAGTGAACGGCAACGGTGTCGAAGAGACGAGTCTGACCCCAAGAGTCCTTGTTCGTACGTAATCGCCCCCAGCCAAAGTCTCATTGACATTTTCTGAAGCTCCTTGGACAAGGACGTCGGCCAAATCTAGGCCGCAGAGCCGCAATAATCGCCCCGGTTGGACGTCGCGTCGGTCTCATTCCACGACACCCATATCGCGTATCGCAGAACACAGGACAACCACGGACTGCTGAGCAGATATCGAGTCCCTTGATTATGATTTTTCCATGCAGAGAGTCAGTCTCATCGACAGATCATCTCGAAATCTTCAATATCTTGAGCTGTCCTCTCAGCCCACATCCTTCGATGCTGGTGTGCTGGGACAGTCAGGGAAAGGTCGCATACAACATGCTGAAAGATCTCCTGAGCTCAACGAAAACATATCGATGGGAAAAAGTTTGTGAAGCGAATTCTGTAATCACAAAAATGTGTCGCGAACAGAATGTCGGTGCTCAAAATGCTCATGTCGACTGTTGAGATTCATCATTGACCTGGATTGCAGCATCAGCTGAATTGCACAGACCCAGAATCATACTTTGGCCAGAATAGCGTTCAGTCCTGATTGCAGAGGCAGTGCTACCATTGTCATTGTCTTTTGTCCGTGGACGTTCTTCAAAGGGAGTCATCGTGCGGCCTTTCCTGCCCACTGAGGCGTGGCTTCCTGAGGGCAGACCACCCGCAATCAGGGCACACAGGGTGCTGGGAATGCCCGGAAGCGACGCAGAAACATCCTCACCCCGTGGAACAATAAGGGAGAAAGAAAAGAGCGCAGGAAGAGCGAGGAATGAAGATGAAATAGAGTTGGCCGGCCGCGGATCTTGCGTACGGGCGACGGAAGTGACCGAGAATCTGGGTGGCACTCGCCTTGGGGGAACTGGCAACAGGGACGCAGGGAAACTAGAGGCAAGAGCTAAACGGTCCATCTGCAGGCCTCACTCCTGTTTCTCCATGCCCTGCGGCAGCCTGACAAGCCACCTACAACGCATTGCGAGCTCCAGTCCATGGCACCAGGTCCCCCCTCCCCTCGATCTTGGCCTTCTACAAAGGCGACGCTTGCCTCGACGATCCCTTTCCTCCCCACGTCCGGCTGGTGTTGCAGGGCGATGCATGAGTGCTTACGGCCCCAGGAAGCGGCCTCACAGTTTGCTGTGGGACGAGAGACACATGTCATAGCTCGACGGGAGTGACGGCTTCTGCGTCTAGTGCCCAACAGATGCTCCGGGGGTAACGCAAGAGTTGCACCATGCGCACGAACGAAGCCAAAATGGGGTAAACGTCGGCGTCAAGTTCAATTACCTACAGCCAGTTTGCAGCCACACCATATCATGTGAAACGAGCAAGATCTACTGGTCACTTTCTGATCCAACTCGCCGACTTGGGAACTCTGCCAGGGTCCGGTAACCAACATGGGGGGTCTCGATATTCGATGAAGCCGGTCAAGATAGCTGCGAGCTACGCCAACCGACTTGAAAGCTTCATCTGCACCCTGCGGGAGCTGCAACGAAGCTGTACCTGGCTCTTTTGGTCTGCATCTCGTGCAGACGACCGGTGCTGCATAACTCGAGTTGGAAGAGGCGGTCACCAGCCCTCGCCTATGAAATACGCCCGCGTCAGGATTCTCGATGCCCCAGAGACCACCCCCCAAAGCACTAATTAGGCGATGAGGCGTGAGACAAGATGCCGGATGGAGTTTTCGCCTGCAATCAGCACATGCATCCTGGTCTCAACGCACGGATTGGCCTACACCCGTCAATGCCAACATCGGCTGTTGGCGCTTAACACTGCCTGACCTCAACTTCCTTCGCACCGGTCTCTCCAGAAGCATGCTAATGCAGCGGTCCTCTCCCCATCCACAATATCATCAAATCCAAACTCTCAGATCTTCTGCAGTACTCTGCCAGCAAGGCCACGTCACAACAAACGTCCCCCTTTAGGGACATTGGTGGCGCCTGGACCCTCGGGGAAATTTGACGTGTTGGCCTGAAAGTACTTGTGGCCTCCATAGGCTTCCAGTTCCCCGGCGTGCAGCGACTGGCGCCGCAAGGATGAGTTGGTTTGCAAAGAGTGGACCGAACATGTCTTCTGAGTCATTGATGATATGGCCATCCCTGTCCCGCGACAAGGTCCCTACTGGGTTGGGCACACCTCGAAGCAAGCGGGATAACTGTTTATTGCTCCTTCTGGAAACACTCGGCGGACGGTGGCGGGCCATGGACATGCATCATGTGCATCCTTCCAGCAGCCCTGAACCCTAATTTACACGGGCTCAGCCAGGTGGAAGAGCTCGTTACTTTGCCGACATTTCATTATCATCTTGTCCCTTCACTTCACCCTGCATGAGATCGTGCGATCATACACATTCTATTAGTACGTTGGCACAAGAAAACCGCTGAGCCCTGCGGTACATGTTTTTGGCTTCTACTTTGGGTTGTGTGCATTCGCTACGAACTAGGTTATACCTCTTTGCACCATTTCATCAAGGTTTCACCGGCAGAGACGGTATCGGACCTTTTTCTAATCGCCCACGCAATCTCATCAAGAGTCACGTCCAGCCTGAACATTTTGCTTGTTATACCATCACCCCCGAGCCCTTCGTCGCCCAGCCTTCCGGCGCCGCTCGGGCCGCCCACCCCTGAGTGCGGCACAATGAATTGCCACTGCGCCAGATCCTCCCACGCAGCCCTCGCAGTGTCCTTGCTCCACGATCTCAGGCCCGTACCCGTGAGAGCCCCGGATTTCGTGAACGAAAACGACGATGAGCGCTGAAGCTTGGAGCGAGTGAGCAGCTCGGTATATTGCTTGTGGACGAGCGTGAAATTCGTGGTTGTGACGTCGTAGATCGTCTCGAGACGCGCGGCAGAGATGAGGAGGGACAAATGGAGAATGGGCAGATGCGGGAGGAGGTCCAGCAGCGAGGGCGGCGAGCTTGTTGTGTCGGCGATAACGGGTGGACGGGACTGGGAAAGGCTGTCGTCACCGACTTCGTTCTCCGCAGGCAGGGATATGGTAGCAACGGGGATGTACAACGCCGCCAGCATGTCCGGAATGGATTTCGTGCCGTAGAAGATTTTCTCCATGACTGCTTGTGTGGAGGACGCAGGGAGGAGCTTGGTCTACGCGGATTTGCAGGTCAGGAAGGTTTCGCTCTTCTTATCTCGCCCCCCCCCCAGAAGGAGCAGGAGGATGCGGTCCAGGACTCACCTTGATGTAGTCGTTCCATTTTCGCCTCCAATCGAGGTCCTCCTTCGTGACACCCAGTGCGTCCTTCCCATCAACCGGCAAGCACAGCACACCCGTCACGACTTCCGCGAAGGCAACAAGACTCTTCACGCTGGGGACGTGCAGCCAGCGGTGGCTGAAGCGACTCTTGACCCTCTTCTCCAGACAGTCGACGATATCCATGCGCGTGGAGCAGCCGATCACCGCGATGGGGGCCTTCCGTGCCTGGGCGATGTCGAAGAGGTTGTAGAGCAATGTTTGTCGTGGGTGGGTGGTGAAAAGGTCGAATTCATCCAGGACGAAAATCACACTTTTGGACGCGTGGTTTCCTCCCTCAGCCTTTCTTTCCGCCGTGCTGTTATCAAGGGCCATAGAGTCGAGGTCGCCAACCAGCTCCTCCGGGTGACTCAACAGACTCAACAGACTCGCCATCGTGTCAGCGTAACTGCTCACTTCCCCCGTCTCGTCCTCGGGCACCGCCATCTCCCTGCCCAGCTGGCGCCATATTTCCCTCAGCGCCAGTTTGTCATCAGTCTGGAAGAAGCCGTTGAGCTTGACGACGTGAAAGTCGCCGCCATGGGTTTTCCCCAAGGCATCCAAGGCGTGTCGGATGAGGAGAGATTTTCCGCTGCCGCGGGAGCCAAGGAGGAGGAGAGAGTTGGATTCGCCAGATGCTACCGTTGCAGTCAAAAGGGTATTTAGAGTTGTAAACTGGGTCTGCAGATGGGAGGGGACAGGCGAAGGTGAGAATGAGAGGTCGTCGCTGTGGGTATCTGTGATACGAGAGAGGATTTGTCGTTTGACACTTGTGAGGTGTGGATCCTCGTCTTCGGTGGTATCGGCAGGGACATCTCCTGGTGGAGGAACTTCTGCGACATGAGAGCCTGAGATGATGTCGTTGATATCAAATGACTCTTCCAAAAAGGATCCCTCGTTCCCGGCATCTTCGTCTCCCGACTCTGAGTCTCCGTGTTCGAGAGCATCCTCAAGTTCTTCCTGGTCTACTGTGGGCTTCACCACTTTGCGGGTGTCGACGTGCTTTGATTGGTTCTTTCCGCTCTTCTTGCTCGAAGGGACTATGTCCTTGAAGCCGAGTTGCTCTTCAATCTGCCTCTGATCGTCATCCACGGCCCCCTCAAAAGCCACCGATTTACGTGGCCCAATCCGACCACCGCGACCGCGTCGAGACGGAGTTAGAATTCCTTTTGGTTGTGGTGATAGAACACTGGTTGGTGCGGTGACAGAAACCGGCTGTAATGACACAGACTCAGTCGAGGGTTTCCCATCAGCTGTTTTCCGTCGTTTAGATTTTTGTGATGGTGGTTCCGCATTGGCATGTTCGAGTCGTCGAGATGGTCGTCTTAAACGTGTGCTTGATCGTGGTCTTTCCGAGGTTGTGCTCTCCCCTTCCTCGTGTTCATCTTCTGCTCCAGGGACATGGAGGTCATTCTGTGGGTTTTCTCCGCCTTCCCGTACACCCTGGTCAATTGTCTTCCCTTTTGTCGAGTTATTGGGGGGGGCATCCGAGACTGGGTCTGAAACACCATTTATTGCCTTGGTTCTTCGGCCACTGCTCCTGCGGGGTGTGTTCCGGGCAGCATTTTCCTCGTCGTCCGGCTCAACGGCCTCATGTTCGCCAATAGCCGCAGACTGTTCATTCTCAGTATTGTGTGCCTCGTGCTCCGACACCCTTTTCCTCTCGTTCGACTCGACGGCCTTTGTCTCTCTTTGCGTCTCGTTCACAGACTCCGCAGGTGACGAGGCCAGCGTCCGCCTTCTCGTGGCATATGTTCCTGTTCGGCGTCGCTTCGAGGCCCGGGGGGAGGCGTCAAAATCGTCCATAGCTCGTCACTTGGGAGTGTTGACTAGACGTCGCAATTGACCTGGAACAAATTCCGCAGATAGACGCGCTACGCGTCGGCATAGTTTCCTTTTGAGAACGCGCGTTGTAGAGCGTGGTCCTGCAGGTTTTCACTCCAGAGGCACCTCAAAAAGCATCATTACCGTCGTGGCCAGCATCGTCGAGCAGGGCTCACTTTGGATGTCAGAACAAGGGATTTGCAGTATGGCCTGAACTTCACATAACATTCTCAGAAAAAAGGGGGAGATTGGCAAGTTTTTCAACCCGGAGTATATTGATATTGTCAGACACCATCTTTTCCCCAGGCCGTATAGCACAACCCGCACAGAATCGCGAAACTTGGCTGTCGGACAATCCAGCATTTCCAACCACTAGCATGCAAGCCACCATCTGGCACTCTTCGCGTAGTGGAGCCTGGATTTCAGCGAGGCCCGCCTGGCTGGGGCCTCCAGGGGAGGAGCTTGGGCGACCATCGAGGAAATCCGGGGTAAGGTCGTCATCGACTTCACCCCTAACCTCCCTTTCGCAGGATCCCTGTTTGCGCAGCCCACAACGCCGGGAGAAGAGCTTCGGCGGGTTAGTTCCCAAGCACATCTACCACCCCATGCAAGTTCCTACAGTATCATTCAAACTGATGCCCTTTCGTAGCTTATTTTTGCGAGCGAAGAGAATGGCCGAGCTGCAGGATTTGGGCGAAAAATGAGCGCAACTGGCGGAGCTTGGTTAGATAATTACGCCGAAGGCAACCTACCAGCATCACCAGCACCCACCGGCATCCACAGGCACCCACAGGCACCCACCCGCCTGGAAATGGCCCAATGGCCGCCATTTCGCTTCGCTTGGACACCCCCAGAATCGCATCCTCCCTCCCCAACCATCCCGCCACAGTCGTTTTCGCGGGGGCCGCAGCTCCTCATCCACTCATCCATCCATTCACCCATCATTCCACATGGCCCAAACCTCAATTGGCGCTCGCCGGTGTCCTTGTTGGGCCATGATCTCTGCCACAGATGGCATTTTTCTCGCTTAAGTGTCACCGCAATGACACCACCTGATGCAGGCCCCGGGGCCGCACAACGACAGACGCGAGATCCAAAACCCCAGTTTCCTCGCCCATCTCCATCTCCATCGCCAGCCCCAGCTTGCGCTTTTTCTATTGCCCTTCTCCGCCGGCATTACCGTCGACGTCGCCTCAACCTCGTTTTCTGCTCTCTACGACCGCATTGCGACTCCCAACATGCGAATCTAACATCTCAAACACCATGATCGGGAACAACCATCTCTCCCCAGCTTGGCAATGAGCGATGCAAGCAATAATGCCGGCCGCGACCCAGGCGGCGATGGCGGCACCTACAGCTACAGAGCTTCCAGCGACAAGCCTCATCCCTCCGAGTATCTCGAGTTCGTCACGGCCCCCAGCCAACCAGGCTCATGCCGCCTTGAACCTTTGAAGACACAGAATGAGCAGCGGAACACCGCCAAATCTCCGACGGAGGACCGAATACACATTACACAATCCAATGATGATTTGTTTCACGGCCTCTCTGCGGCCATTCCTGGCCTGCGCAGTTTGTCGGTTGACGCTCGAGCCGCTACAAAGGCCGAACATGCCATGACGTTCTTGAGGGGCTGTCGGTTGTATCCCAAGGCGATCGCATGGTCGCTGCTCCTCAGCATGACCATCGTCATGGAGGGCTATGACTTGACCCTCGTCAACTCGTTCTTTGCATTTCCAGTCTTCAGGCGCTCTTATGGCGCACCCCTCCACCCGCATGCCCCATCGAGTCAACAGGATTACCAGATTTCCCCCGCATGGCAATCTGGTCTCACTAATGCAGCTGTTGCCGGGGAAATTCTGGGGTTGATGTTTAATGGCTTTTTCACCGATCGTTTTGGCTATCACAAAACCATGGTTGGCACTCTGATTTGGATGTCTCTGTTCGTGTTTCTTGCCTTCTTTGCTGTCGATATCAGGATGCTCCTCGCCGCCCAGGTTTTGTGTGGTCTGCCCTGGTAGGCAAACTGTCAACACCCAATGTCCTTCAAAGCTCATATTGACCCGACAAACAGGGGGTGCTTCCAGACTCTTTCGACCACGTACGCGGCGGAGGTGATGCCGGTGGCTCTGCGAGCCTATCTCACGTCCAACGTCAATATGTGCTGGCTTATTGGTCAACTGTGCGGCGTGGCTGTCATCCGGGGCCTTGTCCACAACAATTCCGAATGGTCGTACCGCATACCCTTCGGTTTGCAGTGGGCGTTCGCGGTCCCCATCTTGGCGGGTGTGCTCCTGGCGCCCGAGAGCCCGTGGTGGCTGGTCCGACATGAGAAAATCGGCGAGGCGAAGAAGTCCCTGTTGCGACTGACCACCAAGGATTCCGACCCCGACTTCAATGCCGACGAGACCGTGGCGATGATGCAGCACACGAACGAAGTGGAGAAATACCTGAATGGCGGCGGCGTGTCGTACCTCGACTGCTTCAAGGGGACCGACCTTCGACGAACCGAGATATGCTGCATGGTCTGGTGCACCCAAGCCCTATGCGGCAGCACGATGACTGGCTACGCCGCGTATTTCTACGAGCAAGCCGGCTTTGACACCGCCGACAGCTTCAACCTGGCCGTGGGCATGTATGCGGGCGCGATCTGTGCCGGAATTCTGGCCTGGTTCGGGATGCGCAAGATCGGCCGCCGCACACTGTACCTGGGGGGTCTGGTGCTGTCGTTCATCATCCTGATCGTGACGGGCATCGTCGGCACGTTCCAGGAGACGGACAGCACGTCGTGGGCGCTGGGGTCCTTGATCATCGTCCTGACGTTCGTGTACGACTTCACGGTGGGGCCCGTGTGCTACGTCCTCGTGGCCGAGATCCCGTCCAGCCGCCTGCGCGTCAAGACGGTGGTCATCGCCCGCGTGGCCTACAACGTGGTCAGCATCGTCACCAACATCATCACGCCGCGGATGCTCAACCCCGCGGCGTGGGACTGGAAGGGCAAGTCGTGCTTCTTCTTCGCCGGCACGACCCTGCTGTGTCTGGTGTGGTGCTGGTTCCGCCTCCCGGAGCCCATGGGCCTGACGTACATGGAGCTGGACATCTTGTTCGAGAAGAAGGCCAAGGCCCGCAAGTTCAAGGAGTTCCAGGTCAATCTGGCCAGCACGGGCTACTTTTCGCTCACGCAGACCCGCTCGGACAGCGTGTGGAGGGGATACCAATAGTTCCGAAATTCTTGGACATTTTCTCGTTTTATAACCAAAACTTTTCCGTTCTCACTGCTTTTGTCCGTGTATGTGCACTCTACTGGAAACGTGAATGGAGCCTCCCGAGCCCCATCATCGGCATCATCATCGTAGTAGGTCCAGTATCGGGAATCAAGTCACAGGGCCAATTAGAGTATGGGGACTAATATCCTGCCTTGTGCCGCGAAGGTACAGACGGCCCCCCCTCCCCTCCCTTGAATGCGTCACCTCCTTCTCTTGGCGATGGGTGGTCTCACATGTCATGAGATCCTGTATTGGACGACAAGAATAGACGGGTTGCTGGTCGAGTCAGAGTCGAGTCGAGTCGCCAGAGTGAAAAAAAAGGGGGAGGGAGGTGTTAAGGTTCTCGATCGAACGAATCGATAAAAGCTTGTCGTCGTCAGTCGTCGTCAGTCGTCGTGGTCGCTGTCGCGGTCGTGATCTTCAGGGGGTGGAAAAGGGGAATGCGAGAAAGTCAAAAAGGATCAAAGGTCATTCATTGTCTTGCAAGGTCAGGGGCGGGGACGCGTAACGGTCGACTGCCACTACTTACTAGCCAGCTACCTACCCTAGCCACTTTGTTCCTCGACCCTAGGCCCAACTGCACTAAACTATTTATTCGAACTCTCAAACTCGGACCCTCACTACGGTACGGAGTACAGGGTGATGTAGGCGCTCGGTACAGATGGAGAAAGGTGGCGTTGAAGGGGGGGCCAGATCTTGGGACCTGCATACGAGTTGCTCGACTTACTCGGCACTCGTACTCCCTCCATCCCCAACGCTAGAAGCTACTCCATCCTCTATCAAAAAGCAACCAATCGTCGCCACCACCAGAACCACCCTCTTCCCCATCGCCGTTACGAGTTCAATCCCTCGGAGAAAAAGAACAGAGTGGGCCGTTTCACAATCGAGTGGCACAGTGGGAACCCCAACCTTCTCCACCACCAGCGAGTCCACATGCAAGACCACAGCACTCCATCATCCTGGAGCATCGACCGTGCCCGTAGCCGCCCTGAGGCGTGCTGTGAGAGACGAAGAGATGATAGACGATGGACGGTGAACATGGCAGGTCACAAGGACAAGGCTGATCAAAGGTCAGAAATGCCATTGGATTCATTTGCGTTACGGATCTTTTGCCCTCTCTATCTATGTTTCGCGCGAATACTGAACAGTCCCCTTTTGCACCCTTTCAACCAATGTCTGCACTCTCCTCTCGGACGACTGCTGCTCTCGCCAATGGCCCGGGCCATCACAAGCCCAGCTCCTCGCATTCATCCGTCAGTCAGGTTCCTCGATCGTGAACAGGCAGAACCGTGCCTCCGACCATAAGATGCCGGTACCGTTGGTGCCAGCCCCGTGCAACACCCATGTCACCCTCCATTCCCAAGGGTCAACCTCCCTTGACTTTGATTTTGTCCTTTAGAAATATGTTCCCCATCTCGCAAAATGCTGAAGAGACCGTACAATGCAAGCCCCACCCAAAAACGCCAGAAAACAACACAACCCCAAGCCGCCCGTCGAAGTGGGAAAAAGTGCCCAGCCTGTGTCGTGGCTGAACCATCACAACAATCCATCTCAATCTTTCTCCAACCCTCCAGGTCCTTCCCACAAACATTCATTCACCAAGCCTTCTTGTCGTTCAGCGCTGCTGTCAAAAGCCTCCCTGTCGTCATCATTGAACGTGCTCAAGTAGAAACGTTCCGCCGTGGAACTTGCCATCATTTTCGCCGCCCGTCTAATGTTTTTTTTCCCCCGCCATGTTGACCGGATATTCCGCAAGTTGTGTAACATTAAATCCGGCGCAATTGGCCAGGTCCTTTGGAAATGCAATCCATTCACGCCGTTTCCATGCAGGTATGTGGCGGCTAAACCTGGATAAAGCTGTAGTGATGCAGGAAGTCTGCCGCAAGCAATATCCCCAGTTGAGGTCCACTGATCTATATGCATTAAAGTTTCGATAAAAAAGACATAAAAAGGTAATCGTCCAAAAGGCCGAGCTCATTTCGGGCTGTGTGGTGGTGAGACAACAAAACGTTAGCACATAGCGACGGGTTGGAAAACTGGCTGAATAGCGCAACAAGGACTGTAGTCGGCAAACGTTGGTGACGAGAAACAATGGGTGTATCATCGATAGTCAGTGGAATGTGCTTGTCCCGCTGGCATTGGCAATGGGCTGTCGCCAAGAGTGTGGAGAGGTCGGAAGAGCTGTTTCATGTCCAGCTCCAGGGTCTCTTGTGCATAATTTTCATCGATGTAGGCCACACTGCCCGGCTCTTCGCCTCGTTGGGCACCGTCGGTCCGACTCCATTCTCTGGCCTTCTTCAGCCCATGCAGCACTTGCCGCAGTCGATCGTCTGCAGAAAGCTGCCAATCGCGCGTTCGGTTTGGCTGCATGAATGCACGAGCGAGCCAATAAAAATGTACGCCATCCCGACAGAAGCCGATACGCTTGGGAATATGATCACCATTTCCTGGAGGATACTGCAACGCATAGTCCTGGTCCCAAGCTTGTTTCCACCGAGCAAGAGCGGAATTGATCGATTTGTACATGTTGTTCGCGTCCTCTGGCGACACCTTTGGCTTTTTGAGACGTGTCATGGGGGAATCCGAGGAGCCGAAAAAATATCTTGAACGCTGGACCTGCCAGATTTCCACATGAAGCGCGTGGATAAGGATGAACTTGGAATAAACATTGGTGGTTCGCGGCTGCATGGTTACGGTAGTGCTATGCAAGGCACTCATTGCGTGGTGCATCTCCAATTGCTTCAGCCGGAGCGAGCCGTTCACGTTGATCCTCGCCTGAGCCTCCGCCCCACGAAGGCCGAGGGCTTGAGCACAGGTTTCGGCATCTGGAGCTTCCCAGGCCGCGTCGTCGCAAGGCAAGGGTAATTTGATCTCGGCCGACGAAAATTGGGGAGCCACATTGAAGTAGATGCACATGGCCGCGTCCCACAGGAAGACCATGAACATCAGCCGCGACCGCTTTTCTTGTTCCACCCAGGAACGCCAATCCCAGCGCCACGGCTGGGCGGTTTGACCCGGTTGGAGGTTGTGAAGATAACTGTAGCTATGACGATACTCTGGGCTAGCCAAAGTCAACATGCCGAGCTGTCGAACCAGATACAGCACTCGTTTGCTTTCAGCACGGGCAAGAGCTCTCTCGTCGGGACCTCCGTGCCAGACAAACAAGCTCTGAAGAATTTGTAGCGCGAGGAGTTCTTCAAACTCCGTGTCCCCAGTCATCGACAGCCGATTCCTAGCGACTCCCGGCTCCAGGTGTTGTAAGAGTTGTGATGTACGGTCGATGCCAGCCTTGACAAGTTGCATCAGCGCCCGTACTTGAGGTTGAGAAATGCGATCAGAGTACACAGCCCCACTGCAGATGATGACGAGGATGAGACCGTCATAGGCGGTCAGGAAGTTAAAGGTCGGTAAATGAAGCCATGGGAAATGACCTTGAAAGTTCGGAAAGAGATCGAGAAAATGTTGGATGGCTTCGACGGTCAGGCAGGACCTCAAAAAATCATTTTGTGGGTCTCGGCGCGATTCCTGTAACCCCCCAGGGAAGACAAACGTTAATAGCGAGTTCACCTTGGCTTGGAACAAGTCTTGCCGAGATGCATGCAGATTCCAGAGAGGGGGTCCAAGCGTACCGTCAGCTCCAAGGCTCGTAGAGGGAATGTAGTAGCCATTCGATCCACCTTCATGGGTTTCATAGTCCTTTTTGACATCATTCTGGGATTGGTCATAACCACCGAACATGGGGTTCATGTATCCCTCATTGCCACCTGATGGAAACATATGGTTCCAGTCATCCCCAATATGATGAGCGCCAGGCATGACATTGCGCTTATCCTCCCCTCCACCGGGCTGCATGCCATAATGATCGGGAGGTGTGGAATTGGAGTGATACATCATTTGGTTACTTCGGGCATTGTGCATCGACCACGAGTTGTTGGCATTGGGGTCCATGCCGGCGGGTCCAGAACCAGGCTGCATGGGCTGCCCCGGACGCTGCATGTCGCCCGGGCCATTGGGCTGCATCGGATAGGCCATTCCAGGGGCAGGGGCACTCGTGGTCGGCGCCGAAGTGTTAGGCATGGCAGCAGTGGTGTATGGAGGGTTGGGCATGACCGCGTTTGGGGTGGTGGCACTTGCTGGCGAGGCAGTCGCCGCCTTCTGCTGGTTCTTTTTAATATGGGCAGCAGGGTTTGACAAGTGGCTTGCTCCCGTTGGATTGCCACGGCGAACCGAGCATTTCTGGAAATGCCGCTTCAAGATGTCACTTCTGGAGAACGTATCGTTGCACAGAACACACATGTACGGCCGATCACCAGTGTCTGCAAAATAGTTGTTAGCGTACCCCCAAAATGACGATGAAAGGTGCATAAATCTTACGTCTCAGCATGTGCCGCTTCAAATGCTTCGCATGAAGATAAGTCTTTGTACAGTTGGGGCAAGGGAACTTTCCATCAGCATCCTTTTGAGGAACTGCGCTGCTCTTCTGGGAGCCATTAACACCGTTTGGCATCACTGGAGGGCGCCCTGGTGCGCTGGGCAGGATGCCTCTTCGTCCTTGAGAGCCCACGACATGAGTTCGTGTCGGATCGCGTCCGACGTCGGTGGTCATGGTGGGCATGGGTTCGGGTTGGGACCACGCCTGACGATTGTCCGGCTGGCCATACACTGGCGCCAAAGAATCTTGACGCGGAGGGGCAGGAGCCAGAGGTTGCGGGTAGGCTTGACGCGGCTGCGGTGGCCCCTGATAAGCTTGTGGAGGAGCTTGTTGCTGCGGCTGCTGCTGCGCCGGGTTATGGGGTTGTGGCAGCGCAGACGACGGTGGTAGACCGCCCATGGACGTTTGAGGGGCCATGTATCTGTTTTCAGGAGCTGGCGATGGGACAGGCGCAGCGGTAGGAGCCGAGCTGTAACGCGGCAGGTCATTTCGGTACTGTTGGGCCATGTAGTTCTGGTTGGCAGGCGGGAGTTGGGAGTAGTTGATGGGAGGGAGATGCGTGTTACTCTGGTACGGAGGCATGGCGTATGCGGAAGCCATGTTATTCGGATTGTACGTGGATTGAGGTGTTGCAACGTTGGACGATGTTGTCCTTGACAGTGACTGCCTAGGGTCCATTACCCGATTTCAATACACCAGTGGAGTCGGCGAGCTCAATCGACCATTGGACGACAAAGCGCGGCGACGAGGGTGTAGGGACGACGAGGACGGTCGTGTCTCTTTGTTTTGAGGGTGGAATCGATGAAGTTCTTGGGGTCGATGCCGATTGACTTCAGTAAGGACAGGATGGTGTTGAGATTTTTCGATGGATTTCTGGGCCAAGGGCGTTTGGGAGGTTCGGCTGAAGAGGAGAACAAAGCCTGCAAGGTACGAAGGAAAGCCACAGAGGTCAGTAAACGGATTAGCGGAAGGGTGGATGTTCTGTTGTGAGCTGTCGAGACACGCGACAGGACGGGCTGCGGGCTGATCGAGGTGAGGATGGCAGGGGAGTGGTTTGGTAAAGTGGAGGAAGTTGGGTGGGTGGGTTTTTTTGGGTGTGGAATAGAGGGAAGGGGGGAGGGAAAGAGTCACGTACGGGATAGAAGAAATTTTTGTTTTGAGGAACGCGCGAAAAAAAAGTACGAGGGAAGTGTTAAGATGAGGGTCGCCTGCTGGGTCCCCTCTTGGTGTTTTTCGCCCCAGTGGCCTGTCGGTGACTTGCAGGATATTCTTGCTGGCTGGGTCTGGCGCGGCAAGGTAGACGGTAGATAGGCGGTCGGCGTGCGTGGGTAGGGGAGTGGGAGAAAGTGGGAAGTGGGAAGGTTTTGTGTCTTGGGAGCTCCGTAGGATTGATTTTTTTGGGTTGGGGCGGCAGATGGACCGGGGGGGGGCGTACGTGATGATGATGTGGTGGTCTGGTGGTTTCCAGGAGGTCCAGGCAGCAGGTGATGGTTGGTTCGCCGAAAGGGAAAGGGAGGGTTTGAGAGGCGAAGAAAAGAGGTCAGAGAAATTTTTAACTCGGGAGGTGATGCCGGGCAAAAGACGGGTTGGAGCCTTTTTTTGCTCTGTTGCTTGGCTTGGCGGTTTCCCGGCTCAAAAGGAAGGAGATTGTTGTTTCGGAGGACAGGGCCAATCGCCAATCGTCGGTCGCCAGTGAGATGGCAAAGCGCGAGGTTGATTCGGGACTATGCTCAGAGGAGTAGGTGAGAGGCAAGAGGAGGTGGCATGGGACTGTCCGAGTTGGTGGTGGTGGTGGTTGGTTGCGGTGGTGGTGATGATGATGATGATGCTGATGATTACAAGTAGGCAAAGAAGAAAGAACAACACCACAGAAAAAAGGGATTCGAGCACTGCTTTCTGCGTGCAGGTTTCAAGTAGCAAGTCGCAGGTAGCAGGAGCAGTAGCAGCAACACCAGCCGTAACAAAGGGTCGAAGTGGTTGAGCTGAGTGGTGAGGTGAAATGAATGATTCAGTCAGAGCACAGGCGCTGTGACGGTGGGCACCCACTTTTCTCTAAGCTGCGGGCCAACCAGTGACCACCCGACGACCCACAGCCCAATGTCGATCGGGGAGCGCGCTGGTGGCGGCGGTAGCCTGCAAGCCAGCAAGCCAGCAAGCCCAAGCAGGACAAGTACGGAGGGCTAGGGGGAGCCAGGGCCTAGTGAAGGCCCGACAGGGGTGCCCTCCAGAACACGTACCCAAGCTACTACACACGACTTGGCTACCACCACCACTACCACCTCGCACCTCGACGAGTACGCAAACACGGCCCCTTCCCCACCCTGGGTGCTTGCTTCGAGTTTCGATTACTTACGCCATCAAATAAATCCCAGCACCACCGCGCCCAAGAGGTTTTACCCGTCCCTGCAATGATGAACACAATGCGTAAGGAGTAATCTCCTGAGAGATCGCTCAATGCCATGATTGGATCAGAAATCGGACAAACAATGTGCATTTACTTTTGGCTTGAAACAAACTTTGAAGGATGGTGAAGGAAAGGGAACCGAGTATTCGTATGTACACCCGGAGCAGATGGACAGCACACACGCAGCGCGCATCTTTGTTGCAAGGACGGCGGCAAGGCCTTCAAGACAGCCTGTAAAATAACAAGCAGACCATCAAAGAGAGATCTGGAGGAGAACAAGCTACTACTCTCGTTGCTCGCCCAAGTCGCCATCCATTACCTTTTATCCTCGTCGTGTTTTTTTTTTTCCATGTGCAGCGTACCGAGTTTTGTTGTTTTGTCGCTAGAGACTGACTTGGGAAAGCTCCGCGAGCGCCAATCATTTGCACAAAAATGGCGTGTACGAGGCCGGACAGGGGGGCTTGGTTGAGGCAAACAACAAATTGAACATTGGCGGAGATGAACGGAAAAACAAAGGGAAAAACCTAGGGTGCCAACTGCCCAGCGGCCGAGGGAAACAGCCACGGACAGAGGTTGAGAGGCACTTGGAGGCACTTGGAGGCACTTGGAGGCACTAGGCAGGGGTCGGCCTGCTTGACCCTCGACCAGCTTCCAAGCCCAGCCGGAATCAACCATTTGTTCGTTGCGATCGAGTCAGGCGATGACGCCGGCTTGGCCCTAGGCTGACCGTGGGAACAGGTATCGAACTTGTCACCCCCGACCCTGAGGTACACCAGGAACTACGAGGTACTCACTCGGTACGTGGTTCGAGGTGCTCATCGACATATACAGTATGAACAGTGCTGAGGCCACGATCTGGACGGGAAGGGAAAAGCAGTAGCAACAGCACATATCTCACCCAGATGCTCCAGCACCCCTCGGCCAGGAGAACCCCGCCAAATCTACCAAGGTACGGAGGACTCGCACAATACAAGTCCCCTACGAGTAGGTACTTTTCGGAGGGTGCCTCTCGCTCATCTTCTAAGCGGTCTCAATTGGGGTTGGTCAGGCGCTGGCCGCGCCTCCCCAACTGACCAGCCCTTCGCTTCAGGCGCCACTCGGGCGCTCTTGTCCGGCGACGCGGCACTATTAGGCGTCAAGGTTGGTGTAGCGAACCCTGAACTGGTCGCGTTCTGAGATTGTAGGTGCCAAATCCGGTCCTTTGGGTTCGCAGCGACTGCCTTGGACGACAACCTTATACCAAGCCTCAAGGCCTGATGGGGTGGGAACACTGCAAGAACAAGAATCGGGTGCGGTTCGGCGGGATCTCGAGTGGGTTCATCACACAATGTCATAATATTGCTTCTCGCACCAATCATCCACCTCGATCCTCGACGGCGTTCGGAGCCTTTTGCCCCCTTCAGGGTGGCATCACAGCAGGATGCTTGATGCTAGACGCATCATTGCCAGATCAGTGGCCAGCTCAGAGTCTCCCCGGCCACTCACAGCTGGCCAACCGACAAAAGCAGCAAAAGCGCCGGCGTGTCCTTGGGATCTGAAATTTTCCTCCGAAGCTGTTCCGCATGGTCCATGGAAGCACAATTCGGCCTTGATGCAACCTCGAATTTTAATCCAGCCATGGCCCTGGGATTCAGGCTTCTGACCATTCCGAAACCATGGGAGAGTCTTTGTTTGTGCTGTGTCCGGAACTCCTGAACAAGCGTCCCCATCTGCCTAGGCGCCTTGACCTGTCATCCAAGACCACTGTGAAACTTTGCTCGCAAGCCTTGCCTTTGGTCTTGGCCCCTTCATTGTACCATCTATACGATGAATCGCATTGACCGTGTCACAAATAGAATCCAACATGCTGGCTGTGGATTCTTCTCGTCAGCCAACGTTGAAGTCGGACAGAAGAGCTAAGCTACAGCGTCGTGCTACAGCTCCTGTCCCTGGGAATGTCATAGGCCATGCTGACCACACAAAACCAGAGGCATTATTATGTGGTAAGGACTTGGGATCGAACATATGTGCGACGAACTATTTTGTCGCGGCGGAAGTTCGCGGCTCCCCGGACGACTGCATCAGCATGGGCCAGGACCACCGGGCCTACATTCTGGAAACATGTTGGAGCAAATATTACAGACCATTTGCCACGCTGACGGCAGCTGGCACTGGTCCAAAATGGAAGCTATAGCTGCTACGGTCCAGCAGGGGAAAGGGTTTTGGTATTCTGAGCAGTCTACCGACAAGGACTTGGTAGGACTCGGTCCCTGGTCACATTTGATTCCGACGCTGAGAGTGTCTCGCCATGTCAGGAGCCATGGTCAGATGTGACCCGATTTCCTTTGTTCTGCCAGTGTTTTCCTGTGATCTGTCGTTCTGCCTACCGGAAACCGCAAGAAGTGGGTGCTGGAGGCGTGATTCAGGGCTTCTTGGCTCGGTCATGATGGACGACTTTCAGGGATGCTCAGCTTGGGTCGTTCGAGTAGCAGGCAAAGATCTACCATGATTGCCACCAGTCATTTGCTGGCCTCGGCTTTGATTCGACCCCTGCTCTGTTAGGGTTTTGTCTGGAAAATCCAACATCTTCCACCTCAACATTGAGGAAGAAGTTCTACTTGTAGACAATATGTTGTGGCGATGTCTCCTAACCAGACACCCTCGGGTTCAAAGGCAGTCGACCTAGAGCAGGCTTGTGCCACGGGTTCTTCTTGTAGGGAAACACGTTGAGAATAATGGACACATATCCACCTCTGTGAGCTCCGCAACCCACGTGGTGAAGGCGCACAAAGTGCAAAGCCCCTTTCGCTGCCGTGACCCGCTTCAGTGACGTTGTGGAATACTCCGTACGCAGTGGTTGTCGACCTCTATCCCGTTCCAACTAGGGCTTCGCACACAGAGATGTGTGGATTCCATCCTATTTCGACGTCTGTGAAGGTCATAGGATCATATTTCCACACGTTAATCTGCGCGTCCGAGGCAATAGGTCCAGGCCTGGGCACATCATCTCTTAGAGTATTAGTAGTAATAGTTATAGTCTGTCCGTCTCACGCACGCCGGGAACGTTCAGTTAATAATCTCATATTATGATCAAGTCGGATGTTTTTTCGCCATTTGGTCTCTGCAAGCCTGGCTCAACGAACCCTGCCCTTGTCAGCCTTGCCACAAAACATTCCACTTTTGCTTGAAATGTCTACTCTGGTCGTCCGCACCGCGCCAGGCATTTGCCAGAAAGTGAAAAAAAAAAAAGGGGTAGGCCGTAATATCAGTCATCAAAATCCATCTGTTCATCGGGACCGGCGGACGGTCACCGGCATTGTTCCGCTTGTCCGCACAATTGCCCAAGCAGAGGGTAGCTACAATATTGTCGGTACGACACTGATTTCCTAGACGAACCACTAATTCACCAGGCCGTATCTCGGTCTCCTCGGTTGGCCCGAGTCGGTCTCAAATTTTGTCTTGGATCGTTTTCCAGCCGGGAAAGAGAGCGGTGCTAGCCAACTACAACTTCCCTGCCAAGCTGACCAAGGATTGCATCTTTTCCCAGTCACAGCCGTCATGCCACTGTGCAGGGGAGGGGGCCGAGGGGGCCTCATAAGTTGCATAACTAGCAACCCTGGCAGTATAAGGATGATCGTCTCTGCGCTCTTCGGCATTGGACCCAGCCTGGATCTCCGGAGGGGGGTAATTATTCAACAGAACCGGCGCTGACCAGTGAGTGGGTGACCACTGACCACCGACCACTGACCACTGACCAGCCCAAGCAACCTACTCGTAGATGCTTGCCAATTGCAAGTCACGGGTCGCCATCATCCAATTCCCCCAATGCTGCCACCAGTGACCGGGGGAAGCAGGGGACGTGCACAGAGACGACACAATGTCCCCCAAAACTCTCTTTCTTTTCCGCTTTCTCCTCCAGATGCCCTATTTGGGATGTTTCACCGTTTGGCCTACTAATAACCCGTAGGCTTATCCCGCGTAGACTCACATGCGAAATCATCTCATCGAACCAGGAAACGGGGAACGAGAAAAAAAGCAACAAGGCAAAGAGACAAGGGAGCCTTCGGTCATAGCGGCCCCCCCTATTACTTCCTCGTATATCGCCCGCCCACTCGTGACGAGTTCCAGCAAGTTCCTGTTCTCGCTTCAAATAACCGAACACGAACCAGCAGACGACTAATGCAGCCACCGCAACGGACAATGAAGATCAAGCCCACTCTCTCTGCCCACTCTTGGTGATCCATTCTTTCCAGAAGCTGGTCGCCCATAGCTGCCTGCTCGTAAGGGTGGCCCCTCCATTCTTATTATTATTGTTTCGCGTCCGAGAAAACGGACTTTTCTTATGGAGCCTGCAACCAGAAGCTGGCGCCAGTGCGGTCCATTCCTTGATCGAGCCACTGGGCCCCCCTTGTCCTGAAAATGACCCTTGTTTGGCCGATATTCTGCTGGGCCTTGGGCACATGATATTCTCCCATCAGACTCGTGCTCACAACTGCTCCTACAAGTAATATTAACACAATCGGTTGTGTCAAGTCGGAAGTGGCATCCGGAATTCATGTGGCATCCTTTGCTGCGAGTCGCACTCGACACTTCATTTTCTGGGGACGCTGTATCGACAATTACATACGTGCTTTTTCTACCTACAATGTTTTGTCTTGTTGCGACTGGATTATGCCATGCTTGCAGTATTGCAGTGTCTGGTGCACCCACGACTTTCGGCGTCCCGAGGGTTGAATTCTCAGACACGCTAAAGGATGGCGAGGTGCGAGGGTAGGTATGTACTACTGCAGGTGAGGTATTGTTGCTATGCTCTCTCTCCCTACACCTGGGGCCGAAGCCTGTTGCCCTTGCTCTGGACATTTAGAGATCCTTCTCTGCGTGCTCAGGCATTCCTAGCTGCTTTAGGAGGTCAGGTACATAGGTATAGTCTATCGGCTTGAAGATTGAGATGTGCTCTGCGCGGCCCCCAGTACAGCATGACGGGACCTGCCCTACCCACGTCATTGCATCATCACCAACACTGCTTGTTCTCACCAAAGGGCGCTCGTGTGTGTATCTATCTATGCTTGATGGTATTATAGTCTGAGGTTCCTGGCCGTATTGAACCTTCAATTGCCCAGGCTGAGGCTTGGCAGGAGCCTCCATGTGTGTGTCACTGTTGTCACCGTCGCTGTCCTTACGTCACGACTTCAGATCCATTCCAAGGTCGCTTTGAGCTGTCAGCGTAGATCGATGGATCTGCTCTTGTTGAGATCTGGGGATCTCTGTCGTCTTGCCTGGCTTCTCGATCGAGTGGGGGATGCCGGTCCTGAGCTCGCTCGCTTTAAGAAGGATCGCCTCAAGCCCTTGTTTTCGTCGCGGCGCAGCGAGCTGTTCTATTCTGTTCCCTGCGCCTGGTGCCCAACTCGATACCCAGTTCACGTCCATCAGAAGCTTCGCAGCGAAGCATTCAAGACCTTCGATAATGTCCAAGAGGAACGAGCCAGCTCATCCCGAGCAAAAGCACCCCACCACCAAGCGGGCTAAAGAGATCGATGCGCACACTCCCTATGAGGAGTTGACGGCTCTTCTTGCAGACCAGGAGTCCCCCAGCGACACCAGGAGAGTCCTGCATTGGTTCCGGAGCAAAGACCTACGCATCCACGACAACCGTGCATTGAACGCGGCTTCTCAGTCGGCCAACGAGTCCCAAGCTCCATTGCTGTGCGTCTACATCAATTGCCCAGCTGAGTTCAGATGGCATGGCACTTCACCAGCCAGAACGGACTTCATCTTTGAAAATCTCGCGCTCATGAAGACTGAGCTCGACGCGTTGGACATTCCTTTGGTCTTCCTGGAAGCCGGTGAACGTGACGAGATCGCCCCAGCCATCGTCAACTTTGTGCGCGACAACGACATCTCGCATGTGTACGCAAACTACGAGTACGAGGTCGACGAATTACGCCGCGACATTAGGGTTTTCAAGGAGGCCACTGCTGGAAACTCCAAGTCCAAGGGATTTCATCTTTCTCTGCATCATGACCAGACGGTGGTGGAGCCGGGCACCATCCTCACAGACAGTGGAAAGGCCATGAAGGTATTCACACCATACCACAGGGCATGGCTCGCCGAAGTCAAGGCAAATCCGGGTCTTCTTGACACTGTCCCCGCGCCTTCGAAGAACTCTTCCGAATCAAAGAAAGCTCTGAATCAGTTCTTTGACAGTCCCGTCCCCAGCCCACCCAAGGAAAAGCAATTTGCCAGTAATGAGGAGAGGGGACGGATCCGTAAGCTCTGGCCCGCAGGTCACGATGCTGCTGTGAAGCGACTCAATCACTTCCTGGACGACAAGATCGCCGACTACGCGGCGACACGATCCAATCCGGCAAAGGACTCTACGTCTCGGCTCTCTGCATATTTCAGTGCGGGAGTTCTCTCGGTTCGCGAAGCCCTCAAAGCAGTAAGCAAGCGAAATAACAACTCCACCGATTTCTCCAAGGAAGGCTGCGACCCCGGCATGTCTGGCTGGGTCCGCGAAATCGTGTTCAGGGAGCTGTATCGGCAGACTCTGCTCCAGACTCCTCACACGTCTATGAATCTACCACAGAACCTCAAGTTCGAATTTGTGGACTGGGAGGACGACGAGGAAGGGTATAAACGCTGGGAAGAGGGCACCTTGGGTGTTCCCTTCGTGGACGCCGGCATGCGGCAAATCAAACACGAGGCGTACATGCACAACCGCCTCCGCATGAACGTCTCGAGCTACTTGTACTGCAACCTGCTCATCGACTATAGGCGGGGAGAGCGATACTTTGCGGAGACATTGATCGATTGGGATCTCAGCAACAACACGCAAGGCTGGGAACCGAGCTACACCGTGTTCAACCCTGTCTCCCAGGCCGAGAGGAACGATCCCGAGGGCGAGTACATCCGCAAGTGGATCCCAGAGTTGAAGGATGTCAAGGGGAAGGCCATCTTTGATCCGTATCACCGTATGGACAAGCAGGAATTTGAGAAGCTGGGGTACCCCAAGCCGTATGTGGACTGGCAGGAGACGAAGCAGAGGGCGATCGAAAGGTTCAAATCGGACATGAAGGATGCTGAGCCCTGAGCAGTACGACATCGGCATCAAGGTTGTCCCTGTTCTTGCATGGTTGAACACGAAAGCCTTCAGGAACACGCAATGTGTTGGATGTGCTTCCTTTGTTGATAACATCGTTCATTCACAAGGTGGCTGTCATATCCATCCTCTGTGACGGTCGTTGTCTTCACTCCTCAATATCGCTACAGCTTGTCACCATCGACAATAGCCGCCTAGAGTTGTTGAGATGTAGTGAATAACGGACACCAGGTGGAGTAGTTTCATCCTATACATATCTGTCTCTCTGGTTCTTGTTCCGTACTGTTGAACACCTCGTTCATTTCTTTCTGTGTGGCTTGATGTCCATCACTTCATTCGCATCATTGGACCTTGAATAAGGAAGCCCTAGACAACACCTGCGATCTATTCCTTCGCGGCGACCTCCGGTTCAAATATATGTGTCTATGTGTGGCAAAGAGGAGGGCGCCTCCCCCGTGAACACGTTGCTGTGACTGCCCACACGGTTGCCGCCCGCCTCTTCATACCCATCGCGACATCACTTCACATCCAACAGGTCAGGCAGCTTCAAAAAGATCTCAAAACCCGCCAAGTAACGCCGGGCTTGTTACCATCCACGGTGGGATTTATTTCGCCCTCGGGGAGATGCCTCCAACGCTGCCTCTCCTTCGCCAACCGACCACCAGAGACATCCGCGAACAACTCCATCGGCTGGAGGTGGTAGCGCAAGAACTCCAGACCGAACGCACCAACCTCGAACACCAACTCAGAAGCGTCCACGAGAGAACCACCTTCAACGACGCCCAAATCCGTCACATCATGGCCGAGCTCGACGAGAGACTGTTCAAGGAACATCGTTCCCATAGCCAGCCGGACTTTCGACGCGGTGTCATTGCAAATGACATTGTCATCGACGGTATCTGCGCTCAGATGCGAGTGAACCCACAGTTGAAGACCGCGGTTGAGGCCATCAGCAAGAATTCGGGGACGGTTGCCGACAACAACCTCCTCCTCATGGCGATATTGAACCAGCTGAGCGGCGACCCCTATCACTTCGCTCATCATCTCGCCCTCCGGGTCGTCGAGTACGATCAAGTCAAGGAGAAAGAACGTCAAAAACTCCCTCTTCTTCCCCTCGTCACCTCTGACTTACCTGCGTCTGTCAACCCGTACCTGATCGCCACCGGTGCCGAACACGCGAGCACCCAAGCAGCCAGAGGCCCATCAGTCATTCCATTGCTCTCGCCCTCCATCAAGTCCGAGCCTAATTCCACTGCGAATCCTTACAACGGTGCAAGTACTCTACCAAATGGCACTGCCTCTGGCCTGGACGACAACCCAAGCCGCGTCTCTGCGCTGGTTACTGCAGTCCCCCTAGCAGATCAAGGAAGAATCGTCGCGCACGGAATGTCAACCCTTCAGAAGAATTTCCCTGGCCTTCTTGAGTCCATGAGCAAACCTGTCATGCCGCCCCGCATCAAACCCACCCCTCCGGCGGCTGGTGCTGGTGCTCCTGCAGTGGCCGGGGCGAAGCGTAGCGATCCAAGCCCAAGTCCGGGTGTAGTCAGACCAGGCAAGAAGGCCAGACTCGAAAAGGAAGCAGGTAAGCCATATCTCTCAGGGCCGGTGGACAATGCTGATTTGATAAAAGCCATCGCCCACACGTTCGTCTTGTTCATGAAGCAGCTCGAACAACTCCATCAGGGCAGCCAAGCCATAACGGACTGCCTCAAATGCTCTCGTTGCCTGGTCATCAAGCGCGACGTTCGGGTCCTCAACTGCCTGCATCTGTACTGCCATCGCTGCATCCTTCAGCTCCGAACCGAAGCGGCCAAGGGTGACCCGATCCGAGGCTTCAACTCGTTCTGTGTGAAGCCTGACTGCAAGCAAGTCGTCAGTGGCAAGACTACTGTCATCGATCCCGAGATCATGGACTTCTTGCAATGGTACGATAAACAGCCCGCTGGCATTACCTCGCTTCCGGCGCAACTCAACGTGCTCTGTGCTGCGGCGGCCAAGTACCCCGAGGACGACGAAATCAAGCACAAATGGGAACAGGCGCAGTTGCAATACAACGCTCTTCGAGCTGGCAATGCACTGGATATGCCATGTGACCTCATGCAGATGGCGAAGCTGGTGAGGAAGCCTTACTGAACAACGCGAAACAAAATGGAGATGTGGGAACGGGGTTGGGGGAGCGGGAGGACGCTTTAGGGGTGCCGTCGACATCTCCGACATGTCAACATTGTGGTCATAATTTGACAAAGCGAAAGATTCCCCGCGATTTGGATGGCGATGCTACCCACGATGGCGGCGGAGGGAGTCAAGCTCTTGGGTCGATGGCTCCATTGTCATTGAGTTTTGGAAAAAAAGGCCTGCGGGCGAGCTTTCTATTCATCGGGTTCATTTCGGCACATTGGAGGGAAACATGGCGGAGACACACGCCCCAGGAGCAACGACGTTCAGGTTCAAGATATCGCTTTTGCCAGACACGCTTGGTCCCAGACATCCACTCCGACACACAACGTTGGATGATGCTCTCCCTGGCACTGGCACAGAGGCTGATGCAGCGTCTGCCTGCCGGACTCCTACCTAGATAAACGGTGAAAAGGGCGGCGGTTGCTGCACCACTCACCACTCTCTTCAGGATAATCAAGTAGAAAACAAAGCATCTTTTTGTATTCGGGTTTTCTCTAGTCTTGCAAAGATACAGCGCGCAATCATGCAGTTTGGTTCCCACGCAGATCGGTAGGCGGGCAGTCAATCAACTAACTGTCTGTCTGCGCAACGTGCGACGCGGATTGTCCACAGCAGCTTCACAAAAGATTCCATGTTGCCCGATCCCGGATCAAACGGGCCAAACGGGGCCAAAAGAGCTGCACCACCCTCCTCAAAAGCCGGGTTTTCTTGTAGATCAACATGTGTAGGAGACTCAAGAGACACCGGAAGGGCAGGGGGGAGGGGGAGACAGATGCCCCCCACTGTTGTTGTTCCAAGACTCGAAAGTGGCCACGATTTCCTTGCAAGTGATGCATTCGATGATAATACAACCGGAGCCCTGCGTGCGTGTTCCGACACATGCCACAGTAATGGAACTTTTCCTCCTTCTCCTCCGCAGCCGCATCCCGACCAAAATTTATGTGATTCCGCGCGCCTTTCTTTCCCAGGGTCTATGTAAAATTTTGGGGAAGGGGGGGGGAGTTGTTCCTCCCTTCACCATCCCTGCTTCCTCATCTTCCGGATCGTGGCCAACTCGCTCCGGAACCCTTCCATGAACAGCCGGCGCCAGCGCAGGATGCGGACGTTCTTCCTCCGCTGGCCGCGGCGGACGTGCTTCTCCTGGCTCCGCATGTCGGCCTTGACGCTGTTGTCGTGGCACTTGCGCTCGAGCAGGCGGAAGCCGCGCGTCGGGTCGCCGTAGATGCCGTCCACGGTGCGGCCCAGCGTCGGGCGCAGGCGCAGCGCGATCGGCGGCAGCGCCGACGACGAGTAGATGTCGTCGTGCAGGTCGGACAGGAGCGTCGAGGTCGAGGTCGAGGTCGGGGCGCCGTTGTTGCCCGGTGTCGAGGAGGACCGCTGGGCCGCGGCGTTCTGGTTCCGCGCGGTGCCCAGCAGCTGGTCCCAGCGGGAGGCGACGGTCTCTTTCCTCTTGGGCTCCGGCGCGCGGGTCTCGCGGATCAGGTCCATCAGTTGGTTCCTCATCGTGTTGGGAGCGGAGGTGTTGTTGGGCTTCCTGGAAGGTCTCGAGTTCGAGGAAGGCGGAGCCCGGTCCTGGGATCGGGGAGCCGTGGAGCAGAGCTGTCTCGCGTGTCTTCGCAGTGTAGGCTGGATGGCATCTTGAAGGGGTGACCTCGGGTAGCTCGAGGAGATGAAGAGGCGTGGTGATGATCTGCCGGGGGACAAAGCACAACGTGCACAGCTCTGTAGCGATTGAGATGTCTTCATTGTTGCGGAGTTGCGTGCTATCTGGTGCAAGGAAAGTGGCACCATGCACGTCCCCGTGCAGAAAAGGCCTCAAGAGAAGAAGCGTAGCAGAGAGGCAGTGCGTGGGTGATCTAGTGTGCAGATGGACAATTATTCAATTGAAAGCAGAGGCTGCAATCTCAGAGCTCGGCGACGCAGAATCGCCAGCCAATCGCATTCGAGCTTCTGCGGACCGAGATCCAGCGCAGACACCAGAGTGAGAGAGTGACGAGCCATTCTCCCCCTCTCGATCTCGTTTCAACAACATAAACAGAACACGAGCAGCCTGGGAATAGGCATCGTTGATGAACTGTCAGTCTGTTTGCGTTGATGCACTGCGTTTGCCACGAACATTCAAACAACTGGTCAGCGGCCCCCTCTATTCCCCTGCGCCGCGCAGAATGTCTTCGAACGCCAACCTGATCACGCTCTCTTCGCTCAAATATGTCCACCCCGCGACCTTGGGTCCGCTCCTGCTCGATCCTACGGAGAAGGCTAAGGTCGCCGTAATCGATGTCCGTGACTCCGACCATATTGGTGGCAACATCCACGGCAGCACCTGGGTGCCCCTGCACCAGCTGGAAGTGAAAATGCCCGAACTGCTGCGGACGCTGAGGGACAAGGAAAAGGTCATCTTCCACTGCATGTTGAGCCAGCAGAGAGGGCCGAAGGCGGCCTTGGCATACGCGCGGGCGAAGCAGAGGGCGGACGCCAAAGAGGCCCGTGAGCAGACGCAATCAAAAGAAGAGGCGGGAGATAGCACCGAGCAGGAGAAGAAGGAATCGTCGCCTGCGCAGGAGGTTTGCGTCCTGGAGGGCGGATTCGGCTCCTGGCAAGCGCGTTTCGGCGAGGATCCCAGACTCACAGCAGATTATCAGCCGGACCTGTGGTTCTGATCTGAAGACAGGCCGTCTCTTGATTTTGTGGTTGAAACGAGCCAACCCGATGTGTTTAATGTCTGTCAGCCTGCAGGCGGAGAGGAGATTTCGTCCCTGCGACTGGTCTTCAGCCCTCGAGCGGAAGTGCTCCCTGCTTCGGGAATTGGAAGAGGAGACCTGCCGATATCAGACAGTCCGTGACTGCCATTCAGCATTGCCACTGGCTCTCTATCTATAGATGGGATACAGATCCAGAGAGCTGGATCTTGGAGCTGTGGATGCATAGACGGTGATAACCTGCAGCAACACATGGCCATCCATTTGCGCAGTTTCGTCACCCTTGAAGTACGGGTCTCATTCGTGAGCATGGTATTGCCCTTGACGTTTCCCTCGCTATGTGTGGAAAAGGGAATAAATATCCGCGGCGTCATAAGGGCCGCTATGCATTAGAGTGTCCAATTGACAGAACGTGGCACGTTACGCCCCCCATGTGTCCAACCCAAATAGCTACAGATCATGAACCTGGTACATCGCAGTAAAGTCGGAAACGCTGCCTTGATCCCCGCCCCTGTAGTTACACCCTTTTGCTCGCGGTTTGCTTGAGCTCCATTTCGGTATTCTCGTGATGCTTGTGCTTGACGCGACACATGGACCGAACGCCCAGGACTGCAAGCCAGAAATTCCCCTGAGGCTCGTCTGGAGCGAGTTGGTATAGCAAATCGCTCTCCCAGCTGATGTTGTTGTACACGTTCATAATGCAGACGACCGTTTCGAGAATCCAAACGATCAAGAAGATAATCCAGTACGCCTGGCTGGAGGCTTTGCCGCGAAAACGATACGCGACCGCCCAGGTAACCATGCCGATCAGTGCAGTTGGCTGAGAAGTCAGTCAAAAGGAAAAGGGAACACGAGGTTGCTTACTCACAGCACATAGTCTTTGGAATCTACAAGCGAGATTGAGGTAGGCCATCCGATCTGCGATGGTATTGCGGGGAGCGGTCGCCATCATCCAGCATGTTTGAAGGAAAGCCATCCTGTTCAGACGCCAACCTGTCAGATAAAGCTGCGGCGGAAAAGAGATTGATCGAGGATGCGGAGGCTACTCACCAATGCATGGCAAGAAATGGTGTAATGGTACCAATGAACGCATGGCTCTGTGCTCCATAGAGAGACCCCAAGCATGCAGCAGCGATTTCCAGGCACCATGAGCAGATGGCCAGGAAGTAGAAGATGGTATATTCTTCGATGCGAGCTAACGGGCCTCCAGTCCTGAATGGTAAGGCCTGTGGCTCGTCCTCGCATGGGTTATCGATGGGTTTCGCCATCTCGACACAGTCAGGACCGCGTAACCGGACAGCGTTCTCAAGTGTGTCCGGTTCCTAGCAACGGCGGACGGGGAAGGATGAAGATAGGAGGCAGACGAGGCCAAGCCGCAGACGGTCTGTTAGATGGCGATGGCGGCTGTCAACAGTCGATATTGCTGCCGGATCGCAGAATTGGATGTGTTGATGCTGTTCGGAGGACGTGGCTGTGACGATGATGATGATCCGTGGTGATCCGCCCAAAACAAGGAACGGCACCAAGACTCCAGACTGGGCGGCGCTACGTAGAAGCGCAGAGGCGTAGAAGCGTAGAAGCGGCGAGCATCTTCTCCGGCAGATATTCGGCTAATCCCCGGCTGTTCAAGTGAACTGCCAGTCCGCCTCGTGTGAGGTTCTTGGAGGCTTCTTCACCTTGAATTGTTTTTGTATCTTGTCGACAACAAGACACGTCGTCCACAACACATCTCACGCGCCATGGCGACGCCGACAAAGACCTTCCCTATATGTGGTGTGACATATGTGGGACAAATCGAGCACGAGTATATGCACGGCAAGAAGCTGTCGGTTTGTGCAAACTGCCTGGCCCTTGGATTTCAGAAGCCTCTGAGACGATGCAATGGCTGTTTGTTGGTCGACTACTGCTCCAAAGAGTAAGACACCGTATATGCTCACAGCGTGAATGTACTGACTCGCTGATAGATGTCAAAAAGCCCACTGGCGTAAGCACAAGGCATTTTGCAACATGGTCCAGGGCAAAGGAGACCCCAACGCCTACCTCTCGTCCTATAGCCATGACGAAGCTCTGCGACTCATCATTGATGCCTACCGGTTAAGAGTCGAGACAGACCACTTATCCCGAGACGAGGACCACGGCATTTATTACCCAGGAAAACCAATCGACAGGTTGGTCTGGGCCAAGGGCGACGGTGAGCACATCTTCCCTAATGTTCTCATGGGCGTAGCTGATTTCATCGAACATAGCCATTGATGACTTCCAGCGATTTCTCGATTTGGCGGAAACTGCGAAAATCTTACCAAAATGGTGGACGTTTGAGGATCGGATGCAGTGCCTTTCCCTGGCAATTGACAAGAATGATCCCGAGTCCATATTTCACCCGATCAATCAGACTGAGCTTCCCCAGCGGTATGAAGGCGACATGGCCATCCGGTTGGCGCTCGCCATCCTTGCCGAGATGTGTGTCGGATATGATGGCAAGGGGCCGGCCCAGGATAACACTTGGTTCCAGGAGTTCCAGGAATTCCTCGACCTCCACCCAGAGGAACGAGCCCGCTTGATTAGAGGAAGTATTGAAATGGTCGACTCGGTGCTGAAAGAACATGGAGAAGAGTTCACAAAGCTGACTTGACCACCGGAGAGGAAGTCCTTTCTGTGGTCCATAGTTAAGCGATGAGAAGCTCGAGATGGAGTTTGTATATATATCTATGGTAGTCAACCACAGAAGAAAAGAAGTGCGACTGCGGTGGTAGCGGAGATTGGGAATACCTTGTTGACGGTGAGTTGACGGCGCCTGATGTTGGGGCGATACTGACTGAAGCTAGAGGTTCGGCCTTGGAACCGTCCTCGGGTTGTATGGTGCCGTGGGTGTGGCAGTTTCTTCGTTGTTCTCAAAAGCGATGGCTTCTTTCCCACTGGCCTCCTTCCTTCCCGACTTGAACATCTCAAAATCCGCAACCACCCACTACCTTCGTCATCGACAATTCTGATACCGCATCATGGCGAGCCACCAACTTGGTAGAATGGCAGAGACAATCACCATATCTGTCGCTGAGTACGAGTCCTTGGTGAGTATCTACTCCTTCCAGTCGCTCTGACAGTCAAAGACGCACGCATCTCTAACAGCAAGCGACAGATCGAAACAGGACATAAATTTCTTGCCCTGAAGCACGCATTGCTGGCAGGAGGAGTTAGCACCGAGACATTGGACGTCTTGACCAGCGGCGATTGTCCACAGACGGCCCCGGATGAAGAGTTCAATTCAGCCAATGTCCGCGTCAACGAGCCAACCCAAGACGGCGCTCAACACGTCGCTTATTCACAGAAACCTTTCGAATCCGGATTCCCTTCACCTCTTACACCTGAATACACCGAGGAAGATGACGCACAAGAGGAGGTATCAGGAGAATCGAACGAGCAGACTGGTGATGCTATCACGACCGCAAAACGGTCACTGACAATTTCCGGGCTATCGCCCGCCACGACCCTCCAAAGCCTCGCTCAGGTTCTCAAAGGTGGTGCCATCTTACAAATGTACATGCGACCCCAACACGGCTCGGCCCATGTCAGCTTCGTGGATCCAACTGCAGCACACAACTTTCTTCGCTATGCACGGACAAATGACATCTCCATCGGGAGAAAGAAGGCGAGCAGAAACCGAACACCGATTGGCATTGCAAGTTACTAACATTATTCAGGTGAAAGTAGCATGGGAGAACCGACAAACTCAGATGTCCCCAAGCTTTGCCAAAATCGTCCAGTCGCTCGGCCGAACTCGCAACCTGGTTATTCGCTTTGTGCACCCAGAATTGAATGAAGATATCATTCGAGCAGATCTCGACCACATCCATTACTTGGAAGTTGTCGACCTCTTCTTCAAAAAAGGCCATGCCTATATATCTCTCAACAGCATTCGATCGGCTATAACGGCAAGGAGCTGCCTGATGTCGCGCCTCAAGTACAAGAGGTTCCAGATTGATTTCCATCAAGACGATTGTGCCCAACCGCTGCCACAAAAGCCCTCAGCGACCGAGCCGGTCGCATTCTCGCACAAAAATCCCTTCCAACTGCTCTTCGATGCATCCGAAGAGTCCCAAGAGTTCTCAAACGCGGTCGATCGTTGACACTACCGGCACAATAGCCTAGTCGAAGCTAGGATTAGGAGGATGACACGTGTTGAAGGCATTTCTTTTCACTGATCGTGGTGGAGATTTCTATGTTGTGACCTGCGAGGGTTGGTGCGAAGCGAATCATTGAGAGGGGCATCAGAGTCACTGAGAGACTAGGAGAGCTTAATGCCATCAGCAGGTACGCGGCACATCTATGAGTACCCTTCGCGGTAGTGTATCTTGAGTTGACTCTTAATGCATCAATTCAAATCCGTCATAATCCTCATGGCTGTACTCATATTCGTTTTCATTTCTCGTGGCTATAACCATAGTGCCAGTCCTCCCTTTTCAAATCCTCTCTTATCTTGTAGTTCTCCTCAGCCACGTCGACCGTTCTCATATCACACTCCACAATCTTCATCCCCGGCTCTCCATCCTCGAACGATCCGGGAACTTTCCCAACAAGGGGCAGCACGACTTGACTTAACCCAGCGTAGCCCTCTGATTTCGGACCCCCTACATTGACGAAGATAATGGCACAGGTGTTCTCAAAGGATCTCGTGATAAGGGCAGAGCTCAAAAATTGAATGTCCACATCTGGTCCGTACGCTCTCCCTTCGGGTGTTAGATCGTCTCTCGTCCAGAAGGTGGGAATGATGATCAGGCGTGCACCCTGACGGACCAAAGCACGGCAGGCTTCGGGAAACGCTAGGTCCCAGCATATCACGATGCCGAGAGGGCCGAGGGGAGTTTCTATAATTGAGTGGGGGTTCAGTGGAGGAGGAGGTCCTTCTTCAGTCGATAGATGATGCTGAGTCGCCTTGACGGAGGCCGGGCCTGATGTGAGCACTGTGCGTTCCGGGATCCATAAGTTGGCTTTCGTGTAGCTTCCCAAGAGCTCGCCCGTGTAGGAGATGAAAGGGGCAATGTTGAGGAGAACGGGCGGCTTTTGGGGGTCGGCGGACGTTCCGTTGCTGGTTGCGGGAGGCGGTGATTTTGGGTCGATGGTGACGATAGTCCCTGGAACGATATTGATCTTTAACTCACGAGCCAGAGCTTGATACTTGGGCACGTATTGGTAAGCGGTTTGGGCGACCACGGCGAACTGTGGATCTTCCGGGACCCATGATGTTAGGTGGTACTCCGGCAGCACTGCCAGCGAGGCTCCTTGTGCAGCGGCATCGCGGATATGAGCTGATGCAGCAGAAAAGTTGTATTCCAAGTCAAGAGGCTGGTTGTCGAGGTCAGCATTCTATCGTGCACAGATCCATTGTTGCTGTTGATAAGAAAGGGACCATACTTTGGGATGAAGCTGGATCAGCGCGACTTTGAATGTCTGTGAGAATGATTCATAGGATGTCGCCATGATATTTTATCTTCATACCAAGAATTGGGTCAAAGGAAACTCAGTGTAATTCGTCTTTATGACAGCGACCGCATGGCAGGAAGTTGGCAGTCTTGACGAGGCTTCGGATTGAGGTCCCTGCACCAGAACGTCATGGAGACAAGGCTGCGCTAATCCCAATGTAGATTTTGAATCAAGCCCACACATCTTTCTCAATTCTCCAAACCTCGAGGTGACCACCAAATTTTATTTCCACCGATCACAATAGTATCGGGGCAGGTGTTGGCACGGAAGCACTGTGCATGGACTCCCTGTTCTCCCTAACTCCCTCGCCTACGGTCATCCCCTCTGCCTGAAACAAAATACCCTCTTCGAAGAATTCTTCCCTCTGCCACAATGTCCTACACTAACGGCAACGCATTCCCGGACGAGGATGTGGAGGAAGAAACCCTCGTGGCGGACTATCAAGAGCAAGTGAACAACTATGATGATGAGGGCGCGGACCTGGAGCGCGGAGATTCGATCATCAGTGGTGGACCAGCCGATCTGCGAGCGCAACTCGAAGCTGCCGCTGCTCCTTTGGAGTTCCAAGCGAGTCTGGAGACCAAGTGAGTTGCCTAGTATATTCCCCTTGACACGAGAATGATTGACGTTGTTGGGCTGCATCGCTCTGAGCATGCACGGGACTAACAGTGCATGCGCAGATTCCAAAGCTATGACAACTACTGCTCGCTTTTCCACTACATCCTCAACTCCGATGGCCCTGTCGAAATCGAGACACCCTCTTACTATTGGGCTTGGGACGTAATCGATGAATTCATCTACCAATTCGAATCCTTCTGCCGCTATCGCAACCGAGTGGCCCGCACTGCGCCTACTGAAGAAGAAGCACAAATCCTGCGGGACAATCCCAACACATGGGGCTGCTACAGCGTTCTTAACGTCCTGTACTCATTGATCCAACGCTCGCAGATCAACGAACAGCTTGCCGCCACGAAGAGAGGCGAAGACCCCATGGCTGTAGCGGGGGAGTATGGCTCGCGCCCACTCTACCGCATGCTGGGATATTTCTCCATCATCGGCCTTTTGCGGGTGCACTGCCTCCTCGGAGACTTCAGTCTCGCTCTGAAGACCCTGGACGACATCGAGATGAACAAGAAAGCCATGTTCGCCCGCGTCATGGCTGCGCATCTGAACACATACTATTATGTAGGCTTTTCTTACATGATGCTCCGCCGCTATGCGGACGCCGTGCGCATGTTCAGCCACATCCTGGTATATGTGTCTCGCACCAAGAATTTCCAAAAGGGACCCAATCAAGGGCAATTCGACGCCATCGCGAAGAAGACTGAGCAGATGTACGCCCTCATCGCTATCTGCGTGTCCTTTGCGCCCACACGCCTGGACGACTCCATCCATACGGCCCTCCGCGAAAAATACGGCGAGAAGTTCGCCAAACTGCAACGTGGCGGCACGGAGAGCTTGCCGATCTTCAAGGAATTGTTCCAGTCCGCATGTCCGAAGTTCATCAGCCCTACACCGCCGGACTTCGATAACCCTTCGCTCAACATCGACCCTGTCGACCACCACACCGAGATCTTCATGGACGAAGTCCGCAACACTCTCTTCAACCCGCTGATCAAGTCGTATCTGAAACTCTACACGACAATGAGCATTCAAAAACTCGCCGGCTTTTTGGAAGTCGAGCCCGAAAAGCTCCGCAGCTGGCTACTCGTGAACAAGCAGCGAAGCTGCCGGCAGATCCGCTGGACCGAAGGTGGGTTGCTGGAAGGCGAGATCGTGGGTGTCCTAGGCAACGGAAGTTCCGAGGGGTTGGATTATGCCATTGAGGGCGACTTGATCCACATCAGTGAGGCGAAGCAGGGGAGGCGGCTGGTGGACTGGTACCTGAGAAATCTGGCGAGGTCCTACTAAAGCGTGGAGAAAGACAAAAGTGAGATTGCTGGGACCAAAAATGGGCGACGAGACAGGTCACAGCTTGTGGGGAGGGAAACTTTGGGTTGTTCACGACTGGTGCTAAGCCAGGGCGTGCGCCGGGAGCACGAAAGGATCGATCCGTCGCTAAAGATGCCATGGATAGATGGCGCCAAAAACAAGGGACATCCACGAGCTTGCCTGGAAGTCTTTTCGAAATCGAAATCAAGCTGATGTCGATGCAACGCCCTCTTGGAACCAGCCAAGAAAGACCAAATCAGGGATTCGTCACTGCGGTGAAGGTTGAGAGATCATCGAACACGAAGCGAATAGTACAACGCAGCAGCGTCCCTTGTTCTAAGTGCTGCGCAAAACGGCCCATGCACGATGAGACAAAAGTACCGCATGTTGGGGTCTAGAGGCAAATATGCTTTGCCAGAATTTGATTGCGTTTGGCTTTTGATTTTGCTCCCAGTTCCATTTTTTCTTCTTGGAGTCCCCTGTGGCTGTTTCCCAAACGCAGTCGCTCCCCGTCAAATCTTACAAGGGTGGTGAATAAATTGGAATGCATCAATCGTCCCGCATATCTTCGTCCTCCCCAAAGCCGTCTTCCTCCGGCTCCCTGTCTCCGCCCCTGTCCCTTACGGCTGCACTTCCATTGGTCGGGGGAGGCGTATTCCTGTCGTCGGCGCGGTCTTTGCGAGGAGCTCCGTTCACGCTCACCTCCGCGGTCTCCCCGCCCTCGACTTCCGCCATACTGACATCCTGTGCTCCTTCATGCAGCTCGCCCTGTTCCTGCAAAATCATGTCTGCATGTTCCGCCTCTTCCTCTGCCTGCGCTTCCCGAGTCAGTTCTTCAAATTCATCCTTGAAGGACGCGTCGTAATCTCCTCTAAATTCGGCGCGAGATCGTCTTTCTTTTGCGTTGGGCTCTTTGAACAGGACCATGACTTGGTCGGGGATATCGTCTTCCGCATGGCTGTTACGCGTTTTGGAGAGATTACCTCTGTCGGCTCTCATTTTCACGCGTTCGAGGATCGGATAGTAGTACGCGGCGTTACCTTGCTTGCGGAAGCGGGAATGGCGGGAAAGGTTGTTGGCATCGACTAGTGACAAAGCCATGATGCGATGAGGGTCGACTGTATCTTGGGTGGCTTTTGGATAGACACGGACGCGTTCAAAGGGTAGACGTAACGAGCCGTCGGCGGATTCTTCAAGAAGTGGTTCGATGAGGGTGGGATCATCCTTTCGAGGATTTGAATCATCAAAGAGCTGCCGAATGCGCGAGGTCGAGTCTGGTTGTTTGGGGACGGAGAGAGACCATGTGTATGGCTCGGGTCCGGGATCTGCGAACTTTTCGGGATCTCTCTCGAAGGCTTCTTTTGCTGCCCGCCACGCTGGCATCAAATCTGCATTCTCCGAGGCCATTAGCAAGCCAACGTCGATACGATCGTCCCTTCTGCCTCTATATGGGGGTAATGGTGGCTTGTCGAACTTGAGGGCTTGCCAATTCGAAGCCATGTCTGTGCCGGTCTCAAGATCGGGGATAATGGGATAAAATTCCACAGGCTTGAGTCTGGGATTATCAGGATGGACGGGATTTCTCCAGGCTTCTCGCTCCTGGGGAGTGATGGGATTTGCTTTAGCCTCCGGAGGGTTGAAGGGGATACTATCCGGATAGGCGAGGTCGAAGCCCTTTTGGATTTGTCGCTTGATATTTTCTGGATCATCTCGGGTGACAGGCACAGGCGGCGCTTTGGGCATCTGGGGTTTCTGAGCTCGAGGGGTCCCTCGCACGAATGCATCATTTGCTCGAGCAATTTGCGAAGAGGTCATGTACTGTGTCTTGCGTAAAAATGAGACGTTGTTCTTTGCGCCCTGGCTCTTCAATTGATCCAGCGACATCAGCAAAGCTTGGTCGGCAGGGTCTAGCACAGGTTGGACTTCGGGAGCCATGATTGCGCTTTCGTCACCAAGGAAGTAGCCTGGGACACCGATCATATCTATAGGCATCCCGCCTTCGGCGTCCACTTCAATATTTGGTTCTTCTCGCTTTGCCAGGCCTGACGCATAACTTGTTGTGAGGTATTGAGCCAGACCACCGGTGTCAATATCTAGGACTGCAACCGTATGTCAGCTGGAACAAATCAGGCTTGCAAGGGCATTTTCAGCTTACACTTCGGAGGCATAGGAGGCGGAGGCAGATCGTTTCGATAACGTATCGAAACGACCATGTCCTGCTTGAAGCCCTTGGTTTCTGCCATCTTGACTGGTGTCTTTTGTAGATCGGACGCGGAGGCAGGGCGACGGTATGCGAAGGAGGAGGCGAGGCCACAGGTTGAGGTGGTGCGCAAAGGATCGTGCCCTCACGAACAAAACGGCATCCTTGTGTTCGTCAATGGTGCAGCGAACAGATATTGCGTGCTAGGTTATTTGTTGTCCAAGCGCAGTCTGTTCTCGTTTGAAGTTAATGCTGGTTGTGGATGAAATCTCCAAATCGCGCTGGGGAAAGTTGCGGCCGAAGTCGATAGCGAATGGAAGTGGAGCAATTCAAGCAAAGCGAACCCTTCATTGTCGCCGCGCAGCTTGGGTCCCGTTCATGATTCTCTTCCGATTTTCACTCCCAACTTCACCAGGCTCACAACCAGAGTCTTCTGCATTCACCACTTATTAGCTCTCTGTTTCGTTCAGGCTTCAGTTGTGCTTGACGAAGAATGGGTTGGTTCTGGGCTGACGCACCGAAAGCGAGCGCACCTTCTGCGCCGCAACACTCCGCCGCCGCTCCTCCGGTATGCTATGCACCTCTCCATACACGATGGTCGAAAAGGACTAACTCCCCCTCAAGCCAGGATGTCCTATGCATCAATCAGACACCGGGAATCCCACGCCTTTCCCTCCGCGGCTCGATCCGTCGACATCAACTCCTTCATCATGCCCAGTTAAATCTCCAAACCATCCGCTGAGATATCAACCTTCAGAATCGTCGAGTCAATCTCAATCTTCTGAACAAAGGCCTCAGCAACCCTCCTCTTCCACCCTATCCAAACTTAACCCTTTAAATTACATGCCCTCCCTTTCCAATAGCCGCCCGGCCGACTCCCCTCAATCAATACATTTGCCTCTTGACCGGGAACTCTCCTCGATTCCGCGCAGCGATTCGCAGGCGAATTGGGAATACCCCTCCCCACAGCAGATGTACAACGCAATGCTTCGCAAGGGCTATACCGATACTCCTGCGGAACATGTCGAGGCAATGGTCGCCGTGCACAATTTCTTGAACGAGGGAGCATGGGCGGAGATAGAGGAATGGGAACGGATCTTCTCCGGAGGCTTATGGAAAGGGTGGGAGACTTGTTCGCGTGGTGAACAAGCCATCACTTTAGACCGGGCGAGGCAGGAATACGCCGCTCAACGACGATTGGCGCTGGGGTTAAACCCGGACCCTCAGGAGGATGAGTCGAAACCAAAACTGATCCGGTTCCAAGGTCGTCCGCAAGAACCTTCGCCCAAGGCTCGAATCCTGCGGATGTTGGGCAAAGTCTTCCCCGACCATTTCTCTCAAGATCCTCCCTTTGACCGACACGACTGGTACATCTCCCGGAAGCTCCCCAATGGGTCGACAAAGGAGGTGCGCTACGTTATAGACTACTATGGCGGAGGTGTCGAGCAGGAAACGGGGCAACCTGTCTTCTACTTGGACATCCGCCCTGCATTGGATTCACCGACGGCCGCAGTGGAGAGAGCGATGAGGTGGGGAGGCGACGTGTGGCATCGAGCGTCTGGAGGAGCGGTGAGGGAGGCGGCCGCACAAACAAAGGGAAAGGAAAATGGATCATGATTTATGGCCAAGACGGATTGCCATGATTGAATGACAAGAACCACACGTGGATGTGATTATGGCCGAGTTTGTTTTCTGGAGTCTTTCTCTCACGGGATCCGGGATTGCAACTCCGCGGGAAGTGAGCGGCCTCTGATAATATCTTATGGCATACGTTCTGTGGGGCGCGCATGGAACTTTGCGAATTTGTCTGGCTTTGTACAGGCTTGTATTTGGAGCTTGAGATCCAATGTCGGCCTTGTTCCAGCAGGGCCTTGAACCCTCTCCTCCTCTATAACATAGCGATGTAATAATGTCCTGTAGAATAGATTGTACATGAATGACGGCCATTGTTTATGTCTGTCTACATCTTCTGCGTCAAAGTACTCGGTCTGTTTCCGATTTTGATATTCTGCTCTTTGTGGTCATGATGAATATGGCGAGGTTAGCATAGAGTGGTTAGGTAGCGCGTAAATGGTCGATATCAGGAGAGGTACGGGTTGAAAACACGAGATCTGTTGCCGATAGGGATCCACAAGAGTGTCGGTGGCACCAGATGGTGACCTTGCGGCCCTTCAACCTGGAGGGTTTCACCAGGCCTCACACAGCTCGACAGGTGTGGCCTTTAGCCCATCGAGCCGCCTGGGCCAGGGTCATTGGGCGTTGCGTTGGAGGTGGTGAGTCGAGTCAATGACGTCGCAAACATCGGTCCAGATGCCTTTCCATATCGAAGACTGCAGCCATGGTATGTAGAGCAGCCCGAACATGACCTGTTCGACCTCTTCCCAGGTCAAGAGTCCCGCTTCCCGAGCGACCTGCGCAAGGGACTCCGTGAAGAACCGCTGCTCCGGCTGTTTCAGGGCGTTTTGGACAAAGACGAAGAGAGCCCAGCAGACGACCTTCGCCTCTTCCACGTTCCTGGATCGTTCCCCGTGGAGCCATTTGTCCAACGCCCCTTTCTGATGGTGCGTCAGAGCCCTCCCTAGCCCGGTGGAAGCGAGGATTGTGTGAGGAGCAATAGCGAGCATTCCCAAGCCTGCAAGACGAATTATCCGTTCTAACGCTGGGATTTCTGGTTCATTGGCGCTGTTTCGGGGAAAGATGGTCGTCGCGTAGGGATATGCTAGCAGATCATATTCTAGCTCCGTTGCCTTCTTCCGCAAGCTCAGGGTTTCTGTCCGCGATGGGCTCTGAAAAAGTGAATGGTGCATTTCGCAAAGACGGCAAATATCCTTGGAAGTAGTGAGCAAGGATTTTAAAGGCTGGCTCATTTGCTGTAGCTCCATGAAGTCCTGCCCCAAGCGATTCATGTCAGAAGGAAGATGTTGCTCAGCACGGGATAGAGTCTCTTCAGGCAACGGCTCGCGCATGAACAGGAGCGGAAGGACAGGGCGCACAAGTAGTCCAACCGAAACTTTCACATTTGACAGCGGTAACCACATCAGTGTCTCCTCAGACAGGGTCATCTGCGAAGTTACGCGCTCGAGAATCTTGAGATGTATCCGGGCCTCTGCGAAATTGCCCACAACTGTAGCGGTCGAAATAAGTCCAAAACAGGCCTCAACCATCTGGTCATCTACTTTCTCACGCTGATCGAACGTCCGGCGAACGGCCACCATTGCTTCATTTTTGACTCTGATATAGTCTGGGTCGATGATGAGGTCATCATGGTTGGCATTAGAAGGCGCAAGATCCTCATGTCGGCCGTAGAAAACGGCTCTATGGGCTGCAGTCGTCGCCATGAAGCCAAGGAATGTGGCGGGGTTCGACATCTTGCTATTCATAACCATTTTTTGCCGGGCAAGTTTGTCATGAGCTTGTCTCGTCTCAACACAGAATGTCAGTGGGAGCATAACATCAAAACCTATGGTCACGGTTAGGGTGCAGTTGATCTGGCCCATGTGACAGACTCACAATACTGCAACAGGCTCTCTGAGGTATGATGCGGTAGGCGGTTTGTCGGTAAAGTATCGAATGGGTCGAATGCTTGCGCGGCTAGTGATATATTGAGACTTGGAGATGGAAGGGGAGATTGGGTCGGCCGAATTGTATCGCTTCCAGCACCGATGACCGGACTGTTGGCATTATATTCGGTGGATTCATTGCTCAGAGATAGTTCAGAGTGAGTGGACTCGCTTCGCGGTTTTTGCTTGCTACCATCGTTTAGACGTGGGCGCCCAGTTGACCTCTTTTTGCCTTGTGCCAACTCCACCTGACGGACGCGTTGCATGACATGGGAGCGAATAGCATGGCGCTGCTCTCTATTGTTGATTCTTCTGTGAGGCAACGAAGCTAAATCCTCAGCCTGATGCACAAAGGTGAAGTTGGTAGGTGAAGAGGCTTGAGGGTCTGAAGGGCGAGCAGGATCAGGCGTGTCTGGTTTCAGGTGATATACTGGTTAGCTAGACGTCGCCGATGATTAAACCTGAATGTGGACATGTTCACACCTGTACCACGCGAGCCACGGCGCATCTTTGCAGATCCATCAGTTCAGCGGAAGCGATGATCCGTCAAACAGGTCCTATGTTTTGTAGGATGCAGCCATGCAGCCACGGAATGTCACGTCGGTTTAATAGCTGAGCTCACATCAAAGCTATTGCATGCTGACGCAGACATCCAGGATTGGAGGAATGCGAGACCGTTGAAGGATCCTCAAAGGATCGCTTGCAAAGTTATAGAAGCAGATGTATGCCTGCCTGCCTGCCTGCCTATGGCCAGCCAACGCGCAATCCAAGCCGAGATCCACGATCCGGACCCCTTGGACGAAATAGACCTCGGAAGTTGCTAGAGGCAAATAGGAGCATGAGGCTAATCGACGAGAGAAAGCTGGGAGGGGCAGACAGAGGGTGGTGGAGCTCGCCCAAAACCCAAGACCCAGCAGGAACAGACAGATTTCTTCAGGGCTCGTCTTTGCAGACCGCTAGTGTGTGGTCCCTGGAATCTGGAGTCGACGACTCGAGTGGAACTCCTCGGTGCTTCGCTGCTTCTGAAAGGGAAGGTGAGAGCTTCTTCAGGCTAGTCAGCGACCGGGGAATGCAACTTGGCAAAGGTTTATCGGTTGGTAATGGCAGCTATTGTAGTTAGTTGAACAGAATTGGGACCGGCTGGCGATCAGGCGATGAAGCAAAGCTTGCACGGACTCCATCTTACGTAGACAGACACCGACGTTGATACCCATCGTTGCGACTGTAACGGGCGGATTGCGCCCTGGCATGCATGGATAGACGAACTTGAACACGTTCCATGCCTGGCACAAGGGGGGCAGCATCGGTGAGGTGGTCCGGACGGTCCCGGGAGGCGTACGGGGTGCCTCTGCCTTCATTGCGGCTTTCAATGTTCTGGACAATGGCGAGGAAGTTTGCTCTCTACACCCAGTCGGTCAGCTATCGGGTTGACTCCGTCCCCTTGCCCCCAGCGTTCGTATTCGCTGGATCTCCGGTGGACTCCGGCAGTTTGGTTGGGGGCCCCTAGCTTGTGCAACGGTGGCTGGGTACTCTATCCGATTGTTCAGGTAAGCGGTGGTGTTGATATCAAGAATGGCCGGCAGTTGCCGCATGAGAGATGCTCTGGCTCCCCGGTGTATCAAACGTGGTGATAGACGCCCTAGCCGCAGCGGGGAGTGGAATTCCTAGCTCCCTGTCCTGCCGGTATATGCCATCTCTTGTCATCTCTGGGGGTTCTCCGAGGGATGCTGGAGGTTGCGAGACATCGGATGATTTCAGAGGTGGCTTCTGCATGAGATGCGTCGCCGGCAGAACTTGACTGGTGGAATTCTTTTCTTGCACAGACGCCAAAGTTGCCGATGGGTCGATTGGGTTTTGATCATTGCTTGCCGAAATATTGCCGGGGCTCTTGGCACGGCCTCCATGTGCTCTGAGTGACTGACCGTGAAAATCTTAAGTAATCACCCCCGTGTCTCTTTGGACATGTCTTTTGCCCCTCGCCTGCGCCCAGAACAAACCCCCTGTGCTGGTTATCAAATAAGATGTGTTGTTCGCCTGAGCGCTCCATTCCTTGGATCATAGAACACCCTCTTCTTCACCGAATATCCTTGCTAGCATGAAATACACGACAACGCAGCCCGCTGCGATCCACATCTTGTTTCGCCAAATCCAACCTTGGCCTGCATCCCTCGCAGCCTGGCCACCTTGCACCACAACTCCGACACCGGTGCTCCCTCCCAAGATCCGTCGCAAGGCTCTCGTCTCTGGTGAGCAATTGACCTCTTCGCCCTCTTCGTCGGGGAGCATCCGACCAGTAGCTGGGTCAATACGATGCTCTTTCATCCATGTCCAGTTTTGCTTGTCCTCATCAGGGAACTCTACCCGGAACTTTGCCCCGCCGTCTCCTGCTTTAATGTTGCCAATCCCCCTTGTGGTCGGCTGGACACCGGGAACGGGTCTCGAGGCTGATCCGCCACCAGTGGAGTTCCACCATCTTGACCTTGCTGCGTGCCATTTTCGCTCTGCAGATGACCCGCCAATGCTCCCTGCTGTCATTTCCTCGCTGTTCATAAATGACATGAGCCCTATCAGTATGGTGGACACTGACCATGCAGGATTGAATAGTTGAGGGTGATAGTCGGAAATACTCAAACAAAGTCTCGTGGAGGGTTGGAAACGGCCTGAGGGAGTATGCATTCGACTGATTTCCATTAGCCGTCCAAACATTTCTGCTAAAGATACTATTGCTCCGCGCCGGGATAAACATCCGACACATGGGCCACAGGGTCGAGAAGGACTCACATCGCAGGCGGTGCGAAAGGATAATCGGGCGGGAAAATTAAAGTACCCTGACTCTCCATTAATATCCACCACATTTGAATTGAGCGGAACCGCCTTCTTTCGATAGGTCCGCAGAGATGAGATAACTCACATGGTATTGTCCTCCTTCTGTTGTTGGCAAAGAGAGCGTTAGCAATCCCATCTCGTTCAATCTGGGGACGTTAGAACCTACCATATGGTGTGTTCGGAGCCCCAGTCAGAATATAATGCCATTCTAGTATGTTGCTTTCGCTTGGGTGCGCCTGTATGAATGGAGGTGGAGAACGCTGAATTGCCTCGTACTCCCGAACAAGTCGTTTATGCGCGGCTTTGGTTGCCATGTTCGCGGGCGAGCAATCGTAGAGAAAGTGGGTCTCGAGGGAAAGGAATAAATGAACGGTCTCAAATCAACCTGAGAAAATGCCACAACACATGACGAAAGGAGTTTCGACCGCCTTGTGTGGATAAAACTGCGAGACTGCGAGAATGAGAGTGAACGATAGTGACACGCGAGCATGCGCAGTCAGAAGGCGGTTGAGCGGCCTCGCTACCTCATCTTCGCCTCAGCAGGGCAAGTCTGCCGAGAGCGATCGCCAACCGCAGCATGTGGGTCTACCAAAGGTACATTTTCGCAGCATAGCTCCCGCGTTTACGGAGCACCTCTCCCCGGCGATTTTCATTACCAGTCGCAACTGAAGCCTGCCAGGTGACTGAGCTCAATGGCAACCCCGGCTTCCAATGAGTCGGAGGAAAGCATCTTTCAGCTGTTGAAAAAGGCCGACACAAAAGAGTTGGAAACTCGAGAGAAGGCGATCAATGAGCGGTTGCATCGCACATTTCAGCTCGGGCAACAGAGACTTGCGGAGCTCATTGACCAGAATTCAACTCTGCCTACCACTGTATCATCAGTGACGGTCCTCGGGACCCAAAATACAAGACATGGCTTCCTTGGAGCAGTGGTGAACCCGCTATTAAGCGCCAACCGCGACCGACCATATACTCAATCTGAACTCATACACGAAGTCGCAAGAACCGCTGAGAAACTCAGGAAATTTGGTACTGCAATACCCTTGGACCTGGGAAAGCATTGACTCATTGTGATGCAGGCATCTATCACGACCCAATTTCCGTCTACCTCGACAAACCCTCCAAGACCGACCCTACAACTACCCCAACCGATATTGCCATTTACTACTCAGTGAAAGAGAAAAGCCGGATTTTTGCAAAGACTGGAACAGACCTTGGTAATGCAGAAGGGTCAGCTTACGCCAATGTGCAATGGAGGAATCTTTTGGGCGGTGCAGAAACCCTTGACGTAAATGCGTCCATTGGTACGCGCACACGCTCATCGTACCAAGCTACCATCGATACCCCTGTCCTGAGCAATCCCGATCTGCGGTTTCAGGTTGGCGGATTGCAGAGCGCGACGCAGAAAATCTTTGCCAGCCATGAAGAAGTGCTGAAAGGAGGCTGGACCAAGTTGCGGTGGCTGAGTTCGGCAGGGTCATTTCACGAAATAGGATACAATGGTTTCTGGCGACAAGTGACTGGTCTCGCACCAAACGCTTCACAAACGGTCCGGAACGATGCAGGGGATTCTTTCAAGAGCAGCATTTCTCACACATGGATGGCCGATCGAAGAGACAACTCCATGCTACCCACCAGAGGTTATTATGCCAAAACATCCGCCGAACTAGCAGGGTGGGGGCCCCTGCAAGGTGATGCGGCATTCCTCAAAAGTGAAGTCGAGACTCAGTCAGCATTGTCGATACCGGTCCCTGGCATAAAGGGGGACAGTGGTGTGAGCTTCACTACCGGATTCCGTGCCGGTCTTCTATACCCTTTAACTCTAGGATCGAAGCAGAACCCAGAAATGTCACGGATAAATGACCGATTTCAGCTGGGTGGTCCTACGGATGTTCGGGGCTTCAGGCTTTCGGGCTTGGGCCCTCACGATGGCCCAGATGCAGTGGGCGGTGACATTTACGCAGCTGGAAGCGCAAATATTCTTCTCCCTCTCCCCAAAGTCGGAAAAGATAAGCCTCTACGATTGCAAGCTTTCATCAATGGTGGACGGTTATTGGCAATAAGAAATGAAGAAAAGGAGGGTGCAATGACAAGCCAGCAAGTCAAACAAAGTGTTGCAGACGCTTTCTCAGAGCTGGGGAACGGGCTACCAACAATGTCGGCTGGCGTAGGGCTGGTTTATGCCCATCCTGTGGCACGCTTTGAGCTCAACTTTTCATTGCCTTTAGTCGTCCGGAAGCAGGAAGAGGCCAGAAAGGGTGTGTCTTTCGGCATCGGCATCAATTTCCTGTAGGATGTAACAGCATTAGACAATATTGTACATAGTAACGGCATGGCCAGTAACGACTCGTGGGGAAGTGCTACGAAAGACTAAACGAGGCTGAGGGAAAGGCCATCTGGCAAAAGAGGCTCGGTGGGCACCAGCCAGTCAGAATGCCTCCGCAGCGGAGTTTGGTTCTTGAGGCACTCCGAACACATTTGCACACTTATACGTAAATGAAGGCATCTCAAATAATCTTACCCTCTCTAGCATTCTACGGTTCATACATCTCGCCTTACAAGACGTTGACGAATTGCGTGCCGGTTGCAGCCCTCACTTGCAACCGTTCCTCATCCCGATCTGAGCGCAAAGACCCCCTAAAAATCTCCAGAGACCTGCACCACAACCTACCCGACGGCCTCAGTGGCCCAAGTACAGCATGTCCTACTACAACCAACCCTACGGCCCCGGTGCTGCGGGAGGTGGCGCCGCATCAAACCTCCAATTCTATCCTTCGTCCTACTCAAACGTCTCCGGCCACACGACGCCCTCACAGGCCTCTTATGGCGGATATGGTGGCACCAGTAACAGCGCAAGCGCATATCCAGGGTATGGTGCAGGCTCCTCGGCAGGCTTTGGTGGTGGACCTGGAATGCAGAGTGTTAGTGGCCGCATGGGAGATTCCGGCGGGTTGAGAACAGGCTGGCTCGCGGCGTTTGGGACGGAGGGATATGAAGGAGAGCCGGGATTGATGGAGGAGCTGGGAGTAAACTTTGGACATATCAAGACAAAGGTAAGGGTGTCCTCGCCATATATGCTGCCCGGGGAAAGACATGAGCTGATCGTGGCGTACACAGACACTCACAGTCTTAAACCCGTTGACGCGTCCTTCACCCCACATCATGGACGACAGTGATCTCTATGGCGGTCTGCTATTCTTGATTCTTTATGGGACGTTCCTCGCCCTCTCAGGCAAATTCTTCTACGGCTATATCTACGGCATTGCGCTCTTTGGATCGATGGCGCTGCACTGGATGTTCGCCCTCATGACACCGCCCATCGACCCCAATGACTCGGATCAAATGGGGCAGGCCCAACGAGATCATGGTCAAGGGCCCGATGGGCGCGGCCATGGAGGCCACTTCTCAAGCACACTCACGTACTCGCGAAGTGCAAGTGTTTTGGGGTATTGTTTTCTTCCTCTCGTCTTCACCTCCCTGTTTGGGGTGCTCCTGCCCATGGACACGGCCATGGGGTACGTCATGACGGCGATGGCGGTGGGATGGTGCACGTTTAGCAGTTCTGGGATGTTTGTCAGCGTGGGAAGGATGAAGGGAATGAGAGGATTGGTGGCGTATCCCCTTGCACTGTTTTATTCGGGGTTCGGCATTATGGGTATCTTTTCGAGCCGGGGGAGTGGCATGCTGGAAGGGAAAGTGCTTTGACGACACCGGATTGGTTTTGTGGAAAAAGTAATGATGTTTGAATCTAAAGAGCTGGATTGTCCCAGATGAGATACAGGCCTTCGTCAACCAGGACCACCGTCGTACCTTCGACTCACCGCTATTCTGGGCAGCAACGGGGAGGCAGTCATGATCAAAGCTGCAGCAAACACATCCCTCGATGATTGAATGGGCTTCCAATTGGCATGACGACCGCTTGAGGGAATCCTAGCCTTTGGGCCGCACCGCGAGCTAGGCGCCGAATGCGAAGTCATAGGGCAGCTATCACTCTGGGCAGCTCGCGTGAGACAATGAACTGCTCACCAAACGAAGGAGTATGGGATTCAGAATCCCATATGGCAGGATTTATAGAGCTTGTGCTGTTGATTTTTGAGGCCAGGGCAAGCACAAAAGTGGCCAATATACCTTGTAGTCGATGCGGAGAGTAACATGAATAATGACGGACATCACCGCGACAACGAATATTTTGTTCCTTCCATAAAACTTAGCCGGCTTGTTTCCTTGTTCGTGGCTGAGGAGGGAAGATTGACAGACCCCCGACATTTCGCTGGTCCCAGACCAGCTGAATGTATCGTATTCAACAACCATGGAGATCTACGGCATGCTGGGTGAGAAACTGGGGACGATAGGCAAGCCTGAGAAGAAGGCAGAGGACGGGGCTGCAGAGGCTAGACTCCCCCAATGGAAAAAGGATCTCTTGCAGAAACCCTCCATTTCGGTGCGGAAAGGCATTGCGTGGGTAAGTCTCCGTTGATGCTCTGAGGGTAGACACACGGGCTTTGATGCTTTGAAGCTCATGACTCTCATGCAACACTTGGCATTGTGGTTACGAAGGAGCTGCCTTCTTTCTGACCTCCGTGACATGGGCTTGGACAGGGATATACTCCTCCCTACGAAGACACTGATACGCTTGTCCTGACATCCCCTCAATCGTCCTTCGTCGACATCAGGTTCCCCGTCAAGCAACAGTTGTCGAAGCCAATAGCATCGGACCCTTCTTTCTGGGCGTTTGCTGGAACGTCCCATATGACATTTGCGCCCTTCGCGGGTGATACGATTACGATGCCTTACTCGGCACACTGCGTGTGGAAGCACGATATCGACTCCAAGGGCCCGGGCATCACTGACGAGGGGGATTTGTTCTTGCTCCCTAACGGCGACTGCATGGAGGTGGGGATGATGCAGAACCCACAGACAGGTAAGGTCGAGATGTACAAGGAATATTGGACAGGTCCACCCACCGGTGTGACTCCAACAATCAGGACGCCTTGCGTGGTTGCGAAGACGCAAGCTCCGTCGGACGGTCAGAAAGCGCAGGACGCTCTCAGAGACGAGTCTGGAGTCATCGTCAGGGTAGGCAACTACTGTCAAGGCATCATGCGTCAGCGCACAGCGGAACAAGGTCGGCCTGAAGGAGCAGATGCGATCCTGGTTGAGAGGTGGACTCGAAGTCTCGTCGAGACCGAGCAAAGATCAACTGCCGCTGGTACTTCGGACGGGCCCAGCGATGCAGCGGGTTGGGTGCAGGACTGGCGCAGCAACACGCCTTGTGACAACGGCGTGTTCATGCCATGTATGTGGACTTGCGACGGAAATAGGCAGCTCGGAGATGAAATCGTCGTTAAGGGCGTCACCTGGAGAGTCGTGGAATTGGTGACCGAGGAGGCCTGACCACTGGACGCAGACCGGAGAGACACACGGGGGACATGGCAAACAATGGAAAGGCTCAGAACGTATTGCTTTGGCGTCAGGAAGGTGCTTCGATTGTTACAACACCTAACAGATACCCTGAGATACCTCGTAACCATTGACCGGTGTCCAGCACCTTCATAAGAAAAGCGGAAACGGAACCAGAAATATGCACATGGAGGCGGGTATCTTTCCTTTTTCTTTCCCGGGAGTCGGGGCGTCCCACCACCATGGGACTGTTGTTTTTTGGCCTTGTGAAAGATCGACGATACCGCGGCAAATGACAGCGAACGATAGCTCGGGGGTCAAAGTGGGAGACTAGGATCATTCATGGGGTCGGCAACAATCGTCACCAAGAAACCTGATACGTGGAAGATTTGCGTTCCGAGCGAGCATCCATGCCAAGCCTGGAGCCGAAGCTCGCTAGCGTGCCGAAGATGAGCCGGATCACCAATCACAGCCGCGGTGTGGATTCTGCCTAAATGGATCTCTTTACCTCAAGTCTCTTGTCTATCCCTTCCACCCTCTTCCTGGTCTCTCCCTAGAATTGACTTTGGGCCTTGCTCGGCCGATACTCCGCGACTTATCCCTGGTAGAGGTACCTATACGGCAATCCGAGGCGCCCTTGTACGGTGGCTGGAGGCCTCGCTCCGGGACAAACGTGGAGGATGGGATGGTGCCTCTGCCTTCCCAATGCGGCGGTCGTCGTATCCTCGCCCCATCAAATCCAGCTGCTCCAAGGCTATGGAGACCTCATATCGCTGCATGTGGGACACGGTTGTCCTGGGTCAAATATGCTCCCGCCTAACGCTCGGGTTCCCACCGCTGTATCTGCCGACGCAACAGACCAGGTGAGCAGGTGAGCAGGTGAGCAGCAGAGCAGGTGGATGCTGGGCCTCACCTACTTCACATGGTCTCCGCCGTTTGCTCCTGACACTCTCACGTCCTGCGTCTCACCTGTTTCCTTCCCTGACTATCCGAAGTTCTGCCATTGGTTCTCCAGTACCTCTTTGTCGAATCACCGATGCCCTTTGTCACTGTCTGGATCCCAAACATTTCTTTAAATATCTGACGTCTGCCGCATCTATACAGTTCTTGTATCTTGTCTGCCCTTTCGTCTTGTCAATTTCCAGCTTTCTGCTCTTCGGTCGTAGCTTAGCACATCGCCACAATGGGGTCCTTGCCTGTGCAGACGAGCTTCGACGTTGAAGACGTTCTTTCGCGGCTGAACACGGCAGAGAAAGTTGCCCTGTTATCCGGGATTGACTTCTGGCACACCGCTCCCGTACATCGTCTGGGTGTCCCGTCTATACGAGTATCCGACGGCCCCAACGGCGTTCGCGGCACTCGCTTCTTCAACGGCGTCCCCGCTGCCTGTCTTCCTTGTGGTAAGCTATACCATACCACCAAGAAGCGATCTAGATGTCATTGACACGGTACAGGGACCGGTCTTGCTGCAACATGGGACACCAAACTTGTCGGGAAAGGTGGAGCATTGCAGGGTGCTGAGGCCATCGCCAAAGGGGCATCCGTTATTCTAGGTCCGACCACAAACATGCAAAGATCACCACTGGGCGGTCGTGGGTTCGAGAGCTTCAGCGAAGACCCATACCTCGCCGGTGCCATGAGTGCAGCAACCATCAACGGTATACAATCGACTGGTGTTGCTGCAACAATCAAGCACTATGTTTGCAACGACCAAGAGGACCAAAGACAAGCCGTCGACAGCATTCTGACAGAACGAGCGCTACGAGAGATTTACCTAATGCCCTTCATGATCGCGCAGAGAGACTCGAAGCCGGACTGTTACATGACTGCTTACAACAAGGTCAACGGTACACATGCGAGTGAGAACCCACGATTGATCAAGGATGTTCTTCGCGGTGAATGGGGCTTTGACGGGCTAACAATGAGCGACTGGTAAGCGCCGGCTTTGTGAGAGTCGAACCCCCTCTTGCTGACTGTTTCAGGTTCGGGACGTACTCAACCACCGAAGCAATCAAAGCAGGTCTCGACCTTGAAATGCCCGGTCCTACCTATATCCGTGGACACCTAGTCAATCAAGCCCTCGGCTGTGGCAAGCTTACATTGCATGACCTCGATGAAAGAGTTCGTGAAATCCTCAAACTGATCAAGAAGGTCCAACCTCTGGGTATTCCGGAAAACGCACCAGAGACCACGGTGGACTCTCCTGAGACTTCTGCTCTTCTTCGTTCGCTATCATCCAATGGCATCGTCCTGATGAAAAATGACAACAACATCCTGCCGTTCGAGAAACAGAAAACTACTGCCATCATTGGTCCCAATGCGGCTTATGCAGCCTACTGTGGTGGTGGCTCAGCTTCATTGTTGCCATACTATGCTATCAGCCCCCTTGACGCCATCCGGAAACAGGTGCCTGACGCGAAATATGCTCTCGGCGCACCGGGCTGGAAAGCGCTTCCACTAATGACGCGGTTGACCAAGACCAAGCAGAATGAAAATGGTCTGACGATGAGAGTCTTCTTGGAACCCGCCTCGGTGACAAATCGCAAGGCAATTGATGAGGTCTTTGTGAACAAGTCGGACATTCTTCTGGTCGATTATAAGCACCCTCTGATCAAGTCATCTCTCTATTGGCTCGAATTGGATGGCATTTTCACTCCCGAGGAGACGACCGAGTATGACTTCAGTCTGTGCTGCGCGGGAACAGGCAAAGTCTTTGTGAACGGAACGTGCGTCGTCGACAACGAGACCCACCAACGACCTGGTAACTCATTTTTCGGCGCTGGCACTGCAGAGGAGATCGGAAGCATGAAACTAGAAAAGGGAGAGACGTACGACATCAAAGTCACCTTCGGTACACTTCCAACCATGACGTTCAGCAGCCACGGCACCACCGGCTTCGGGGCAGGAGGGCTGAGAGTCGGACTCGAGCGCAGAGCCGAGATTACGACAGAAATTGAAAAGGCTGTTCAGCTTGCGAAAAGGGCCGACCAAGTTATTCTGTGCGCAGGGCTGAACAGCGAGTGGGAATCAGAGGGCTATGACCGGGAGCACATGGACCTACCACCAGGCAGTGACGATCTCATCAAGGCCGTCCTCGCCGCCAACCCCAATACGGCTATCGTAATCCAATCCGGAACACCCGTTACAATGCCATGGCTGAAGGATGCTCCGGCTGTCCTTCAAGCTTGGTACGGTGGTAACGAGACCGGCAATGCTATCGCAGATGTCGTCTTCGCCAACACCAATCCCAGCGGCAAGTTGCCCCTGAGCTTCCCTATCAAGAACGAAGACAACCCGGCTTTTCTGAATTACAAATCTGAGCGCAACCGGGCCATTTATGGTGAAGATGTCTATGTCGGATACCGGTTCTACGAAAAGACCAAGAAAGAAGTCGCCTTCCCTTTCGGCCATGGCCTCAGTTACACGACCTTTGAGATCAAGGACGTATCCGTCAGCGACGACGATGTCGAAATCGTGGTGTCTGCTACGGTCTCCAACACGGGCAAGTTGGACGGCGCGCAGGTTGTCCAAGTTTACGTCTCGCAACACAACCCAAGCATCAATCGACCTCCAAAGGAACTGAAAGGTTTCGCCAAAGTCTTTGTGAAGGCGGGTGAGAGCGAGAAGACCGAGATTGTGATTTCCAAGAAGTACGCCACGAGTTTCTGGGACGAAGAAAGGGATTCGTGGGTGATGGAGAAAGATGCTTTTGATGTATTGGTGGGCGACTCCAGTGCCAATACGCCGCTCAAGGCCAAGATTCACGTGAAGCAGACAGCCTGGTGGAGGGGTTTGTAGAAGGACGGTGTTGTTGATACCTTCAAGGAGTGCATTACCTACATCCTCTAGGTGTCCCTGTTGTTGGCTTGCCTGCTTTTGAGGACAACCACGCCTTGACTCTGTCTAGTACGGAGCATAGGATCTGCTTGGGGCGGCCGACTTTGACGAGGCTCCTGGGTGGCGGAACGGCGCTTCTGTATGTTGTAATATCTTTATGACTCATGATTATATAGAAGAATACGTAAGACGCACATCCAAAGAGGTTGAATATGAATATGAGTTCGATTTCGAACATCCCGAGATATTTAGAATATCAGGTGTCCTGTGTCCTGATACGCTATCCTTTATCTACTATAGTGCCTAATAATCGGCCAAGACTCGCGTGATTACCCTTTGCGTCGAGTTGTGTTGTATATTTACTCGCCTGGGAGATAGTGGAATGGTCATTTACCTACGCGATGGAGGGTATACAGCAGTATCGCTCAAGACAAGAGCAAGTGTTGCGGAATCAAGTTCTAGCAGTTGGGTATTCAGTGCGCAGAACAAGCTAGCGAGTAATTTGGAATGCACTGGATAACACAATTTAATAATAGTGTGCACAGATTAACACAGGCCTCCCTCCAAGTTCGTCTATCTCCTCGAGGAAAGCCGACCCCATTCACGCCGAAAGCCGGGCCGAAATACTCGACCTTGCACTCCGAAGCAGTTGAACTACTGACGACTGCAGCCCTCCCCTGGTCCAGGACACGGAGGCGACTAGACGCCAAACCATCCACGACACCAAGACGGCGAGCCCAAGACTCTTGACGGCGGTCCGCGCCCAGCGCCCAAGTCGTTTCAGGATCCAATAACGAGAGCCTCCTCGGAAGACGTAGTCGGCGAAGTCGCGCTGCCAGAATTCCCACAGCAAGTCCATGCCGGTCCCGGGGTAGGAGGCGGTGTTGCGCCCGACGCTGTTCAGGTTCCAGTTGCTGCACCCGCCCGACCAGACCATCTGCTGGAGCTTGTACTGCGTCTTGGTGGCCCAGTAGCCCTCGGCCTCCGCCTTGACCTCGACGCTCGTGGCCTGCCCGTCCAGGATGGGCCGGAAGATGTGGCGCACGGTGTAGTCGGCCGCGAGCTCCAGGATGAAGATGGCCGAGTTGTGGGCGAGGAACGTGTTGGGCCCGAACAGGATGGAGAAGTTGGGGAAGCCCGCCACGGTCATGCCCTTGTACGCGACCGCGCCGCCCGTCTCCTTCCACTTCTCGTTCAATTGCACGCCGTCGCGGCCGATGACCCGCATCGGCGTCAGGAACTCGGTGACCCGGAACCCCGTGGCGTAGCAGATGGCGTCGAACTCGGTGCGGTCGCCGTCCTCGGTCTCGATGACGGAGCCGTCGATCTGTTTGATCTTGGACGCCGTGACGTCCAGGTTGGGGCTAGAGAGCGAGTCGAGGTAGTCCGGGTCGAAGACCCGCCGCTTGCAGCCCAGCGGGAAGTCCGGGATGATGAACCCGTGGTATTTCTGGGGCGTCTTGCCGAGCGTGTACCGTTTGGAGGCGCCTTCGAGTTTCCGTCTCTCGCGCGCGGCCTTCTCGCCCGCCCCGTACGCCAGCGTCATAAACTCGAAACTGGCAAACAGTCGGAGCCGGAGATACCTCTGGTAGAGGGGCACGTAGCGGCAGAGCGCCTTGGACAGGGGGCTGGTGAGATGGTTGGGTCTTTCGTGGTACCACTGCGCGGACCGCGAGTACTGCTTGACAAACGACGCCTTCTGGACGAGTTTGGGCACAATCTGCGAGGCACTGCAGCCGTTTCCGATGACGGCAAGCCTTTTGCCGGTGTAGTCGTACGAATGGTCCCAGCGGGCCGAGTGCCAGCTTCTGCCCGTGAACGTTTCCTTGCCCGGAAGGTCGATTTCCTTGGGAGCGCTGATGCCCCCGACCGCCGAGACAAAGATGTTGGCCTTCCGCCTGAACTCGATCCCCGTCACGACATTCTTCAGGCTGACTTCCCAGAGCTGTTCCTCCTCGTTCCAGACCGCGCCCAAGCACTCGATCTGCAGTTCGAAAAACCCGCGCAACTCGAACCGGTCGACCACGTCGTTGAGGTAGGCGAGGATCTCGGGCTGCTCGCACAGCGCCTTGGACCAGTCCGGGTTGAGGGCGAAGGAGAAACTGTAGAGATGGCTGGGCACGTCGCAGCCACAGCCCGGATAGGTGTTTGCGAACCACGTGCCGCCGATGCCCGACATTTTGTCGTAGATGACAAAGTCGCGGAATCCCATCCTCGTCAGCTTGTACGCCATTGCAATGCCAGAGGCTCCGGCGCCGATGATGATGGCGTTTGGGTAGTCCCTCATCGTGTCTGGATGTTTGGGACACTGTTCGGAGCAAATACTTGGGAGGCGATCAGATAGGAAGGCTGATGCTCAGGGATAGCACGCCTTTACTACGCTGTCGTTGCCAACATCTCATTTGCCCTCCATACACATGTTATGAGAGCTCGAGTCCCCACAATAAGAAACACCGCGGTTCCGGATTGGGCTAGACCCTGTGTAACTCTGGGTCCACTCCTGTCTACCTAGTGCCTACCTACCTGCCTCGGTCAAATTCAACGTCCCAATCTCTATGCCGCATGTCCCTGATAGTGCTCGGCTCTAATTTATCGAGGTATGGCAATATGCAGGTCTCCCACCCAGCAGTCCAGGACGCCGTCAGCACCAACGAGGTCGAACGAAGAACTGCTGCGCCGAGGCAACGAAGGTCTGGTATAAGTAGACTATGCAAGATTTGGCATTGTGCTCCCCCGACACCACGCGTCCATTGAAATCCGGAAGATTATAGTTTTTGCGAAAGCTACTGTGGAACGAACGTTCCCAGTCACAAATATGGCACCTACTCCGCCACCAAGCAGTGCTCAAGGGAAGCCTAGCTGGATCCTCACACCCGATCACAGCACGACCGTCTCGCGAATTCAGTCCGTCGCGGGCAAAGTCGCCGTGGTCACGGGCGGCGGTCGCGGAATCGCTGCACAGATCGCTTGTGGTCTCGCAGAGGCCGGCGCCCTGGTCGCTGTCCTCGATATTCTTCCTGCCCCGGTCATAGAAGACTTCGATCCTATCCTTCAGGCATGTCCACAAGCCAAATTCTACCGCGCCGACGTGACATCCTCCGAGTCACTTGCACAAGCCTTCCGTTCTGTGCTGCAAGACTTTGGGAAGATCGACATCTGCGTCGCCGGGGCAGGCGTTCTCGGCGAAACCCAGCTGATCGACGTCCCGGAGTCGGAACTCCTCCGTCAAGTCAACATCAACCAGCTGGGTGTCTTCTTCACGGTCCAACAGGCGGCACGGCAGATGGTGGCTCAAGGCCACGGGGGAGCGATTCTTGTTATTGCATCCATTGCCGCCCACGGATCGTTGAGGGGCCAGCTGTCGTCCGTCTACGTGATGACCAAATGGGCGATAAGAGGGCTTGTGCGGCATGCTGCACTCGAGCTGGGACAACACCAAATCCGGATCAACTCTCTCTCCCCCGGATACGTCCAAACTGGGCTTTCCATCCCCTTTATCACCGAAGAGAGGTTGAAAGTCTGGAACTCCACCGTGGCCTTGGGCCGCATGGAAAGACCCGACGAGCTCAAGGCGCCTGCGGTGTTTTTGTGCAGCGACGCGGCGAGCTACATAACGGGCACAGATTTGCTGGCTGACGGTGGTGCTTTGTGCTAAGACGGATGAACTTTTTATACTTGGGTTTGCAATCTCCTCCCACAATCCGACTAGAACTTAGGAGCCAGGCATGATGCCCTGTCGAGAGCAGGGTGTATGGGGATGAATAGACCGATAACCTTCACTGACCCACAAGACAAAAGCCAGCTTCATCAGAACATGGCAATGGCGTTGGACGGTGACCCAATCCCACTAGCTATGTTCAGGGGGGCGCTGGCGAGGTAAAATGACCACCGTTCTCGACTGCGGCACACCTCTGACAATTTCTCCAGATCCCAGAGCTTTCCAACGGGCATCCCCCACATGGCCAGGAAATGCTCGTGGAGCACAATGTCCCCCGGCGGCCAGGCCTCGTATGTGATGTTGTCCGCCACAACGGCAGAGAAGTGATGATTCCAATGCCTTGGCCGTTCATCAGCTCGAGATAGCGTCAGTAGCTGGGACGGCTGGGGGAGGCTCACCATCTGCATGAGGCCATCGAGGCTTCAAGCCCCAAATACTCGCCGTTCTCTACTATCCCTTGCCTATTCTCGTCATCGGTCGCCGAGTTACTCCACGCAATGAAACCTGTGCGAACAAAAAGAATGTCCCCCGGTTTTAAGACCGTCTTTTGCCATTTCACGACCTGCTCGAGCTGGGAGATTGTGATCTCCCCTCGCCTGGCGGGATGGTACTCATGGCCATTCTCGGTCGCCCAAGCAGCCCAATCCAGCAGGACGCCCCTGCCACAGATGCCGCCTCGAGCACTCCACAACCTGGTTCCCGGATGAAGACCATTGTCCGCGTGGAATTCCGCGTGGTCGAGGTCGTTGTAGTATTTCCTGCTCCTGATAAGGGTCAATGGAAGACCGTATCTGCGCGTCCCCCATCTCTCCTGGCCTTACCTCTGATGTGCATAGTGTAATGGCGTATCCCAGTGGGATCCATGCTGCGGACAGAAGGCGATTTCCTCATCGTTGGCGTAGAATCCCTTGGAACTCAGATCTACAATCCGATGTTGTACCGTCCTTCGCGCGAAACCACTGTAGCGTGGCTTCTCCATGTCCCAGTTCAGGGACACCGTCTGGCCACATAGGATCTCCCCTCTGGCCGCGTCCAGAACTCTTTGCTGTGTTAGCAGGTTCAGCGTACCAAGCTGGTCGGTCTGCCCATTGCGATCAAACAAGGTCCAGGCACATCCTCTGAGGCTACCATCTGGAGAAGATGGGAGCGCGTCGAAATCTGGCAACGCTACAGAATCCCCCATTTCCTTTGTGTCAAGCACCTTTTGCGGATGGAAATGCGGCGGCTTTTCTGTTCTTGAGTGGTAAAACTTCTGTGTCCGCTCTTTGAGAGGACATTTTTAGGGAGGACAAGGAGCGGCCACACCTGAGAGTCGTACCCAAGGCTTCTAGCCCCCGGTTCCATGCAGAAGAGACTCGGCCTCTTGGTACACAGGCAGCGTTTCCCTGGTGTCCGGACCCACCGTCCCTAGTCATGGTGTGCCGAGGCCTTGATACGCCTCGTTTCTGGCCGAGAAACTTGGGAAGAGGCCCCTTTTCCTTGAGTCGGTGAGGCATCCCTCCACCCTCAGACCACCTAGGTTGGCATTCTGAGTGAACGCGTTCTCCAGTCTGTCGGGGCCTACAGGGACCCAACACCCCAAGGGGATCTCTCCCTACCACCTGGGGATACTTGAATCCTGGAGCACCCCAGCGAGGGCCAGTTACATCGCCCTGCTCCACCCATTGCATTTTACGAGCATTCGGGACATATTCCACCGTACCCATGGGCAGGTTTCAACGCGGATTCTTACCCGTCAAGGGTCTGGCCCTGCAAGGCGGCGTGACCATCTGTTCCGCCATGACGTTTCTGCTGTTTGGTTACGATCAAGGGGTATTCGGCGGTCTCATCGCCATCCCATCGGTGCTGGAAGACTTGAAAATCGCGCCGACGGACGCCAATCTCCAGGGGACCGTCATTGCTCTCTTTGACATCGGTTGCTTGGTCGGGTGCCTAATCTGTGCATTCGCGGGCGAGACCCTAGGTCGACGCACATTCATCTTCATCGGCGGCCTCTTGATCATCCTGGGAGCCGGATTGCAAGCTGGCTCCCCGGATTGGCACATGATGATCGGGGGAAGAGTGGTGGCCGGCGTGGGCGTGGGCATGGAGACGTCCTTCATCCCGATCTGGGTGTCGGAATGCGCTCGAGCCGCTCACCGCGGCGCGCTGGTGGCGGTCCAGATGTCTCTCGTCCTCATGGGCCTGGTGGTCTCGTACTGGTTCGACTATGGCACCGTCCGCAACCTGACGGGAGGGGTGGTGTGGCGCCTCCCGCTGGCGTTCCAGGCCGTCTTTGTCTGCATCACCCTGGCCACCATCTGGACCCTGCCCGAGTCCCCGCGTTGGCTCTACAAAAAGGGGCATATCGCCGACGCCGACGACGTCATTGCGCGCATCTACAACGTCCCCGTGGACGACGTCTACGTCGAGAAGCATCGCGAGGAGGTCCTCCAGGCCTTGGAGGCGGAGAAGGAGGTGGTCTTCCGGCTCCAGGACATCTTCTGTGACCAGTCCAAGGTCAACACGTCCTGGCGGATCTGGGTCTGCGTCATCATCCAGTTCCTGCAGCAGCTCGGCGGCATCAACTTCATCGCCTACTACGCCGCCTACCTCTTCATCAACAACCTGGGCATGAGCCAGCACCAGGCCACCTTGACGGCAGGGGGGCTCAGCCTCGTCTTCTGGGGCGGCTCCCTGACCGCCATCTACACCGTGGAGCGATTCGGCCGCCGGCCCGTGCTCCTCTGGGGCGCGGTCGCCTGCTCCGTCTGCATGATCTGCTACACCGTCGGCCTCGCCGTCTTCAGCCAGGCTAGCCTGACCATGGCCGTCGTCTTCATCTTCCTGTTCGACTTCTCGTTCGGCGCGTCCTGGTGCATCGTTCCCTGGATGTACTCCCCGGAGGTCACGCCGCTGCATGTGCGGCACGTCGGCACGTCGCTTGCGGTCGGCACCGAGTGGCTGATGACCTTTGTGGTGGTCAAGGTCGGGCCGATCGGGATCCAGCACGTCGGGTGGCGGTTCTACCTCCTCTTCTGCGTCTTCAACGTCGTCCAGGTCGTCTTCGTCTACTTCGCGGTCCGCGAGACCAAGGGCCTCACCCTGGAAGAGATCGACTGCGTGTGGGCCAAGCCCGAGTACAAGGCCGAGTTGGAGGCGAGGCTGCACAGCGTCGAGCACGAGGCCCGAATCGGGGAAAAGGGCGAGTCCTCGCTCCACGTGGAGGCACACCCGGTCCCCCAGGCGTGAGGTGGTCTCGGAAACTGAACGCATTAAGAGTCAACAGGGTCGAAGTCGACGGAAAGGAACGGCAGTGCAGAGGGAGGTTGGAAAATGCTGTGTGCCCGGGTTGTCTTGGCGAAATATAGCTCTATCGTTAAAATCAATTCTTTTTTATAACTTCTGAGGGATAGGTTGGCTCTACAGTCGAACTACTTCGTCCGTATTAGATTTAGTCGCATGAACTCTATCTCTTCGTCTTTATCCAAGTATATTTCTCACCAGGAGCCACTCTTTCTTTCTTGACTCAGAAGCATTCACTGTGTAGACACTCTAACGCGCAAATTGATTTCACCGTCCCAAAGTTCTCGCTGAGCCACCCCTTCAGAGTCTCGGACGTGGCGACTCTAGATCTACCGTCGTCATGTCCGTCTCCCTGACGACATCCTCCGCACCTGCCGGCGCTCGTTCCTCACGCAGTGCCCGCTTCAGGATCTTCCCGGTCGGGCTTTTGGGGATACTCGGCACGAAGCGGATCTCTGCAAGCCACTTGTGGCGAGCCCTCTTCTGCTGCACCAGCCGCAGCAGTTCCACGCCGGTCGCCTTCTTGTCCGCTTCGGACGGGCCCAAACTGCGGAGGGCGACGAACGCGACCGGTCTTTCCCCGGCGAAAGGGTCCGGGGTGCCCAGGACGGCACAGCTCTCGACGTTCGGGTGCGTGAGGAGGAGATCTTCCAGCTCCGCCGGGGCCACGCCGATGCCTTTGACCTTGATGAGGTCCTTGATGCGGTCGCTGACGACGAGAAATCCATCCCGGTTCATGCGGCCCACGTCGCCCGTGTGCAGCCAGTTGTCTGTGTCGAACGTGGACGCCGTCGCCCGGGGATCGTCGAGATAGCCCGCGGTAATCTGAGGACCCCGGGCGAGGATCTCGCCGGTTTCGTCCACGCCCAGCTCCCGCCCGTCATCGACGGACCGGATCATGATTTCGGTGTTTGCCACCAGGGTTCCCGCGAACCCGGCATTCTCGTAGCCGAGCTTGCCCGGAGGGTGGAGGGTGATTGCGCTGCACGATTCGGTGAGGCCGTAGCCTTGCTTGAAGCCTGTCTGAGGGAATCGCCGGTGCAGGACCTCTAGGATGCCGTCTGACAGTGGCGCGGCGCCCGAAAAGAATCTCCGGACGCAGCTCAAGTCATATTTTATGACGACCGGGCTCTTCGCCAGTAAGACGATGATCGGGGGCACCAGGCAGAGTTCTCGGATTTCGTACTTGGACACCACGCCCAACATCACATCCAGGGAGAACTTGCGCATGAGATAGACTTCGGCGTTTAGGACGATCGGTACGTGGAGAATGTGGACGAGGCCCTGGACTAGACAGCGGACGTCGTCAGCGCACGTATCTTTAGGTGGCATCTTGGATCCTTACTGTGGAAGACTGGGAGCGCCCCTAGAACCCGACGGTGGTCGGCAGGGGTGATTTGGGCCACCTGCAGGCATTGAGCAATGACATTGTGATGTGAGATGATTACCTGGACGGGTCAGTGTGACGGCCTGGTCATGAGCTGGGACTTGAAGGGCACTCACTGCCTTGGGAAGGCCCGTCGTGCCACTGCTGAAGTTCAAAAAGGCGCAGATGTCTCTGTTCGTCTGGCCGGCCGGTATCGAGAAGGCGACCACTTGGCCCTCTTTCCCACGACTCTTTCCCAGTTTTGCCAGCCCTCTCAGTGATCTTCTTGTCGCCATCTCATCACGCTGGTCCTCGAGGAGCAATATTTTGCAGTCCCTGGTCCCCGATTCCCGGACCGCAGCCACGGCGACGCTCTCAAGTTCAGGGATCGTCCACAGAACTTTGGCACTGATCTTTTGCAGGGCGTAAGAGAGCTCGTCCTTCCCATAGCTAGGTGACACCCCTGAAACTCTGGCTCCTACAACCCTCGGCCTGGTTAGCCTTGTATCAAGATATCACAGCGCGGTGGAACCAACCTAGCCGTAAGGCGCCGAAGATGGCGACGGGGTACCATATCGAATTGGGACTGAAAATTGCGACCGAATCCCCTGCACGAATACCATACTCTGTGGTCAATGCAGTCGACAAGTGTGTCGCATACCCTTTAAGCTGTAAATACGTGACCCGGTTCTGCGTGTCCACATCTGTATAGCCTGATGTCGTGCGTGTCGTCAGTCGGTCGATAGAATGCTCGAGCAGCCAGTCCCAGATGGTCGTGTCCGTAGGAACTGTCTGATAGTCAGTGACATTTCTTTTTCGCTCAGTGGTAAATACTTGATACTTGCCGTTAATACGGGGGTGGGAAGAGTGGAAGACCATCGTTCTATCCCCGTGGCGCTTACGGTCGTGTTTGCTCTCCAAGGACTATGCTGCTGCTGCGAGCTTTTCTTTGGCTTCCGGTGGTCCAAAGGCTTGGTGGCAGGAGAAGGAGCCGCCCGAAGACGCTTCGATCGAATCCGGAGGGGCAGCATTTGAGAGGTCCCGAGGCCAGGCAAGCTTCACTATGTAAACATAGCTCAGCCTCGGTTTGTCAGAGGACATTCGGCCTGGGACCAGCGCTTCCTCTGGACCCGAAGGAGTCTCGAAGCAGCTCTTGCGTGTGGGAAAGCCTTCTCGTGCTATTTCTCGCTACTGGAGACCGATGAATTTGTCCGCCGAGAAATTAGGGAGACCCTACTGAGGAGACATGTGGTCGAGTCACATCGGGACGCATTACGATAAGCCTGAAATTCTTCTCGAACCCATCACAGAGGCTAGATTCGACCCAGTATAGAGCCCCGATCAACTGGAGGGAGCGTTTCTGCACCATGTTTGATATCGAATGCTGGACAACGGCGACAGGAGGACCATCCCACCCCTCTGGAGATTGTGAGTTTGTCTCCCAACCCACGACATCAATGCTTGGCCACTTGGGTTTCCATCCTTATGATTCAATTGCGCCTGTCCCCTAGGTGTATCAACACTACTGAGTAAAGTCTTGGCACTGCTTTATATTTGTAACTGAACTTTTCAGAATGATATGCGTTAATAGATGTTATACCTAGAGCCTTAAGCATCTTGTAGAGAATTTTTAGAGCGCGAGAAAGAGAGGGTAGTGTTAAAAATAGTAATATAGAGGCGAGAGGCGGTTCAGGTGGTCTCTCGGATGGGTCACTTTGGGCAGACTTCTCTCCCCTTGCACGATCTTTATTACTTCTTTTTGAAAGAACTAGTAATAGAATAGAGTATTACTTTTGAATCTCTCTAGCAACTAATTTTTTGAACCTTTGCTCCTTGTGGAGCGGTGCTCAAGAGGTCATAAATCTTCGACGCTAAGACTTTAGCAATGTTGGCCACGCAGGGAATAGTCTGGATTCCAGCCAAGAGGGACCTTTCGAATCAGTCCAGTGTCGCACCCTTCTTGGATATGCATCGCATCAGACCGAGGAGTAACCTGCGGGGAACCGATAACAAGGAAACTATAGCATCCATTTTGGAGTGTCTGCATGTAATAATGCGGGGATAGAACTCCTTCCAGCATCCCTCCTTCGCTTCCCCAGCAGGTGGAATACTAGGTACTCGGCGTCGCCCGTCTCATCGGACAACGGAAGCCGAACCTCGATGACTGGGAGCGTGGCCTCGGCAAGTTGCGATAGTCATAGTTCAACCTCCACCTCCACCTCTGCGACCATAGCATTGACGCGACCTCGGCCTAATCCAATCGATTGACTTTGGCTGTCTCCAACTGATGCCTCGAGACTCGGAGCTTTGGCCAAGAGGCGACTCGGGCTGGTGGCTTTGTTCAGTGGCTTCCTTCGGACTGTTCGCACTATACTGTTGCATCGTGGCCATTGACTGCGACTGCTAGCTGGCTCCCAAGAGACTTGGGAACTTTTACTCTAAGTTCCATGCTCGAAGGCTTTTGTTCCCTTTTCACGTCGCGGACCAGAAATCAGGACACTTCTGGAGGTTATACTCGAGTGCCAGCGCCATGAGACGCCCGATCCGCTTGGCTGCTGTCGCCGGCTGGCATGGGGACCGAAAGGAGGCCATGCTGGCGCAGGCCCAGGCTGATCCTCCCGCGGATGTCCTGGTGGGCGACTGGCTTGCTGAACTCACCATCGGGTGGGCGGCGCGAGAGCGGTTCGTGGACCGCCAGGCCGACCCAAACCACAGCCGCGACGGCTACTACATGAAGACGGTCGTGGAGCTGTTTGACCGTGCCGTCGACACCATCGTGGCCCGCAAGCAGAAGCTCATCACCAACGCCGGAGGGTTGAGCCCCAAAGGGTGTGCGCAGACCCTGGAGCAGGTGGTCCAGAAGCACGGCCACGAACTGAAGATTGCCTACGTTACTGGGGACGATCTGCTGGACCGGTTCGACGAGCTCGATCAGACGGCCCCCCTGAAGCATTTCGACAACGGCCAGGAATTGCGCGCCCTGCACAAGGGCGTCTGGATCGGCGCCAACGCCTACATTGGCGCGTGGGGGGTGGTCGAGGCCCTGCGCGGCGGCGCCGACATTGTGGTGACCGGCAGGACGACGGACGCCTCTGCCATTGTCGCGGCGGCGGCGTGGTGGCACGGGTGGCAGCCAGACCAGTACGATCACCTGGCACAGGCCGTGGTGTGCGGCCACATTATGGAATGCTCCATGTACGCCACGGGGGGCAACTTCTCGGGATACAAGGCGCTGTTCGACAAGCCTCACGACACGGCCTTCCCCATCGCCGAAGTCGACGCCGACGGCCAGTTCGTCATCACCAAGACGGCACACATGAACGGGATGGTGACTCCTCAGACCATCACGGCGCAGATCCTCTACGAGATCCAGGGTAACATCTACCTGAACCCCGACGTGCAAGTTGACCTTCACGGCGTCCAGGTGGAGGGCGTAGGCCCCGACCGCGTCCGCGTCTCTGGCGCCAAAGGCTTCGCACCGCCAGAGACAGCTAAGTGTGCTGTGTTTGCCGTGGGCGGGTACCAGGCCGAGGCATTTGCCTTTGCCACGGGGCTCGAGACGACGATCAAGTTCAAGATGTTCGAGAAGCTGTGCCGCTACTGGCTGAGCACCCAGCCGCAGTACAAATTCACCAAGCTGGTCTTCCAGCACATCGGCATCGCGGCGCCGGACCCCAAGAACGAGCTCGAGGCCACGCAGACCCTGCGCATCTTCGCCCAGGCCGACCGGGCCGAAGACTTTCCCCCGAACGGGCTGCAGGCCATGGTCGAGGGCTTGAGCATGGGCACGTTCCCAGGCTTCCACCGCGCGCTGGACATGCGGAACACCCTCCCGAAGCTCTACATCGACTTCTGGCCCTCGCTCATCCCGGAGCGCCAGTTGCGGCTGGCCCTCTCCTTCCTCCACGGCGACACCAAGCCGCTCCCGAACCATCGAAACACGATTCCCGCCATGACGTCGGCGTCGTACGACGCGCGGTCCGCCTACGACGAAGACAAATGGGGGCCGACCGTGCGGGAGCCGCTCGGCAGCATTGTCATGGGTCGCTCGGGCGACAAGGGCGGCAATGCCAACATCGGCCTCTACGTCCGGCACGCCGACGAGTACGAGTGGCTGCGGACGTTCCTCGACATGAAGCGGTTCGAATACCTCCTCGGGGACGAGATGAAGGTGGTCAAAAAGCTGGAACGGGTCGAGTTCGAAGGTTTACTGGCCGTCCACTTCCTCTGTCGAGGACTACTGGGCGAGGGTGTGTCCAACACCGACCGGCTCGACGGCCTGGCCAAGTCCATGATTGAGTTCGTTCGAGCTCGCGTCGTCGACCTGCCCATTCGGTTTGTAAACCGTGGTCGGATATAGCGAAAGCCTATATCACCAAAGCTCCCAACCGCTATCATGAATATTGTACAACGATACTGATGACGATGTGCCGCTTCTTTTGTGTCAGCCACCACTCTCCCACGATTGACTTGACTGCTTCCCAGTCGTGATCGCCCTCCATGTCAATCTCCACCTCGCCGTCCTTGCGCTCCTCCCCGGAGTTCGAGATGGTCGCGTGGCAGTCCTTGAGCGTAGCCACCCTGCCTCCCCTCGCCGCAAATTTCTTCGCCGCAGCCGTGGTCTTGGTCAGCATGTCGGTGTAGGTAAAATGCGTAGACGCCGTGTACATCGCCGCGCTTTGCAAGACCTTCATTCCATTGTAGACGGCCACATATTTTATCAAGGCCCGTGGTGCCTCCGTGCTAGCCCCATCTACGACATCCGAGACAGGCTTCGTGACAGGTTCGGTCGCCTCAGCAGCCCTTTCGACCACGCTATTAATACTCTGGGGAGACTCGGAGTTTCTAACTTTGACAATCTGGCCCCCGTTAGCCTTCCTGTACCAAGAGGCACGGGGAATAAGAGTAACATTAACAACACAATGAATACATACCTTGTCATTCACGTCGTTTGCCAGTCCAGAGTCGATATTTCTCACGACACGGGCCAAGAAGATGGCTTCGGCCCTGGCAGACGAGGGTCGAGCCGGCATTTTAGCCCCAGAAGCAATCGACAGAGGGCCTTTCCCTCGACGCGACGGGCCCGTGTCGGGAAGCTGTGAGCTTTGCGTCTGTTCCGATAAATGCTCCTGGAGACACTCATTTATAAGGATGCAGGCAAACTCGGCGCCTTGGCAGCGTGATATCATGGACTTTAGAAGCGCAGGCAATACGTGCCTTTCGGTCCCCGTCAGCAGTAGAGTCGGACTGTCCAGGTTGACATGGTTCAAGGTGCAGTATACAGCGGTGGGCAGAGTGATCCATGATGTTCTAAAGCGCACAGTGAGCATCGAGTTCCAACAAGGTGCCGGGAGTCGGAAAGGGGACATCTGTCGCGACTCACATGAAAGCAGGGACGGTCTCGAGAGGAGCGGTGGAAGTGGTGATCAGCTGGCGAACACTGGACACGACTTGTTGGGTGCCTTCTTTCAACTTGCGTAGTGACAATTCCCACAAATTTTTCGCTTCAAAGGGGGCAGATGACCACCATTGCAAGTAAGGTTGATAGAGAATTAGGAGCAAGCCGCTGTGCTTGTTAGCAAAGGTGAATTGGCGAAAAATGTTGGCGTGAAGGAGCACATACTTTGAGATGAGGCGAATCAGGCACACAGTGCTGGCGTATGTGTTGTCACCAACATGGGTGCCAACCATGCGACATTCTTCCTCGAATACACGCTTCCACTCCTTCAGTCGAGTTTCAAACTTGGCAACCGTGGGCATTTCTTCGGTCTCGCTGATGCCAGGGGTCGTTGCTATCTCCCACTGCCGCGAAAAGCGAAACCGGCTTTGGTACTCGGCGATGTCGGCCTGGATCTCGCTCAGTCTGCAGAATGCCAGAAAGACGGCTATCATTCGCTTCTTGGCCTCGCGCGAGGAATAGCTGGGAAGCAATGCCTCGAGCCCAAAATCTTCCTCCTTTAGCATGCCCCTTACATTTTGCACTTGATGGAGCCGATGCGGCCTTCGCATTCCTGTTGCCAACATCCGATCACGGATGAGACAACACCACCAGATGATTGCCCGTCGGTCACCGGGGCTTCCAGCACTGGTCTGAATGTTCCAAATCGCCGCTTCGCGTGCGTGACGGTATGCGCGGTCTAGCCAGAAGCTGTTGACTTGGAGCTCGGTGTCGCAAGGGCTCCAGAAGGTCAGTAGAATTGTGACTTGTGCCAGGACATATGGTTTGGTGCAAACTTGGAAGCGGTAAAGTGCCTATGGGCAAATGGTTAGGGTCTAGTTCGCGGTGGAGACAGGGACGTAGTTACTCGGGTGAAATTGAAATGGGCCTTTTGGGCGTCATGAATCGAGCTGTACGGAGTCCGGTCTAGTTGATCTTGACTGACATGCTTCCTCGAGATCAGCCACACAATTCAATCGGCTGAGGCTAGACTTACCGCTAGGGCGGTGAACAGCATTGCCTGAAGCAAAGGCAGTTCAATGTACGAGAGTAACTCCCCGTCGGTCTTCGCAAGCCCATACAACGTAGTGAAACTATACTCGTCCACGACCGGACATACAGGATGAACGTGATGGAAATATAGCCTGATGAGGTCGTCTCGGATCCGTGCCAACGGCGCCATGCACGCATCAATCAACAAATCGATCGTGTCCTGTTGCGGGCCCCAGTGGTTTTGTGAGATGGTGTCCTGGTTGAACGGGAAGGTCGAGGTCTCCAAACTGGTGTCGCTCATCGTCCCTCCTTCACCATCGAGTTCGGGGGGCAACAACGAGAGCGCCGTGGTCATGTCGATCCCTGGCAGTCGCATCAGAGATACAGTGTCACAAGTAACCACTAGGGAGCTCTATGCCTAGGGGCCTGCTTACCGGACTCTTCGAACAGGGCATCAAGCTTCCGTTTCCGGGGCGGACTGCTCGTCGCCATGCGCGAGGTGGTGCAGTCTTTGAGATGGACATAGGATAAGCTGGGGGAGTCCCGGTTAGTGGTTGACATTGCAGAGCTTCTGGAAATGTGATAGGAATGGCAAGTCCAGAAAAGCGACAGAAGCAAAACGGGCGACAGAGGCGAGGCTGGGACGCTTCTGGTTTTGGGGGGCCCAGAGAGGGATTCAGGATTGGCTGCGATACCGGGAACGGTAATAGACGTATCATACGGTGTGGCGCGGGGTACTTTCGACTGGAGCTAGGCCCTCCGGGGACAGGTGGGAGCGGGGAGGGACCCGGTCACGGCTGGGCTCATTAGGTAGAGCCTCGTGACCAGGATGCTCTGTGCAATCGAGCAGAGATACGAGTATACGAGATAGATGGTACTAAGGTGCTTCCAAACATCTCGGGCATATGCAACGAGACTCGTCTCCGCCGTTGACCTGTTTCTCCTCGCCTTTGCCAGATCAAGACATTACCTACGCTCCCTTGATGCAACGGCGAACGCCGATCTGGTCCATGAGCACACTGTCTAGCTACATAGAGATGTGAACCAGGAAAGGGCCCACCTGCTAATGCACAGCACAAGACCCCTGAGAAGGTCTGTCCACCTGTCAAGTGTGGAAGTGGTTCAGGGTCGCTAACGCATAGTGTCTTTATCGCGCTTCACCACGACACGTTCGACGGAGGGGAAATGAAGCCAAGCTAATGCGTCGCGTATCTCGGTTCCCTCGGCACCCACGTTTTCACTGGCACCAGACCGCCGAGGGATCCAAATCATGGTGTATTGAAATCGACCGAGGTGGCGAGGTGGTATGGACCCTGGTCATTCTCGCACCACATTCCAAGGTCTGGCCGCCCCCTGGGGTACCTCCACGGGGAGGATCTCGAGACCGGACCAACAAATGCCATTGCTGGACGGAGATGCGGTATAAGTATTCATGGACGAACGAGGGTTGTAAGCACTCTCGGCCGCTTCCCCAGTATCCAACGGTCTTTTTGTGCCACTTCCGCAGCCGCCATGACCACCCTCAACTGGGGCAACTTCGCCATTTGCTTCGCGGTCTCGCTGGGCCAGCTTTGCTTTGCCTATCCTTCCTCCATCATCAGCACCACTCTCGGACAGCCAGCTTTCTTGGAGTATTTCAAACTCCTCGACAGCGAGGGGAAGATTAGCTCCGAGGGCAACTCGCTCATTGGCGCTTTCAATGGCGTGTTCCAGGTACGATTGGTCCCCTTCCCCCAACCCAGACCGAGTCTCACCAATATCCTCCCAGGCTGGATCTGTCTTCGGCGTTGTCATTGGCGGATATGCCATGGCCAAATGGGGGCGCAAGCGTGCCATGCAGGGTCTTTCCGTCGTATCTGCTATCAGTGGTGCATTGCTAGCTGCCAGCCAAAACTCGGCCATGTTTACCGTCTTCCGGTTCTTTAGTGGCCTTGGAAGCTGGGCTTTTCTCGTCATCAGTAAGTTGTTCCAAGTCGGTTCAGCCCCCCAGAAATGGAGGTTGACCTTTATGGTAGCGCCCGTCTACTGCTCGGAGTTGGCCCAGCCACAGTACCGTGGGCTCATGGTTGGGATGAATGGCGTCATGATCGGCCTGGGCTATTCAATCGCATCCTACATCGGCCTTGCATTCTTCTATTCGCACAATAGGACGGCACAATGGCGAGCACCGCTGGGCCTGGCACCCTTCTTCCCAATCCTCATGGCTATCGTCCTTTGCTTCATTCCGGAGTCCCCTCGCTACTTGCTCATGCATGGCGAGGTCGACAAAGCAAGGGAGGTCGTGTCGAAGCTACATGCCACCAAGGACGATCCTCAGCAAGAATTCGCCCGATCAGAGTTCTACCAGATGCAGAAACAGGCCGAGGCCGATTGCGAGATGGAAACTTCGTGGACAGGAATCTTCCGCAAGCCCTCGTACCGCAAGCGCATGCTTGTGGGGATGGGCTTTGCTTTCTTCGGCCAGAGCACCGGCGCCTTTGTGGTGAACAACTATGTGAGATGCCCTTTCCTTCCCACATCTCGACTTCCTTGCTGACCGTGCGGAGGCAACCGTGATTTATAGTTCCATGGGATTTGGTTCCCGAGACCAGCTGATCCTGGCTTGTGGTTGGATCTCAGGTATGTGCCCCACCCACCCCAATCATTGTGTGGACCCTTTGTGGTATGTTCTGGCCAATGACAACGTCTAATTTGTCGCAGTCAGTATCTTTGGGAACTTGGGTGGAGCTCTCGTTGTGGACCGCTTCGGCCGCAAACCTCTGATGCTGTGGGCATTTATCGGTTGCTGTTTCTGTCTGACGCTGGAGGCGGCAATGGTGGCCAGGTACGCCGCCGCCGGCACGAACAAGGTCGGCTTGGGCTTTGCCCTCTTCGCCAGCTACGCCTTCTCGGTCTTCTACACCCCGGGCATCGACTGCAACAATGCCATCTTCCTGGGAGAGCTGTTTCCTAACCACATCCGGGCCAAGGCCGTGACCCTTTGCCTGGTCGTCTACGCTCTTACCGATCTCGTCTATCTCCAAGTGGCCCCGACGGCCTTTGAGCATGTAGGCTGGAAGTTTTATCTGGTAAGAGAACACAGCCAGTTTGTCCTTTTGGACTTTTTTTTTATTAACTGCTCTAGCTGTTTATCATCTTGTCAGCCCTGGGGGCGGTCTGGGCTTGGATCTTCGTGCCCGAGACGAAAGGGGTTCCACTGGAGGAAATGGCGGCGATCTTTGGGGATCCGGAGGATGTGGTCATCTACCTGCGAGAAGTTCACCTGGATCATGCCAACAACAAGTTGGTCATCGACCATCACGAGGTGGCGGAGAAGATCCCGACAACGAGTGTCGAGGTGCAAACAGAAGAACATCTGGGCCAGAAGACAGCTGAACCATAGCTGCCTCGGCGTGTAAGCATGGTTCTGCCACGAGGGCCGAGCTCGACGTTGACGCGGAGGGAGAGAAGCAGTATCAGCCTGATTCTAGATAAGAGAAGCAATACCCAAGTATTATTGGTGCACAGAACATCCTTCAAGCAAAGAATCCATAGCGAAAAAGAAAATGCACAAGAAACAGATGTACCCACTGGAGCATACTCGAAAACGGGTCGGGCAAGATTCTGAACAGTGAACGATAGCAATCGAAGGCCCCGCAACTCAAAAGACAAATTGTACTTTGACGATCTGCGACTCATGTTGTCTGTATATGTAGCTATCACAGCACGACTTGAGACGTCAAATCCTCGGGGAATCTGGCTGCGTCGACGCCGTTGGGTCTGGTGCCAATATGATACCCAGGCCTCACTTTGCCGGCGTCGAACTTGATCACGGGCGCCATGGCCCGGATCTTCTTGCCCGGACCAAGTGCCACCTCGGCCTCGCGATCCTCGAAGAACTCGTCTTTGAACAATCTCCCGGCGGCCGGACCTGCCCTGAGGCTGCGGAGCATTCGGGGAAAGGTGTGCCCCATGGTGTGCCAGTGCCGGAAGGGCTCGTGTCCGGTCTCGTCGCGCAGACGCCGAAAGACGGGATCTGGATACGTCCCTACGGAACGTACGAGCCACTGGTTGTAGTAGTTGAGTGCCACGTCCACGCCGTAGCTACCACCTTGCTTCCCCCGCCGCAGGAGCGCGATCAAAGTGCCACATATCCCCGCGAGACCAGTGCAGTAATCGCTATTGGGGAAGATGGGCGTCACCGGCTCGTCGAGCCCCAGCGCCTGACCATAGCTGTGGGCGCAGCCAGTCACCGCGTCACTGATTTGTTGCCAACCACTGCGATCCTGCCACGGGCCGTACCAGCCGTAGCAATTCTCTCGCACGTAGATGATGCCTCGCTCTCTGCCAGCACACAATTTCAGCACATCCTCTCGGCCAAAGCCAAACTTGTCGAAGGCTCCCGGCCGGTAGCCATTGATGACCACATCGGCATCCAGAATAAGTTCCCGGAATTGGGCCCGATCGCTCTCGGTTCGTAGATCGAGGTAGCAGTTCCATTTACCCCAGTTCGTGTCTGGGTGCAGGATACCATATTCTGGGAGATGAGGGCCCATAACACGCATCACCGACGCCCCCAACTCTGCTAAACCTCGCCCGATGGAGGGCCCGGCGAGTATCCGAGTCAAGTCCACCACCTTCAGTCCTGCAAGCGGGCGCAGTGGCGAAGTCTGAGGGGCATTCGGCCACCAGCACGGCGGTTGTTTGCTACCAGACTCTAAAAAGTCGTGGATCTCGAAAAGGTCAACGTGCTCGTTGGCTTTCCCGTGTTCGCTCGCCCAGTATTCCTCTGATGTAAGAGACACCTGTCCTGATTGATGATATATGTCGCTGACTCGACGTTGGAGCTCGGCCGAGGTGATCCTTGATGCGGCGGTCTGGTAATTCCGGACTGCTTCCTCATATGTCGAGACATCCAGGTCGAGCGGAAGGCCGAGAGCCTTGAGAGTCGAGTCGGGATTCAAATCTCCATGGCTCTGGAAAAACTTTCCATCCGAACATCGAAGCCAGTTGGAAGCGACTGCACGATGCAAGGATGCGTATAGTCTGTGCTTGTCACAAGGTGGGAAGTACTTTTCTATGCCAGCGTTGCCGGGGCTCAAATTGCCGTTCACCGAGACGTTCTCCCCCTGAGGATCGAGGGTCCACACGAGACAGGACATGATGAACAAAGTCGCATGGTCGGTGTCGATGGTCACCGCTTGGATTGGGAGGTTGTACTTCCGATGCACCAAGACGTTGATCAGCATTGCCTCCAACATTTTCAGCGCCGACACCGACTCGGCCTGCCGCCAATTGATCGGTACGCTAGGAACATCTGAACCCTTGAGAGTCACTGGAAATGCGGCGTTGAAGCACTCCTCGGGGAGGAATCTCCTTATTCGGGGGTTGTTGAGGATTTCCGTTTCAAATACCTTGAGTGTCTCCTCCTGGACGTTGTAGCGGCCGTCAGCCTTGCCGTCGCAGGTGCCGTTGCCAACGACATGCCCATTGCCATTCTTTCTGGACTCGTC